CACAGGCCAAGCCTGTCACATTAAAGACTTCGCCGAGCGTATCCTACAGATCTACGGAGACACCGAACCACTTAGAAAGAACTAGGTACAGGCTTTTATTAAGAGGAACCCTTTAGTTAAGGTCTAGAGAAGTAGAGCTATCGATTCCTAGCGTATTAATAGAGCCTTAGCTAATATAATTAGGTAATGGAACGGGGTCAGGCGGTCAGTAGGATATACCTACCACCTAACACACTGAACAGACGGCTTCAGTACCAACAGATCCCATCTGTTGGTCTGAGCAGACGAAGATCGTGGTACTGGTTATAAGAGCAAAGCTCTTATACGTCTGGTGCGCGAGTTGGTCGGATGTGCTTCTGAGACTCTCGTCGGAATGATTCTCAGAACAAGACGTCTGGCTCTGGAAGTCGAATTGAAGCTCTCACTAGCACTAGATTGCTCTGATTATAGCAAGATATAATCCTCTGTCATTGTCAAGGCTAGGATGAGGGCGGAATAATAGGATTTCGAAAGTAGTGTCTAAGTGCACGTAGGAATTAACCGCATAATTGAAGGGCTCGCTAACTAGAATAGAAAACAAAAGTCAAGTTGATTGAATAATATGATGAAAAGAGATGCCAAGTTGTTGAAAGTCGTCTGTCATCTCCGTGTCCCTTAAGAAGTGTGGAAGACAGGGGAGTCCTCCCTAGCCCCCGTCACCTACTTTCCTGACGTCCGGCCTGGCCCCACTACAGTAATAGTTTAAATACCTCGCTATCCCTAAGATTAAAGCTATTAAGGTCTCTAATCGATACAATATAGATAAGATAGTGTCACAAGAGGAGGACCAAGCCCCTAGGCCAATAGACCAAAAGATCTAGAAATGTCAGTGTTACTGACATTAGGTCCCACTAACTGCTATATATAGCACTATGTGGCTCTGTAATCGCCAGCGCTGTGACAATTATCCCCCGTCTATAAGGCTCGACCCCGAGACTCTTTAATAGACGTGTTAGCACTACTTGAACTCTGAGCCTCACGGACACTCTCCGGGCAATCCGGGCTTACGGGAACATCCCTCTACGGGAGTCTCCCTTTACTAGTGCAGGGACATCGTATCAGTCATTAAGACCCCCAAGCACAAGGCACACACATAGCAGAATACCGTCACATGTGTATAACCCCGCACTTATCAGCATACTTTAGGAGGTAGTTGTCGCTGTTGCGCACGGCCACAGTCTGCTAGGCCATACCTGGTCATGCCTCGGTATGCCTGCTTGTCGACCGTCTCGCATATGGCTGCACAACCACGATTCGAACCCTCTCGTCTATGACGAGGGCCGACACCCGTACACCGTTAACACTGACATAATTGTCACAAGAGGAGGACCAAGCCCCTAGGCCAATAGACCAATAGATCTAGAAATGTCAGTGTTACTGACATTGGGTCCCACTAACTGCTATATACAGCGCTATGTGGCTCTGTAATCGCCAGCGCTGTGACAGATAGGTATTCTAGAAGGTAGAGGATTAAATAGTCTTATTCTAGGATTATCTGAGACTCGTTCTATACGGAAGAAATAGCCTAGATCTCGAGCTTGGATATCTCTTATAGAGTATATCTCTACGACTAGTACTACACTACCCCTACTTATAATATATAAGGGGAAGTCTGTCTAGTAGTAGTAGTTTCCTCTAGACTTAACTCTATACTGAAACGGGGTCAGGCGGTCAGTAGGATATACCTACCACCTAACACACTGAACAGATAGCTCCAGTACCAACAGATCCCATCTGTTGGTCTGATCAGACGAAGATCGTGGTACTGGTTGCAAGAGCGAAGCTCTTACAAGTCTGGTGCGCGAGTTGGTCGGATGTGCCTCTGAGACTCTCGTCGGAATGATTCTCAGAACAAGACGTCTGGCTCTGGAAGTCGAATTGAAGCTCTTACTGGCACTGGATTGCTCTGATCAGAGCAAGATACAGGCTTTTGTCATTGTCAAGGCTAAGATAAGAGCAGAATAATAGGATTTCGAAAGTAGTGTCTAAGTGCACGTAGGAATGAACCGCATAATTGAAGGGCTAGCTAACTAGAATAGAAAACAAAAGTCAAGTTGATTGAATAAGATGATGAAAGAGATGACGAGTTGTTGAAAGTCGCCTGTTATCTCCGTGTCCCTTTTTGAAGTAAGGAAGACAGGGGAGCCCTCCTGTTAGGCAACCTTGGTGGGCTTTGCCAAGACCACCAAGGTTACCACGTGACTTAGCCCTTCGGGACTAAGTCCAATCTTCGTGCTCCATAGGACTAGATAGAATGTCATGCTTTTACAACCTCACAAATCTTTGACCACCTTTGCGTATAACACCTCCCTAGCCCCCGTAACCTATTTCCCTGATGTCCGGCCTTACCCCGTTACAATACCTAGCGGCTACTCTTTCGGAAAGTTCAAAAGGGCTTTGATAAGAAGGACTACTAGTTAGCTATCGTATAGCGAAAGATTAAGGTAATAGAGGTAGAGCTTAAGGCTAGTAGGGCTAGGAAGCGGAGGAAGGTTAAGATAAGCCCTAATTCGAAGTTTACTAATATCAAGGCTATTCGGAAGGCTCAAATCGAGGCTAGTGAAATTAAGGATAGTACAGATAAGTCTAGCGAGTCTGAAAACCCTAGTAACGGTGAAAGCTATATTATAGTCGTATCAGAATAAGTATAAAAAAGGTTAAAGTTAATAGTTATAATATATAGTATTATTTTTAGGGCATCCTATATGTGGGGGTGTCCCGGATGTGGGTGTGGGACGTTATCTTTTCCTCTATCACTTTCTCTACCTATTCTGTAATATCTTCAACAACCTCACTAGGTGTTTTCTGACGCTGGAGAAACTGTTGGGCCTCTGCCTGAATGAAATTATTCTCCGGGGTCTCCCTGCTGAATAACTTAGCCAGCTCTCGGATTCGTTCCTTGCTACATACAACCTTCACCACTCCACTCCATAAGGCCTGGGTTCTGCTTTTCCGCCTCGCTTAAAGTGTACAAACCCTTGAAAATATTTCAGCGCTGGATGGGGAAATGTGATCGAGCACAATCTTCTTATCGATACGTCACGGTCTGATCAAACCTCATCGAGACTGTCAGTGTTGTAGGCGTTCATGATCACAATGCGACCCTCTTTGGCAGCTGCGGCATCTAGAACATCGCAAAGGCCGTGAACTGTACAGTTGTACTTTCGGGGCCTCCCGTTTTTCTCTCCTCACAATACTTCCTGCCTTGAAACACGATCAATTCGAAGTGTTCGATCAAGACGATGTAGTGGCGATGTAGCGAGTTTAATAATGATCTAAGCCGGGCTGTGTTGAAGACTGTGGCTAGCTGGACAAGGTATAGCGGAAATTGGAATTGACTGACAAGCGAATAGATAAAGATGTCTTTCCGGTATTACGAAACAAGACGTCAATTATTCTTCGGTGCTTGGATATACCTGTTTTGAGAAAGGAGGCAAGTACCAGTCCCAGGCAGGCCCCAAAGTATAATTAACATCTGATGCGAAATGCCGCAGCATTAGTAACACACTCAGGTGTTTTTTGGTCAAGAAATCGGCTGATCTCGGCGACTAGGCCGGCTTTGCGGTCTCATCAGCGCAGATCATTTTGAGGGATCCAAGTCTCTCGTAGATTGCAGCGCCCCAGCGTTTGAACGGCTGGGGAGTGGTAACAGGGACCTAAGACTGTCTCTTATAGGCCGAGTATATTCGAAGAGAACAAGCAATACAAAAATATCCCTGCAAACTTTGGCGATGCTAACTATCAAGAAAACCACTTCCTTGTTCAAACATTTCGCTGTTGCTTGGGCGGTCAGATTCCTTAAACATGGATGGTATACAGCCAAAGATGCTCAGAACACCATATATCATCGCATACAGCATGAAGCGTGGAATCATAAACTTGAAAACAAAGTGCAAATACATTTCGGGACAGAAGGGGAGATACAAGCAGAGTAGCGATACTTGGCGACGACCGGATAGCATATAGAACATGGAAGCTGAAAAACCTCCATGATAATCTTCACGTTACATTTGCATCGAAATCATGGGGAAATACCTTGAGCAGCACCTCGTACACTGAAATTTTTGGACCTAGGGCAACATAAGGTATATCGATTTGTAACCGACCTACGGCATAGCAAATTTAGGCGGATAAAAAGTGATCTTCAGCAATGAAACACTGAACAAAATCTTCGAAATGAGTTATCGAGCATTAGGACCATACTGGAATCTTTTGCGAGGTGGTATCTACTTCAGGTTCAGCATCACATGGACAGATTGAAACTTGACAGGACGCAGGGGCAATGCCAACACTGGCTACCACTCGCATCGAACCGATCCTAATATATGCACGGCCTAAGTTCAGACTATATACATCTAAACTACTTGACACTCGGGATTCCTGCTACCAAGTCCCCTAGATTGGTGCCCCACCAGATCATCCAAAGAAACGGCAAAAGTATACACACATCTCTGAAACACAGCTGATGGAAGCCATCCAAAGTAGAATCAACGCCCGCAGGATGGCTATGTGGAAGACCCTTGTTATGACATAAAGTATTTCAGGCATACCTATTCCCCCACGAGAAATGTCCCCCAGCCCAATTGACATTCCAAAAATAGCCATTCATATTTCGTCCGAACTTCTTTCCAGTGGCCAATCGGCACTTGATATAAGCCACCAACTCCAACGAGCACCCGCAAGATAGATATAACAACCCAGATCCCATGGTGGCACGATCCCCTTCTACATCAAGTTTCAGCCCAATCGTATTTGTCTTATCCATCTAACAATCGGCAACCAGAGTTTCTCTTGTCGTCACATATGCAGCCTAACTATACAGTCATGGAACGGGACCCCTGCGTCTCGTATGGTCTCTGGTTTCATGCAAACTCAATCTGGGAATGCGTATATAGCTACCGACCCGCCTGACAGGCAAACTTGTCATTCAATCCTCATCCGTTTTTGTATGTGGGGTAATTAATAACACTAGTGAGAAACAATGACCTGTAAGTCACCAAATGACCTCTTCCCTCCCCAATATTGAACACAAACTCACTAACACTAAAGTCTTCAAATCAACGTCAGTTCATACCAACACAACCCCCCTCCCACGCGAAATAAAACGCGGCCCAGCCATTAAGCTCCTCCACACTCACGACTTCCTCCTTAAAACCCCACCGCACTTCCACAACTACCACGAACTACCCGTTCCCCTAGGACAGCGGCCCCCGGATCCCCACTTAACCTCCTCCATCCAACACGCAGCCGTGGCACCAACCCAGTACTACGAAGTGAAGTATATTGAACCAACCTTGTTGTCCTGTTTTACGCGCGGCGATAAGAAAGTGTGCTGCAAGGTCGCCGTGACGGATACGGGTTCGGGGATTTTCGTGCGGAGTACGAGGCAGAGGGGCGGGGTGTTCAGAAAGGGCTTTGGCGCTGGGATGACGGTTGTGGTGGAGCAGATCTGGGAGGTGAGGTATGCGGAGGAGAAGGAGTGGGATGGGTTGGAGTTGGTGGAGAGAGTGAGGGTGGAGGGGCTGGAGTGTTTGACTGGGGGTGTTAGGAAGAAGTATGAGGCGGGGTGGAGAGATGTGCACGAGAGCATTGTGAAGAGGTTGATGGTGCTGGACTTGGGGATGTAGAAAAATATGGGTTTAGCTGGACACGATGGGGTTAATGGGAACACGAAATAGGAGTTTGACGGGTTTGAGCGCTGTTGCCTTGGAGGTACCTCTTGGGTTAGACTTGTACACTCAAGACAAAATAATGCGCATATAGTGATGCGAGTGCATATGGGGTGTGAATTGTTGTATTGGGAAAGGATGCTAGGTCAGCTATTCTGGCTTGGCAGAGCTCTTTTATAGCTCTTATCTATCTTATCTATAACTATAGGGTAACCCCCCATGGGGTCACGTATCATGCGCATATAGTGAAGAATATATGAGACTTGAACGTATCAGGACTTATAGTAGATCACCTGAATCATCATTAAATCCATGGGTATCATCGCCACGCTACTTCACACACACGAGTCCAGCAAACCCTTGGCTCCACCTCAACCCCCCCATGATGGCAACCATAAGCGCCAACCCAGTCCCAACACTGGCCACCCCATAAACGTAAGCGCGCAATCTCCTCAACGCCGCCAGTTCCGCCACCCAAGTTGACACGGTAGTCAAACATCCACAGAACCCGTCCTCGATCCCCTGAAGGACCTGACACCCGACAACCCCGCCGTCAGGCACATGTGCGATATCCCACGCCGTGCCTAAGACAGCCGTCCCAAACATATTAACGGCAAAAGTACCCAACGGGAACGACGCCTTCCGGCCGTTGAGGTACATCGACACATAGAAGCGGAGTAGACAGCCCAGAGGCGCGAAGACGAGCGAAAAGGTTGCGCATCCGCGCCATACCTCGGAAGCGCCCGGGAGGGTGAAGCGGTCAGGTGGCAGGATGGAGAGGAGGACGGCGCCGAGCCAGGACCCCCAGGCGAAGAAGACGGCGATACGGTCGACAATCTTGCGGGTGAGAATGAAGGGAAGAGATGGCGTGATTGGTTCGAGGGCGATGGCTAGGTGCGCGCCGATGAAAAGGCCTGATAGAGAGAGGGAGACGGTGGTGATGATGACGGCGAGGACAGCCATGAACGAGTATCCGCCGTTGCGGGGCATTGTCGTGCTTTCCAATTTTGGCGTTGGCATGTCGTTGGAGAGAGCTAAGAAGACATCCCGGATGAAAGACGAGAAAGATGTGAATGACCCGCAGAAACCAGTCGCCAGACCGATGTAAAGTGGGATGGTCTTCTTAGTAACCATGTGAGCCTTCTTGGCCGCTGCGAGATCGAGCTCATCTCCCGTAGAGCTAGAGTCGCCGGTTTCTTCGTCAACACGATGAGCTTGGTGTGCTTTCGTGATTTGCGGATCATGTGTCGGCGTGCCCCATTCATGACGAAAGAGCATGCGGTCCTCGGCCAGAAAGCCCATGACCAAGCTTCCGGCGAAGTTGGGCCATACTGAGCTGAAAGGGACTGGAGCTCCGGGGTAATATGTCAAGGCTTGTAAGCCGAGTCGGGCGAGAGTGCCGAGTATGGAAAACAAGATGAGGTACGAAATGGTGTAGATCTGCGTCGCCAGTCTCGAGATTTCGAAGTCTTTTGTTTGATCCTCCGCGGTGACTACCGGTTCTGCGCCAGCGCGCCCATGCGAACCGTCTTGGTGAGATTGCTGGCGTCGTAAGTAGTCCTGGTCACGACTCTTCGACTGCTCCAGAGACTCGTGTCTGTAGATGGCAGCTTCCTCTGGATTTTGAACTGGAGGGATACCAGCAGCCTCAGCAGCATTCAGATAGGAGCCCGGAATATCGTAATCAACTCCTGCGGTGGATAGACGGCGCTGTGGCATATTGACCTGTCCGTGGGAGTCTTTCGACCGGGACGGTTTGATCGAACCAGCTGGAGAATAGACTGTTTGCCCAGCCGACAGTGCAAAGCATTCCTCTCGTGAGATGTGCCGCTGCATCGGCTCTTCATCTGGATTTTGGATGGATGGCTCTGCATATACATCGTCGATTTTTTGGAGTGAATATGGAATATCGGATTGAAGTGAGGGTCTGATGGTTTTGTTTTCGTTCCAAGACGTTTGAGAAGTCGGAGATGCTACGGGATGCTTTCGCTGCACATCAGGCGATGAAGATATATAATGGCGTCCGGTTTTTTCTTGATGCGACATCGTCCCCCGGTGAGTTCCTCGGTGAGGGAACATGACCTCCATCCCGTGTCACCGGCAGGTCGCAAATCCAACCGGGGGGGCACGTCCGACCAATGCGATTAGTTCCTGATCGTTGTATCTTGGCTCTCTCGTATATTGGCCTGCGGAAGAATCCCGCGTATCGCTTGGCACCCAGAGTCGGAGCTGTTGGCCATGCGATACAGACTTGTAAGTTGAGAATCAAGGTCGAGTTTCGTCTTGGCAGAACTTGTCGGCCAGTCCACCCATCCCCGGTGATCTTTGTCCAGTGGAGCCCACTGCTGGAATTGTCCATGCTAGGTGGACACTAGGCAAGTACTCCAACAAGCGCTATCATGATGCTTATCATCAAGTAATCCACTAACAGCCCCAGCTTAACAAAAGGTTTAGATTACCCTGGACGGCAGCTTATCGCGCCCAAGCTCCCCGCATCGGTCGTGAACTGTACTTGCGCTTGCAACGAGCCCAATGGACTGTTTGTTGTCTGCTGATTGCCATAATCGGGTGCCCGACATCGCATTAGACAGATCTCACCTACACCCTAGAATCGTTGTTCGTGTCGACTGTGCTATCTAGTCGTGATATGCTGCTGTGATAACCGGTTCTCCTGATATCCTCCTTTATCCTCTCACCATGTCTGCCACTCCCGATCTTCCCGCGAATGTTCATGTGTCGAACCACCCATGTCTCCGCGCAAAACTGAGCCTGCTCCGGTCGAAGAGCACTCAGGCAAGAGATGCGAAGGCGTTGGTTAACCAGATCTCGACCATAGTTGGCTGCGAGGCTTTTGCTTCGGCGCTGACTGCAGTCGATGGACCTAAAGTTAGGAGACCCTCTGTGCCTCGAAAAGACGCTCAATATCGCTGTGTTCCGCCCCCTAATCAAGCCCGTGAACTCTGCTGATGTTTTTATAATGACAGGATGAGACCCCGATAGGCTTCGAATACACAACTACGAACGTCGAACCCCAAGAGCTCTCCCTAGTGCCCATCCTTCGATCAGGTTTAGGCATGGTAGAAGGTCGGTTCCGCTTTCCCCTCAACGTCGTCGTGCCACCTCACATGCCTGTTTGTTTCCAATGCTGAATTAACCCTCCCAACAGCAATTCAAACCCTCCTGCCCAACCCGATCCCCGTCCACCACCTGGGCCTCTACCGCGAACCCTCGACCCTCGACCCCGTCGAGTACTACAACAACCTGCCCCACCACATCGCCACGGGAAACTCAGGAAGTTCTGCCTCCCGCTTAGCCATCATCCTCGACCCCGTCATCGCCACGGGCGGCACTTGCGTGGCTGCCATTCAGACCCTGCGCGAGTGGGGCGTCAAGCGGATTGTGGTGTTGAGCGTCATCGCCGCCGTCGACGGTATCCGAAGGGCCGCCGCCGAGTGGCCTGACGCTGTCGAGATCTGGGTTGCGGGGGTTGATGCCGAGCTTACGAAGGATGGAATGTTGAAGCCGGGCGTGGGGGACGTTGGGGATAGGCTATTTTTGACTATTGGGAAATGAGGGATGTTGCAAGATATTGATTAATGGGTTTGTTTGTCAGGGGCCGTCGATTGGTGGCAGTACGCTCTCAAGTGAGCTGCGCCCTGATACAGAATCCTAGCGGTGTTGAAAGAGCTCCAATTTATTTCGCCGTACGTGTGAATCCGAAAAGGGCAGATTGTCTTGCCTGGGATCTCGCAAATTGGTTCGCAGGATAGTTTAGTTACGTCAAGTACGACGAATGCTGTAGTACTCCACGTAGAGTAATACATGATTGGGTTTGTGCCCTATAATATCCGTCTCACGTAAGTCGATATTTACATAGGTGCATATCTTTCCTCGTCGAGCAACGTCGACTCCTTCCAACAGTCCTCGATCCACTTCTGCGAGGTAACGTGCGGGATCCGTTGTCTGCAACTGATAACTGAACGAACTTCGGCAGCCAGTTCCCTCTCACTCGTGCCATCGCTACTGATGACCACAACAGTAGTGATCGACTCATCGTCCAGATCCTCTGTGATCCTTCCCCCACCAAACTTCACCCAGTTCTCCAGCTTCAAAGCAGTGCTGGACGAAACATCCAAGCCCCTCGCAAAATACACCACTAGCTTCCTAAACAAATGACCCTTCAACCCCCCAAAGTCATGACCGTGCTCTTCCAGCTGCTGCAAAAAGCCCAACTTGTTAAAGGGCTCGTAGATGATTTCGTGCTTGGGCATATCAGCCAGCAGATTTCTCAACTCCGAAACGTCCAGGTCTCGCGCATAGCTGTCGCCAAACTCATCCACGTTCTCCGCGGCCCATTCTTTGAGAGCATCGCTGACGTGGAACAAGTGCCTCGGCTCCTCGGGTAGTAGGAAGTTCTGCGCTATGCAATCCAGTACCCAATTCGGCTTGAGGACATCCACGTCGCCTGCTTTGATCATACTTGCGACCTTGACCACCTTCTTTTCGCCAATCAGACGCATGTGGCTACGAGGTATGGGTTGCTGTGAAATGATGCCGCCATTCTGTTTGATCAGGGTCTCCAGCTGCGACTTGGTCTTCTTCGGTGCAGTTGACTCTGTGAGAACGCAGAGTTCGAGACCTTCGAACACTTTGCTTCTCGGGCCATCGAACTCAGCTGGCGCTGCTTCCTGCCCAGCGATGACAATCTCTTTCTTGGTCCGCTTAGTCGGCCTTCGGCGGGTTTCCATCTCCATAGCCTTCGACTTGTTCATCTCGTCGGCATGCTTCTTCAAGTTGAGGAACTCTCGGTAGTCAAGCGCCGAGTCCCATGACTTGTCAAGACGCAGCCCTTTGAACCTGGGAAACCGCAGAGTTATACCCCTGGCGAACTGTTCGGAGCTACCAGCGCTGGCCGCTTTCACCGAGATGACGACCGACTCGCTCGGCCGTATCCAGACATCGGGCTGTTCGGCTTGTTTTTCAACACCACTACCAAGCTCAATGTAATTTGTAGGCGGGTTCTTCCGATCCCACTCATGCCACTTCCCTTCTGTGTGGTGTCGGATTTCCGCGTAGTCTTCGGCGCGGAATCCACCACCGACTTTGCAGAAGCTGTAGCATTTCTCAGGATTGACACCCTTGATGGTGATGTCGTTCTCATCAGCTCGGAGGCCGCACAAGAAAGAAGAAAGCCTACCTCCACGGTGCCCAGATCCGTAGTAACCGCCAATGATCACCACGTCGACGGATTCGCCGAAGTCATTCAGGTACTCGGGCTTCACCTTGATCCAGTCATCGTTTCGGCTGTTGAGTCTGTACATTGAACGTGGGTTTTTCAGCACTAGCCCCTCAGAGGCCTCGGCTACGACTTTTCGCAGCTGAGGCTCGATCTCATCTGGTGATGTCGCTGCGAGGTATGGGTGGATCTCAAGTCTTCGATGGACTCCTGGAACTGCCTTTGCTAGCGCATTACGACGGTCTCGCAGTGTGTACTGGCTGAGACATTGGCCATTGAGGTGTAGTATGTCGAACACGCGAAACAAAGGGCGTGCTCCGTTTTGACTGTAAAGTTTCTTCTGCTCTGACAGCGCTGCTGTCTTTAGAGTTCCAAAATTCATGATCTTGTCGAGTTCCATATCCCATGTGACCATTTCGCCGTCGAGAATGAGGTTTCGCACTCCTGGCGCAAATGCATCTTTGAGATGACAAGAAAGTGCAGATTTCTCGTCCTCGAAGTTGCTACCGTATAAATAGGTGTAGTCATGGCCTTTTCGCGATGCGAAGAAGAACTGGAAACCTCCAGGACTGTTGGAATCTTCCTTCATGTGCATTTGCATTCGTTCTCCGTCCAGCTTCTCCTCAATCCAGTACTCATTATCATCCTCTAACGGGTTGGCTCTAGTGAGGCTGTCGACCATCTTTCGGAAAGAGCCAGAGAATTGGAATTGTGCCAACTGCGGCTGAAAGCATTGCATGATATGCACGTTGGTCTCTTCTTGATTGAGCCGATATGAAGGGTCTGAGAGCTCCCAGCATACTCTGCGCAGGCTTGAAGAGACGCTGAACAGAGCCTCGGCATCCGGATGCCAGATATCGAAGAAAGTTCTCTCAGTGGCACCCACTTTCATGAACTTCAGAATGATGCGGATTAGCCACATCAGCTCCTCTGGGTTCATTCTCTGGTAGAAAATCTCAAAAATGGGAAGCTGCTCCTTTTCACCGGATGCAGCAGACAGTTTGTCGAGCCATTCGTTGACTTCGGCGATGCGCATGTCGCCCACTTCGGTTCGCATTGGTCTTTTGGACAGAACGTCATAACACCTCCCGGCGAAGTCCCCGGCCATGCGACTCGCCGCTGACTGTCCCGGTAGCTTCCAGTGCAGCAGATTGTAGCCATCTTCGGAGTTCTTGTCGATCTTCATGATCTTGACCAGAATCTTGCCGATATTGTTTTCCTTGAGCCCGTATACGCCTCTGTCACGGTCCTGGTTTGGGATGATGAGGCGCAGAGCAGGGTAGAAGTCGTCGCCCACCTCGGCGCGCCACCTGGAGATGAAACGCTCGACGATGATGCGGCGTTGCTCCTGGGGAGACATCTTGGATGGGCCATGAGGACCAGTCTTTGCCCGACTAGTTGCGGGCCCCGTGGGCTGTTTCTTATTGTTGTTCAGCGGATTGAAGAGGCATTCGTAAAGCTGGGAGAACAACAGCGTTTTTGAGTGGTTCCTCGGCCTATTCGGATACCTAAAGGAAACGTGAGCATCAATGTTCTAATATGGCTTCAGCATCCTCACTTCTTGTCAAGTTCCTCCAGGGTTTGACCACCGGTGGTGTATTGACGCAGCTCTTCATCTACAGCGCCAGGATCGCGGCCTCGTTTCCTTTGTTGACTCATGTCGTCCCTAAGATGGTGGAAATTGAAGTGGTAATCAAATACACTTATAAGTGCACTAAATGACGAGGAGGACGGTTCTGGAGTTGAAATCCATGTGCTCAGTAAGTTAAAAGTCCTTCCTTGACATGTATTCGGGCCAATATTTTACTGCAAATCCCGGGTATCTAATTAAAAGCTCCAGCACTAAGCCCGTTTGAAAGGTTAAAAAGTTATCTCTGGTGAGAGGCTGTTAAAAGCTATGTATTAAGCAATGCAGCCTAGAGTTACTGCTGCCTGCTGTCTGCTAACTGTGCCCCGCAAATGCAAACAGGAGCTATGAAGCCACCGTGAAATTGAGCCTTTTCATTCGCCTCGACTTCGAAAAGCAACAAAGTGGCAAAACTTCGGTGCTTAACGACGCGGACGCGCCACAACGCGACTCCCTCAACTTGGGCAACCGTCTACTTTGGGATGAGCAGCTCCTGGCCTTGACGACGTTCAATGCCCCTCCAAATGACACTCCAGCTGTCTCCGACAACTTAATGAATGCTGGGTTATTACGCGTTCTGCCTTCAAGACCTTCTCTCGCTCGACAGCGTCTCCTTCGATTTACATTTCTAAAAGCCTACTCTCCTCATGCCTCCCCGGGGTACCTACCAAGTCGAATCGCGCCGCTACTTTGCAATATGTTAGGAAGGGCCGCACAGAGACACCAGGCAACGGTTCCTCCACCCTCAAAAAAGCCTGATCTTGGAAAGCAACTGTTCCCATCGAGCAGTCCCGCGACTACTGATGGCAACATTGCTGAGTGGGCCAAGAAACCGTCGAGTTCGAGTTGGGGGTCTTTGAAGGCAGTCGAGCCCTTCAAGGCCAAATCTGATGATTCGCAGGGCCCCTCTAGACCGAAAACTTCAATTGCTAGTTTCGCCCGACCAACGAGCCAACTTGCATCACTATTCAGCCAGGCAAATTCATTCAAAGAGGAGCCAGAGCCAGAAAACAGTGGTCGGACGGTTAGTTCAGTCTACATTGACGAGGGCGACTTCAGTGATGATGAAGATCTTTCATTGGACTACTCCTGCCCGGCTTCTATGCCTGCCCTGCCACCTGCTCCGAAACTTTCGAGAATGACACCCATGAAGAGACCCGAAGCACCGTCTGCACCTTCGCCTGCTACCGAACTACCCACCAGTGATATTCCGTGGTCCTCGTCACCTCAGGAGCACCACTACCCTCCGCCCACAAGTCGTAATCCGACTCTGAAACGCGAGTCGCCTACAAATTCTGCACCTATACCTGTGGTTAAAAGACGTAAGCTGCCAGATAACTTCATTAAGAAAGCGGAGGGGCCTACCAGACCGGTAGCCACGCCGGCGAAGACCAATTTGCCATGGGACACGACACATAACGCAGTAAAGGAACAGAAGAGGCACTTTAAAAGTCAGACCAGGAAGTCGGAACCAGAGCTTTCTATGGAGGACATCCGGTCCGCTATGGGTACACGCAACAAAGTCGAGAACTCTGCTATATCATTAAGTACGGAGCAACAGCATGTCCTCGAATTAGTCACACAGAAGAAGCAGAGTGTGTTTTTCACTGGTCCCGCCGGAACCGGAAAGTCTGTCTTGATGCGCGCCATCATCGCTGATATGAAGAAGAAATGGGCTCGCGACCCCGAGCGATTGGGTGTCACTGCGTCGACTGGGCTGGCTGCATGCAACATCGGCGGAATGACTCTACACAGTTTCGCCGGCATTGGCCTTGGGAAGGAGGATGTGCCAACCTTGGTGCGAAAGATCCGTCGGAATCCAAAGGCCAAGAACAGGTGGTTGAGAACTAGTGTTCTCATTATTGATGAAGTCTCCATGGTTAGCGACACCCTACTTTACATCGCAGGACTACCTCCTCGATGGGCACTGCTTCCGTCTAATTTCCATGAGCGGCCATTCCGACTTCGGGGTTTTCAGGGATAAGCACCAGCTGACACGTAGGTATATACAGGTGGACGGTGACCTTTTCGACAAACTGGCATCAATCGCCCGCACCATTCGGAACAATGGACGTCCATGGGGTGGAATTCAGCTTGTTATTACTGGCGATTTCTTCCAACTGCCCCCGGTACCCGACGGCCATGGCAAGAAGACGGAAGTAAAGTTTGCCTTCGAGGCAGCAACATGGAACACATCAATCGATCACACCATTGGCTTGACCCAAGTCTTCCGTCAACGAGATCCTGGTAAGTTCCCTGTGAAGCAATGCGATTGGCACATAGGCTAACCTAGTCCAAGAATTTGCCAATATGCTGAACGAGATGCGCCTGGGCAGAGTCAGTGACAAAACCGTTGAAATCTTCCACGGCCTTCAAAGACCAATCCATTTTGATGACGGTCTTGATGCGACTGAATTGTTTCCAACCCGACAAGAGGTCGAGAAATCAAACTACATACGTTTGCGCAATCTGTCGGGTGAGCTCCACGTGTTTGAGGCAGCCGACTCTGGAGACGCCAGTGTCCGAGACAGGTTGTTGCAGAACATGATGGCACCTCCCAAAATCGAGCTCAAGAAAGGCGCACAAGTTATGCTGATTAAGAACATGGACGACACACTTGTCAATGGGTCGCTTGGCAAAATCAAGGGTTTTATGACCGAAGGTGCATTTGAGATGTGGAGTGGTGCGCAGGAGGCATTAGACGACCGGGCGGAGGATGACAGTGCAAGGAAGAAAATCAAAGCATTCAGTCGAGTCGCCGATACGATGAAGGACATGAAAGAATACCCACTGGTCCAATTTACAGGGACAGATGGAAGCCATCGAACCTTGTTGATCATGCCAGAAGAATGGAAGGTCGAGCTGCCGAATGGTGAGATCCAAGCACAACGCAAACAGCTACCCCTCATCCTCGCCTGGGCACTGTCGATTCACAAGGCCCAGGGTCAAACATTGGGACGCGTGAAGGTTGATCTTAGTAGGATATTTGAGAAGGGTCAGGCTTATGTGGCGCTCAGTCGAGCGACGAGCAAGCAGGGCTTGCAGGTGCTGGGTTTCAACAAGGCTAAGGTCATGGCCCATCCGAGAGTCATTCAGTTTTACAACAAGCTCTACAGCGCTGAGACGGCCCTCAACAAGAAGGCGCCAGCAAAGATTTCGGACTTTGTGTCAAAGGGGCCTTCAAGGTCGAGGATTGTTCGCTATAATAAGCTCCATGGCGCCGAGTCGGCCCTCGAGCAGAAGACGCCAGCAACGATGTCGGACTTTGTGTCGAAGGAGCCTTCAGGTTCGACTTCGTCGGCTAGAAAGGGGGCAGAGGTTATTGATCTTGATGAAGAGGAGGCGATGGCGGCGTACGGCTAAACGGAATTACGGCTGCATCTGAAGGAGTTGGCAAGACATGATTTCAGCCCATTTACTATTCGAGGTTTGGCGTGTTTGGGAAAATGCACTTAGACTTGATAGTTTACCACCATGGAAACCGCGTCTGTTCGGCATTGTTCGTTGAATGAAATATCTATTCTCGGACGAGGACGCCAGGCCTTGAACGGTGGCATACCCAGCGGGGATACACAGGTTGGTTGGTTGGATGCTGCGCAACCACAATGGACTAATTGTTGTCCTGCCTAGGAGTTCAGTGCAGTCGATGTGAGCACCTAGGTTAGACTAATTGTGTGAGGCTGACCAGCAAGAAAACGATGGTGATATATGGATATCTATATTCAATGTCTCTATAGTGACCGTTTCTTGAGCCTCCGACAGTCCAGTCGACATTTCCGTCGCTTTGGTGCAATTGTTCCGTGTTTTTCTATCCCTTCCCCTCTTCTGCCATATCCCGTACTGCGCGCATCATTTCTACTAGAGTGGCACTTACAGTTGCACCCATTTTGCTGTTTACTCCTGTCTGCAAAATCCGGAAAATCTTCGATCTGGATAGGGCGGTAATCTCAACGCCTTGACACAGCTTCCTGCTTCACTGAACAGATCAGGAACCGACCTTGTGCCACTTAATCTTCGCGAGCATTGTAGTCCGCGATTAATGCAAGCTACCCAACAACCTGACCTGTGTCAAACATCAGGTAGCATGCAAACTGCTAGGCTACTTTTAATAGCTTAGGATAATCATCCACTAAGTGAGGGGGTTCCTACCAAATTGAATAACCAGTCGCTGGTTTTTCTTCACTTCGCAATGCACTGACACCTCTCGTGAAGGTGACCACTTCTCCGAGGGGACTTCTCTTGCTGCATGCTAGGCGCAACCTAAGAAACGTCCTACGACTATGTGCCTTAATATTTACACCAACCCGTAAACCTTTGGCATATCCTATAACAATCTTCCCAACAGACGAGGCCCAGTGGTATTCAGCACTAAAATAATATACCCTGCTCCGCTCACTATTTAAGTAGATATAATCTTTTTACTACCTCAATATGTCTTATCCTGCATCTAAAAATGTTTACTCGAAACATTTTTGGAGTACTTTAAACATTTTACATTACGTTTATTCCGTATATATACAACTATCTGTCAGCTAGTGTATTACCAGCAAAATAACTATACTTTCCAGAGACAAGCCATGACCAATGATCCCAGATTCCTCAGCATAGATTCACTGAGGCCATACTTTCATGCCAGTCTCTTCCTAGATCACCTGGGGCAATTAATCCGAGCTTCCACTCGCGGTATATTCTTGACCTCTGTAGAACGACTACACGATGTATACAAAGTTTTGTGAGTGTTTCAGGGTGAATCCAGTCTCAAGGTGAAATTTGCAAGTGTTACTTCTACAATGGCCAGAATCCGTGATAGGTTGAGAACAAGAAACATCTACAGGAAATGCTTCCTCAAAGCCTTGCGTTGGATTCCAACAACAAACCCAGGGACCTACGCTGCTTCGCACATTCATAACCTCACCCAAGCACAATTATAACAATGATCACTTGTGATCAAACAGCGACCAAGACTGACATAACTTTCCTCCTCTCAAGGCTACTCGCCGGCATAACCCCAACCCCCAACCTCCGCCAATAGCCCTCATACGTCCATGACTACCCCAAAGCATTCCTAATTTGAACGGTAGTAGACAATTTGACGTTATAAAACACCATCCACAAGGTCTACAAGTGTCAGAGGTGGTACCTGCGCAGCGACCACTACTTATTTCCAGACCAACAACACTAGCCTAGCTTTCTTTCCTCACCACAATACATCACTTCTATTGTGTGTCCCTCAACAACAAGTGACTTTCTGTTCCCAGAAGATGATAATTGGACCTACGCACAAACGAAGAAATGTTCCAGGACAGGGTCGTCTCTGACAGCATCCCTCACTAGAACGTAAAGAACTACGCCAATCCGATGCGCCATGAGACTCAATGTCACGTTGCCCTAGTCTTTTATGCTTTCAATACAGAGTTCAAGTTCGTTAACGGGTCCAGACTCCGTTTTGCCTTTGATGTCAATCTACTCATGGCCGACCAACCCATTTTATTGGTTGCGCGACGATGTATAACAATCCTCGGGACCTGGGCCGCACAGAACGGAGAAGTATACTTATATGCGGACCTCCTGGTAGAACTGGCAATTTATTAACAAGTTCAGAACCATTCTAACCCTTGATATGTGTTTATAACACCGATTTGCGCTTACGAAGTCAAGTCATACATAGTGTTACGAACCGTTGGCCCTGAACCAACATTACAGGCCCGTCGGCAGGCTAGGTGGATACAGACGCTAGGATCACGGGACCCCACATCGGAGGAAGGAAAGGACCGGTAGGTCACGTGATCTACAGGGTTGGATATGTTGGATATGTTGGATATGTGGGACAGCCAACATATCCAAATGATCCAGAAGAAATAAAAAAAAAATATTAAATACGCCGTAGGTGTTAACCCTCGGTACCTCTACAAGTACTCCCTTAAGGGGTGTGAAGGTCAACCCTCGCAGACTCACTACAACCAGGTGACTTACAGCTGGAACACCTGCCGTGGCAGTGCCAGATGGGAAGCCAATCATAACCCTTGTAGGAGCCCCGCCAAGCGTGGATGACTTAGTCGCGCTCCCTCAAACCTAAGTTGTCATCTTCTTTCCTTCGCTCCTTAGAGTAGAATCTTCGTCGATAGCACCTAATCGAGGTCTCTACCAATGCGATGCAACCCAGGTCGTGACAAGGGGCTATAGATGATATAGCGGGCCCTTAAGCCGCGTCGGGCGGTTATACAGGTAAACTTGTAGCCAAACGACTACTAAACCTCCTGTCCCTCCCTAAGTCTGTGCTACAACCCCTGCCTGAACTACCGATAAGTGTGGTAATGTGGCACTTAAATTCGTCCTCAGGGGTGGGATGCTGCTGATGTGCAGAAGATGCTCGACTATTTTTTGTCGCGACAAGTCGTAGTATCTGCTAATTGGGGTTCTCGTCGAGCGTATACATCTCAACCATACGCTCAAGTGGATAGACCGTAACGTGGTCTAGACGCTCGCAAGAATCGCGGCGAGAGGGGGTCCGATAAGGGGTCGGATTAACGATTCGAATTCTGGACCGGCTGTCGAGTTATATTCCGCCGACGTAGTGCTTGACGGTCGACTGGCTAGGATGCTCGTAATCCTAAACTGCACCAATCTCCCTATTATCGCTAGGTAGGCGAAGTCAACAAGGTGGGCAGCGCGCCGTAAGGGTTGACTAAACCCTAGAAGAAATAACAGGGGTGGATATGTTGGACAACCAACATATCCAAGTGGGGATCAGTGAAGGAGAGATGGGCATATAAGGGACAGGACTCCCAGGAATTTCATAGATATACAGTCTCTACTTCAGTGATCAATCTAAGCATCAATCTAACCCATTGGTGAGGCAAACTGCCTTGACGACTCTATTCCCAGTTACCCTACTCGAATACTTCAGTTACCCAGAGCCCGATACTCCATACGTCAGACCCCGATATTATTGCTAAAGGACTCCGCAGCAGGACTTACTTACTAGCACAAACCCTTACAGACTCTTTAGTGGTTTACGCAGCTAGACTATTAGAGATTTCGTTGCACATAGCCTAGTACACTATATTGGAACCCTATAACTTCCTGAGTAAGGGTTAGGATTAACTACCTTTTTAGGGATTACTATCTTAGAGGCTTATATTCGAATTTATCCTAGATATACTGTAACGAAACCTCTAATAGTCTAGCTGCGTAAACCACTAAAGAGTCTGTAAGGGTTTGTGCTAGTAAGCAAGTCCTGCTGCGGAGTCCTCAAGCAATAATATCGGGGTTTGACGTATGGAGTAGAGTGCTTTGGGTAACTGAAGTATTCAAGTAGGGTAATCGGGAATAGAGTCGTTAAGGCAGTTTGCCTCACCAATGGGTTAGATTGATGCTTAGATTGATCACTGAAGTAGAGACTGTCTATCTATGAAATTGTCAGGTTACGGCCTGGACCGAAGGCGATAGTACAGAGTGAAGGGGAGAAATAGGCGTGTCCCCCTGGTGGTCACCTGGTGGTCACTGGTGGTCACCTGGTGGTCACTGGTGGTCACCTGGTGGTCACTGGTGGTCACTTGGTGATGGCAGGTAGGGGTGTCCACAGTAGTTCATTGATCTCTGCCCTCTCTATCTTCCTTCGTCTCGACTCCTTACTTATAGCCAGCCGAGGTTCTCTCTTGGATTCTGGATGTTTGCTTCCGTATGTCTGTGTTCCTCCGACTTCGGCCAATATCTTGGATAGCGGCTCCTCATTCGCCACAAACGGCTTCCTTCCTGGTGGAAGCCGGCCCGCCTCGGATGACACTTGTGGCTCTGACAGAAATGCCTGGGAGTCCTGTCACTTATATATCCATCTCTCCTTCACTGATCTCGTTGGATCACTCCTATTCTTCGTGATCCGTCACGTGACCTTCTCTAGTCGGTCCGTCCTTCTTCCGTTCCTATCTTCTATCCTTGTTTCCGGTCCTTTCCTGCAGGTATCCACCTAAGGCCTGCCAACGGGCCTATTCTGTGTTGGTTAGGAACGTGGTTCGTAACATATACTTTATCCTAAAAACTAGTAGAATTCGCTTTTCTAGGTTTTTCTTAAGCCCTTTTTGGAGAGTTTAGAGAGGGAGGTAATATGAGAATAAGTATCAAGGCGTTATATCTTCTATAGAACAAATTTCTTATCCTAATTAGACATAGTCGTATCTAGTACTAATGAATTAGGAATTTCCTTTGAAAGCAGTAGATTGCTACTATGCGGTATATTAGTTAACGATGTTAGGATTTTAAGTAGTTTGATTTTATTTTGATGTCATTTGTATTTACCTTTCCAGTCTCTCCTGTACCTTGAGTAGGGCTATTAAGGTAGTGTTAGGCAACCTTGGTGGGCTTTGCCAAGACCACCAAGGTTACCACGTGACTTAGCCCTTCGGGACTAAGTCCAACCTTCGTGCTCCATAGGACTAGATAGAATGTCATGCTTTTACAACCTCACAAATCTTTGACCACCTTTGCGTGTAACAGGTAGTATTCTATTTTAGACTGTTTAAACTATCATAGGGAAGATTCTTTAACTACTATAGGTAGTATTAGCGGTAGTTAGTCCAATCACTCCCTTGTGATCTTGAGGCGAGACTCTGCACATGCCACATCCCACGCGACTCCCAGGATCAAGTGGAGCAAGAGCATGTGACACGCCTGTCTGCTGCTATCGATAAGAAAAGCTTAGCAAAGCTAAACTACTGGAGAATCGACAGACGGCGATGCATCAGAAGCTTTGGACAGTTGAGGAATTCCATCCCACTTTACCACAAACACGATCAGCTCCCACGTGGACGATTGTGATCTCCATGAATACGCCGCTGACTTGATCTGTCTGTCGAGCGGGTGACAGGACACACGGCATCATCGCAGTGGAATAACGCAAAAGTCGTCGCCTCCTTTGCCACTATTCCTCCAGGATCGACCCTGGAATCAACCTGCAATAGAGGTGAAATAATAGTGGAATAAAGGCAAAAGAACACTGGTCATCCTAAGCTGTCTCAAGGCTGTCCCAGGTTGTCCCACTGCGTCATCCCAGAAAATTCCACTGGCCATTCGTTCTTGCGCCCGCAACGACCAGACATCACGGCCAGTCAAGCTTCGCAACCGCAACAACCTGTTCCTCGGCAATCGTTCAAGATGGCAGACATGTTTATAGGGGTTCGGATGACCGTGGTACTCCGGTCTGGCTATTCCATGACTGGAGTAGTTGCTCAGATCATCCCCAATCAAGTACTGGTTCTGCATCAGGTTCATTCCAATGTAGGCCAGTACGCTGAGACGGTACACATCGACCCGAACGATATTGAAGATATCTTCGATTCCAGCAGAATGCCTGCTGTGACAAACCCCTCGGGGGCCGGTCCGCTGGGTTTCACAGCACCCTCCGCCAATGCCATCCCTGCGCCGATCGTTCCTTCCTCCAATACACCAACATTCCAGGACCCTGCAATTCTTAGTATGGGACGGCGTCCTGGACCGAATATCGGAGAAAAGAGAGACCCTACACCGCCAGCCATCACGAAGATCACCAGCCTTGTTAAAACTCTGGAAGAGGCGCCAGGGAACGACCAACATACACCTATCAAGCGCCTTGAGGAAAGCTTGGGTAAGTTAAGCATCGTGCCTCCGGGGCCAGAGACGGGACCAGAGACGGGACCAGAAGCGGAAGTGACGCCGACAGCGCCCAGCGCTCCGGGCGCAAGACGGAAGACACGCCGCAAGCAGAAGGGTAGTCGAAGCCAGCCTGAAGGCGAGAATACGCCCGTCACAGTCAAGGAAACTGATGAAGCGGGGGGCCAAGGAGGCTCTGGCTCTGGGTGGAGGCAAACACCGATTCTACAGGTCAGTACCCTGCCCCTTTATGGCAACCACCGTGGTAATTTGCCAATTGCTCATGTGGGAATTCAGTCGACCAAGTCATTCCAGCCTTTCGCATCCCTTAAGAGGGGTCAGAAGCCGAATGCTGATGGCTGGGCCTCGGAGGATGTCACCGATGTTCAAGGCGCTGGCGATTTCGACTTCGAGGGTAATCTCACCAAGTTCGACAAGCGAAACATATTCCAGGAGATGCGCCAACAGGACAAGGTTGATGATGCTGAGCGCCTCGTATCCCACAATCGTCTTCCGCGCTCGAAACCTGGTACCGCCGGGGGAAAGAATCTACACTACTCGGAGAACGTCCTAGATATGCCATCAACTTCGTCGGCCGCACAGGCACCGGGGTTAGTATCGAAGCTGAAAGAAACCCCCGACGACTTTTGGAAAAGCGAAGCTGATGATACTAACATGAATGGAGGGGAACGACTGAGTGGTAGAGAAGGCAGCGGGCGAAGTTCACGCCTTAGGGGGGAATCTCGAATGTCGACGAGACGCTCCCGGTCCCGGAAGGCGAGTGCCACGCAAAGTATCCTTGGGCCCAGCAGAATCAACTCGGGCCAGCCGCCTCCGGCTACAGCTGAAGGTTTCTATTCTATGGGTTCAAGTCGACGGGTCGAGACAGTCACCCATCTGCAAATGCTTAATCTTGAGAATATTGCGCACAATGAGATGGGTCTGACTGAAGATCTCATGGCCGAGAATGCTGGGCGGAGCATCGCCGAGGTTGCCCTGTCGGCCCTCAACGATCCAGCCGTAACACTTCGTAACGCTGCCGCTTCCCCTGGGCCAAATACGCCTACTATCGTCGTCATGGCGGGAAACAACAAATCAAGTGTACGTGCCATCTCAGCTGGACGTCATCTTCGAAACCGAGGCATTAATGTCCTTGTTTGTGTGGTCGGCATCGAGCGAGAAAAGGACCTGATCGAAGAGGTCCAGAAGCAGATTAGGCTCTTTCGCAATTTCGGCGGCGCTGTGCTCTCCAAGACGCAGCTTTTCAAGCAGCTCAGCAAGGCCACTACGAGCCTCAATTCATCGCCACAGATCTCTGTCACCCTTATCGTTGACGCTCTTCTCGGACTCTCGATCGCTTTCGAGGAATTACGCAAGAGCGATCAAGCTAGTACCTACGAATTGATGGAGTGGGCCAATCGCAACGAGGCCTTTGTTATGGCTGTTGACGTACCCAGTGGAATAGATCCAACAGCCGGAAAGGTTAACATCATCGACGGCGCGAGGCTTTACGTCCACCCCCGATACGTAATTGCTCTTGGGGCGCCGAAACAGGGACTGCTGAGAGCAATGCAGATCGGCTACGAAGAGCAAGCCGACATCGCAGTCGAGGACTGGAAGCTCTATTTAGCGGACATTGGCCTAGGTGCCTCGACGATTTGGCGGAAAGCGGCCACCAAACTGCGTCGTGGGATTGGTATTGACTTCGGGGATAAGTGGGTCATGGAAATGCGGTATCAGCAGCAACTGGACAAGCCTCTGGAATGAGGTGGCATAGCATCGTCACTTTATCATGGGGTCCCATGGGTGAATGAACGCTGCCTCGGTTTTATTCCGCTGTCTATTGAAGTGGTATCGCACAGAACAAGACATGGTTTTCGCATGGGAATTATTCCATCTCACTGCTGTTGTCCTGGCAATTTGGGAGAAGCATACAAGTCATGTGCTTGAGCCTTTGAATTTAGCATAGCGCTGGTGTTGGCGGTATAGTTGATTTTGAAACCGAGAGCCATTTAAGAATATCAGCTACATTTCTTTCTACCAATCCATACAAGTGTAATATGTCATCTCAGCAAGCTTGATGGCTCGTCATGCTCAATTGCTGGCTTCATTGAGGAGAAGGGCTCGGACGCAGGTGACAGATATTTCAGTCAAGACGTATACACTTGCAAGTTATAAGATCCAAAGTTGGTGGATCGTTCCAAGCCTGGGAACTACTGATTAATGTATTTGTGTCGCTAGGAGAGTTGCAAACACAATACAAGAGTCCTCCATTGGACATTCAAAGTCAAGACACCCACTTCTAGGGGATGAGTAAGCCACTCACAAGCTCACATCTTGGTTTGCCTCTTGGGTTTGCGCATGCAGGTTTACCTCACCGCCAGGCCGCGTTTTGCAGTTAGTGCCGAGAGTATTAGTAAGCTCATAGATCGACACGTGTGGATTAAGGTTCACATATGACCGACTCGAAGAACTCGGAGACGAGCTCGGGGTTCGGACTATTAGTGAATATACTTGGCCGAGTATTCGGCTCAGCGCCCACGGCCATAGATAGATCAATAAATTCCTTCCTGAAGTGTCTGGAATTAGCAGGTAGTTATACGCTATATATCACTCTTCTACACATAATTAAATGCCTCAGATTGGTTATTATCTATATTTATGATACAGTCCTAGGCGAAAATGTCGACAATCCGCCACAGCGTCCTCATTATTGGCATAAAGTTCAATGCCCCTATTCCAGATCATTTCAGAGATGTATTCGGGCCAGCAGAGGGACTCGCCGCAAAGCTGGAAGCCGACAGTGCGCGTGCTGCCAAAGCCGGATTCAACTGCCATCTGCATCAGCTCGATCCAGTCCAGCCCGAAGAAGCACTCAGGGAGCTTGAGGCAAAGCTCAAGACCGGTTCATATTGCGGTGTGATGTGGGGCGGTGGCCTAAGACTCTTGCCAGAAAAGACGGCTTTGTTTGAGGCAATCATCAATTTGTTCAGGGAGTTGGTGTCGAATGTCCCATTTATGTTCAATACGGGACCGGATACCATATGTGATGCTTTGGAGAGGAATTTTGGGGTGAAAATTGAATAAGGGAATCAAGTCAGTTTTTAACTGTGGTCAGGGAGGACTTGGACCTTTCTCTTATATGGAAATGCCGAAGGTGGACACATTGAAGGACAGCTGAATTATGTTTAGATTTTATAGAAATGAGGTCTAACTACTTCATAGCTTCAGCTGTCGAATTTCCAAGACCAATGTGACTTAATAGCGATGCGTGTCTCGGGCGATTTTAGCAGGTTGCTAGCAGGTGGCCTCAACCGATAGCACTCACAGAGACGCCATGCAAGATCTGCGTATGGTTTTGCATTTTCAATTATCCGTCTTCCTAACCTGAGGCTTTTTTTGCGTTGATATTCGAAGAGGTAGGAGACAATGCGGGCCACGGTTAAAGGTTGTATCCAGCGTTGATTACATTTAAGCTGCGAACAAAATCCATTGTAAAACACTAGTATGTACTTCAATACAATCATAAAGGGTTTCGATGAGATGAGTCTCGCAAAGAGCAATTATAGATGGAAACTATTGTGTTTTGATGTTTTATTACTATATGCAACGGCCACAGCGTCGTTATACATGTATAGATAGGTTGTGCTAAGCTAAGATGGTCGAGGAGGGCAGTGGTAGGCTAGTGGGCTTTCCGTAATGGAAGAGTGGAGGAGCTTTGACACATGCCTTCATCTCACTTCACAATATTCATGAGTGTATGAGGTGGATTCGCTGTCCTTGCTCCTGTAGCTGTACCAAAGAATGGCTTCGTGAGGACACCAGTCTTGACCCCAGGTATGGGATTGGATTTACTTGGTTGGCATACGTTGATGTATTAAGTAAAGTATATGGAGCTGCCTTGTAACCTACGGGGACGAGGAGATCAAAATTGGATGCGAACCACAATGGGAAGCAGCGCGCTGCCACCCAAGCAGGCCGTCATTACCGGTCCGGCATAGGGACTCTGTCTTCCCCATTTTGCCTCACAACTGGGCCGCACGCAGCAAAAGTTCTCTCTCTCATAGTACGCTTACTCGACCACGTCGGGCTAATCCGACTCCGTCATCACCAAAGCCCCAACACCTTCTTTACCTCTACGGCCACAACGATCTTGTAGCTCCGATATGTGGTTCCCAAAATAACCTTCTTTTTATATCAGCAGGTCCTATGAAAAGATGTCAAATTACATCAACTTAAAACTTCCTGTTCTGAGCTTCAATTTCTCATTCCTGGAGTAATGAGGTGAAAATTGAATTTGCCGGGGATTTCATGCTCTTTTCCAGTCAATGCAACTCGATGGAATGGCCAATCAGGCCGACTTCTTCTCCGAGATCACACTTCGTAGCTCAAATGATTCAGGATTAGACCAGCAAGTTTCTCTTCATGATGCGGGAGCGGATGAGAACGTGGCTCTCCGCTATGCCGCATTAGATGAAAGGATACCTTCTCACAACGACGGTTCGTACAGACAGGTATATATTGGTTTGGACACTGAAAGGGAACAACGTCTTCATAACAGAAACTCGTATAGGGGATTTACTCCGCATCATGGAGTCAACACCGCGTCGCCAATATCAGCGACCATGTCGCCGTTCAGAGAGATCTTGTCCCCTTCTAGAGAGACCAGTTACCTGTAGAGGAACCTCGTCACCTCCCAGAGAGACCCTGGTTAAAGCAAGGACATAGATGCAAGTTGAGACAGACGTTGTCATCGTAACGTTGCAAGTATACCGGAGCAGACTAGGCGAAAGTCAGGAATACATTCAAAGGTACTACCTGGAAAACGACTACACCCTCCAGACCGTGGTAATCATAGGGAAGGAACCTCACAACTTTCGAGCAACTTAAGTCCAACTAACTCCCTTGCCAATCGTAACTGTCTAAGTTGAATGTAATTTGAAAATGTACAAGATACAATTAACCAAGTGGGGTTTTCGAAAGAGCTTCACTGAAAAAAACTGCATAACCTACTTAGAGGTGTTGCCGTCAGGAAGGTGGTTCGAAAGACTACTGATGCTGCCCACATCGGCCGCTACTTCAATTGGAAGACGTCCAAGTAACACGACGTGGATGAAGATGAACATCATGGACCTTCTTTCATCAAGGATGTGCTACAGGGATCCAGAGTTTAGGGAATGACTTGCTAGGTGGTATTTTCACATTGGTGGGACATTCAAGTCTTCTTTTGCAGTATCTTGGCCTTGATGCAACACACCGTAGCATGGACGGCATTGACGATCATGTAATGTTCCAACAGGCGATGATAGTAGATAGAATTGGGGTTTCATCTTCAGGGACCGGAAACTGGGTCGGGGCCTCAGTGCATACAGGCATCGTAGAGGGGCCGGGTCAATATTACGGCATTCTGTGGTATCGCACTTGAATATAGTTGTAAAGTAGTCGTTAGTAACATAGGCAACTTGCTTTAAAGTAACAAGTGCATGTTGATGAATATGTGAAATACCCTAACCTCAGATAAGGTACAGCACTGCCAGAGAATCTAAGGACCCACAAATACATGCTTCTACTCGGACTAAGTGTTGAATGGTCAACGGTATAAGAGTGGTTGGCTCAAATATAATGGGTAGAACCCGAGCAGCCATTCCCAAGTTACGTATACGCTATAGAAAAACTATGCCTAGATCTCGGAAAACTTAATTCTCGAACCCACGCAAGGTTTCTTCCTAGATTGGTACAGCGAGTTACATGTTTTTTAATGCACCAAAAGCGTCTCATTTCTCCGGAACGAGACTTCAAGGTTGTTTAAATCGATGGTAAGTCCTAGGCATCATGTGCCCTCTACGATCAATACTTGAGGATACCCCGTCTCTCATCAACGAAAAGGCGCGCATCAGTGGGAAAAACAAGCAAACATAGTCACCATGGCTTCAAACGAAGTTGCTCCTAGCCATCACGAGCCCATCACTATCACAACTGTTTCGACCGAAATTGCTCGCAGCCATCATAAGGCCACAAAAGCTTTAAAACCAGAACCTGTGATGGAAACTCCCAAATATGCTCCATCTGTCAAGAACCCAAGATCGCAGCTTCTGACACCATTAGCCTGACATTTGGATACCATTCCACCAGCTGTCTCGGCATCTGGCGTAGACGACATTCCACACACGCACTGACCTTGCTGTCGATGGTTCCTGCACCAGGCATCGTTCCCGAAATGGAGAAGGACGAGGCGTCCCATCGCAGCGCCTGTTCCGAAACTTGTTCGAAATTCTAGACGCGTTGATGGGCGACGAGTCAGTGGTCAAAGAAGGGAACAATCTCTTGGAGAGCATACGGAAATTCAAGAAGACAATACGATAAGCCGACGCTGTTCGTACTGCGGATGGCGGGCCCGGAGGTTGACGAAGTAGAGGTTTATGCTGATAGTAGGTGGATATTCCAATGGGGGTAAGTTGATTGTGCGGGCAGTTCTGAGGATAAAAGCCGTGCTAAGTTGGTTGTGAAAAAGCAAAAGGAAAACACACTGAAAATGGATCAATGGCATATCTTCTAACGGCTACATAATATACTCACAACGCTCGAGTTGTCAAGAGGATATCACAGCGCTGTTTGCGTGGCTGAACACCCGATGACTCCGCAATCGGTATCAGCGCCCTATATATCACAATTTGAGGGTAGTATCATCTTCGCAGCATAAAAAGCCTGTTAATTGCTTGAGTATTAATATTCGTCCCAACTAACGACACTATTCGTGAGACACAGCTTCGCTCTAGAGCTGAGTCATGCACAAAGCCTAAAGAAAGGCGAATGTAATGATAAGTATAAGTTGACTTCGCCTCTGTACTAGAGGTCTTTCTCGGAGGCATGGAAGATGCTTCGTGTATACTACGAAGCACACTTGAGGTTTTTTCTTATGATGTTGCGACTTGAGGCCATGTACCCGTAACAATTATTGCGGTGAGTATATATCCTTTGTTGAAGTCAGTGGGATGTAATGAGCTTTTCGTTGCCTCACAGTGTCAAGAGTGGTTAATGGCGCCAAATACCTGCATCGAATACAGTTTCGCCAACCGGTGGATTTATAGACCATGTCTCATGTAACAGAATCGATGAAAAAGTCATTTCTCCCGAAGTCACCCCATACATATTAACTCTGTGAGAAGATCTGTTGATTAATATTGCTCTTGCTGTTGGGGACAAGTTTCAGACCACAGAACTCGCTTCCTGAGATATTCGAAACAGTCACTATGAATCGACAACATTCCACCGCCGATTTGGACAACAACACGGCCGACGAAGATCAAGGAGAAAAACGCCTTACTGGTAAAATTTCCCAGCCTACAATTAAAGATGCACCAGAGGAAGAAATTATATGCTCGATATGTCTTGGCCATGACGAGACTGAAATCTCTGGCTTAGTAACCTACCCTGCCGCCACACATTCCACCAGCGGTGCATTGACAAATGGGCGCTAGACTCCAAGAAGATTCAATGTCCATACTGCCGCAGCTCCCTGCAATATAAGCGCTGCCGCCATCGTTATTTCTCGGTTCAATCGCCACCCAACATAATTCTGCCACGCCACGAATTCGAGGGCGCCTGTCGAGTCTGTGCTCCCACGCCCCTTTCCCAGGTCTGGTTCCAGCAAAACTCCAACCTCCATAATGGCGGAGCCGTCAACGCGGAGGACGCAGATGCCATATACTAGAGCTACATACGAAGAAAGACCCTTACCACCGTGCGTCCTCCTCCTCCGAGACAAGCCAAATATGATCACCTCCTGTGGGCCATGGATGTGATCACAGGGCTAGCGATGACAAGGAAAGCGGTAGCGCTGATCACTAAAGTGAAAGAGCAGCTTCAGGAACTGCGCTGGATATTAAAGATCCTCAGGTCGTACGAAAGACCCAACAGTACGACGTGGGGCCCGAGATGGTTGAGATGGTTTTGGACGTGGCCAGCGCTGATGGATGCTTCGGCCGACAACCAGATCAAGCTATTTGACCTGCCCGAGATCCGTCAGAGCTGTGTTAATTTTACCCTCATCGGAGGGCCATATGGCGTGATTAGGTGGAGGGGTGAGGTTGATGCTCAGGGCCATCAAGGGGGTAACTCTTTTGTAGCGACTTGCCAAGCTCATTTGATTGTTAAAACGCGTGTTCTCTACTGGTATACGTTCTTCACTGAATTTTTATATATCCATAGAAACATAAGTAGAAAGCAGCCAAGATATTCGCTCCCCAGTGAATCAAAGTGTGAAAAGAAGCCAATTTATCATTAGGTGATAGCCTCGTGCGACGCTGGCCGGACTTGATCATCGACAGCATTGACATTAGCATCGTGCTGGTGTAGGAGCATTATTTCACAAGCCAGATACCGGTTTGCCGTCTCGAAATCGTTCCCGTCCAAGTAGATTACACACAATCCACCAACAGAGTTGTCAGCCATCTCCATCTGACCACGGACACCTTGTATTTGCATGGGGAATCTTGCTCGCGCGGCTGCATACAATATGAAGGCACGGATAGTATCATGCACATACTGCACAGTGTTGGACAGTTCTTCAATCTGCTTAAAGTGCCCGCACTAATTGGGTACCTGCGTTTCTGCGTTGCTGCGTTCTCATCAGCACTTGTGGACAGGACTTCTTGGAGCTCGCCCAGGAGTAGGGGTCTTTTTGCAGCACTAAGCTTATTCTGCTCGTGAAACCCACACTCGTTGATTGTATCGACGGTGATGTAGTTGGTTGTGAAAAGGCAGAGCTTGGCGGTGAGAGGATCCAAGACCGTTGCAGAGTCGTACAGCGGTGATTCTGCCTTTGACATAGCATGGGACATAACTTTTACTCGGACAGGGGCAAGGTTTGGGCGAATGAGGGACTGCAGTATTGGTTGGCTCTGCTGGCAACGATTGTGCATTGTCGAAAGGCGGAAAGAAGGAACCCGACTCATCGTCCTTGTAATCAATAAATTATTGATTGAATACACCAATCCTGATCTAACTATTGGTAAAATATGACAGTACACCTATGTGAACTAACAATATGGTACGTTTATTACCTGATGATTATGTTCCCAGATCCCACTCACGAAAGGAACTAGTCACAGAATAATGCCGAGGTTGTTTCTGCTTACTTTCGCCTATGAGCCATAGTATTTTGCTTCCCTTGTCGTTTCTCCATTTGCGAAAAACGACATTGTCGAAGATCCAGTTGCACGTGGTGTGGTGCATCTTTGCGCGGGCCTGCTTTGAAAGTTGTGATGTGATCAAAGTTCGACGAGGCATCGAGTTTACGTTAATCCTCCTTGGCTACGGCACTTATTATTGTCTCTTTGGTATATTGTGTATCAATATGTCTTGATTCAGATGGATCGAGACGGACGTTGTAACTTAACTTTACGTCGTTGTTCTGTCAGTGACCTCCATGTGCTTGCTTCATCCAATCCAGCATCGGCCTTACCCACGAAAGCCAACAAAGATTTCCATTGAGCTAAAGCAACATGCCCTTCCTTGAGTGGATGTTGCTGCTCTCGGTAGGCTGCTTGCGCCTTCGCCAAGCCGATCTCATATTTCACCTCAAGAGCCCTGTCTTGGATAAGTCGAACATGACTTTGGACCTCCGCTTGGAACGATTTTCTTAGTACATTCACCAGCTGTAACTGCCCTAAGCAACAGTAAGCCAGTTTCAAGATAGGGCATACCCGTCATACCTACAAGGTCGCCTGACAGCTTCCACTATCGTCTTGCAGCAACGGACTATTGAGGCATGGAAGTCACAAATAGCCAGCTGTAACCGTGTCGACGAAGGAAACAAGGGCTGGTATTCATTGAACCTTGGTGACCATTTGTCAAAGTCAAAGAAGGTCTTGGAAAGCTCTTCAAAGTACGAGGCGAAGTTGGCAGTGACCTGTCTATTCGATTAGCTTTAAGACAGTGTTTACGAATTGAAGGGATAACGCACCAACATAGTCAACTTAACAACACCCCACTACGGCGATAAGGATTAGTCATCGTCGCATGCATGCAGGAACACGAAGAGATAAAGAGGTAGCGCTAATCATGTGCCAAGAGGACAATCGCAACGCGTGTAACGTTTGACAACTTCGACTGTGGTAGACTGAAAGGGGGAATGAACGACTTGAAATTGAAAATTCACGCACTACTAAAGCTGCAATGGCTGGGTTTGAGGACGCAAAAGTGTCTACAATACCAGAGAATTGCTGTACGGAGAGCAGAATAGGATACAAGCGCGTAGCGATGCTCGAACCTCTTCGCTGGGTATTCTCGCGATCCAGCAAGGCTGTGAACTGGATCACCGAGTCAGCATTGGGAGTTCCCTTGATCCGCTGAAGTTTCGTTTTGTCTTCTTTGCTGAGAACACCTTGGAAATCATCGAGCGCGGACTGTAAGCCAGCTGTAGGGTTTGTGGTTGCGGATGCCATCTGTTGGCGCTGGTGTGGATGAGTTGCAAAGCTTTGGCGAAGTTGCGCCGGCGGGAACCGATTTTATCTTGCGTGGTCACATGAGTCGTGCGATGTCAACGGACCAATAAAAGGGATGTCTGTTCTGGGAACGATTCAGGTCTGCTTTTGCGTATGGCTGAAATGAAATCTGCCTCGTATAACAAGATCAAGTGCGACACTCTGGAGGACTTCAGCGCCTAGGTTACTCCAAAAATATAACGATAATTATGGAGAGGGGGCATACGCACTCATCCGTAGTTTTCTGGAAACACGGAAATTGCGAGTCGTCGGAAGGCTGGCACCTTCTTGAAATGATGCTTTCAAGGACCCGAGACTTTCAAGGTTTTGCACATACATGATAAAATCTCAATCAATTGATGTTGGACAGAAGCCGGAAGTCTCAAGGTCCCCCGGCCCCTTAGTCGCCAGATGCCTCAAGCCTTTGCTGGCTTGACGTTGTCCTCATCTTCACATCGAAACCATCACACAGCACCCAAACATCGCAGCAGCTCAATAGCAAGAAACCGATCGTCCAACACAACGTCAAATAGCACACCCAGCAAGAAGACCACAAAGCGAACATCGTAAAGGGTCATAAGCCACGACAGCAGCCTCCCAGGGTATCTCCTGTCATTTTGAAAGTATTCCCGTCCATCATAAGTAGAGCAGACTGGTAGTCTCTACGTCAACTTCCACTCAGATTCACCTTGCTCCAAAATTATCGTGTCCCAACCTGAGAATAAATTAAGAAACAACTTGAAAGCCCGTCGCGAGACCAGAGCCGTACATCAAGTAAAAAGAACAAATCTTGAGAAAAACCAACAAAGGCCCATGAGCCCCCAAGCGTGATATTAATGAGGCCCAGCCAGTGCAAAAGTGATAAGTAAATCGGCAGCAACTTCATCCCGCGTGATAACGCAGTTACAATCGCGGCCGTGATTCCTAAGTCGTTAAATGCCCTCTATCGTATGTCCCGTACTGTTCGTGCTTGAGAGCGGACTGCTCCATCAGAACCCAGAACTATCCATCGGGTGGTTGAACTGAGTGTTGTCCATGGTCATATAGTCCAGCATGTCCATCTGGCCAATACTGAGACCTTGATCGGTCATGGTCACGTTCGAGTTTTCGCCAACGTTCTGGAACAAGCCTGGACCAAGTGGCAGGTACCACATTTGGTCATCAGGATTATTAGTCCAGTCCCCGCCAGATTCATACACGTTATCCCCGAGTCCAGTGGAATCCATGCCATTACCGGACGGCGCTGGTGTGTTCGGACCGAAAACGGACGCTGTGCCACCGGGATACGGGAAATGGCCACCGTTCACATCGAATGGTGTTGCCGTGATGGGCAGAGAAGGCGTGGATGATCGAGCTGTAATCATTGGAGTCAGTTTCAAATAGTAATCAAAGAGGACAACTCGAGTAACATACCTGGCATCGTCAGCCCGTCTCTCAACTTTGAAGCATGGCTAGGGTAACCTGTCTCAATGCCATTCGTGTGCGAATGGCCATTGACGCTAGCCGCTCTGCTGCTATTGGCATTGTACGGGTGAGGGCTCTTTGAATCGCCTGTCACATTCGGCGGCGCGTACTTGAAACGATCTCTCAAGCGTGAAGTTAGTGATTCGAGCAGGTCCCCAAACCTGGTACCGAGATGAACGTCGTCCACGACGCAACTCCGAAGAGCAGCAACGGTTCGATCCATGAGTGAAATACTAAGCTCAACATCGTGTTTTGGAGCGCCAAGTGCGAACGTCTTCAGCAGAAACATGGCACCACTGATGATCCTGAAGTACGTGCGAACAGGTGCGTGTTTGAGGTATCCTTCAGGCAGAAGGCCATCCACGACAGTACGCAACAAGTTGCGGCATCCTTCCACGACTTCTTTAACATATTCTTGATCCTCCACACCAAAACCACCCAGGCGGCCAAGGGGAATTGTGCCGATGTAATTCTGCGTCTGGGGCGACAATTGCTGTTGTACATTGTTAGGGCCTCCAGCATTATTGGTGCTTCTTTCGACGACAGCTTGTAGGGCCAACGAGTTGATGTAGATCCTGACGTATTCATACTCGATGGTGAGGATATGCTTTGTGAAAGGCGGAAGTCGCATGCGCTCGAATTCTTGCCACCACTCTCCGAGAATTGGTTGGAACTTTTTCAGTTCTTTGGTGTAGTTTCCGCTCGTGATAATGTCGGTGGTGTGTTTGCGAGATCGGAACAACTTTTCGTTACCAATGTGCATGGCATTGCTCACACCCACCCAACAATGGATGATCTGGTCATCAAGCTCGACGTCTGGGACATAACTGAAAGCATTCGATACCACGGAGGGGTTAGTTCCGGGTGTGTTACCCTCGTTCGACACGGGTCGCTTGCGAGTAAGAGTCGGGTCTGTTTTCCTAATACTCTCTGGCACCATGTTTGTCCAGCCTAGGCGACCAGCGAGTTGAGTCGAGTAAACCAAGAGTAGGCGTTTAATTCGCATTGCCCGCAACCGGTACGGCTCTTCCTCGTATTCAGGTCGTTGGATCCCATTGTTGGCAAGCAATTGATCAATGTCATCGAAAACACCCAATTCATAACCGAGACCCATGGCAGTACTAAGCAACATCCAGCACATGCGGTCACTTCGCCAAGCAGGCTCAAGCCAACTCTCAATGCGCTTCCCTCCCACATTACCGCCGAGTCGCATGTTTCCATCCTCATCGTGACTTAAATGATCGCGGCTATCATATGAGGGAAGCATAAGCTCATCAGTGGCTTCGTCGGGGGGGAAGTGAAGAGCGCGTGGGTGCCATTCCGTCAAAATCATCAACGATTCGATTGTGCCCAAGGTGCGAAGACTCCCCTTTCTCATGCCACGCCAGGGAGCGGTGCTGGACGTCTGAGAATCATCAGCACCAGATCCGCAAAAGCCGCCTCCAAACGCCTCCTGGCCCCAGAGACATCTTTCAATCATCCTGCGAAGATATCTCCAAAGTTCTTCATGTATTGCATGAGACCTGCAGTGGCCACCGGTACCCATGAGCCTGTAGTACCTCGAGGCTATTGTTAACAAGGTGACGGTCAATATGGGTTCCTCTGTGAGAAGAGTGACATGGGAAGCTGGACTTCGAAACGTAGGCGGTGAGATTGGAGTCATGGGTGATAAGAACTCATAGTAGCTGCATCACTAGTTAGTGGCAAACCGGGAAGAAAATGTAAGGTACGTACTATGCGATATACTTGATGGCCTCCTCGCTGGTGAACCATCCTGCTCTTACAAAGCGGAATCTCGACCAAGCTCTGAGAGCCTCTTGCAGTCCGGGTTCATCCGGATTCAGAGCGAGCCTCGCCTCGATCTTCGCCCTCTCATGATCCTCCTGACGCAGCAGACTTGGATCTATGAGATCTTCGGATCTCGACTCTACTCTGCCGTTGGTACGGTGGTTGAACGTTTGCTCTCTAGGGGTCTTTAGGCTCAAGACCGGGGCTGGAGTTGTCTGCACGACTGTGGGCGTGCTTTCCTGGCGACTGTGGAGATTGTGGTGGTGCGGGCTATATGATTTATCAGTCCTGTCCTCCCGATCCCATTCAGCTTGAGTAAGAGATAATGCGTACCTGTCTGTGGCGGCTTTGTAGAGCAGATCCAACGCATCATGTGGCCCATACACTTCCCTCCTCATGACGGACTGTGCCTCCAGATTTTCCAGCTGTCCATTGGGATCGTCCCCGCTGATGTCAAAGCTCGTTCCTCTACTGTGTGTTCTTCCGTCTCGTTCGCCGTTGGATCGCCTCGAGGACTGGTTCTTATTAATCGACCCCCCGGGCGTCAAGGGCACACTGCTGAACGAATATATGTTGGGAACGGTAGGCGAACCGTCCAGATGGGAGCGCTTGCGGCCGTTGCGCACAACGTAATCTTCCTCGTCATCACCCTCCTCTTCATTCTTGCGCTTGCGTCGTGTGGCGCTGAAGTAGCACTCCTTGCTCTCACGACGGCAGCGCACGCATGGTGGATCGTGGGGATTGTCGACGCTGCCCAGATCACAACGGACTTTGCGTCGACGGCAGGGTATGCAAGCCTGGTATACGCGCTTGTGCTGAGGAGGCTGCAAGGCGGAACCTTGACCACCAACGGCGGCGGCGGAGGATGGTGTTTGCGTCGGCTGTTGGGTCGCCGGCAGCTGGGTCGCAGTGGCGCTCATGATGGGCGACAGCTCCACTGGCGCGGGTTGCCGTCTATTGCGATATATGAGATTGTCGGAACGCGACAACCATCCACCCCACCTACTGTCGCGATGTGAAGCTTCGGTTTAAGACGTTTTGTAACGGCTAGGAGCGCTCGAACACGATGGAGAAGTGGGGGAAACACGTCCCTTTAAGAGATGGATGGCTTTCGTCGGGTCTGACGTGGCTGCGGGGTTAAAAGGCGCTCTAATAAAGTGTAAACTTCCGGGTTGTCCTGGTTTGCGACGAGTTGACGACGAATTGCTGGGCTCAAAAAGTGTGATGAAAAGCTTCCCAGTCGGACTCGAAATACGGGCTTGCGGGGCTTGGGATGAACAATGCTATTGTCGCATGTGTTGCATGTGCCAATTCTCACAAGGCATCGAGGCAAGTTGAATCAATCTGGACACAGGCGCAAGATGATGCGAAATCATCAATGCCTTTGTCCAGGGTCTCACCAAAGGACTGCAAGTAGCCCAAATCGCTTACCTCGGGGAATTCGGCGTGAAGATAACGGGCAAGACGGATAGATGATAAAATGACGGCTAACAGCCAACAGCCACCAATGCGAACAAAACCGTTTGTCCTTGCAGTGAATTGTGAATTGATAGCGGGCCGCAACATCGCTTGAGCCGTGCCACTCAAAGCAGAGCATTAGTCACACAGAGCTCGTAGCCAAGCTAGCTGGCATCGCAAACTGGCAGGTCCTGTCGGGGTGGTCTTACCCCAGTCTTGGAGGTGATTTCTCAGCCGAGCTCCAGCTCAGCATGGGGGTTTGGCTGGGGTCGGTTGTGGCTAGTATCCGAAATCGTGGTCACGTTGCCCAGGTATTTTCCCCTTGCGTTGACAATATATTTCTTATTCCTCCTTCGAGGAGAAATTACCATGTGCCCATTGTACACAGCCCTCTCTGCGGAGTTGATTATGACTTCTGGCGTGTTCCACATCCTCAAATCAGTCTGGCGGTGAAGCTCCCTTGCCTGTTGCCGGGTGATGTCATATTCAACTTGACAGCTCTCATTCGCCAGCTCCACGACGGCCCGTCCGATGCTTGATACTCCTGGTCGCGAAGCTGGGCCAGATTTTTTCAAAGACCACCGAGAATTGGTAACAGACTTCCCTCGTGTGCCTTTCCGCGCTTGTGTGCACGGTCATGGGACTTCCCGATGAATCTGGAATTGAGTAAGGGTGGCCTAGCCGGCCCAAGAGACGTTTTGGACTGGGTGCTGTGCGCGAAAGATAATGAGTGATGCCTGTGTCTGCTTCATATCCATTTTTGATGCAACGTGCCTCCAAGTTTACGCTGGTCTTGATGGCCAACGGTCAGGACTAGTAGTGGCGGTCTCTTGAGAGAGAACCAAATATCGCGATTTGTGGATACCAACAAATCCATCCTCTAACTTTCAAGGCATATGGCAGCAGACAACACTACAGCTAAAATCCATCCCCAAGATCCACGAGATGTGGCTTGTTATACCCGGCGTCAAGGTATATCCCCTTTGGTTGGGTGAGAAATGCTAATCACGACGAATTCACTGGGACGTCACTCTCGGTGGCTTCCTCGCGATGAAGCAGCCATTTGTTAGCGATATGTATGTTATTTTCATATACCTATGGTCTCCTCGGGCGGAAGAGACAACCCGAAGCGCATCGACGCAGTAGAAACGCAACCTTACTCCGCATTGCCATCATCAGTGCCAATTCAAGTGCTATGTCCAATGGTCTCCCTGACCAAAGGAAGATCCTCGCGTGAGATGGAAGAGGACGTCAGATACCGATGCAAACTCGAAAAAGTCAACGCAACCATCCCTAGCAAATCAAGACGCAGTTAATACCCCAGTCACCTAATCAACCAATGTTCCTGGCAGGAGGCAATGATTGAACGTGCTGCGGTGCAAGTGCGTCCAGTTTTCGTGTCCATCAAACTCCAATGCAATGCAGTACCTGAGAACCGTCGGAAACATCCACTTCCAGCTAGGTTGTGCCGAGAAGAGTGAAAGGCCACACGGTTGTCCCTAAACAAGGGCCTCTTGATCCTGCTAGTCAACGTCAGCTGCAAGTCATTCAGAATTTCATAGGTGGAGGAACACTTACCAGAAATCTCCAGATCATTCCGACCAGATTGTCGGGCATGGTGTAGAGATCGACAGTGAATTCACCCTGCTCCATGTCGTTCTTGGTGTATGTCTCGTCCGACTTGTGGTCGTGAATCATCTGGATGACGTGCAAGAGATCGTCCTCGCCAAGCTTGGGGAGGGCATTGGCCATCTTCTCCATGTCGTACTGCGCCCGTCTCTTCTTGCCATCGTTGGCCTTGCGAGCCTTCGGGGCCTTGTCGTCTTGGTCATTGACTGGTCCAGTCTCGCGAAGCAACGATAGCAGCGACTGCGAGGGGTTCTTAAAAGTCACGGTGTGGACATTCTCGTACTTGGCGCGCTGGAAGTTGAGGTCGTGGAAGATGGTCGACTTGCCGCGGTTCTCGCTGGTGAACATGTCGATGGACATCTCGAACTCACCCCAGCCCTCATTTCTACAGATGAAGGGGGGCTCGGTGAAGGCTGGGAGGGCATCATTAATTTACATCACGAAGCAGATAATGGCAATGGCGCTTACTCTGGTTGGGGTTCTCGAAGGAGGGATGCAGGTTGTACACTACTTTATTAAAGCAGCTGGCGGGGTGCTCGTTGCCCTCGGCGTCAAGTAAGTAGACCTTGATGCTCCACTCCTTCATGGGGAAGTCGGCAACGGGCGACGGCTTGTCGCTGTAGGCGCATGTCAGTAGTTGCTTCCTCTCAAGATGCTATACCAGAGCCAGTTTGTTCAACATGCAATGGATGGGGGGAAGGAGCGTTTTGGTTGTGCCGTACATGTTGCGTTGCTCGGTGACGAGCTTGACCTTGCGCTGCGTTGTAGCCATCGCGTCAGTTCCATTTCACGTTCTATCCAGCAATTCGGAGAGGTAAATTGCAAATGAGCCCGGGACCTAATTTCACTTACCTCAATCTGCATCGTGTCAATCGTGTCGTCCGAGGAACCTGGTGCCGGAGATATTTAGCATCTACCCAAGATACTTAAACAAAGGTAAATGATAGAGGGCCGTGTCGCGAGCTTCAAGCACGTCGCGTGCGATTACGCAGTGTGGGGAGTCAGGTGGGCTGTTGCTGGAGGTGGTACTTCCTGTTGCCGTTCTTGGCGCTAGTGCCAGACTTATTCTTCCACTTCTCGGGTCCCGTCATGGTGAGAATCGGAATAGGTTATTCCGAAACAGGACGTGCGCTGGATCAATGCTGAGAGGGCTAAAGTTCGGGAAAAATGATAATTTGGGAGATGATAGGGAAAGCGGAAAATTGAAAGGTCCGTGAGAATAAACAGTAACCCCAAGTCATGTCATCAGTCTGAGTTATAACATGTATGTGATTGAAGCCATCAGAACTCTTCCCTAGATATTCACTTTTTTTTTGGCTTTAATCAAATATTGTTAGTTGAAAAGATCTACAAAATGTATCACACATTTAGTCCATACTGACTGTGACACAATTGGATGTCCCTGAAATTGTGCTACAATCAACAAGCACCTGAACAAAACAATTACAACGAGACTCAAGGCTTAGAGATGGTGGTTGGATTCGTGCGTTCCTTAGTCCAAAGTGTGAAGCCAAAAGCACAACACCGACTGCCGTTATTAAGCCTACCAATTAATTCAATCATATCCACAATTGGCAATACTAGTTTGAGACTTGGAAGAAAATCCTATTCTCACTTACTACCCACCACATTTTCTCTACTTGCCATGGAACTTTTCTTCGCAGAAGAACACCTGACCTTGTGTGTGCAAAGATAGCTCCATTATGCATACAATGGATGCGTTTACTTCCTTTCCATCGAGGTGTACTGAGACACAGAGAGTTTGGACATTTCCCAGTTGTTGAAACATCCGAGGTGCATCTGCATCTACTCTACATGAAGTCGTGCATATGCACAGTTTCATTCATGACTTTATTCACAGCTTCTGCGTGCCCGCTCCACAAGCATATCCACCATTGAGGATATCGTAGGCTTAGGGCACGTAAGGCACCATCATAAACTTGTCGCGAAACGAACACAGTCTTAGCCAACTCGTTGCACAAGATTCGTTTTTGACCAGACAAGTTTTATCTCGAGAAACACTATCCCTCCTTCAAATCAAGACTGCCGATTCTACTGCAAATACTTCCACTGAATGGCATGCTTTTCCTGCTGTCGTATGGCAGAGCGCCTCGTTATGGAAGACCCTATATAGACAGTTCCATAGCTGGTCCCCTGTTTATGCTAGAATACTATTTGATTGCAGGATTATATTAGTGGTTCTATATAGTATCATATATTATCTTAAATGCACTGCTTCTCTCGAAATGGACTGTCCGCTTTGTTGTGTAGAACCCCGGAAGACTTCCCTGGTGTCGATGAACAAATCTCTTCGAACTTCTTGGGGCATTACTAATAACATTCCCCGTATTTGCCTATTTTTCGTCTTCATATATCCAGAAACCCTCCAAACTAAAACCAGATATTCTCGTTGCGAATAATACATCATGAGTCCTATTCGTCAAGCTAAAACCGTTTGACCCAAACGTTTTTAAGCTTGACGAGTAGTTTATCGAGCATGGAAGTCAAGTAAAACCGCGCTCACACAACAGACAGACGTACCACAGCATCATATGTTGGAGCTTGCTATAACGTACCCCACGGTCCAATTGAACACTTCTAAGACCTCGTACAATAAGATATAAGTTAATTCAACTATAACGTAAAAAAATAATTAAAACTACTCGGAACTATCTTCTTCAGATATCTCTTTACTATTCTGACAAGTACGCATATTATGACCGGGCTCTCCGCACGTCCTACAGCGTTGCTGAAGTATCTGGCCTCCTCGTACGACTACGACTCCAGCGCGATTTATTATCTAACTCTCCGTTAACTAGCTTCTGAGACTGTAAATCTTCTCCAGCTTGTATACGAAGTGATCCTCCATACTGTAACCGTTTTTTTTCTCGTATAACGCCGCCGGCTAAGTGTCTCATTTGCCTTTCGAAGCGCGGCGTTCTCACCCTCTAAAAGAGCAAGCCGGTGCATAACCTGCGTCGTACCCTTCGCAAACTGGTCAAGTGTAGTAAGTGTAGCTGTCGGAGAGCTATTTTGATGTCGTATAACTCGGGTTTTCACGTGTTCGGTCTGGGATTGTGCCTCAACTGGGTTATTTGGGGTCTTCGACTCCCAGATAATAGGAAGGCCAGACGAGGTACCCGGAGGTGTTGGAGTATGTAACTTCACATCTAACTGCGAAATCACATATTCCGGATCGTACGGTACGAGTCCTGCCCCTCGGAAACCTCCCTGGATATTTGATATCGTAAAAGTTGCCTGGAACGCTTTTAAGAACGCGGAGAGGAAGTCCTCCTTCGAGATATGGGTAATATGTGCCCGCATAAGATCCTCAATTTCTTTACCGTACGCTCTTTTCAGTGCACGAAAACAGCCGATATCGAGAGGTTGGAGCTTATGCGACGAATGAGCAGGCATACAGAGTGTGATAATAGAGTTCTCTTTACAGTAGAGCTCGAAAGCGGTCGAGTGGTGGCTCTCGTGGCCGTCGAGAATTAAGAGGCGATAAACACCTTTCGTACGAAGCTTTGTATGTTGATCGAAATGTCGAATCCAGTCCTCGCCTCTTTCATTTGTAGTCCAGCCATTTTTCGTAACCGCGATAACCCAATCCTTTGGTAGTAGGCTATTTTCGTACCACGAAGATAGGTGAGTTTTACCAGCAAAGATGATATACGGAGGGATAGTATAGCCGTCCGATCCGACGCCCTGGATAACTGTAACCCATTCCCTATTCCCTTGCTGTACTGCTCTAGGTCTTCCACGTCGATCAGAGGTCGTTACAACTATCTCGGATGAGATTTGACCCATAAGAAACCCAGTCTCGTCAAAATTATAGATATCCTCCTCTTGAATTTCATACTTATTAATTGTATTCCGTACGAGATAAAACCACGTGCGGTACGCGTCGGGATCTTCGCAGAGGACTCTCTGGTAGTCGATTCTTCGATTAAAACGCGTCCGGAGGTCTGGTTGTCGTCGTACGAAGCTCGAAGCCCAATTAATACCGACGCGTCCTGCGTCGCGTTGGTGGAGTAGTCGATTCGCCATATCTTCAACGCCACTTATTCGAGGAGGAAATAATCGTGAATCTAGGTCGACTATGTAGCGTACGATCGCGTCTTCTTCGGAATAGGTAAGCTTTTGCGTTGGTGATCGTATATCCTGTCGTGAAGTACCGCCGCGATATCGGTGACGTAAGGTTGTATGAGGGATATTATAGATCCGTGCTACGGATCGTACGCTTAGTTTAGGGTTATTTTGAAGCGCTTGAAGCGCTAATTGAATATCGCTTTCTTCCCAATTACGTGCCATTGTAGAAGGTGGAAAATAAGGGATAAAACCTAGGTTGTACGGAAATGTGCGAAAGTGTTCAATTGGACCGTGGGGTACGTTACCTGAATGCCTTTGATCTATTACTGTCCACCAACAGAAAGCCCCACCCAGAATAAGTCCGTGCCAACTGTCGATTCATGAGGGAGCACATCGAAGGTCAGTCATTACCGAGTCCGTCTGCATAAACAAATACTTGCTAATTTATATCATGAACTCAACCAATTTTTCAGGTCATTGCTCAACATTAGTATCTAAGTTATACTATCTCAGGTCCTTCCACATTACGTGCAACCCTTGGCACCAGGTGTATTCCCACCACTGGTAGTAACCCCAGACGCGGATGGGGCAACTTCCCTTCATTCTAAGTGAGGGTTTTGATCATCAAAGGTATGGATCAGTCGGTCGACCCAGACCCAAAAGCCTTACAAGACAACGGCACAACAATTACAGTACAACACAGCGTTGGGGGTATCTCCGAGCTTCCTCAATGGTTTGGTTTCCTCTCAAAAAAATTATGACGGGTTTGTTCGTTCGTGCCTCTTGCTCGCTGAGCTTCCATGATGGTTGGTGGGTGGTGATGAAGTTGCGTCCGTATCAGGGCCGACTTTCAAGAAGTGAAATTTGTAAAAGCGAGTGCGGGCGTCACCTCCACCAAAGCAAACCCCTTATGACCGACAAAATCTGGTCTATTATTCACAACTCCGAGGCGCCCTGGTCGTTAGATCTTCATTTGTCACCCTGACAAAAAAAACGTCGTAATGAGGTCTAAATGCAACAGCAATGGATTATTCCCTTCAGCGCAGCTTAGACTTGCAGTCGACAGCACCAGCTGCGATGACATCCTCAAGAGGCCACCTCGGGGCTTCGAAAGTACGCTCGAGGCCGTTCTCTTTGCGCCATTGTGCTTCGTCTTCCGGAGTGACGCCTTCGGGGATTCTTTGTCCGCCGGCGATACCGGTCGAGAACTTCAGCTGCAAGATATCTCCAACCTCGTCGCAAGCAGCCAGCAGCCGGTCCATGTCGTCCTTGTTGTGTGCTGAAGACACGCAGAAGCGGGCACGGGAGCTGATGAGTGGGGTAGCAGGGTATCCGACAACAACGATAGAAATCTTGCGCTTGAGCATTTCGTGGCTGAAAGCGGACATCTTGCCGGGGTGGTAAAGAGGCACAGGGATGATAGGGGAGTCATCGTGGCCGTACACAATAAGCCCAAGTCGCTTGAGACCAAGTCGTAGGTATCGAGAGTTGAAGGCAATGCGCTGCAGACGTTCCTCACCCTGGCCTGGGCATAATTCTCCGGTGATCAGTTTGAGCGAAGCCATGATTTGCATGAGGACTCCAGGGGCAGGGGATTCGCCCAGCAGGGTTGAGGCGTTCGTGCTCTTCAGCTTAGCAATGATGTGTGGTTCAGCAGCAACATAGCCGCCATTGGCACCGAAGGACTTGGTCAAGGTTCCCATGAGAATATCGACTCTGGCTGGGTCGATTCCGAAGTAGTCGCAGACACCGCGTCCGTTGGGTCCAAGAGCTCCGACGCTGTGGGCCTCATCAACGAATAGGAAAAATTTGTAGGCCTCCTTCAGTCGGAGAATTCCGGGCAGATCGCACATAGTACCCTCCATCGAATACAGGCCTTCAACGGCTACGAGAATCTTCTTCCAGGGACGGTGCGTGCGTGGTTGTCCTTGCGCAATGGCCTCGCGCAATCGGCTCTCCAGGTCGTCCATGTCGTTGTGGCGAAATGATCGAATGACGGCACCGGACAAACGGGCTCCAATTCGGATAGAGGCATGATTCAATTCGTCGGAGATGATCAGGCAGCCCTTGGAAACCAAAGCAGGGAACGAGCTTGCATTGGTAACGAAGCCCATTGAGAAAATCATGGCAGCTGGCTTTCCCACGAAGGCGGCAATTTCGCGTTCGACCTCGATTACGAGATCCGAGGTTCCCGCATCGGCGCGAGGACTGCAGAAGCTGACACCGTACTTGCGGATGCACTCCTCCACGGCGTCGGCGCAAGGACCTTCGGATTGGGCGAACCCGAGGTAGTTGTAAGAGCTCACATTCAGCGTCTCGGTGTGGGTGCCCGTGTAGCGGTACGAGGCGTTGAAATCATCCGACACGCGGTCCATGAGCGACATGTAGCGACCGGGAACACCGATGATGGGCCTGGCGAAGCAGTCGTCGATTCTCATCTTCAATCGTCGGACGTAGAAACTATCAAAGTCGTCCGTCAAAGGCGCATAGCCACCGGCTGCTTGGAGAGTGTTGTACATCTGCTTCTTGCTGAACCGCTTGCCGAAAAAGTCGCGGATGTGGCCGAGGGCGATGAGTAGTAGGTAACTGATGTAGGTGGTGAGGACGAAGTAGTAGGGCGGGTCGTCGATGACCGGCGCCGTCAAGCCCTCTCCGTGGTGCTTGCTCACATATCGATGACTGGGATGGACCAAGGGACCGAATTGCGCGTCGAAGCGTCTCTTGCGCGACACTTCTTCGGAGGAAGGGGGCTGGAAGAGGGTCGTGTTTGGCTCATCGAGGTTAGGCTCGCCAGCAGTAGCCGTGGACAGCGAGATGGTAGGCAGCGATAGACTAGGAGCAGTGACGGACGGGGTGGAGCCGTTGTGGACGGCCATGAGAGCCTGTTGAGCCGACAGCTGCTGGGAAGACCGGGGCGAAGGCGAGAAGAAGTTCGAGAGGCGGTTGCCTTTGGATTGCGAACTTCTTTCGCCACCCTTGTCTGTCTGTGGCATGCTGGTGTTGTTGGTGAAGGGGAGCGAAATTTTGCGGGGCATCTCTAAGGTCGTATGCTAATGTGGGCAAATACAGTGTGATGAGAGCTTGTATTTTGATCGTCGGGCCTGGTGGAGTGGTTTGCTGGTCTCGACACAGGAGTAATCCACCGATGAGAATTGTATTATTCACTCCACGTCTGAAGAAGAAAAACAATTATTAGTGCATTGAATTGCTGAAAGTAGCAAGATGGTAGGATTGAACGGAGAAGATATTTGAGGTTGTTCAATTGCTGAGTTCCTTCAGTAAGCCAGCGACACCACCGCCTCGCCGTGCAGGCTGCAAACTAATGGGCGTCTCACTGTCGGCGGCGCGGAAGGAGTCGACAACGTGGGATTTAGTTCGAACAATGCGACTTACAGAAGCGACACCCGAACCCAACCTTGTTCCAACTATTATCTGCTATCGTAGCTTCCAATTCCTCTTCTAAGCTCTACGAAGCTATCGGCTGATCGACGTCAGGTGGTTGAAGCCGTCTGCGGTGCTCTGGTCTGACTAGAACGGAGGTCAGGCGCGAGGTTGCTCCTAGTGCCAGGGGAAACGAAACGGTAACAGCTCTGGGCGGAAAGGATTGTGGCGGAAAATAAAAGTCCCACTGCGACTCTAAAGTTCCGACAATCCAATGACGGATCTCCTTGTACACTTGCAGTTTCTAGCAAGATGCAGAGAAGAATTCGCTCGAGGATGAGGAACTTGAGAGCAAACAACCAGCGGGAAAAACAAAGTGTTGAAGGAAAGGGAAGCAATTTCGGACAGGAAAGATATGGCTATGAGAATGGGCCGATTACCTAGAAATACGCGCATTTCACATACATTTTACACGCCAAACTGTCGCTTTGAAAGCCAGCCGGTCCCCTGTCACCCTAATTCCGGTTGATCCGTGTCGACTGAAAAGATGCAAATCTGCGCCAGCTCGACCTTTCTGCGAACCAAATCGCGATATTTCAATGGAGCATCTCTGGCGAGGCGGGATCTACCATGTTTTGCAGGCCTAGAGCTGGTCATTGCCCTAAGCTCTTCAGCTTACCAGTGACTTATCTATCAGGAGCAACGAGTGGTTCTCACAGCAGTTACAACAAAAGCCGGACCGGTTGCAGCTCGCTCTAAAATCCTCCGAGCATCATCCTCATTTCGACGAGTAAATATTCGATGATGATGTTTGTCTAAACATATATAACGACAGAGCGAAAACTAGCATAGTTTGCCTGAGCTCGTGAAATCGCGATCGATCGTGATTGATATGTGCCAAATGAGAGAACCCGGTCCCTGGTCAGTGTCAAATTGCAGGAATTTAGGGGGTTCTAGGCCACCCTCTTCCGCCACGTTAAAGCTTGGGTTCAGGGCTGTTTAGGGGATGAGGCACTTCCGTATTGGGTTAGCCCATTGTCAAGAAAATGAAGTTTTCGCGTTCAAGCTCAATCATTCATGACCTCATCAAATCCATCTAGCATTACAATTGGACATTTGACACGGAAAATAATGATTGTATTACTAAGCCAAGTACTTGAGGAGCAAATTTTAGAAATCGTCATTTTCTTAATCCTCAGCAGCTGTCTCTGTACCAGTATGGCCCTAGTCTTCTGCGTTAGTACCCGAAGCAGGTAGAGACGGCGGACCTGACAAGGCAGCCGGGGGTAAAGCAGGTACTTCGGGAGCAACCGGATGCGCCGGAGGCGCGGGGGCTGGGGGAGGAGTAGCAGGAAGCGCCGGCACTTCCGGGCCAGCCTCAGGAGCGGCGGCGATGTTGATGCCGTTCTTTCCACCGACTGACTGGCTCCCATCGGATCCTTTCGTAATACCGAGATTCCCCCCAACGTTGGTAGTTCCGCCTGGAGTGACGGTGATTCCAGCATTTTCACTGAATTGCTCAGAGTCTTTCAGGGCATTATTTTCTCCTTCTTTCTGGGCCTCGCCGGCAGCTGCGGCTGGTTGACCTTTCTCGGCGGGAGTCGCAGCGGGTTGGCCTACAGCTGGCGCTGCTGGCTGTTCGGGCGTGGCTTGAGGTTGACCCTGTTGAGCACCTTGGCGGTTGCCGCTGTTGACCTGGATGCCGCCATCAGGACCGCCGAGAGTAATTCCGCCACTGGTCAGGCCTCCCCCGTTTTCTTGAGCCGGGGCAGGAGCCGTAGCCGGTACGGCGGTTTGGGCTTGAGGATTATACGTGATTCCACCGTCAGGCCCACCAAGAGTCAAGCCTCCGATGGTAAGTCCACCACCTCCATCTTCATCTCCTACACCTTCAAGGGCTGCCTGGCCCGCTGTGGAATTCGAAGCTCCAGTGCCTGCTTGATTGGCATTACCAGCCGCCTGGCCGTTGCCACCGCCTCCACCAATATTGATTCCTTTTCGCTTCATCATATTCTTAGGTGCCGTGTCGCCAACTACCATCTTGGGAGACATCATCGCGCTCATTGATCCACGCTTAGCCACGACCTTCTCGCCGGCAACGGCATGGGGAAGTGTTCTAGAGTTCATCATAGCGGTTGCACGACTGGCAAGACCTCCCTGGTGATGGATCATGTTAGTAAAGTACCCTGCCCGGTGTTGATCATACAATCACTTACCAGGTACCTGCTCTCCCCGCATGATGCCACAATAGAGAGCGAAAGAGCCGCCACGGCGAAGGAAGAAGTTAAACGCATCGTGGCTGATATTATAGGAGAGAAGCCCGCTTCTCACAGTTGTAATGTTTATTACAATCTTGCATGGGCTGAAATCCCCATACAATGTTGAATGATGCTATAAGCGTTGTGGACAAGAACAGATGGAAAAGGAGATGTTAAAGTATGCCGTGGAAGGTCGTCTACATATTGGCTCGTGAAGCATGTCCAATGAGACAACATGAATTAGTTGCTAATCAGCCAAGGCCAACACCTTTCCCGGATCGACCAAGCTTCGAGTCAATACGGACGAAGTTATACTAGAATAATCTCTTGGCCTGGTATTGAAAACACTTGTAGACACTGTGAGTGGTGTCTTACCGGTTCGTAGTGATCCAGAGATCGGGGGAAACTCTTGGCGTTACAGCCTGTCGTAACTGACTGACTAACCTCCCAGCTGTTTGTAGTCTCAACTCAACCCAGAAGACGGACATCAGAGGGTCTAGATTCGATCCCATAAAACTCTGTACTTCTTTCTCGACGTGCGCTTCCCCAGAGTCGGAAACTTTCTTTCGCGGTCAAGTCCAGGATCTGGTCATCGCTCCCGTCAGCATATTCATAATGAACGCCTAGAAAAATACATCTACTAAGTGCCCCAAAAAGAAACCTATCACCGGGAGCCGGCATTTTCATTCAATTCTACTGGAATCTATGCATGTCTATGCCTTCCTTTGCTCCCAAGAGCATCCATGACCGGAACGCGCTCCGTCATCAACTTCAGGCGTAGGGCTGGGAGGACAACTTTCAAGCCTTGGAAAGCGTCCGACTTATGAATATTCATGCCAGTTTGGAGACACCTGGAAGCGGTCGTTCGCAATATACTTTTATGACTGGTAGGGTCTTGTGTCAGGACGACTCAAAAGATAAAATGGATTCCAGCTCATCAACACGGCAGGGCTTCCAATGAGAAGTGCAGACTGGCTGAACCTCTACCAGGCATATATCCACAATTACCCCAACCATTCGGGACCTGCCGACATGGCCGTGGGCAGCTCAGCAAAAAGTTTGGATTGGATGGCATCAATCAATGGTCACACTTGACTTGAGCAGTCAATGTACAAATCGGATCTTTGTCGGTACCATATCAATGCAATAATCGGCGTTTCAATACTTATCCAACTGCAAGACTCGGTGGAACAGCCTGATATAACCTTAACCCCAGAGGTTATCTCATTGGCTTGCGCTCATCTCATCGACTTTCTCGAAATCGACTCAAAAGTCGGCGCTCTTCTCTCTCAGCCCAATCATCCAATCCAGGACGAAAGTACTACAAAACCATCAGAACAATGGCCTCCGAAGTTGCAAAGACGCCCAAGCGAAGCTCGCCCGTCAAGAACGGCTACCTCATCTTCTACAATGTCGTCTCCGCCATCCTGTGGGCCACTGTTTTGGGCCGAACCGTCGGGGCCAACATCCTGAGGGGTCCCGCCTTCGTCTACCCAGCTACCGGCGCATTCGTGCTCTGGACGCAGACTCTGATGGGAATGGATGTTTTGCACGCTGCACTGGGTATGCATTGCTCATTTCTTGGACCCTTCCAACCAGCAATTAATTGGCCGTTCTGCAAACCAAACTGACTATTCTACAGGCGTCGTCCGCACCGCCGTCTTCACAACCGCCATCCAAGTAGCCTCCCGCTTCGTCCTCGTCTGGGCCGTACAGCACCCTTTCCCCTCAACCTGTCAATCGCCCATATACTCCTCCATGTTGTTCGCCTGGTCGCTCACCGAGGTGATCCGGTACTCATACCTGGCCCTGAAACTCAGCGGGTGGGAGCCGTACGCCTTCTTCTGGGTGCGGTACAGTTCGTACCGTGTCTTGTACCCCGTCGGCATCCTCAGCGAGATGGGCATGATGTGGCTTGGGTTTAATGAGGCGCGTGGTCAGAGTGATACACAGGAGGGCATGCTGTTCCAGATCTTCTTGGGGGTTTGTTTGTTTTTGATTTGGCCTTGGGGTGCGTACACTATGATCGGGCATATGAATAAGCAGAGGAGAAAGGTTATGGCTGTTGATAAGTCGCAGTAGGTGAGAATAGAAAGATAGGAGACTGAAGAGAATACGGCGTAGGTATTGTTAGCTTTGCATACGTCATAGAGCTAAACCGGGTTCAAACAAAATTCCACCCTGGCTTCGAATTAATAATCCATTCATCAAACTCCTGCGGTTCACATCAAACTGACTATTAGGGAGGGAAAAGCTATGCTAACTTGATGGTCGTTCCCATTATGAACGGGTAGAAGCATTTAAACCACGCCGGGTGATGGAGTAACTCCTCTAAAGGGAACATGAAAATCAACAACCTACGAGCACTCTCACAAGCGCGCTGATCATTTGAAGATGTTTATGGTAATGTTAGTGGTCTCGGCAGGCGCCATCCAATGTAGGCCAAAGAAGTATCATGAGCCAAACGCCGGCCCGCGCGTATACCCTAGGCTGAAAATGCTTCTTGCCTATCCATTGGGGCATCCCGGCCGTCCGATTTGGCTTCGTCCCAATCCATTAATGGCTCCTCTATTTCCATGCTGCTTGACTCGTACCATTCGTTCTTTGCCCACTTTGTGATGAAGTCCTTGGCATCTTCAGAGAGTGGCTGATACCCGGGATTCTCAGAAGATTCGAACATGGCTATAACGTTATTGTAAATCCACATTTTTCAAATTTGTGGAGAGGTTGGTAGTAAACTTACCCATATGAGCACCGATTTCATCCTTTGCCGAATCATTGACAGCTTCTTTCCATTCGCCAGCCGTCTGTTTGTTGGGCAGGTTGCAGAATGTCCGCTGGTTGCCCATGACAGTGCCAACCATACTGACTTCCTTAGAGCTGGCTGCCTTCCCCAACCTCGTATATATAACCGCAAAACCAACATCGAGCTCGTGATTCAGCCGCATCATGTTGTTGATTCGATTCTTCAACTCCTGGCCCTTTGCTAAACACCCTACAAAGGCAAGATGACTGCTGACCCAGCTCCAGCCCTCGGTAATCTGGTCCTTTTTCATGTACGCAGCGGCTCCACCAGCGGCAATAGCACCAGCGGTCCCAGCAATCATGGCGATCTTCCCCCAGCTCCCCCAACCCCCCTTGTCGTCTCTCTTGTCCGCCGCCGGCGGTGCTTCAAGCGCCGCAACGGGTTTCTTACCCACGCTCTTCACAGCCGCATCTTCAGCCGCCTTACTCCCTCCCCAGACGGCCGACAGCCCACCGAGCTGCGACAACAGAGCACTCGCATTATTATAATGCCCCTCAGCTCCATGGGCCACGACCCCCGGCGAAATGCCTAAATATGGCGTATCGAACGCAAGCACGCCCTGTATATACGGAAACATAAGTCCATTAACCACACTCGGCTCTGGCGAAGCACCGCCCTCGCTCTCCTTGATAGGCCGATCACTCGCAAGTGCAATCGCGGTCTCGGCTGCGATAATACCGCCCATGGAGTGACCAATCAGCACAACGCGCACACTCGGGTCGACGGTGGGCGATGGGGTGCCGGCTGCGACTTCGAGGTCGATGACTTTCTCGAGCAGCCAGTCGCGGAAGCGGCCCACGCATTCGTACAGGTCGCCGCGGGTTTCATATTTCGGGTAGGTGATGCTGCGTACGTTGATTTTGGGTAGGGCGGCGCTGAGGAGGGCGGCGAGGTGCTCGGTGAATTCGGACGAGTGGCCGAAGGTGTCCTCACCCCCCTTGAAGCCATGAATGAAGCAGAGGAGGAGTGTTTTCTTCATCTTGATAAGTCCCCATTGGGGAAAGAGAAGGGTTGAGGTTCGGAGAAGGAGAGAAGAAGTTGTCAGAGGGACGGACACGACGGTGGCGATGACGGGTTGAAGCTTCAGCTGGGGTGCGGGAGTCAACCCCACCAACCCGCAAGGTTCCACCTTAGCCAACTGCTCGATCTTTCAGCCAAGGTTCGTTCGCTTGGACTACTTTCCGACTCAGCGACCTGCAACAATTTGGAGAGCTGTTGCTTAATTCTTCATTCTATTTTGGTACACGAAACAAAGACACTCGTCAGTGCTTTGAAAATATTGATCAATCGCTCGCTTAAAGATCACACTATCAAGGTCACGGTACAATCCCAAAATCCAGTCTCTCGCTGCCTTTTCAGTAAGTTGCGCCCAGTCTCTGGACCAGATACTGGCCGCTGTTGATTCCTTGATACTTCTTCTCAGTCTCGGCGGTGAACGTCCCAGGAATGGCCTCGATATGACTCTTGAAATTGGGGTTGCAGAAGTACCTGTCTAGAGTCAGCATTCAGTTTCACCCACCCTCATCCGATTTCGCAACTCACGCAATGCTATACCGCGCCGGATACACTTCGACCTCTCCACTCGGTGGTTCAACAACACGATGAACAGTACTCTTAATCGTATCATTGCTCCACCTAGCCAGCAAATCCCCCGCGTTCACCACGACCGTATCCTCAATGGGCGTAGCATCCACAAAGGACCCAGTGGGACTTCTAACCTGCAACCCACCCCTTTTGTCCTGGAACAGCAGCGTGATACTCCCATAGTCCGAATGTGCACCCGCGCGCACCTGGCCCGGGTTGATCGTGAACACATCTTTGCGGACTTCGGGGTAATGCAGCAAACGCAGTGTATTATCGCCTGCATCCGTGTAGCTATCGAAGAACCGCTCGTTATCCAACCCCATGCCTACGGCGATGGCCCGCATCACCTCGGTGTGCATTGCCTTGCACTGGTCGTGGAAGTCGAGCATCGTTTGTTTGAACCCGATGAGTTCCCCTTCTTCCTCAGGCCAGTGGTTAGGGTGGTCTGGCACCCCCTCGCGCCCGATCTCGAGGGACTCTTTCATATCGGGCGCGGCGTCCCGGAGTTTCTTCACTTCCTCCATGTCGGTGAGTTGGGTGGTCTTCTCGCGCCCAGGCGCGGAGTAGCCCCGGTTGGCTTCTGGGCTTGTCCAGCAATGTGACATTTTGGTTTCCGTTGGCAGACGGAAGTACTTGGCTGAGGTGTTGAAGACGTGCTTGCGCGTCTCAGGGGTTATGGGGAGGCCTTTGAGGTAAATGAAGCCGGCCGTTTGGAAGCCATGAAGGATGGCTTTGGCAGTTTCTTTGCGCTGTTCTGGGTTGCCGTTGAGGAAGGTGGAAAAGTCGATGAGCTGATCAAGTGGTCAGTGTCGTGGACTTAAGCTGGAGGCTAGGGATGATTTGTACTGGGATCGTGAGACCCTCGCTCTTTACTGCTGCTTTCTCCATTTGGTTACAGTTGACCCGGAATTCAGCCCAAGATTTGATAAGGTAAGTTAAGTTAGTGACAACACAAAGTCCTTTACACTAGGAAGACGCAAAAGTGAAATGGTTGTCGTCAGTAAGACTGATGATAATAGGTTCGTCAGGAAGTTATTGGAATTCGGACGTTTTAAGTATCGGGAGCTCAAGACCCTGCAGCTGATCTAGACGCTACGCACTTTCTTGGCTCAAGACGGGCGTCGGGTTACATCACATGAAATTAAGCAGGACAAACCACACCGTTCCTGGAAGATGGAACTAAAAACACAGATGGGGAACTTAGGTTGATATTGGGAGAAGCTTGAGCTTGAAAGTTCGTCATTGATACCATGAAATTTCCAGGCCGGTATTCCTGATGAAGAAGACTTCATAGCCACGACCTCCTCTTCTCCAGCCCAAAGACCAGTCAAGGAAAGGCGATGACAAGCTGTGTTGTGAAGTAGTACCCCACTAGATAAGAACGAGCAGGCCAGATAAGCGTAAGGGCAGCGGGTTCCCGCGCGTGTGGGGTAAATCTTCAGTGGCCGGGGTCTTGTTTCTGATGAGTGAACGATAACCGGCGGTAATCGATGACTTCGGATGTTGGTGAGATCTCGCTGAGAAGCCTCTTGTGAAATTTCTCGCCCCAGACACCTCATATCTTCCCGAGGTCACGTCAGTTACTACATCTTGCACCGCAAACCGTCGTAATCCGGGTTCCGAGTGATTGCTTCGTGTATAGCGACAAGCACAGCTACCTTTGTACTCTGAGCTTTTAGGAAGACTGTGCCTTACCATACACCCCGAGCATTTCATTGGTTGATTCTGATATTGAGCTTATTATACTCGACTCGGGATCCGCGAAGATGAGCACATCATCCTCTCGCGTGGTGGACGTCCACACTCACATGTACCCTCCCCGCTATGTCGAACTCCTGGAATCAAGAGACACCATACCCCTGATTCGGAAGTTCCCTGGCGCAGAAGATCCACGATACATTATTTTGCCCGCCGAGGCCGAGTCACTCAAGAATATAGGAGATGATGCATCGTCAAGTCACCTGCCCGGCCGGCCGGTGACATCGCACTATTCCTCGCTGAAGCAAAAGATTCACTTCATGGACACACACAAGATAGACATCTCTGTCATCTCTCTGGCAAACCCATGGCTCGACTTTGTGGCATCAGAAGAAGCAGGCGAGACAGCCAAGACGGTCAACCAGGAGTTCTCATCCATGTGCGCCGAGTATCCCGGCCGGCTCTTCTTCTTCGCGACTCTACCCCTGACCGCACCAACCGACGTCCTCCTCTCATCTATAGAGAACGTCAAGAACCTTAAGTACTGCCGCGGCGTCATCCTCGGCACTTCCGGTCTAGGCAAAGGGCTCGACGACCCCAACCTGCTACCTGTCTTCAAAGCACTAGCAGCCAACAACCTGCTCATCTTCCTACACCCGCACTACGGCCTACCCAGTGAGGTTTGGGGTCCCCGCGCCACAGAAGAATACGGCCACGTCCTCCCGCTCGCCCTAGGCTTCCCCCTCGAAACCACTATTGCCGTCGCACGCATGTACCTAGCGGGGGTATTCGAGCAAGTCCCTTCGCTGCGCATGCTTCTCGCGCATAGCGGTGGCACGCTGCCTTTCCTGGCGGGTCGCATCGAGAGTTGTATAGTGCATGATGGACACCTAGTCCGGGAGGGTAAAGTAGGACCGGGGAGGAGGACGATATGGGAGATTTTGAAGGAGCAGGTTTATTTGGATGCGGTGATTTATTCCGAGGTGGGTCTGAAGGCGGCGATTGAGGCGAGTGGTGTGGATAGGTTGATGTTTGGGACTGATCATCCGTTTTTTCCGCCGTTGGGGAGCGATGAGCAGGGAGTTTGGGAGAGTATGAGTTGGAATCGGGAGGCGGTCGAGAAGGCGTTGGGGGTGGGAAGTGAGGGGATGGAGAGGGTTATGGGAGGGAACGCGGTGGAGATTTTGAGACTACGTGAGGATGAAGTGTGAAAGCTCGGTAGCTTGTGCAGATGGCTCTTCCTGTATAATTATTCGATTTGAGGCAGGAATTTCAGGGCCGATGGTCAGGGATGACTACACATTTCCGAGATATGCAATGGTTTAACGAGATAAATTGGACTACTAGAGACCTTATAGTAAGGGTCCACCTCTTTTTTGATGGTTGGTTTGAAACGAAGGTCGGACGTCACAGAAGCTGACATGCTTCTCAAATATTCGTCCAACTACAAGTTCGGAGGATTCATAAACAGATATTGGTGTCCTTGGATTCATGAGAAACAGTTCGATGTAATGCCGATCAATATGCTAATTCATGGGCGCTAACTTATAAGATGCTTCCTCTCGGCTTCCACCACCTGAGTCTATAAGTGGCTTCCGCTGTTGCCAATGTAGAAATTTTGCCGCAAGACATCTAGGCTACAACCACAAGAGAACATATCATCAAGCTGTGGAGTACCAGCTCATTAGGAGCTAGGAGATCACTTATCAGGAAGTATCACCGAGAGTGCTGACGATTGGTACTTGTGTGTTGCGCACGATCTTACTATGAAAGGGGGATAATTTTCCCATTGACTCCTAATAACCTAACACGCATTCCACTTATTACAGAGTCAAGCACTTCCTCAACAGTTAATATTAGCCACCTCACTTAGTATTTGCTCCCGAATCCTGAGGCCACTCGTCCAACACAACTTGCTGCCCACTCAAAGTAAAGTTCCAGGTCGCCTGCGTGGGCACGTCAACCAACAAGCTATAACTCCCGGGGTACAAGACCAAATTGCCTTGCTCGTCGTGTCTCCCCAGACTTGCAAGCGTCAGATTCAATTTGGCCGTCTCCGTCGCTCCCGGCGTGACATTAAACAGTCTCTGATATCCCACAAGCTGCTTGATCGGATACGGCGTCGGTCCATACTGGCCACTGATGAACCCCAGTGCCACAAAATCAGAGGCCACGCTGCCCGTATTCTCGACAGCAACATCCACGGTTCGGAATGGGCACTGGTCGAGATACGCCGCCGTACAACCCTGCACCAAATCCGCAATATCCCAACCACAGCACTCTCCTTCCTCCCCCTCATCCTCGGCAAACGAGAGGTTAAAATCGGTATACTGCAACCCGAAACCAAACTCCACCGTCGCCCCCTCAAACCACTTATACGTCCTCCCCAGCCTCCCAGTCTCATTATCTGGTCTCAGTGCCATATCCGTCATATCCACCTCTTCCACATACCCCGCCGGATACTGCGTAACTGGCAATCTCCCTGCTGGCGCCGTCTTGCCCATCACAATATTCGCGATGGCGTCTCCGCCCGCCTGGCCCGGAAACCCGGCCCATAATATTGCCGACACGTTCTCGTGCGCCAGAAACGGCGCGTCATCGAGCTGGTCACCCATTTGTAAGATGATGAACGGGTTTCCCAACGAAGCAAGTTGCGTCATGATGTCAACCCGCTCGCCCGACCACCGGATGAGCGTCCGGTCTTCCTCCTCGCCGCTGTTAGATCCGTCGACGTAGATGATGACGTCAGACGCGGCCCCGACGGCGAGAGCGGCCGGGTATCCGTCCGTAATTGGGTCGCCAGGGGCGCCGGCGTAGAGAGTTTTTACGTTGGGTAGTTGGGAGAAGGAGTAGTAGGGTGAGTGGAGGAAGGGGGCGATGCCGGCGTAGTTGCCTTGCATCGAGGTGGTGGCGTTAGCCCAGGGGCCGACGAGGCCGATTGTCAAGGGTTTCTCGTCATCAGTTGGGAATTTCAGGGGCAGGGTCCCGTCATTTTTGAGGAGGACAATACCCTCTTCGGCTGCTTTTAGGGCGAGGGATTGGGCCTGCGGCGTGTTGACGTCGGCGAATGTGAGGGAGCGATAGGGAGTTGAGGAGGCGGGGTCGAACATCCCGAGGCGGAGTTGGGCGGAGTAGAGACGGATGAGGGACTGGTCGAGCACGGATTCGTTGAAGAGGCCTTGGGAATAGGCACTGGGGAGGTGGAGCTGATAGTATGTCCCGCAGTTGAGATCAGTTCCTGCGATGAGCGAGTCGGCCACCGCGCCCTCGCGGGTCGGTGAGTAATTGTGTGGCATGTAGATATTTTGGATGGCGTCACAGTCGGAGACAACGTAGAACCCGTCGTCGGTCCAGTTCCAGTGGTCCCGAAGTACATCTTGGAGGATATAGGAGCTGGCGCAGGTGGGTACGCCGTTGAGCGCGTTATAGGAGCACATTATGGAAGCCACCTTAGCATCGCGGGCACAGGCTTTGAATGGCTCCATGTAGTACTCTGCCAAATCCTGCGGGTTGATTATGGCGTCGAATTCATAGCGCTCGTTGCCGTTCCAGTTTTCGATATCGTAGCCTGCGAAGTGCTACGTATGTCAATATTGGGAGACTAATAGTATAGGAAAAGGAGGGCTTACTTTGCATGTTGCTACGACTTTCAAATAGTTGGGATCACTTCCCTGAAGCCCCTTGATGAGGGCCTTCACGTACGATGTGATATGGAAAGTGTCTTCCCCAGGGGTTTCTTGGCCACGGCCCCACCTAGGGTCTCTGTAGGGATTAATGTTTGGCGTCCAGAAGTCCAGACCCGTCTTGTTGCCATTGTTGAAGGCGCGGGCTTCAGTGCTGACAATTGTTGCCACTGATTCAATGAGTTCATCATCGAAGGCCGCGCCCATCAAAATTGGCTGGGGAAACGAGGTGGCGTAGGAATAGTTGCCAGACTTTTCGAACGTTACTCCAGGTGAACTGGCAACGCCGTGAAGAGCCTCCTCTGTTGGAACTTTAGTACGAGTTTCCACGTGCATTGGTTTGGAGAAACTCACGCCACCACTCATAACTGGGCAACCCAAGTCGGGGAACGCCAGGTGAGGTGCTGCCTACCAATTGGAACTTCTCCTCCGTGGTGAAGGCGGCGACAAGGGCTTTGGCACGGTCTACAATGGACGCTGTGGTGTCACAGACAGTGTTGCTCGCCAGTGGACCGTTAACGCAGTCTGGAAACAGGTGCCCGGAGGCAGATGCACCAGTGGCTAGGAAACCCAGCGTTATAGCGAATTGCAGCGCCATGGTGGGAGTCGTAAGTGGCGAGTCGTCTTTAATTCAGGGACGAGCATTATGCCTATTATATACTACTTCCTCTCACCGACCTCGGGGTAATATTGAGCAACAATCTCCACCAACTTTGGGGACCTTGTATCCGCCCTTCTCCTAATCTGCGAATGCGACAGTTTTCATAACCCGCATAACATTCACAGGCGGGGACACGAACTACCTGAGCTGTAGGCTAGGGAATATCCCCAAATTTCGGGTCTGATCGGTTGAAGGTTTGTCAACTGCGTGGGGTCTATGAAGTACACTTCTCACCGCCGTGGTGGGTTGGCCCAGCTCATGGACGTGCCATAGACCGGTCAACGGCAATTCTGCGGTTCACGATCTCCAGTTCGATTGAGGGGTTACTCGTCATTGGCCAGAGACCATATCATGTATATACCACCCGCCTCCTCAAAATTCTTTTTCTCCAACCTGATATTTTAGCCTAAAGACAGCATTGCGGAGAATGTGGAGAGTATGTGGAGAATATGTGGAAGGGGTGGGGGAGAGTATAGTTCAGAGCAGGGGGAAGCTCCACAGATATTACTACTATATGTATAGTTAGTCTTCTTGGTGGTTGTTAGGCTACTCGAAGTCGGCCCGGTTTGCTTCCAAGCTCAGGTAAGACTCGTTTCTGTGCAAATAGCTCATAGTAGGCTCTAATATCTGCATAGTGAGCTCTCGGAGGATAGTGGTGGCCTTTCTACATCGGAAAAGAAAACATCTGAGGATTGATATCGTTTAGAAAGAGTAGTTCTCTCTCTGTTTCTATAGGGCCTAATATAACATCATATCCCAGCTTGACTTATATTTATCTAAAATCATCCCCTTTTTGCAGTGAATCTTCGCCCCCTAGATTTGCCCACATGCCTTCCCTCCACCTTCAACTCGCTCAAACGCCTCAATCCCTATCCTTCATTATCTAAGGCAGCCCATCCTCCCCGGGCAATACCGTCCCATTATTCACCGCACCCCTATGCCCCCTAGCCAGCATACCATAAACGGGGTAGTACCGATCCAAGACACCAAACAGCTGCTCTGCCCCAGGCGTATTGCGCCAGTCCCGCATGAGCTCGCAAACAATGTGGAAATAAGAAATGACGTTGACGCCCGCGGCACGCATACGGTCGTTGGACGTGTCCCGGATCAGCTCCGTCGTCGTGCCCGACGACTCGACGTTGGCCCACACGCTGTAGCCGGCGTCGACGAGGGAGAGGGCTAGGAATGCGGTGCCTTTTTGTGTTTTTGCGTGAGAATTTATGGCTGATTAGGTGCAGGCTGTGGTGGGATATTTACAAACGTCAGTAGTAATTCCACCAATAATAATCTGCGACTTGTTGGCTGCGATCACAGCATTTTTGAAGTCGGCGTTGTCCCAGGCGTTGACCTCGCCTTGGCGCTTAATCAGGGGCGCGGTCGGGTACCATTCCAGGAATTCGTTGGGTAGAGGGCCGTTTGGACCTAGGAGGTAAGGATTCGGGGTTAAAATCTTGTTTCAGGGGTGAGCTCGAGTATTTTACTAACCAGTCTCGGCCGAGCTTGTCATGATGACGGGGAGGTCAAAGACCTTGCCGAGCTCGGCGTGGGCGTACATGGCATTGCGGTACGAGACGTGGTCGAAGTCTCGGGCTACTTGGAATAGGCCTTCTTGCAGGTCAAGGATGATGAGGAGCTAGAGAAGGTCAGTTATGTGTCAACGAGTTGTAGGAGGGGTGTTGAGAATACGGCATCGTTCTTGTCTAGTCTCTCGTACTTGAACGCGGAGGCAGTGCTCGCGAAGAGCAGGATGGAGTTGAGGTTGAACTTCATGATGGATGATTAGACAGAAAGCCACTTGATCTGGGGAGGGGTTGAGAAGATGATGATGGGTTGTCACAAGGTTTCACAAGTAGCCAGAGGTATGAGAGGTACTTATACTCGTCCAATTTCAGTCCTTTGGTATACACAATCATGATTGGGCACGTCCAGTATCGGCGTTAAGCCCTTCTAATTTACGTTCATCCTTCTATGCCGCCATCATTATTCATGCAAACCCGCCACATTCGGAGCCTGTGTTCAAAATCACGATAATCAACCAACAGCACATAGTCAGCAGCACTTAGAACTGTGGGGAAGAGCAGCAATGAACCGGAGGTTGTGTCCGCTTTCATCCATCTCCGGATTGCCAAATCTCGTGCAACCGTGGCCACGCACGTAGATGGCTAGGAAAGACTGCGTATGCCGGCGAGGCTAGGTGGCTACCTGAGCGGCTGAACAATCTGCAGTATAACTCCAACAACACATTTCAAGTGGCTCGGTGGGGATTTGCTGAAGAATGATTCTGAATCATTACTAAGTCAGTGCATACAACTTGCATACCGCCGGAGAGGTGTCAGTCTTGGCAGTGGAAGCTCTAGATCTCAGACCAATCGGGTGTGTATACGACTGCAGCTCATGATGTGACCAATGCTCTGGTCATGGTTACGTGATTGGGTAAATATCACATTTCAGCCCTTCCCCAAATTCGAGCGTCCCCGCCGTTTCGTATACTTAATATACTATCACAAACGTACGCAGTGGCATCGTGCATTAGTAGATCCTTAGGGCTGGTTGGTGGAGCGGTGATGAGTAAGCCCGTGTAAGCGGAATTTACTAAGTTGGATAAGCCGCTCCAGGAGATAGACACGGGGTTCCAAGGGTGAGGAGATTACTGGGATTGGCTGACACGATAGACATAGCCCTGGGTAGATAGGGCCATCAATCGCGCGCATTTATAGCAAGATTGATGACAGTCGACAGGAAAATGCAAAGTGCACCAGTCCATATGAGCCGAGACAGGGTATTATTTGTCATTTAACGGACCCACTCATAAATGTTTGGATATTATCAGATGCCTCGGCGGATATATGTTGTTAAGGGGACTTTGGTTGCAGGTGATACCTCAGACGAGTGATTCGTCATATGATGTCTACAATAAGTTGAAATTACATTTTGCCAACAAGCCCCATCGTGTATATGCGATACATAAGTGAAGGGGTGTATCGAATGGTACAAACCTTCAAGTTGCCCATATCTATGGAAATTGGTCTTCCAACGGTCATATTCCATTATCACGTCCTTTTAACAAACGTTCTCTAGATCGCATTATGTATCCCCAACCAACCACACGAAGACATTGGTCCACAAACCCCAGCTGGATAAGGGTCTCTAGGAGGGCGTCGGCACCGGCGCATCCTCAGGGATAAATCCCGGCGAGTTCCCAACCTCATTCGAAAGCCTATACCAGCATCAGTATTCCCCAATCACAAATTTTCACAACACAACGTACTCGACCAGATTCCCATCCGGATCTCGAATATACAAACTACTCAGTCCAGCCCGAGCCCCTGTCCGATAGACCACCCCACCCCCCTCCAAAACCTCAATCCTACGATCATACAATCGCTTAGCCACATGCTCAACATCATCCTCGACCAAGAAACATAAGTCCGCCGATCCCGGCTGAGCTATCTGGGCCTTTGGCTCGAACTCCTGCCCGCTGATGTGGAGGTTGATTTTCTGCTGTCCGAAGACCAGGGCGTGCCGCTCTAGTCCACCAGATATGAAGGAGGTGTGCTTCATGCCGAGTACGGACTCGTAGAACTTGATGGTCTGGGAGAGGTCTTTGACGGTAAGAACGAGGTGATCCAGCGAGCGGACTTTGGCTAGGCTGGATATGCTGCGATGGCGGATTGGGGTTGGGGAGCGGAGTATAGTCCGAGTAGCTAGACAGGGCGTACAACTTTTGAGGCCGACTCTCATGGTCGATAACATACTGGTTGCGGGAAAGGTCTCCGAATGTGTGAGATGATGCTGCAAGGGGAGTGAAGGAGGTGAGACCTTGTCTGTTGTGAACCAGAGTGCGGGGTAACGTCGGGGACTGAGCCAAGGTTAATGCTCGAGGTCTCCCGGGTAAATGAATCAATTGAAAATTATTTGTTTGTGAACACCTGTTCAAATACTGTTCTAAGTGACTACAAAATCTGGGTGAAGTAACTACTTTGCATTCGGTTGAGACTATAGCTTGTGAAGCCCTATGTCCGCCTCTATTCCTTCAACGCCAAACTTTTAGACCATCCGCAGTTAGGAAATTCGTAGAAATTTCATTCTCGAATCCCGAACTCCTGGCCTATACTTAATATCATATTTGAAATCTGCTAGTTGGGATATTTCATATTCGTACACGCACTTTGAACCTGTGTCTAAAACGAATAGAATATAGCGGTTTGAACATCTCTAGTATGTCATGGCATCCGGAAGTCCATTATCTAGTTCTGTGCATGTGGTTCTTATCCGCACTTCGAATAGGGTCGGTATCGAATATACACCCCATCTATGGGCCAAGCAGTGCACCTACCAGCATTCCAGTTTCGTATACGCCAGCAATGAATTCGAAATATCATTCTACCTAGACATATCTAATGGTGCTCAAATTTGGGTGGCCGCTTCTCCAAAAACGCCGATAATCCCTCCTTGCAGTCAGCCATGCTGAACGTAGAGTAATAGAGGGCCTTCTCGTGCACCATCCCTGCGTCCAGATGATTGTTCTCGACTATTCCTTTGTCAGTATATAATGCGCTTCTTTGGTCTCTTTTCAATGGCTGCTGAAAACCGCTCACCTGTGAGAACTGCCTGCTTGCCCGCGGCCACGACCGGCGCCGACATAGCGGCAATCCTAGTGGCGAGCTTCATCGCCTCGGCGAAGACTCTGTCCTTGGGGAATACCTTGTTAACAACACCGAGACGTTCGAACTCGGCGCCGGTCGCGGAGTCGCCGGTTAGGATGAACTCCATGGCCTGGTGTGCGTGTCAGTCATGGCCCAGAGGAAGAAATATATTGGTTTTCAGCGCGCTCAAATGTTGCAAGACAAAAAAGGGTAGAAACGAGGCAATGTATCGATCTGCAATGATGGGGCGATTACCTTGTGCTTTCCCAGAGCGCGGGCAAGTCTCTGTGTTCCCCCAGCGCCAGGGATCGTTCCGATCTTCATCTCGGGCAGTCCGAAGCTCGCGTCATCGGCGGCGTATATCATGTCACACTGTGTATTGTTCAGTCGGTAATAGAGTCCAGTTGCGTCTAGGAAAGTCTTACCGCCAGGGCAATCTCACATCCGCCTCCAAGCTACAACAACTGTGTCAGTCACAAAGCAGCCCGTGATCATGAGGTCAAGAAGGGACATTATCACGGACAGCGAATCCTATAACAGCCGCAATAGTAGGCTTAGTAAACCTCGCAAAAGCATCCGTGAGATCCTTCAAAAACTGTCTCTGATGCGCCGCAGCCGTCGAGATTTCAATTAGTTCCTTGAGATCCATGCCCGCTATGCTCTCATGTCAGTGACTACTAAGTTGTGACTCTCCCCGAAGTATGACCCAGGAAACCCGAGAAACTAGGACCACCACCTACCACAAAAAGGCCCATCCTTGCCTCCGGCCACGATGACAGCTCGAATATCGCTCCGCTTGTCGAGGTAGTCGAGCGCCGCCACCATGGCCTCGATCATCGACTGACTGAAGGCATTCCGCTTCTCGAGCCGGTCGAGTTGCAGCACAGCGACGCCGTCGTCATTGACGGACACCTTGATGTGCTCGCTCGAGGTAGCTTCGCTAACGAGATTCATATTGCTAGTAACGGTCCTGTCAACAGCGTTGCGATAAGCAGCCAACACAATAATAATTCGTATATGATCTTAGATCGCCGAGTTGCTTGGGAAGCAAATGAGAGAAGCTGGGCCGATGACAAGGTTCTGTCAACTCTTAGTCACGGATGGAGCCATGTGGTGTTGCGGCCCGCAAATCCAATCGTCGGGGATGAACTCGATTCGAGCGCATCGGTCGATTATACTAAAAACAGACTATACCGAGCCAGACGCCAAGGCTATGCTAGCCTGGAAAAGATGCGGATATAGCATCGGGTTTCCAAGACCAAGTGCCGCGTTCCTATTCCAGGCCCAGGTTCCAGAACATTGAAAAGAAGGTTTTGAACGTCTTTAGCTGGCCGTCTGCTCTCGGCATGTCATGATGCGTTGGTACTGCTTTAGCATCATGTGGTGGCGTTAGAAACATGTCATGCGGCTATATCAGCCTTCATCCGCGGGTTGTGGCTTAATACATTATTTCCTGTCTAACGCATGCAATAAGGTAGGGCCCGGGACTATGTAGTACTCCAATTGGACTGCGGGTTTCAGACAAACAGGGCCAGCCGGCCAAGACAAATGGACTTATTGTTTCTACCCAAACGTCATGCTTGGCGTTGTATAGCTCCCCACTGGCGCTTCCGTCGGCATCTTCCATGATCCCTATGTTCTGGTCTCTGTTCCTGAGGTCCGTGCATGCGGATTACTCGTATCAGATCAGATCAGCTCAGACCAGACGGAATGGAGTAAGTTCCTCTGAATTTCCAAGAGAACCGCGGTAAAGCAGTATTCCATATGCAGCGTTCAATTGTTTATGTCGCATAGCATACCTTGGCAGCCAATGAGAACCTGATTCGGAGGCTGCAGCATCAACGCAGAACTTGATCGTGGGGCCTTTACCTTCTTCTTTTGTTCTTTTTGCGCCGACAACTACCATCCGCTTGCTATTCGGTACTAGCTTTCCTTGTGGCGATAATCTATTGCGTTGCTTAAAGGTAGTTAAGCATGCAAGCTAGACACCACCAAGACAGAAATGCTTCTGTTCTACGCAGCGGCCGCTCACGATATCGGCCCCGTCTCCGCTCCGATCTCGTCAACGGACACTACCACCCTCCCATCAACACCTATATCGAGTCATATGGGATATCCAAATATGGCATCTCACCAACCAAGCGCGGAACCATGTCCCAAATAAGACACTATGATGGGCCCAGGTGGGCTAGGGGACGGCATTGGATCCCTTCTCCCGGGGAAAGCTATATGAAGCTCCGCCGTTAGTTATGATGTTGTGTTCTCCTTTGGCAGTCTATTGAATCTTAGGTACGGCCGGCAATATGATATAGGGCAGTTATGCTGTTGGGAGCCATGGAATGGCAACCTACGTCTTCCGCTGTAACTCTAATCGCTCTTGGCTGTTACCTCGTGAGCCATATATGGTATACACGTCCGTACATGCCTCTTATTATCTTTTCCTATATCAACTGTAGGCTCCTTGAGACTTGAAACCTTTTGGGGACCGTTGAGTCGTCGGCAGATCGGATCATCACTAGGGTTTCCTTCAACTTGTGCATCATCACCCGGGTCAATGGTGATCATCTAAGTCTCCAAAGCTCCTTCTGGTTCGTTCTCCTTCGTCATCCTCTATTCGAGGCAAGATACATGAGTCCTACTTCTATCTTCGTCTCCTCCTATTTTCACTTTTTCTACTTCTTGGGGAAGAAAGATGTCGTTCCAATCCATCCAAGCCCTCTCGCCAGGGGACCAGATCCTCTTTAACCGGTTCGGCCGCGGCCAGACATACCCGCTCGCCTACGACACCGTTACGGCCGCCTTTGATGCCATCGTCGAGTCGTACCCTTACTCAACGGCAGTTCGCGAGTGCTACGGCTTCGAACGCACCATCACATACGCTGAGTTGGACTGGCGCTCCAACATCATCGCCAACCACCTCATCGGCGACCATGGACTTCAACCGGGGCAGCGCGTCGTCTGTGTCTACTCACGATGTATCGAGATGTGCGCTTTCATCTTCGGCGTCATGAAGGCGGGTGGACAGTACGTGCCCATTGATGGAGCCGTCATGGTCGAGGAAAGCTTGGAGCATGTGATTCGAGACTCCGAAGCACCGATAGTCCTTTGTCTTTCCAATTTCAGGGAAAAGGTGGAGAGAAGCCTACCCGAGAGCAGCCAGGCTAGGATCGTTGCTCTTGATACGGTTGATCCAATATGGAAAAAGGGCGACACGCGCGCGCCTTCTGTGGATATTGGTCCTGAGGACGGGGCTTACGTTATTTATACGTCAGGGGCAAGTCGCTGTCGATTCGATCTGGCTTAACTCGACATACTGACTCTCGGCTCAAACAGACTACAGGAAAGCCCAAGGGCGTGGATGTGAAGCACGAGGGGACATGCAATACCCTGCTTAATGAACCGTCCAAGCTCGGCATCACGGTTGGCACCAACGTGGCTTGTGTGCTGATGCTCGGTTTCGATATGTGTAAGTCAAAAACACAATTCCCTCTAAGGCGCCATTAACTTACACGAATAGGCGCTTGGGAGATCCTCGGTACCCTAATGAACGGCGGAACACTGAACCTGCGCGGTCCCAGCCGACCTGGCGGCGATAGAGAAGTCTGGAATACGTGCTTGAGCAGAGTCGACGTCGTCATCACGACCCCCTCGGGGGCCCAGAAGTACCTGCCCCGCCAAGCCGAGTATCCCAATGTCAAGACCATCGCCGTGGGCGGAGAGCCGTGTCCACTGTCTTTGGCGGACGAATGGGCGCCGCACATCAATTTCTGGAATGTCTGCGGTCCCACGGAGATTTCGATTCTCAACACAGCCCATCTTCACAAAGTTGGCACCAAGCTGGCTATTGGGAAACCCAATCCGAACACCAATGTGTATATCCTGGACGAGGAGCAGAATCCCGTCAAGATCGGAGAGCCTGGGTTGATGTGGGTTGGCGGGTTAGGCGTATCCAGGGGTTACCTCAACTCGCCGAAACTGACAGAGGAGCGCTACAAGGTGGATAAGTTCGCCAACGACGGGTGAGTTGGTCACTGGCATACCCCTAAGAGAAGCAGTTGCTGACACAGATTAGCCGAATGATGTTCAACACAGGTGATCTCGGAAGATGGTTGGACAATGGCACCCTGGAGCATCTTGGCCGCAAAGATGACCAAGTCAAGATCAAGGGTTGCCGAGTTGAGCTCGATGGCGTCTCATCTTCTATCGAAAAGTTCCCTTCTGTCGACAAAGCCTGTGCTCTCAAGATCGGCGAAGAGCTCTGGGCGTTTTACTCGGCCTCCGGGGCTGTCAATGAGACCGCCCTGCAAAAGCATCTGGCGACGTGTCTCAATCACTACGCCCGACCGTCCAAACTGATCAACATGGTCGTGGTTCCTCTTACTCCCGGCGGCAAGATTGATAAGAAGGCCCTCAAAGCGCTAGCCGAGGAGAAACTGGAAGCCAGCAGGCAGTTGACCGAGAAGGCCGCGTCCGAAAAGCGATTGACGAATATCGTGGTGTCGGAAAAGCCCATGCCCGTTCAAACACCGCCGCAGTACTCCAAGGAAAACGAGCTGCCCGGCATGAATCACTTCGACATAACGGAGAAGGGCTTGAAGGACGACACCTCGTCGACCAACGAACTCATGGACGGAAAGGAGATCGAACTCCCGCAGAAGAAGGGCTGGCACGGCCAGCGCTGGCTGCGGCACAAGGGTCTCAACGCGTACAGGAAGCTCTTCATCTTCGTCTTCATGATCAACGTCTTCGCCTTCATCGGCATGATCTACGGCACTGTCGGCGGCCTCCCCATCGACGGCCTCGCCACTGCCGTGGCCGCCAATCTCTTGGCTTCCGTAGCCTTCCGCCAGGACCACGTTGTCAATACCGTTTTCTGGCTCGCCACCCGCTGGCCAACTTCAGCCCCGCTCTGGATTCGTCGGCACTTCGCCCGCTGCTATCACATGGGCGGGATTCATTCCGCCGGCGCGGTGAGCGCGACGATCTGGTGGATCATCTTCGCCGTGCAGTCGACGATGTACTTCGTCAACGGGTCCCAAATCTACCCCATCAACGCCGCCACCGTGGCGCTAACCTTCGTCGTCCTCGCCTTGTTTCTGGCCATCCTCGTCATGTCGTACCCCTCCATCCGGATGAAAATGCACGACCAATTCGAATGGACGCACCGCTTCGCGGGCTGGACGGCGCTCGTGATGGTCTGGGCCCACATCGTCGTTTCCACGGCTTCCATCTCGCAGGCGAGCGACCAACCCCTGTCCCTGGCCCTGTCCCAGAGTCCAGCCATGTGGCTGGTGGTCTTCATCACCCTCTCCATCGCGCTGCCCTGGATGCGGCTGAGACAAGTAAACGTCATCCCCGAGCCGCTTTCAAATCATGCCGTCCGTCTGCACTTCGACTTCTGTACTCCTCCCCCCGGAAGGGGAATCCGCATTACCGACAGCCCTTTGCGGGAATGGCACGCCTTCGCCACCATCACCGAGCCGGGCAAAGCCGGCTTCAGCATCATTGTGTCTCGTGCAGGCGACTGGACCGGCCGCATTATTGAGAACCCACCGACAAAAATCTGGACCCGAGGTAGTCCTGCCTCAGGCGTCCTCCGCGTCGCTCCTTTGTTCAAGAAAATAGTGCTTGTGGCCACAGGCTCGGGCATAGGACCCTGCATGCCCGTCATCATGGCGGGGAAAGTCTCGTGTTGTGTATTTTGGTCTACGCCCAACCCGGAGAAGACGTACGGCGAGATCATTCTCAAGGCGGTCCAGGCCACGGATGCGGGCTCCGTGATATGGAATACGCGGACGCAGGGACGTCCTAATATGGCGCTCGAGGCGTACAAAATGTATAAGGAGAGTGGGGCTGAATGTGTGTGTGTTATTTCGAACAAGGTGGTTACCACCAAGCTGATTTATGATCTGGAAACGAGGGGAGTTCCGGCTTTTGGACCTATTTGGGATTCTTAAAGAAAGAGCGGGTAAGATTTACTTTGAAAGCATTTATTACCATTATATTCAAAAGTTTCATATGTTATCTAAGTGGAAATACTACTGGTGTGTGAAAGTGATGGGACATGCGAACTAAAATCTAAAGATCTGGACCACAATAGGCGATGTATGCTCATCAAGCACCCTGAATCTTCTTAAGCTTTCAGAATATTATGCGTCAATGGCTCCTGGACAGTGTCTCAAGATACCGGTTGTGTAGTGCATTCTTTGTGGGGATTGTTCGTCTTGACGATTGTTTTATTTCCATCTGTTCTGACAGGATATCTCTTGCTAAGGGTCAGACTTTCCAACATACGTAACACAATTTACGCAATATCCAGAAGCATAATGCCTTTCGACTCTACTTCTGTAGTTGTATGGGTGCCATTTGGTATCCAAGTTGTATTCGATGCCGCACTTATGTTGCCATGTGGAGTTGAAATTCAATACGATGCGATTGATACTAGAGCTTTAATGAAAGAGAAGTAACTGAGTCCTATTCCAATGGAAAGAGTTTGCTAGTAATATGAACGTTCTTCTACTTGACGGAAATATAGTTTAGGCTTATACTCGCGGCTCAGTGGACCGTTCGGCGTAGACTGGGCATTCAAAGAGAACGCTTATAAATTCGGCGGAGGAATTGAAAATGCTTGGCAAGATATAATACCTTATTAAGACACAAGTTTGTGTATTAAACATGGTAACAGGCCCCATGATTACAAGTTCGTATACTGTGCTTAGGTAGCCCCGAAGGTTAATACGGCTGATACAAATGGCCGAAACATGATATCAAACCAGAACTGTCATACCCTTTACCAGGCCTGTCAAACTATATATTGCAACCTTTAGCCTTGAAAAGATCCAGTACACTGCGGGTCGTTGATTTTCAATATTACGAAACGGTCCTGAGATTGCTTAGAGGACCAATCCCAACGTGTCTCAGGATAGTCTTTCAGTGAACACTCTAACCTTGACTTGGACCATTCGATCCTGGAACCATACTTGTCCACGTTGACAAACAATGACCAGTCCACGTAGCTGCATCGAGTTCCGAGACATGGTACATTCAGAAGACAGGAGTTGATTAATTACAGGTTATACTCCCTTTTCCGAAATCATGAATCTAATATTGGTAACCCGAATATAGAGCTGTAGTTAGGGCCACTTCCTAGGTTGTGCTTCGCGCAGCTACAAACAAACTATCCGAGCTGTAGAAGTGGTATACCTCCATGCCAAATTATCCATCCAGATATTTATGCATGGAGCGTTGTAGATATACAACGTGCCCAGTGATTTGCCTCAAACTCCCTTCCCAGAACCCTAAACACATAGAAGTAATTACCCAGTCCTAGCGTCTACAATCACTCACTCCTAGCCCAGTCCTCCAATTCCCTCTCAGCATAATAAGTATCACTGCGCAAGCCTGCCTACCTACATCTTACTCAACAAACCCTCCAACGCCACTTTCGTATCCTGCCCCGTCTCCTTGACCACCCTCGCCACGTCTCTAAACTCAGCAATCCCCGCATCCCCCATACACTCATACAACCAACTCTCGCTCGTGGTGATCGTCGCACCCTCTTTTCTCAACCGATCGAGCGCGATCCCGACTTCTTCCTTGTTGCAGCTCGACACCCCGTCCGCGAGAACGTAAACCTTGTGCCCTGCCGCCAAGAGGTCGAGCGAGGTTTGCGTTACGCAGATATGGCTCTCGATGCCTACGATGACGATCTCCGAGGGCGCCGACGATTGAAAATATTTGCTGAGTTCGGGAACCCACATGCTGAAGTAGGTCTTGTCGACGGTGCAGACGGCGGAGCTGAGTAGGGGAGCGAACTCGGGGACGGTTCCGCCTAGCTTGGCTGCGTTTTGAGTCGTTACGTAGACAGGTACTTTGAGGACTTGGGCGGCGCGGAGGAGCTTCTGGGTCGTGAGGATGCTACAGTCAGTGTCAGGGCCCAGTTGCTAGGGAAGAATGTGCCATTCCCTATGGGGGTATGGTTCGGTGAGGTAGGTAAGTAGGTAGGTACATTTTATCAAACTGCCAAATAGCATTCCGGAACTTCTCTTGTAAGTCGCAGACGCTGTTTGTTCACAGCGTGTCAGACCAGGCCCTTTAGTAGATAGCCAGAAACAACTGACAAGATGGCGGGTCTTTCTACTACGAGTGAGCTCTCATTTGTTCAAGTCAATTGGGTCCTCTGACAGACTTACGAAGACGACGCTTGGGAGCTCCTTGCTTGTCTGCCATGGCGGACGAGAACCGTAGCGATCTCGAGAAATAGAAGGGCCGCTGGATGTTCGTTTTGTATGGGTTTACGCAGCGAAGATGGAGGGTCGTTGGTGCTCGCACAAAGTTCATGAGTTTCGTGCTAATGTAAGAACGAAAGAGAGAAAATTGGACAAGGATGCCAGGAACCGCGAATAATTCACCAATGGTTGGTTGCGTAGTGATGAATATCACGACTCGGGGAGGTGCGGGGCAGCGGATGCGGGGTGGGGTAGCGGCCGCCGAGTTTCTGTTGCCGAAGTCGCTCTCCCCTGGAACATTTGTCGACAATTAGGGTCGATTTTAAAGTAGTAACATCGTGCGTTGCGTTGGAAGTTCAGATCAGCCATGTAGATGCACTACATGGTTACGAACAATGTATAGCATAGCTGTACTCTGTCGCAACTGTTTACTCGAGTACCGAAACCTTGGCCCTCTCCAACCACACCAAATCCCCCTTAACAGTGGCTTTCCGAATATTATACAGCTCGTCAAGGAAGGCCGGGACGAACGTGCCAGGTCCTTTGACATCTTGTCGCTCGGCAGCCAATTCCGCCGCAATCTCATAATGCAGCAGTCCCGCGATGGTGGCCGCCAACTTGTCCTCAGGGTATGCCGCAACCATGGCCGAGATGGTGGTCGCTAGGCAACATCCAGTCCCTGTCACCATGCCCAGATACTCGTGCCCGTTTTCGACCTTGAAAACCTTGGTTCCGGCGGTGACGAGGTCTGTTTTTCCTGTCATGACGACGATTACCGCTCTCATGACAGCTAGGTCCTTGACGACATTGCCGAGCTTTGTGAGATCGGTATCTCCTGCTGTGCTGTCAACACCACGTTGCTGGAGATGAGAACCGCCAGGGGTGCAAGTGAGGACCTCGGACTGGTTTCCTTTGATGACGTCAATATAACCACCACCGAGTATAGTCTTCGTTGCCGATCTTCTAACTTCAGTTGCGCCGGCCCTGATGTAATCATCAGCATCAATTTACAAGATGATCAAACTTAGACATTTCTTCGAGATGACTTACCCAACTGGGTCGAAGACCACCGGCTGCCCAGCGTCGTTGTATGCCTTGAGCGCTATCATGTAGTTCGTCAACCCATCCGGGGTCACAGTGCCCATATTGACGACGAGCGCACCGCCCAGAGCCGCAAGGTCTTTCGCCTCCTCCCCATAATTCGCCATGATAGGGCTAGCGCCAATGCTCAGTGCAACATTGGCCGCGATATTCTGTACGACCAAATTAGTCATGTTGTGCGAGAGCGGTTTCTTGCTGTCGACCATCTTGATGATCTTCGGAACCAAAGCCACAATATCCTCAGCTGATCTCGTCTGCTGATCCGGCTTCACAACGTTTTTTGCGAATGCCGGCGGCGACTTGACGAGTTGCAACAATTCCTTGGAGCTTGCTTCCGGATCGGCGGCCGCCATGATGGCGCTCACGATGGCAACTCCATCTAGAGCCTTCTCCTTGTAGGCGCTCTGCCACATGACGCGAGACACATTGGAGGCGTTTATACCTCCTATGCAGACGGTCTTGATCTTCGACTTGGAGGTGTGCAGGCATACGAGCATCTGTTGCAGCCCATCCACGCCGATGATGCTTTTGCTGTTCTTTTTCCTGACAGGAAATCAGCTCTTAGTTCTATCATACTGGACCCTCTGTTGAGATGATAAACTCACGTCAGAGTAGCAAACACCGTCCCAATGCCAATGTAATCAGCACCCCCCATGGCCGCCTCTTCCGTCTCTCGGAGGTTGCTCACGGTAACCCCAATGATGGCGTCTGGGCCCAGCAGCTTTCTCGCACTCGCGAGATCTGTCCATAGGTTATTAGCGCATCCACTCATCTCTCATGTCAAATTGAAAAGCTTCATTCGGAAAATCTCACCGATATCATCCTGTCCAATATGCACGCCTTCGCAGCCAACGGCGAAGGCAACGTCTATCCGATCATTGATGAGCAGAGGAACATTGTACTTCTTGGTAATTTCGTGTAGCTTGCGGCCTGTTGCGACGAGAACTCCAGTGTCGCTAGTTTTATCCCGGTATTGGACGCAGGTAACTCCACCCTTCAACGCCGACTCGACGACCTGGCAGATGTCTTTATCGCCTAGGATCGCCTTTGTCGAGTCTGTTACCAGGTACAACGAGTAGTCCACATCGGCTTTCTTCATCTTCGTGAGCGATGATTGTGTAGGAGTGCCTTCGTTGGAGTATTTACGTGCAGTGTGAAACTTGCAACATTTGGGGCCCCACCATGAAAGAATCCCGCTGTTAAGCACATCTCAGTGCAGTGGTCCAATTGTTTACGTCACCAAGTCACATATACAGGAGTAATGCATCTATACCTGAGGGAATGCCATGATTAGATGAATGTTTTTCTTTTGTTCATTGATCGTGCTACTAATAGCTTTAGGTTGCCCCTCTCTACAATAGAATCAGCCATAGACCAGCCAGGTCTGCCTTAAATCAGGGCTGTTCATCTGTATGTGATCGAGTATTCACTCGGCAGCTGTAGTAGGGGTTTTTGGTTTACTCGAGGGGTTCATCCACGAAAAGGCAGACGCACCGCCGACTGGATTGGCCGAGGTGCGGGTTGCATTAGATACTGCTCGAGTGTCGCGAGTTGCTGATGCAGTGATCGGCTTACTCTCTGTGCCACCGGTTGGAGTTCGCTCCGACTTCCATCTAAGAGCTGTACTTGGTGTGCTTTCAGCTGCTGGCTGACTCTTGCGCCGTTGTTCGCCGCTGCTTCTGGGCGGCGGAGGTGGCTCGTAAGCTGCACCAGTTCGAGCAGATGAAGAAGAGCTGGGCTTGCTAGGCTTCAAGACCTTCATGTTCCGTCCACGGCCCGCGGGCTGATATCCGCTCAATGGCGCATTCTCTTTCTGATCATGGCCATTTGCTGCCGAGCCCTGCCGCCAAGATGTCCAAATAGCACCAGTCGTTGAATCTCGACGAGCACCATCGCCTGAAGTCTCAGTGTATGTGTCGCTTGATGCCACTTGCTCCTTGGAGCTCACGTCCGAGCCGCTGGTTTCCTTGAAGTGCTTCTCTCCCTCCCCACCACTCTCTGACATGGTACTAAGTCCACGCTCCGCTGGGGGTCTGACGGGTGCCTCGGAGGTGGGAGACAGCAGTTCTTGCGAGTCGGGATCTATGTCGGATTCCTTCCTGTCTACACCGTTGGTCGACTTGGCTACTGTTGGTTGTTTTGGCTCCCCGAAGACAAAAGAGCGAGCGTTAGCATTCAGCTTCGGCTTTTCGGGGAAAATGGCTATTGTACGAATATTCTTGAAAGTGGCATTGTCCTCGGGGCGCACGAAAGGTACCGATAGCTTCTCTCGCTCAGTCCCATACAGCGTCATGCGATTTTGTGAGAAGAGAATGTCGGCCGAGTGTTCACGCAACGTCTCGCTGCCCAGGAAGATGCGAATGCATTTCTTTGACTCCGCAATGTCTGGTTGATCAAAACCAGCCACCTCGAAGTTCGCTATGAGGCTAGGCATCTGGGGTGCAGGGCTTGTGCCTCGAGAGCTTGTGGAAGCAACAGTGGCTTCGGCCAGGTATACAGGTAGTCGAATTCGGTGAACCCCGTCGAGATCTTTGTGGACCGCGTCTGCCAAGTCCAGCTCCTTGACCAGGGAAAACTCTAGCACCGACCTCTGTGAACCTGTGCAAATATCCGCGTACAGGAGGGTATCGTGTGCGAAGTTTGGCGTTAGCCAGCAGCGGATGATGGAAGGTACAGACCCTAAGATGAACAAGCCCGGGGGCGGCTCTGGCATGCTGATAGGCGAGTCCTCATCAGTCCCAGCAGTGGCAAAGTTGGTGTCGAGTCCAAGGCTGCTAGCCCGGCCAGAAGCCACAGAGTGGTGCGAGTGAAGCGAGTGGACCGAATGGCCAGCCGAGCTGTGTCTACCGTCCGACTTGTGCGACAGTGTTCGCTCCATCATGTTGCCCATGCCGCTTCCTGGTCGGATAGGACCAAAGTCGCCCGAGTGTCGACCATTTTGCGCCCAACTGGAGCCTTGCAAGGCGCTCTCGTCGAATCGAACACTGTTGGCTCTGGAAGCGGCGCCGCGTCTCGCCGGCTCATCTTCAGGCTCCAGGTGTAGGCTGCCCAGGAGATTCTGGCCCTGCTCCTCAAAGTCATCAAACATCTCGGTGGGAGGCATCTGGATGGGACCTGAATAACTACTGTTAGATACATTACACTAACAAAGACAAGGATACACACCGTGCTGTGGAGTGCCACCGAGTGCGCTGGGAAATGGCGAGTTCCAAACCGATTTCAGAGCCGCATCGTCCGCCTGCCGCTTCTCAAGACGCGACAGTCTCTCAGCATGGTTGTTCTGGACAAGGTGGAGTTGCTTCACGTCCATTTGGACACTGTAGAATTCTTCGCGGGTGACAGGGAAGCGCGAATCCATGCCCGATCCCCGATGACCTGTACGCAGTGTGCTGACTCGAAGACTCAGTCCAGTGTGAGAGTGGTGGTGGTGATAATGCTTCTTGTTGTGTCTTCGAAGAAAGCAGGTACTCGGAGGTGCGCGAGGAATTACAATTATGGAGCGTTACGGGCTGCGCTCAAGGCTTTGAACGGGGGTAGGCACCTTGTTGTTGCCCATCGACTTTGTGGCGTGACCGTAGCTGTCAAAACTTGGTACTTTATTCCACCTCCTGTGTTTGGGTCGACCTCAATCTCTAGGACTCAGTTGATGAGGTCCACCACCCCCACCTCATCGCAGCAGACCAAGAGGTCCTGAGCGACAGCGACGTACTACCTGCGTCGAGCCTTGATGTACAACAGTGGAATATGAGAGTGCTTGAGGTTCTCGATGTCGGACAGCACGTAGTTCAAAGGATATCCTTTTTGTCTCAGGTAGAAGCATGCAGATGTGATCTTCTCTGGTGGTCCCAGGGAGGTATGCCTACTCGTGGAGACGAACGTTGGATGGGTTACTTCGAGCTATGTATGCAAGACCGTAGCGAATGGAAATGAAGGTATAGACCGAAACTGTATTGATTATGGGCTGGTTTGGCTGAAGTGACGTCTTGGAGCTGTGGTTAAGTTGTGTTCGAGTGAACGTAGTGGCTTCGGAACTGAACGTTTCGTAGCGGAGGGCGACGGAGTGATCTGGAAAGAGAAACCGGTTGACGAGATAAGTGGGTGGATGAATAAGTCGGTAAGGGTCGAAACCAGTAATGGATTTGATTCGAGGAAGGAATCGGCCGCGTGCGTACCCGTGTTCAAGTCAATAGGCACTTTGTTGGCTGGTAGATTGATGATGATGACTTTCTAACAATGTAAGGAAGTTTGATGCACTCCGGCCCATCTTTCCACTTCACGCTGTTCTCCCGACGTTTTCACAGGCCGTCCAACCGTTCAACGTTGCACGGACCTCAAAGGGATCCGCTGAAGCCTGCAGTCGATTCGAGCAGAACCCTTGGACTTGGTACGTGGGGGCAGTTGATGCACCAAAAGGTGTGATCACGCCTGCCGATTAGATTTGGGGACTGACATGGAATTGTCACAATGCATCAAGTCATGTATGCTGATGGCAAATCAGTCTCATGGAGTGACCTTGCTTATTACAGACACACCTACTTATTTACTTAGGTGAGGACCCAAGCGGAGACTTCAAAGTCTGAACAGGTAGTCAGTCTACTTCCCATAAATCATGAAGTGGTCTTCCGCTTCTTGGAATTCCAGGAAGCTGCTATGACTTCTGAACATACTGAAAGCTAGGCCTAGATGAATTTTACCACTGGTTCTTATGCCTACATCCATTCCTATCCAAGTCTATTACGGTACGAAGCATTCCAGTAAGATGGGTATTTGCATCAAAAGTTCCTTCCTTTGAACTCTGAAAACAATTCCCAATATCAAATGGATTGCAATGACATCGAGGCCCAGCTTAAGTTCAATGCCCGTACTGCATGCCCCTCATTGTGGGGAAGGCTTATCGCTATCGGTCACTGGTACATAACTGGCCCCCTTCTGCACTAGCAATTCAAGATCCACTTAAATTTTAAAAGTTCTTGCAAATCGTGTAGTTTTCGGCGCAAAGCTTCAAGTTGAGCAGACCTCCTACATTTGTTTGTTGTTCCAGATCGATACCCTCAACCGGCGCCAGATGGGATCCCCGAGACTTAACATATAAGAACTCCCAAGATGACGACGGCTCTTGCCGCGCAACTTGCGCAGATCAATTCTAATATCAAGGAAGCTGTCGACCTCAAAGCTCAGAAGGCCGCCCATTCCAAGTCATTGATATTTGAGCCGAGGATTGCAGCTACACAAAACTTCCAGACGCTCTATAGTATATGTCGTGAAGGATTCGACGACTTGTGCCGTCTCGATGCCCATTTTGTCTCGTTTGGCACCACGATATTCAGCGAACAGAGCCGGGATGAGGACCGCAGCCAAATGACCCAGGACGAAAATGCAGAGCTGGACAAGAAGATAGAGTCATTTCTGCGCTTGGTCGGTAGCCGGTTGAGACTGAGTCCCGCCATAAAAGCTCTCGAATGGCTCATTCGCAGGTTTAGGTCAGTCTCTTTGCAGCTTGGGTTTGCGACACTATACTAAGCTCTCTTTAGGATTCACCAATACAATACGGCCATGCTTATAGCGACATTCCTCCCGTACCACTCATTACCGGCCTTTACGACGCTTTTGGATATCTTGCCATCCACGCTTCCCGCCGAATTCCGATTTCTAGATCCTTACAAACGATCATTGACACAGCCTCCGCGATCTGTTCTCGTCCACCGAGCCACTCATCACCCCGAATTTATGTCGGTCATATCCCAGTATACCTTGCAATCATGCAGAAGTCAGCAGCATTATCCTGTCTTAATATCCTTCTGGGCTAGCATCATGCTCGAGGCAGTAACCGGCATGTTGGATATGATGCGATCTGGACGTCGTAGCGTACAGAAGAGCAACGACCAGGCGCTCTTACACCAGATTGGACCTGTACTAAGCGAGGCTTTGGTGATGGACAAAGTATCCGATCTACAGATTGCCGCTTACATGATCACCGTAGCGTATGTCTCGCATGGAGATCTCGACGATGCTGTTATCACAGCGTTGATGGACCAGGTGGTTGAGGGTTGGACCCCTTCCACTGTTCGCCCTGGACTTGTCTGCTTGTCTATTCTCGCCCATCATCGGTCGGCTAAGCAGACGTCTAGAAAAACTACCAAGGCATTGCTTAAGATTTCGGGACTCTCTGACATGCTAGTGGTCATAGGAAAGGAGCACACGGTGGAAAAACTCGCCTATGGTTTCTGTGTGGCCTTGGTGGATAGGCTGGTTAGGAAAGGCGAGGCAAATGGGCTGCCCATCGTCGAATCGGTCATCTCGAAACAAATCCTCAGTGAGCAACAGCTCGGCTTTGTCGTCAAGTCTCTGATATTAGCTGCTCACAAAACCGAAGATGATGTTGATGATGAGGGTCGGGCCAGGAAAGCCCTTGCATCAACTATCGTGAGACTGTCTCAAGCAGCTGGAGACACGGGACGAGTATTTGCGAAGACCATCGAAGACACCGGATTTGACGTTGAAGAACTGGAAATGAAGCTGGGTACTGCGATCCGACCAAAATTGATCGCGTCACAAACGCAGCCTGAAGCGATGGACGAAGACCTAGAGATCGCCATAACGACTGAAGATTTCAGCTCGGGATTTGAGCGTCTCAACAATCCTCCAGAAACACATCTGGATTCTTGTCTTTCGTCGTCCCCGCCCGACATTTTTACGGACCTCTGCTCGCTTTACCTGACTGCGTGCAATAGTCCAGAAAACTTGACAGCTTTCGAAACGGTTGCATCACTCCAGAGCAGTCAGGCAACTAACGGTACATTCTTCTTCACATTCTTCATGCGAATCTGGTGTAGTCCTCGGTATCCAGCATTGGCACGGAGGAGCGCCTTACAGATGGTGAAAGAGCGCCTTAAGTCGGCAGATTGCACAACTATTGACTTCCAGGCCATGGTACCTTACTGTATCGCTGCTCTCAGTGATCCCTCGAAAAAGGTTCGCCGGGCTGCCGCAGATCTAGTCGCTGTTATAGATGCACTATGTGAACAACATGACGGCAGAACACGAATAACTTGGGGTCTCGAGAAACTCTATAACGCTACGGAATCTACTGAACGGATGAGTACAGAGACAGCCCGCAAAATGCTTCAAAACGTGGTCGTACCGAGCTTGGAGGAATGTGTGTTGAATGCTGATCACATACACGCCGTGGTCCAAAACGCTTTGAATAGTAGCTCGAGGGCCTCTGTCGACGGAAGTGGCAAGGACAGAAAAGGCCATCTCTCACATGGGACGCGATTGTCGGTATTTGCTTTCTTAGCCGCCCACGTCATTCAAACACCTCTTATAATCGTTAAACTACGGTTATTGAAGGCCATGAATCAAGTGAAAGGCGTATCGGGGACTACTCGTACGGAGCTGTTGCTACCACTGCTGCAATGGTGGGTGTCTCTGCCTACAGAGACAATTGACAGCATTTGCATTGCAGAGGATATTGAGCAGTCAACAATGGATGAGGCAGTCATGGATATACTTCTGCCCAACGAAAGGGCCGGACTAGACTTTCTCCTGGAAGTGGTTCAGAAGCCAGAAATGAACTCACGACCAGCTTTCGTACGAGCCGCATTTGGGCGCATTAAAAAAATGTGGTCCTCGATGAAGCTGGATGCGAAACATAATGTAGCTGAAAAGTTACTGGAATTGACTCTGGAGGACCCTTCAGGAGATGTCAGCGCGGTTTCTGCGGAGGCTGCCGATCTTCTCAAAAACGTTGAGCTCACCACAGACATACTGTTGGTTTTCCTGGAGTCATTGGAAAGCGCAGCCAAGTTAGCGGTGGAATTTCCTTCGACCAAACGACGACGGTTGAGCTCATCGGAAAACATGCAAACCGACTTACCTCCAAGCAAGCGACGGAGATCAAGCTCATCTGCGTCAAAGCCGACGGAATCTCTATCTCCCTCTCACAAGCAAAACCGGACAAGCTCACTGGAGGTGGATGGGCCCGTTGCCACCCAGCTTCCTCTAAAAGTGATCCAGGCTTTGAAGCAAGTCACTTTCATCCTACAGATTGTTGAAGGATCCGAACCCGCAAAGCACCCGCAGTTGCTTAACGCGTTATTCAATACCCTGTCCGAACTTCAGCACTTCCGAGCTCTTCTCGGCTCTGAACATGGGTACCTTCAAAAGCTTGTACTTGACAGTTTATTGGCCATGATGCCGGCTTACGAGAACGACAAGAGTCTCAAAATTGATGGGTCTGGTGGGTATGGAGATCTGCTGGTGACTTGCATCCAGAAGTCCTCCAGTCCTGCGGTCCAGAAGACTGCACTCCTCCTCGTGGCAAGGCTCGCGAATGTGGCTCCAGATCTGGTGCTCAATAGTGTGATGCCCATCTTCACGTTCATGGGAAGCTCCGTTCTTCGCCAGAGCGATGACTACTCCGCGCATGTCATCAACCAGACTGTGGAACAGGTTGTGCCGCCACTGATTGCATCGCTGCGAAAAGGCAAGAGAAGTCCGGTCGCAGGTGCCTCTGAGATCCTACTGAGCTTCGTCACCGCCTTTGAGCACATCCCGTCCCATCGGAGACTTGGCTTGTTTGTCTCTCTTGTCAAGACTGCTGGAGCGGAGGACTTCCTCTTCGCACTATTGGCAATGCTGGTTAACAAATATGGCTTCACAGGTGAGGTGCTGAGGTTTGCGGGCGAAGTATTCAACTACTTTGAAGTCGAAGTCCAGTTCCAGTCGTTGATCAAGCATGTAAGCCTGATTGGGGACATTTTCCAATCAAAGCGTACGCTTTCTACCGTGCTGCTCGGTGCGGGCGAAGATAACAAGCAGGATCCGCAAAAGATCGCGCTATCTCAATTGAACATGCTGCCGCATCTTTTGTCCAGCAGGAAGCTGACAGCCCACGTCAGTACATTGGCCGAACGAGACGATATGGACGCTGCCAAGATTCGTGAGCTATACGCCAGCCTCCTGAAGGATATTCTATCCTTGGCAGAGACTCTGAAGCCATACAAGGCGCTCCATAGTCGGTGTGGCGATGCAGTTTCCAAAATGCTCAACTTGTTGTCTATTGGCGAATTCATCAAGTCGGTTGAGACCTTGTTGGATAGGCCAGACGCTGTGGTCCGACGCAAGGTTCTTCGCGCCCTCCAGGATCGAATCGATCAGGAGCGACAAGCCAATGCAGCCGCGAGATCCGCACTTTTGGCCTTCCTTCCACAGCTTACGGCCATTATCAGGGCTTCTGATGACATGCCGTACAAGCATATTGCGGTCGAGTGTGTCGACAAGATCGCCGAGAAGTTCGGCAAGAAGGACCCAGAAGCCGTCACGGCTGCAGCGGAGACTATTGCCGGTGACCAGTGCCTTGGCCAGTCTGACGTTCGGCTGCGTATCATGGCGCTGTGCTGCCTAGCATCACTTGTGGATGTGTTGCAGGATGGAATTGTTCAGATTTTGCCAATCGCCATTCCAAAATGCCTTGCCTATATGAAGGAGAGTGTTGAAAACGGTAGCGCAGACGCCGAGTTGCCCAAAGCAAGCTATGCCCTCATGACAGCGCTCGCACAGCACCTCCCGTATATGGTCTCGAAATCATACTTGACACAACTACTGGCTATTTCCAGTGCTTCTGCCGAGCATAACGTGGCCGGCGAAGCTCGCATTGAATGTCTCCAGTCGCTGGCAAAGCAGCTCGACGCGAAGCTCATGTTCTCCGCCCTTGAGGCGAATTGGAGTATAGCTACAGAATCGGGATTCACAGTAAGAAGTGGCTCTTGATATTTTTTGGACATGGCTAACATAACATAGGCAACCAAAGAATACCTCGACATTCTTGGAGTGGCTATTGACAAACACACCAAATTGACTATCGCCAAGAATGGCCAGCTCTTGTCAACCATCTTCCGCGCAGCCTTTGACCTGCGCAGAGAACAGTGCACCAAGAGTAACGAAAGCTTCACTCCAGGACACCTTAGCCGCATCGAGGATACAACCAATGCCGTCGCCTTGCGCATGATCTTCAAGCTCAACGATGCTTCATTCCGCCCCATCTTCTCCCAGTTGATGGATTGGGCTGTCGCCCTTCCCGAATCCGACTCTACGGGCCGTAACCTCCGTCTGCTGAGCGTCTTCAATTTCTTGATCGCCTTCTTCGACAGCCTCAAGGCAGCTGTCACGAGCTACGCCTCCTATGTGATCGAAGCGGCCGTTGGTGTGCTACGGACCGCCAATCTGCGAAACCAGGAACAAGTCGAGTTGTGGAAGAAGGTCCTTCACACGCTGTCCAAGTGCTTCGAGCATGACAACGATGACATCAAGTTCTGGCAGGCACCGGCTCACTTTGGAGCCGTTGCCCCAGCGCTCACGGCCCAATTTGCCCACGCCGCGGCGGGCGTTGACTTGTATCAGGATTTATTCCCGGCCGTGGTCGAGTTGGCTGCAGCTGCGGACAGCCGTGACCACTGGAAGGAGCTCAACGGTGCTTTGTTGAAACACTTGCGGTCTGAGCACGCAGCGGTACGCCTAGCTGCCGTGAAGTGCGAGCAGGCTCTCTGGGAGCGACTGGGCGGCGCAGATGAGTGGCAGGACATGCTGCCTGAGACAGGACCGTATCTGAGTGAGCTGCAAGAGGATGATGACGAGGAAGTCGAGCGGGAAACGCATCGCTGGATCGTGGTTATTGAGGGCAAGATGGGGACGCAGTTGGATGGCATGTTACAATGAACGTGTCAGTGGAAGATACACTTTGGCACCGAGTGAATCCGTACATGGTTGGTGGTGGTGGATGAATGGACATACCCGAATAGAATGAGTGGTATTACTGTAGATGCATCTTTAGGTGTCCAAAATATCAATATCAAGGCAATAATTTTATACACCGAATGCCTTCATGACTGTTACTCCTACGTGACGGCTTTCGTTTCAGAGCATTTTTTGATAGACTGCACGTATCCATGACTGCGAACTGCCGTGGCATGAAGCTCCTGTCCGCCTTTCCTTTACGGCCACAACCCAGCCTCAATATATCTAGGTTAGATGATATACATTAATTCCGAGAGTAAGGGAAAGCACATGCTCGTCTCACACAACCACAGCATATCAAAGAAGTCAGTACTTGTATGTTTACAGTTCAATGAGCATATGCCAATTCTCATTAAGAGAGGGCGCTAATTGTATTTCCTGCATAGCATAGCGTGGCAGTTTGTTCGAACCCTAAAGCCTCTCAGCTCCAGCGTAACTACCATCAAGATAAGATAAAGTATAGCGTAAACCCTCAGTACATGGTACTATACTATTTTTGGTGAAAACATTTGAATCAGAAGTTCGTGATTGATCACATCGCAGAAACCCGAAATTTCGCAGGCTCGAAAGAATGTGGTTTCCCGGTCTGTTGAGCCCCTCTAGCTCCCCCCCCTCCTCCCCCCAATCCTGGCTTCCCACAACGGTCAGACAATCGTGTGAAAATAATGGAAAATCAAGCCGTGGCGCTCACAACCGGGGCCACATCCCTGCCCTCGCGCTGCAGCAGGGTATCCGTGAAGCCTGCGCCTGCGGGCCTGGAAGCGTTTATGTCAGTGACCATTTGCTGGTCGATGCCGAGCTGGGCATCAGTCCAGAGCGACTTCCCGACCCCGACAGTGTTGCTCTCGCCCACACCGATGAAGCCACCGTCAGCGGCCCACTCAGAGGTGCGCTTGATGTCCAGCTTGGACCAGATCTCGTCAATGGCCTCGACGAGCTGGTCACGATACTCCTTGGTGTGGCCGGGCGTGGGGGTGATGCGGAGACGTTCCTGGCCGACGGGCACGGTGGGGTAGTTGATGGATTGCACGTAGATCTGGTAGTCCTGGAGAAGCATGTCCGAGGCCTGTTTGGCAAGCGCAGCGTTGCCGACCAAGACGGGGATGATGTGCGACGGGTTTGGAATCACAGGAATGTCGCGGGTCTCGAGGGCTTCCTTCACAGCGCGGGTGTGAAGTTGTTGCAGTCTTCGGTCGCCCTTGTAGTTCATTTGGTATTCAATGGCCGTCTTGGCACCGGCCATAGTCGCTGGTGGCAGCGACGTGGTAAATATGAAGCCAGGGGCTACGGATCGGATCATATCCACGAATTTTGCGCTGCCAGCGATATATCCACCCACACATCCATACGCCTTGCCCAGAGTTCCAGTAATGATGTCGACACGATCCATGATGGTTCCCCGTGGTCGGCCCTGTTGATGCGCTTCAAAGTCGAGATGCTCAGCCACGCCAGCGCCCTTCGGTCCGTACATACCAACAGCATGAACTTCGTCGAGGAAAGTAATAGCGCCGTACTTGTCAGCCAGGTCCTGAATGCCCTCAATGGGGCCAATGGAGCCACACATGCTGTAAACCGACTCGTAGGCGATGATCTTGGGGGCGTGGAGTGGGAGTGATGCCAGCTTCGCCTCGAGGTCTTCAAGGTCGTTGTGCTTGAAGACGAGCTTCTTGGTGCCAGAATGACGTATGCCCTGAATCATCGAGGCATGATTCAGACTGTCGGACAGAATGACACAATCCGGCAGTTTGCTTCCCAGGGTTGCGAGCGTAGCGTCGTTTGCCACATAGCAAGAGCTGAACACCAGAGCGGCCTCCTTGGCATGCAAATCGGCAATGGTCTTCTCCAGCTCAATGGCATGTTTATTGTGGCCAGAGATGTTTCGTGTGCCTCCGGCTCCGCACCCGTATTCATCCAACGTTTCCTGCATCTTCTTAATAACCTGTGGGTTTCTGCCCATGCCCAGGTAGTCATTGGCACACCAAACGGTCACTCGATCTTCGGCGCTGTCGGTGTGGGCTCGAGGGAATTCCTTGGCGAGGCGGTTGATGTTGTTGAAGTAGCGGTAGGACTTGTCCTTGCGCTTCTTCTCGAGTTCGCCCTCGTAGAATCCGTTGTAGTCGAACTTGGAGGTTCGGTGGGCAGGCCCGCCAGGAGGGTTCGCAACGCTGGCCGGGTTCTTGGCTGGGGCCTTGGGCGGGTACTGGCCTACAGTAGGTCGTAAGTTGACATCCATAATATCATCGCGGTAGTAAGACTGACCAGTCTCGCCATGGTTGAACATTGGCCCGTCGACGGCTCTAGCTCCCTTGGAACGACTGGTATGGATCTTAGCCTTGCCCGACTTGGCCAGTCCAGCCATGTTGTGCATGCCGGCGACTGCAGCAGCACCACCCATGCCGCCGACTCGGGCAGACTGGATGGCCAGGGCCTTGCCCATGACGGGGCAGCGCTGACCGAGCAGCTGCAACTTGGAAATGGTGCCGCCGCATGGAGAGGCCTGGGGGCGAGTCGACGTCGACAGGGCGCGGAGAGTGGCCGGCGACGCCTTCTTCAAGAAGGGGCACATGGCCTTGGACTGGCGGAGTACGGCGTCCATGATGGCGGTAGGAAGTCAATTCTTCTCTGGGTTTTGGACGAAGGCGAACGTTACGTTCAAGTCAAACGCGGATTGGTGTTCGGGACTAAGTTTTGTCGACGTTGAGGCCAGTGGGGGAGGAGAATTGATCGGCCCACGGCTGTTTCAAATAATCCTGGGCCAACTCAGGACGGTCGAGGACGAGCAAAATGTTGTTGAGGGAAAGAGATGGGGTTCTCGAGGACGAGGAAGGAAATAGTAGTGTCCACTTTGGCACAATTGCTGATTACTCCGTCTCAGCACCAAGGGTTACACTAAATAGCACTAATGATATAACCGGGCGATCAGAGCAAATGCATCCAGTCGAAAGGACAGAAAGGTCCTCCGAAAGAGCGGGATTTGGTGATGCAGCTCATTTTCGGGGATAGAACAGTGAGGACCCTCCGCTATTTTGCTCTATTTTGCCCCGCCAATTCATCCTCGAGATAGGACGGCGGCGAGAAAGGCAGAGAATGTACAGGCGTAATTACCGCTTGTCTAATTGGTTGGATACATGCCATCTTATCCATAAACGGCTCCGCCCCTCGGACCACCGAGCGATTTGTTAGTTTGTCTTGTAAGCGCCAGTGACACAAGTCAAGGGCGACGCAAGGAATTCAGCGCCGTAGTCAGTCGTTGTTCGTTGTTACGGTTGAAGTGCGTCCAAACATCCAGGAAGTCTGCAACTAGGCCTCGCTTCAGGGTTTGGTTGCTGGCCATGCTCTCCTCAGTATTTGAAAAACTGGCCAAGACTTTGGCAAATACTATCGAGTCACCTCTCTCACTCCTTCACTTGGCCGGATCAGCTTCCACGACTGTGATGATAGCGTAATTTCTTGCTCAGTCAGCGGCATCTGCTAACAAGTCACTCATTATACCTCTCTTTCTCGCAAACCTTTTCATCCTCAGACTATCACCGGCACTCCTCCGCCTCCCTTCCAAACCCTTTCTCGTTCATGCGCGGATATAGCTCGGGCACCCAAATCATCCCGAAAACGAGAAACTGGGGACCCGACGATGTGGCAAGAGGGATCTAGAACTCAACAACCACCCATTCTAGCTAAGCTCATGTTGGACTTTACCCCACATATCAGACGATGATTTATTATACAAACTACCCCTACATACCACCCTAGTAGTGCGGAAACCCCGGGGTCTAAGGAATCAGGAGCAATACCGAGAATATTGCGAGACTCGAGAGGGGTAAAGTCCGGCTTCTTGCAATATACACTCGCGAGGTCTTATTACGGCGTTTGGCATCGCGCGGTCTGTGCTCAAGTATTCCAGCCATTCTGCATATACCGTTATTATCACGGGCGCGACAATAAATATCGTCGGTAAAGTAAAAGCATCGATTTTCGCGTTGCCTTTCTATCTGTCTACATGTCTACATGTCTGTCTGCCTGTCCTGTCGATCTCTACATCCTGCGGCGTGACCATATCAGTCCAGAGTAGTTAGGTATTCGTAGTGACTAATCAAGTGCTGCCCATTACGCCCGCCATCATCTCCTCACTCCTCGGCACTAGCCCAGCCGCCTAGTCCTCCTCGCCCTCCGCATCAAGGTCGTCCTGCTCCTCCCCCCTCCCCGTCTCGCCAAGGCCCTCCCGGCGAAGGCGCTCCTGCTCCTCAAGAATCACCTCCTCCTCGTAGATATGATCCCTCAGGCGCTCCATCTCGACCTCCGCAGAGTGGGGCCCCGAGGGGTTGGTATCATCCACGTAAAACGTGGTCCACTGCTGGAGTTCATTGACCAGATTCCGCATCTCATTAGGGCGGCCGCAGACGAGGAATTCCCAGTCGGCGCCGCCCTTTGTTCCTTTCCTTCGGGGCAGGATATTGACCATACCTTCGGTCGTCAGCCAGGGCTTGCGGACGAAGCGAGGGCTGCCGTCGTTTTCACTTCCAGCACCAGTTCCGGTTCCGGGGATGCCAAAGTCGAGATCAGCGCCATAAGCCACCAGGGAATCGATTCTGACACCTGTGGTTTCGGATTTGGACGCCTTCGTAGCGGCCAAGGTGGCATCGAGCGGGTGGGCGAGTTCGCCGAGCACTGCGACACGGCCGCCCAAAGAGGAAGGCGTGATGCCCTTGAGCGCGTGTCGAATGTGGTAGGCGCAAGTAGCAATTAAGGCCGTGGTTATCTTAGGAAGCTCGTGGTCGTCGCTAGTGGGTTGAAAAAAGTTTCCAATTGGACGGCGGAGGGCAGCTGTGGTAAACATGTTGCCGAAGAAGGCATCTGCGCCTGGTCCTGGTAGATAGCGGCGCGCATCGACGGCAGTGCTGAAGTGGGACAAGTTCAGGTTATGGTGGCGAGGGGTGTTGGCGATACGTTTGCATCTCGATCGGAGGATCGAGATCCAGAAAAGTGCTGAGATGCAGTCCGTCTGGGACAGGAAGGAGTTCTCGTTGAATCGGGGGTCGGTGGCCTTGAGCGACACGGTGCAGTCGTTCCTAAGCCTCTCAATGGTGGCTGCGGACATTGTGAAGATGCCAGTAGTAACTGGACCTTTGAGCGGCATCTGTTCGATGTCGAAGTCCCACTCAGGCGTGATCATGGAAGGCACGAACTGTCTGACGCCGGGAATCATGTACTCAAGCGTCTTTGCCTGGTATTCAGTGATTTCATCTGGTAGCTTCTAGTTATTACCTGGAACAAAGTGCGGCTTCGCCGATGTTCCACGGGATATACAGTGCTATCCCATGGAATTAGAAGTGCAATCCCGTGGAACGAAGCGAGATGGCGTACCTTGCGGGCCAATATCGCCTCGGCATCCAGCAGCGAATTTGTCCAGGAACAGCTTAATCGAGGTGCCGTCAGCAATGGACTGCTGAAAGGCAAAGCAAAGAATCAGTCCGCCACCATTAATATCCTCGAGGAAGTTGGCTTGGAGCGTGAAAGCCGGACGCCAGTCGCTATTCTTGAATTCGGGGGCCGCGCAGTACTTCTCCTTGGATAAGTGGGATACGGGCATCCGCTTGACACAAAGCTGTCGGTACGAGTTGCCGAACTCATCTCGCGGGTGCGTACGAATCTTGAAGATGTCGGTCGTGACAGCACGTAGGTCTGGGGTGTCGCCGTACCGCAGCTGGACCACATCGTTGCGGATCAGGTCCCTGCCTGGACCGACGGTGCCCGTCAGGAAGGGGTAGTGCTTAAACGCCACCTCGAGGCCGCGGCGGAGGGCGATGGCGGTGTCGTTCTTACGGCCCTGTGAGAGGTCGGGGAAATCGAAGATAAACATACGGCGTACATACTTACGGCTAACTATGGACAGGGGTGAGCAATAGTGCAAACTTCAGATATCTTGCAGACCATGGACATACCCGATTGATCGATGTCCGACAGTGGGTGCTCCAGCTTGAGGAAGCGCTCCTGGACAGAAAGGGGGTCACCCGGAATAAGTTCGTCCATTTTGGTCTGCAAGATACCCATCTTCCCGTCTGGCTGGAGTTGTTGCCACGGGGCCTTATTGCTCAGGTGGACTTTGAAGTCAGCCATGATGGCGCTGGTTTTGTAAATATGTATGTCGTAGGGAGGCAAAGGGAAAGCGCGATTCGCTTAAAGAAGAAGCACCTTGTTGTTCTCAATTGTCAGGTACGCAAGTGAATGGAACCAATGTTGTTAAATAGAAGCAATCGTGGATGAATAACCTGATGGAATAACGTGAAAACATTGGCTAGAAGCAAACTCGCTACATATTCGAGTAAACTTGGAATAACAATGTAACTGTCTTCCTTGTAAGTGAAAAGTACACCGGAATTATAGTCAGCAACAGCCCAGTTATCATCTGGTATATTTATTTAACGGACTGATAGAGTAACATAGGAGTTCTCCTGTAGGATAGTTTTAGAGATAGTACACTAGTATAGAAGTATCTATCACGACAGCTAGGAAACTCTATTGTATATAAGGCAATACTTTGATTTAAATATATCTTTCAAGTCTCGCGGGATTACACGTCATCTACGATTAACTACGCCTTGGTGTTGTGACAATATTTCAGTTCTCAAGTATGGCCTCGCAACACAGTAATTGCCCCTTTCCGGCATCGACATCTTCTGTTTGTTAGCCACCACAAAGATGACAATACTTGACGATGGTGTCAAGTCTGACTTGCAATTGTGCTCCTCTCTGTAAGACACATTAACGCGTACCATCTGAGTACCGCACTCCAGGTTGAGCACTCGTCCAAGTCCAATCTGGCCATGGCCATTGTCGCATGCAGCGCCTGCAATGGCTTTCCACGACGATAGCAGCCCATCCCCTATGGATAAGAGGGGGTTCGTATAGCCTGGCAATAAGTGCCCCAATCCATTTTACCAATATGGCTAAATAGACCCCACTATGAAGATATGTCAGATTCTCCAGAAACCACCATGGGAACCGTCCGGAACTGCCACTCCCTCGATGACTCTGCTCTTGAGAGTGGGTTATTTCGCCATCCTCACCCCCACACCAGTTGAAGGTCCCCAGGGCCATGGAATCGCCTGCCAGAGCCTTCAGGACAGGATGAAGTGACCGTTAGATAAGCGACTTGTGGCGGCGCGAAATGATACCCCAATGCCTTACTGCCACAATCCAGCTATAACTGGAGGTATACTACGTCAGAGCATACCAGCACAGCCTACACCCGAGAAACAGTGACGCTCGCATATTGCCTGGCATTTCACGTCGCCTCTGCCTAACAGCAACAGCATACAACTGAATAACGTAGACAACTGCCCTAGCATCCGACAACCTTCCTGTGCAAGCTCTTCCTAGTCGGTCTAAGTGCCCAATACACTCAATGTCAGCGCAAATAACTGCGCCCATACAAGTCAATCAAGGGGAACGCGTATTGCTGCAGACTCACGTTCCATGCTTTACGATTGGAAGCTCTATGTCATTCCCGGAGAGGAGGGAACTTAGCAATGACCTGTGGAGGGGCGGGTTCATGCGGGATACAGCAAGATCAAGTGTCGCAATCGGGCCACGCCATTCCGAGCAAGATGCTGTTCATGACCAACATAAAATGGAAAGCCGTAGCGGATGCCCATCGAAACCATACTCGTAATCCAGTCGTCGATATACTGGTCGCTCTTCCTTTTTCCATATCCCTTGACTTTCCGCACAGGGAACCCAGAAAGCAAATTCAGGAGCTCCTCCGCCATCGAGACAAACACATCTGGAGACGTGTTGATGCTGATCATGTCAGAATAGCCTAGCTGTTCTAGGGGGGTGAAGTGTGCATTATCAGAGGAAACAAGAGGTGGACCTCTACAACTCAGAGGCTGCTGGCACAACATTTGGCTCGTGGAAAATTAATTTGTTCGCGCATCTGTGAGTTCAGCGTGTGATGTATTCTGAACCTATAGGAGTACACCACTTGAGCGACAGGTAGCTCCTTCTCACGGATTGATTGTCGAGCCGTTAAGACGTCCCGCTAATTCCTTGTCTTCCGATTGGGGCTGTTTCGGTCAGCGTGGTCTCCCACAGGAATTTAATCGCCCTCAAGACGGTGTGGTGGAAGTGATGTGACATTCCGATAGACGATTTCGAAGGACCTTCATGACCCGAACCATCCAATCCGCCTCCCTCGACCAACTCCGATCTCTGATAATGAAAGAAATACACGGTGTTGTCAGCAACTATCCCCTCTAGATCCTCGACACTTTGTGCTTCCTGCTGAACCCAAACGCCTAGGCTGAAAGCTCGACACTTCCTGTGTACGGCTCTGCCGATTTTCTATGAACAACTATGTTAATAATATCATGTCGTTTTAGACAGAGTGGTATAAATATTGATACAAAATGACGCGATATTTGGCCCACCCCGTCCTGATTGAAACATCCTGAATGAAACATAAACCGTTTCAATGAGGTCGAGGTCGGAGCATGAAGTTTTCATCTATTGCCGGGTGCCGTTCACGCGTGCCTCAACCTTCTCGCGATGCTGGCGATTTTTCAGGTGTATCTCAAAGTTTCCGGCAGCTGTGTCAGGTCCGGGTGTATAGAGCTTGCCGGGGCAGTCAAGACAGCGAATCCGCGGCAGGAAATAGAAGCGGACGTTGGGAGGTGTTGGTTGGCCAGCTTGCGGCATGGCACAAGTCATTCCCGTCGTGGCATCCAATGCTGTATAGCGCATGATGCCTTCAAATCGGTCGTTCTTGTAGGCATCTTGTTGTTCGAAATTCTTCAACGCTTGGGTGAGCCAGGCTGGGGGAGGGGGCTATGATGTGTTGTGAGTACATGGTTCTGCTTCGTGATAGTTGTCAATTGGTATTGGAATGGGGAGGGAATTTGGCTATGTGTCGAGATGCCTGAAGATACTCATAAATCGTAGAAGCTGCTTGAGAAGCGAAACATGGAGGATTTAGATCGGGAAGATGGGCGAGGGGTTCTTACAGGATTGGGCACACCCTCCGCAGGCGGGGCCGGGGCTTCGACACGACCAAGCTGCCCAGAAAGGACACCGCCGTTGCTAGGAGTATTTGCAGGAGCCGCGACAGTGCTGGAGGCATTAGGAGTAGAAGGGGGAGGCATAGTGGTTTGTGCGGATGCGCTTGGCGCTCGAGTATGGGATTGGGAGGGTGTTTGGGATCCGGACGGAGAGCTCTGCTTCATTTTCATGTCGCGAAAAAGTTTCCTTAGCTTCTCCTTGCTAACTTTCAGAGATACCCATAGGTGCTGTGGTTCTTCTGTCCCATCCCGCGTTAGTTCGCGCCCGAATCTCCTGGATGTTCGGGTCTCATGATGGTGTATCGTGGCTTCAGGGGTTTCAGAACGGCCCAAATTGGCCATTCGTTGTTGCGCGGCCGACGCAGCGCCCCGGATGCCTCGCGTTCTGACGGTGCCTGCCGGCTGGGATGCGGCAGGTGAATCAGGCGATGAGTCGTCGCTGTCATCCGAATCAGACAAGTCGCCGTCTCGGACGCCTGGCCTCTTGCCCCTGCCTGTAGCACCGGCAACCCTTTTGTACAGTCTGCTTTCCTCAATATTTGTGGCCGCTCCAGGTAATGTTGACGACACCACGAGCGTGCGAATGGTTCGCTGCCTCTCCTTCAAATCCGGCAACGAGGGCCCGCCTCGTCTGTTGACGGACCTCTTTTGTCTCCGTTGCTCGCGCTGGAATATGACCTCATTCCTCTCTAATTCTGCTTCGCTGAGCTCATACAAGTATGGGGCATATTCCTTTGCTTGCTGCTGGGGCCTGAAGACTGAAGTTAATGGCGAGGGGAGGAATGCGGCCACCAGATCGGGGTCCTCAACGGGTCTACCGTCAAACGGATGACCAACAACATACAGACTCCGTGTAAAGAGTTGAGTCTGCTCCCGGATGCAATGAGCAATGGCAGTGGCAAATTCCCCACTAAGAGATAGTTCCTTTGCCATGCTCGCCGCAAACTCCTCGGGGGAGTTTAATGGGTTGTTGATTTCCCACTCAAACTGGTCCACTAGCGTGTGCTGCCCGATAGTGATGTTCAATTTGACCAATATTCTCATCTCGTCATTTTTCCAAGCAGAATAGGGCAGCTCCGGGTCCAAAGCATCTTCATCGGAGAAAACAAACGGGTAGAAGTCGTTGAGTTGCTCATGTATCTGCTGCAGAGCCTGATCGTAAACAGGTTGAGCAGCGGGTGGTTTCAAACCCATATCCTCGACCAGTTGCATGGCGAAAAGCTCAGGAGCAATTATACGCTCATGAAGATTCCATGTGAAGGTGTCACGCAGCCTGATTTTGTCCCAGTCTACATCCAGACGTACTGGGACCAGCTCCTCATGTTGCTCGGCCTGCTGCTTCATATCCTTCCTACTCCATTTCAATAAGGCTGTCGACCGCTTGCCTGGCCTCGGCTTTTGTTGGGGATACAAGAGCCTCGCAGGTCCTCCAATCTCTGTGCGCCCATTGCCAAATCCACTGTAGCCCTCCCCGTACAGCTGCTGGGCGTGAACCACGGGCGATATTCTCCCCTGACCAGTTTGTAGTCTGCAATAGTCTTAGAAGCGCGTATGTTGTGCTTATACAGTCGATCCTTATCACTATCAATAGCAGCTGCATGGATGTGATCCCTCGTCACATATTGATTTATGAGATACTGGTTGAAGTGTTCTGTTTCGTGCACGGCTAGGGTGCTGGTGTTCGCATCGGGCGCATCTGACTTGTCCTTTGGAGTCGATGTCGACGAGCGTTCCGATTTGGCGGTTGATGCTGAGGACGACGCGGCAGCAGCGCCAGTCGCGGCGCCAGAGGCCGTCTCGGAGTCCTGCTTTGTCGCCATTATCGCATGGAATCAAGTATCACATAAGACTCTATTTGAGCGGACCAACGACAGAGTAGAGCAGTCGTGATGATGGGATCTTAGTCGGTGAATGCTGCGCGCGCGGTGATTTGGGTTTGGCGTTGCGCGAAATGCTCAAGATGCCGCCGCTATGGGCTATTCTGGGCCCGGGGCCGAATTGTTCAAGACGAAGCGACACTTCGAAAATGGCATCAATTGGGTTGAATAGAAGGGAACTTGATGATGGCAAGCACTTTTGACGCAAAGCTGGATGGGTCTGAAGAAACGAAACGCGACCGCGCCATAGCTGCTGCTTGATTGATCAAAATGGCCCAGTCTCTACCTTTTTCTCGCCGATGATGTCCCGGGCGCCAAGGCCCACTGCTAACTAATAACGACGTTGAAGTACGAAGTACGAAGTACCCCATATATGTATGCTTGTAACTGCGAAGTTGTGACATAATCAGCGGTCGGAGCTACCTGTGAGGACAGAAGCTAAGGCACTTCGTGCTGGACTACTGGAGCTTTACTGATCAATGACCTTGTACGATCCAACTGTTCAGTTCAAGGTACTTTACTTAAGGTACGTAGCAGTAGCCAATAACATGAGAGATCTCACTGCAAAGTGCGCTTGCCCAGGCAACCCCCATCTTAAGAAGCAACGGATGGACGTCACAGTTGTTTTGGGTTCTAATTTTCAGCAGCCAAACCGCCTCGTCTCAGTAAATCCCAACCCACAACGACCCCGCAGCTGCGAGAAAATACGAAATCCCAAAATACCTTACGGCGCAGCCTCACGTTCCTTTTTCTCCATCCTTGACAGCCACTCGCAATAACGGAATCCACGCATCTCACTATTTGCGAATACATAAGTCAAGATGGCGGACAAAGGCGAGGTAGTCGGTTCGTACATCTCTCAACTTCTTTTGCAAGACGAACATCTCAATTCCTCCCCTGAGCATCCGGCCCGCATTATGCAGCTCTCTCAATTTACCCCGCTATCATACTGGAGGTTTCGACAGAGGACTCAACACGCGACTGGACAAAATAGACAAGCTAACGTCTGCTGCAGACTATTCTCTGAATAATCCAGATACCCTTACCAAGTATAAGGTTGCTGGCACAATCTCCGAGAAGGTGCTTGCCGCTGTCTCGAAGCTATGCGTTGCGGGCGAGAAAATCGTCACCATCTGCGAGAAGGGAGACAAGCTTCTTGAGGAGGAGGTTGCCAAAGTTTACGCGAAAACCAAGCTGAAGGGTAAGTGGTTGATTAATCACCAAACGATGTTTGTTGCATGAACAAGTCCATTGACACGGCTTTGGTCACAGGTTTCGCGCACCCGACGACCGTCTCCCCAGCCACTTTCGTAACGCCTTACACGCCACTGAGCTCTGACGAAGCCGAGTCCAAGGTCGAACTCCAGCCCAACGAACCTGTCAAGATACAGCTAGGTGCTCAGATCGACGGATTCGGCACCATTGTCTGCGGGACCGTGGTGATGGCTCCCAAGGACGAGGAGCAAGATGTCGTTACAGGTCGCTCGGCCGACTTAATTCTCGCTACTCATTACGCCAATGAACTTCTCCTCCGTCTCATGATGCCTCCTGGACTTCTAACGTCTGGTACTGATGAGGAGAAGGCCAAGGCAGCTTCGGCGAAGCCCCCTACCCAGGCCAGGATCACATCGCTTCTGGAAACCATCACCAAGAGCTACGAGTGCAACCTGGTGGAGAGCACAACATCGTGGCTCTTCGAGCGTGGTGAAATTGAAGGCAAGAAGAAGGTTGTCATTGCCCCGGGTGAGGGCACCAAAGGTGACGGTATTCCCGAGGTCGGGGAGGTTTGGGGCGTCGAGATGGGTGTCAGTCTGTCAAGCGGAAAGGTCAAGAGCATGGAGCAGAGACCAACTCTCCACCGTTTGATTAATGACAATGGCATGGCGAAGCGCCCGACATCCAAGAAGCTCATGTACGACGTCAAGAAGAACTTTCACCACTTTCCCTTCAGCTTGAGACAGCTTGAGAGCGAGCGGGATGCGAAACTTGGAGTTCTCGAATGTGTCCGAAACAACCTCCTGCGCCAATATGAAGTTGTTGGCGATAAGGATGGTGCCCCCGTCGCACGACTCCTGACCACCATCGGTGAGTGTCTGTTAACCGATTCCATTCCATTCCAGCTAATCGAAGCTAGCCATCACCAAGAACGGCGTAACGAAGCTGGGAGCCCCTCCTGCTCTGGACGTGAGCAAGTTCAAGTCAGATAAGAAGATCACGGATGAGGAAGTCCTGAAGATCCTCGAACAGCCCCTGTCGAGGAACAAGGGTAAGAGTAAGTCCAAGAAGAAGAAGAAGCCCGCCAAGAAGGCAGCAAAGAAGGTCGAGGACGGGGAAGAGAGCGAAGAGGAGAGCGATGACGAAGAGTAAGATGACTCAGTTGGCAGACATGTCACCTGCAGTAGATGCTACTGCGGCACGTTTTTTGTTGATGGTTGGCAGATGCAGGAAAAGGCAAAGGCACCCTTGGGCTGTTCAATACAAGTTGGCATGAACTTGGTCAACATGGCTAAGGCAACCGAGCTGCTCTTGCGGAGGCACGCATTCTAGGACTTGCCGAATTGATGATGCATCCATCGTAAGAGGGCTGAGCGGGTGCCCCCAAATCAAACTCGTAAATTAGTGCTAAAGTATCTGCTCGTCAAGCAAAAAGAAACTCTGCCCAAAGAGACTGAAGTCATCTTGACAAAGGAACAATTGTGACTCAACGATGGCAGGATATCTCCTTGCGAAACTGCAAGCACTGCGTTAAGTACGTGCTTGGAAGGAGACCTGTGAAGTGTAGCCTGTCAGGCTGTAGTTGGCGGAGCCAAACATGCATGATCAGGCGGTCATAGAGGTGGGACGAGTTTGAGGGCAGGCGACCACATGGAGATTGTTTATTGCCTGCCAGTGCCTCGTGAGGTCGCGGTGAAGTGGTGCTGAGAAAGCAGGGACACAAAAACACAGCAGCTCTCAAGTTCTAACCTAGTTCTGTACTTCTTCAAACACGATGAACACCTGAAAGGGAACGAAAGAAAAGAGAGGTTGCGCAGGATAGAAAAGAAATCAGTGAAGTTGATCTCACATTGGCACATACTAAAGCATCGGCAGGGGTTGTGCACAATCCCAAGCAGATCAGAGGCTAGAACCTTGGGAGGGAGTGAGAGTGGGCTTGGAATTTGCCTGTCGGGAGCGCCTTGGGTCGTCCACCGACTCCGAACTTTTTGGAGCTTTTCCGCCCACTTGAAAACACACAACCCTCCCTTCCCACAGCAAGCAGGACGAACGCCGCCACGGAAAAAACGCGCCAAATTGCCGTCAATAGATGCGTTGTCGATTGAGAGAAGTAGAGCAGCCGTCCTTTTGGCGAATCGAACGCGCGCTAATTGTGTTGTGCAGCCGTGAAAACAAAGGGTGCGCGCCCACAGTGGCCGAGGCAAAAGGGGCAGACGCCCAGCCCGAGACAGAATGCCCGCGTCGTCCAACATCAAGCCCACTGCCCGCTCGCGTTTCTCGAGCCCACTGCACCTTTCTGCCAGCTCGCCATCGAGTCATAACAAAGGTTTATCTACCGAGGGCCAAAGGACATTTATGCAGCGTTGGTTGGAACCACCGGTCCAGAACAAGGCGAGCTTTCAGGAGGCCGGTTTGATGAGAGCTGGCGTGGTGGAAAACATGGCACCCTTGGGCACGCTCCCCAAGGCTGCCACGGCCAAGAAGACCGCAGCACCTGCTGAGAACACTCCGGCTGCTCAGTCAGTCAAGCGTATCGTGTTCAAGTCTTCAGCGAGGCCCAAGACACCGATGGAGGAGGGCAATGTGGAACAGCCCACAGCGGCTGGCCCGTCTCCGCCCAGGGACACTGGCGATGCAACCATAACCTCTCCAACACAGCCAATTTTCCCCATCAATGGGCTGGATGATGAAGAGGATGAGGATTATATGCCAGTGATGAACAAGGCGAGGGTGCGTCGCGCAGCGCGCATCAAAAACGCGACACACCGTCCCATAAGATTCGGTCGAAGGAGTGGAGATCGGCCGCAAAGCCCTGTTGCTCCCAAGATTCACTCACCAACTCAACCCCCAACACCATCGCTCACCTTTCAACCTCCCAATCCCAGATTTAATCACAAGCCAGAGGACAAAGGACTTGCAGACAAGGTGGTCGAAGCTGCAGTGGAAGAGGCGCTTAGTCACTATCGCTATCCTACTGCCTGGGCCCTGCGCCTGCTCTACGATGAAAACTCTTCAGATCCGCGCTTCGTGTCCATGATTGAGGATATCTACCACCAACGAGCTGACGTCGAGACACTTCAGGAGTTTAACCGGCTTGTTGCCGACAAGAAGAAAGAAGGCAAGAAGGAAAACAAAGGCTGCTATTACTTTGTGCCACCTTCCACCAACAGTCGCTTCACTCCGCACAAGCCCAAGGCTGCACCATACGGTGGATTGCTCACAATGGATCTTACCCCTGTGAAAGAAGCCAGCATGGAGCTGGATGGCCATGTCAGCAAGAAGCTCAAGTTCGAGGGTAGTCACGGTCTTAGCCACGGTCACAGCGCCGCCACACCGAGTCACGTCCCAAGCAGTACAAACGGCAATGGCTTGAACGGTGTTGCCAAAGGCCTCAAGGCCAAGAAATCACCTAAGGGCAGGAAACACCGCTGTGGTTCGGTCAGTAGTGACTCGTCGCTGTCGTCGGTGCCGGATGACATGCCCGACAACTTTGCCGAGTTTATGGATCAGGTGGACGATGAGGACCTTGGTGTTTCGCGCCCCAGCACGAGCGCTGCCGAGCCCAATAATGCGCCCACCCCAATCCCAGCAGTCCCGACCGGGCCAATCAGCGCACGCCAGAAGAAACCCGCAGCCAAAAGGAAGAATGCCTCGCCCAAACCTGATCCGTCCGCTACTCAACCTTCTCATCCACATGATTCGGACATGCCCGCCGCCATCCTCACCAACGGTGCAGCTCATCACCGTATCGAAAAACACGCCACTGGCCCCAAATCCAAACGAGATTCTGCTGCACCTGGGGACAAGATTTTTCAACTTAAGTTGCAGACCAAGTTGCAAAATATTGGCCTCACCAGCTCGCGATCATTTGAGAGCTTCACCCGGCAGCCCCTTGCCGCCGATCCGTTGGAGGAGGAACTGCCGGCGCTGGCTCCCACGGAGCAGAACCGTTCTGTCCGAACGCCAGTGCTGACGCTGAGAGCAGCCAGAGCGGCCAAGAGGCACCATGATGATGCCGATCAGTCCAGCTCACCCACTGCCTTGTCCTTCAGGGCCGACTTTGAACCCTCTTCAGCACGCGACTCGAGGGCCGGCACCCCGTCAAACTTGCGGTCCACCAGGAAGCAGCGAAGTGGCGTGCGTGTTAAGAACTCGTAAGTTCTCGTTATGTATATTTTCCTGCAACTTCTCAAGTGGCTTGAGAGAAGGCACGCAGCCCAACCTGCTGCTTTGTAGTCACAACCAACAACCTGTCACTAGAAAGTGGCAATGTGGCATCACCCAACGGCGTTTTCATTTCCAACACATTATTCCATCGAAATTATCCAGCTTTTCATCGATGTCGTTTCCCGCGTGGGTATGGGCTTACTGACAAAATCTACCTCACAGGCCGATGAAGAAGAAGGGCACTGCTGCCGGAGTTCCTCGTGGCAGTGGCGAGCGCCCCAGCCCAGTAGGCAACGGCGCATCTAATGACAGAGTAAGTTTATGTTCAATCCATCTTCAATTCCAGGAGACCCGGCTGCCAATGCAATACGTTTTCGCAACGAAACCTCCGAGTTTTCTGGCCGCTTGGGTGAGACAGGCGAACTCCAAGTGTCAACGCGTCTTCGTCGTAGTCTCATCGTCCAGTGGCGATAACTCCCGCTTTTGCCGAAACTCTGCGGCAGAATTCCGCGACGTTCCAGATTGATGATACTGACGAGACGCACCAGGACGATAATGACGACTCTTGTTACACCTGTGGTGGGAATGGCGAATTGGTGTGCTGTGATGGATGCCATTACTCGTTCCATTTCTTGTGCATCGACCCTCCGATGGATGAAAGTCTCGTGCCGGACAAGTGGTACTGCAACGAATGCAGGCATGTTTACTTTCCGGACCAGTTTACCGGTCACAGAGGCGCCTTTAGCTCGCTCTTGGACAACTTGGACAAGAAGAACCCTCGTGCATTCCGCCTGCCCCAGGACATACGAGAGCATTTTGAGGGGGTTCGAACTGGTGCAGATGGCGAATATGAGGAGATGACGGCTATCGGCAAGCCTAAGTGAGTGGCCCCATATCCCCCCCCCCTCTTGCACTGCCTGTCAGCTGACATACATCAACACCAGAGTCAACAAGAAGGGCTACGATGAGCCCTTTGACTTTTTTAAGGTCAGAAATGCCGAGGGAAATGCCGTTTTGTGCCATCAGTGTCATCAGGGCACAACGGACAATCGCCCCATCATCCCCTGCTCGGTTTGTGGACTCAATTGGCATCTGGAGTGTCTGACTCCGCCGTTGACTATTCCCCCGGTGCTCCGCACGTGGCGCTGCCCCTGCCATGTGGATGACATGTTGACCACCGATCTCGGCCCGGCGCACAAGTATCGCAAGCTGAGGCATGCCTCCATCATTGAGCAGACGTATTCGCGGGGCATGACCAACAACGGCTACATTGAAGTCGAGGAAGATAGTACCGATGACGAGGCTCTGAAAGCATTCGAGAATCGCAACGACTACGGTCACGTCTACCGCATACCCGAGAGCGGTATCAAGCGAGACTTCCTCAGCCGGTACGATCTTGGTAGCAGTCTCTGCTGGACCCTGACAGACGCTGACATTCATAGTGTGCACAACAACCGACGCCAGGCTTTAAGGCGATCCCACGCCTCCAACCCCGCTTTGTCGGTTGCACCTCAAGCGCCGACCATTGCGGAGCAACAGGCAGCCTTGAACCTTTCCCAGCTGGCTAGTGACAGTGGCGTAAACCAGCTGGTTAAGGCTTTGATTGTATGTTGCCGTTCGAAGATAGCCAAGTGCCTTGACTAACGTATCCCTTTTAGTCTCAAGCTAGTCCAGCTGTTGTGGCCATGATCGCTCAGGGAGATGCTCAGCGTATTGCCACTGGTGACTTGTCAGCAGCTGACGAGCAAGCGCTGAGAGTCATGCTCCTTCAAATGGATGCCGTAAAAACCGGTATAATCCAACTTCTTGAGAGTCGTCAGCCCAAGACTACTCAAGATGGCAAACTCACACCGGCGCCGCCTGCTGCTCTCGTTGCCAGCCAGAGCATCGAAAATGATAGTGCAAGTACGGTTTCGCCGACCTCTTTGAATGGCAACAGTCTCGGTATGACTGTCAAGCAAGACAGGCAGTCTGAGAACTTTACCATGGAAGTGGACTGATTTCGAAATGCTGCTTTTCTTGATGGTGTCCCTGATAATGTCAACATGATGGCATTGCAGTCGTTGTTGCTCTGCATTTCATGACAAACACTCCTACCCATTCACATCGGACACTCACTCCTACTACTGTCAACATGTGACAAATAATGTACAAATATACCTCCTTCAGCGGGAGGCCCAGGCTTTCGTCCAGAAGAAAGCCTCGCAACGCGTAAAATCCATCACACTAAGACCCAAGGCCACACGACTGAGCAGAATATGCTTTATGGGGCTCGGTTTTGAACACAGGTCTGCACCATAGCACGTCTCATTGAAGCAGGAATCCCTCTCATATGCTATGGCACCATCTCAACCTCACTAACACGCCATGGCTTACACATCGCATGTCATAGCGTGGTAAATCATTTGTTGTAGTATAATTTGAGCGAGCGCGCGCGCACACACACACACACATATATAGGGCAGTCAGGCTGGCAGACTGGGTTGGACAGGAAAGGGCAAGGTATCAGGAGCTCGCACACTACGCGGAGACCACTCCATCAACCGCTGCCCGTCCCAGTCCTTTTATATATGAAGGGTGACATGGAATCACGGCTTCATCTTGCTTTCGCCTTGCAGTCTGCAAAAAGCTTCGCCTTTCGGTCGACCTGCCTGGTTATTTCTTTCCCCCTAGCGATTATCGTCGCCAGTTAAGCTTTGTCTGTATAGAAGACATATCCCAGCACTTTGTGTGGCAGGCAGGTGTTTGCACAGTCGGTTGTTTCGGTGGCGTGCTTGGCGGATTGATAGGCTAGCACTATAGAGAGTATGATATACCGGAAAGTTGCTATGTCTTCATGGGTGTGCATGTGTTTCCTGGAACTTGATCAATAATCCTGAGTGGGCTGACTTACGGCTGGAATCACTATCACTCCCATGAGCATTATGCGAAGGTGTCGTGTGTTGTGGTCCAATCCCAAATGAGCTTGGCCTGCCTGCTTCCCTCTTTAACCACTCGGTATGTTGAGTAGATATGCGGCAAAGAGTGAGGCAGTGAGTGGTCCCGTGGCCTGAACCGCTGCCGAAGCATCTGCACTCACGTAGCCGGAAATCAAATCTGCCATATGAAGCCGCTGTCAATCACTCTAAATGACTCGAGCCATAACACCTTGATAACAGCAGGCCAAGAAAGCAATTATGACGATCTCGATCTCGGTCCTCGTGGAGAACCCTCGTCCCCACCAAAAACCTGCTTGGACTTATGTAGCCATCGCACAAAGCCAAGGGAAACAAGACACGCGGCTTTGCCGCGACAGTATTGCCTCCTTGGAAGACTCGCAAAGGGAGAGAGGAGGGCGGAACCACAATTAGTTTGAGGGGACTGCTTTAGCTTTTCTGACTGGAGTTTGTTCGCTGCCATTGAATCACACCGCTCCTTTTCCGGCGAAAATGAGGGTGGCTGACACATGCAGAAAAAACACGAAACACGAAACACGAAACACGTAAATCCAAAACGCGCCGAACAAATCCCAATGACAGAGGCAGGATAAGGAAACTGGGAAGACAAAAAAGTAAGGGTTATAGAAATTGGATTTGATTCCCTTATCCATGCGCGCATCAATAATACAGATATAGCTACTGACTGTAACCTCCCCTCGTTTCGTGCAAGTTGTCTTCATGAGTCTTTCAACGGTTTGTTTGTCCATGACAACTCCTCTATCTCCATCTTCAAGAAGAATTCGATGTGCGGCGTGCTGTCCATCCTTGGGAAGTGTTATGAACCAAGGAAGAGGAAGTAGAGAATATTCATATGCATATCGACGTACGCCTTCTAGAAGCCTGTTTTTGTACTTGCTTTCTCGATCAGGACCTCCTCATTGGACATTTGCCTTGTTCCCCTTCCCATCGGAATCATGGCGGCCAGCCCCCTCCATCCGCCATCCGCCCTCAACCGATGTGAAAAGCAACCTCTGAACTCCAAAACCTCAAGATTGAGTGAAGGGGGCAAAGGTTTCTCTTCTACGTACAGAAACGCAATACATATAACGTGGTGTGTAGAGGGTGTTTCGGAGGCTTCATGTCCCCCGTTACCCTCTTCAAGAAGAAAGTTGTGCCATTCCAGCCAAGTCGAGCTAGAACAGAAGTATGTATATAGGCTGCCCTCGACAAGCGCGGGCCCTGAATCCAAAGTGGGCAAGTAGTGTGGGTGCGATCCTGCCCCAAACCGCATCAAGATACACACTCTTTCGTTCCGTCCAACACCGGGACCCCTTTTCTGTCTGTAACCGACGAAATGTTACAAACCAAACATGTATAACCACCCAACTCCATATCCGTACAATCAAGCAGGCCACGCAGTCACTTTGGAGTAGATACCCCAAGTGTTTACCCAAAACACGAAGCACGTGTGATGAGGGTAAGATGATCTAGTCGAATCATCTCTGCTCGGTGCTGTCAGTACCGAGGTGGTTTAAGGTCGAGGTGATTTCCTGCCTCTCTGGTGGGGTTGACCTACGCGTCCACGCCTCGTGTTGACAGGTTGCTCTTGCATGTAAGGCATATTCGGCATACCGCCACCCATGCCGTAACCGTAGCCTCCCATACCCATGGGGACGTTAAAGCCGGGAGGAGCAAATCCAGCTGGAGCACCTGAAGGCTGGATAGGACTGCCGTTCATTGGACCGGGGTTCCGGTATTGATCGACGGATGGACTTGGGCTGTTGAACCCGTTGAATCCTGCTTGCATGGGTGGGAAAAAGTTGTTCATGGGAGGTGCTCCGCGCTGGAGCATATTTTGCTGGTACTGCAGCTGCTGGAGATTGGGGACCATCGAGGGATTGTTGCCATTGAACATGGGACCCTGGGATCCGTATTGCTGGAACGGCGCCATCGGTGGCTCGACACTCTCGCTCCTCGGAATCGCGTACCCCATATCGAAGTTACTAGGGGGGTTGCCAGGGTTCAGAGGATTCATGTACTGACTTCCATACTGAGCATTTTGCTGGGCGGCAGCTGCGTTGGCTTGCGCATGTGCCTGTACTTGAGCCTGCCTGGACGCAGGCCGTTGTCGCTCGGCCGAAGCATTGTTGGCAGAATGATCACGAGAGCCACCCCCATTCCTAGTAGACAGACCAACTTCGTCCATGAGACGCTTGTAACCCTGGTTTGGTTGAGCCTTGATGCGAACAAGGACGCTCCTGACATTCTCAACGACTTGGCTTCTTATGCTCTCATCGAAGAATGGCGTAGTAAGGACCTTGAAGATCAAGGTTGCACCACACGCATGGTCGCTCAGGATTGCTTCGAGGACTTGATCTCCGGGCGTGAAGAACAGCGCCTTCAGGATAGTATCACGGGCTTCGGCTTCAGCCTTCTGGTTGATCACCTTGAGAACAGTGAGATAGGCAACCTTGTGCGTGCACAGGTGGACCAGGTAAGGTACCAGCTGGGGAGCCAATACGCTGCGTCGCTGTGGGAAGGTGCAGGTGTCGAGGAACCAGGTCAGCAGCAGAGCTCCATTCGCGTTCGTTGCCAGTTGTACACTGTGCAGCGCAATGGCAGCAGCCAGCAGTCGCTGTTGGTCCTTGGTAGAATGGTGGCTCTCGAGACAGGCGCGCATAGCCCGGGCACCATATCTGCCCTGGGCAACATCCCACATCTTGCTCAACATGGTCTCGAAGATGAAGTCGTTGAATGGCGAGCCAAACTTCAAGCATCCTTGCAAGACGTAGTTGCCATACTGATCCAAGAACAGCGGGATGGTGTAGGCACGGATGTTCTCGACAATCAAGTTCATCTGATGAGGTGTCTTACACACATCGATGATCTTCTGCGCCGCCCATGTGCCATTCTTGTGAACACCAATTTCTGCCATGTGTGGGGCAATCTCAGCTAGCATAGCATCCCGGAGGTCGTCAGAGCAGTGCTCGAACAGCTTCTGAACAACGGTGTTGCCGAGGTAATCCGAAGAGAGCTCGGCGATCTCTGGGAGCATGTCGACGGCGATATTCTCAATTTCAGCTTGAGACAGACTCTGGTTGTCAATTCTCTTTCGGATATCCCTGAGCTTGGGTGCATCATGAACACGAGTGTGGGTGGGCTCCCTTATGGCAGGGATCTCGTCGACATGACCGTTGTACGAAATAGCCAAGTTCAGGGTGTGCGATATTCTGTAGGCATCCTCGTCCGAGGCCCCGAAGGACTTGATAATTTGGAGAATATCTGCCGTCATCTCGTGCAGAGGAGCAATCTTCGGCACAGCATTTGTTGACAGCGTGGTTGCCTCAGCCGCAGGCCCCGCGGCACCCGAAGCATTAGCATCCTGTCCCTTGGTAAAGGGGTCGGGACTAGGCGATGGGAAGACGCCATCGTGGCCAGGGGTGTTGGAAGCGGAGAGCGGCTTTGCGTAGTTAATACGGATGGGGCCGGCCCCTGGAAAGATCTCCTTCCCGTTCATGTTCGCCTTTGCGGCAACCGCGCTTTCGACTTTCTCAAAATTGACGAAACCACAGTTCTTGTGCGTCAAGACCCTAGCCGACGTAATCGGACCGTATTGCTTGAACATCTCGGTTAAGGTGGACGTGGTCGTCGAGGTGGGAATGCTACCGAGCCACAAGGCAGGCGTGGGGCCCTCAATGCCTGCTTCCTCGGCTGTCAACAGTCCGTTGTTACGGCTGCTCGATCTACCCAGGTTCATGGCGGCCACCGCTTGGGGAAGTTCCTCATACTCCTTGTCCTCGTTCAATCGCATGTCTGCTGCGGAAATCGAGTTATCGAGCCGGGATGGAGTAGGATAGAAGCTGCGCATGCCCCGCGATCCGGCTCCAGTTAAATCAAGCACACCAGCAGTGCGAGCTCGCGGGCGCGTCATGGATTGGTTTGCCAGGGCCTGCAGTGTTTGAACGTTCATGTTATGCTCGTGAATAGCGGCATGGGTGGCAGCAAGTTGACCCTGGATCATGGCGGCATACTGGCTCTCTGGGCCCATACCATCGTCGTATTCGTCGTCCTCCTCCTCGGCGTATTTGTCCTTGTTGTTCACCGAGTACGACCGGAAACGGTTTGCCTGCTTCGTGAAGTCGGCAAGGCCCGGGAGGTACGGGGTTGCCAGTTGCGCACGAACGGGTTGGGGGGTTTCAGCCAAACCCAGGTAGTCAAGCGTCCTCATGTGGACATCGTTCTCTCCAGGCCCTTCCTTGGAGAATGCAGATTGCGCAGGGGAACTAGGTCCGTTGGATCCAACACTCGCGATACTAGCGAGAGTATTGCCTCTGTCACGGCCTGTGGGGTTCCAGCTGCTGAAAATGGAGGGCCCGAAAGGCGAGTTGGTGCCCGGGATGTTGTTGGAGAAGGGGCTGCGCTGGGGCATAGATCCCGCCCGGAGTCTCGAGAGCAGGGTGGATGATCTCGAGGGATCCGAGGCTTCGGTCAAGCCAGGGGAAGGCGTCTTGTTGAAGGGGCTGTGAGAAGGCGTAGGGCGCGAAGACTGTGAATTCAGGTTCTGGACGTTGAGCATGCCATTGCCGACGGGCCCGCCAGGGAACCGGGATGGGACGGTACCGGCCCGAGCGCGCCTTGTCTGCGGCAAACTGTCAGGAGTCGGGAGTTGGGCAAAGTCGGGGAACCCATCGGTGGGGGACTCGGGAATGTTCTCGCGGAGAGGAGTCGAGTTTCCGCTTGTGGGCGGGCCGGCCCATGGGTTAATGGGCAGGCCTTCTTGAGCCTGAATCTCGCGAGCTCGCTTGGAGTACAGCCTGGCTGAGCCGGGCATATCGTGCGATGGAGAACCAGCCCCTGATCGCGCGCTGCCTGCCATTTTCCCGGAAGGGTTCAGGGTGCCGGACATGCCAAATGGTGAGCGGACCGTCGATTCGCCGGGCGATTGGGAAGTGCTCGTCGTCGGGGAGGTGGAGTGACCTTGGCCGTTGGCACTGTTGGGTGGGTAGCCAAGAGACAAGTGTTCGGATCTAGCAGTTGACATTATCGATTATTCATCCGACCTTCGTCGAGAGAGGCAGCTGTATATGGGTGCTCTCTGCAGAAGGTAGTATGGGTTGAATATTAACCTCGGAGTCCAGACGAGGCCGAAGGAGGGTCGATTTGACGTTTGGTCAAGCTGGCCGACGAGGCTGCGAATTGGTGGGATAGTGCCTGCGTGGTTGTTGTTCTTGTAGTTATTGTTGGTGTTGTTGCTGGACAGTCAGGGGCGACAGAATTGTGTATTAAGTCGTCACACACGCGCACACACGAGGCCAGTCGGTCAGAAGGAGTGAAGATATCCCAATGTCAAAAAAGGAGTGAAGTTGTCGAAGATAGTAATCCCGGCGACGGAGGGCGGGCAATTACAATGACGGCTCCCAGGACGCTTTCTCGAGGTCGACTGGTGCGGCGGGCCGTTGCTTGATCTCGTTTCGAAAGTGCGAACGAGAAAAAAGGAAGATGCAAGGAGTGTCGAGGCCGAGTTCCTAATAAATGCGTGCAGTTCTCGGGTCCGAGTCCGTAATAGATTCGACCTTTTTTATTTTTTGTTTTGGCTTCCCTGGAGAACAGACGACCAGTGCTCCCGAGCAACAATCTGGGAATTCTCTTTTCTTCCGGAAACTCAAGTCCGCTTGCCCTTGTTCAAGACCACGGGTCGAGTAGTGCGAGGAGAGAAGATAAGAAAAAATAGTTTGGCAGGAAGGGGGGAGAGAGTCAGTCTGTCGGCAGAAAACAAAGACCAAATGGGCACCGATCAATACACAGGCTTCATTAGTGATGTCCAATCTTGTATCGTGACGGATTGAGCCTGGAGAAAGGGATTAAAAGACGAAAAAAAGGGAGGAGTGGATGGGTGGTGAGAGGAAAAGTGTAGACTCTGGAGAAAGAAGACTGTGAGTTGGATGTGGAGATGGCAGTAGGGTAGGTCGAAGTAGTCGACAAGATTTGGCTGGACTTGTGAAGGAGCAAAAGGGAGCTGGTGGGGGCGCTCCGAATCGAGTTTGGCCCGCACCGTCTACAGTGGATTGGACCGGGGGTGATGGTCGGCGGCTTCAAGCTTGCAGGCTTGTTAGACAGGTGGACAGGCGTTACAGGGCCAAGAACAGAACCACGTCGGCTTTGAAACAAAAGGAGATCGACCTTTAGGGGCTTGTCAGTTGCTGGGCACTTTTTCTGGCCATCCGCCCCACGATGCCGTCTATTTCGGATCACTTTGCATCATTTGAAGCCCGTTGATGCTGGTACGGGACACGAGTCCAGATGGTTTTTCTCAGCATTTCGCATAGAAAAGAGAAGAGCCCTGCGCTAGGAGCTCTAGAACCTGGCATCCCGTCTTTTTCGGCATTCGCACCTTGATTAACTTTGGACATGCTGGCCCGACGACTCCCTGGAACGCGTTGCTCGTCTACCTGACGTTGACATGTATCACGACTTATGCACTAGGCCAGTGTCGGGTTTTCTGAAGTCCAGTTCTTCTTGTTGTTCTTTTGCTTGCTCTCCCAAACAGGGGTTCCTTCGCCGGGACTGATGTGAAGAGGGTTAGGCGCAACGGCTCGCATCTAACAGTTTGGAAGTCATGAATTGAAATGATCCCCGTTCTTTCCTATTGCAGTACTAACTGTCAACGTTCATTAGTCTACGACGCTATATGCCATTTTGAATGACGGATGGCGTTGAGCGGTCTTGTTGCAGTGTCACGAAGCCGATATTTGACCTGGACATGACAGTTTTAGGACAAACTTACTTCAACGGCGTCTTTTCCACGCTCGTTGTCGATGTTGAAGGCTTCGACCAAGCAACGCCTCTCCCCTTACTAACATGGACTCTGTCTGCTAGGGCGACCAAGATTCGATCCCAAGTGACACCCGTCCGTGCCATCACCCGATAATCCAGACACAGAAAGCGAGTCGCGAATCATTGCCACGACCGCTGTCCTTGGACGCGCTTCCATTGCGGATCACTGCAGGCCTATATCTGGATTTGAATATGGATAATGCTAAAGATCACGGAATAATATGATATGTAAGCACTGAAGCATAAGTTAACACAATGCACCACGACCCATGATGGCAGGCATGATGTTACCACAGTATTATCGATGCTGCCATCCCATTTCTACCTCTGACAACCCCGCAGGATGCATGTGCAGCAAGGCAATCTCAGCAAGTCAGCTCCTTATTAATTTGCTAAAGTAAGTGCACACCGAAAACTGGCAGGTTTGTAGCTTTCCGAAGCCATGTTTGATCCCATCAATCATCGGTGACTCCTGACGTCGCTGGTTTGACGGTGTGTAATCGGGCTTCACATATCAGATGCAATGACGGATGGTTGTGTTAGTATCAAATATCTGCTCGAAAAGTCAAGATTGCAGATGCCGGTAATGGGCGGTTGTCTAAGCTCTGACTGTCCGACTTCGTCTACATGATTCTCGGCCAAAACTTGGCCGTGCCTATGCCATCGGAGGCTTCGCCGTTGTACTGGCGCGTTGCCGTTCGGCGTTCAAGGTTGAACGTCGCTAGATTTGTCTCGCCCTGGATTCAGAGCTACGGGTACAATTATGGGCGCTTTTCCGTACTCCGCGGCGATTCCCATCGGATCCGAGCTTAGTGGCAGCTTCAACAAGCAACACCAGAAGGAGCCCAACCGCGACATTGGACCTGCTGAACACGCGTACTGTCAATGCTTCAAGCATTCTCGGTTGTCGTTGAAGGACGACTCTCCCTCGAAGCACCGTCGATCTGGGGCTTCAAATGATAAGCCTTCATAGCTGTCTCCGTGGATCATCAGCCCTGACAGGCTGGAGTGGAATGATAAGACTCTGCCCGCTGGCCTTGGTTGGTCACGCTTTCGGGTGAACCGTGAGCATCGCAAGCATACTTCGTATTGGCGACTCTTGTCAGCCAGATTTGTCTCCTCTTTCTTCCCAAAAAAGGCCACATTGCCAAATGACTCGCGCAACGGCGTGACGAGAACCGTGGACCGTCATGCGAAAATTTCCCACCTCCAGCTCTTCGGACAACCAACAGGTCATTCAAAGTTATGAGCAAGTCAGCGGTACCCCCCGAGAACCCCTGCACCATTGGCCGTATGGCGTCTTAAGATGTGTGGTATCATTTATGCTGGGGGTGCTGCCGGGGCCGGGGCCAGCCCAATCAAAAGGTCAGACGACTTTGTGACGGAGGATCTGCTAGAAATCTGAAACATCGCTTTAACTTGCTCTTTGGTAACGCGACATGCAAGCTAAGACCAACCAAACGGGAATGCGTGATTGTCAGTTCAATGCCACCCATGCATCAAGCTCTCCACCAGACCGATCCAACGATAGTTACAACTGTATCGTGGCCTCGCTCACGTCTTCGTACCAAAGTTTCCATACAGCAAAGCCCCATGCGCGATGCAATCACGACTCGGATTGGCTTTGCGAATGTGCTTTGGACACAGCGCAGACGAATCAAGATACGACGCCACTCCGCCTCCCGAGATGGACTCCTAACAATGTCTATTCGGGCAACCGTGATAGATGCCACGGACGAGACAGCCCAACTAAAAATGCACACAAATGTTGATCAAAGTGCCAGGCTTGTGGTGATATCCTTCATAGATCGTTTCATCAAGGCGTATACGCAATGAAAAGTAGGTAAGCTCGCAAGTGCGCAGCCCCCAAAATCGGAGATATGAACCCCAAGCCTCCTGCTTTGAAGCATCGCATCGCATCGAGATGCGATCATGTTCCTCCAGAGGCTATCTCACTTCGCAGTATCAAGCCATCGGGCTTGCGGGAATACCCTGGTTTGGGAGCCCTAGCCTGATCACACATTGGCATCTGCCCGCTTGCGGTGGTCTGCCCTTCAACCCTTCAATCAGCTCATAAGACATGGACCTTCAGGGTTGTTGTGCAATTGATATAATCGGTTGCATTCCAAACAAGTGCTTTCGCAGCAGACTTTAAGGTGTAAAGCAGGTTCTGAAATTATGTCAATGACTCGATTTCATTATTTGTCTGCTTCCACTAATCGTAGACTGTTTCTATCTCTTTCACACGATGGTATCCAAATTGAAGTGTTGACTCCTGCTCCTGAGAAGTTTAATCTTTCCTTGGCCGTGGCTTTTCTGGGAATAAGATTCCATCTTGAGACTTCCTCCAATGGCTTCATTTCCTGGTGGCAGAGCTCACTCAATAAGAGCTGGCTGCGTTTCTATTTCAAATGCTCAACTGGAACCGAGCCACAGGCCGACTTTCGTGGAGCGGAGAATTGTCTAAAATTCACACCACCATAGATATATCTGATTCAACCCCCATAGCATCCGGCAAACAAAATATCATCATTCAAAAGAAGGCTGACCCACTAATCATGCCCACCTCAGGGCAGTACTTAACAACCTTATCCATCCTCGCCTTCTGCCACCTAACGGGCTGATGGAACCCCAACGGCCTATCCTCCCACAAAGTCTCAACACTAAACCTCCTCGCCGTCTCCTCATCCGGCAGCTTCGCCCCGGGACTGCCGTCCTCCCTGTCAGGCAAGTCTAACATGCGCGAGTACAGCCACTGGTCCTCAAACTTGTATGCCGTGGGCGCATCCGGAGCCGCACTATCATTCGCGTAGCTATAGCTTTTAAACAGATCCAACACCATCTCTCGGTTCCGTATAGACAGACCCCCGTTGAACCCCTGCCCATACACCGGGTCGATGGGCGCTCCGATAAGATCGTACTCAATGTAGTCATCCACAGTGGCCTCCGACGCGGAACAGATAATGCTGTCGGCCTGGAACAGCAGCAGTTTCTGGAACGGCGCCAGGTCCTCCCACAGCCAGGTGTCAGCAAGGAAAAGCGAGACGGCACGGTGGGAATCGAATACAGCCTCAGGCGGGAGGAAGCGGACCTCGAAGCGGTTCTCGTTGATGGCGCGGGCGAAGGGCGCCGAGGTGGAAAGGGCCGAGGAGGTGTTTGGCGTTGTGTAGAAGATGATGGGCCATTCGGGCCCTAGGACGCTGTGGAAGTGCAGCATTACGGGGATGAGATTCTCGAGTGGGCGGTTCTCAATTATCACGGCCGCGCGGTCCGTGTGCCTTACTATGGCGGGATATGAGGATAACTCCCCGGGGACCGAGTCGGTAGGCTCGGCGGATGGATCATTATGGAGGTAGTCGGGGATGACGTCTTGGGGATTCTTTTCTAGATCATACTGTAATGAGGGTTAACTTTTGCTTATGATCATATATTATACATCTCGACGGCCTTGTCACATGGAAAGACAGCACAGAAGTGACGTGAGGATGACTTACAATAGGCCAGCGAGTAAACGCCGCCAACGCCCAGAGGAAGACAAGCAACCCAATCGCTTTGGTGAATGTGGATTTTGAGAGTCCCAAGGACGATATGAAACTAGAGAAGGACGAAGAGAAGGACGTGGATGAAGAGGACTGAGACGACATCCCCAGCTCAAGCTGAGGGGACATCCTATAAGCGAAAGCTATACAAGACAACTAGTTATGAACAAGATCCAAGTGGACAAAAAGAACCAACGTGTATGTGATTATAGCATCTGAACGGAGCACAAGACTAATAATCATAAATCAACCGTGTAATTCTACGGCAATAACACAGCGGTCGGTGATGATGATGGAACGAGAAAGCAAAGACTGTTGCATGACTAAAAAAATCCACTGGCAAATAACCCGAGGGGAGACAAGCAAGCAAGCAAGTAACCAAGAGAGGGTTGCGTGTCCCGCGTAAGAACCCCTATACTGATCGACCACAGGGTATCCGCCTCATCTTGTCATTTCTAACTGTGTCCCATGTTCCCTCCCCATGTGCCTGACGATAACATGTACTGTAGTAATAATTTCCGCCCAGAAACATACAAGCGCGTGGGTATTTGGTCGTACCCGTGTGTATGTAGGAATCGAATCTATTTTGATAAAAATGTACAACACACACTATATAGTGCCATTCGTTTCTTCCCAAACATTCGGGAAGTTCCAGAAAGTTCAACTTGGGGAAAAGTAATATCTCATTCATGGAATCCATGGCCATTCAAGCTCCCAAACTCGAGGAATTCGAAACGTCGGAATTCCTTGAACTGAGAGAAGGGCATGTGGGGGGAAATTTAACAGGACGCGCGACGCACGTACGAAAGTCAGGTCACTTCCCCAGTGTGATAAATGTAATCTATGCCAAACGCCAGGATGAGGGTGGACCCGCCACTGGCACAACGGAGTAAACATAAATTCCTAGTATGTAGCATTGCATAGACAGGGCTGATCGATGTATGGATGGGGCGATAAGAGACTTCGTCGATCACAAACGAATTGTTATCAAGACCCCGCGGCCGTGACATTAGGTTGAAAGAATTGATGTGCCGATTCACCATGTGGAGTGGGCTATTTCTAAGTTGAGAAGATTTCTTCAGACGAAAATCGGCAATCTAGGTCGATGTGCTTGCTCGAGTTTTGGCCGCATGACGAAGTAGAATTTTCAAAACTCGAACCAAGTCAGCTATTGACTCGCGAGAACGAGTTTCTGAACCCAAACCAGTAGTGTAGCTAGACACTTCGCATTCGGTGTTTGAGTTGACAACGAGGGCCTGTTTGCAAATTGGGGGCATCTTGTTCTTCTCATCCCACGATGCTCCTCTGTATAGTTTGTGGGTATTGTATCTACAAACGCACTGTTGCAAATAGAATGTTTCGTCCCAACGTTCCTCCGATTTTACCTGGGCTGGGGAAGCACATTAGATATGTACTACAGCAAGGTCTCAATGCCACTCGGTCCATGTTGCATATACCCGGTGAGCTCACCTTTAGAGAACCCATTCCGTCCTGTCGTCATCGACGCCTATAAACGGTTCATCGATGCGCTTGATAGCATAGTCGCTACATAGAATGCTATATGCAGGGTCAGCATACATGCGGCTCGCCATACCAAATCAGCTTTGTACTTGGAGAAGACTTACCACGCAGCAGCGACAAGCGCGTCCAGTTCCGCCACCATAGCGTCCTTCTTCGCACCACTCACCAAACCCCTGCTAATCTGCACCTGACACTCCTTAATCCTCCTGCTTTTCGCCACGCCAGCCTGCTCCAGCACCTTCTTCCCCAGACAATCGGAGTGGAAGGCGTGCTGGCACGGAAACACAAAGAACTGCCTGCTCAGCAGCGGCAGGCCACATACGTAGCACTTCTCGCCTGGCTCGACAATGGCGTACCGATGGTCCAGCGCCGCGATGTCAACCTTAATGTTGGCTGCTGTTTGGGAACTCTCGTCCATCTCCTTCTTCAGACCGTCGATGTTGCGCGAGTAGTCCTCGAGCGCGTTGCAGATCTCGTCTTTGAAGTCGTCTATGACGACAAAGTCGGGAAAGAAGGGAATCAGGTCCTCTATCTTAAGGAGATCGCAGCGCTTGAGGAACTCGATGGCGGTCTTGATGCCGTTGGACTGGGAGATGACCTTGCGCGCAACTGCAAGCCAGAGCTTCTTTCGTAGCACTGGGTTCGTCATGGGTCGATCAGCGATGATGGATGCTAGATCAATCTCGTTGTGTGACAAAGCGAGGTCCACTGCTTGAACGTACTGTCCCATATTGGTGTAGATGTGGACGCATGATAAAGTGCGCTTGTGCTGAATACAGAGACGCAGCGCAAAGTCGGGGTCGAACCGGGGTTCTTCCCCTTGTGATTCCAGGTAGGACAGAAGCGCAGATTCATCTTTCGATGGATGGGAGGCGTAGATAGACACCAGTGTGTTGTGAACTGCGGCATCGGTCGAATTGAGTTGGTTGATGACATATTGCAGGTAGCGGATTGCTTGGTTCTGGAACAACGTCCCCTTGAAGTTTCGGTCGTAATCCAGCAGAGCTGGGATGATATTTCGTGGTTTCAGATCGGGGTGTCTCATCAGAATCTCAACCAACTCGTGGCCAACGTGTGTCATCAGGACACTGCTGTACCGGTAGAAGACTTCGGGGTCTGTCTGTTTTTTAAGTACCCCTAGAGCCTCGTTCCATCTCTCTCGTTGCACCCAATAAGAGAGTACATAGTTGTAGTCGTTCACCGCGCTGGCAAAATAGAGTAGCTCGTCTTCTCGGGCATGGCTGCTGATGACATCGTAGACGGTCTTTCGATCAAGATCCGATTTGTGCTTGTTGACAAAGTCGTGGAACTCATCCCGGACTGCGCCTAGTTGTTGCTTGGATTGATCGGTGTTGAGGTTCTCTACCAACTCTGCCTCCGTCTTGATGGTGTCTTCCAGGGCATTCAGCTTCGCCATGAATATCTCCACCAACCAAGTCGATACCATCATCCTCTGCATGATGGATGTTTTCTTGTACATGGTAAGTTTTGTGAGTAGATACTTCCGTAAAGCATCGTTTTGGTGGTTGTCGATAAATGCAAGAGCGACCTCTTCGAAGGGTTTGCTACTTTTGCCGTAGACACCGGCTGCCTCGACAAAAAGACCTTTCCCAACCAAGTAATCACCAGAGGCCATTGCCACAGCATCTTTCTGTGGTAGCGTATGAGCATACTGTAAAGCCATATCAAACTGCTGCGTCTCCAGCATTATCTTCCAAATATCTCTATCTTCGTCCCGGACCACAATTTCGAAGACCTCTTGCTCGGTGAATAGCCAGAAGGTGTTCTTCTGCTGATCCACATAGAGTCCCAAGGCTTTCTGGCCCTGATCTAAGATGTGTTGATCATATACAATAGACCCCGTGAGCCGGTTTGCCGTAACTATACGTCCGGCGACTAGATTTACGACGTGCCATTGAGTCAATATCGTTGCCTCGATAGCCTCAGCTGACGTTTTCTTCCTGGATGCCTCAGGCGACACAATCTGTGACCTAGGCAACAGCTTAGATTCGGCAAACACTTTGGTCCCCAACTCGGTAGCTGCAGGTGCGGCAAGCAGCTTGCCATGATACACGCCGTGAGAGGATAACCAGGCAAAAGCTCGTTCCGGCATTACGTCATCGTAGGTCTTCGCATCAGGGGAGTCTGGGGAGATGGCCAGACAGGAGGGAGCGGTTGCCGTGCCATGAGACAGCTCATGTATTACGGGCTGTTCGGCTTCAAACAGCTTCGAGTAGATGGAGCCGCTACCCTCATGGTGACTCCGTCCTACCTTGCCCACCAAGTGGAACAGCCGGCTCTGAGTGCTGATGAGCACTCTCCTGAGGTCCGCCTTCCCTCCCAAATTATCCACCCATAGTCCTGTAATAGGGCCATCTGGTAATTTCTGGAGGGTCTGCAAGTATTTCTCCTCCTTTCTATAGAACTCGTTGGCGGTCTCGATGAAGGTCTCGTATACATTTCCGTCCGAAGCCCCGACCAGGATCTCGCGGGTCGAGGCGGTCGGCAATGACGGGTTCCAGGCTATCGACTCGATAGACACCCTGCGCAGTCGGCCGAGTGGGCGCGGCTGTCGTGACTGGGAGTGCAGGTAGTAGTTCTCGCCCAGGGATGTGCAGATGAGCAGATGCGAAGCGGTCGGGTCGAGGAACATGCGCCGGATAACGCCTACTTCGGACGGCTTCTTGGGCAGATCGATGTCGTCGATATCCTCGGGTCTGTTCAAGTCGATGCGCAGTATGCGCCCATTGGACAGGGCCAGCACAAGCACGTTGTTGGCTACCTGGGCTGCCACGAAGTCGGCCGCGATAGAGAACTGGAGCTGCACCCGCTCAACGGTAAAGATGGGCAGGCCCTCTTCACCGGCCATGTCGACCAAACTGTTGCTTGTCATGGCTGCAAAGCCATTTGCGTCAAGCGTCATTGCTTCATTGGGTCATGTCGTAGGCCCAGGGGTGTTGCAAGCCGGTTATAAGGGCTTGATGTTGGTGTTGGTGTTTCTTGTAACTCACTGAGGTCTTGTAGGCGACTACAAGCTGTCAGCCCCGAACCCACAGCCTGAAGCGGGATCAAGAGGCGCCATTCTGGTTATGCAATTATCGATGCATTGCACTTACACGGATATCTAGATCCATAACTCCAGGTTTACTCCAACTGCGTACAACATAGGAGATACGAAGAGCACCATCTAGTGGGACATATTAAGCTTTTCTAGATTCCTTCTGGATGTTGAGGTTCTTGTAAATTAAGCTAACACACCTACAGATGGTCTTAGGGTATATTATCATTTACAACTAGCCTTGCGCTTCCCATCTTTAACCCAGCAAAATTGGCTGACGAGCCACCGAAAAAATACGCACAAGACAAACATGGCCGACGGCCATTCGTATCCAAACTTCGAATTATGACTTATTCCCTGGTGAAATATGAAGTTTTCCTTGTCCCCCACCATGGTCTGCGTACGCCTTATAAAGTCGTCAGCTAGATGCCCTTCTCGATATCGTTGGGTCTGTGTCGGGCGCTCGATCCGAAAAATGGTTGGTATTTGACCGCTCGCATTGTATAACGTCTTCCGTTTGTGTAGGGATAGTGGTACTCTCCACCATATTTTCATCAGTCGTTGGCCCTCGTCGGGCCTCGTGTGATTCGCACGCTTCCATTACACCTTCGTCATTGTTGGGTATTACGGTCCCGTCAGGACCAGACATGTCCCGGTTATGGCTAATCGAGCCATGTTGTGTACCCGCTGCCGCTGCCAATGAACCGTTCAAACTGCTCCGGTTGCTCGATTCGGTCAAAGCACCGCCATATGGTCCATTGGAATGATATCCATCATCATCATCCCTCTCCTCCATCTCCACCTGTGTATCGTGTGTCATCGCCGCGTCATCCTCGGCAGTCGTTTCCACGTCTGAATGTATAGAGTGCAGGGGTTTCCTACCCGTCAAGACCCTAACCTTGATTACGAACCCCTTTGCTCGCTTTGGGTCTCGCGCCATTGTTTCTAGTTCTCCAGCGAGCACGCCAACAGCAGCTCGCACTTCTTCCGCTGACCATCCCTTAAAACCGGTAAGGAGCCTCAAGATGGTTGCCTCCATTCCATGAATCAATGCCAACAGAAACATGTAGCCTGTTGACTCTTCAAAGTGCTCGTTCGGGTTGATGGGAATGGCATGCTCCGAAAACTGCACGTCCGCAAACCCAGCGTCGTATAGTAGTCTAGGCTCCAGATGCCCTACGCCACGAGGTCTTCCCGACATGACCGAGGCTTCCTGCAAGTCCTGCGCGACCCGATGCATCAAGGAACCGGGCTCGAAAAAGGAGAAGAAGTTTCGGAATCCTTTGTGGTCGTCGAAATCGAGAAGCTCGATGTATCCTCCTGGGTTGATAGCTAGGTAAGCTTGTCGGTAGACGAAGGCCCAGTCCATGAATGCGCCTGACATGTTGCGAAAGTGCACAAGGTCGTGTGCGTTCCGCGGCCGTTCCCAGTCCCTTTCCGCATCGTCGATCTCCCAAAAAACGTTTGGCGGTGGTTGTCTCGAAAACATTTTCGCGATGTCGGTGCCAATCACTTCACAATTAGGATACCTGTCGGCCATGTCCATTGCCCACTCGCCCGTTCCGGTGCCGATGTCGAGGATCAGAGACGGGTCCTCTAAAGGCACGCCCGTGAGTTCCCCGTCGAAAACGCCGCAATACACTTGATGGACCAGACCCAGTCGCTGCTGTTCCTCTAAGTCATTTGGCATGTAGTAGTTCAGACGATATCGACGGCCATGTTCCCAGGTGTAGTCGACGTCTGAGTCGGCCATCGAGCGGGTCGAATCGCTTGATCTGTTAGTGATTTATCACAGCGATGAGTGGCCATTCTGAGTCGCACTTACAGCGTCGCGCCGTCATCAAACGCTTTCGCGACTCCATGCCGGGTTGAAGCTGCAAAATAACGACTCGGTGCGTATATCGACTGTGCGTCCATTGACGCTACACCATAGTGACCGTCATCGATGTCATTGTCGTCGTCCGGTATCAACCCACTATATTGTGCTGTGCGCTCGTTCACGCTTGCGACATCATCCGCACTTATTGATCCGTCCACCTCTGGCAGCCCTACACCCATGTAGTCGGCAGCTTGGTCGTCTAGTACGCCAGCAAATCCTGCGGAACCAGCTTCGGCGGCGGCGTCTTCTTCAAGTTGGGCTTTTATGGCCATGATAGCTGGTGACTTGTGCGATATTGCCCCTCGGTTTAACCCTATCCTCATTTTCTTCCCCATGGCATCGATTTTAGTGTCCGTTTAATTATCCTGCCTCGAGTCATTAACGCCTCATCTGTGAGGGTTATACTCATTACTGCGGTCAGTAAAATTCCTGGAATGCAGCCATGGGCCTTTTGCGGTGGGCGCAGTCGCCTCTTTGGGCCAAATTGGGGCGTCAGAGTGTTCTCGCAAAAGGACTTCGTCGCAGTCCCTCGCCGATCGGGGGTGGCTACCCAGCTGAACGGATACTCTAGATTTTAGTCAATGCACTGCGGGTCGAATCGAGGTCGAGACGAGGGTGCGAAGGGTTGCGAAAGGCAAAAAGGCAGGGCTGATACCAGTTACGGCATACAGTTGGCCTCGAAGTTGCGACGAAAGACGAAATAGAAATGAGGCGCATTGAGAGAGAGTGAAGAAGGACCCGAGGGTTTGGGACGAAGAAAGAGAAGATGGGGTCAGGGTAATTACCCAATTACTGCTAGGCGTTGATCAGCCGCCGACGTGACAACTGGGACCCAGGACCCAAAGTAGTATGACCTAGTAGAAACTAAGGCGCTGCCAACGTGGACAACTTATTAACCGCCCCCAAATGTCGCTCTCAAGCAAAGAGCCGCGTATTTTCTGCTGTTTATCCGTAGAGTACTTATTACCTACCTCAAAAAGTATGGGCTTATAATGCAGTGGAGTGTCGGATCTTCCCCGTATTACTTAAGTAAGTACTTAGCACTGTGGTGAGCAGCTGCAATGCACCATGCCGGAGCTGGTGAAAAGCCAATCGTCAATTGGGAATGCGGAGGCTCGGAGACGACTCAGGAGGGATACCTGTCAATGGGTGGGCAAGATCCTATCAGACGGCCTGATGGTCCAAGCGACCCTCACCCTTGGAAATCCCCTTTCCGCGCTGTCGGATCTAAAATTGAGTCGACAGAGACATGGATTCCAATCCTACGAAGGAGGGACCGGGCAATTGGATTCTTTGTGAACAGGGGCTTGGGCTCGGGCTTGCAGGGCTTTTATTGTATGTAGCTTCTCTGGCACAGTTCAGCACGCCGTCTCTCACTGTACACTCTCCCGCCCCCACGCCCCCCTTTGCAAGTCGATGCGATCTGAGAAATCGGCACGAGATCTTCGGCCGTACGAGGTATCACATTGAGGCACACGAGATGCGAGTTTCGCCACCAAGAACAGTCATTGGCCAGCAGGTTGCACTGAAAGCACTTGCAATCATGAGATGCGTTAGAGTTTCCTGCCGACACAGGCCTCCACTTGCAGTGGTCGCCCAGCAAACAAGACAGGTTCGTTCTCCGACCCGAAAGACGCGAACTTGGGCAATTGCACCCCAGGAACCCAATAGTCAAGACGAGGCAATATGAACCGAGGTCACACATACAATCTGGCATTCTGATTTCATCCCGATTTGGGTTCGGTTTGCTACATGTGCAGCAGTGAGGCACCAGAGACCTTCTGGTTTCTGGGGTCTCTAGAATGAGACACTCGAGATATGCAACATTTGCCCAATAATATTCATCTGTCCACCTAGGTATGTCGATGTGGATATAGAGGCTTCGGGCTTCATTTTCGTCAAGGCGTTAATCTACTCGTAGGGTTGCGGGAGGATAGCCCCTATCTAGAATGCCAAATACCAAGGCAGAGTCGCGTCTAGAACGGCTTGGGAAGTTCTCCAGTGCTCGGATGCAGCCACGTGCAATCCATTTCTCCATATCGGCGGGTCAGCAATATGGATCTGCTTGTTGGCGAGCATTGGATTACGGCAGGACAATATTCTGGTTCTTCCCCAAAACTATACGCGGGCTCCATTTCCGGCCGGCAGGCCGGTAGATAAAGCCCCTGTCCGGGAACGAGGTTCTAACCCTGGTTTTACTCTGGTATTAAGTTGTGAATGGGACTATTGGAGAAAAGTAGTCAAGGAAATAACTTGGATATCCCGAAGTCTCTGTCGATATCAACCTCAAATACGATCTGATCTCAATGATAATGGGGCTCAGGAATTTGGATATGCAGGTTCAAGCACCCGAAGCCGATTGTATTGTTCAACGGACAGGGAAGGTGACAGCCACACGATACAATTCGGAGGATACGGTATCCCTTGCGTACTAAGTATCTCGTCCCCAATCTAGTACAGATATTCCGCAAAGTCGGCTTGAAACTACTTATCAATATGTTCGGATCATTCTCGGTTAATTACGTGACAACTGTCACAGCCCATTTCGTGAAGACAAGCGCTCTAAACCCCAAGAAAAGGTAGGAAATATCCCCTAGGCTGTAAGGTGATAAAGTATCTATACTATTTAGGGTATAGTAAGTAAACTACTAAAGAGGAACTAACGATCAGTATTTAATTAGGATATAATAGGTACGAATACACTAAAAACTAACTAATTATTAACGGCGTAGAATGATATTGTAAAGAAAGAGCCGTCCTGACGGGTCGGGTCTCAGCTGACAAGCTGAGTCGGGAGGGTTTCGCCCCCGATCCGGTAGAACGCCGGAACCACTCAACTTAGAGAAGTTGTCGAGACGCTCCCACCTAACTTGGATTCCTCAAGAATCAGTCTTGCAATATACGCACCCATAACACTGGCGCATCACAGCCGCTCTTTGCACTATCTGACTATTATCGTGAGACGTTTAGTATCCCCGTTACAGATAGAGTTATCAAGGGTTGATAGGTCTCAACTATAGCTTAGATAGATGCTTAGATTCATTACTAAAGTAAGAACTATCTACTTGAAACTCTAGGAATTCCTATAGCTTATACAGCTATTTCTTCCTTTGCTAATCCACCAGATTATCTAAATCACCTTATGATTACGATAATATAATTACGTGGCCTTTCCCGGTGTCTCCATATTGGGTTGTCCTGTTGTTCTTCCGTTCTGATCGTCCCATAGTGGGCCATCTATTCTGTCCTCAAGCTACTGGTAGCATCGTGAATAGGATGTCTGCTAACACTGGATGTTTTAGTAGTCAGACATCACCTACGATGATAACTGGTTCCACAATGCCCTCAATCAGCTATCGCGCAGCCTGTCGCCTTGACTAATACCGCTCTCCCTGGTGAAGCTGAGATAGTCTCTAACATGGGAGCTGTCGAGGATCTTCTTGGATCCCGTTCTGCTGACCATGGGACCAACACTGGTGAAGATGGTCCTTTCAATCACATCCGCCTTCGCTCCGACACGTATGCTGAGGAGCGGTGGGATCTACCCGCTGTGGGTCTCTGCTGGATTTACATTCGATGGGACGGATGTGGCTGGATCTCATCGCGTTTGCAGTTCCCGGGGAATCGCTTTTCTCTTTCCTGTGGTTTTCATGGACAAATTGCGGTTGTTGATTACTATGATCTTATCATGGCTCCCCGAGTTTTCTTCTTCAGGGCCACCTAAATTACCCTACAATCCGGCAAATGAGCCTATAGATGCGCGTGACGCGTTTCGGTTCAGACCGATGTATTTCAGAACCAGAACCACGATCCAGTAGTGGCGCTCACAGACGTTTGCCCAACTAGATAGATATGGAATCCAATAATCAAGAATAGGCAGTATGAGTCCACTGCTTCACACATGCAATCTGACATTCTGACTTCAATAGGTTTGAGTATCTTGTGGTTTAGCTAGCTACCCTGCATTGAGCCCTACCCACGTTGTTTACCCCTTTCCATCAATCAATTGCCGGTATCATCAGACTGGATGAAAGGGTCAGAAGTTTGAATACGGGACTGCTCTTGTTCGTGTCTGGGAAGGCACATTGCACATAAAAAGTATGAGCGATATTCATGGTCACTTAAGACCAAAGGATCATTTGTCACATGAATAACAGGGGGCCGTTCGAAAGACAGGAAAGAGTCTGGTAGCCGAATGATGGCATGTGTAAAAGCAAGATCCCTCGCCGAAAATAGGAAAAGACGTTGTGTAAGTTTTCCGCTGGTCACTGGAAGCCACTTTGGACTTTTATGTCCATGTGTCTAATTCATCTCATCCCGCCTTTGACAAAAACCTTGATCACATAGTAGTTCGTCGGTGTGCTTCAGCATCAATATTTTGCCTCCCTCCGCCGAAACAATTTAGACGTGAAGACACAGGGAAAAACGATGGAAACTTGTAATCTAAACCAATCGTAAATTATAGAGTGAAGCGGTTGGAACTTTCTCTACTTGCGTAGCCATCAATCGATCAATCCGAACGACTGAGGGACATCACTATCTGGTATATCAAACCAAAAATGCCAATAAACCGTTACATATCTCACTCCATAAGTTTTCAGAGCTTCCCCTAGAACGTCCCTCCCAGTCCGGACAGATGCAGACTACTAATACAACAAGGATGAGCCACGCTCAAACCTCGCCCTTCAAGCGATCACCGACGCCGGGGCAGTGTTCTCGTCAATCTTCCTCTTCTTCGATGCCTGAGGCGTGTCGGTGATTTCTTCCTTATCTGATAAAACCTCCTTCTCGATCACGATCGGGAACGGGCTGAGGACCTTGCTAATATCGCCCCACCACTCCTCCCCGAACCGCCTGTACCAATCGACGGTGATCTTGAGACCTTCAGCAAAGGAGGTCTTCTGGTCCCAGCCCAGCTGCCGCAATTTGGTCCCATCAACGGCGTAGCGGTGGTCGTTGAAAGGCCTGTCATGGGTGTATTTCACCCACGTGTCGAAGTCGGCCTTGGTCTCGTTGGGGAAGCCCATTTCTACAAGCAACATGCTGCATAGCTTGATGTTGGAGATTTCATCGTACGAACCGACGTTGTAAACCTGTCCCAAGGAGCCCTTGTGCAAGATGGTGTCGAAGGCATCTGCCGCATCTCCGGCGAAAAGGTATCTGCGGGTCGGACTGCCGTCACCATGCAGAACCGTTGGCCTCTTGCGATTCAGAAGGCAGGTGAATTTGGGAATGATCTCTATTCGGAGGTCAGCACGATGCAATCTGATATGGTCGCGGGACTCGTCGCGGCTTACTTTCAGGGAACTGATGTGGGCCGTAGACGTTGTTACTTCGCACGATTATGACGGGAAGCTTGAAGCTCTTCATGTAGGAATTGACCAGCATTTCGGCGGCAGCTTTGCTAGCCGCATATGGGTTGGTAGGAGCCAGGATGCTAGTTTCCAGGAGGTCATCGTCGTCATCCTTGACTTCACCATACACCTCGTCAGTGGAGATGTGGATAAACCGGTTGATTCCGACCTTCTTAGCGCTTTCCAGCATGACGTGGGTCCCGTACACGTTGGTATGCGTGAAACCATACGAGTTGCCAAAGCTAAGGTCCACGTGAGACTGAGCGGCGAAATGGAAGATGGTATCGATGTTGTATCGCTCCATGCAATCAAGTACCTCGGAGGGATTGGTGATGTCGCCATGGTAGAATGTGAAATTCCGCTTATCATTGAGCATGCGAGTGTTGTTCAATGATGCGCAATAGTCCAGCTTGTCGAACGACACGATGTTGTAGGCGTGGGGGTAAGTCAAGGTCAGATGACGTACCAGCCAACATGCGCTGCGCCAAATGTTAACTGCGGTGCTCGACACGGATTCGAGATAAACAATACGGGTATATCTCACATAAATCCGGCTCCACCAGTGATCATGATATTCTTGACATCTGAAAGTGGCTCAAATTTGGTAGTGCCTGTCAAGACCGGAGCCTCGTTCCAGACACCATAGTCTTCGAAGAACTTGGTCTGGCGGCCATTTGTGATGTCTACAGACTTGGCGTGAGTAAAGATGGACAATTGCGCATGGCACACTGGGTTTGACTTACCAGTAAGCGGCCGGGAGTGTCCATTAGGTTGTCCGCCACCCATTTTGGCGAAAGATTATGGTACGTCGTGGGTACTACGTGGTTAGGTAAATGGGTCGTAGAGGGGCGCAAAGTTCGAGGGGAAGAGATATTGTTGGAAGGAGGGCGCGCGAGTCAGAAAGAAAGCTATATGTCTAGATTTCAGATGCGCGTTTCGAGGACGACATTCACCGCCGCGACTCGCCCTTGGCTCCCATTGATTAGACGTTGCCGTCTGAAGAGAGGCCAAATTGGCACCTTGACAATGTGCACCTGTCCCTCGCCGACTCAAATGGCAGCCCGTGTTTCAATGCGTAGAAAGTAGCCAATTTCAGCGCACGACAGGGATTTTTCCTATTGACCGTTGCCCCGGAGTCGACCAAGAGACGGAGATACGCAAGACCTGGACGCGTAGCAGGCGATGTGTTATTTGTACCTGCAGGTGAAGTGAAAGTGGGATGCGATTGTGCTGATTGTCCGTTGATCTGGTTCCAACGTTGTTTAGTGGGCAGCCAGGGGCTTGGTAGCGGGCGCCGTAGCTGCTTACGACCAAACGTTATTTCGGTTTGTGCAATATCAAGAAGGGGAAAAGGGGATCAGTGCGTGCGAATTCATGATACGAGATTCTCGAGTCTTGATTCTCGATTATCTTGTGCAACTTGAAACAGCAATGATGGAGAGTTGCGCCAATGTCATTGATTGATTGCGCTTCATAAAAGTTGGTGGGAAACCTTAGCACACATGAGCACACATCAAAGCTTCCCCGACGTTGCGGGTGGACCCTTGCTGTGATGCACTCAATCGGCACCTGGGAGCCGCGAGTGCGGTTCAACAGTCGACCACCGCACCACAAAAGCATTCGATCGTGACGTGCACAACGGCTATTGCCTGTGTGAGTGCAGCTTGGGCAAACAAACAGTCAAGCTCGGATTCAATGTATATGAGACTCATCTTTGATCCCAGCATGAGCAAGTGCAGGTGCATCAACTTCCTGCCCTCAGTCAGCATTCTATGACATATGTGCTTACCCGAGGGGACTCCAAGCGATGACGAGAGCTGCAAATGCATAGTGTCAATGGCCGTTGAGACTACAAGTGCTGCAAGGACCCGAGACACTGGTCGAGGTTGTTTCGTCTCTCAATGGTGCCCTATTACACATGGATTATGTAGTTACACTAGGCATACGTCTGGATGCGCACGCAATACTGGCAAGGGTCACGACCGACTGAGTCGTGATAAGGTTGCCCAGACATCTAGGGCGTATTCAAAGATGAAGACACATGGGCTAGAGTGCTATTTGGGCAATGATGGGATGCTCAGAAAGTAAGATTAACAACAAACTCAGGGTGCTCCGGTCGACGGTTCTCTTGGAGACCCGAATCTGCCTCGTTCTGGAGCCTTGTAGCCATTGTCGTGTTTAGGATTGTTTGGGTATATTGCGTACAGTGAACCTGTTCTCTACCTGTGAAATACACCTGTGGGCTAGCCTTCTGTGACGTGGGGCACTCCACGCATGCCTTCATATTTGATACAGGCACCACCAGGATGAAGAAATGTTGACGTAACCTTCGATAGATTGCTTTCGCGTCTTTCTGGATATGATGATGTGTTTGTGTGGCTTTGAAGATCTGCACTTGTACATGATGCATTTCTGGGGTTGATAAAAATTGAACTGCGACTTCCCCAATTAGTGAGCTCCAATGTTTCGTACCTTGCATATCGACCCCTTGCAGTGGTTGAAAATCGGTAGTATGACTCGCCGCAACTTCAAGTAGAATTGCAGAGGTTACATTGATGAAAGAGTCGGTCTCATAAAGCGACAGCGATTGCTCGCCATTCCTATTCTTGAGCTTCATGAAGGGGGTTTAAGTAAGCTCCGTCAATCCGCACGAGGGAAAGGAAGGTTAATGGTGGTTAGCACTAAGATATCATGCTTCGTAAATTCGTTGCTTGCAGTTCAACCAGGCCATCCTACATAAGTGAATACAGAACCTGGATAATCCCGTGGTATTTATTTCGTATTCGTCACTGTTGCTCTTATAAGCTCTGGTAAGCAGCTAGATCAAGCAATCTATTGCCTCCGCCGGGCTAGCCGAGAGACATAGGGCACTAAGAGCCATTCTCTCTGAAAGACCTCAAATGCTGCCGTGTTTGAGCATGCTGTGTTTGAGCATGCCGTGTTTGAGCATGCCGTGTTTAGCATTTGGTGCGGTCTAGCTGGACTCTTATATCATACGCGAAACACTTTGCGCTGCACCGCTGGACTCGCCTAGTAGTAGTAGTAGCATTATATTTAGGTCAACGGTGAATCCCTTGGATGTTTTGAAGAGCACTACGAAATCGATTGTGTTAGGCGGAAGGTGTCGACATAGTCCTGAGCTTATCTTAGTATTGAGTGCCCTTGTCTAAATCTTAATTAAATGTTGCCAGGGAAATCCGGTGCTCTGTCCGCCATACTCTACGAGATTTGTGTTGTGTTGCCAAATGATCTCAGACAGTATCCGGGCTTGCCGTGAGAACAATGGATGCTTTGCCTGGCTGTGTGGTACATATGAAGTACAGAGTAGTAGAACCCAAGTTGAGATGCCATCCAGCCTGATAAAGCCAAGCGAGCAAGAGAAACGGCGATCCACATTTCTCTACTGTGGCATCCCTGCAGCCTCCAGGCATTTAACGGGGCCCACTGTACTCTGTTTTGGGGCACGCATCACACTCCGAGCTGCCATTGTCATTGATTGCACCAATTGTATTTTATCCATGGCAATTCCACCGTTCATCTAACGTCAGGTCATACATTCCTTGACGTCTCGCCGCCTCCACTGCTAATTCTTCTTTTTCAAGATCCCTCATATATATTCCTTCTTTGTCGCATCCCATCTTAGGGCAGGTTGTGACGGCAATTCTCATCTTCGCCCAACTCGATGATCGAGAATTAGTTTTAACAGCTCTGGTAATTTTCGCGGAGTCCTCAGGGGTCCGTTGCCGGGTCTCCTTCGGCATCCGAACTTGCACGCTTTAGCTTTCTTACTCTCTTTTTTCTCTTGCGCCAGTGACGTTTCCAAATCAACGTCAGATCAATCTAACTGGCTTGGACATGGCAACTAGCAGCAGTCACAACGGGCGGCGGGCGTCGATCGCCTCGTCTTCAACCGCTGAAGACGTGGAACAACACAGCGAGAAGCACACCAGCTTCGACGCCAGCGACAGGGACCATGATCGCACTTTGCAGCATACCATGGTGAATTCCGTAGAAGGCCACGAAGGCCAGGAGCACGAGCATCTCTTAGAGAAGGCAGAAGACGAGGAGGAGCAACAGCCAACGCAACCACCGCCTCCGGCCAAGAAGAGCAGTACCTATACTGCTGTCATGTGGATGGTCATCAACACGCTGGCCACCATCGGCATCGTCTTCACCAACAAGGCCATCTTTTCTGACCCAACCTTGAAGCTCGCGCAGCTGACCTTTGCGGCCTTTCACTTTTTCATTACGTGGTTGACGCTATTCACCCTCTCGCGGCCGCGACTCGCCTTCTTCGTGCCCCGTCGAACTGCGATTCGGGACATTATCCCCCTTGCCATTGCTATGTCACTTAATGTCATCCTGCCGAATCTCTCGTTGGCCTTCTCTACCGTCACGTTCTATCAGGTGGCCCGCATTCTCCTAACGCCCACGGTCGCAGCCATGAATTTTGTGCTGTACAAGGCGACGCTCCCTAGGAATGCGCTCATTGCTCTGATTCCAGCATGTGCAGGAGTAGGGATGGTATCATACTACGATTCGCTCCCGACAGATGACGTCAACGTTAAGACGACTTCTGGCCTGGGTATCATCTTCGCCTTTACCGGAATCTTTGCGTCCTCATTGTACACCGTCTGGATCTCGAGCTACCACCGAAAACTGCAGATGACGAGCATGCAACTCCTGTTCAACCAAGCGCCCGTCTCCGCGTTTTTACTACTCTACGTCATTCCGTTCGTCGACACCTTCCCTGTGTGGACAGAGGTTCCCGTCAACCGATGGGTGATGATTATGATGGTAGGCCAACCCCCAGATGTTATAGTACACTCCAGCTAATATGTAACTAGTCTGGTGTCTTCGCCTCCTTGATCAATATCTCCCAATTCTTCATTATCGCCAAGACTGGGCCTGTTTCAAGCACGGTCGTGGGACATCTGAAGACTTGCACCATTGTTGCCCTGGGATGGGCCACTTCAGGAAGATCGGTTGCCGACAAATCCGTCATTGGTGTTTTTGTTGCCATTGGAGGTATTGTTGGGTAAGCAGTTGGCCGGCCTTCTCCGCTCGCCAGACTTTGACTAATCTTCATCGTAGCTACTCGATTGTGATGCTCCAGCATAAAGCAAAGGGGGGTGGCAAGGCATAGGGCGCCACGATTGGAAGCACTGCATGGTTTCGGAGTTCCCGAGGTTTTAGTTTACTGCATTTCGAAGTAAGGTCCATTAAGATATCGCGGCTGCCCCACAGCGTAGTTCTCGCGGTATCGAACACCATAACAGATAGTACTACGTTGTCCCACCACCAGCCCAGATCTTTTCACAAACTGGGCAAACCATACTTGTCTGCCGCTGCCAAACCTCAGTCCAACGCGTCCAAGAAAAACGCAACGGTCATGTATTGGTCCACTTACCCTTACAAGATCCCTGGTCTTCGAAGCATATTCGGGGTCATTGATGACAGGAACTCCAAAAAGTTGAAGCCCCCATACATGGCTATGCATCAAAGCGAAGCAGTGAACAATCAAGTAGTTGCTTGTGCTGGCAACGACAGTGTCTCACTGAACATCTCTCCTCAATCTGAACATATGGTCGCCATCGACTGCTCGTTTCGTGCCAGTCCAAATCTCCGTAATAAAGCGGTATCCCCTAAACCAGCAAAGGCATGAACTCTTCCCTTTGGAGAAAGCTGTATACACACTACGTAAATAAATGACGATGTTCCAGTTTCATCGCTGGTTGCGTCTTAACCGCCCATGTCTTAGACATTAATCCGTTACAGCCCGTGGTGGCCTCCGAGAAGATGATTGTTCATCCGCGAGGAGAACGAAACTCCCAACGGATGAACAATCATCTTCTCGGGGTTCCTCTTGCATGAGTGTTCACGGCCAGGAACCCACAGTCGTTGAGCGGTTCTCCTTCCAGCTATGACGCCCCGTATGCCGTCCCGCTAAACACCATGCAGCTACCTCTACGGCGTCTGTGGCAGCCTTCACTGCGATACGTTTCCAAATCTAACTCAACTTTTGCCAAAGTCATCACCACCCCTTTCTCTGAACCCTACTCGCCCTAACGCGACGAATACCTGGCCATCTGCCTCGCCGTCCGGAACCAAGACCTCGACCTTCCCGAGTTTCCGCAGCACCCCTACCACAACATAGGTATCCGCCGGTTCTATATCCTAGACGCCTCCGAACCGCCCATTCTTCTGTCGCGCCTACTTTCAAAGTTCCGCCAGAGGCTCTAGCTTTCATCTCTTATATAACGCCTCAAAGCGAGTGCGCCGACAACTGCGACCGGAACCACACCTGGCTGGCCTTCATTGACGCCGATGAATTTTTCGACACGCCCAGGCCCGAAACCATAGAAGAAATCCTACGATCACTCCAATCCCGTCCCGAGACTGGCTGAGCGTGAACTGGCAGATGCACACGTCGCGCCACAAACTCAAGCGCGCCAAATCGGTACGGAAGACGTTGACACAATGACTTTACAACGACACCGAGCACAAAAGCGAGAATTCAGGCAACAGACACATCAAGTCGATTGTGCAGCAGTGCAACTTTGCGGTCGCGATTAACCCGCATTAGTTCCATTTCGGGGCAGTCACTGGGCGAACACAAGGACGAGGTGACAAGCGCGGGGGTTCAGATGCTGATTACACGGGAGAGGGTCCATTTGCATCATTATACGGTGTAGAATCGCTTGGAGTACAAGGAGAAGATGAATCAGAGTCCTGCGATGAGTTAGCAGAAGGAGTGGAGTTTGGAGAGTATGTAGAGAAGTAGTTGCCGCATGTTTTGTGAGCGGATATGATTAGGTGGATGGAATAGGTAGAGAGGGAAGGAAAACGCTTTGGGGGTTGGGGATGTGTACGCCGATTGAAAGGGGGGCGGGAACGTGAGGGGGGTGGGTGTGTGTTGCTGTGAGATAGAGATAGACTTACTTGCCTCTATCCATCAATGCACCGCGGCTTAGATCGAGGTCTTCACCGGCCACCAGAAACTCAAGTATTCTTCTATATAGGGATATGTATCGAAGCTGAAGCTGGGAGGAGGTAGAAAAACGCAGTGTCATGAGAAATCACAATGGAAATGAAGAGAAGTTTGTAGTTCGACTGCCCGAACCTATTGCAAGTCCACAACCTGACTTCAACTTCTCACACTTAGGCATGGCGGGGGAAGCTTCAAGTCCCGTTCCAGCACTATTATAAAAGTGGGATAATTCGAACTCCTCCCAGGAGGCCGCAAAAAACCAAGGCTGACGAATTTTCTAGGCAGAGAATGTGGAGCTGCCAGTTCACCGTGCCCTCTTATGGCCTCTGGCTATATAGACCATCAACATCGTGCTATACATGAGCAGAGGCACCATAGCTGACCTGGTCTTCAGCGGCATGACCGCCAGCAATAGAGCGTGTCCCACCACTTCATTACTAGCACTTACAACATCGACTGACTGCTACTGACAGAAGCGATTCCACTTTATTCCTGTCTTGATGCCAACCTATGTTTGCAAAACGCTGGGTATGACCCAATGCCCTCTAATACCGGATATCAACGCTGTTCCCTGCTAACTCCTTTCCATCTGCGAATCGTGACCGAGGACGTGATTCCATCTGCACGAAGTCAACGGCAAGTTTTCCAAGCCGGCGCCGTTCCTCGTCGACGTTTCGTTGCTCTGCTCGAGCCATGACTCGATCCACGAATGCAGCGCATCGTGCCGAATCGGCCAGCTTTCGTTCCTCCTGGGCTTTGCGTAGGGTGTGCTCGGCCAAGTACAAATCACTTCGGTATTGCATATGCTGAATCAAAGCCTCGATTCGCACATCTTCAGCCTTTTGCCATGCTTCCTGAGCCCGTCGCAGCAAACCCTGAGCGATGCGGTGCTCTTCCTGAGCTTCGCGAAGCGTATTCTATCGCCGTCGCTCCTGCTCTCGTCGCTTCCAGTTGTCGCGAATTGTTTTGGCCGCACCAATCAGATCCTCCTTGGATACACCATCCCGAATACTTTCCAGCACGGCATCGACGACTTTAATGAAGTTACCGTGTTGTTTGTCGTCTCGGAAACGGTAGAATCGCCAGCGATTTTGGTCGTCCATATACGCCTCGATGATGCGCTCGTCCAACGGGTCGCCGAGTGCTTTCAGTTCCTCCCATTCGGATTCCGTCAGGTAAAGTTCACCATAGTGTCTGTACCCACCGGGGCCGTTGCCCCCGTAGTAGGCTAGCAGCTCAACTTTCGGTACTGCGTTGTAGTCATAAAATGGTTCCGTAATACCCTGGGCACGCTCGGTTGCGTTTGGCTCGACCAAACTGAAAGTGAACTTCCACTGGAAGTCCACCGTGTTCTCATCCGCTGGCTTCCATTTGAGGATGTGCTTGTCAGTGCCAAACTGGTATGGGGTTGCCAAGCAGGTGAAGATCAAGCCGTCGTTCCCATGCTTCAGATTCTTGATAATCTGCCTAAACATCATCTCGATACCGTAGGCAACCTGCATATCCTTCATCTCGAGGAAGAATGGCATGTATGGCTTCTCTTGCGGGTACTTCTCAAGGAGCCGCTTGTATGGCTGGAATACTTCATTTTGGAAGTAGCCAAGTCGTTTCGACAGGTCTCGTTGCGTGAAGTTCTGTCCATCCATGACAAGGCAGTCAAACACTAAATATCTTGGCTCTTTCCGGCCATCAACATTGTCGATGACAAGCTCCCCATCCAGAATGGTATCCTTATGCCATGTTTCCTCCCCAGCAGGTCTTGGGAAGTGCAAATTTCCCTTCACAAACCAGTAGTCATTCTTTCGATCGATCAGGTAGTGCGTCTCGGCATTGTTCTCGTTGTTGGTGAGGTAGAGCAAGTAGCGAATGCCGTCCGACTTCTCGCATACGAAATAGTCTTGTCGGTGCAGTTCCTCCAGATGGGGCTTTCTGAAACTAACTGGTTGCGCCCCAGGAAAGTCGAGTTTGTCTCTGTTCAGAAGGTGTGCGACCTCTTCGCGTAGGTGTCTCGCCAATTCCGGCTGCGCCTTGATGCCAGGGCAGTCAATCGATCGGATTGGGCCCTCTTCCTCCATTTTCGGTCAATGTAAATAGAGATTCAAAGAAATATATGCCGGTTCAGTGCCGAATGGGGCCTGGTGATACAGACAAAGAACTCCTCAGATAAATAGATAGAGTCGCCGCGTCGATGAAAGCGATACAGATGAAGCTGTGGAATGGTGTAAAGCGTCGCGGTACAGGACGGTTAGACTAGGGTATTTCGTTGGGGCTTAGACATCAGGTTAGGCACCAGTTAGTGAAGGCAGGAGCTGCCTCATGAAGTCGCATCGTTGGTGTAATCTGGGAAGGCACTGTCCATGATTATTCCATCTTGAGAACAAACAGCTGGAATTTGGACGTGCCTGCTTGAAGCTACAAGTCGTTATCGGCTTATCGCTCCTGGATTTTGGTCCGAGCACAACCCTGGAAATACCTAAGCTCAGTAAAATATTCTAGGACAGCATCGTTTCTTCTATGGGTTGAGCATAGTATAGAAGGGTTGTTGTAAACGAATAATATCAATGCTATATTATTTCTGATTGAATATGAGACCCCGAATTGCAAGTTACTCATAATCAACAAATTGTCCTAGTCAACTGTTCCAGGTTGTATTTCCTGAGCAGGCGGTTAGGCTGGGAATTGTGGCTTTCGTAGGTGCCTGTTGGAAGAACTTTGGTATAATGGGAAATCAAGTGAGGTAGGTTAGTAAGAGGAATTACTTGCATGGCCCAAGTTTTATCAATTCTGAAAATGGAAGTGAAGGTTATCTTTACCTGAAGAATCTGGCTTCGATCACTCCGAGTTTGAACTGACTACCGGCCCACAGACGGGAACAACGGCCCATGAGCCCGGTTCCAGCCGGCTTGCATTCATTTAGCTCCGAACTAGACCAACAATATCTGCAAGCTTGAGAGCTATGTACTCGCTTCGTGGATCAGTCCATTAGTTCCTGCAGAACTGGACATTTCACGCCAAAGTGTGCAATCTTCAAATCGCACCTACTAGGTTGTTTACCCCAATCACTGAGCACCACACCCCTAGAGCCGGGCCTCACCGACGAGACAACAATGGCAGTATGTGATCTTACCCAAGCCTTCGCGCTTTCATCCACTGACGTCTGACGTACCAACCAGAAATCATACAACCAAGTTGTGCTCTTCGGAGACTCGCTGTTTGAGGGCGCAGCCGATGTCAAAGATGGGTTCTGTTTTCAGAGCGCCCTGCAAGTCCGCGAGTGACACTAGGCACCCACCTCCTCGAACTTGATGGGCTGAACTGAGTCTACAGAGTGCAACCGCCGCCTCGACGTAGTCAATCGAGGCTTCTCGGGCTACAACACAGTCAACGCACTAGACCTGCTCCCGCAGATCTTCCTACCGCCATCGGAGGCCACTCCCAAGATCGACTATCTGGTAGGTTATTATCATCCGTATTATCTCTCGGTCGCTCCATGTTCGAGCATGGCAGAACCTTGTATCTGAGATCTTGTTCTCACCACCCCTACCAGCTCGTTCTCCTCGGCGCAAACGACGCCTGCATCCCCCTTCCCACCGACACCCAAGGCGTGCCTCTCTCCGACTACAAATCTAACCTGCACAAAATAATCACCCACCCCTACATCACCGCCCACAAGCCCAAGATACTCCTCATCACCCCACCTCCCCTCGACGAAATCAAAGTCACCGAAGCCGACCTGGCCTGGGGCCACTCGCAAGCGACACGCCAAGCCGCTGTCTCGGCCTCGTACTCGGAGGCCGCGCGTCAGGCCGCGGCCGAGGTGCCAGGAACGGTGCTGGTTGATCTACAGAAGGCGTTGATGGAGGAGGCTATCCGGAGGACGCCGGCATACGATGCAAGTAAGGGGTTGCCGCTCGGGTATCCAGGCGGGATTAGGGGCGCGTTGGAGACGTTGTTACCGGACGGGTTGCATATGAGTGGAGATGCTTATCGGGTCTTGTATGACCTCGTCCAGCCGCATGTTGGGCCGTTTGATTATGATAATCCGGATCAGGAGTATGTGTTTCCGACTTGGGCCCAGTTGAATTCCGGCGGTATCTGAGGTACGGGGAGAGGAGAGATGCCGGAGCGGACTGGATAGGACTACGGAACGGGGGATGGAGACGGGGACGGAGACGGGGCTTGGCAGCCACATGGTAGTATGTAGAGACACATACCGGGAGGCGCTAAGTAGATAGACTATCTAAACTAGAGCCATACTGCCAGAGAGAGAGGCATCATGAGATTTACGACACCAAATAAATACGCAAACATGCTTAGCTGTGGATATTGCTTGCGTTGAACCGAGAAAAACCTCGTTATCTCGGCAAGGATAACCTTAGGATACTCAGTAGTCTGCTCTTTACGAAGTAATAGTTCGCTCAGACCGCGAATCCTCGGAGATTACCCCGTACACGATTGGCTCTTTAATTTGACCCAGAACCCTCAAGAGAACCCTCAAGAGAACCCCTCAAGAGAACCCTCAAGAGAACCCCTCAAGAGAACCCCTCAAGAGAACCCTCCGTCACGAGTGGAACTCAGCCTCCCAACAATATGCGCGTGAGTATTCCCTCCGCAGCCATGCCACGCCGCTTCCTTGTCGTTCTTCCAAGCAGCACTCAGACGGCTCCGTTCGCCAAGAAAACCACAACCTAGGCCTTGAACGGAGGTCTCAGAAATTCGCTCACCTCCGGCAGCATCGCAAAACTCGAGCCCGCATGCTTGACGCAACGAGAAAGTCAATCCCAGCGGCGGTACGCTAGTCTTCTCTGTTTCGGTAAAGTGGGGCAGCTTTTCGATTGTGTCAGGGGTGACAAGACAAAGGTATCAGGCTTAAGCCTATGTATGCTATTTCACACGTGTTCATCAACAGACATCAGGGATTGGTCTTGGCTCTTGAACTAAGTGGGGATACAGATCTGAAGGGTCCAGGTTTCACGATGCCGAAATCCGAATCCTTGTCAAATAACTCGGTTCACGAGGGGTTCATGCCGATTCCCAAGCCGTCGTCGCCGTCGTCAAGGATAATGAGGCCAGCATCATTAGGGGCAAAGATTGATTGTAAGTTGGTTACCCAAAAATTTGATAGATGCAGTGATATGATATTGTGGAAATCTAAACAAGTCGTCTCTTCTGACGAGCGTTCAGTATAATAGCAGACAAACGAGGCTTCTCCAATGCGTTATGCTAGTTGTATAGCCCCAAACAAATAAGCTCTAGGCAGAAGAAAACCAATGCTTCCCGGGTTGCTTCCACGTAAATGCTAATAAAATGCCGTGCGAGTCGGTCGTCAATACCTGTGCTCTTGAGTATGCCGTAGTCTTTCCAGATTCCCAAGAATGCGCCACATTAATGTAGAGCCCCAACGCCTTGCAATGCAATGCCAGTATATCCGCATCCATATACACAAATGTTCCCTCGCCTCGTCCGTACGGGCCATGGGGTTTTCAGTCTTCAGTAGTCTTCTACAAGAGGGTGTACATCGTTCCCAGTCCAAACGACAACAACACAAGCGTGGTAGATATAGCCACGGACGGCGGTGCAGCGCTCGAGTCGTCGAGACCAAACCCGCCACTGCTGCCACTTGTGACGATACCAGAAGTTGCTGCGACAGAATTGGACACCGCAGTGGCACTGGGAACTGAACTTGTCCCCGTGGTAATTTCCAAAACGTTGTGGGTCGTTGCGTTAAATTTGGTCTGTGCGAGTGAGATCTCGTTGTTCGCAATGTCGTATACGACGTATGCCGATCGTAGGAATGTATCACCTAATACGTTTGTGCCCGAGCCGGCGGGTGCGATACCGAACAAACACGCGGTCACACCGTTAGAGAATGTTGGTCGCGTGCCGCTAGTAGTGACCAGGTCCAATACCAACTCGTTCATATCCACCGAGATCGTGGGCGACGAGAAGGTGAAATCGAGGGTTGTGTTGTCTTCGGCCAAGGAACATGGCACGTAGGCGGCCCCTTGGCTCGAGTCGTACTGCGCGCTAACGGCTGTGTAAATCTGGTCGACCCAAGTATCGGGCAGATACGTCAACGAAGAGCCGGAGTCGAGCAGCACTGCGAGTGCTTGGTCTTCGGAAACCGTGGTGTTGCCCAGCGTCAATTCCGTTAAAGTGATCATGAACTCGGCATAAACACCACTCTCCTTCTGGATCGGAAGGGTCTGCAGCTCGCCCTGGAACTGGTCGGTATCGACACCACCGAATAAGATGCTGCCGGTGCTTGCGTCGAGATCGTTGAGCCAGAGGCTGTAGGCGTTGGACTGGATGAGGCCATCGGTGACCATCTTCGCGGGCAAATTGTCGTACTCGTCCAGCCCTGCCCTACCGACTTGCACCTCGTTGACCGGATAACCAATCCCCAAGATTCCTTGCGATGACGTGCTCTTGTATCCAACCCCAAATTGCAAATCATCCACCGTCGTATCCCCTATCGTAACCGTATCTGATACGTAGTCTCCGCTGGCCCCTGATCCGTCAACGTACGAAATGTTGAAGTAGCTCCCGACGTAATTGTATGTTGATGACGAGTTCGCTGTGTATGTGCCGGCAAACGAGCACGGCTTCGAACTCTGCAAACATAAACTTGAGCTCGGAGTGTTTACCCAAAGATCACTGCTGCCGGTATCCAAATGTAACCGTATCGACTGCGCTGGAGTTCCCAACGTGGCATTGACAAAATATAATGTTTCCTGTTGGACATGTTAGCCAAGGGTAATTCGACTACCAAGACGGGCTGCAAACCTCATTGTCCAACTCGGCCGTGGCACTGCCTCTCCTCCGTAAACGATCGCGTTGCAGCGGGTTGGTAATTTTCTTCCTTTGTGTGTCCATTCCAACGACCTTGGACTGGCCCGTACTCCTTTTCTTCAGACTGAGCGCATCTGACGACGTTGATAATAAGCCCGCCGCAAGGGCGAATACAGTGGTTGACTTCATGGTGAAGGATCCCAAATTACTGGACACTTCTCCCAGAGGATCGAAAAAGTCAACAGTATTAAAAAAATGTTAACGTGATAACATGGGTGGCGTTTGTTGCCGAAGTGAGTATTAATCAATCGAAGTGCGAGGTTGAAATATTGGGAAAAGGGCACTTGTCAAATGTATCCGCGGGTCGGAGTGGCTAAGCCTATGGGACCGCGTAATGGCTGACGGGAGTGGACCGTAATTGTTACTTATGCGTGTCCACCAGGAATTTAGGGAGGAAGAGGGAAGGCTAAACACTGCGAAGGGAACGACAGGCTTGAAGCATAAAAAGAAAAAGTGGCGAAATGGACGTATAAAAAGCAATACAAGAACAAACAGCACCAAAGAGCGGCGATACACGCAGCTGATGAGTCTTTGTAGACGGATCGTGAAAAGCTCAAAATAGCAAACCGAATTTCGTGGAACGCCAAGTACTTGATGGGATTCTTTTGCGACTGTTCCAAACCCCTCCAAGTCTCATTTGATGTCCATCACTGACGGTGCATGTCTTGGCTCATGGTCGAGGATGTGGATGAAGCAAAACGAACGATGATCCCTATCGAGTGGGGAGTCCGCTGAAAGAGGGAGGCTTGGCACGTCTGACGCGCGGCCGTCGACGACGTTGCCGGGGTGCGGGCCCCATCAGAGTGCCCCGGGTGGAAAACGTTTGCGTAGCCCTAGAGCAGATCCCTCGAGACAACTTGACAGTCATTGGTGAGAGCGCTTCTTGACGATGGAAACTGCAGCAGAGCCCCAGTTGGAATGACCAGGACAGGCCAAACCCGACCATGGTTGATGTTACCGAGCGGCTCACTCTCGGACTGGGATCTCTGTCCCTGAGACGTTTGAAGTGTGTCAGGTGTGAAGAAGGCTTTTTGCTTGGCCCAAGTGGTTGTGCCCGTCTGGCTGTGAGAAACACGAAAAATAAGATGATCACAGTCAAGAGTGGTCAAGGCCGTTGATGTCCAACCTCTTCCGCTGACAGGTCGCTTGCGTGTGTAATCGGGGGAGTGAGTGAAAGTCGCCATCAATGTTTGCACTTCTAAAGTTCTCGTGTCAGCGACAAGTGCTTTCACTACAGCGGTCATGAAGAAGCAGATTACCTTGCTTGAAGCAAGTCAGATGTACCAGCTGTCAGGGTCCGCCTTGCCCCATCGGTGATAGGCCAGGAGCATTGCGGCTGTGGCTTACAATATCTCCGCGCACTGAAATAGCTTTCCTAGGTAACCTGACACTGACGCGGCACACTTAAGGACGCGCCACTGCCCGACAGACTTCTTTTCTCCCAACGGTTGGAACGGCTGTGACCAAAACCCGCCATGATGAGGCCAAGAAGCACCTCTAATTTCTGTCTTCCATCTGCGAAGATGAACCACGCCATGTTTGTCAGTTTTGCAGCCATTAACTAACTGTCCTTCTTGACGAATTACATTTGCTGCTAGCCTGCAAGTTTGAAACTCGAGAACCCACGTGCAACCAAGACAAGTCTGGGTGACTGGGTTACTGGGAGCCAGGATCCCCCTGAGCACTTATTATGTATGGAATCCTTGCCTTGTCTCCTCTGCTATGGGCTTGGCGAATGGCTCCCCTGGCAATCTACCCGAAACCTTGCAACTGCATGCATCTTCAAAGTTGCGCGTGCCTCTCATTACAATCATTCGTCACGCCAAATTGTTGCTGAGGCAGTTAGCACTTCATTCTAGATATCGGAGCGGCCCTACCTACAAACAGATGTTATGGGAACCTACCTCGTTGCTCGGCGTTCGAGGCCGGATCAATTGGCAACCCACAGGCACCCAACTCGGGCAATGCATAGATCGTGAGCCAATCATGATCATATCCATTTGCCTGAACTCCTCCAAACTCACGAGGCGTCTATGATGTAGGTAAATCCAGGGCACGGCACAGATGACATGGCGCGGGAAGCAAGGCTTCTCTAGCAGGCTCAGCTGGGGTGACCATGAACTTTTCCTTTCCTCGTGTTACTGTGGGTAGATGTTGAGGCACGCAGTACTGCATCTCTGGGCCTGAGTTGCAGGTTTATGCGACCTCGGTATGTCAAGTGAAATTGCAGATTACAGTACTTCGGTGTTCCCATCCTCGATCCCTATCGTTGCATCAAGCGTCATACCAGCCGTCTCTGAAATATGAACGTTTTAGACTCGGCTGGCCTTTACAACCCTGAGCGCTGGTAAGGCCTCGCAATATCAGCCTCATAGCTTCGGGTTGTAGCCCCCAAACTGACTCGCAACCGCTCCCCAGCCCTGCATACGGCGTGTGTCGTCGGGCTCTGCAGCCCTACCACAACTCCACGATGGCGGAGAACTGACCAGAAACGCAGTCCTTCTTCAGCGCCATGAGATGCGCAGCCGTCATCTTTACCGTGTTCGGTGCCTCCTATGGCACAGCAAAGTCCAGCATGGCCATCTGCGCGACTGGCATCATCCGGCCCGAGCGACTTATGCAGAACACGTATGCTTGAATCTCACGCACACGGCACTCTCTCTCTAGTGATCTGGTGGAGCAGATGCCGAATCACCAGGACTTTCTCCAGCTCGGGGCCGGCTTGAGCATGGGACTTTGCGGGCTTGCTGCGGGATCCCCTATTGGTATCGTTGGAGATGCTGGAGGTCAGTATTGCGTTTTGAAGACAGTGGATAGGGGGCTGACGCAGTGTTTTTATAGTGAGAGCCAGTATGCAGCAGCCGCGTCTCTGCGTTGGATTGATTCTGCTCCTTGTCTTTGCCGGGGTTCCTGGTCTCTACGGTGTCATTGTTTCCATCCTCATACTCACAAAGTCCCGCCAGAACGTGAACAAGTGTCGCTTTTAAGGCGTTTATGTTGCGTGGCCATATGTTGCTCCTGTGAGGTCTTACGACGGGGCACCGAGACGGAAACTGTAATCACTACGATATGAGAATGGACGAGAGCGAGTAGAAGACAAATTTCAATCCAAGCTGTATTCCAAGGATACTTCATGAATTAAATGAGAGACTTTCTGGCAGGAGACAGTCAATTGTGCTTCCCGCTATTGACTCCAGCTAAGATATTTGTCAACGAGCCAGACAACATCCCTTGCCTCTCCTAATATCATGACTACATACTCAAAACCCACTGGTTCCCCAAGATAAACACCCATCAAACGTTGGCGTTTCGTGATACCGTCGTCAGTCCCGGCAGAAAATTGTACCACGCCGCGACTACCCACGAAACCCGGCAGTTCGCGATTCTCGACCATGTAATCTCCAACCAACATCAACCTTCCCAGCGGCACATGGAACATGAGAGGCCCTAAGCTGCATCCCAGATTCTACGCCCTGTACGCTCTCACTTGTCAATCCCATCCAAAGCCAATCTGACAATCAAGCAGGAGCTGGATTGTAACGAGTAATCTGACTATCACTAGAATGGCTCCTCGACACAGCCGGCTTTCGCAACCGCAAAGCCCTGTTCTCCTCTCCCCGCTCCTCTCTTGTCACGCTTCGACAGAAGCGTGTCACTAAAACTAAATCACAGCCATCCTCCTAACAACCCTCCACCTCACCTTCGCAACAACCCTGACCTAACTCCTCGCCCGCACCACGCCCCTCCTCTCCTCCTGGCACTCTATCCCGCTAACAGGCTGAATTTAGGCTCTCCATTCTAACCGAGACTCCTGATTAACCACCCCTTCCAGAATTATTTCCCTATTGACACGCGTTCGATCTTAAATCAAATTGAGGCTCACAGTTATGTCTTCCAGATATATTCCCGATCCTGAGCCGTAATCATTCAATCTTAAACCATCGGACACTCCCAAGTATCTGCACCTTCTAGGCTTTCTTCTTATCTTCACCAATGATATTTAAACTTAAATCAAGTCAACGCTCCGAACAATTTAAGTATCTAAACATAAGTTCTGGACTTCTTTCCATCCTAATCCGCGAGCATTCGACTTTTGAACAAGGTGACGCTTTCACCTGACCACATTTTCCAAATGAATTCTGATCACGCCGGTGCTTCCAACCTATCAGATATTACAGGATCCTCAACTTCCATCTTGCCTGCGCCTGCAGAATGTACTAGTGAGGCCCTCTTGCTGAAGAGTACATAGGGAATATTGTACCTCTAACCACACCAGTTTACCCAAACTACACCTTCACGATATTTTGTCTATCTTGCTGTGCGAATATTCGACTTTTGCCGAACCAAACTAACGATTTCAAAAGCAAGAACTCCAAGTAAAACACGATTCATCTGGAGTATCCAACGTATGCTCGCTCGACTTCTAACTAACCAATGCCTTCCTGTTATGGGAGAATCTCGTGAATATTCAGCGGCAACTACTCGCCTTCGGACCCAGATGGATGCCCCATTGACCAACAAGAATATATGAACTGACACGGAGACAACGATATTTCACCATGACTACTCTCACCGGCTACTACGCCATTTACAGATGTCCTGCGGTTAAGGCAAGAGCTATCAACTCCGGTTCGACAGTTGAAAGCCAAAATTCCCCATCAGGATTACAGTGCTTTGATCTGTCCATATCTGCACATTTTGAGGCAGACGTCTGCCACACCTGAGCCAATTTACCTAGATCTGGCTCGCAACTAATCGCAACCGAGGAAGAATAAAGCAACTGAATTTCGAGTCATCGAATACATCAACCGTTTCCTGAAGAAAATCGCCAGCATACTCTGTTGTATAGGTGAAACTACCCGCCACCCAACCAGAGGGGCAGCACTGTTGAGTGAACTGAGGAAATCCACCAGGCCGACCAGGTGGTTCAACCAAGTTGCGGACATGTTTCATGGACTCCGAGGGGAAAATGAGTGTGTGTATAATCTTGATGTGCCATAGGAAGACCAGCTTACTAAGTTTCTACTGGGTCGACGACAGAATAGGTCATGTCGGACGTCCTGGAATCAAGTAAGTTCGATGTACTTTTCTTTTATGCCACGGAGGTTGAAAATTAAACAGGCTACATGTAGTCTTCAATCGACACGCGCTGGGGTTGATGTGGTTACATGCTCGTAAGGAATGTATCAAGGAGCTCTCGGCTCAGAAATACGAGCACCCCGCACTCCCGCCAGTCAAGGCCGCATGAGTAGAAAGCTTCAGTAATAGGCATTTTAACCGAGCTGATGTTGACCGAAGCGTTCGACGTCAAAATTCACCCGTGTGTGGATTGGGTTCGTTGCCATGCTAGCCTGGTGGGGTTATTGATTTCCTGTGACAAATATGCCGAATCCGACCTGTTTTCCGGGGAGGCGTTCGAACTGGGGAATCACTTCGAAACTTGACTCCGTTCAATAAGAACAGGGGGCGAACGCGAATATGCTCGGCGACGGCAGCTCGGGCGATTTCGCACTGGATGGCAGAAACCACAAGCACGAACAAGTAGGCGTGCTTCGAGAACGCTGACAGGGAAATCAGTATCAGTGCTCTAGGAAAATGTTTCACTCACTAGGATGTAGAGATCCGCTACCAACCAACAGCAATCGAAGACAATATTGATATACTATAAAAACTTTCCAGATAATATGGAACACTCCGCCCCCATTCTGTGGTTCATAAATGTTAAGACGCAAGCCAGGATAGCTAAACCAGCTTACTTTAAGGAGATTAAGGAGGAGAGTAGGAGAGTAATAGAAGGAATACCATCCTTTGGCAGGTGGGATAGAGAGATTCGCTACTATCCTTGGAAAACCGCAGTTGAATATGATCTCTTATAGAGACTTGCTACTGAAGCGTAACACATGTTTCGTACTAGCTGCTGCGTGGAACGAGAAAGGATACTAAGACAGACGTCATCATCGTTGCGTCGTCATGTACAGCCACGATAGTTAGAAGCAATGAATGCACTTGAGGATCCAGGTGTCTTTGGGTTGCTTGGATCATCATATGTGATGACTATACGAACCACGACGGAGTGTTCTAGACCCATGGGCGACTAAATCATCAACACCTTGAACTGGACAGGCACCTCCATCTCTTGCTCATGATAACAAGCACACAATGTAGCAACTCAATATTTACGTTATACCTACACACTCGAGCTTGCACTGATACTGTTCTTCAAATCTGAAACACTAATTCCAAGAGCAATCCGGTAGTGTAAGCAGCAAAGGACTCCAAACCAGTGCCGCCTCTCAAGGTAAAACCATGCCTCTCCAGACATCTGATGAATCTCAGCAAAGGCGGATATTGACGGAAATAGAGAGGAAGCTAATTCTCTTGTTCAAAACCTGTTGTCCGAGATTGAGGCAGTTCCGAGTATGATTTGGGTTGGTCTCTGGTATGGAAGATCAAATAAAGGGGAAGAAGCGCCTCCACGGTTGACGTGAGGGTGGTCGTCGCTGCCAAGAACCTAGAAATGCCATCCTTCCAAACCCTGTCAATATGTGGTGACTCTGCAGATCCTGAGCACGCTACGGAGGTCCTTTATGGTCCGTGCTCTTCACGTCATTGGCAACTTCAGACCTCGAGGCTCCAAGAACTGGTCCAGTCCTATAGTTTCGACATCCTCCAGCTTAGACATCATCACCCTCGCCGTCGCATCCGTGAATATTTTCCTGCTAAGTATCACTCATCGTTCTTCCATGCCTTGACAACCACCAAACGATGTCCCTGTGAATGAATCCTTGTTATCCGACGTTGGAAGCCCAGCGATAAAGGCTCGTGAGCTTCGACCTCCCCGCCCCCGCAGTAGCGTCCGGTTTGCAGCAGCGTCAGCGACTGACGACGACCTGATTCACTACTGAGCCGGCCTCCCGCGGCGGCCAGTTGTCATTGTTCACAAATCCAGGTACACAGCTTCATTCATAGTTCAGCGACTCAGACCTGCATCATGTGGAACGACGAGGAGGACAACAACCCGTATGGGACCAGCTTTGACCGCCGAGACTCAATCACATCTTCCTCAGGCAATCCCACCTCTCCCAGTTCACGCGACTGTAAGTTTGCTTTCTTAGTGCTCTTTTGCGCCATTCCATCTTTGTCTGCTGGGACGCCGGTACATAATGTGGGAATCAATAGCTTTGGATGACTCGCCGGATGAAGCTGATGCCGACTGGGAATTTGTAGACTCCCGCTACGAACCTCCGCAAACGCCTTCGTCCACCAGCGAGGACCGCCCGCCTCAAACCTACCAGCGTGAAGCGAGCGACTTCGACAGCGACAACGAGTATGCAGCCCAGGCTCCAGGTCAGCTGCCTAGGAGGAAGCCAGGTGGTTACGACAGTCGCATTGAGCAGATCCTCTACGAGAATCCCGACCTCCCTATCATGATTACGGATGCGGGAAAGAGCCCCGAGAGCGGTGGAAAGTACATCGTATATACCATCCGAACGGGGGTAAGCTTACGTCGCGTCTGATTGTGCCTGCTCTTTATTAATCGTGAGAACTTGCATGCAGGACCTCGAGGTGCGCCGCCGCTACTCCGAGTTCGCGTCGCTACGAGATGCTCTCACCAGACTTCACCCCACGCTTGTCATGCCTCCCATACCCGAGAAACACACCATGGCCGACTACGCTGCAAACCCGACGAATGCGAAGCAAGACCAGCAGATCATCGACTTGCGGAAGCGCATGTTGGCTGTCTTCTTGAACCGCTGCCGACGGATGCACCAAGTGAGGGAAGACGGGGTGTGGTGGAGATTCCTCGATCCTAATGCTAGCTGGAGCGAGGTCCTCCATTCGCACCCCATCGCATCCATTCCGAAGTCCGTCTTGAAGGCACCACCTCTCGATGCTGCCAACCCCACACCAGGGCACCTTTACCTGCCAGTGCCCTCCTCATCGGCAAGGCTGAAGGGTCCTGCTGGCTCGGGGCCATCGCCCACATTCGATGGTTCTGGAAGTGTCATTGGGTCCCAATTCTTGCGACGACTACCTCACGATACCGAAAACATCAGTGAGCAAGAGTTGGATCCCTACTTTATTGGCTTTGAAGCTTCCATTAAGGAGCTTGAGAAACTGTTGATGGGGCCAATGGAGAAAGTCAACCGACGAACACTTAGCCACCTGTCCGCGCTATCGACTGATCTTAATGACCTGGGCGCAAAGTTCAATGCGTTCGCTCTCTCTGAGCAGTCGCCTTCGCTCGCCGCCGCGATTGAACGCGTCGGCCAGGCCGCCGACTCATCATACATTGCAACCGAAGAGTTGGCCAGTTCACTCGGGGCGAGTTTCGCTGAGCCAATGAGGGAGAATGCGCAGTTCGCTGGCGTCGTGCGAAGCGTGCTTCAATACAGAATAATGAAGAGAATCCAACAGGAGATGACTAATGATGAGCTCCTGAGGAAGCGGGCCCTCCTCGACCAGTTAGAAAGAAGCGAAGCAGAAGCACAACGAATCGAGAAGTACCTCAGCAGCAGTCAACAATTTGGTGGATCGCAACATGTGCAGACTCCACGACGATCGTCAAGCGTTAAGGAACATACTACCCAGCATCACAGGGATGGGAGTAACGAAGACACGGCATCGATCGACTCCGACTTCCCGCCCACGCATGATGATGTCACCTCGGCACCTTCGGCCAGAGTGGGCGCTCCAGAGCGTTCCAGCTCGAATCCGACCCACCGAAAGTTACCCAGCGGCAACTCCATCACCAACAAAATCTTTGGGCCCATCCGTCATGCTATACAGGGCGTGGCCGACGTAGACCCGGAGAGAACACGACGCGATACTATTGGCAAGACGAAGGAGAGCATTGAACAACTCGAACAAGCCCAGGTGGTCTCGGCGCAAGATGTGAAGGAGGCAAGTGCGAGCATTCTGAAGGATCTCAAGCGATTCCAACACGAGAAAGAGGATGACTTGAAGCGTTACATGGTGAGTTGTGACAAGCATCCTTCTTACATACGCGACGATTGCTGACACGCTTCTAGCTTGCGTATGCCAAGAGCCAAATCGAGTGGGCTCGCAAAAATAAGGAGACGTGGGAGGAGGCCAAAGCCGAAGTTGAAAAGATTGACGAGACCTAGAGCAACTCACTCACGACCACCGGCCCACATGTAGCACGACTGCTGTCACGCGGCCTGGGCGCTCCAGACAGGGAAAAAGGCGTAATTTTGGCTCAGCAGCAAAGCAACACTTTGACGTTGCCATATTGTAATCAATAGGGATGGATAGTTCATACACCGTGCACGCTTTACTGCTTGCTCACATTCGTAGCAGTCTTGCGGTCTACGTTACAATTTAATGCTTTATGAGTACTATTTCGTGGGATTGATTCAAGCAAAGAAAAGCCTTCTGATCTGATACTAGTCGTATGAACAATCGGGATCAACATATAGCCTGGCATTGCGACAAGAGCCGAGAGCTAAGTGCCAGCTTCGAAGAGTGTCATGGCGATCGAGATTTGCAATCTCACAGCATCTTACACCCAATGCTGTTGAGAATACATAACACGAACCTCATAAGAACACGGGTATGACGATAATACACTAATTAGCAGCATGCCCTCCAAAAAGCTGCAGCCTGGCCGAAATAAAGACATCTTTTCTCCACTCATCACTACACACTATTTTGTCCTCACGAATCTCGCCACGGTATACCCCCAAAAATCCCCCAGTTCCAAGTCAAGAAGCAAGAGTGAGCTTGTCCGTCTGCGCTGGAAAATGACAAGCAGTACCGCCGCTTCAATAAAATTCTGTAACTACTGGTCCGTCATATCGCTGACTTCATTTCGACATCGTTGTGGGCTTCAAGGCACCTGTCATCCTCCGGCGGACTGCCTGGCGCGCAGTCGATCGAGTCGGCGCGTCGCTACGTATTCCTAGTCAGAATTCTCGCCGATTTCGTGGTCGCCCACGGGTTTCCTTCCCCTCGTCACACGACTAGAAGTAGCTTTGGAATTTGCCTTGTTTGACGCGGCAGCTTTTCCCTTCATGACGCTCGCTTTGATGGCGAACTTGATGGGGCTGTCTGCCTTGGGTGCCGCGCGTGCGGTAGCACTCCGACCCCTGCGGCCATTGGCTTTCGGCGGGGCAGCATCCTCTTCCTCTTCCGGCTCGTCTGGGTCTTCATCGCCTGGATCATTCAGTTCGCTCTCCTTAATAGCCTCTGTTTTCCTCGGGTCTTCGTCCATTGGTTCAACTTCAGATTCGGCCTCCGGTTCGTCCTCGATTTCCGAGAGAGAAGACTCGTCATCTTCATCTTCATCGTCATTCTTTACCGGATTGCCGTCACTATCGTAGTATTCCCATCTTGCGACCCCCTCCAGCATGTCTTCATCGTCCTCTGAAGAGTCTCGCTCGACATAGGTTGAATTTCTCTTCGAACGGCCGCTTCGGCGTCGGTCAGCGGAGTCAGGTCCCGGCGACGACGAGGCAGTCTTGCGAGATCTTGCCGGAGCCTTCTTCTTGACAGCCGTCTTCTTCACAGAAGCAGATTTAGTGGGCTTCGCGGCAGACTTCGACTTGGCGACAGTTCTTGAATGCGCTGTCCTAGCTTTCTTCTGGGCATGATCACCTTCGGCGCGTTCATCCATACTCTTTCGTTTCTGGCCAATTATGTTAATTCGGTGTGTATATTGAATTTTGTGGGGTGCTGCATGTGCGTACCTTCTTTTTATCAACACTTTTCAGTAGATCATCCAGGAGTTCATCCGCACCTTCGGGGAGAAACTGCTTGCTTGCAATTTCTTGCGCGGCTTCGTGGTTGGGGAGCGTCGAGTAAAGTCCCAGCGGCAAGCCAATTCTTCCGCCGTAAGCCTGGAAGCTCCAATTCTTCCTTTCCTGCCACTTTCGCAGGATAGCTTGCGCAAGATCGCTGAGCACGTAAAGATTTTCACTCTTGGCAGGATCAATGCCGTCTCGCGTCTGCTTAACTCGTTCTGCGTATCTGAATATCATCCCAAAATTTTGCTCGTTGGCTACGTTGCTGATGTAATATATCAGGTATCTAGCATGGTCCATAAGATCCTTTGCGTCCGCACTGTAGTCTGGATGATGTGCAAGCAATGAAAGCAGCCTCCCCATTGTGGCCTCCATTACCGTTTGCTTGCTTTCACGGAACGATCGAGCACGGGAACGGATCCAAGTCTCAATCTGCTGTTTGACGTCGCCGACAGGCTCAAACGCCGTCAAGAAGATCATTGTGTAAAATCTTGGCCGTAGCTTGTTGTTCACCAAATATTTCTGGAGCTTTTCGATAAAGAGATGACGGACTTTGGCAACTGGGTCCAGGGTAAGCATCGCCAAACGATTAAAGTCCGCATGTGAGAAGAGCTCCTCGAAACGCTTTGATGTGCAAAGCTTCAAGGTGAGCTGCCCTGCGCGTAGTCGAAGCCGAGCCTTGTGGTGATTTGGAGTGACCTTGGTTTTGCACAATTCCCCTTCGTTATTGACTAGAGTCCGGAGGAGCTTGAAAACGGTCGGGGTAAGTTTCTTGGCTTCATCGACGTCCTGAATACCACAAAGTCGATTAACAATCAACTTGAGGGCCCAACACTTCAATTGGCATTCTTCGTCAAGGTCTGCATCATCTACCCATTCGGGATCAGAACCCTGAGCATCCGTGCGAACCTTTCGCAGTACGTTTTCGAGCGCCATTTCGACGATCTCGTCGTTCGCGTCAGCAGTGACCTTGGAGGCCAGAAGTTCTAACTGACTAACGGCAGCAAGCTTATTCAGGAAATGGGGAGAGTCGTACCCCCAGTCCTTCCGCACCCTCTGCAGCAGCTCCGTGGCAGTAACGAAGCTCTTGTCGTCCTTCCGAGCCATCATAATATTGACGGCATATTTGGCAGCCTTTGCCGGTTGGCCGTAAAGGGCGTAGCTTATCAGTGCCTGTGTGAATTTCTTGTCCTGGGCCAGCTCCTCCGGGTACTTCCTCGAGTAGGATGAACACGCCTTGAGGGTTTCAACCAACCCGGTATCATTCTCCCGATTCGTAGTGGGTGCTCCTGCCACGAGATCCTTGCAAAGTTCCCCAATATGTGTTTTGAATAGATCCGGGATATGTTGCGAGATTTCGGTAGTGATTTGCTGAGCGGCCACTCCAAGTTTGTCCTTATCATTCTTGGAGTAGTCAATGAAAGTCGATAGATGACTCTTGCTGAACATGATGTAGGCTGATCTGTAGAGGAGCGGCACCAAAGTGTCGAGCACATGAGGTTTTGAAGTATCTAGAATCCTCTTGTTGAATTCCTTGACCGCCCTGTACATCGTCTTGAAGTCGCTTTCGAGGCTTACCACGAACTTGATCAGATTATAGCTCCGGCGATCATTCAGCGTCGCAAAATTATGAAGATCTGTTTCTGTCTTTACTGAGTCCGGGAAGAAGGTGCAAATGTATTGGACCGTCTTCTTGAGGTTTTGTTTCGTGGTCTCTCCACCGCGTTCTGGCACTCCACCGTTATAAGCTTCGCACTGGCGAACGAAATTCTCGAGCACGCGAGAGAACTGCGGTTGCCGGGTTTGCAAGGCAAAAAAAGCCCGTTTCGCCTTTTCATCCAAGCTTCGGACAAGAAGCAGAATGCGTTCTGCCCGGATCTTATCCGGATCATAGGGGGAGTCATTTGTGGTTTGCGATTGGGAGTTTCCATTGGATGACTTCGTTTTGGCCTTCTGCGGTGGGAAAGACAGCGGAACAAGGCACTCAAAGGCGACTCTCTCGAGCAAGATGTTGAGTTCAGGATCATTGGCATAAAATGTGTTGAAGATGCGCGTGGGGATGCTGGACAACGCAGATGTTACAGCCTCCTGATCTGCGAGGAGTTCCCCTGCCGCCACTGCCCACAGCTTTCCAAGAAGAACCATGGCTTCGACGCGCACAGGAGGTCGTTTGTCTCTGCACCGGTCAGCCAGGGTGGACAACACCGAGTCGGCTTTGTCAACGCCTCCAGTAGCGGCCAGCTTCGTCACAATATCTCGGAAGCTGAAAACTTCGATGGCCTTCACGGCAGCCAACCTGACCTTCTCATCACTGTCGTTGAGCTTGTCTCGTAAACCGGCGATGAGCGTCGACTCGTCTTCGCGGCTCAAACCGATGCCTCCAGCCGAGGTCGAAACAATGTACCCAACGGCGGACGTCCAAGCCGCACGGATTAAAGGTGACTTATCGTTCCGCCGGGTTGCAAAGTTATGGAATGCTTGAGAATGAGTCTGAGCGAATGATAAGGGCGAAATGGGGGTTGTGAGAATGCTCGAGTCAGGATGTTCCGGAGGTTCATCGCTCAACCTAAGAGCAGGGTACGCTGCCGGGTCCAAGGCAGGTCGTGGCGGAGGTCCAGCAGCGCCGATGCCAGATATCATATCCCCAAGAGTTTCGGTCGCCAATAACCGCAGCTGTATGTTGTCGGCTTGCAACTCTGCGTCCACCTGAGGAACAACATTTTGTAGCACCGTGGGCGCGGCACGCCAGAGCTCGCGAAGAAGTTGATGAGCTTTCCGTAGCTCCTTGAAGTCTGATTCGGAAGGGCCGCTTGGCGCATCATCGTCATCCGAGTCCGCCTCATCTTTGTGCCCGTTGGTCTGATCTTTCCCAGTTATGTCCATTATCACATCGCTGAAGTACTGGCTGACGTAGCGTGCCATCTTCTCCGGGCATGTGTTGCAAACCGTTTTGGCCATGACATATGCCTCCGGCTCCTCCTTGGGCAGAAGAGTCGTTTGACTGCCGTTAAGGTCGGACTTGTTTCTGGAGCCGCCTGGAGGAGCGGCTCGCAGGAACTGGGCCATTATCACATCCAGAACACTTGGAGGCAGGTTAGGGCCTTCGTCTATCAAAGTAACCAAAATATCGGTCATATGGAATTCGACATCTTTCGCAACCTGCTCCCCAGAACTAGACATGGATGATCCCGAGATGCCATCGAAGAACGAGGAGAATAGATGCAGTAGCAAATCTTCCGCATTTGATAGCTCGTTGATCAGAAGAATACTTTTGACTTCTGCCAGAGAGGTAAGCACGTATTTGTGCTGGGTGTTATATGCATTGGCCGGATCCCAAAGTGCAGGCAAGATGACTTTGACTAGAAGGCCAAAAATGTCCTGAAGGGCGGCTTGTTAGCAACGGCTGTCTCGTCTCCCCGGGAATGACGCGGGAACAGCAAGGAATAGAAGCTCACCTTCAGCTGCGTGGGAGTAAAAGGGGCATCTGGTGCACACAGTTTGAGAATATCCACCAGGCATGATGCAGCGTATGCCTTCACGCCTCCTTCCTTATGCGCCAACAGGTTGTGCGACGCAAGCTCTTTTGCGACTTTGGTGAGCGAGTCCTTATCGACCGTGTCCTGGTCCATATCGACCAGCTCCTGTGAAAGCTTTTCGAGCCGGCGCAGGAGCTCTCCAGTATTGATTGGCTTCCCAGCCCGCCATGACAGTGGCTCATCGAACTGCAAGCTGACAAGCTCTTCCTCCATTTCCTGATCTTCCTCCTCCGGGACTTCGTCCCTTTTTCGGACCATTATGATCTCCCCCGAAAGATTGTGCTGTGCGGCTGATCTCGATTTGAGTGGTTCGTGGGAAGTATCCCCGTTGATGTACGAATCGGCGACGTGTCTCAGGAGCGGGGACTCGACAGGCCCGAAAGACGTTGGAGAATCGGGTCGATGAAGGTGTCAATGGTACTCCTCAAGTTGTTATCCAGTATCGCTAGTAGAGTGAAACGATAAACATTGAGGTTGTGAAAGTGCGCAGAGGCGGACGGAGCCAAGGCAGCGCGTCGGTAGGGCCGTAGTAAATGATGAGTGGACTTGCCTCAATCGTCTTTTGGGGTTACGCGACTCTGATTGAGATGAATTGGAAGCGGCGCGATGGCCCCGTTGCGATTCGCCCTTAGGTGTGTTTCTATCCCAGCTAGCTTGCAGGGAAAGAGCCATGGGCCCAAGCTCTTATTATCCGAGCGTCAGGGTAGCTTTCGGCCCCACAAAAGTCTTCACACCTTCCACTAGCAGGCACTGCAGGCAAGGAAGGTGACAGAATAAACGGCACACTACTTCGTATAGGTATAATAATATGGGATAGCTCGATATTCTAGTGGCATAATCTAGTGGGGTAATGCGAGATAGCCCGATATTCCAGTGTACTAGACCAGCTGAGTCTGTCGTTTATTTTGTCATCCAGCTAACAGGTTAATGTCAAGGAAAGTTCATCAACTGAACGCCTTTGTCATCAATATTTGATGTTACCCAAAATTCGTCCCTTCATACAGTGTTCAGCTTCTAAATTTGGTTGATTCTTCCCAAGTATTTGAAAACAACTCTAAGTATGCAATTCAGTAATGCTCCATATACACGATGCTAGCCCATCAACAGAACTTGCTTGCCCCATTCCTTGATTTAGACTTGATCATAGAAGTTCAACACCAAGACTGACTCTGCTCTAGATTTGTAGTACATGTTCCGCAATTGATGTAGGAGCATCACAGCCACTCCGCTCAAATCCTATGTCCACGTACTGTTCTGCTTTTCGTGATCCTGGCCGGGTCAACCGTTGAGGGCCATCTGTTGAGAATGCTCTTCGAAAGGAGACCTCCCTTTAATATGATCAACTCGTAGCACTTGTTTGGCGGACTCGAGCCTACATTTCGTGAAGACCGCTGATGGCAGTATCAAACACGCCCCTATAGACTCCGACGTTGTCCTTTTCCCACATTATGTCCAAGAACGCTGTATTTCGTCTTGTCAACATGGTCTATGATAATCATGGCTGTGCTATCCTGCTGTTTGCATCCTTGATTACCCAGTTGATTTGAAGAAACCGCAATTGGGAAGTCGACGCGCAACCATCGTGGAGTTACGACCATCGTTACTTCATGTATCAACGTATCAGTGCAAGCGAAGTTGCCAAGCTGTCATACGCAAATGGTGCTCGGCCATCTGGGAGTCAAGCAAGATTTCAGCCAGCTGGTTGACGTCTGACCTGAGTACCGGGCTGACCCAAGCTAGGGTTCAGGGAAATCAGTCCTATATTCGAGTGTAAATATTGCAGAAGTTAGCAGAACGAGGCCTGCTGATCCAGAAAAGCTATCCTAGAAGTACCAATATCTTGATCGAACCCTTGAGTCACCAGAGCACAAGAGCGCCTTTTCCCACTTCACCCTTTCTTGGCTATCTTGCATCCGCCATTACCTTCTCTACTTGCATTGATTTTGTACTACTTATAAATTCACTTCAATCAGTTGACAAACCACTCTGTAGTAGTTTGTGTATGATAAGTCCCTCCTATCTCTTCTGCTGCTCACCAGACCCCAGCTTTTATTCCAACTCATCTTTCCACCCAAGTAGTGTCCTTTCGTATCCATCAGGATTGGATCGATCACGTTTCTGCAGTTTCCCAAAAAGAAATCCTAAAGCTCTCCTCCACGCTTTGGGCCAGTTGCCAAAATCCATCTTTAAGTCCCACAACGCGTCTTGCATCTACACCTCAACGTCCCATCACCCTCTACCTCAACACCCTCAACACCCTCAACACCCACATTCGTTTCTCCCACTCGTTCCCATTTGGAGCCATAATTGTTTGAGTCTTCCTTTCACAAATACCAGGTTGGCCAACATTTCGACTCCGTTCGTCAACAACGACGCCGTATCTTGGCCGATCCGTGTCTTGCACCAGTCTACAGTCATCATCACTACACTCGTTTCTTACACTGAAGATCTTGCTGACTTGGTATTAGCATTGAGGTAAGAAAAAGTCCCCTTTGATTGGCTAAATTGCGCCAGTCTGGTCAAAAACTGCGCTCTTTCCTCGTCCTGCTGAGTTTGACCCTCCCCTACGCGTCACACGCGACCTCGCGATTGACCTGGCAGCTGCTCAAAATAATTTTCTTCAACCAACAGCCATCCATTTTTCATTTTAAATCAACTCATTCTGACAGTCATCGTTCATTTTCTTCAGCTGCCTCTGCAGAAATTCCCTTCGTTCATCTTTACGCTGCTAACATCTCTTCGCTGGTTGCCAGCTTCGTTCCTGAAAGACTCGTTCACATCGTCACGCACGCAACTTTCGGAGATCCAATTTTCTGGCAAGTAAATCAATTCCATATAATATCTCCCGAAATCAACCAGTTCCTTTCCCAATTCATCTTTGATGGTATTCACCCATTTTGGTTGATCGCCATCAACCACGCGTCTATCATCACTCCCTTTTCTTCACCATCGCCACCTAAATTCCTTTCGTCACACATTCATTCAGTCATAGATTGCCTATCTGTTTATTTCAGTAGGAAAATTTCGCTATCTCGCTAATCATTTATACAGCAGCCTCAACGCCTCACAATTGCGATGCCTTTCTTTGCCGAGCGTGGTACCTCGATGCCGCAAAACATCCGCCGGGATGATTCTGAGGCCTGGAGCGACGTCGACACGCTCAAAATGAGCACCACCGCTGCTACCGTGAAGAACGACACCATGAAGAAGCCAAGTAAGCACTCAACCCCTACCTCGCACTCACCACCTCCTTAGACCAATTCTAACATACTTGATTGCAGAGTTCCGAGGCTTCTCTATCATCTATGGCGTTATAATGATGGCCCTGGTTGCTGGTGCGATCTTCGCCGCTGGTATCTGCTACTCCAAGCACGATGGTAGGTTGCCTGACACAGCTCAGTTTCACCCGCAAGTCTGATTATTGTTGTAGCAGAGCGTAGCGACCTACCTACTGAGATTACTGAGGGAGGTTTCGCTCGCCGAGGAGAGCCCTATGGTTATCACTCCACTTGGACTACCAGTTCTTCCTCTTCCGTCCCTGAGTCTGTCACCTCTACCACGCTGATTGTGTCGAATACCACTGTCTCCCAGACCACCACCGAGCATGCTAGTGAGACACCTGCGGCCGTGACCATTGTCACTCCCACCTCGCCCGTTGTCTCTCATGCTACTGTAACTGAGGCCAGCACCGATACGGTTACTCAAACTATCTTCGGCACCCCTCAGGCTTCTGTAACCGAGACTACTGTTACAAATTCAGTGCTTAATTCCAGTGCGACTGTCACTCAGCAGACCACCACGGATGCGCATGGAAGTACCGTTACGATTACGAAAACGGTTACTCCGTATGCTTCGGGCGATTCGACCATCATATCGGCAACTACTTCTACCTGGAGTCCTGTTCTTTCGACTGGAACTGCAACCACAACTGATGAGAATGGTCATACTATTACGATCACGAATACCGTTACTCTATCTGCTTCAGGCAATCAGACCACCACATCGGCGGTTGCTTCTACGAAGACTCCTGCTACTTCAACCAATACCCAAAATCACACGGTGACTGAGACTGTTGTGGTTAGTCCAAGCATCACATTGGCGGCTACTTCTACCGGGACTTCTGTTGTTGCAACTACAACTGACGAAAATGGCCACAACACCACCAGTAATATCACCGTTTCCCCTTCGATTCCCATCAATACCACCTCGAGCCAGTCTAATCTTGGAAGAACCACCGTCGTGAGCACTAACATAACCTTGTCCACTACGTCAGGCACAACCTTTACTACGACAGACGTTGCGGGACATCCTAGCACTGTCACAAAGTACACCACAGTGACAACATCCCCTACTGTATCCCCGGTTCCCCAAGATAGCACTGTCCAAGTGACGACTGTCCAAGAAACAACCACGACAGTTTCTAGAGGGAGCAGCACTCTGTCGGGCTCGGAGTTGACCCTCACGCAAACAGCTACAGTCATTCCACTTCCATCTTCTGGGAGGACCACTGGTACTGCTGCCGGAGTGACTGGCTCTATTCCTCAACGGTTGTCTACTTACTCCGGATGGAACACTGCCACAACAGCAGTGACATTCACTACCAGCAGTGATAACTGCACCACTAGCTTGACTACTACTTTCGAAACAACTGTAACTAGGTATGCTCTTCTCCTTCTCACCTGCCCTAAGCTGTTCTGTCCTGACTTATTTACAGCAATGATGCCATTACTGCCAGTTCACCCGAGATGAGCAGCGCACATACCCTCAGCACTCGTACTGTCACCACGTCACTCAGCAGCATCTCGTCTAGCATAACGCAGTCCGCGCCGGTGTCTTATAAAGAGTCCATTATCAGCAAGGAGACAACGACTGAGGTGCCGACGATCCATGTTAAGATGACAACCACAACGACCGAGTCATCCATGCCGACCGCAACTGATACTGTAACGGCTGCTGGACACACCACCAACACCCTAACCTGGACAAAGGACAGCACGCGCACTGTCACTATCTTGGATCCCCAGACAACTGTCACTGTCCAGACTCCCTATACTCCTCCCACGGTTACTGTGACCACGACGACCACGCTGAGCCCTTCTCCTGGTGTCTGCACTGCCAGTGTGAGCGTGTCACTCATCACGACCACCATTTTCCACACTGTGTCTCCTTCCACCACTGAGGGTCAGCAACCGTCAAGTCGCGAGGTTACTGTCCAGGGTTTGAGTAATTCAAGCATCGTATCTACTTCTGCATTCATGCTTACCGTCTCGATCAACCCCACAACCACCTATATCGCTCCTCCTCGCAGAGTTGATTCGACGACGACTACTTCAACTTCAACCTCCTGCCACGAAACCACTACAGGTGTCAAGACGACTGCATCCGCCGATATTACCACCGCATATAATACAGGGCCCTCTTCTTCCACGAGTAGCAGCAATAACGATTTTACCAGTAGTTTGATGTCCCACGACATGACAGATATCTCGATAACCACCTCGCTGGCCACCACCTCTACCGTGAGCCCAAGCCCCATCATCTCCGGGAACTCGACCGGCTCCATCACGTCATCCAACCTCGTCGGCACTGGCACTAGCATTCCCGTGACAACCGTCTTCTCAACTACCACGGCGAACGTCACCGGCTCCTCAACGAGCGCGACCACAAGCATAGGTCCGATCGCGAGCTCTGGTGCCGAGAAGAGAGCCTCTCCCAACACGATTGTCCACTGGGGCGGCAGCAACGGCGGCGGCTCGGTCAGTTGCGCTGTCATGCTCGTGGCTGTCATCTGTCTCCTCATCTAAACTGCTAGTGTGTCTTTCTCTGCTCCTTGGAGTGGTTGATACGTTGGCAACCATGGTTGAATTTATTGATGTGACGATGAGAGAAAAGAGATTTGGCGTTGCGATGGTATTTGCTCATTTTGCGCTTTTGGCTGGTCTGCCTCTTTCTTCATGATGGATTCCACCATTTCGTTAATGGTGTGTCTCATCATCTTCACTTCTTCTTGGTGGTCGGGTTGCACCTCGTCATCGGTTCTTCTTACACCCTTTAATACTTGACCTTCCCTTGGCATTGCAAGGATACTGTAGACCTGGCTCAGTTCGTAGGCAGAAATTGATGACATTGACAAAACTCTTCGCAGTCTGGCACATGTTAATTTGGACGTTCCCTTTTGCAACGATTGATGTTGGATCTAACAAGTACTTCATTTGCAGAATATATGTTTCCTCCGCACTCATCACTATGTTACTTGGATGATTGGGAATTAATGATGATCGCTACCCTTCATTGCGCCTTCGGAACTTTCGCGATGGTCAGCCACGAGTAGGCGAACTAGAAGGCAAGATGACGATTGCGCCGCAGAACTTCCAAGTCTAAACGAGCGTCTCACCCTCTGTGGTATGATGTTAACAGCCGAGGGTACCAAAGTCAGAACAAAGTCAGAAAGACAATACTTGATTAGTAAAATCCCAATTGAGATTTGCGAAATCGGCTAACTGGCTCGATGTCTCGAGGTAGCTCCAAGCGGCAAACGGCAGAGGTTGGGAGAATGGCTCACTGCAGGAACAACTACCCTGTATCAAAAGTGTCCGCTCTAATCTGATTGGGCTTCGACCTCGCGTTGAGCCGTCCGTCTCCAACGGAGCCGGAGAGACTTGTCAGATTGTCCTTCAACATTATTCGTCAGTCATCATATGAAGAATTCTAGTCAGGAGAGTCAGCGTGAACTTAAATACCGACGTGGGAGCATCATAATGGAAAGGGTACGGGAGCTTTCTCGTCTCCGGTGACATTTTCCCCTCAAATTTCGAATCGACTTGGTCATTCCAAGTTCCGCAGCGGTTTCCAACGGACTATTTGACGGAAGAGCAGTCGAAAGAAAGCAAATGGGTCCGAGGGCTTGCACCGCATGTGCAAAAGCCAAGACGAGGTGTATTGCGTGCGGCAATCCCAACAAGTGTGAGCGGTAAGCTTCTCGGCTTGAGCAGCAGGGAGGACCGGGAGACGTAGAGCGATTTTAGAAGGAGAGACGTCAAAAGGTGACCCGGGCTGATGAAGGTAACAGATGTGAACGCTTAAATAAGTCATGCTCAAAGCAGACTCCCGCGCCGCCAAGGCTTCGGAAGGGTCGAAAGATGACGAGAGTTGTGGAGCTGGAGAAGAAATTGGCCGATCTCAGTTCTCAGTTGGAGATATCGAATCTTCATCTGCCAGACCTGGGAAAGCCTATCCTGAGGAACCCTGGCAGTGTGAAAGAGAATTCGGACAGGGAGAAGGATAAACCGGAGAAAGACAGCCAGGGTCAGACTGAATATATGAAGAGGATAAAAGCATACTGCTTCTTCAACCACATGTTTCCCGATTACAGAGTCGCGGAGGGTGGTCATGATTCCTCTGGGCTTAACTTCAATGCCATGGGCGACTGGGCAGTGAGTTAAAACCATTGCTGCAGGGGCATATTGACTGATGGGCAATAGGAAATGGCCCCACGTTTTCCTGCTGGAAGGCCTATAGCCAACGAACCGCCTTCAAGTAATTGGCCTCAAGGCGCCGAGGCCTGCACCCTTCTGAGCGAGTATAAGGATAAGCTTATGCATATCTTTCCATTCGTCATCGTGCCACATGACTTGACAGCAGCGCAGCTCCAATGGAAGCGACTGTTCTTGTGGAAGGCCGTCATGGTCGAGGCTTGCCATCTGGATGGGAAACGTCAGCTCGAGCTCGGTACAGAGTTGCTGAGGGAGCTCAGCGAAGCGGCCTTCACGAGACCTCATAAGAGCGTTGATTTGCTCCAGGGCTTGTTGTTGTATCTTGCTTGGTAAGCTTGATGTCTACGAATTTTCGTGTAAATGAACTGACCAATGGCGAAATAGGTTTCATTATGCTCTGAACAGTTTCCAAGTGACGAATCTGCCATTCTTGGCTAGGTCTCTTTGCGTCAACCTAGGCTTCAACGACAATCAGATCGCCACCAGACAAGCGGAACATGGTTCTGCATGCTTGGAACACATGCGAGCATTTGCCGGTACATACCACCTGGTGACCAAGTGAGTTCTGAACCAGCCTTCCTGACAAAGGCATTTGACTCAATGCGTTTTAGTGTTTTCACCACAGGCAAGAGACCCGGTGCTCTAATGAGCGCGGCCTACATCGAGGTCATTTGTCGCATGATCGAGCAGAAGTCAGAATATCCCACCGATGAGCTCCTCGTACGGCTGGTCAAGATCCAGCAAATTGCGCAGTCAATCACCACAACATTCTCAATAAATCACAACTTCCAGAACCCGCCGTCTTCCGTCCTCCCTCTACTCGTGGTGGTGAGGAGCTTTCAGGAGCAGATTGACGCCTACAAGGCACCCTTGCCAACTTACCTCCAAGACAACAACCTCATGTCCCATGTCCGCATCGCTGAGCTCTTCCTGTACGGAGTCGCACTGCAAGACACACAAGAACTTGGCCCCGGCAACCTGCAATTCAACGACTGCCTCGAGCTCCTCTGGACTCTGTTAGGAGTCACCAAAGCTTTCCTAGCACTGCGCTTCGCGAGACCCGTCACTGAGGTTCCTCGCTTTATCTGTATCTCCTCCTTCGACTGCATGTACGCTTTCATGACCTGTCTTAAATTGTACAACCTCGAAGCCCCCGGTTGGGACTTGAACCTGGTGAGGCAGGACCTCTCGCTGGGCGGTCTGATGGATAGACTGTCTCATGACATGGAGCTCGTCTGCGATAGGCGCAAGATCCGGCAGACCCGAGGTGGGCGGCAAACACAGGGATTGCTGCCGGACCAAGACCCGTTTCAGAGGCTGACCTCAATGCTCAAGGGGATTAAGGCCGTGTTGGATTCTTCGGCGGTGCAGATGACGGGAATTACTGGGGGCGGCAATTTTGGGGCGACGCAGATGGCGAGGCCGCCAGCGGCCGTGAATGCCATGCAGCAGCAGAATCTGGATCTTGGGGCAGCGCTTAGTCCTAACATTTGGCAGGAGGTCTTCAATGATAATGTGTGGAATATGAACGATTGGGGTAGTCAGAGGTTTAGTCTTCTCAGCTTTCCTGCCGAGTCATAGATGGGAAACCTGGATTGCATATCATTAGGAGGCACGTTACTGCCGCCGCATTTAGTTGCAATGATTTCCCGAGCATCTAGAGGACAAATAATATAAGCTAGCCTGATATTCCAGTGAAATAAACCGGCGTACCTTGGTTTTCTACCTAGGTATCCTGTTTATTTTGTCTTCAGCTTGTCCATGCTTCACAGATACGTAATAAATACCAGACCTCACGTCGAAAAGCGAATCCCTATTGGAAGGGATGGCGGCAAGCGCGCTGGTAAGCATCTGCAATGCTGGTCCTATATAATTTCAATAGTGCTGCCTTCCTGCCAGTATCGGCTGAATCCTTTTCGTCTCTCCAAACCTAGACCGCTACAATACAGCCATTCTCTCCTAAGAGCGCTCCGTCTCTCTTTTCACATCCACACATGCATTGCCTCAAGGTAATGCCTTGTCAACATATCTTTCGCTCATGCACTGGGTCCTTCCCGATCGTCGTGAATTACTTATCATTTTGTCGTTGTTTGAGATACTCCCAAAGATAGCCCGGAATTCGATTGCGAGCGGTTGCCGTTACTCCCTTTCAACAATGGAGTCGCAGAACAAGTGCCCGACAGATCTCGACATGGAGCAAACCAAGCTCTCCGTTAGACTCCCCGTCGAACTATTCCTTATGACACTTGACGAACTGATTGCACGGCCTCTCGACCCTTGCGCAACCTACATTGGTCATGCCAGAAATATGCGCTAGCCACACTACAAGACTGACCAAGAATCCCAGATATGTCAAGCCACACTTTGATATTGCTGTCTAGTGCCACATGCGTTCCGAGAAATGCAGAACGTCTCTTCTACAAAACAGTCACATTGAGAAGCACGGAGTCCATTGTGCGCCTCATTCGAAGTCTCATTGAGGAACCTGATCTCTGCACTGTCTCCTAAGACCCCGCTTCAGGCTCGAAGCCGTCGTGATGTGAATATCCTCAGAATAATGAAGCTGGATTATCGCACATTCGTGACAGAAAGAAGGAATAGGCGTCCAATTGATGAATACGAAGCCCAGACCGCCACCAGACTACATATGGCCTTGCTTCTTCTCCCTCGATCTGTTGAGATACTGCTCATACGGTGCACATCCAAATACACGGGTACGCAACAAGAAACGGCAAGGTGGAATATTTTGGAAAAAACAGCCCAAGGCATTGACAGTCCTTCCCATCCATTCCAACATGACTTCAAATCCGGCTTCAGCTTCGGTTTCGCTCTCTGCATGCTGGTATGGATTACAGAATGAGTCTCTTCTGAAAATACACCAAGTTGCAGGTCTAGTAATGCGGGTTCAGACATTAGGTCACCTTTGATGAAACCTAGCATCAATTTCAGCTTCGGCAATACTCAACATAACAACAAATCTGAAAATAAATCCTTGCGATACAGCGCTGTCGACTGGCCGGAAGTTCATTGGTTGTCTAGTATTGATGATGGAACGAACAAGAATACAAGTTTGCCGGTCTTCCATTGTGGAGGTTCCCCTGGTAGTGGCAGTATGATATGCATTTGGACTCACAGGATTGAGACTCTACTGGTTCACGAACGAATCCTGCAATTTGAGGAGATTTTTCTTGTCGAAAATATAAGGCAGGCTTTGGTGCCATCAGGAAGAGAGCACACCTGGGCATTGTGCAAGAGGTGAAGTTCCACTCACCATCTACCCCAACGACGGTAGCCGAATGCCACACCCGTCGTTGAGGACCATTCAGTGAGAAATATCATGTATCGGCAATGATAATAAGGCCTGGATACTATTACTGGAAGATAGGCATGCAAGACTTTGATTAGTCTGAGGCTAGATGTGACATCGAGAAGATGTGCCGAGGCACTGCTCGCTTGCATGTGCAAGATGTCATGTGTGTCCCATGATTAACTATATACATCTGACGCTACTCACTGCTCGCTGCTGTTATTTAAGACTCGGAATTTCCGTGAGCCTGCAATGTTCTAAGCCATTGTCAAGAAGAACACAATACTCTTTGGTACAGCAGCAATACTACTTCGTCAACGTGAGGTAGTTCTGAATGGACAGGGGGTTACCCTGGAACGAACCTGCAAACACGACTCGGATCTCTTCCAAAGCTTCAAAGTGGCTCCAGCAAGACAATCTTGTTAGGTGATCATAAAAGACCGTGGAGAGTCTGCACATGCGTTTGGGCCCTGCAGGTTCATAAGTCCTGGCAGAATGTTCAGCAAACAAGCTCATCAAATGTGCAACGGTTCATGTTCAAAGAGTCTGGCCCCACCTGCACCCCATCGTAGGCAACTTGTAGCGAAACCTCTAATAGTCTAGCTGCGTAAACCACTAAAGAGTCTGTAAGGGTTTGTGCTAGTAAGTAAGTCCTGCTGCGGAGTCCTTAGCAATAATATCGGGGTCTGACGTATGGAGTATAGGGCTCTGGGTAACTGAAGTATTCAAGTAGGGTAACTGGGAATAGAGTCGTCAAGGCAGTTTGCCTCACCAATGGGTTAGATTGATGCTTAGATTGATCACTGAAGTAGAGACTGTCTATCTATGAAACGCCTGGGAGTCCTGTCCCTTATATATCCATCTCTCCTTCACTGATCCTGTTGGATCATTTGGATCGATCCATGATCCTCTCGAGCCTGGCTCGAACTGGATCTATCTCGATCCAATATATCCAGGTACCGAGATACTTAGTCACGTGACCTTCGTTCCGTCGTTCTTCCGATGCGGGGTCCCGTGATCCTAGCGAGCGTGTCCACTCTGGCCTGCCAACAGGCCTTCTTTGTTGGTCCAGGTTTAATGGTTCGTAACACAACTCCAACGTGACCACATGTACGAAGTAATTAACACCCAATTGCACACCCAATTCCTAGCTAAATTCAATAAAAGCACATGTACGGAAATGGATTTGACAGCTGCTGTGGCCCACTATAAGCTTGAGCTAACTACAGGACGAATATATCGATACCATGAGACTACAAAGGGTATTTTACGCCACGCCCTCTATACGCCTATGAATAGATAGTCCTAAAGAGCTGTTATCTTGGGGCGGCCTATGCGGTGCCCAGAGGCGAATAATTTAGTTACTTCGTAGCTTGGAATATTTTAATAGACTACTCAAAAATCATATTTAGGCCGGTTATGTGCTACGCAGCTATATGTCAGGGTACGGCTAGGCCGAAGGCAATAGTACAGAGTGATGGGGAGTAACGGGCGTCCCTCCTACGTAGCACCGGGTGGTCACTGGCGGTCTCAGGTAGGGGTGCCCACGGTGATGCATTGATCTCTGCTCCTTCCCTATCCTACTTCGAGATGGTCCTTATATAGATAGCTAGGCCGCCGCTTGGACCCGGCATAACAGCAGGGTCGGCGATGCCAAGGATCTTGACTCTCGTCATCCCAAAGCTTCACATAGATTGTAATCATGACTCGGGAGTCTTTTGTCCGAAACACCCCTCCGGCGCCCCACCGGTGTCTTGCGTTCAGTGTCCTGACACCCACTGGTGCCTATGGCATTCTGTTCTCTGACACTATAGCTGCGCGGACTTGAAAAGAGTACTTATAGCTTTTTAATATTTATCGATAAAAATACGTGTAATTTTTCCCTAAAAGTCTTTTCTATAGTGGTTAGTAGCCGATTAATAAGTACTGTGTAGGTGTGTGACTGTGGTGACTTACTTGACTTTAACACGATGGGTTCCATCGGCTCATCGCATTACATCACCAATGAAAGCACAACACAGATGTTCCGTTGCTGCGTAAAGTTTGGTAAAGTTCCGTCGACCTGGGATTGTCTTTTGACTCGCTGGTCATGAGGTCCTAACTTCGCATTGTTCTGATGATTTCAGAGGTGGCAACCATGAGTCGACGCCTGGAAGTCGAAGAGTGGATCATCGAGATATCAGCGCCAAGACGACTCATCTGCCCCCTCAACAAATAGAATCGGGTGCCGCCGTCGGTGAGAACTTCCCCAGGTTTTTTCTCTTGACGGCCTTTCAGCTGGAAACCTTATTTGCAGCAGCACAAAGGCACGCCTTGTGATCGTTTTTAGCTCGAGCTCTAGATCGCAAGGCTCAAGTCCTTTGTCTAAGAAGTTGGGATCAGTTCCTTGTGTTTATCGAAGTCTGACGACCTCTGAACCAGCAACGCAACTGCGAGGGTTCGGCGCCTTGGGACAGCAGCCCACGAGCTTGTGAACAGCCCAACAAACCTTCAGCAAGCCTCTCCCGCTCGCGATAAGACGAACACTAAAGCCATCCCACACCGCAAATTTTCTCCCACTGATAGATTCGATCGACGCCTTTCCGAGATGTCGCTTCAACTGTACATGGTCTACCTGGCCTACTTTATCGTGGGACAGGTCGCGCTCACCATCGCCCTCTACATGATCTCCTTCATCATACCGAAAGCGGCCTTCGGGGCTCGCTGCTTGGCCGGCTACATGGCGCTGATGATCTGTGCTATTTATGGGGCATTGATTTCGATAGCATTGCGCATGGTTGGGAAAGAGCAGATTGCGCAGTGGACGACGGCGCGCCTCTTCAAATACCTCATGGCTTACTCGACTGGCATCACGTTCGAAGTTGAAGACCCCCATGGATACCTCAGCACCGTACGACCGGCCGTGTTCCTCGGGAACCACCAGACAGAGCTGGATGTGCTGATGTTGGGGTGGATGTTTCCCAAATACTGCAGTGTGACTGCGAAGAAGTCTCTGAAAAATTGGCCTTTCCTCGGGTGGTTCATGGCCCTGAGCGGCACCGTCTTCATTGATCGCAAGAATTCGAAGGATGCGAGGCAAGCGATGAGTGGTGCGGCAGAGGAGATCAAGAAGCGCAAACAGAGTGTCTACATGTTCCCCGAGGGCACGCGCAGTTACTCCAAAGAACCCATACTTCTGCCCTTCAAGAAGGGTGCCTTCCATCTTGCTATTCAGGCTGGTGTGCCCATCGTCCCTGTCGTCGCCGCCAACTACTCTCACATACTCTATGTCAAGAACTTTACTTTCAGAGCAGGCAAAATCCCCCTCAAGGGTAAGCTGAATAGCCCTATCTACGTGCTCTACCTACGTGTTTCTCCTGAACGCTACTAACGTCCTTTAGTGCTTGACCCAATCCCAACGACCGGCTTGACGTCCGCAGATGTCGAAGAGCTCACCCGCACGACTCGAGAGCTGATGCTCAATGAGATCGTGATGCTGACGGAAAAGGCACAAAAGCGACGTTTTGCGATGCCCGCGTCGAAAGGCAACGACGGAGTCCTCAAGGCGAGTGGTGTCGAGGCGACCATCTCTTGAAGACTTGGGACACTTTATATCTCACGCAATACAAGTGGGTAGACTTGGAGGATGGTCTGCATCGCAAGTCCAGTAGGACGGAGAAGAAGAAGCGGCCTGATGAAGTTGGTGCATGGAGGAAACCCTTTCAAGTTTTGACGCAAGTCTTTACGTATGCATTTGATACCCTTAGACCGACGCATTGATGTTTGGGCGCTAGACACACTTTGGTTGTCAAAGACAGCGGTCCACTATCTGGACTAGCACCAACTACTAACGTGACCCTTGACGGCTTATTTTACGACATCTGCATATACTTGGAGCGGGAGTCGGCAAGAGGCATTGCATATCAGACTTAGAGTTCAAACACTCTTCAAGTTGGTACCCGAATCAAAGTACCATTTCGACACGCGAATACACGATACGTTCATCAAATTGCGAAAATGTTTTACAAGTATCAACTCCTCCGTATTAATCATGGAGTCCCGGCAGAATTCATCTCACGCGTCCCTCACGATCGTACGGGTTTGGCGTGCTTGCCACGCCATCATGGAAACACCGAACAGAATTCGATCATTCTACGCTGAAGAGGAGCTGCAAGATGGAAGCGAATCGACACACACCGTGTGCTATGTATACAACTTCTTTGACTGGATGATATCAGACGATGGAATTCCAACACATGCAGGTTCTTCCATCCATCACTCGGGTGCTCCATTCACTCCATAGTCCCTCCTTCCAGCAGTGCGGTTACGTCTTGACGTAAGTGGGCACGGTGGGGTAGGACAACGGCATACGTAGCAGGTTTCGCATGGCATCTTCGATCTGGGATTCCGTGTTGAAGCTTGATGAGCAGGTTACTGCATGCCAAGAGGGGCATCGTGTTGGATTTCTTGGCTTTTACCAAAATGAGCGTATGACGAGTTCAGCCTGCGAGGATGATCTCATGTTAGAGGCCGCCAATTAGATGTTTCAATCTCAACGCAGCTTCCCACAGTTTTCTACCCCGCTATTCTTGTCGCTGCCGTTTTTGGCCATGAAATATCCCATATCCACATCACGCTCTATACACGGTGAATGACGCCAGGGGTCCATTCCTTTGACTTGTGTCTGTGAGACAGTAGCATCGGTCATAACGGAAAACAGGAATTGTGCCCACAGAAGCAAGCAGGGCCCAGTCATGGCAAGCCGCTAGCACATTCCAGGAGTAGGTATCGAGCTGTTGTCATCGATGCGTCCAGACCAACCCGCAAGTAGATGAACCAGTTGCCCCCACCAATGTTTGCTGACGGGGCGATGCGATCCAGGTACTAAGACATGCCATCTTAACACGCAAACCGGATGAAACATGGCACAGGAAGAGAGAGAGAGAGAGAGAGCTACGCCCGACTAACTACAGCTGAAGCTACTTCGGAGGGTTGTAATCTTCGATGATACCACTAGTTGCGATGTCTTGATCTAAACCTCATCTGGTACTGATGTCATGGCGATTGAGGAACTAATCCCACGTGGTCTTCGATGTACCTCGACATCGACGGCGCTTGTCATGGGACCCGACGGCTTGACATCAGCTACCTCTGGCCCTGGTATACCGAAGCAAGAGTCTATAATCAAGGCTGGCGTCTACTTATCTACTTTCCCGAGCCAGCTGGTGGTGCTGAAACAAGACACACAGTTTGCCTTGTGGAAAGCTCGGTAGTGACGTCGCTTCTCCCAGCAGCTCTGAGCTGTTCCCCCCTCATTCAGATGAGTGAAGCAACCAAGGCAAGTGTCTTCTTGTAGGAAGAGGCAGGAAAGCAAGTTACTGGATGCTTCCAACGTTGGTAGTATAAAGAACCCAACCCCCGGCGTCTTGGTGGCATGCTCTTTGCATCTTCGTTTTGTATCATCCCTAGACACAATTCTACTAGACTTGTCACTCGACCATCATCATCATCCAACCCAGTTTACAATGTCGAACTACAACAACGATAACGAGGACGTAAGGCTCCTCCTTTTATATCGTCCTGCTGAACTGGGACCTCAGCTAATACCTCATATAGTCCAGCTACGGCGAGGACCGCTACGTATGCTAACCCAAGTATAATGGCCTCGCAGACGTTCCTCTAATCAAGCTATAGGGCGCCAACCGCCAGGCTGGAGATGGCACCAATGAAACTGGCCGCACGGGAGGCTCGGGCAACGAGCGCGGTATCTATGGAAGCTCTGGTGACCGAGACACCAGTGACACCGTATGTGATTTCAAATTCAACTCTGTTTGATTTCTCTTGAGAGCAAGAATTGTATTGTCAGGCATAACATTGAAGCTGAAGCTTGTGCTTCTGTGCCTTATGTCAGAACTCTAATTCTGCTGCTTGATCCTGAACACTATTCGTAACTAACGCGCGTCGCCACAGTATGGTTCGGGCAACCAGACCAGCTCAGGCTACGGGTCCAGCGGCCGTGGCAACGATGATTCGTATGGCTCCAGCAACACTGGTGGAAACACGTTCGGCTCCTCTGGTCGTGACACCTCGGACACATACGGCTCCAGCAACACTGGTGGAAACACGTTCAGCTCCTCTGGCCGTGACACCTCGGACACATACGGCTCCAGCAATACCGGACGGGATACCTCGGATGCTTATGGTTCCAGTGGTCGCGACACCTCTGACACGTATGGATCGAGCGGTCGCGATACTTCGGACACCTACGGATCCAGCGGCAACAAACCAAGCGGCTTCGGCGGCAACAACGATTCAGACAACTACGGCAGCACCGGCAACAAGCAGGATAGCTCGTACGGGTCGTCCACTGGCGGCGGTGACTACGGTAGCTCCGGCAACTATGGTGACAAGTCTGACAATAAGGGGGACTCTAACCTGGGCAAATTCGCTGAGAAGATTGGGAGTGTGTTCGGGAGTGATAAGTTGACCGAGAAGGGTAGAGAGAAGAGGGAGCAGAAGGGAACTGGGGATGATAATTATTAAATGTTGATGTGGTTGAGTAGGCATGTGGAAAAGGTCAACGAAGTTGTGGGAAATGATCAATACGAAAGTGGAGAAAGGACATCGTTACATAGCAATAACAGTACCTGGGATTGAACCCTATTTGCTGTATAAAGTGTCATTAAATCCACTAGATATGGTTATGAACAGTGAATCACGTTCAGATTGATACGGCATGGACAATGCAACTCTAGTTTCAACGATAGTACCTTGATATTCCCTGTAGCCTGATTGACGGATGCAGGCAACCCCGCCTAAGTAATGTCCCACACCCATATCGTCAACAGAGTAAAAGCCCCTTTCACGATTTCTGTCCGCGACGGCCGCTCCTGCTGCTGATCTTGTGGCCGGCTCTGGCACTCACACCGCCAGTATTGTAATTGGACCCGAAGAGTCTGGGAAATATTTATTTTGAGGAGGGGTTTGAAGATGGAGGCGGAGGAGCAGATGGTGGCTGGAATAGGGGAAGGGATATATGTCAACGAGCGAGCTTGTAAGAAAGAAGGACACTAAAATTGAATCAGGGGGAGGAATTAGCCCTCCAAAACCAAAGGCGAGGCCTTGCGGGTGTTACAATTAGATATATCAGCATTCACGCTCGCGGATAAAATAGAACATATAGAGATGTTTGGTGGCTGTGAGATAGTGCTCATATTCACGTGTATTGATGCCAAGTTCCCCTAAAGTGCTAATAGCCTTCGAGCCAAACTACCCTAACCTAGTGCTCAGGAAAGGGGCAACAAACAAATTTGTGTCTTGCGGTTAAGCCCAGGGCACCCGTGAACCTAGGAGAGATCAAAAGCATCATGGCCCAACACCAATGCGGGTTTAATAGGGCATCTTGATCGCTGATTGAAGTACCCTCAGTTCCACCCAGCTCCTTTGGCAAATCCGCCCTAGTCGGGTAGGGACAAAACCGGTCACAAGGTGGATGAACAAGGACACCAATCAAATATTGGAAATTTGCTCGTGTTGTTCTATTCCGATTAGTCTATCTCAAAACTCTATCCTCACAGCCTTATACTACCATCACCCCCAAACCACCTCCGAATATCTATATTGCTTCCAGCCGCCCCCGATCCACTAGCCTGAGACTCCTCGTTACCACCCATCCACTTGGGTTTCTTGAAGCCATCCCCGATCTCCTGAATCCACTTTGGCGTATCTATCCCATCAATCGTATTTTTGAACCGATGGCCGAAACTCGTGAAGAAATTGTCGTCTTCCGGATCAGCGGCCGGGCCTGGGCGCAAAGACTGCTCTCCGCCTCTGGTCGGGTTGTCGTGGTAGCCGGGTGAAGTGGCAAATGGCGTCCTGGCCCCACTTTCACTTCTAGATGCAGGCACTGGCAGGATAGGGGTAGCTCGAGCCCCCGAGGCCCTGAAAATTGGGTCTGCTCTCCTTCTGGAAATGGACGTCCCGTTCAATTCGCGCTCGATCAGGACTCGGCCTTCTCGCCAGGAACCAGTACCGTAGCCCGTCTCGTTCTCCTCCTCGTCATCCACGAGCTCGAGGTCGAAGCCAAGCATTCGTCTCACCTTGCCGTACAGACCAAAGAGGGTTGCGCATACGGGGATGAGGACAAGAATGGGAAAGAGATTATCAAACCACTTTCCCAGAGGCGTTAGGTCGATCAGTTTTCCGAGGAACCGATAGAATATCGTCTTGGTGTATATCGATGGCGAAAGGAAGGTCATGAAATTGTACGACAGCGGCACGCTTAGTCTCGCGACCTGGCTGGCGTACCAGAATGCGGATTCGTGACCCGTGTTGCGGCGGACCAAGGCACGGCCTCGCCACACCTTGACCTCGGTCACGGAGGTCAGGGCGGCAGCGCACATGTATAATATCCAGAGCGCGGCGATGACTTGACCGGCCAACCCGACCTGGCCTTTGTCTCCCGTCCAGTGGTGGACCACGCTGAGGCGGATTACCGATAATTTCGGGAGCGCTACCTTGACCATCTCGGACCAAATGATACACGCAGACGCCAAGGCGAAGAAACCTCCAAGGAAGATTCTGAACGAAGGCAGAACATGGAAATGCAGTAGGTACCGGGTATAGGGCGTGAGCAGAGTGATGCTGCCGAGCGTCGACGCATCCGGGCTAGGCCGGCCAAAATCGAGCTTTTTAGAAGCCGCCGAGTCCAAAACTGCCTGTGCCTTTGCAGCATCCTGTAGGAGACGATGCCATTCTTCGACGTATCTGGATCTGGCATGACGCGACTGAATGAGTCGCCGCGTGAGATCCGCCAAGTATTTCTCCGTAATCACCGTTGGAAGAACGCGACTGTCGACATCTGAGCGAGGGACCGCGGCGGTTGGTCGAGATTCGGGCATGTTGCACATGTCGGCCAACTCCTCGATCCAGTCTTGGAAATCCCTGGCACTGCCCGTCTTGCGCCTGCTCAGTTCCGAGACCTGCATCTCCAAGTCCTCCAGAGTCAAGAGCGCATCCTCCATCTTTTCATGTAGTCCTGGCGCATGCGCCTGTAGTCTCTTGAGCCTCCCAGGTATACTGGCTTTCCTGAAAATCTCCCGGGGAATCGCAACAAGTCCGTGGCCCATGAGGTAGATTGCCAGCACCAAACCCCAGCAGTATGCCAGAGCCATGACCAGACCCTTGAAGGACTCGTAATGAATTCCATAGGAGATGAAGAAGTATAGGAGCCCGATGATTCCAGAACCGAGCAGGATCGCTTGGTACTGCGCGTTTTGGCGCAATGAGTAAAGGATGCGGTCCTTCGGCTCTCGATACCCGGCGTCGGAATACTCGGCGAGTATGGGTAGGATAAACCTGCCAGCTCTCTATCAGTACTTCTGGATTACGAAAATCCCCATGCGACGCCCCATACCATGTAAGCACGAAAGTCAGCCAGTACGTGATCCTCCACGACACCAAGAGCAAGCGCTCCGGAAACCAAATGCCCCTCGCAGCGTCATCGTCGGTCGCAGCGCTCGAAGCAAGATCGATGGGTACGAGGAGTACGATGAAGGCCGGCAGCCACAGGGCGAAGAAAACAGGGACGAGAAGGTAGGACGGCGTCGTTCGCAGCGGGAGGTAATGTCGAAGGATGAGGAGGACCACCAAGGAGATGATGAGCAGCGCGATGGCAGCAAATATCTCGGAGCCCGCGGCTGATGCTGCGCTGAGTGTGTGTATCATCCTGCACTATCCGAGAAAGCCTCCATTAAATTGTCTCAATACAGACGAACAATGTAGAAAACCGTTCAAAAGAATTTTCCTGAAGGCAGGAGCCTGAGCAGACAACGCGACTACTTTCAACTTGGAGACTGACGTAGTCGGGGGGCAGAGTGGGTAGTCTCAAATCAGAGCCCAGTAACAAGTGGAGTTACAGCGGGTGGCTGAGATTGGTTTAGCCTCCCTGCATCAATTTCAAATCGAAATTTGAATTTTACGCTTGCTTGCGGTAGTTTCCTCACAGGGGTCGGCTTCCAGGTAGGCTAGCTCGTTCCTGGCCTTCCTATGCAAGGAAAGACAGGCATCATCACTGCATATGATTCCTTGTCTGTTAAAATTGTCTATAGATTTCGAGAAACTGGTTTCTCTTCGGGCAGGCTAGAGGTGCTTTCGAGCCAGACACCAACGTTTTGCAACTGTCTTTGCCATCCTTAAACTTCAATGAAAGATTCCTAGTTGTACACAGTTCACGGCGAGAACTCCAACCAATCCGCATATGATGCGAGTGCATATGGGGTGTGGATTGTGGTATTGGGGAAACTTGGTTACCTAAGCTAGCTGGCTGGCCGAAGGGCCTCTTGTGCTACCTATTTTATCTTATCTATAGCTGCAGGGCGACCCTCGGGGTCATGTATCAGCATGCCCGTAATGCAACATGCTCGGGATGAAGGTTAGGTACAATCCAGCGAGTTTTCGGGAACCCAGTCCCATCATTTCGCTATATTAATGCTGCGGATGAAGACTAGTAAATCACATTCTTTCCTTGAACATCAAGTTATGACCAAGAGAGAAAAAAGAATAAGGGGGCGGGTGGGGGAAAAGAAAGAGAGGCGAAGGAAGGAAGAGAGAAACAAACCTCAAAGCAGTCCTCGATTATTTGATTAGGAAGCCTCTTGTACCATGAGACCTTTTTATGACGATTTCAGGAGTCTCGCTGAGTGTGGGCGAGGGAAACCGCTATTTTATATATGAAGACAGAGCTTGTGATGAGAACAAAGCAGTTGCTTCAGGCACAGCCTGTCACAGCTGTATTAATCATTTTCAAGTCAATTGATGTATCAAACCCAACAGCGTCAAGACGGTTGCTAAACTTCACCTTTCAATCACATTAACCACATAAAGAATGCCCCCAACGGTATACGTTGAAACCACAAGATTCCAGACGCCGCTGCTAGATACCCTCGAATGGCGAATGGAAGGAAAACGAACAATAACGAAGAACTTAACCGTCTCTCATGACAAATTAACGCCGCCATAGATACCAAATAGTTCAGAAGCCTCGATGGCACTGAGAGCCTTGCATGTCGTAACTGGGTAAGTTACGCCGAGGGCTTCTGGATGACGTAGGTTTTGCCGCCCGATATAGGCATGGGATGTTCTGTTGTGCTGTGCAGCTGTGTGAGATGACGAGGAACCAGACGAAGAATGTGCATCGTGGGAGATCAAGTCTTATATATTCAAGTCTCACCATGATGTTCATTAGGTCGCCACGGCGCTGCTGATACAACAGTACAATTGTCTAGTACAGCGGTAAGCCACCAGCAGTCGATATAGCACGGGCCTTTGGGGCAGCTGTTGTGTTGCTGGCTTTGGCTCAGCCATGAGCTCAGCCATGAGCTCAGTAATTTCCCGTGAACGAACATTAGAAAGCTACCAGCGTTCATGTAGTCGGAGGGGAAGGCCAGCTACAGCTCTGCCGCCACACGTTTTCGAGCTGTCGAGTCGGCACAATCCGAACTGAGGCTCTGTAGTCGGACGCCCAGTCGTAGCGGTGTGCCCGTGGGCGTGCTGAGTCAGTCAGCCTCATTGACGACCGTCCACAGGACTGTTTGTGCTCCGGAAATCAGGGTTCGTCACCTAATGCATGTTAGCTTAGGGGATCGGCTCTTTTGACACTGCGGGGGTTGCACGTCGACCACGTCGCGTCGCCAACAGTTGAATGCTGAGTGACTTGAAACTGCGCCTGACAACCCCATCAGCAAATCTCCCCAGCTCAACACGGTCTTGCATCCGCCATGCAGGCAAATATTGTGTCTCGATGCCGCCCGTTACCTATCGATTTGTGGACTCACATTAGCGGTTTCGTTACCAAATCGCGCTACCATCCCCGCGTATGGTTGTACCGTCGACTGATGTCACACAAACCCAAATCCAAAGCCGCAAATAGCTGTGACAGAGTAGTTTTGGTTGAATTTTCGACATGGTAGAAGCCGTTAGCCACCGTCAGAAAGTCAGCTGCCGTACAGTCAAGCCACGTTCCAGAAGCGTGAAAAGGTAACGGGTCTACATGACAATTTAAGAACCGGAGAAGCGACGAACGCAACAGTAGCCTTGCGATCAATTGATTGGTCTCAACTTCTATGCAGCCTCTCGGATCGTGAAGCCGAAATTTCCAACTGTCTTTTACTACGTAGTCTCTCATTACTTCAATCTGGACGTGTTGCGATGCCCGGACAGAAGGAATCCCGTATAGATGAAACGGTGCATAGTTTGAAGATGCTCCTCTGAAGAAGACCCTGAAGAGTGCAGACTTATATGTTATGAGTGAAGTACCTGTGGATTGCCGAATGCAAGCATTCTAGAAGGTGATGGCCGGAATGCCTGGCCGCAACTACACGCCTAAGTGGAACAGAGCTCCGATTAACCGTAATGGAATGATCCGGTCTCTTTTCTTAATATCTAAATCGGTCTGTTTATATGTTTTGCGTTTCACCTGCACAGCATAGATTATGATGTCTAAAGCCATCTAAGATAATGGTGACGCATGCGTAGATGATCTCCAGACTCGCCTTGGCGACTAATATAGAGGCATTTCGAGCATCCTCGATAGCTAGCTGGCTAGATCACTCAGGCTGGATCTGACGATTAAAAACCTCTTGTGTCGCTATTAATCACTAGAGTCGTTACAGGTGGTAGGCTAGGACGTGACTATACCCTGGAAGATGTACCCAATAATTGTGTTAGAGATCGGTCGATGAGCCACAGCAACGCTTAGCTTCCCGAGGAGTAACGAGAGGATGCGATCGAAGCTCTAACGGAAGGTGCATTTTGATCTTCTTAGAAAATAACAAGAACGTGAAGAGACTAAGGTAGAATGACGCCCGAAACTAATAACTACCGGAGAGGTGAAGGCTGCTGAGGAAAAACGCGAGAAGCGTTTATGTAGAGGTAAATATCCTTCAGAGGTCGCGGAAGAATGGACGAAGTGGTCGATTTGACGCCGCGTCTGGATGCTGGCCTCCATAACTATAAGGCCGGTTCAGAGATCCTTTGTCAGGAACGGCTAGGCCGCAAGGCAAAAGTACAGAGTGAAGGGGAGAAAAAGGTGCTCCCGGTGTTGATCTTCGGGTGGTCACAGGTAGATATGTTTGGAATGGTTTATTCATCTCAGGCCTTCCTCTTATTCCTCCTCTGAGACACCCTGAGACACCCTGAGACACTCTCCCCTTATATAAATTCCTCGGGTTCCACGATATTCCACGACCTCCCACGACCTCACAATGCTCTGACACACAGGGCCCGCGCCGACGGGGAGCCGGCGCTCTAATATCTGTAACAGAGCTAGGAACACATCGACCAGTTCTGACCAGCACTAGGAGGCGTCTTGCGTCCACAGTAGATTTCGTTCCTTGAGAAGACCAGCCTAGCGGATGGCAACAAACGCATGCCCTATCAACTAGGTTAGGGGTCATTTGATAGAAGGGACGTGCTGTGCAAGGGATAGCCCAGCAAGAGTACCGAAACGCAAGGCTTTCAAAGACGTGACAGCAATCGTGGGCTGAGGCATTACAATGCGAGTCCCAAAGATGAATTGGGCAGGGGAAAGGGTGCTGCTGAGGCAGCCAGCGCGAGCAGCATGGGAAAGAAATTAGCGCGAAAAGCTTTCGTCTGTCGATCTACGGCCGGTTGCAACATGTGAAGTGTGTTTTATTAACGAACAACGCCAATGTAATGCATCTACACCCATTGAATTTTCTCGCATCTGGTACATTGCTTAACTGTACGGTAGCTGATGAAGAGAACTAGATTTCAAGGCAGCCAACGGCTTCTTCAACGCCGAAAATTCAACCAGAACTACCCTGGCCCAGATATTTGTTCCAGGTCTTAGAGCCATCGTTAAACCGCGCAACGCACATGGAAATTGTGCGCGGCTACGTGTCCAGTTACAAGGAAGTAGGCCGTGGAGCCTGTGACCAAAGCGCACCAGAGCCATGGGATCCGAGTGAAGTCTCGTAATATCATGCGGATACTAGAATGAGCTGCGCGACTACATGGTGACACAGTGGGGGCCCAACCAATAGATGAATGACGTTTCATAAATCAAACCATGCAGACCATGCTATAACAATAGTCCTGATGGGTGCACGACAGCCGCATAGAGGGACATGGACCCCAGGTTCTCGGGGGCACTGACGTGTTTACTGACCGACCACCCACCCTTTCAATCTGGCTCTTATTGGCCCCCACGCAGAAACCTTCTGGCTGTTGTGTGAACAATACATATTGAGCACTCTTGCTTGATCTTGAATATGCATTGCAACGCAAGGTCCAGTTACACGCATCAAAACTGCACTGTAACTCTGTTACTCGCCTGCCAATGAGATGAGGTGCAGTCTAGAGAAGAGCTGTCGGCATTAAACCAGATCAAATCGAGCGTTCGCTTATAGACTTTTGCTCCTGTCCGCCATCATATCGCCTGTTTTTTGAAGTGAGATATTTACTTGAAGTTCCGCAACGCTGGCGCATCCACTTGAGCGATTTCTCGCGGCGGGGACGAATCGTCACGTGTTGCCAATAGAAAACCTTGACCGCCGAAATGAAGGTTCCCGCAACAAATCCACATACGTTATTAGGGTCATAGTTTGCCAGGAGGCTAGTCCGCAGAGCCACTCACGGGTATGAACGATGCCTCTGGATTTCCTCATCGGGAAAGCCGCGATGGCTACAGGGGATAGCTTCGAGCTCTGCCCTATCGGAATCAAGTGGAGCTGTCGCCAACTCTAATATCTGGGGAAGAATCTGGTCCCCGCCCCTTGCGCTGCTGCATTTCCAATCATAAGAATATAGCAGATCGTGGCTGTGTCTACTTTCGTCGAACTCCAGTTCTATGCGGTTCACATGTGGCCCCGACCTGACGGGAGGCCGCCCTCTCCTCACCGTTGACGCTTTCTTTCCTCGGCCACCCCAAGCGCAGCTGCTTGCTGGAGCACAACCGCATCCTGCGCCGACAGCGGCAGAAATCCTGGTTTTTCCCTCACCTCAGTCACTCGTGCACATACGGCCTTTGAAACAGTGCACTAGCTCTCTCCTCAGAGCCTTGCCGGATGTGCTACCCAGTCAGCAACACTGTCAGGCTTGATTTCTGTCCACCTGCGAACGTCACTGCGTGGGGTCTCTTGGCGGTTGACGCCTGTCATCAGGGGCTGTTTGCGTTACCTAACTGGAAAGCTTCGCGTGCGCCGCACCGTCCGCAAACAGTGGCTTTCGGACTAGAGAGCCAGACAACAGACAGTGCCGGCTCCCATTTTGGAGATATCAAGTCGAGGTGTTCCCGACAGGTCGTCGTACTGCCCATGACTTGGGTTGTATTGCTCATATAAAAAGACCGCTAGAAACTTAACTTATAGAAAAGGATGCTCGCTTATCTTGCGTCTGCTGCGTCTTGCCCCTACCCTCCCGTCATTTCTCGACCTTTTGTCTCGTTTGTGTCACCTTGCTCAACTTATCTGTAACCCCAAACCGCAACCATCGTACTTACCTGTCTATGAGCTCTCCTGTGATACAATGCCAGACAGCAATATGGATGAAACAGAACTGAAGCAGCCGCCAATAGATCGAAATATTCGCTGGGGCGACGAAGAAGCAGCAACGACCCGACCATACCGCGGCTCTACCCTGCGCCGTACAAACTCCACTGGCTCGCTCTCCATCCACAGCGTGCGCTCGAGACGCGAAGTCGAACCTGGCGTCATCTTGCCCATTCAGTACCGCACGGTGTAAGCAGCAGTTTTGTGTGAATACAACATTTTGTCTAAACGAAACGACTTGAGTTGTGTGTACTGACAATTTGTCTTCGTCGCCCAATACAGCTCCTTCCAAATCGAAGAAACCAAGAGCAAAAGCAAAGATGTCGCCGCCGTTGAGAAGGCGAGGGACTCAGCCACCAGGGGTCGATAACCACCACGTCCCTTTTTTGGCGCAAAAAGACCCATTGCTGACTTGATTGTTGGCACACAGAGCTGTCTTCGCTGGACTGGCACACCATCTCGTCCGATGAGGCCATACGCCGGTTGGGTTCTTCGATGAGAGAGGGGCTCTCGGGTGAGCAGGTCGGACGGAAAATCAAAGAATATGGCCGCAATGCTCCTTCGCCACCCAAGTCGAGGACGCTGCAGAAATACTTGGGCTACATGTTCAAGGGGTTCGGTCCCATCTTGCTCATTGGCGCAATTCTCGTCTTCGTGTCATGGAAGCCGCTTGGAAACCCGCCCGCTTTGGCTAACCTGGTAATGCATATTCATACTCACCCTGGCCAAAGAAAAGTGAGTCAGGTTCACTAACCAGATGTTCCAGGCGCTGGCTATTGTGCTCCTCGCGGTCTTCTTCATTCAGGCTGGCTTCAACATGTTCCAAGACTGGAGCTCATCCCGTGTGATGAGCAGTATCAAGAACATGCTCCCCGAAGACTGCATGGTCATCCGAGACAGCATCCAGTCGTCCATTTCCGCGCATGAGCTAGTCCCCGGTGACATCGTTTGCATCAAAGCTGGCGACAAGCTACCGGCTGATATGCGCTTTCTTCATGTGTCTTCCGATGCCAAGTTCGACCGGTCTATCCTTACGGGAGAGTCCCTGCCCCTTGCTGCGACTGTCAACTCAACTGATGATAATTACCTTGAAACCAAATGCATTGGTCTCCAAGGTACCCATTGTGTCTCTGGCGCGTGTACCGGCCTCATCGTCGCAACGGGTGACCGAACTGTCTTTGGAAGGATAGCAGCTCTGACCAATGAACCGAAGACGAAGATGACGACGCTCGAGAAAGAAGTGCTGAGATTTGTTATCATCATTTCTTCGATTATGCTGACCATGGTTCTTGTCGTCTTGATTGTCTGGTACGTGACCCCCCGAATTGAGCAACGGGTATAATGACTGACCGCAGCAGGGGGGCTTGGCTACGAAAAGACCACCCGGGATGGATCAACGTGCCGACTCTTATTGTGAGCTGTGTCAGTGTGGCAATTGCCTTTATTCCTGAAGGCTTGCCTATCGCCCTGACAGCCGGTCTTACCATCACGGCCAATATCATGCGACAACACAAGATTTTATGCAAATCTTTGAAAACCGTCGAGACCCTCGGCTCCGTTTCTGTCATTTGTTCTGATAAGACGGGTACACTTACCGAGGTGAGTACTTCCTTGCTACCAAGTACAGTTTTGGGAGTTGTTGTATGCTGACAAGCCTTTCAGAATCGCATGACCGTGACGAACTGTACCGTTGGCGAGCACAACCTTACCGACCAGGAGGCAACACTCGACTACAGTGAAAGCGCAGCGCCAGACGTGGCCGGTATCATTACCAGCGCCGTTGGTCAAATCCGTTGCATGGCCGGACTCTGCAACGCAGCTGAATTCGATGCCGCGACCATGCATTTACCTATTGAAGATAGACGCGTGTATGGTGATGCCACCGACCAAGCCATCTTGAGATTTAGCGAACACATTGGTTCCGTGAGTCACTTGCGTCAATGTTGGCAGAAGACCTACGAGCTCGCTTTCAACAGCAAGAACAAGTACATGATCAGGACTTTCTCGCTCTTTCGACCGGACTGCTTGACAGATACGCTTCCTGAGGGCGAGGCGGATAGCTTCCAGGCTGATGATACGTGAGTGCTCAAAAGAGCGAAGTGGTGAGTGTTCTTGGGATTAAACTAACACACATTAGACTTTTGACAATCAAGGGCGCGCCCGATATCCTCATCAAGAGGTGTTCCCACTTCACCAATAAGTCGGGCGACGCTCACCTCCTGGACGACACGATGCTAGCCACCTTCGAAGCCCTGAAGAACACGTACAGCAGCCAAGGCAAGCGATGTATCCTCTTCGCGAGGAAAGTGATCCGCAAGCAAGACATCCAAAACCAACCCGGGACCAGCCAATTCGAAGACGAAATGTTCGAGCAAGCCAAGTCAGGCCTGACCTTAGTCGGTCTAGTAGCCATCGTCGACCCGCTCCGCCCCGAAATCCGCGACGTCGTCTCAACCCTGCGTCGCGCAGGTATCCGCATCTTTATGGTGACGGGCGACTTTGCCCTGACGGCCCTAGCCATCGCCCAAGACGCCGGTATCGTGAGCACGCCCACGCCACTCGTGCACAACGCGACCGACCTGCCCCGGGAAGCTGTCTCCGACGAAGCGAAACCGCAGGACAGGACATCGCTCCTGATTAGCGGCCCGGAGTTAATGGGCTTGAACGAACACCAGTGGAAAGCTCTTACCGAGTACGATGAAATTGTGTTCGCGCGCACAACGCCTGAGCAGAAATTGCGCATTGTGAGGGAGTTCCAGGTCAATGATGTGGTGGGCATGACGGGCGACGGCGTCAATGACGCGCCTTCGCTGAAGGCGGCCGATGTTGGCATCGCCATGGGAAGCGGCTCGGATATTGCGATTGAAGCGGCTGATATGGTCTTGCTTGACACTTTCTCGTCTGTTGTTGAGGCCGTGCAGTATGGCAGGGTCGTTTTTGACAACCTGAAGAAGGTTATCTGCTATTTGCTGCCAGCAGGTAGTTTTGCTGAGTTCTGGCCGGTGATGACGAACGTTCTGTTTGGACTGCCGCAGATTTTATCATCATTTTTAATGATCATTATTTGGTATGCATCTACTCCTCCACCTCTGCCCCTTCTCCCCATGGGGAAAACTGGCTTACACGCAAACAACTAGCTGCTTCACGGATTGCGCCGCCGCAACGGTCCTCTCCTACGAAAAACCCGAAGCCGACGTCCTGCTGCGCAAACCCCGCAACATCAAGAAAGACCGCCTCGTCAACTGGCAACTTGTGGTACACGCATACGGCGTCGTAGGTGTGATGGAAACGGTGGTTTCATTCGCCATGGCGTACTGGTACCTCGAGCTGAACGGCCTGCGATTCCGTGACTTGTGGTTCTCGTTTGGAGCTCTGCCGGAGGGGATTGATGCCGAGTTTTATACCCAGAAGTTGAATCAGGCGTCTTCGATTTACTTCGTTAACCTTGTTGTTATGTAAGTGATCTTAACCTTTGTGTATTTCACGCCAATAGTCGTGACTGACGAGGGATTTAACAGGCAATGGTTCAACCTCCTTGCCGTTCGCACTCGACGATGGAGCATATTCCAGCACCCACCACTTTTTAACGTAAGGACTTCGAACTGGTACCTCTTCCCGGCTATCGTCTTTTCGTTGTGCATGGCCATCCTCTGGCTCTACATACCGCAGCTGCAGTCCGTTCTGGGGACGTCACCTGTGCCGACGGCGCACTGGTTCTTGCCCATGGCTTTTGGTCTGTTCATTCTATTCTTGGACGAGGCGAGGAAGTTTTTGGTGAGAAAGTATCCAAATGGTCCAACTGCCAAGAGTGCATGGTAGAAATTGGGGGGGGGTTGTGACGGGGTTGAAGGCTGGGTGCGTGGGAAGACGGAATTGGTGGTTGGGAAATAGCAGCCAGGCGTCGGGCGCTGGGAAAGCAACTTTGTGAGTCGGGTTAATACGCGAGAACACACCTATCAGGCAAGGTAGCCAACCTAAAATGACAATTTGGGAGAAGCCGATGAGAGCAACCGTCCCGTCGAAATATCAAGGGGAACCATTTGGTGGAAAGGAACTGGACGGCTAACTTATCCGGAAGTGCGCAGTACCTAACTCCAAGACTTTCACGATATGAATGCCTTGTCCCTAGCTGCGGGATCTGGAATGTGAAGTTGGCCAACAGATCAAGCAAGTGACTTTGTGTGCAACATATCTGCAACACATCGTTCGACAACACGAGACGGATATGCCAGCTGAATGGCTGTTCCTAGTCATGTCCTCGATCATCGATACATCAGAAAGATGGTCTTCCTCGGAAATAGGAACCGGCAAAGGTTAGTCGTGCCCTGCTGAAGCATTGCTGGAGTTCCACACTTCCAGAGAAACGAAACGAGTCAAACTTTAACCATACCAAAGGAACCACATACTTTAGTGGACCGGTCTAGACATTTGAATTCATCGCCACATTGCTGTGTGTAGTGGAGGTTCTGAACTTTGCTGATGTTCGACAGTGGGGAACATCGTCGGATGTGACCACTGACAACTATGCCCGCCGGTGTGGAGAAGGATCAGGTGCAGGACCTCATCGATGGGGGCAAAAGTCGAATGGAATGTAGAAATGGCTTGACGCTGGAGACGGGTTGACGGGATGTTGCTGCACGCCGGCGACCAAGTCGGGATGAAACACTTCCGGTTGATGGAGAGCTTGATTCACGGACACAACGGAAGCTGCGGCCGACGATACAGATCCTGATGACCAACTACTATCAGGCTGGCAAATTTCAGGCATCGGATGATTTAAGTATAGTAGCTCAGCATGTTGCATCCTATCCATCTATACTCTTGCACATGAACCTGAAGCCTCAACGATAACGACTGTAATGACAACCATCATGGAACAAGTTCTTGCCCTTATCTCAAAGCGCAGCCCGGTCATTGCGTCCATCTTTGTTCTCCTTACGACTGTGTTCCTGCTGTCACGATATTTCGGCAGTGACGTATATGAGCAGATTCCTTTGGTCGGGAAAGAGCTGGGCAACGCCGAGAAAAGAAGAAAGGCGTATCTTGATCACGCTCAAGACATTTACCAGAAGGGCTATAGTCGCTTCAAGAACAGGGTTTTTCGACTAACAGGGACTGATGGTATGTTGATGCTGGAAACACGACGCCTCAACAACTCCGTAGTGTGCCACGTCTGATCAGTAACAGGGGACAGGATCGTCTTGCCTCGTCACCTCGTGGATGAGGTAAAAGATCTTCCCGATGACTATATCAGCATAAACAAGGCCTTCGAAAAGGTATGATATCAACCCGTATTGTTTTGACGATGCAAATGCAGAGCTAATGTGAGTCAAGATGAACGAGGAAAAATATATCAAGTTTGGGCAAAATCCAGACCACGGTGTATTCTTGGTTCACGTCATCCGAGCTGACCTCACGCGGAACCTCAGTATGTGGTGTCATCTCTCAAGCTGTTCCACATACCTCGAAGACTCATTAACGTAACAGATCGCATCAACCCCCAGCTAGCAGCCGAAGCGGCCTTCAGCGTGATAAACGAGCTGCCACCCTGTGACTGTGACGACTGGACTCCAGTAGTAATCTACGAGAAGCTCCTCCGAATCGTCGCCATCGTCTCCGGTAGGATATTCCTCGGCCCTGAACTGTGCCGAGAAGAGGCCTGGTTACACCATGCTATCCACTTCACCGTCGATGTGTTCCGGGCCATCACGAAGCTGAAGCAATGGCACCCTCTGTTAAGACCCATTGGGCAGTACTTCATCCCGGAGTTGAGAGGGGTGGCGGAGCACCGTCGAAAGGCTCAGGAGTTCCTTAAACCAGTCATCCTGCAAAGACGGGAGATGATGAGGCAAGGGGGGCCATTGCCGGATGACATGCTGCAGTGGATGCTGAACAAGGCGGAGGAGAGTAACGTGGGAGACAATGGAATGTCGGAAATGCTCCTCGGGCTTAGTCTGGCGGCCATACATACAACCACAATGACAACCACGCTGGCGTGAGTATCATATAAAGAGCACCACTGTCCCCGAAGTTCAAGCTCACACTTTACAGGCTTTACGACCTTGTTGTTCGACCAGATCTCGTGCAAGAGATTCGCGAGGAGATCAAGTCTGTCCTTGCAGCCAACAACGGGGTGATAAGTCTACATGCTCTATACGACATGAAACTTCTCGACTCGCTCTTGAAGGAATCTCAAAGGACGAATGTTTCCAGCTTAGGTAAGTCGCCTATGTCACAGCCCTTCAAGCAAATATTGGAAACTTGGCTGACATTGCGCAGTTCGCTTTGTCCGTCACGTTGACAAACCGGTGACACTCAGTGATGGAACCCATTTGCCAGCAGGGGCGATAATCGAATCGCCACACAAAGTCATCTTGAATGACCCCGAGCGCTACTCAAACCCGGAAGTTCGTGTCCCATATTGCGGATCATGCCTCGTATACTGCTCTGGGAATATCCCAACCATGAATGATGCTATGGTCTGAATTTCCGGCTAACTGGATCAGACATTCGACCCCTACCGCTTCATGAACCTGCGCACCGGAAACACAGCCGATCCGCTCAACTACAACAACAAGGAGCAGTATCAATTCGTCACAGTGACCAAGGACTTCATGGCCTTTGGCTACGGCCGGCATGCTTGGTGAGTATTTCAGCATTATACATCCATCCTACATAGACATATACACTTGCGCTAACAATTGTGAGCCCCGGACGCTTCTTCGCGGCGAACGAGATCAAATTGATTCTCTCACGCCTCTTGGTCGAGTATGATATCAAAATGCCAGAAAATATTACTGAGCGCTATGCGAACATCACGAGTGGTCTCGATGAGATGCCTGATACGACGAAGGAGATCATGATGCGGAGGGTGAAATCGGATGAGGGCTAGCATGAAGGGGGGGTTGATATGAGATGACTTTGGCTTCCTTCTCTTGTTCGGATTTCCGGGAAATAGGTTCTGTGAGATATGGACACTTGCTCCGGGGTGTCGAGACCTATACAGGCTTTTTTTCTTCAAACAGCAATGCCACCTCGCCAGTCTGCTTCAATAGCGATGCATATTGACGGTTCCAAGATCGTAAGAGTTCCGGAATATGTTTCGTGCACCCTTTATGAGGGCGGCGTGCCAGCTGTGAGCCCGACTACGGACTACCTGACGCTGGAGCAGAGTTGCAGACATGCCAAGACTCCCAAGTGTTGGTTGGATTGAACCTTCATCAAGATCATGCAAGTTTGACGGGTTACTGAGTGTCAGTTGAAGCGGTCAAGTTGATCTGATCGAGACAATGGATGCTGCAGAAACTCCGGAGCTGAAGTCAATGCGCCCCACCGGGTCGGCAGGGATCCCTGAACCCGTTGCTCAGCAACGCTCCTTTCACCTGAAATACAACAAACCGCAGAGCAGTCCCGTAGTTCCAAACCCGCAGTTCCAAACCCGCAGTTCCAAACCCGCACAATTGAATGCAAGTTGCATTACTAGACTCAGCTCCTCAATCATCTTCAAAACCTTCTTCCCTCTTTATACAACTCAATTTTGTACTGATGGAAACAATGGCGTCTCGCACACTGGAATCTCACTTTGAGCGTATGTCGGTCAACGACGAAAACGACCCATGCGATGGCACCAAGTTATATCAGAAGTCCAAGGTAAGTCGTGATAACAAAACACATCGTGTATGGTAGGACCAACTAATGATAGAAACAGATGACAGCGACGACGACTCAAATATCACATAGCTCAACGCGACCAAATCTCTACAAAGTCGCCCTCCAGACGCAGAACACCAACACCGTCACCGCCGTCACCCTGCCGTCCCAAGCCGCACAACGGAAAGGGCCTCCCTCTCCAACACGAAAACCCCTCCCCAGTTCTGCATCCAGATCATCCGACGAAGTCGTCCAAGTCGAGCGCAAGTCCGTCGTCCTCGTCGAACAGCCGACGGTCAACCAATTCCACCTGGGCATGTTCGAGATCGGCCGACCCATGGGCAAAGGCAAATTCGGACGAGTCTACCTCGCCAGGGAGCGAAGCAACGGCTTCATCTGCGCGCTCAAAGTGCTGCACAAGAATGAGATCCAACAAGGACGGGTAGAGAAGCAAGTACGGCGCGAGATCGAGATCCAGAGCAACCTGCGCCACCCCAACATCCTGCAGCTGTACGGGCACTTCCACGACAGCAAGCGCATATTTCTGATCCTCGAGTTTGCGGCCAAGGGCGAGCTGTACAAGCACCTGCGGCGGGAGAACCGGTTCCCGGAGTGGAAGGCGTCACAGTACATTGCGCAGATGGCGAGCGCGCTGCGGTACTTGCACCGCAAGCACGTCATTCATCGGGATATCAAGCCCGAGAACATTCTGATGGGCATCCATGGGGAGATCAAGATTTCCGATTTCGGCTGGAGCGTGCATGCGCCTAACAGCCGGAGGAAGACCATGTGCGGGACGCTCGATTACCTCCCGCCGGAGATGATCAAGCCGGGCAGCTCGGATAACTTCTACAATGAGAAGGTGGACTTGTGGGCGTTGGGGGTCTTGACGTACGAGTTTTTGGTGGGCGAGGCGCCTTTTGAGGACACGCCTGTTATGACGCAGAGGAGGATCGCGAGGGCAGATATGACAATTCCTTCTTTTGTCAGCGCCGAGGCTAGGGATCTGATCAAGAGAGTGAGTCTCTCCCCATCCCCATTTCACCTCCACCCAAACGCAATACCTGCAACTAACACAACTCAAAGCTGCTTGTCCTCGACCCCGAGAAGAGGATACCCCTCGAGCAGGTCCAACAACACCCCTGGATTATCAAGCACTGCCTAAAGGGTGAGAGGGTGGCAAATCGCGAGTCGGCAAAGGGGAAATGAACATGACAAAGTAATGAACTGGGGCAGTACCAAACTATATGATTAGAGCAGAGGCGTTTAGGAGACGGCGATCTGGCGTGGGGATTTTTGCATCAAGAGGAGAGACCTGTTTTCATTCCATTGTGTATCATCGGAATACACAAATCCTACATTTTTAGGACCTGAACTCCTTACGCCTCTTGATCTTACCGGTATTATGGTTTTGTACAAGCCCTCTGATTCCAGAGCGCCAATTGTGTGTCTCCCACATATCATCTGTAGACCTCGTCGAATGGCCGGGTATCTGAAAAGCACGAATCCCACACCTGATTCACCACCTTAACCGCCTGGACATCATCCTTGCATCTCGGCCTCGCCAGCACAGACTGCACCGCTCGTTTCCTCACGCAGTCCTGGAACTGCTGTGTCAATGTCCAGTTGCCCCGCGTGAACGACTCTCTCGTCCATCTACACTCGCCGCTCAGCATCGAAGCTCGAATCTGTATCATTTGTCAGCCATGGTTCTCCCACCATACTTCCCCCCCTCTCCCCCCACCCTGGATCGTAGTGATGGAGACGCAACCTACCTCCGTACAAGCCGCATGCTTCAAATCCTTATCCCCCACCCAATCCACCTTCCACCTCAAATGATCCCAAGCATGCACCATCTCATGCGCGAGCGTATCCTCCAAATGTCCCCGATCCCGCACCTCATTCGCGCAAATCAAAATCCCGTGTCCGGGACTAAACCCCCCACTCTGCCGATGCACCTGCCCGTCCTCCGTAAGCCGCGCCGGGCACCGTCGACACACCACATTATCCTTATCCAGTTTCCCGTTTAGAGACTCGACTTTTTCTCGCAGGAATCGGACCGTGGGGGAGTGTGCGAAGGCGTGGTCCCGGTAGGACTCGCAGGTCGCGCAATCTCGCGCTTCGTGCGCTTTGTACCGGGACTCACGGTAGTGGAATGCGCCCTCGGGGGTTATTTTGCCCGTCAAGATCCGGAAGTAGTTCACCCACCAGGCGGTTCGGGGGTCGAAGCCGGTGCGTGCTGGGTCGTTTTTGACGATGGCTGGGAAGGGGTCGGGTTTCTGTTGGTTAGGGGGTGTTGGAAATGAGGCGCCTGCTTCGGCGGAGGGGAAATTTGGGGTTTGGATATCGGCGCCCATGGTGGTCTGGTTGAGGGTTGAAATTGCGAATGTTTTGTTACTTGACGAAAGCGAGGCCTACCTAATCCTGGCCCGTGAAAGCTTGGAGTCCCCAGAATTGAAGGTGTTACCCTGAAAGAGGAGCTGAATCCAAAGCGGTGACCTCTTTCGGTTGTCCAGTGCCAGTGGTGGGTCGGTTCTGCCATCCCGATGTCGGGGTTCGCCCAATGGGAATCTTTCCGTTGCAGCGAATGCTTGAAGCTTGTTGGACCTTGGAATGGACAAACTCGTGCCACAAGTCTTTCCGATGACAACTTTCGGAGACAATGCGCCCTGTAAGAATTTCATACCAACCTCTCCAAGTCACTATCTTGATTCTTGGTTTCGTGCCACCTTTGGTAGTCTAAAGTACTGATGTTGCTTTCAAACTCGCAGATATGAAGGGCCCGAAATCACTTACCGTGGTTATTAAACTTGGTGAGTTCTAATGTTGGCTTTCGGTCCGGGGTGTTTTCTGAGTACTCCTATGAAGCGGTCAGGGGTGCTTGACTTACACAGTATTCTCCTGACGAGACCATTGCCTTATTAGTGGGGTGAATTATAGCTGACCTTCCAACCAGGAACTAGCTCTATTGTGGACGAGCAGACTCATGAACCCCTTCTGCCCATCTTAACCCTCATCGTCGCGACGGCTGTCAAGTTACGCAAAGATGGCCACAAAGTTGTCATTGTGTCATCGGGAGCCATTGGCGTCGGCTTGCAACGCATGGATGTTGAAAAGAGACCCAAGCACCTCTCCAAGTTGCAAGCGTTAGCAGCGATTGGTCAATGTCGTCTAATAAGCCTGTGGGATAGCTTCTTTGGGCATTACCGTCAACCTGTTGCTCAGATCCTACTTACAAGAAATGACATTGCCGATGTAAGTGGAGCGGGGTTATCAACTTGTACAAGAATGACTGAATCCGTGAACAGCGCTCGAGGTACCTCAATGCCCAGAACACTGTCATGGAACTCCTGGAAATGGGTGTCATCCCCATTGTCAACGAGAACGACACTTTGGCTGTTGCCGAAATCAAGTTCGGTGACAATGACACCCTCTCTGCCATCACAGCTGCCATGGTCCACGCCGACTTTCTGTTTCTCATGACCGATGTGGACTGCTTATATGATAAGAACCCACGGTCAAACCCCGATGCCCAGCCAATAGAGGTAGTTGAGGATATCTCGGCAATCCAAGCAGATGGTAGCAAACTCTCACTTCCAAACTTCAAAAGATTACTATACTAACACATTCCAGTCTCGAGCGCCGGCTCCGCCCTCGGCACCGGCGGAATGGGCACCAAAATAGTAGCCGCCCGCCTCGCCACTTCAGCAGGCGTAACCACGGTCATCACGCGTTCGTCAAGCCCCGGCAACATCGTCAAAATAGTCCGCTACGTGCAGGCTCTGAAATCCTCCACCCCCTCATCCTCCCAACACACCCCAACCGTAGAAGAGCACCGCGACGACCCCCTGTCCCGCTCAACTGCCTCACTCTCCCTCGACACCGTCAAGCCCCCCTTACATACCCGCTTCCTCCCTCTCGCCCAGCCCATCAGAGACCGCTACTTCTGGCTCCTGCACGGCCTCGCCCCGCATGGAACAATCTATGTCGACGCCGGCGCACACCGCGCCCTCGCCGATAAGGCGGGCTTGCTCCCTGTGGGTGTGCTGGACGTCGAGGGGCACTTTGCGCAGCATGAGGCGGTGAGGCTGGTGGTCGTGGGCCGGGTGATCCCAAAACCACCAGAAGGGGACAAGCTGTGGGAAGGCACGCCAGTCGAGATCGGCAGGGCGCTGGTCAATTACTCGTCGATTGAGATCTCGAGGGTCAAGGGACATAAGAGCACTGAGATCGAGGGGTTACTCGGGTATGCCGATAGCGACTATGTGGCCGATCGGGATAATGTGAGTTTGTTCCGGAGGGAGAGCAGGCCGGTTACGCCGACGCTTGCTGTGGAGGGTGGGGGAGTGGCGGGGTATGAGATGGGGTCGACGAAATAGGGCAGCCCGACAAAGTAGAGAATTAGAGACATGACTTTAGGGCGTTCTGGTTGGATCACGGGAAAACTGGTAGACTAGAAAGGAATAAGTAGTCGCTCGAGTGCCGATGAATTGATACACATTGGGTATAGCAATTGTGTATAGACCCCGAAGAGCAATCCACTTTTGACTGTGATTCGAAACCACAAGTATTGTGACAAACTCCCAAACTCCAACTATGCAACCATGACGTTTCCTTCCCCAGGCATGGGACTTGTAGTAACATGGCTTCGTCTGATTGCGCCAGAGCCTATGCCGTACAGTGCTTGTGGAATTGCCCTGCTCTCACGGCTCACCGTGGGTCCCGATGGCCCTGATCTCCCTCGAATTTTGTCTCGGCTTGCAGCGGCACAAGTATCATCCACTACGAATATAGGCCGATCATGCCGCTCAACCAGAAAAGAGTGTATCTTCATCCCGAAGGAATTCTCCACAGTCCGCCTGTCTAAAACACACAACACCAGTGGGATCAAGTCGTCTTGATTCTGCCGTGCTCCTTGCCGTCACTCCGAAACCCAAAGGGGTGTCATTCATGGAATACACGACCACGCCTTGGTGTTCAGGGCAGTCCTCGCTCCATCTACAAGTACGGGTGGTTAATTATAAGTTTTCTCGGGTACTTGGGTAGACTTACCGGCCAACATGTGCCTTGACAACGTTTCCGCCGTAAAGGAAAGGCATTTCACCGTTGGGCTTAACCTGTTGAAGAGGCTTGGGTTAGCGGCTACTTGTCAAAACATGGCTCTAAAGCCCCAGCTCTTCTCTTGCAAGAATGAATGTAGGGCATGGAGCACGAATATATATATATTCGGTTTCGAGACAGGCTTGGAAACGGATTCATACCCAAATCTTGTATCTTGCATGTCTGCATTGAATAACATTAGTAATTGTCTCTGCAGAGGTCAAGAGATGTAGGTCCCCAGATTCTACTCACTCGGCAAGAATAGGGAGGGCGGTTATGTGCAGTCGGAATTTCCCTAGAGCGAGTCTCAGCCACGCTAGTTCGGGGATTCATGCATCTTTGCTGTGCGAGCCGTCATACCAGTTTTTGTGAATTTGCCTGTAGAAGATGGCTGTTAGCTTGACCGCATTCTAGCTTGAATCCAAGGGCAAAAACAGTGTACGGACCTAAACAAGTACCCAAAGATAACAGGCGCTCCCTTTGTATTGACGTAGCGAGGTTCGAAATCGAGAGGAGTACATAACTACAACAGTCAGTCTAGCTTTCCTGTAGAGAGGAATTGTACGCCTTACTAGACTCTGTCCTAGATTCAGCATTCCAAAGTTAGCAATATGGCCTGTAACAATTCATTTTCCGCAGCTTAGGACCTCCCAAAGCTGACCTTATTCACTCGGAAGACATATCGATCGGCGTCAGGCGAGTCTGAGAGCGGCGCAATGAGGTTCTTCAAGCTGGAACCCGTGTAGTTGGCCAACTTGGCGAACAACGTCTTCGTCTCTTCTTCCGTGAGGGCGCGCATTGTGAGGCTCAGGTTCTCAGGTCGGCTTAATTCAGTTCAATCCGGCGGTCAGTCGCGCAAGGTAAGGTCTCGTTCTCGAAGCAGCTCAGTGAGCGCCGGCGCAAATGGATTCGATGGTGGAGATCGCGATACAGAAAAAATGGCGGTGAAGGCCGGCAAAATCAGCGGAAGGGTCCCCGCAGTGGATCTTTGATTGGTGTTAGTGGGGGCAGATCCCTGAATGTCTCATGAAATTTTAGTTTCCTCATCCTACAAGAAGCGTCCTCTACATATCAATTCGATGAGCCAACTACACAGCTTCGCCATGGCCTCAAGACCGTCCAAAAAAAGGAAGCTCACTCCTCCTCAGTCGGAAGACGAGGAGGCGTCTAGTCGTTCAACCGTCAAAGCCCAGAAAGCCTTCTTCAAGAACGCTTCAAGTTGGGACTTGGAGCAGGATTACGAGACGAAAGCTCGCAAGGGCAAGAAGAAGGAAAAGGAGAGCACCCGGCTGCCCATCAAGCTTGCCGACGGTCGTGTGCATCAGGTTCACGTGCCGGTGGAGGAGGCTGCTTCAGTTGCCAGTGATGAGGACTGGTTAGACGGCGACGATGCCTCTGAGGATGAGAAGTCAGAGGATGATGAGCCCGCTTACATGGAACCGGATATTCCTGAGCAGCAGCAAATTCTAGAAGCGAAGGAAGAGCTTGCCAGAATAGCCTTGATGTTGAACGAAACTCCGGAGGAGAATTCCGGTGCTTTCCGAGCAATTGCCAAGATCGGCCAATCCAGGATCGAGGCCATACAGAAACTCACACTAGCCACCCAATTAGCTGTCTACAAGGATGTCATTCCAGGCTACCGGATACGGCCAGCCGCGGAAAATATGGCCCAGGAGAAGTTGTCCAAAGATGTGCGATCGCTGCGGTCATACGAGCAGGCTCTTGTCTCGGGATATCAGAATTACATCAAGGACCTGGCCAGACACGCCAAATTGGGGCACAAGCAGCAAGGCGCCAAATCAAAAGGACCAAGTCTTGCCAACATTGCCATCACGTGTGCCTGTACTCTTTTGACGACGGTACCACACTTCAACTTCCGCAGTGAACTGCTCAAGATATTGGTGAGCAAGTTGAGTAAAAGGATTGTGGACGACGACTTCAACAAATGTCTTCGAGCAATTGAGACACTCTTCCAAGACGACGAGGAAGGCCGGCCAGCCATGGAGGCGGTTTCACTGCTCTCAAGGATGATGAGAGCGAGGGATTACCGAATCGACGAGAGCGTGTTGAACCTCTTCCTCCATCTGCGACTGCTCTCCGAGTTTTCAGGAAAAGCCTCCAAAGACCGCGTTGATCACGATCATGCAGGGCCCAGCAGCAAGCGGCAGAAGCAAGAGAAGAAGTTCAGGACGAAGAGGGATCGGAAGGCCATGAAGGAACAGAAGGCGCTGCAGAAGGATATGGACAACGCCGACGCCCTCGTCAGCCACGAAGAGCGAGACCGCATGCAATCCGAAACCCTAAAGCTCGTCTTTGCAACCTATTTCCGCATTCTCAAAGCACGCATGCCGCATCTCATGGGCGCTGTGCTCGAGGGCCTTGCAAAATACAGTCACCTGATCAACCAAGACTTTTTCGGTGACCTCCTTGAAGCTCTCAAGGACCTGATCCGGCATAGCGAAGAAGACGAAGAAGAAGGAGAAGAAGACGACAATGACTACTCCTCCTCGTCCGTTCGTAACCCAACCCGCGAAGGCCTCCTCTGTACCGTAACTGCCTTCGCCCTCCTCGCGGGCCAAGACGCCCACAACGCGCGCGCCGACCTGCACCTTGACCTCTCCTTCTTCACGACGCACCTCTTCCAGACCCTCTTCCCGCTCTCCCTCCACGCCGACCTCGAACTCGGCGCGAAATCCCTCCACCTGCCAGACCCGGACTCTTCAGCTCCCCACCCCGCCTCCTCCACCGCTCGCAACCGGGTCAACCTCCACACCACTACGGTTCTGCTGATCAGGTGCCTGACTTCCATCCTCATCCCGCCGTGGAACATTCGTTCCGTGCCGCCTTTGCGGCTCGCGGCGTTCACGAAACAGCTCATGACAGCATCGCTGCACATGCCCGAGAAGTCGACGCAGGCGGTGCTTGCGCTGCTTGCTGACGTGGGCGGCACTCACGGACGCAAGATTTCGGCTTTGTGGAACACTGAGGAGCGGAAGGGTGACGGGATGTTTAATCCTATGAGCGATAGCGTCGAGGCGAGCAACCCGTTCGCAACCACGGTGTGGGAGGGCGAGATTTTAAGGAAGCATTATTGTCCCAAGGTACGGGAGGGGGTTAAGATTGTGGAGAAGGCTATGGTCCATGGACGGTAGATGGGCAGATGGAAGATAGAAATAAAACCTTGAGGAAATTATCCTTCAATATCGGATCAATTACATGATCTTTCCGATGCGTACCTATTGCACTGAAGCTACGTTGAAATTTATCAAGCCACAAGAAGACCACTACTTTTGGTCAACCATCATCTACTAAACTATATCCTATAACAGGTTATCCTGCAAGAACAAACCACCTACACACAAAGAAGGGAAATAAATTAAACCAATGGGCCAATATTGCAGGGGCAACCTTCGTGTTGTCTAAGAAAGTAGAGGAGCATCTAGACATGTTGACCAGACCACTCCGTATATCTTCCTTTAGGAGTAACAATGAGGTAAGTCATTAGTTTTCCTAGCATCGTACTCTCAAATACAAAGATAAGTTCCAAGCCTTGCTGCATTACGACACCCCATGCCACTTTCCATTTCGATTCCTCCATTCCATAGCCGGATCATGTCAAATATTGGGGGAAAGAGGTTTGAGATGTGCCTGAGACAGCCATTTCCCAGATGAGTTCTTCCTACAGGTGAATGGCTGCCGTTTGCGAAACTTGGTCAGGAAGTACAGTCAGAGATGCCAACCACCTTGACGTCTAACGCCGTTGAAATGCATCAGGGAAGTCGTGAGATACTCTATGTTGCTGATAGAGACCATTGGTTGTTGGTATAAATGGTAATAAAGAGGTGTGCAACCTCGGCAAGTGACAATAGCCACGCATCGGTAGCCAAATACAGTGTATAGCGGCTTAGGACCATGCGATGGACACCTGTCAACAACGATGTGCCAAGAACAATTATGTCCAGGTTGGGCAAATCGATCACCATGCCGAGCGCGGCGAGTTTTCGTCAATCAACATCCACTATTTTAGAGGAAAAACCACGGACTGCACTATAATGATAAGGCTGAATTCTGTCGGGAAATTTGGGATCGATCGTTGCAGGGTAGTATTTCTGGATGAATTCTCCCTGCGGTCCTGGAATAACGGAAAGTTAGTATGCAATCTTTGTCTGAAACATATCGCAGCGTATTGTGATAAGATACCTGACTGTGTATGATGCAAAGTAGAGCACTTTGTGGGCATCAAACATGCTTCGCTCGTTACTTCTGTAGACGAAATTGCCCGGAGTTTGCCACTATACCGCTTAGCGAAGACCTGGGTAACTTTGCAGTGACTGCGTTGTACAGGGGGTGGTGAAACGAGTGCGCAAACAATTATTTTCATCGAGAAATGGTCCACACTCGCATTGGTGACAGTCGTAATAACAGCATCAGCTCGCGAATTGTCGAGTTATCGAGACCCAGTTGGGAGACTGCTCTGCGAGATGGCAGATAATTGCTGCAATATGGGAAAGGATTTAAGAAACGAATCCGCCATAGTGAACAGCAGCACCTCTTCTTGTCTAAGTGGACGATAGGCTCAGAAAAAATAGCGTCAATGTGCAAGAATGTCGAAGATGTGTCGAGTCCAACATGGTAGTCATGATGGTGCCCAGGATTGGGCACCCATGTCAGAATGTCCAACCTTGGCCGACAGGAAGAGATAGCTTTTCGTTTTCTGGGGTTTCTTGGGTTTTCGACTTGTCCTCCATGAAGAACAGAATTGCTCCGATACGTCTCACTATGTTGGTTTGACTCGAGGTTATCGAAGGCAGCGTCTGGTGGATCAATGGCATATGATCCGTCAGGTTTCAGGAACGCACTGTGGCCTAAGCCCAGCGAGAGCCACCAAGTCCCCCTTTAGCCTTAGTCTTAGGAGAGTAACCTCCGAGTTGATCGATGTGAGCTGGAAGAGGCAACGGCTGGGCAATGTATGCCGGGGTCCATGACGGCAAGCGCTCCTGGAAGAAAACATTAGTGTGAGCGGCTTAGTAAATAAGACATCGAGGAGGGCCTACCGGGTAGTCAGATGGGCCTCGCAAATTATTTGCAGGGGCTGCCGGGCCTGCATTCTTCCCTCGAGTGTCTTCTAGGGTGCCGTGGCGACTCTGACTGGCTGTGATACCAAGTCGGCCGTCGTCATCCATCTCGATGTCCTGGCTAGATTCGCTGTTTGTCTCAGAGAGCTTCTGCCTGTTCCCAGTGTATGCCATCACGGGGTGATCAGCCATGAGTGGATCATCTCTCATGTTGTCAAGGAGGGTTACACTCGCGGTAGTAGTGGTGGCAGGGGTCTCGTTTGGAACGTCCATGACTGCCTCAACAGTCATGAGTCGGTCTCCTACGTTCGCATCGTGGGGGTAAGTATGCAGTTGATGGAAGGCAAGAGAAGGAACTCGTGAGTACTTCACGACATCGACATTGGCATTGGTGAGAGGCTGCCGGTTTGTCTCAGAGAAGCGGCTGGCGCCGAGACCGCCATTGAGACAGCCTTCCTGGCTTCTGACGTTGTGAGACAGCACTTTGTTCGATGTGACACCTTGCGTCTGAAAGGGACTCTCTCTGCGTCGAGGTCTCTTGGCAGAATCATCATACTCGGCGGATGCTGATCGCTTGATAACGTCATGCTGAACAGATTCATGGGTATACGGGGGAGGCGACGGCGGAGCACCGAAACCCTGAAGTCTCGGCCAACTGGAGACGGTGTCATAATTGGCGTCAGTCATGTTGGTAGTTGATGTCGGTGACGAGGCATTGTACAAGGACTGTGCCATACGACCTTGGGATGGGCCACCGCGACCGGGCGCGGATCCAAATTCAGATGGTCCCGATGCGAGGGATTGAGGGTTGAAGTTCACACCAAAAGCAGCACTCGGATCACGAGGAGTGAAAGGATGAGACGGATTGCCGCGGCCGGACGAGAAACGGCCGGACCGAGAGGCAGAGTTACCACCGCGACGGGCTGTGGGCTTGTTGTTGTACTTGCCTCCTTGTCTATACTCCTCCATCACTAGACCAACTCAGTTAGTTTTTGTCACATTTGGGGGGCTAACAGGAAACCCGGGAGGCACAAGTTATATCTCAAGTGTGACAAGTCCTAGATAGCACTCCTAGGCAAAGATGGAACCAATAATTGTGGGATCTTCCTACTTTGGCGGGCGAGGTTGATATCACCGTATTCAGACATGGTGCCCATGGAGTGGCAACTTTCTGGGTGCTTACGACGATGGCGATGATTTACCGAGAATGTATAAGTTTCTGCAATTGTCAGTACTCGATGTAAATGAAGGCAGGATGAAGGAAATAAATATACATTATGCAACCAAGAACTAAGGTCGAAATAAACAAGGCCTCAAGCGGTAGAGTGGGATTAGCTGTCAATAAATGGGGTCTTGTTGGCGATAGGTCAGAGCAGATCTCTTGATCCAGTCAGTATGTCTGGATGATGCTTTGGGAGCTTTGTCAGTTGTCGATGGATGGACTTAGAAGACTGGTCAAGGGATATGGATCTTGCTGAGGGTGTTTACTGATCGCCAGTGCCTTACTCTATTCCCAAACAATGTGCCTTGTCAAGAACTTGAGATGATGGAAGGGATCAATAAATACTCAAGATCTAGTTGATCTTGAGTTAGATCAGATGTGTTTGCGTAGGCTGATGGTGAGGTGGAAGGATGGAGTGCGAAGTCAAGGTAGGAACAGTCGGCGTTTCTAGTTGAGAAAACACGAAAAACATGTGTTGCGACCAACCGCACCTACGGATTTTACTTCATCGTGTGAAAGAAGGCAGCATAGAGCCGGATTCTTGCTTGGCATGGCAACCGCAAGTTAGCCCCTGCTCTATTGCTCCTTCCTAATCGCAAACATGTACACCAAGGGTACATGGAAAGCGACGGAACACTTGCTAGAACGGCACATGAGAAAGCTGGAGATCAAAAAAAGCAACTGGGTTGGCTTTATCTACTCTCCCAGGGCTATATACTTGTATATATACCAGAAAGTCTAGTGTATCATGACGAGAAGAGGCTGCGAACTACCAGAGTACATGGAGTCACATAATAGTGAAATAACTCAAACACGTAAAGAAAACGACAATGCCGAGATCTTATCCACGATTCTCCATCTAAGACAGCCTTCATCACATCATGATATCGAAACTGAAAGAAGAACTCATAGGCTCCATGAATGTCTGCGAGTACCCAGGGAAATAAATGTATGCATATAAATGCAAGCCCGAGCCATTGTTTTTACACTGTTAACAGTCTCTCACAAGACTCCTGAGCTGAATTTACAGGCAGAGAAAAAGGGGCGACTGCCTAATCCAGCAGGTCTGACTTGTTTTTGTTGTTTTTGTTGATGGAAGTGCTAGCTAGTTAGAGATGAATCCGGTAGATGTAGTTCTGAGTGCCCCCTTTGGTTGATTGACATATCCTTTCATCTCGATTGCCTTCCCTGCCGTCTCTGGCCTACAAATGTCTGAATAGTTTCGATCTTCGTTTCCAAGTGCGCCGTCTTTTGAGCCTCCTTCAGCCAAGGTACATCAATGACAGGAACGTGTTCGCGGATGAAGTCAATGAGCGCCTTGGAGTTTGGAGCATCTTCACGGAGCCCTATGCAGGACGCGCATGGAATTCCAATGCACTCAGATAGCCGATCTTGGCAGGCTTTGGAGAGCCCAACTAGCCTCGTGGGAGGCCTCGAAGGATGGGTTTCTGAGGCCACAGCCACCATCTGTGGGAGGTGGTTGGTTAGAGTACTCGATTGGCCTGCCCGAGCCAAGAAGATTGCGGTATAGTAGAGGCCACTTGTTTTTTGAGCGGACGGTTCTAAGTCGGAAGCCGCCACCGGAGCTGACTTATCTCCTCCTGCGGCCATACTATGCAAATGGCGAGTGATTGCGGCGAGACCCACATCGACATATGTTGAAATCTCGGGAGCTGGCGGCGAAGTCGGTTCGGCTTCTGCTACCCCAGCCTCCCTGCGCTTGCGTTTACTAGCCCGCTTGCCCTTCGACGGCTGAATGTGCCGCGACCGGTATTGTCCCAGCGGAGAAAGAAGACTACATTTCAAGGTCAGCTTCGTAATATCGCTTGTTTGTTCATAGACCCGTAAGAGGCTGCGAGAGAAATGCTCCATCGTGCAATTGAGTTGGCACAACAGCAAGTGTAGATAACACGCAACTAGCCAGGCCCTGCAAAGTCAGACAAGGTTTGAATCACCTGCAGAGAAGCTCCAGGATCGTATCTTGATCTTCAGAAGTCACTTGTGGCCTGCCAAATTATGTCAGCATCACAGAATCATAGCGATTAGAATTCAGAAGCATTTACCAGAGAACTGCCGAGTAGGGCGTATCCAGTTGGAACACAAATTTCTTCTTTTCCATCTTCTTCTCGCGAATTTGGTTTAGGTGGCAGACTTGCAACGATTGGTGTTATCCGTCGGAAGGATCTCCGGGCTTGAAGAAGTCGCCCCTGGGACGCAACGGGCCTTCCTCCAGATGGCAAGTCTTTTGGCTCACTAAAGAGACAATGCAGCTAATCAAAGACCGGTTTGACACTTCTGAAAAGGGGAAATAATTCGTTTTGGCACCAAGTCGATTCATTCCCAGAAATCATAGGGTAGACTGGACCTTTCCATCAATTTTCATGCAGTTCTTTTCCAGGTATGCATGTAGGCGGATTCCTAGTAAACGCATGGGGCAAGATGGCCATAGCTTTTCTTCAAAGTGGATGCCAGCCAACTTGCCGAACAGCGACAATGAAGCTCCAACGTTCAACCACAATCAGCGAGCCGAAGACAGTCAGGTTGCAGAACTCAAAGTTGGGTTCCTGAAGTCGCTTGCTCTAGCATGTCATGAGATGTTGTTGACAAGATCCCAAAAGACACCTGAGACTGTGGCAATACTGTTGACTAATCGTGTGAATTGCCAGATGTCCTACCAGGATGAGGGTCAGCGAAGAAGGTTGATTATGTCTTGATGCTGTCAGACATTGGATAACAAGTCTTTTTTATTAGCACGTGTATGTTACTAAGTTCCAATTGCACTATGTATGCTGATACCTTTTGGTAGAATATATGTCTTGGTCCCATCGTCGGCCTCCGAGTTATGTCACAGGCAAAAAGAAAGCAGCCATGCTGGATAGATGCTGCCTGTCCTACTCTCCTTATCGCCTTCGTTTGAAATCTCATCATTCAACTTCAGAACTTCTACACATGCGGCTCCCACGAGCCGATGCCTATGAGTAGCTTGCTGGACTTTTGCGCAAGGGTGTTGACAAGGCTACCCCTGATTGGTTCAGTAGATCTACTAAGCTATCCGGAGAGCAAACCAACAATGAAACAACTGTAGGTAGGCACTTGAAGTTGGACCATCTCAAAGCCTCGGAGGGTAAACCAGAACCTTAATCATCCACCGCTGCGTATTGGGCATGGGACACCAAAGTTCACCGATTTTTGGTCACTAAGCAGCAGAAAAGCTTGCAAACGGTACAAAGTGGCCCGTAGAAGTCAATATGGGCTGAGGAAACTGGCTAACAGCCTGCGGCCTCCCAAGTTTCCTGACCTACCCTTGTCTAGATGTTTTAAGTCCGTATCTGAATGACGACCTAAGAGGTCCCCTTGTATCTCTCACTTGGACAACACTGTCGATCATTTCATTTACACCAATTTGCACCTTTTACAGTCACTTTGAGAGCTCGAGCAGACGTGTGCATCAACTTTGAGCCCCAGTTCTGTTCGGTGGGCCGACGTGTGTTTGGAGAAGGACATCCATTCATAGGGCTGGCCAGCTACCGCGGCCTGATATCTGCAAGAAACCCAAAAACCAACCAACCAACACTTGATGAACCAGAACTTCCGCTGGAGAATTTGAGGTCAACTGCGGAACCAACATCACATACCTGTGAGATACCTACAGACGGGTAAGTTCCCACTCAAGTTTCTCTTATTGGACAATTCTGGTCCTTGTTCTATTTTGCGACCAGCTCTCATGCAAGAACTTTGAGGAAGCTGCCCATCTTCAAGTGGACCTAGTAAGGCACGCAACCAGCCCCAAATCCAAATTCAATCTGAGTTCAAGAAGCAATACTGGCGGGTCCCGGGTAGTTCGCCCTGCCGTCCTGCTCACTCGAAAGCTGTGCACACCATTGCTAATGGCCTGAGTCCCTGAGTCCCCACTGGTGCTAATTCCTCACTGCTTCTTCAATCCCTGCCTGTTCTTTTTGGGCAGAGCTCAGGTTTGCTGCAGCTGCCTGCTCGAGCTTGCGCTGATCATTTGCACCTCGCGCTTTCCAACCAATTTATTGCAGCGTGCACCACACACGCGTGGCCAACCGCCAAGCATTATCTTCCACTTGAACCACCGTGACGTCGACACCCCCGACTGACGCTCAATGAAAAGCAGCAGTTCATGCAACACCAAAAATGACAACTAGATGTGGCCAGTGAACAGCTCTATACAGCATTTGAAGAAGGTCCAGACGTGACAACATCACTTTTTGTCACTGACGCTCTTCCCAGGTACGTCTTGCGCTGCATCTTTTGCCCTGAGAGATAAGACATTCACTATCACCAACTCCCTGATCTCCCGTTGTGTATGTACTTCCTTCTCCACACGCCCAATTCCCCCACCATGGATTAGCTCATGGTCACCACCAAAAAAGTACCCGTACCTATTTGGAGCTCATACCAAACTCCACGGTTTCCATCACCAAGCTCTTTGGATGTTTTATTCCACATTGCCAATATTGCCGGCTACCCTACAAAGAGAAAAGTCACGCTACCACTACTCTACTAAATCCTCGTTGTAATCTAATCTTCCCCATCCTTTCCCCCCCATCACCGTTTCGCAGCACCTATTCTTCCTCCCCCGCATATTCTACACCACCAATGCTAATAGTGCAGGCTGAGCCGCCGAGCTGTCTCGCGCGATCTCCCCAAGCTTCGAACATCTCTGAAGCCCGAAGACTTACAGCCAGATGGAACAAGATTCGAGATCCTCCGAGTCGCGAGAACGTGCTGTCTCTTCCGAGCCTAGTTCAACCCGACCCAATCCTTTCGACGACGGCGATCTCGCTGCCCGTAAACGCCGGCGTACTTCTCTGACGGGCTCTCGTAGTAGATCTGTTGAGACATTGACATCTCAAGACGAACGGCGTGGAGCCTCCGACTCCATGATGAAGCTGGACGCGCCAGATCCCGAGCCCGCTCCGCCGAGCACCCCTCCTCAATCTGAACCCACCATCGCAGAGCCTCATTCGAGCAAGGTCACGATCAACCTGCGGAATTTCGATAGCCTTGAGCCTACACCCACGTCGCCCCCTTCTCCCACTCCGGCTCGCTCACAGGACGATGATATCAAGGTCAGCGTCGAGGAGTCGGAAGTTGAGATGGTTCAGGCTACCCCTCCCCAGGTGATTCTGTCATCTTCACCTTCGAGTGCGCCCAGCCCTGAAGTTCCGGTCATATCTATTGATGATGACGATGAGGAAGAGCTGGACCTTGGAGCTGGCCACCCTGCCATTTCCATGATTGGAGGGGCTAGCAGCATCGACTTGAACAGCATCATGCAGGACTTTCCGTACCACGCTGCAGAGGAAACATATTACGATACTGTCGTACGCCTCGTGCAGTACTTCCAGCAACGTAAGTCCCACCACGAACATGGAGTATTTTATTCCCTAACCAAAGGCAGAACCCACAAGTCTTGACGATGTCCTTGCTCAAATGACGGCATGGTTCGACAAATACCTGTTCTGTGCCTGCGAGCCCGACATGTGCAAGGCCGCCGTCGAGTCCGTCTTCGAGAATAGGTCATTCTGGCTGTCGATGCCCGAGATATTCTGGCACGTATATCTTCGCAGGTAGGATGCACCGTCTCGGTCGAACCCGGTAGTTCGCAAGCTAATTAGCACTGTAGAAATACGCTCGCTAAGGCTAGAGATACCCGCGACCTTGCTGGTCAGTTGTTCGCGCAGCTTGCCAGGCTCTCAGCTCACTTTGTCGTCCTTGACATACTTGCACTCCAGCGCGTACTCGTAGACGAGGATTTTAAAGAGCTGTATCTCATGTCCCCCACATTTCTTATTTGTCTCGGCAACGTTACGCGAAAGGAAGAGAGCGAGCTATACAATGGCTATGCTGTGGAGACGGTCCCCGAAGTCACGGAATTGCTTCACATTTTCCAGAAGTTCCCAGGCGGATCCATGTCCAAGCTCTACCAACTGGCCGAGTTGCAGACTAGTCTCCTGAGTCGATTCCCCAGAGCCACGATGGATAACCTCATGGGCATTTGCAATATCGCAGATGGCATTATCCGGGATAGCTTCCAGCGCTTGAGCTCGTCCCCGGGGTTATCCCATTCTTTGGATGATCGTTCCAGAAAGAACTTGGTATGGGGCTTCAGACTTTTCAAGACGGCCTCGAGTGCCGTGGCCACCATAATGGACAAGTCCGTAAACCATCTATCAGGAGATTCGGCGCATGCCCTCATCCGCTTCTTGACGCCCATCTTCCTTTACAGCCTACAAGGAGATCACGAGGAAGCGGCTAAGCTTGTTCAAGAGCATCGGGCCAACCATCCAGAGGCCCCTCACAGCTGCACATACGATGCAATTTCGAATGAATGGCGGTTTGGGGTGTTGAGCAACCTGATTCGATCGCGCCAGATGCAGCTCCGGGTCGTCGCTGTTGGCTGCATGTCTAATGATCTTGTAGGCCTGTGGAAACGATGCAGCAACGCTGGTGAGGATAGTGCCCAATCAGAATACCTGCGCTACTTTGCGATATTCTTGACCAACACCGGACTTGTGGACTATATTCTTGGGCCCACCTGCCATCCTGAGATTACTCAAGAAAGTTCTAACATCATCGGCTTCCTGATGGTCACCAAGACTTACGCGCCTGCGCAAACTGATCTTTTCTGGCAAACAGTAACTTCGACGCAGGATCCGAGAATCGCCGAGGCTCTTACCCGCATGCTGGCAAAGATCCTTCACTTGATGTACCCGGACAGCTTGGCCTACTTGTGCGAGAAGCTGCATAGCCTGCCCATTGAAGCCTTCACTCCGCAAATGAGGGAGTTGTTTGATCAACTCGTCAAGGCCCTACATTCACGAATGGCCCTTAGCGGCCCAGCACATGAGTTTACCCCATATAGACTCTGTCTTCGGTTACTTCGAGAGTCCTCGGTCTACGGACAACAGGGCTTGATAGCTCACCCCGACGTTCATCAGTTTGCTATGGCGAAGATTAAGGAACTTCTTCAACTACCCGGCGGCATGAGTGCGGAGATTCGCTCAGACCTTCTCCGAAGCTGCATAAGCGACATCGAAGCCAAAACGACCACAACATCGGGCAGTCTATCCGGGTTGTACATGATGATTCGTCAATCGCTGGTGCGAGACCTCACCTCGCTGGTTACAGAATTCGATTTCGCCCGGCTACTGGTTGACGAGCTCGAGTCCACCATAGCGATTGCGCGGGGAGTCGGGTTTGTGCCTGTATTTGCAGCCCAGATCGGAAACGCGCGCCGTGAATTATTAGTCAACACCATTGTCAACCATGGTTCCACCATCAACTCCGACCAAGGGAAAAGGCTCTGGGATCTTCTTGTGGGTAACGGAGCTGCATGCCAAGACGACAGAAAGATGGCCTGGCAAGTTTTGAATACAGCAGTCAAACGGTCAGACTGTGAGAATGCGTTTCTACGCGCCTGCCTCCAGGAGTATCTTCTAGACCTACCACCTCGGTGCTATTGCGAGGGCGCCCTGGAGTTTGTCCGTGCAGAACTCCTGCCACTTGCAAATGACACAAACGGCATCTTATTTGAAGACGGCAGTGCCGAAGCAAGAGTCATAGAGCTTCTTTGGCAAATGATTCTGCGAGCCCCCGCCCAGACTATCGAATCCCAAGCGATACATACGTTGGTAAACGATGTCTACGTGGACAGCAAGTCGATTATGTCATTTCCACTGCATCGTGCACGAAAGGTACACTTTAGCGTCGTAAATCGATGCTTGCAGCAGTTAGAAGCGGCGGCTCAGAAGTTGAAAGCCTACGGCGATGATATAAGCAGCAGGGATGATGACTCGATGGTTATTGTCCCATCTGAAGAGCAGCAGAGAGAACAAGAACTGAAGTTCACCAGATCTCTTGCCGTCTTACGAGCGTTCCTACGAACCCTGCAAGGCAAGGCTCACTTTGCGGCTCCCGACCTGAGATCTCTGATGCTGCAGTCACCCGGGCCAGTGGAAGGCGAATCGGCCGAACTCAAATATCAGTCCTTCGATGGCGACAGCCAGACTGAAGTGAAGCCGCTGACCATTGGCCGAAGGAACACGGCCGCCGCATTGCTAGCGAGCCTCAGAGAGGCAACCGGATTTGACAATTACAGGATATTCTACCGTGGGGTTGCGCTTACGCCGTCCGAGGACCAAATTTGCAAGTCTTTAGAAGATCTGGATATCCACGATGGCTTAATCTTGGTCAAAAGAGAGATGGTGTCATCCCCAGTTAAGGTCAAACCGGGTGCATCTTCGCTCGAAATCGAGATATTGAGCCATTTCAAAGATTTGTGGGAATATCTGAGCATGGATGAAAAGCTGGCCAGAGAGGTAACACCTGGTTATTTATTAGACCTGTTCCTCGTCGCTAACTGCAATCATAGATCTACCACTTTCTCGTGAAACTTCCCGCGGACCAATCCATTCTAGAAGCCTTTGAGGCCAGTTCAACTTCGTATCGAGACATTTTCCCATTGGGTCAGCCGTTCAAGTCACTCTACGCTATCCACGCCCTGCGTGAATACCTGAGCACCCGACGCCTCAAGACTCAAGTCATGCAGGTCAGCATTCAGGACGCCGAGAGCCAGTACAAGACTGCGCTCGATCAGGAGGATGCAACCCTGAAGGCTATGTCTCTCCTCGTTGCCGCACTTTGCGACTCTGAAGTCGTTGACAGATGCTCCCATGAAACCTTGCAGGTCTTGCTCTGTGACCACCTCGTGGATAACTTTGTGCAGCTGCTCAAGGGTAGGATTCGATTCATTTTGGTCTTGACTTTGGGGACGCTAATATCTCGCCAGAAAATGCGAACAGCAACCCCTCTGTTGTCCCGTTTCTCACTGCAAAATTGCACGAGCGACTTCTAGCAATACTTGGAATCGGAGTAGCCGCGCAAACGTCGCCGCAAAGCCTCGAACTTATTAGTCTTTCATTTGAAGCAATGCTGGAATGCTGTACCAGGAGCCTTGACTTTTGGAATGTATTTCGGCAAACCCCGACCGTGAAGGCTGTAGTACAGCGTCTTCTGCTCACTGACGACAGATCGTTTGTTAGAAAAGCGGTCGCCAAACTGATGAGCAGCAAATGCTTTTACAATCATGGCCCTTCAGTAGTTCTCGCGGTTGATTTTGCTGAGCTCTTCTGGTCCATGATCTCCGAGATTATTCCACGTGCAGCGGCAGAGTCGAGCAAGTGTGAGGAAGTCTTCAACATGTCCTACTTGCTAATGAAGCACCTGGCCGAGGCAAATTCGCCGGCTCTTGATCTGCCAATGTGTCTCTCGCAATATGGGGAGCTCCTGCTCTCACACACGACCGTGGAAGATATATCTCGTTCGGATCGAATCGATGTCATCTCCCACGGCCTCATCTCGATGTTACACCACGGCATCAAGGTATCTTGTGCACGGAACGAGCCACTTCGATTTCCCCAAGGCTTTGCGCACAAACTATTTTTCAAGCATCTCTTTGCAGGCAATAGTGACAATGGACCACTCATACCGCAAATTCTATTGAATTCTCACGCCCGAAACATGCTGTGCGAGACCATTCTTGTTCTGGCTAAAACCACCCGCCGACAATACATCGAACTGCTGCAAGACGTAGAGAGCTTGACCACCCCGACGCGAGACCACCCTTACAAGTATGAACTGCCGCAACAATTCGACCGGACCAAAGTCGTCCGCTCACCCTGTGGTTATTCTGGCTTGCGGAACCTCTCCAACACCTGCTACCTCAACTCTCTGTTCACACAACTCTTCATGAATGTTGGCTTCCGACGGTTCATATTGGATACGCCATGTCCGAATCCAGACACACACCAGCTGCTTTATGAGACTCGAAACCTTTTTGCAACACTCCAGGATAGTGTCCGCAAATTTGTGGATCCCCAGATGTGTGTCGCGCAGATTATGACCTACGATGAAACGCCCATCGATATTCACAATCAGATGGATGTCGACGAGTTCTACAATTTACTCTTTGACCGGTGGGAGGCCCAGATGCCCACAGATATTGCCAAGAAGGCCTTGCGATCTATTTTTGGTGGTCAGCTGGTTCAACAGGTGAAGTCAAATGAGTGTGAGCACATCTCTGAGCGTATGGAGCCCTTCTCCGCGATTCAGTGCGACATTAAAGGCAAAGCTAGCCTGGAGGAAAGTCTCCAGGCATACGTCGATGGGGAAATCATGGAAGGAGATAACAAGTACAAGTGCGAAAGTTGTGATCGACATGTTGATGCCGTCAAAAGAGCTTGCCTCAAAGACGTTCCGGACAATCTTATCTTTCACCTGAAGAGATTTGATTTCAACCTTCGGACCCTCCAACGAAACAAGATCAACGACTACTTCCGCTTCCCAAACCAAATTGACATGCAACCGTACACTGTGGAGCATCTAAGCGATCCTTCGGGCACAGCTGAGCCCGACGTCTTTGAACTTGTCGGTGTTCTTGTCCACTCAGGAAACGCCGAGTCGGGCCACTACTACTCTTTTATTCGAGAACGCCCCAGCACCAGCGCTGCAGAAACATGGGTCGAGTTCAACGACGACGTGGTCAACTCTTGGGACCCTGCCCATATTGAGAGTGCTTGTTTCGGCGGGCCTGACTACCGCCAGTTTGACAATTCGGGCGTGTATGAGAAGGTCTACAGTGCATACATGCTGTTCTACCAAAGGTCATCGTGTTTGGAGAACGAGCAAGAAATGCTGAACTCATCTGGCAGGCCGAGTCCTCTTCGATTCAACCTCCCATCGGATCTACAGTACCAGGTGAAATCTGACAACTGGGCTCTTGTTCAACGACATGTTCTGTATGACCCTATTCATATTCCGTTTGTATATAAGGTTGTTTCCCAAGCCTGGGACAGCGAGCAGTGTTCGGAAAACCACCAGGTAGAGAACCTGGCCTTACAAGCGGCACTTGGTCATCTCGATCAAGTTGCTTCACGATCCAAGGACACTCCAGATTTCGAAGGGCTCTACAGACTGCTCGTCCGAGTTTGCCGGCGGTGCCCGCGATGCTGCTTCACCCTGACGGATTATTTCACGACGCATGAAGAACCACTACGTATGCTACTGCAGAAGAACGCCGACGGAGTAATCCGTCAAGAGATGGGCAACATGCTCATTTTTGCGTTGAAGAACATTAGGACGCACTATCCAGAAGACTATGGTGTTCCTGATCCCGATGATGATGCTAGTCACGACTTCAAATTTCGGGAGCGGTGCCCTCTGACGAACATGGCAATTCTTTTTACGTTGCTCTGGGACACATTCCATACCAGTCTTCGCGCGTGGGGTGAGTACTTTGGTACGATGACCGACTTTGCTCAGCTCGGGAGACCTGAAGCTGTCGCCCTGTTGGACCAAGACTTCCTCTACAAGACTATCATGGTTATCGCTGCGGACCCAACATTCGACCTTGAGCCTCAATATGCGCGCATGCATACAACTATATCAAGGCGCATGGCTACAAGGCCCCCGAACTACGAGAATGTGATCGCCTTGATAGATACTCTCATGGATGTAATGGATCCTAAGCTGCACTTTGCCGAATTTTCCGATCTACGGTTGCCGCTGGCTCTTCAAGACGAGCCGGTGCCCTACAATGCTGCAGAGGTTAATCTTATCCACCGAGAATGGAATCGAAACGCGCAAGGTAGTGTCTTCGTGGAAAAGCTGATCCAAATCAATCAGAACCACGTATCAACTGACGCGATTCTTACTCGACTAATGGATTTCAGCCCCCAAATGGACCAACGCATTTTCCTGACGTTGCGGTTGGGCATCACGGGAGGTCTCGTCACTCATGCAATCGGACCCTATCTGCGCGCCGCTGCACACTACGTGCATCACAGCAGTAACGCAGAACACGTCGAGCGTCTCATCAAGCACGTGTGCAAACAATGCAAGAACATCCAGGGTCCAGATGGGGCGGACTTCTTCGAGTTCATCAAAGACACTTTCAGCTCTTCCCGACGGATACAGGAGGACTTTGAAAAGGTGGAGATAGAGAGCCTGGACCTCCTGCCCTCATGGGCCCCGGGTCTTCTCGGATACATCGACCACGCTGTCAGTTATGACGTGACACTGTTCTTGCGGCAACAGCTCTTCAGGGAGGGAGCCGTACCTGGCTCGGAAGAGGACGAACCGAGCCAAGAAAAGTGCCAGGCGATCAACAACGCAGCAAGACGGCTTGCAATCGAGTGTCTGTTGTATCTGCAAGACACATACGTCCGCCGCGGGGTGCAAGCACCGAAGGACACGGTGCTCCCTCTCACCCAGGTAATCAAGATGTGCGGCAACTTCTTCAATACCGACGAGGGCAGAGATGATGGCATGCGTGTGCAGTATGAGGGACTCTGTCAAGGTATTGTATCCTTAGTGCACACATTTAATGAAGATGCGACTGACAGATGAGCAGCTGTGAACGAGCCCATGACACGGCTCATGGTGGACGAAATTGAAGAGGACGGTTCCGGTATGTGGAGCGACTCTTCCTCTGCAACCGTTGACGATGAGCTGATCGACTGAAGACTGGGACAATTCCATTGGTTCATCGGAACAGATGGACAGTCTGGCCGATCTGAGTATGCAAGCCACTTGTGATGTCAATGACCGGGATCTACCGTGACGCAAATTTATGTGCCAAGTTCAACTTGACTTGCGCTTGAGACACGATACAGCTCTCAAATGACCTCGTCACGCATATTCCGAGTCGGGAAATGATGGGACTGACTGAATGCTTTCGTATGATGGAATGATGCATAGCAAGGGCGTGCCAGGCGTCTAAAGTTAGGAAAGGGGGAACACGTTGTTTGGCTCTCATGGTTCTATCTCTCTTCCGTGCTTAGATGGTCAGCCAGCTGGATCGAAGAATAGGCTGGCGGCTTTATTGTACGAGTTATTTGTTGCATAGGGAACGAATTGGTCTCGGGGCGAGAACCAGACAGGTCTGTCCGAGAGTAAGTGTGGATCAAGGATTTGCCACTTTGCTCAGTTTGAGCATATGATACACCCACGGTCTTTAATTAGACAGCATGATAATGAACAGCACGATGTGATTTTGATGTAGACTGGTATGGTTGGCTAGGGCCTGACGTGACGTCTGATGGAAAGAAGATTGGTTTGCTGGCGGCGCGAAAAGTTTGGACTTTTAGAACGAGGAGTTGAATTTCCCAGGGGCCTTGATGCTAAGAATATCAACAAGAATCGTCAAAGAAACTGCAATAGCTCATTTTACTTACGATTCGGGACGATAATAATAACGAGCGACGCCGGTGAAGTTCTACATTACCGCTCAGGCTAGTTCTAAATTGTAATGCACACGAGAGCATTCGCACACCGCGGAAAGGAGCGAGGCGATTGGCCACGGAGGGATAGAAATATATAAAAAGCTCTGACAGGGCCCAGAAAGCTCTCTGTGTGTGGTATTGAGAGTGCCGATTGGTTGTGACGGCCATGCCGAAGTGCGGGAGTGCGGACGGGAGTATGCGGATGCCGGGCCTGGCCTCGTGGGCAAACCAAGGAACGGACGAGTGTGATCGCATGGAGAAGAGCGCCAGCGGCGACGATGATTGGAGACGGGCCGGCGACTAAAAATGTATGTTCAAATGGGAGACTCATCACACCATTATCTGAAAATGGAAATTGTCGAGCCAATCTCGCCGAACCTTGATTCGGCCAGAGGAGCGGGCTGGACTTGTCTGTCATCATCCCGTCTGTTGGCGGCCTATTTTTGTCCTTGCGGCTGTTGGTCTAGGCAAAGTCCAGTCTAGCTACGATCATGGACATGGGTAAGACCTGACTAGCACCGCAGCAAATCCGCAGCCCGGCACCTATTTTCGATCGTTAAGCGCCCAATCTGCGGGGAAACAGGCACACCTATCACAGGTCACTGTCCAGTCAGCAGCTGCTTCCCCTTCAGTCGATGTCGCCGCCCGGCCCAAGCCTGGAATTCAGCACGTTTTGCTCGAGTCATCATCACGAACTCTACACATCGCTCTCCTTTTCTGGCCAAGGGGAGGGAGCTTCATCTGAGGGCTGACAGGGCTGTTCCCGTTCCAGGCCTCCGTCACGCAACGCCAGCCCCTACCACCGCTGCAACGCAGGTGTCGTCTACTTGGTACCCGCAGGTCAGATGAAACTTAGCGCGAGAATCTGGGCCTTGCCGTTCTGAGATGCACCGACGCATCGTGGAATAGAAACAGAAACGAAGTACGTACTCGCTCGCCGCAGGTAGGCCGCATGTAGACTAGGTGTGGGGCCCACCCCATGGACATGTCCTAGGGTTTGGCATGTTTCAATTATTTTAGGTACCAGTCGGGCGGTTATGAAACGCCAAGGTGGTAATCACCTTCGAAACATCAGACACGCAGTATTCCCCCGTCTGACGCTTTAGCGCAGATCGGTTGCTGTTGTTTCGACCCGTTCGTAGGCATTTCGGTTTCGATATATCTATCCTGGGTCTCACTCGACTCCAGCAATTGTCTTAAATTATCCTGGACAGTAGATCACCAGCAACAACCAACACAAGACGGGACACAGGACATCCGGTCTATTCTCAAAACTCCCACGTCTCCACAGCCTCCTTCAACACCGTCTTTCTCTAGTTTCTTTGACAGCTTTTATTGCTACCCATCATGTCGTCTCTTCTGAAGCAGCGCATATCGTCGCCGCTCGAGGCCGGCACATCCATCCTGGACTCGCAAAATCTGCCTTCCCATCTTACACAAGCCCTCGAGTACGCCTCCAAGAGGCTCACCCGGAGGGCACTGCACATCACCTTGGTCATCGTGCGCAAGGAATACCAACTCCCCTCATCAACACCACCATGCGCGACGCCCACCTCCGTCGCCTCAACCCCAGCGTCGCCCGAGTTTTCCATGGGCGCCATCTCCCCATCTCGATTCGCCTCCCCGGTCGTCGGATTCAGGTCACTCATCCGCAGGGGCACTAACAGCTCCATGGCATCCATGGCGTCCATGGCGAGCATCTCCACCACAGCCTCCGATTCATCCTACTGCAGGAGCGCAGCAGTATCACCGACCTTCACAGACTCTTTCGCCAGCCCTGCTCCCATGACCCCCATGACGCCATGCACACCCGCTTCAGTAGCAACAATCAGCACCGTCAGTTCAACTGCTTCCAATGCTTCTGCAGGGGGGCCCAGCCCCTTTGGCATCCGACTCATCTACACCACTCCCCTCTCTGCCAAGGACGAGAAGATACTTCGATCCACCATCATGAAAGCCGAGCGCAAGTTCCGCATCGGAACAGGCTGGTTGCCACCTGCAGCTACCGCTTCCGCCTGTGGCCTCAACGCGGACTTGGTCCGTCGCAGTATCCTGCAGAACGAAGTCTTGTTCTCCTCCGAGGGTCTGACACTGCTGGGGCTAGATAGACTATACACGTTCAAGTCTGCGCTCGCAGCCTACGCGCGAACAACTCTTCCGCCGTCTTCGCTCTCGTCCCCCATTTCGGATAGCACACGCATCGAGGACGCGGTTGATGAGTTACGGCGACTGGTGCTGGCCAATGGTGGACGACAAGTCGCAAAGTCCGACTTACACCGCTCATATGAATGGATCGGAGTCTCGGCCAGCGCGCTTGGGGACGTCGAGCGCATGTACCGCCGGGCCTACGGCGGCCTGGACCGGAGCGGCGCATTTGAACTCACACCCGAGGAGAGAGAACGAGAACGAGAAGTCAGGATGGTAGTCAAAATCGGTACACCCCCGCCAGCAAGGACACCAGTCGCCAGGACACCAGTCCTTAAGCTGCAAACATCCTTCAGCCATAACACGGAAAGCGTCCTGCCTGCCGTTATGCGACCAGTGCCTGTCAAGGCCAAGACGCGGGAGGAGCCCGCCAAGGCATCAAAGGACGAATTCATGGACCTGGAAATCAGCCTCGACGGCCTTACACTGGATATCCCCACCGGAAACGATAGGTTCCAACGCGACGAGGAAGACGGCGACGTCACTGCACGCCCGATTCCCGGCCAACCGTTCTGGAACGGCCTTGGCGCGTCCATTGATGAGATGATGCTGCAGGACGAGGGTCTCCTAGCACCTGGGAGCAACCGGGCGTCCCGATTGACGATACAGCGCCTTGGGCCCATGACGCCTAATGGGTATGATGACATCTCGCCCGTCACGCGGGGCGAGTGGGGGTTTTTGTTTTCGGGGGACAGTTGGAAGGGGGGGAAGACGGCTGTGGTGGAGACTTGTTGAAAATGAGGAAATACGAAGTCGAAAAGAGGAAAAAAAGAAAAGAAAAGATGTTTACTACTCCAAGAGCGATCTTGCTACGATATTATGAGGGAAGATAAATGGCCACCCCTAGAATTTGGATAGCCATGTAACAACACCATACCTTTTCTTGCATATATAGTTTCTTCACCGAGATATCCCATAATTTCGATTCGTTTTCGATAACTCATCGTCGTTTACTTACTGTTTGCTTACTCTCTCCAGACTGTGTACGAAAGGCTGGTATTTGTTGGCCTTGGAGTTGGGAACCTCGGTAGTAAACACATGCCATGCCTTTCTGATCCATCCTACACGTCGTGTTATGTGGGGATGCTTGCGAACACATCCTTGTAGGCGTTCGCGAGGTTTGAACCAAATCGCAGGTAGGTCATCTGGGAGAGGGGTGTCTCAGGTTTGCCAGCTCCCGCAAATCAAGCGAATTCTTTCTTGAACGGATTATGGCCCTGTCTGTCTTCGGGTTCTACTCGTTCGCGATATGCCATCCAATACCAACAGGCAATCCAGCACATACCCCCAGCTTCTATACCATGCCATGCCGCAACGTGGTCAATCACCTCACCTCCATCCATATTTGGCCCCTGCCTCATTCCGATTATTCCTCCCCTGAGCAAAGCTCTCCTCAAGCGCCTCGCGTTGATTCTGCACCTGGTTGACCAGCTGGCGGAGGTTATGCTTGCCTGGTGCGATGGCCCGCACCGGGTTGTGTATTTGTTGCTCGCCTGCCGCCCGCAACTCCTCGTTGTGCTTGTACTCGTCGTCTGTGTTAAAATTGATGACGCGGGCGGCGGATTGCGCCGAGCCGGGCGCACCACGACGCCCGAAGAGCTCCCGTCGCGCCGTTGCGGAGAGGTTCATGCTTGAGGCTATTGAGTCGAGGGATTCGTCTGTGGAGGCGGTGGGTTGGAGTTGGGATTGCGAGTGGGAATAACTGCTGGCGAATTGGGCGTCGTAGTCGGCAAAGGAGTCATGTTGGCCTGATGAGGTTGGGAACATGGGCTCGTAGGTACCGTTGGAAGGGCTGGGGTCTATGGGTGTGGGCTCGGATGGCTCGTCGGAGATGGAGAAGAGTGATACTTTCTTCTTAGCAAGTTCCTCCATTGGCGATTCTGGTTGTGATACTGGCATAGTAGCTGGTGTACTTGATTTAGGCGGCGCCTTGACAACTGATGTTGCTTTCTTCTTCGCCGGTTTCCGGGACACTGACAGTGGTTTGAACATCAGGGGCTTGCCGACTAGTTTAACCTCGTCTGCGGGCTTCTGCCCCTCTGGTATTGACGGTTGTTGCGCGGGTTGTCCATTCAGTGACTCCCCATCCATGCCATCTTCGTCGTTATTCCTGCTGAATCCAGGGGCTGCCCCAGTTTTCAAGTTGACGCCCGGCCTCGGCGCATTCTTGCCACTGCTGCTGGCTGTCGCGGGTTTTCCAGCATTCTTTGGCGCGGGGAGTAGAGAGTTGAAACCACTGAAGGCTCCTCCGGCGGTTCGCTTACGCTTTGCTGGAGGCTCTTCGCCGGCTTTTGGTGTCGCTTTCTCTAGTACTGATCTGCCAGATAGGTTGACGAGGATCTTACGCGGGTTGGCGCGGTCAACTACCTTTTGAATCGGCTTCTTTGCAGTTGTCGCTGATGCCGTTGGGGCTTGAGGAGTTGGCTCTGGCTTTAAAACGGTTTCAGAGTCTGACTCAGAGTCTGAATAGTCGACTAATGCCATGTTGAACAGTGCGAGAGTCCTTGAGGAGCTGGAGAAGTTGCATGTAGGCTGGAAGATGTTAGTCTCAATACTTGATATCCAGCATCTGGGTTCTTGCCAGCCGCGACTCCTTAATGAAACCTAGCTCCAGGCGGAAATGCCCCGCGTTCTGGTTTATGTACACAGGTCCGTGCGCCGTGGGTTCGCTCCGTAGTTTCCACCATAGATGCTCCTGCAAGGCTGGCTGCTGGAGGGCACTCAAGCTAACTTCGCTTACCCAAGGTTGTTTCACCGTCTGCCCGAAGCCGCCGTCTTGCGACCGATGTTATTCACGATGCGTTGCTCTTGTTATTTGGCTTGAAGGCATTTCATGGACTCTGGAACTTATAGAGCCTTTCTGGGCACTATTCAACTGATTGCCATTCTGACAAAGCCCACCGACCTCCCCGCGCACGGCCGGATCACAACCGATGTGCCCATTGGCACTCTTGGCCAGTAAGAGCGATCAAGGTGGACAAGAAGCTGCAAAGACAAGTCAATCGGGGCTTACTTGGAGTCAGAATAGCTACAACACTTTATAACAACTCTAAGAAGTGTCGTTATAGTCAGAATTGTGGGAACTTGAGCCACGGTGCCACGGTTTGTGAATCCAACGGCCAATCACGCACAACGGTGCGGGTGCAGCTCAGTTCACCATTGCGCCGGCCGCCCACAACAGTATACAACTGATCAACGGAAGCCACTGGGGGGCACCATAACGGCACAGTTGGGAGATAGCCTAGGGTTTGCAGGAGCAGCTGACGGGCACATTCACATAGTCCCCTGGGAGACTACGAAGAAGTCGCCATGTCTCTCATTCAAGTTGAAGAGTATGTTTGCAACTCCAGTCATGGTTGCTGCTAGTTGCTGACGCTCTTTTGACTCAGTCTGGTTTCTTACCAACTTCGCACTAGCTACCTCATCGAGGTCGCTGATGGAGTTGGGGAGAGACTCCTCACTTTGAATGACAGCTTTCTCAATACTGCCCCTTTTAAAAATGCTGGCTGGCGCTCAAACCCTGCTTCTATAAAGCGAACGCATTCGCCGCCCATTCCAACTGCAATCGCCTCTGAGTACTTTCAGGCCCCCCTTCGATCACAAGGTCTTACCCTTGAAGATGAGGCGGAAGAGGGTGGCATGCTCACCGGGGGTGGGGCCGATACTACTGGGCCAGGCATTGCTATGAGACGGCGCAGAGAACGACGTCGAGAGCAGATGGAGGAAGACGACAGCAGTGATCTCAGCGATGAAAGTGACGAGGACGCGGACCAAAGAGCAGCGCAGCAGATACGGTTCGCAAAGATGCCGGTCAGAAACCGCTCTGGGTCTTCTCCCATCCAGTCGTCCAACCTACGTCAGGCAGGGGGAGTGTCGTCTCCCCGAGCTGCTCCAGGTGCTCGACGAGGGTCGCAGTCTGCGCTGGAAACAGTGAAAGAAAGGGCACGGCGAGACACAGTCACTAGTAGTGAATTGTCCTCCGAGAACGAGTTTGACGCCTCGGGTTTTCACAGGCAGAGGGAGGCTGCTAAGGCTGCTACAAAGGCCACCAAACTCCAAGCTCAGATTGCGGAGGAAGAGCCAGGCCAGGGCGTTAAGCGTGTCGAGAGTGACCTTCTTGCTGAGGAAGAAGACTCTGACATATCGGATACATCTTCCTTTGTCGAGAGTGTCGACTCAGCTTCCATTCTAGCAGATGTGGATAATGCGGTTGTGCCTGCCGACCCCGGACAGCAACTCGTCGGGACTCCTCCGAAACAGCTTCTACGGCAATCAACCGTTAGGAAACCCCAGCCTCCTTCTCAGCCGCAAGTGTTGCAAGCACTCCCACCTCCGAGACCCATGAGCATAATTCGGCCTCTGAGCATGATACAGCCCAGAAGTTTGTTGTCAGATGCGTTCAAGGCCAAGAAAACAAAGCCCGCCATGCCTTTCGAAAGGTTTGCTTCGCTATCTGGCCAAGGCGAGTCAGACCGGCTGGCACTACGAATATATATGCCCCACTGCGAATCATCATCCAAGCCTTTCGAGGTTCTCATGAGACGGCATGTTCAAGAAGAAGATGGCACTTTTAGGCCAGTCACCGTGGCGGATCTAATCGGGTTGAGTTTGTGGAGGTACCATGAAGAAAAGCTGGAACCCCCTATACCCAGCGACAAAATGAAGGTCAACTGGTGGACTTTGAGGATAATGGATGGAGACGAAGTTGACGATGACTTTCCGCCCTTGGAACGCAGGAAAGCCCTCACCTCCTTCACCATGGCCAACAATAAAGCAAGAGGCCGCCCCGCGCATGACGACTTTGCCGTGGTCGAAGCATCCGAGGAAGGATTTCAAGAAAACCAGAGTCTCACGCCTGAGTTTGAGCTCCAAGAGGTGGCCGAAGATACCGCTGATGAAGCAGAGGTAACACCGCGAAACACCCCTCAGCCAGGTCCGCCTCTTATTGCTCCTACATCAACTCGAAAGAACCCGATCATCAACACTACGTACCGGCCAGACTTGGCCCTGGCAGACAAACCAACATCCCAACCCCCGCCTGCGCCTGCGGCTACAAAAGCTCGGGGTCAACAGAAGCTTCTAAAAGTTCATATTCACTCGGCCGATGTCGCCCCTGGCCAAATGGTTACCCTAGACGTCACGACCGACACCTATCTTGCCGAAGTGCTGGACATGGTGTGTAAAAAACGGCAGCTGGATACGAATACCCACGTCCTCAAGCTCCCAGGATCCGGGGCTGTGGTATTCGTAGACCGTACAGTATCCTCAATCGGCAATGTGACGGATCTGGAGCTTCATCGTCGCCGATTTGCTACAGATGGGCCCCTGGCCATGACTGGATCGCCGAGTAGTTCGTCCCCGAAGACACACATTTGGGACGCTGCTATAGCAGCTCAGAAGAAAAAGAAGGACAAGGCCGGTGCACCTCACCCGCTTGCCCAGATCCAAATGGCCGTGAAGCTGGACGAAATTGGCAGTAGTAATGCATACAAGAAATACACGGTTTGGCGAAAGCAGCCTATGCGATTTGTTGGTATGAATGAGCGGATTCTCGCCATCGACGGCGAGTATGTCTATATCCAGCCCTCGTCAGGGGGCAAGGTGGCCCGAGAAAGTGGCAAGACGACGACTGTGCATTTCAGCAACGTTGTGGGATGCAGTATTTCGCGCAGGCATCCGACATACTTCAAGGTAGTTCAAGTTTACTTCTCCGTCATTCATGAAACAGAAACTGACCCAAGTGCACAGTTGCTTGTATTCAAAGCCAACGAGAGCAAGCGGTATGATTTCGAATCCAAAAGTGCAGATGAAGCAGCAGAGATCGTGACCGAGATCAATAAAGGGATCTCGCCTTATAACAAGGACATATAGAGGTGCGCTTGTGCCATAGGAGCCTGCCTTGCGTTGCTGGCAGGTGTTGCCGCAGGGCAGCCGCATACCAGAACTCCAGCTGTCACGGATAAAGCGACGAAAGCTAACAAATGACTGGCCCTAGTCGCAAGGAACAAGATGTCCGTTGCTAGCGGCGAGGTTGTGTATGTGACAGGTCACCATAGCTGAGGTTCAATCACGAATTGGCCGCTACGGTGGCCACCCACGGCGAGTCTGCGATGAGCGACGGAGAATGATTCAAGTTGGACCAGGAGGCGATGCATCGGCCCGTCTGGTGATATCAGTTTGCACGACGGATCAAACAGGGGGGGCCGGGCGAAGGGACGAACAGGAGCAACTAGGAGTCGAGTCGGTAGTCGTGGAAATCAGCCTTCCTGGGACATGGCAGAACGACTTGCTTGTACGCAGGGCAATAGAAGAGCAGCGGTATGATGGATCACGGCATATGTTGGAATCGACCAAGCCAGCTATGCTGCAAGGGTAATACTTGATCTTGAAACGCAGTTACACGCGAGGAATACTACTGGGGGTTCACATCGATCAATGTACGACGGGTGTAACGCCGCAAACAAGCAGCCAAACGGATCGCGGCAGATTTGAGATTCAATTGCTGGGAATTCATCAGCACAGAAGGCGGTCAAATCGGCTGGAGTGAACTGAATTGGCCATCAATCAGCTCAAGTGGCAGGAATTAATACTTGTTTAGGAAAGCGCAACGTCGTTGCTGCCCCAGCTGCTGCCCCTTCCCGCGCAATCAGCCAACAAGCCTGGACCACTACTTATTCACCTCCCGCCTCCATTCACCACCATCTTTTTCACCTCTCTTCTTCAAAACCACAACATTCCTTTCGACTCTGCATTTTTCACCTCGATCATCCTCTCTACCTCAATACATCTCTACAGCATCCTTGATAAATCATCAATCCTGCTCAAGCATCCCACACCTTCATCCCTACACCGCCAGGACCACCTCACCCGTCAAGATGCAGATCAAGTTTGTCATCGTCATGGCTATGGCCACCCTCGGCATGGTAAGTTGCTGCTCTACTTGGCCTCAACTCTCTCCTCCCATCATCGCACCTTCTCGTCCTCCATTTTACCCGCCTCGTCTGTCCCAGTCGCGGTCGTGTCGCAAGCAACAAATCACTTCCTCACATGTCACCCACGCCTTGTCGCCCAGCATACTGACCTTGATTTTCTTTTCGACAGGCTGGCTTCCAAGTCAAGGTCGTCGAGCAGGCCAACGAGTCGTGCGGCTGTACCGTCACCGTCACTCCCACTTGTTCGTCAGTCGTGGTTCCTGGTTTGCCCACCGCCGAGTCGACTACCCCCGTTGTTCCCACCACCGAGACCTCAACTGCTGTCATCCCCACCACCACCACCACCTCGGTTCCCGCCACCGGCGCTGGTGCCTCATCGACTCCGGTCTACTCGGTTCCCTCGCTTAGCACCACTGGCGAGACTACACCCGTCACCACCGGAGCTACTGGCATCACTGGTTCCTCTGCCACGGTTGTTTCCACCTACATTTCCACCCCGGCTACTTCGCCCGGAGCGGGAACCACTGCCCCGTCTCCCAGCGCTCCCGGAACCACTGCCGGTGCTGGTGCAGCTGCTCGCCCCACTGGCGTTCTCGTCATCGGTGCTCTGCTTGCTGGAGGTGCCCTCTACGCCAACATCTAAGCAAGGCAGGTACCATTCAATCTCACGTTTGGTCCCTGGGTCATTGTGGGAGGAGTCTACTTCTGATGGATGGTTAGGTTGGTGGAGCAGTAATGAGACATGAGCTGCAAGATATGGTCTTGAGGCGTTCGTTGCATAGGGAAAATGGTCATGCTTGGACTTGAGTGTTCCTTATAGGACGGGAACTTAGTCAGACTCATCCCATAGCAACTAATTGATATGGTTCTTCGCGACACAAACTGTATTTCGTTGTCATGGTGAGAATTTCCACGCTTGTCTGGTCTCCTTGATGGTGAAGTGATCGGGCGATAGTCTCGCCTTCGCCTAGTCCATTAGGCCAAGGCTTGACCCACCTGGCCAAAATCGCCATTGAGGTTTCTCTCATCTTCATGGCGTACTTTTAGTGACGCGTCTCGATGCTATCGCGAAACCACTTGGCACTCACATCGTCTTCACACCTTCGATGCTGGTCAGTCCAGAGCATCTACGTACAAGTGTCATTTGTTATCTTGCCATCAATAAATGGCCGTCTTCTAACAAACCGTGTCTATTGATTCATAACGGTTGACGTTGTCGGTAATTCATGATATGCCGGCTCCAGGCAAACCAACGACTCCTGACGCAACACCAGTCACTACTTCGCAAGCGGCCCACGATGTAACGACAGCAAACCAGCCACCCCCAAAGGAAATTTTTTGAATAATGCTTGGCACGGCCACGTACATGGTGCGTGATCTGGTGATACGGTGCTGCGGATATATACACCTATGTTTCAAGCTGTATCGGCTCCAGGCGACCTTCCCATTGGCCTCTGGTTGTTCGGCGGGCTGGCCTGGCGGGTATATTTCCCGCGCCCATTCACTCCGTCTTCGAGCGTATCACTCACGATTTGAAAGTGCATATATACATAGTTTATTTTGGCACACGTAGCCGCCACCGCCGGCGGCGACGGTCTGTCCCTGGTTGCCAACGATGTCGTTTCGTGCAATATTCTCCCAACTTGCCCTGGTTACTTCCTTTGACTGGTTTGGTGGAGTTATGGATGACGGTTACGTATCTCGTGAACTAATAGTGCTGAGGTTTTGTCGTCGACGGTCCTAGGTCAAAGGTATATGGGCATATGGGTGTTGGCTACAATAGATTTGGATTAATGGTGGGCTGCGCATCGGAAGCGACCTTACTTGTTGAAGAATGCCAACCAGCTTCACAGTGGCCCTGTCATCATAAGCACAATGTCAAGCGGCTCTTTCCATACGCTACGTTATTTTGGCCTATACGACGGAAGATCCATCGCGAATTCGCGGCTTTACTTCCTTGGTTGAAGCTGATCGCACGTAATGCAGCGCAGGCCGTGGAATACGCAAAATCTTAGCCGCAGGCTTGTAACAACGTATGCTTTATGGAGTCTCCCGTTGGACAAAAGTATACGCGAGTAGCTCGCATTGGTCATGCTATTCTTAGCTCCTTTCAATTGGTCTTCCTTCACAATACCCGACATGTCGGCGGTTCACCCTACGGCCTGGCGTGAGGCCTTCTACCTTTGGTATCACCCATATTGCTGTGGCTTTCCCATCTGTGCTCATGAAAGATGCGCAGCAACACGGACGGAATCCCATGTTTTCGTCCTCTGTCCTAGCCCGTACAGCTTCAAGTGACGTACCCAGTCGGGGGAGGAGATAGGGGTACCTCGAGGTGAATCATGCTTCCCCTCTACAACAAGGTCACCGACGAGGACTTCACAAGCATGCCGAATTGTATCGATGCAATTGCGCGATCATGGTAAGTCACGTTTGATCACAATTTCGATTTTCCCTCTGCGCTATTCATCTGCTTCCCCTCGTCGTCTTGCTCCTTCACTGACAAGCTCGGAAGTACTGCAGGCATGATTCTCCTCGGAGAAGAGCCAGGCACCACTGCGTACTTGTCGAAATCAGTCACGCCCGCGTCGCTCCTGAGGAAGTCCTCGTCCAGCTCTAGTCGACCATTGACTGTCGAAGCAGGCGAATTCAACATGACCAAGATGGCATCAGAGAAGATGGTCGCCCTTCTCAAGTCCCGTGCCTCATCTGGATTCTTCTCCACCATTTTCAGAGTAGCTCCAGATTCGATTGCCTGGAAGAAACACACGTCAGCCAACTTCGACATCACCTGGCTATTCCTCACGGACAGGCATACAACTGCAGGCCATACACTCGTAATAGCCATCTCTCTCAACCCCTCCCTCTCAAAATCCATGGCCAACCCCTTCGTCAACACGCTCATGGCTACCTTCCCCATGGCATACGCCGTCTTGCCCCGGAAGAAACGGCTGTATATCGGCGGGCTGACGACGATGATCCTCCCTGTGCCGTGCTTCTTCAGATAGGGCAGTGCGGCTTGCACCGTGCCATACAGACCCTCTGGGTTGACGCGCTGCATGAGCTGGAAGCGCTTCATGGGCGTATCTTTAACGGGGGCCCACCAGATGGCGCCGGAGTTGTAGACGAGCACGTCTAGACGGCCGTAGGCCTCGATGGTCTTGTTGATAAGATTCTGGACACGGGCGAAATCGCAAGTGTCGACTGGGATAGCGGTTGCGTCACCGCCTGCGTCGACTATTTCCCGCTGCACTGTGCTGATGGTTGACTGTGGGGAATTAGGGTCTGGCGGGAAAGGGTGGAGTTTCTGCGCATCGCTTGTGGATTTGGCAGAGACAATGACTGCGGTTGTTGTCAACTTACGGTTTCGAAGATAGGGATTGGGTAGTGCTGTGTCACCGGCATATCCGTTCTTGGCTAAGTCGATGGCGACTTGCCTGCCGATGCCTCTAGAGGCTCCTACAACGAGTGCTACTCTCTTTTCGTTCATGATGATAGTTTCGAGGTGCGGTTGGCTTGAATTCTTTCTCGGGACAGTGACACTTTGGTGAAAATGGGCATTATGAAGTACAATCTGCCTGGATGCAAAAGCAGCACAGCCGGTATGACGACGAGTCCAGGCCTACGATCTCGAGATCAGTAATCTCGGCAACAGCGGGTATAAGTGGGGCTGGGTAACAGCCGAGGCAGCTTGGCAGCATCTGATCTGCTGAAAGGTGAATCCGGGGAATTACTTGCAGCTCACGCTATTCCATCTCTTACCTACTCAACCGCTCAGGTAACCCATGTTCACAATTGCAAGATGCGATAATTTGCGATAATCTTCTATTGTAGCCAAATAATTGCATTGTCACACATAATCGAATCAAGCGCCCCGTCAAAAGGCGCGTTGCAGTCATGGGGGGTCGGATTGAAATCTTCCTCGACATTGGTATATTATTGCACTCGGCGACGATAAATCGCTGCTTTCTATTGCTGACTGAGACACAGCGTCGTTGTACAGCTATGTAGCCTTTACGAAATTACAGGAGACTAGGCCACTGCTCGAAGCCCATGGTGTAGAAGTCGAGTACGTCTTCGGTTTGACCCCAAGTACACCCGGGCAGAAGGAGTAACGTGATCTACTAACAACAATCCACCCACCAGCATCAAACCCGTCCTCCTCGGCGGCATTAATGCCGGCTCAGGTTCGACTCTCTGCTCATCGTCTATCGACGACACTCGTCCCATCCCACCAACCCCCCCACTGACCATTGGCCATTACAGGCAACAAACCCCCCTGGACCCTCCCCGCCAAAGCCGCCTACGGCCGCTTCGACGTAACCCGCTCCAAGAACGCCGCGGGACTCTCCGAAATCAGCCCTCCAGATGACCTCATGTCAGCCGCCCGCACGATGCTCCCTCTCCGCGCACTGCATTACATCAAGCTCAACTATCCCTTGTCGACGTACCTAACGGCGTGGCATTACCTGTTTCACATGTTCTGGGCTGTGCACCGGGATATGAGTTCTGAAGCGGGGCTTGCCGTGATTTTGGGGGAGATCCCCGTGGACTTCGGGGCCGAGACGGCGGGGCGTGAGGGGAAGGGGCATGGGGAGGAGAAGCTCTTTGGTGGGAAGGATGTCGAGGCTGTTGTAAGAGCAACGCAGGAGCCGAAGTTCAAGGAGTTGTTGAAGGGCACCGTGGCGGAAGCGCTGGCGAGGGGTGCGTTTGGGGCGCCGTGGTTGTGGGTTACGAATGGGGAGGGGAAGAGCGAGCCGTTTTTTGGGAGTGACCGGTGAGTTTGTTGTTGCATCTTGTGCGCAAGAGGAAAACCACGTGTGACTGACAAATTGTAGGTGGTATTTTGTTTATGATTTTCTTGGATTGCCCTATCAGAAGATGGCTTTACTTCCTCCTAGAGATAGCTCGGGGGCGAAGTCCAAGTTATGAGGATACCAGAGATTTGGAGGCAGATCATATGCTACGTTCTGTTACTGTGGATTTATGAACAGCGTTTAGCAAGATAGACGCATCAGAGTCATAAGCTCAACTGTGACTTCTCCTAGGAGTCTTGGTCGAACGATACATGCTTTGCATAACCTATGGGGTCCACCAGTAATTGAGTTGAGATCTTCGAAACGTGATCATTACAAGACTATTGTTCGTCCTCAAGAAGCGCATACGCCCCAGAGAACTCCCCAGTGCTTTCAACTACGTGACCGCAGAGACACGCCTGCATAGCTGTCAGTTTCTCTAGGCTACTGAACATAAAAGGGGGGGTTCTCCAGAGGCTATCAAGATGTATAACCCTGTAAAAGCCACTGCCTCCCTTAATGGCACGAACGAGCTTCTCAGGTCAAATCAATGGAACTGTCTTAACTCTGCTATCAATGTTAGCATGATTGTGATGACATGGAGGTCTGGACTTGGTAGATTGGGACGGATGAGGGATTGGTCGGCACTTGGGCAAGCTGGGAGGGTATGGCCGGTTTCGGCAATATGGTAGATATGGACTGGCAGTCTATGGCATAGCAACAGCATTTCCCAAGTTAGTGTAATATGAGACAGCTGGGGTTGACCAGGGAGTAGCTGAGCATGAATCAGCAATGAAATTATGGTGATGATATATTATGACGTCGGCTGGTGTAGTTGGTCACTTCGCTGGTAGATAAGTCCCGATTTGAGCCTCGCCCACTTGGGTCGGTGACGAGTCGCGGGTTCGAATCCTGCAGCTGACACACAAGGGGGTTTAGTCAACCCTTATGGCGCGCTGCCCACCTTGTTGACTTCGCCTACCTAGCGATAATAGGGAGATTGGTGCAGTTTAGGATTACGAGCATCCTAGCCAGTCGACCGTCAAGCACTACGTCGGCGGAATATAACTCGACAGCCGGTCCAGAATTCGAATCGTTAATCCGGCCCCTTATCGGACCTCGCCTATCCGATAACGCTCGTCGGCGAACCCGTCCCCTCACGATAGAAGGCGCGCAGCACGCCCTCTCGCCGCGATTCTTGCGAGCGTCTAGACCACGTTACGGTCTATCCACTTGAGCGTATGGTTGAGATGTATACGCTCGACGAGAACCCCAATTAGCAGATACTACGACTTGTCGCGACAAAAAAAATAGTCGAGCATCTTCTGCACATCAGCAGCATCCCACCCCTGAGGACGAATTTAAGTGCCACGTTACCACACTTATCGGTAGTTCAGGCAGGGGTTGTAGCACAGACTTAGGGAGGGACAGGAGGTTTAGTAGTCGTTTGGCTACAAGTTTACCTGTATAACCGCCCGACGCGGCTTAAGGGCCCGCTATATCATCTATAGCCCCTTAAGGGAGTACTTGTAGAGGTACCGAGGGTTAACACCTACGGCGTATTTAATATTATTTATATTATGACTTTTGAAATCATCCTTATTAATATGATTGTGATTGTTGTCATTGAGTGGGCGCGTTTGATAGCCGTAGGTCCGTCTCATGAACAGCGTAATATATGGCAGGCAATTGGCACACAGTTTTCGAGAGCTAGATCTAGATGTGCTTCAGTAGTTAAGATCTGAACGACACTTGCCAGAACATCCATACCTTCAAGTCAAATGGATCCTCCCCGGAGTGTCATCTTGAGGTAGCCTATCTTAAAGTAGTCATAAAACCTCGAATCGACTTTAATCTTGGAAATTTGTAAATACTGCGCTTTCCTTCCGACTGAATCTATCTTCATTCACCAACAGCATCCTTCGACCTCGTGGAATGACCTTGATATGTCTTGAGAATCACCCACCCACACTTGACAAGTCCAACACGCACTCTTCTGATCGATCATCTTCACAGCAAACATGGTCCCTTCTTCAGTTTAAGTTACTGAGATTCATTTTGAGATCGCGACTAACCAGTTGTGTCCAGAATGGAGGTTTGAAGCAGGTACGTGACTTTTCACCAACCATCCTTCGTCGCGTCATTCTACAGGAACGCTCCTCAGTTTCTACAAAGGTGGATTTGGACACTAAATCTTGCACTGATTATCCTGATGACAAAAGTTTGATCTAGTCCTCACTCAAGAACGGCACCTTCCTGTCCTCTGTTGATCACGGAATTGTTGACTGCTATCCCTCCGTCACCTGAACATCACGTCGTTATTTATTCTTTAGCAAAGAATAGGCAGAAGTGATCTTGCAATTGATGCGGCGATAAATGGTCTGCTGCGAGGTATGTTATATTCATCTGTTGTAGCAATTTACGGGTTAAATAGAGAATATGCTGTTAGGGAGCCGAATTTGGCTGGCACAGGCTCCCGTTTTCTGATGTCGTGACAATAAAGCATGAGATGGATGGTGGTTGCTCGCGTGTATTAGGTACTTGTGCCTCACCCTATTGACTGATACTAAACTCTGCATTAGTAAGATAGTTAGTAATCTTACTAGCAACTTTATTAATTTATTGAAAAGTAGTAGGCGTGCCTTTATATATCGAAGATAAACGGGCTAGCAGTAGTGATTTAGATAAGGGTAAAATATGTGAAGGTCAACCCTCGCAGACTCACTACAACCAGGTGACTTACAGCTGGAACACCTGCCGTGGCAGTGTCAGATGGGAAGCCAATCATAAACCTTGTAGGAGCCCCGCCAAGCGTGGATGACTTAGTCGCGCTCCCTCAAACCTAAGTTGTCATCTTCTTTCCTTCGCTCCTTAGAGTAGAATCTTGGTCGATAGCACCTAATCGAGGTCTCTACCAATGCGATGCAACCCAGGTCGTGACAAAATAGATATATACCGGTTTTCTTCAATGCTCACGAGATAGGTAGCTTTTTTACGTATATCCTCGATAATTAAGAAGAATTCTAGCTTATACATATTAGTACATCGATCCCGTACTAACTGATCGAGGGGTTTTGTATGCTATTGCTTTGACGCGAGTGCATATATGGTGTGAATTCTTGTATTGGGAAAGGTTAGCTAGGTCAGTTATTCTAGCCTGGTAGTTTTATAGCTCTTATCTTATCTTATCTATCTTATCTATCTTATCTATAGCTACAGGGTAACCCTCCTTAGGGTTACGTATCAGAAGGACTAACGTAGAGGAGCTAAAAAGACCTTTTTAAATACCGCAAAAGAAGTTAGAAGACGTCGATTAGTAGGCCGATTACAGCCTATAGATATCTTCGAGATAGGCCTTAGTTAGCAGTTTTTACGTAGGTTCTAACTGAAGGTTGAAATCCGTCGAAAAACTCGCCGTGTTGGTGAGCTCAAGCGAATCCGAAATAAGTGAGGTGTGGCACTGGTGACCAGAGCGCTAACGATTTCTCCTTCGCTGAACTTTCCCCTGAACCCCTAGGTCGTTGCCGCTGACACGCAGAAACGGTCAAATAAGAAACCACTTGAAATTAGTTATAACCAGCCCCTTCTGCATTGATTCATAATTAAGAAGCGGTCAGTACCAATACGGCTTCCCGGAATCAATGGAGATATTCCCAGAATCCAGCTTCTTCAAGGAGCGACGAGCGCCTGCGCTCCCTACGCCAGATGAGATTCGAGCAATTAATAAAGCAACGGGCGGTATACGCAGCACAAACTTTAATCGCCCAACCCCTGTCATCGTCCCGTCGCTAGGGCTCGTTGTCAAGTACGGTGCCGACGTGGCCATCGTCGAAGCCCAGATACAAATGATGGTACACAAGCAACTACAGGACCGAGTACCAGTCCCTAAATTCTTCGGCTAGACTGAGGATGGGGATCAACGATTCATCTACATTTCCTTTATCTAAGGCGAGACGTTGGCGGAAAGATGGCCTAGTATGAATGAAAACGAGAGACGATACGTCTGCGAAGAACTCAAGCAAATGGTTAATGCCTGGAGGACATTGGAGCATGGCGGGCATGATCATTTTATCGGTAAGTCCACCCATTTAGCATCAAATGTGCACTACTGACACGAAGTTTGACTTCAAAGGTAGTTTAGGGAAACGGCCACTTAACGAAATCTTTCTGAGAAACCACTCGGCACTTGCTGGGCCGTTCCAAGGGGCAGACACAGTCCAACCAGTTCAAGCTAGTTGTGACATTGACATTGACCTCGAAGTGGCTTCGGTATTCACACATGACGATCTTGTCCCGTGTAACATCATCTTGTTGTCCGGACCTGTTCCGAAGGTGGCTGCAGTTATCGACTGGGGTCAAGCTGGGTGGTATCCCACATACTGGGAGTTTTGCAAGGCTCGGCGGGTAACGCTACTTCCCAAATACTTCGACAGCGTCTCTCAAGAAGAGTGGCATAATACGTACTTACCGATGATTATATATCCAGTGGACGAAGAAACCTACTACTATCCTTGGCTTTGGTTTGTCTTGTCTAAGGGCATATAGTCAGGTGACTAACCCGGCATGGTCTTTGTTCGCACGGCAGGGAAGGTCGTGAACGTTTCATCTGCGATACTAGATGTTTATGTACAATTGGAGTGTATCAGGAGTGTATTATGGTGTTGCGTGCCCCAGGCACACTGTCTGTGTGCTGGGTGCAGCGCTTGGCCCAATTGCTCATACCTTTGGGACTTAGTCCCATCATCATCACCAATACAACCCTCTTACCTGTATTGCCAACATATTGGTTTCTGGAACGCAAAGGGTTTTATTTGATGCCAAACCTATTGTCGCGGGTATTTAAGTACAGAGTGAAGGACAAGAGTGCTAGAGAGAAGTCGGTTGCTAATCACCAGTTGGTCACTAGCAGTTTAATGTAGGGGGCTCAATCACGACAAGTTAATCGCTGCTCCTCCTTAAGATAGGAGGGCTATAGCAGTCTCTCTATATGTAGCCGACCCTTGTATAAGCTAAGACCCGGCACGCTACTATGGCTTATTCGCATCTAATAGGACGCCCCCCCTTTATAGCTTCTGTCCTTAGAAGCCGTAAGTTATTAGCAGCTCTGCCCCTAGGAATCGATTCCTAGGGACTTAGAACTCGTAACCTTAACGAGTAAATAGAATTCTACCTACTACTGGCCGTAGATATAAGACTAACTATGATAAGGAGATAACGAATTGTCTGATGAAGACTTCAATTTTGGAAGATCTTCCTACTTTTCGAGGGATATATTGTTATGTGAATATTCTGTGCGTATTCGCCTCACTTAAACTCGAATTGCTAGATATATTAACAACTTCAGTCTTGTCCTGATTAGGGCTCTTGAACTGAGTGAGTGTAGCTGTAGTGTCGATCCAAATAGCTGAATTCTAAGGTAGTAACCGAGGTTCTTCGAGAATAAAAGTATTGAGGTATCCAATTAGGGTTTCGACTTTCTGAGGTATGACCGCTATATCGGTGACTTGATCGAAGTAGTAGTCGTCGGCTGATGTGACTTTCTTATAATCTATAACTGGTGCTAAATCCTGGTCCGAAGCGGTCTCACTACTAATTATCACAGCTGGCATAGACTCTGATATATCGGCCAATAGAACCGAATATTCGACAGTTGTCTTACTTTGATCCGAGTCAGATATATCGGAGGTATCAATTGTGGATCTTAGACCGGATGTAACAGATGATTCTAAATCTTGCGAGTAAGACTGGCTACTCGCTATTATTTAGAATTATGGCTTAACTTCAGCTTTGTTTGGCAAACAGGCGTGATTCGTTTCTCCCTGACGTTGACCAAGGTGCCACGTGGTATTGACAGTGAGCTTTTTTAGGCGCCGGGAATTGGTGAGAAACAATGTATCTGCCATGTCAGGTTTCGGGGCATTACTATAGCATGTTTAAGTTGATAAACCGTTCAATCTTGGCATCGCGACTTCCCATGCTCGTTCCCAGCATCATAATACACCATACAGTCCAAATAAAGATGACACGTAAGAAGATAAATGAATTTTTTTGTCCATAAGAAACAAATCGATGGATTTGTTCTAGCAGGACTTGGACGTTAGCAAAGAAGGTTTACGCTCCTTCTTGGCAAATGCAACTAGTGACACTCTGCCGACAAGCTACATGTTCGACATGGCGCCGGCTATCATTTGAAACCCACTTCTTCAATGACTAAGGACGCGATTGAGGATTTCAATCTCTGGCTAGATCCTGCAGGCTTGGATGATATGCAGATGATGATGAGTCTCTCGGTCCGTCCGTCGCCGCTCCCAAGAGTATGAAAACTCATCATCTGCACCACTGCATGAGCGAAAAGGCAGCAGCACAAAGCATCCTCTCCTCTCCACTGCTAAGTCTGTAAACAGCTACATCCGCAATGACAAACTGTGTTGTTTTCACGCTGAGCCTGATGGCAGTGTTCACGAATGCCAGCCCGCTCAACACTCCTCGAGCGGCTGTCAAACCCGTCATATCAGGCCAGCCGCAGTACATCGGTCTCGTGGAAGACCCAAAGCTCAACCGCGACTCGTGTACTTCTACTCGTATCGGCAACCGAGACTTCTGGACCTGCCGCGACTCCATGTCGTACAGCGCCAGCAGCCTTCCCATCTGGACAAGCACAGCGTCCTGGACCAACACCAACCTAGATGGTACACCTATCGTCACTTATAGCAATATCACCTGCTACGGCGACAACCCAACATCCTACTTCCCCTCCGCCGCAGACCAATGTGGCCCCCACGGCTACTGTGGCGGCGACAACCGCTGGGTGCTCTGGCCCGACACGCGTCCACTTCCCGTCTCCGCCGACAACGGGGTCGTCAAGCTCTATACCTGGATCCGTAATGTGCACATCAAACTTCCCCTAGGGCCAGTCATCAACGGTGACGCACCTAGCACGTCTCTCTTCCGCTCAGACTACGACGGAAAAGGCGCCAATTCTCTTCCATCCGTGGAGCTCGTCAACAAGGCCTTCTACCCCGTCGGTGCCGTCGCCTTCGGCAACTACGGCTGGGTCATCAGTCCCACCGACGGCTTCGCCTACCTCTACGGCGCCATGAAAGACGGGAAAGTCGCCGTGGCGCGGGTGGATCCCAAGCGCATCGAGGATCTGTCGGCTTATCTGTACTACTCCTCCGCTCGTGGATGGTCGAATACACCTCCCTCATTTGCCGAGACCAGCGCTGCTATACCGAACGCAGGATCGGGACAGCAAGGGACGTATTACTTCTCGTCGTACTTCTCGTCGTATGTCTGGATTGGCATGCAGGGTGGTGACAACGCTGATTTCTACATCACGACCGCACCGGAGCCGTGGGGACCTTGGGAGCCGGTGGAATTGCTGTGGAGGGCCCCGGTGGGGACGAATAAGTTTGGGTTGGTGGCGTATTCGACTCAGGCGCACCCGGATATGAGTGAGAATGGGGGGGATGGAAGGGATATCTATTTAAGTTATACCAGGATTGATTTGACGTTCCTTACGCCGCTGTATCGACTTCAGTGGGCGTAAGGGACGGAAAGTGAGGGTTGGTTATTGAGTATCAAATGTGATGAGGCTGCATTATCAGCAAATAGAATGATGTTGCGTACATATACTCTTCTTGACAATTTGCTAGTCTAATGTGTCACCCATTAGATTCGAAACAAAATATGTTTAGTCATTGCATCTTTGAAACGGATAGTTTATCGCACAATTCTGCTGTCTGAAAATCATCGAGATCATCGAGAAATCCGACTCTGCTACATATTGGCCAAATGTGGAAAAGAGGAATTTGGAAACAGCCTATGAGATTCTAATCACCAGAATAGTGTACAAGAGAGGATCGTTTTATGGAAACTAGGGCTAATCGTATGAATAAGGAAGAAAGCTGGTATAGAGTTTGTCCCCCGCGTTCCAGGCCGAGAGTAGCCAGAATAGGGTCAGGATATCACTGATGTAAGAGCAAATGCAGTACCTAGTGAACTCAAATAATAGCTGACACAACTCAAGTTGAGAATTTCAGCTATCCAACGCAGTTATGTCCTTGCCATAAGTAGGTGACCGTTAGGCTCATGATCTAAAAGACATTCCGAACGTCCAAATCACTCCAACCATGACCCAACCCGAATCGGCACCCATCTAACCTCAATACTCTCCCCGTTCCCAATCACCGACCAAAACCCTTTCCGCTCTTGCTCCTGCAAATACCCAATAACGGTCATGTAATACCAGCAATACGAATACATCTTCGATGCAATAACACCCCGCGCTCCTCCACCACACTGCTCCCAATACTCCTCGCGCGCCTCGCGGAGTGCTGCGGCATGTAAGCCCTCGTATCGCTCGGGCACGCTGCTAGGGAGACCCCAGGTTCCGCCTTGCGAGGTGGTGAAGGAGCGGAGTTGCAGAAGGATATGCGTCGGTTTCCAGGTGATGGGGCGCCATTACATTCTCGGGACCGTTGGAGGCTGGCCAGCGAGAGGGGGCGGGGGTTTGTTTGTTTGCGAAGGCGTGAAAGAGTTATTGCTGTGGTTTGGCGAAATGAAAAGGGCTGAATAGGTGGGTCTGAATATGGTTGGTTGATAATGCTTCAGGTATTCATATATTCAGGTCCGATCGACCCTATAATAGAATAATAAGAACTGAATCATGTCGTACTGAAGTAATCACGTCGAGGTCAACCAGTCCCCTGATATACTCGACCACGTCTTTAAGAGACCTATGTACAACCAAAACCAAAGTACGATGTACTCACAATTCAAAAGGCGAATTTGCTGGAAATAAGTTCAATCGACACCCAATTACTATTCATGTAATTACAGGTTTCCCAGCCAAAGCACTACGATTGTCATCTAATAGACGGGTTTACCGAGACAAATATCAACCTCTACCTAGTTTTTGTTCCAGTCCTTGAGATTGAGACGTGCGAGTCCGAGGTACCTCAAGCGCGGTATCCCCCACGTGTTTATTATAGTGCTAGCCGCTTTGAACTGAGATCTGTGTGGTGCGGCAAATCCGGTTGAATACCAACCACCCAGCTGTGCGACTAGCCGATATGGTAATCTTGGTAAACGTTCCCAGCCATTCCCAGTAATGACGCTAAACGGGTCTTGCAGAAGAATTAGCACTGCTGATAGGGGATTCTATATTAGCACCATCAGCTGATGGCTGCAATTAGATCGCTCTGGGACTGGACTAACCGAGATGAGAAAGGTTGTAAAATACGTGTGGTATGGCTGGTCACTTCCAGCAAACCCGATCACGTATCACCTCTTGGAACCAGCACTGGAATCTGTACACATGTTGTTGATATGCATATCTGAGTTCGACTCATGGGGGGTCGTGCAATGTTACTTTTTTCCCCTCGGCTCAAGATACCCTTTCAGGTGCGTTTCTTTTCACCTGTTGTGGTTATTTCAACAACATGAATTCCACCCATGGTGTTTCGGCCTGAAGACCAATGCGATGGTCCCTTACTACAGTTACGGATATCGGAAAAATGTACAACATGAAGCCTACGTTCCATTTCAGGGCACCTATGGAGCCATTAGGTGACTTTGTTTGGGATAGTCCAAATGCACCTCTCTCGTTTCAGACCACTTGTGCTGCACAAGCTATGGCTCAGGTCTGGCGGCTTATCAGATCCAGTGTCGGGATGTCAGCCGCTTTTGAGCTACAACATCCACTACCAACCCATCAAACGAAGACCAAAACGACAATATCCGATATCAGCACAACAAAGCAGACCGAATTGAACGCGACGGCCTCAACCACTGACTTGGAACATGTGGACACATTCCCCCTGATGAGTCTACCTTTAGAGGTCAGACTTCAGGTGCACCGATGGGCGCATCTCATGAACGACGTGAAGGCAAATAAGAACCCGCAGCGGATATCCGGCTCCCGAGCTCACCCTTCGGGGACTGGCTTGCCACAAGAGATGAGAGTCGTTCCAGCATGGTCCAGTCCAGCAGCTCTGGTGGTACTGGACAAAATTCCCGGTGCAGTCACTAGCAAGGACAAAAAGCCAGAGCCCGCCCAGACAGACAATCTTTCCGCGCCGTATCGACCTTTCTGCGGGCTGCCCACTGCCCTTCTCCAAATCAACAAGCAGATCTACTATGAGTGCAGAGAACTGCCCTTCCGGGAGAACGAGTTTGCCTTTGTCAACACCCTGTCCTCGGGGTTATGGTCAGCCCGATCGTTCATGCAGGGCCTTGAGAGATGGCAGAAGCAGGCCGTGAGTTTTGTGCGACTGGAAATCTTGTTGCATGACTTGACGGGAGAACCTGCTACGAAGTGGCTAGAGCTTTGTGAGCAGTGGTCTAGTAGATTGCGCGGGTTGAGACTTGTTATTGCTAGTGCCGAGGGAGAGTATACACGGCCGGGCTCAAGGGGCGAAGCATCGAAGGTGCCAGCCAAGAGTGCGAACGGAGAGGCGCAGATGTCGATCGAGCGTGGCTTGAAGATGTTGAGTCATCTTGAGTATTTGGAGGTCGAGCTCAGACTCGTGAATTGGGATGGTGCCATGAAACGGAACTGGTGCAAGAATCTCGAGACGACGCTCAATAAACCGAAGGTTATCCTGGACAGACGAGTTCGAGCGACGGGTATCCCTGAGAAGACGTGAGAGTGGGAGTCTAGTCTAGCCACATTTTAGGGTTGGGGTACTTGGTCACACTACTCGTAAGGTCCTTGCAAGACACTACGCAGTTATCTCACTCGGTAGGATTAATGATGTTGCATAATTGTTCAGTTTCGTAATAAGAACGCATTTCACATGGTTATGAAGAAATGGAATTTGAGAGCCGCGGCTTTTAAGTTTTTATACTTCATGGCTGTTGACTTACTAGATGATATATCTTTATAAGGAAAGCATAGAGTGTTTAATAATAGAGACAGATGTAGCACATATTCTTAAATCGTTTGGTCATGAGAGAAGGCGTGCAATTGATCATGCAGTTGGTCAATCATCCTTAAGTATTTAAGTAGCTCCATCATATATTGCCGAGAATTTATACACGAATTTTAACTGCAAAGTGAAATACGCAGTTTAGGTAGTTCAGACGCAAACCAACATTGATTAGACTACACCATGGGTCCATCCCTGCCACGGGCTCTCTGAAGCAACATTTCAAAACACAATGGCGAACTCACGTCAAACAAGTCATATTTGAGCCCGAACATCCAGCTGAGCTCAACGAGTGGCTGAAAAAGAACATGAAAAATCATAACACAGTCATTGGCTCGACGCCCAGACTTGCCAGTATGGCACATGCCTAAGCTGCACTGGCGCATCGAGGAATGAGTTGCTTAAGGAGCTTCAGGAAGCATGCACCGAGCCCAACTTCAGCGACCCATGCCGTCAATTTATATTCTATGTTGGGGGCATATATGAGGACATGGTGGGAAACTAGGAGTGATAGAGTAAGGCTTACGATGACTATATTCGCTCGTGCCGCCGATAAGCATACTTTGATGAACTCGCAGCGCTGGAAGAGGAGGCCTATCTGGATTCCCAATCGACAACTGGGATTATGGAAAGTATCATAATTGAGGCTCCCCTACCGCAATTTCAAGATGCCCCTGGCGTGGGCTATGAGAAATGTTCCCAGTTGCAAATTGGGCCTCCCTGCGCACATGGTACATGCCGAGCTTTGTTTGATTTCGGCCCCAATTCTTAGAACGGCAACGCTGAAGGGCTCGTGGTATCATGGTCCTTAGCCGGGACAAGGTCCCTAATTGATATACACGAGAAGCTGCGAGAAGCCACCTACAATATGGCGACACAAGTCACCCGGATAAAACCTCGCATTGCTTTCGTTGCTGGCTTTCTGGTTGGTTTGAAGAATAGACGTGAGGGTAGTGATAGCGAAGAGCCTAACAGGAAGAGGCGAAGGGTATAAACTGACGGCGCTTCGATCTAGACTGCGTCATCACCTCATCGCGACCATCAGAACAGTAAGAGCAATGGGAGCTCACCGAATATTTCGGGGTTAATGCTCGCTACTTTGCATGATGGCGTGGCGGCAAGTTCGAAAATAACATGGATCAACAACTTGGGGGCTTAATCGACTTCTCGAGAAACGCTAAGGGATATCTCGTTGCCCATATCGACGGCATGGAATTTCCGCAATCCGGCGGGCCAGATGCTGCACCAGCTACAAGAATCCTGCTACAAGACTTCACAAGCACCGATGGGCAATATGGTACTGTGGTATGCCTCTACTCGACATCCAATCAAGTGTGACTATGCCAAGAGGCATCTCATGACTGTAGCGACACCTGGTCCTACCACTGAGTCAAGTGTGAATTCTCTTTTGCTTCGCGCTGCCCTTGTGGCTACATCAGCTACGATGTATGCATCAGCAGCTGCGCCTCCAACAAGCACACACCCAAGTATACCGGCGCGCCCATCTCCACCTCCACGCCTTACCAAACGCAGCAGTGCAACATCGGCTTCAGGTGACAGCGGCTGGGACGCATACGAAAGCATTCCGAACCGCAATGTCGGGTGCACTGTTTTACACTGTAGGAATATTGTAACCGTAGCGCACTTCAACCCGATGAAATAACTCTTTCCAGGGAAGATGCCTGAAGATGGATATCCCCAAATTAGATCCCGAACTGACACTGGGATGAGAACTCTATTTGACCTGTGCCACTGGACTTGCATATGCCAGTATACCTAGGTAACCTCAAAGCAGACTGCTTATATTACCAAATCGACTATACACTGGAAGCCGCAATCAGGAGTGTGCTTGACGAATGCAAATCCTTCTTGCGAGAGAAGACAGTGGGAACTGGCAATTCAATACATATTATTTTGGCATGGCGGCTATTCTATGGAGTATCCCAGGGTTGCAATCAGGTTCTGGTGAAAGGCCAAGACGCAGATCAGGGGTGGGCATACCGGCGAAGAATAAATTGTCGCGGTTAAAGTGCGACGTCATTCGCCGAACCGTGCGCCTAAAATGCAAAGGACAACTTCCAATCCACTGAAGTCTAGCAATTGCCGAAAGCACGAAGCACGAAGCACGAGGTGACCACATCCCCGGACTCTACGCTTATACCGCTAGGGATTGACGTGCATACATGTGAAGGTTCAACTTGGAAGACCGAGCCATGGGCTTTCTCGCCGAACTTGTATCCGGCCCCCTTAACGGAGCAGCCCAGCAACGTGAGAAGCACCGACGCTCATCGCCAACGGGAGACAAGTCACTGCACTACGACGACAGCCCCCTGAGTACCAGGGCGAAAAGCGACAAGATCAAATGTCTTGACGGATTACGGGGTATCGCCTGCTTCATTGTTTTCAACTACCACTTCCTCTGGCCATGGACACCACTCATCATGCTCGGCTACGGCGCAAGGCCGCCCAGGTCCCTTGAACCCTACGCCGAGTACTCGCAGCTGCCCATCATTTGTCTCACGCACCGCGGCCGGCCCATGGTCGCTATCTTCTTCGCTATCTCTGGCTATGTCCTCTGTCGGCACGTTTTGAGGTCCATACAGAAGCGGCATCTAGAAGCCGCCTACAAGGCTCTCGCGTCGGCTGTTTTTCGGCGCGCGTTCCGTCTTTACATCCCGCCGACCATCAGCCTCTTCCTGGTAGCGATGTTGGCGCAGATGGGTGTCTTCAAGCCGGAATACGCCATTTACAAGGGACCGGACTCGATCTACATCAACGGCACCAAGGGTGCCTGGCCGGGCCACTTTGGTGCTAATGGCAGCATGACTCTGAACAGCACAATGGGATTGAGCGCGAATGGTTCGATGCACCACCATCACGGTGCTCATCGCTTCAACGCGACATGGATCAAGCTGGGCGGCATGTGGGAGGAGCACCCCATCATTCATCCCAACATGACCACGGCACTGTCAAATTTCACGGCTGTGTATGCCGAGTGGGCCAATCCGTTCACGTGGGATCCTCGCCATCCGCGCCTCGACCCGCATGCCTACACAATCCCAATGGAATTCCGGGGCTCAATGGTTCTGTACACCCTCCTTCTCGGCACAGCAGCTCTGAAGGCATCTTGGCGGCTTTCAATCGCGGGATATCTCGCCATCTACTGCCTGATCATGGGCCGATGGGAAGTCGCCACCTTCCTAGGGGGGATGATCATATCCGAACTCGACGTGTTGCGCACATCCAGTCAAACCGACCCCATCCTAGGCGATCCCAACAGCGTAGCAAAGTCCAGGCGCCGCAGTGCGGTGTCGCCAGGCATGAGCAATATCCTTCACTACGTTCTTCTATTTTCATCCCTATACCTCCTCTCCTATCCCGACTCCAACGCGGCCTTCACCCCCGGCTTCCGTACCCTCTCCTCTCTCACGCCCCGCCACTATGCACCCAGTGAGCGCTGGCGCTTCCACCAATCTATCGGCGCGCTTCTCCTGCTCCCTTGCGTTATGCGGAGCCCGTTCCTCCGTCGCGTGCTCGAGGGCCGGATACCGCAGTACTTGGGCAAAATCAGCTTCTCATTCTACCTGGTCCACGGTCCCGTGCTCCATAGCATGGGCTTTTGGATCATGCCCAGGCTGTTTGATCAGCTGGGCAAGACGAGGGGGTTTGTGGTGGGGTGGTTCATACTAGCGGGAGTAAGTCTGTATCTGGCTAGGGTGTGGTATAGGAAGGTTGATGTTTGGAGCGTGGGAGTCGGGAAGCGGGTTGAGAGGTATATGGTCAGACAATGAGATAATGGGGGCTGGGTTTCTTCTGTTGGATATATACAGGACTAGAGAGAACTTTATGTTGATAAATTAAGATCCCTTTTATAGTAGAACTAGATCGGGTTCATAGATCGCTTGTTCTACTCCATAATATGAAAATTATCACGCCAGAGGCGCGTTTTGCATTACCGCGGTGTATCTGTGTAGTGTGTCTATTGCCATTCAGGCAGCATCCTGCCTAATATACCACGCGATGGAGCTTTCCTGAGCTCGATATGCACGATTCATTGTCTCAGCCTATCAGATTTCGTCCTGCATAGTTGGAGCCTACTCTCCGAAGCAGCAGCCTGGCACATTGGGATCTTTACCCTTCTCAACCTAACCCAACCTCGCAGGTCAACAGCTCCGCATCTCCATCGATAGAACGACGATTCTGCAAATAATCACCAGCAAAGACGCATCGAACCATTCCTGCAGACTACAAAAATTTAACACAGTTGGCGCAACACCGCCTGTCGGTTCTGAGGAACCATCATGGTGACCCTGTGGTCAGGGGCAGGCTAGTGAAGTCGTCACTGTCTGAACCATTCGGTGGCCTCAAGTTACGCAGAAGTGTATCGTACTTCGCGAGGAAGGTCGACGCATGACGATGCGAAAGGAAGACGATACAAAGCACCTTAAATCAAATAAATGGGCTGCAGACTAAAACGATTCCTAGTAATTCGCAAACCTATAGATTTAGAGATTAAGAAAACCAAGCTTCAGATTCGTGCATACAAGTCTAAGGATGAGTTTTTTGAAGATCCGTCCCCGACGAGGTCCAATTGTTATAACGATCCTGATAGCCATTTGACGAATGAGTAGTTGTCGAGTTGCGGAGGCTTAGACCGCTGATTCCGACTTTTGACTTACAAAGAGTTCAGAGGCGCTAATGTTGTGAGGTATGAGCAGAGGCGGTGTGGGGTATGATTTATGGTGTTCCAACAAGCGAGAATAGTTTACTAGTATATCAAATAGAAAGTACTCTTATATACTAGCAGGAAATAAAGCAGCTGAACTGAAGTAGGGTGGCAAACCTACATCTCTCCTGAAATTGGTCCCTCCTCTAGTCGACGACGTCCCAGCCAGTAGGCTAAATCCTGACTCACCTGGGTACAGTACCCAACATGGCACTTTCAGCTGAACAAAATTTCAGCTGCTCGCACACTGAATATCCGAGTACTTTAAGCAGAGACCCATTATTTCCTATCAAACCTCTCGAAATGTTTAATTTCCTGTACAAGCAACCACTCGACCTCAATCAGCCCCCTTCTTACCCTCCGTGAAGAACAGATCCGACCATGTACGAGCCTTTACAATCACCAGATCATATTCGACTCCTAAAAATCATTCCAAGCCAGGATGACACACGCAATATCGAAATCAGCATTATACCAACCCCTCTGCAAACCGCTCCCCAGTACGAGGCCATTTCATACACCTGGGGCGATGCTACCCAACTCGGCAGCGTGACCTGTCAGCCAGGAGGCGTACTCGTTCAAGTGACGCAAAACTGCATATCGATCCTCCGCCGCCTCCGCCAGCCCCAGAAAGAACGTCTAGTCTGGATTGACGCAATCTGTATCAACCAACAAAACATCCCCGAGCGCAACGCCCAAGTCGCCGTCATGGGTCGGATCTACGCCTCCGCCAATCGTGTAGTGATCGACATCGGGGAGTCCAGTGAAAGCGGGGAACAGGCCCTCCATTACCTAAAAAACTGCGAAGAAACTGTCCTGTACGAATTCGTTCTTGGTCTGAAGATCAAAGATACCGTTTGCAACTTGTACGAACGGCCCTGGTTCTGGAGGATCTGGGTTTTGCAAGAGGCCTTTATGGCGCGGGATGCGGTGGTTATGTGTGGGCGGACCGTTGTGCCCTGGTCCGCTTTCAGGCCGTTCAGGATTTGGGTTGATGCTAGACCAGCGGGGGAGACGGAGAATTATCATGTGGCGCTACCTCACACCGTGCCGCAAACGTTGGTAATTGGAAATTGCTCACAGAGGAGCTATAGGGCTGAATCAGATTTGCTGCGTTTGCTTGTGACGGGGCGAATATGTCGAGCGACTGATTCAAGGGATAAGGTATTTGCTCTTTTGCCAATGTTGGAACGTGTCCCGGAGGAACTTCGAGCGGATTACTCCAAGTCAGTGACGCAGGTCTATGTTGAGACAGCCAAGTATATTCTCTCAACTTCCGGATTGATGTTTCTTTCTTGCATTCAGCATCACAGCGACCAGGATGCTTCAAACACTGCGGAACCAAGACTGCCGTCGTGGGTACCTGATTGGAGCCAAAGAGTTATGGAGCCCTGGATGATAGGTTACTACCGCACAAAGCCCACGTACTATCCGCTTTCAGCCGGCCGTGATAAGAAGTGTGTCGCCAAGGTCCTGTTAGGCGAGGAAGGTAGCCACCGCCTCCAAGTCCGGGGCAGAGAAGCCGATACCATAACGCATACAACCGGCAAAGACATCTACATCAATTCCCCAGAACACCAAAACAAGCAAGCAGTGGATAGCTTCTTCAACGAATTCTCAGCCTATCGAAAGCAACTCAATAATCCAGCAACCCTTCCACCACCGCCCTACTGGGAGCCGCGGACCAGCGAGACACGCATTCATCCCCCTGATTGGCTGGCTTACCGCGTTGGTCTTCCAATAGAGAGGCCCATACAGTATACGGATAATGATCTGATTGACAAAATCACGCACTTCCTCGGACCCCGGCAGCTCGTATTGACGAAGCGTGGATACTTGGGGATCGTGCCGAAGAACGTGGAAGTGGGCGACGTGGTTTGTTGTTTTCTAGGATCTGGCGTTCCACATGTTCTCCGCTTGCAACAGGAAGAGAATAAAAAGGAAAGTCTGGGAAGGACGTATAAATTGATGGGCGAGGGGTATTTTTATGGGTTGATGGAAGGCGAGGCGTTTTGTGGGATCGACATGTCAGAGGATGCGTTAAGTGGTGGGTCCCTGGAGGACTTGCTAATTATTTAAGATTGGCATGCTATCTATCTGTTAAATGCCTTGATACTTCATTTACTCCTGCTTACACGCAAGAAGCGTAGAAATGACACGAAAGAGTAGGTTGTAGCTTGGACTTGGCTAGATCAGAGTCTTACTGTGTTTTTCTCCGCGTGTTCTTGGTTCCTCACGTTGACGTCGACAAAGCCATATGTACTGGTGTAAATGGAAACAGATATATGGAGGCGAGGTGGTGCAGAAGCCAGCGGGATTCGTATTGCAGCTGCAGTGGTTGCGTTGCTGATAACGTGAGCTTTTGAAGGATAGTATGGGTTACAGCCCAATCGAATTGTAGCTGCATTGCTGTTTAAAGATAGTGTCTACTCTTGATTATTTAGCTGTCTTGGGATATAGATTATACTGTTTCAACTGCATCTGTAAGAAGGGAGATTTTACCCATTCTGGGCCAAACAGTTTAGAACCAAAGCTATGTCAGTCAGTGGCGCCTTGCCTTTTCGCCTTACCTGCTGCTATAATGTTCAAGATACGTGGTTTACACTAATTTTTCGATCTTTGGATAACAACCTCTAGTACTATGGCGAGTGGGTTCGCCGACACAGTATGATTGACCTGATATAAGTGGCTGTTTCTGAGATGAGGGGGTCATGCGGTTGATCCCTTAAATATCCACGAATTCTGTGGCGTGCCTCAAGAGTTAGTGCCATCATCGTCATCATCACCAACACAGCTCTCTTGCTTGTATTGCCTACACATTCTTTACTTACTGGTTCTGACCTCAGCTCGTCTGTCACCGAGCGCTACTCTCCTCGACAGCTCGCCACGGTCGCCAGCATGGCCCGCCTTACGGAAATACCTCTGAAAATATTCCAGTTCATTTTGGAGTAACGTGGTTTAACACCGAGTCGCGCACTTTTTCAACTTTTCCAACCTTTTGACTTCAACACTTATTTCCTCAACAACAACACCATGTCAGTTCAAACCCAAGAAGTCAAAATCAACCTTGCCATCGAAGCTATCCGATCGACCAAAAATATGAGCCAACGTCGAGCAGCAAAGCTATACGGTGTACCCGAGTCCTCACTCCGTGACACAATCCACGGTCGCACCCCACGTACCGAAATCTGGCCGAATAGCGCACTACTCGCCAAGATAGAGGAAAGAGCTATTTTTCAGCATGTACTTGACCTAGATTTGAGAGGGTTTCCTCCCCGGCTAGAGGGTGTGGAAGATATGGCCAATTCCATTCTTGCGACGCGGGGTACCCGACGCGTCGGCAAGCTCTGGGCGCATCGCTTTGTAAAGCGAACCCCAGAGTTACAGACGCGTTTTTCTCGCTCGTATGACATCTAGAGGGCCCTCTGCGAGGATCCAAAGATTATTGAGGACTGGTTCCGGCTTGTATCGAATATGAGGGCCAAATACGAGATCCAGGACTGCGATATGTGGAACTTCGACGAAACGGGCTTTATGATGGGCGTTATTCAACGCTCGATGGTCGTTACCTCGTCTGAACGTAATGGTAGAGGCAAGAAGGTCCAGCCAGGTAACCGGGAATGGGCCACGGCGATTACCTGTGTCAATTCGGAGGGTCGCGACATCCCGCCATTTCTGGTAATTCAAGGGAACTATCACCTTGCTAATTGGTATACTGAGGGGGACCTACCAGCCGATTGGGTAGTCAAACCGACCGAAAACGGGTGGACGAACAACGAGACTGGTCTAGACTGGATCAAACATTTCAACAAGCACACTATCTCGACCAAAAGAGGCGTGTATCGGCTGTTAGTATTGGACGGGCATGAGAGTCATACATCGGCCGATTTCGAGTCTTATTGCAAGTCTAACGGCATTATTACTATCAGTCTGCCCCCGAACTCGTCTCATCTAACCCAGCCACTTGATGTCGGGTGCTTTGGGGTCTTGAAACGTATATACGGTCGAGAGATTGATATATTTATCAAGTCCCATATTAACCACATTACTAAGGTCGAGTTCTTTATCGCCTTTAAGGAGGCTTATTTAAAGGCAATAACCGACAAAAACATCAAGGCAGGGTTTCGAGGGGCCGGCCTAGTCCCTCACGACCCTGAAGCCGTTATCTCGAAGCTGGATGTTAGGATTCGGTCGCCTACACCCGTTAGCCCCTCTCTTCTAGATGCTGACCCTTGGGTTTCGCAAACGCCAAATAACCCGACAGAGGCTCTCTCGCAGTCCGATTTTATCAGTCGCCGAATCGCCAGACATCAGGGAAGCTCTCCGACCCCAATTTTTGATGCTATTGGCCACCTTGCGAAGGGCATAACTCGATTAGCCCATGAGAATACCCTCTCGAAGGCTGAGTGCTCCACCCTTCGCAAGGCAAATGAGGCACTAAGCAAGCGTCGGAGGGCAAAAACATCGCGTGTCCGGCAAGGAGGTGCACTTACTGTCGAGGATGCCCTGGGCATTTTATCCCGGAAGGACGCGGAGACCCAGGTAAAGGAGGACAAGCGCTCTAGGGGGGGTAAAGAAAAGGCTGGTCCGTCGACTGTACGACGATGTAGTAAGTGTAAGAAGACCGGACATAATGTAAAGACTTGTCAGGTCGAACTATAATTTTCAGATGTATATAGTTCTGAATAAATTTCAATAAACTTTAGTCTGCTGTGGCTTTTTAATTGAACTTGAAATTATAGCGTGGTAAAAAGTGCGCGACTCGGTGTTAAACCACGTTATATAATCCACTCAGCGGGCCTTGCGCAGTGCATAAGATTGCGACTTGTCTAGGAAGCGAAACACCCTTGTACAGATGTAAAGATACATCGGATAGTTATCGAATGGTTGATGCTAAACCTATACTTTCCGTTGCATCTTACTCAATTCCTCTATAATCATAGCAACGTATTCGACTTCTCACGACGACAAGGTTGTTTCACTGACTTATCAATGGATCAATAGCACCCCATTACTCGATAAGTAGCTGGTGCGTACTTGGCAGTTGAATTCTCAGGCTTGGCCTCAGTTTTGTGTGACGCATCTCCCGAACAATAGGTTTCTTGTCGCCCAACTAGTCAAAGGTGTGTCGGAATTGCCCCAAGTGATCATTTCCCCCTCTAGACACGTTGGGCATAACCTTGTCAGCCTCAACCCTCCCTCAACTTGCTAGTGGCCACCTTTATTACGATCATTAGCCCACGTCGGCTGCACCTGCAGGAGCAGTAAGTACCTCATCCTACAGCTCTTCCCGACCCCGCCCCGCATTCGTGTCTGGACAGATCACCGAGGTATTTCAAAGTAAGCAGAGCAAACATTGCACGTAGAACTCAAATAAAATACGACAAGCTGCATGTCGAAATCTTCTGGGGAACTGTATGTTCAAACCACCAGCCGTCCCCTGCAGACAACCGCCTGCGTGTCCATCTCTAAACTTCCCATATTGCATATCAACATCACAGCTGCTGCGCTGTCCCGCCGTGCTGGTTTGCGGATTGAGACACCGCCGCCATGGATGCATCCGAGCGGCTGCGGACGGCCTCGTGGCGTTATTGGGCCATGTCAACAATATTTTACGTTGTAACGGGCATAGCGGTCACGGTCATCATATCAGAGCCAACTCGGTCCCTGCCATCAGCTCAACTTGGGGTGTGCATAGTGTTGTTTGCAGCGTTGGGCTTCTATATCAGCGGGTACAAGAAAGAGCTGCGCAACTGCGAGAGGATGGTGGCCCTGGGCTGTGAGCCTATTCGCACGTGGCCGAATGATCCCTTCGGCATCCGCTACCTGCTGGATACGGCGAAACACGTCAAGGCCAACACACTCCTGCAGCAGCGTGTGCAGCTTTTCAAGGACATGGGCCACACGTTCAGCCATCGACTGTTTCCCGAGACGGATATCACCATCACCACCGATGAGCCCGAGAACGTGAAGGCCATTCTCAGCACAAAATTTGACGACTGGGCCATTCCTCCAGGGCGTATCCAAGGCTTCCTACCGGTGCTAGGCCGTCACTCGATATTCAACGTTAACGGTCCCGAGTGGCAGCATTCCCGGGCCATGCTTCGCCCCGCGTTCATCAGGAACCAGATATCAGACTTGGAATGCATTGACCGCCACATTTCTAAATTAATTGCGCACATCCCAAAGGACGGCAGTCGTTTCGACCTTCAAGCGATGTTCGCTATGCTGGCTATCGATACTATTTCTGACTTCATGTTCGGTCAGTCTACCGATATTCTCGGTAGTGCACCAGATACCTCCCTCAAGTTCGGTACCTATTTCGATCGATCGATTGAGAAAATCGCGTATCGTTCACGCCTCGGTTGGATGACACAACTTCTACCCGATGCGGAGTTAAAGGAGTACACGCATTTCATGACAAGTTACATCGCCAAGTATATCGCTGAGGTCAAATCCAAGGGCAGCAAGAGTGCTTTGGCCGACGATAAGAACAAGTACGTCTTCCTAGAAGAGCTCATCAAATCTGGAGAGCCGGACAACGTGATCCGGGACCAGATTCTCAGTATATTTGTCGCGGGACGTGATACAACAACCAGCGTCCTTACATATCTTTTCTTCGAGCTTTCGCGACATCCAGAGGCCGTCGGTAAAATCCAAGAGGAAATCCAAGATCTGGGCGTAGCTGATCCTTCATGGGAGCAGCTGAGGAACATGAAATACCTCAACTTGGCGGTCAAGGAGGCGCTCCGTCTCAACCCGCCGGTAGCGACCAACGCTCGCGAGGCTGTTCGAGACACGGTTCTCCCCACAGGAGGTGGCCCTGACGGTAAATCGCCCGTTTTTGCCCCCAAGGGTACTAAATGCCGGTACCAACCCTGGACTATGCAGCGACGCGAGGATATCTACGGTAGCGATGCCGCCGAGTTTCGACCGGAGAGATGGGAAGACCTACGGGTCACTCATGAATATGTTCCGTTCAATGCAGGCCCACGTATTTGTGAGTTCTTCCATAACAAATGGCCTTTGGCGGATGCGTCAAGCCCATTACACTTGTTCATCACATCTGTCTGACGGACCGTGTCATAGGCATTGGGCAGCAGTTTGCATTGACGCAGTTAGCTCTCGTCACATTCCGCCTTTTGCAGTCTTTCAGGACAATCGAGAGAAAGGATGACAGGCCGCCTTTGCAGAAACTCGGTGTTAACACATCGATGTTGCATGGCTGCTGGGTGATCATGATTCCGGTATAGTGGCGAGGAAGTAAAACGCTTTTGGAATCTCGAGAGTCCCACCTATGTATGGGGCGGCAACCTTTTCATCCGCATCGTGATGATATGACAGGCGACCAAGTACTACGTTTCCTGCGATGCTATGGCGGTGAAGCCTCGTGGGTGAATAATTTTGGTTGTTCCGAAGTGATGTTTTCTAGGTTAGTGTTGACGAGGCTCAATGGTCAGCCAAAAGCTGCCAGGATCACTGTATGCATCGTTATTTATCACCTTGGCCCGTTTTGCCAATACTAGTCCTTTTTCCCAACCCAGACTAGTTCGTGTTGGGGATGCCCAGCTAAAAGTTCTTCCACTCAAGACCTACTTGAATAGTCTCTCAATTTATTATTATTATTATTATTAAATACGCCGTAGGCTCGAAGCCCCCGGTACCTCTACTAGTACTCCCGTATGTCAAACCGTGCCCTAATGGCTGGACTAAATACATACGCTGCGTCGTCGGTTCGCCCTATTGGCGACTGCGTTGCGTTCACTACCATACTACGTTGGTTCTCAACCTACCAACAAAGTCCCCCCTGAGAAGATCGATGCTATCTGGGCCTTGAAGCTGTCCGACCCGTCCCTAGCAGCCATCTTACAATAGTCCCACTAACTACTGGTTCTCCTGTTGCCGTTGCGAGGTCTCTGCGAGAGTATAGTGGCCGTGGTGCGATGGCGGCCCGTAATCGTTCCCTCGGTCCTTCCAACAGCCCGCAAAAGAGGATTACGTGTTCTGCCGTCTCAGGGGCATCGCCACAGCGGCATAGCGGCGAGTACACGCCAAAAGCCCCTGTCTTGAATAAGAAGGCTGCTAGTCCTATTTTTTCCGTCCTGATCTGGCACAGCGTAGACGCCTCCAGTCGGTTCAGGCCGAAATACTTGCCCCCTTTCGGTATCTGCATCGAAGGGCCCTCCGGTTCCTCAGCGATAGCGCGTCGCTGGCGATCGTGATGCTCTGCTCCGGTGAGCCATCTCTTCCTCCAGTGGCCGAGGAGGGCAGCCGGGACCTCCTTTTCCTCACTCATCCACTCGGAGCCCCGGGCCTCCTTTTCCATAGTGTACCCTGCCGGTCGGAGTAGCTGCGACGCCTGCTTCCTCTTCGCCGGCCTATCCTGCCGGAGTATATGTGACGCTTTAGCGCTCGCGCTGCGAAGCAGATTTCTCTTCCCGCTAAGCCGTAGCCGTTCTTCAAACTTAGCAGCCCGGGCACTAAGATAGAGGTCTAGTGGCGGGATTGCTGCTTCTGCTTCCAGGTGGCGAACCGGCGTCGCTTTGTGGGCGCTACAGACTACCCGGAGGCACTCGTTCTATATCCCCATCAGGCTCTTAGCTGGCCCTGCCGGTTCCTCACTTATAGTATACCACGCAGTCGCCCCGAAGGCGATCGCGCTACGGATAACCACCGTATATAACAGCCTCGCCCGTATAAGATCGCAGCCCCACGACATATTGACTAGATTTGTCAGGGCCAGCTTTTGAGTTGCCATTTTTGTTTTAACACGCTCAACATGGGCGTGCCACGTCAGTTTGCGGTCGAACCAGACTCCTAGGAACCTCGCTGAGACTACCGGCGACACTGTGGCGTCCCCAAGGCGAAGCCCCCGCGTCTCCACGCCGTATAGACCACGTCCTCAACTATACGTATTGCCAGTTCGGTGGACCTCCCAGCGCGGTTACCCATTTGGCCGTTTGGTAGTAGGCCGGCCGCCTCAGCTACTTTGGTAATACGCTGGCTCATCGCCGTCTCTATTACCTTCCCTACCGTGCTAAGCAGGGCAATGGGGCGCCAGCCGCCAGGGGTCTGCTTCTGAGCTGTCATTTTATTAGGCTTAGGGATAACAACCACCCTCGCTGAGCGGAAGCGCTCCGGGTAGTACCCCAGCCTAAAGCTAGCTGTTGCCAGATCCGCTAGGATCTCCCATAGGGGTTCACCGCAGGCCGTTAGCAGGCCAGTGGGGATCAGGTCGTCGCCGGGAGCCTTCCAAGCAGCCGTTCCTTTGATGATAGACTCGATATCCATTGTGGTCACCTCCCTAGGGACGTTCAGCTCTGGTCTCGTCTATAATAGGCCGCGATCGAGGTCCGATAGATCTATACACGGGTCTGGGAAGAACCTCTCAACCTCTCAATTTAAAACTTCCGCGCGCCAGTTGATCTGCCGTTATATAACGTTCTTCCGTCTCGTGGAGCCCTAGTATGGTAGGCAGGACGATGCGCGTGTCTCTGGCTGTGTTTCTGCAGGCCTTGACGGTTTCTTTGCTTTCTCGCCATTTTACAAATGCTTTCTTTTCTCTGTTTAGACTTTATTTGTACCACCATTGTCATTAGCATCTTACTTAAGTAGAAACACGTGACAAGATTTTCTATGCCGCATCAGCAAGCTGACACCAGCACTACGGTTCAGAACTTTCCGATTGGCTGGTAACATCTCTAACAATCCTTGCGCCACGGCTTGTTTTCCAGATCCCAGCCTCCTCCAATCCCAAGTAGCTTATCGAGCTCAGCCTGCTGGTATTGCTGACAAGGACTGGGTCGCTACAAATACGTAGACTTATTAAACACTTCTGTGATAGCAGTGAGTAGATCATTCGATTGTCAAGGTGAATATAAACACTGGGAACGTCTTGCCTCCCAAGCATGGATGGATCCCCGAATATGGACAGACATTATCCGATTGTTCCGATTTACCGGAATGCCGATTTCATATGGCCTGGGACTAGAGTAGCATGGTGCTTCTTGGCCTAGGTCATACTGCATGCAGTCGAGCACCTTTCCCACCAGTCATAGCTGTTGCGATATGATCTGGCAGATTTGACGGGACTGAGAGCATGTATGCAAGATTTGGTGCGTCTTCAGCCGAAGCCTCCCCGGAAACACAATTAGACTTGATGTCGTGTCTCTACCCCGCTTACTACAAAGATACCAAGATGCAACCCCGAGTAAGCTTGAATCTCGACTCCGTTGATCTATACTACACATCTCTCGACCCCCAGTGGTTCAACACCGTGTTGCATCCACGGAGATTTGTCCGCAACAGCCGAGATAGAAGTCACGAGTAATGCGTCTATCGTGCAACGAGATGCGTAGATAAACGGCCCGGACCCGGAGGCGTACCTACCGGAGCGGTGGATTGAGTATAGAGCTGCTAAAGCGGCAGAGATGGAGGCGAGTCATTTTGTTTTTGGCATTGGACCGAGGGTTTGTTTGGGGCAGGATATTACAGCTATAGACATGCAGAATTCATTCCTCAGAGAGGTTAATACGATTGTGGGATGAACTGGATGAGGGTTAGTTATGATGTGCAGATTGTCCGGTGGTTCGATATGAAGCTCGTTTCTGGGGCAATGGCGTATAATAGGGGGCTGCGAGTACGGTTGACTCCACGAAATGAATCGGTGTGAGCTTTACACAGGCGTCTAGCGTTTGACCATGTTATATTCATTGGTTGGTTCAGGTAAGTATGTAGCAATGTGATCTGGAATTGGGGACCTGACCGAGCACACGAGACGGGTCTGAGATGAACAAGACAAAGGCAAGGGCTCCGAAAGACGTAGTTTGTTGAGGGACACACAATAGAAATGAAGTGTATTATGGTAAGGAAAGAAAGCTAGGCTAGTGTTGTTGGTCTGGAACTAAGTAGTGGTTAGCGTAGGTACCACCTCTGACATAGTTTGAAGCTGTTGATCAGGCTCAGGGCTTGTTTGTTTGTCTTTGTTTCGCAGAAAGCTCTTATCTAAGCATTCCCAACGAATTACAAGATTCTTTCTGATTGCCATCCTACAATTTCCTCGGAGCCTCCTCGTATTCAACCTTATTAACCAAACTCCCCAATCCATGACTCATAACGATCCGGACATCATCTTCGGGCTTCAAATATACCGGAGGATTCTTGCTGACCCCAATACCATGCGGCGTCCCCGTCATGATCACCGTGCCGGCCTCCAGCGTCGTCCCCTGCGAAAGATACGCGATGATCTCTGCAACTGAGAAAATCATGTCATCCGCTCGACCCTGCTGCATGATTTCCCCGTTCAACACGGTCTTCAAAGCGATCACACTGGGGTCTGGTATGCGCTGGGTTGACACCAGACACGGCCCCATGGGCGCAAACCCATCAAACCCCTTTCCGAAGCCCCATTGTGCTCCGTTGAACTGGTGCTTCCGCGCCGACACGTCGTTGGAACACATGTACCCTAGGACATACATCAGAGCTTCATCGGCAGCCACGTTTCGCGCCGTTTTGCCGATGACGACGGCTAGCTCGGCTTCATAGTCAGCTTGTCCATCCGTTGCTTGGTGAGGAATGACAAGGGGCCCGTTGGGCGCATTGAGACACGTGGAAGGCTTGAAGAAGAGAGTTGGGTGGTCTGGCAGCGCCAGGTTCATCTCTTTGGCGTGGTTGCGGTAATTGAGCCCGACGCAGCGAATTGTTCCCACCTCGCTCTTTGAGAGAGGTGGCAGGAGGCTCTGGATCGTCAGGGTACGTGAGGTGGGCTGCGCGTCAAGATCCAGCGCTGATGTCGCTGAGAGTTCTCGTACAGAGACTGGTATCGACTGTGCCAAGGCGTCTCCAACTAGAGAAGGGTTAATATGGGCCTCTTGGAAGACGGGCTTTTGCAGGACTTACTGTCGAGGTCCGCATCTTGTGGCTCTCCGAAGTGCTCCTTTCCATCTTCCCGGGCTATAAAGCGCACCAGACGTCCCCATTTCTGGGTAGGTTTTAGTAAGACGAGTTGTAGCTAACTCGAGGCGAGGCACATACTGCATGCACCATGATGATTTGATTCGGAGCTGTGCTCGAGTGAAGAGACTTGGATTGCCGTGCGGGTGATTTGTATTCGATTACCAATTCTAGCACCTCAAAAAACTGATTAATACCGATCCACTTTGTAAATCTCCTGGAGCTGTCAAACTTGAAATAACTTAGGTACTATAAAGCGCCGCATCGGAGTCGACCGCTGAGTGATACTGGATAGCATATCTTCACGCTGATCGGATCGGCGATTGCGTGCCGGCCGATTGCGGACTTCGTGGACGTGGCTTTACGGCCCCGAATGATAAGTCAGTTGCATTTGGCAGCCACCATAGTCTTTAATCAGGTCAGACATTGATACAGGTTTGTTTATTCGAAACATAAAACAGTTGATGTGGTCTACTCATGCCAAAGGTGGAATTTTGCTGCTGCGAGCCATCCGTCCCAAGCGTGAGCTAGGCCATGTAGCAAAGAACCTGCATGGCAACGGCTAGAATGCATCTGCAGCCATCGAATACCCATCCTGTCCCGAGGGCGCAGCGTCTCTCAACGTACCAAAGCAAACGAGTCTGACGTGTGGTTTCAATATTCGAGTTATCGAAGTTCAAAGGCTGTTCCGTCTTTGAAGACCTGAAGTTGAACCCATTTGCGGATTGACCTTCCCAAATACCACGTCAATATAGAAGACAGACCCATCAGACGCAACATGGCATGGAAATTGCACCGAGAAAATTGCCGTCACACCACGCGAAACAAGGTCTTTCCCACGGATTACAAAACTCGAATGTTCTACAGAGTTATGGCTTGGTCGATCTCGGGCTTTGGTGGATACTTATATGAGAGAGATGGGCCTGCGCTTCGGGTTGCCTAGCTTGGCACCATGGAGACGTTCGACACCCTCTCGCCAGCAGCGACGGTGGAAACGACCCCATGGATAAGATACCATGCTATTATCGCAAAGGCTTTGCAGATGACGGCGATTCATAATGCTGGTCACCTCAGCATCGCACTTCAAGATGCCGCAGCTTAGACTACGTCACAACGACTGATGCTCCCAGATGTTGGAAAACCTGAATGTACCTGTCATTGTCGCCCAAATCCTCCAAAGGATTCCCTCAATCCTGGCTGCCAAGAGACGCCACAACCGTTGCTGGACAGATCGGGCAACCCCTGCAAGCGGTTCTCGGAATTCGCACGAGGCGCTTGGCAATTGCTTGATTTGTCGCCGCATCTCGCCGACCACAACTTCATCTCTTTCATAGTTGGGCCAAAATGCTTCGCACAGTGAGAACAACAGCGGCTTGTCCGCGATGAAAGCTTACTCAGGCCAGCCCAGGGCACATCCCGGTACCGTCTCAACCCACGGGCGCGTGCATGGTCGCTTAGAAGAGTCGGAACGAAGCTGGGGTCATTGGTAAGCTCCTGCCCCCGGGGTAATTCGAAAGTGGGTCGATGTTGTACCAAAGCTTCAGGTGGTGCCATGGTGCCATGGACGAAGCTAAAGACGATAAGAGCGCGCGGCGATAAGATAATTGAGTCTCAAGTGCTTCAAAGTCGATGCTCTCCCCATGGCTAATCCCCACGTTGAAAAGCTTGTTGCTTTGAATTCGCGGCGAAGTCGCTTCAGATTGCCACGATGTTGATCGTGCAGATGTATGGCGCAGCTTCGACTGGTCGAGATGTCGCGCACAGCGTTTACGCCATAATTGCTAAAATAATCGGTCCGCAACTCGACATGGCCCACCATGACGTAGCTACCCGCGTGGTGGGATGACCGTCCTCGATGGTATCTCCAGACTGTATGACATGAAGTGGCGGACGGGTTCACCGCTGCACAATGTTCGAAACTGCTTTGCAGCATGACTCCTCAATGGAGTACAACCAGTTCGAGGCTTGGCCGCGGCTGAAAAGAACAGGTGCTACCAAAGAAACCCCGGGATAAACGGACGGAGCCTCGGTGTTTTGCTGTCTGTTGCAGCTTACCATGTCGTCATCAAGACGTATCGTGATCCGGGACATGCTACCGGGGCGCATAGCGCGAAGTTGTATTTACCCTGTCCTCAGTATGGAGACTGGGGTTTCCCCGTACACATCTCCATGCGTTTCCCAGTTCTCCAGGTGAATCGCTGATCAGTTCTTTGCCAGTTTCGACGGCACTCGCGAACCCGCAGGTGTATTTAAGTTGGAGCAATCCCCGGTTCCGTAGTCATGCTTAAACCCACGACACAACGCGACGCCTGGTTACCTCAAACTCACCGTCAGCAAGGCACGCCTTACTCGTTCGGGCTGACCAGGGCAGCTGCAAGACCAAACCAACCCGCGAGGCAACTCTCCTCGGCTCGATCTCTATATAAGTAGCAAGGTTTTTCCACTGCTGAAATCTGTTCATCGTCCATCCCACATACTTCTCTCCCTACCTCCGAAACTGATTCGCAAACATGGATCATAACGAAAAGTCGGGCAACTCGGCTCTCGAAACGCCACCTCAACGGCCTAATACCAATGATGTAGTTGGAAACGGAACCGTCCATGGCCACAGCCCCAATGTGGACAAAAAAACTGGAAAGCGAGTCCTCACCCCTGAGGAGTGCGAGGACCAGCTCCCCTTTACGTACTCGGAGTTCAAGAAGTGGTGGATTCTCAGCGTTATCTTCCTTGTGCAAGTGTCGATGAACTTCAACACATCTCTCTACTCCAACGGTCTTGGTGGCATTTCGGACAAGTTCGGTGTGAGCGAACAGGCTGCTCGTGTTGGCGCTGCGATTTTTCTGGTTCTGTACGCTTTCGGCTGTGAATTATGGGCGCCATGGTCTGAAGAGATAGGCCGAAAGCCTGTTTTGCAGGCGTCGTTGTTCCTCGTCAATGTCTTCACTCTGCCCGTTGCCTTGGCCCCGAACTTTGGTGTTCTTCTGATGGGGCGAGCTCTCGGTGGTCTTTCTTCCGCCGGCGGCAGCGTCACGCTCGGTATGATTGCCGATATGTTCGACTCGGATCACCAACAACTCCCCGTCGCATACATTGTGTTCTCCTCCGTCGGTGGCTCCATCCTGGGCCCCATCGTCGGAGGGTTCTGTGAACAGTACCTGGCGTGGCAGTGGACCATCTGGATCCAGCTCATCTTTGGTGTTTTCGTCCAGGTGCTTCATTTCGTAACCGTTCCCGAGACGCGAGAAACGGTAGTGTTGACCAGGATCGCGAAGCAACGCAGGAAGCTTGGCGAGGATGTCTGGGGACCTGATGAAGTTGATCCCCTCTGGGAACGTCTTACTATGAAGGAGTTGCTTCACACCTGGGCGCGACCCTTCCGAATGTTTATCACAGAACCCATCGTACTCTGGCTTTCTCTTCTCTCTGGGTTCTCCGATGCTCTCATATTCATGATGATTCAGTCTTTCGCTTTGGTCTACAAGCAATACGACTTCACCCCGTCGCAGATTGGCTTGTCCTTCATTCCTATTGGAATTGGCTATGTAATCGCGTGGTTGATGTTCATTCCTGCCATCAAGCGAAATATCGCCCAGCGCAAGAAGCGACCCGAAGACGAGAAGGTTCAATACGAGTCGCGAATGGATTTGCTTTTGGTGCTTGTGCCTTGTCTGCCCATCGGCTTGATCATCTTTGCGTGGACTAGCACAGGGCCGCCACTCCACTGGATCGGCACTATGGTGGCGTCTGCGATTATTGGTATCGCAAACTATTCTATCTACATGGCTACTATCGACTACATGATCTGTGCTTACGGTCCATACTCTGCTTCGGCAACTGGTGGAAACGGTTGGGCGCGCGATTTCCTGGCCGGTGTCCTGACGGTTCCCGCCACACCATTCTACACTAACATCGGTGCCGAGAAAGGAATGAACCTCCCGTACGCCTCTACCATCCTCTTTTGCATCTCCGCGGTCCTCGTTACCGCCGTTTACGTCATCTACTGGAAGGGCCCCATCCTGCGAGCCAACTCTCCGTTCGCTCAGAGCCTCGCTCACGGTGTCAACCCGGAGAAACCAGGCGAGTCGCTCCACCGAGAACCGTCGGCCCACATTGGCCCAACATCACGACGAAGCTCGTATATGGGTGCTAAGAAAGCCTCCAGTCGGCAAGCTAGCCGCAATGTGAGCCGAGCTAACAGTTACGATGGCTCGGCTGCGCATCCGAACCCGCACCAGAGGGTTGCCCCGGCGGAGCTGAATGACCAGCTTAACCGCCTCACGACTGTTCGGTCTGAGGCGGGCGAGCAATAGTTACTTTGTGATTTTTCTTGTTCCAGATAGAAGTTAAATCTAATGCGAGTTCACTTTCAGCTGCTGCTTTTTGTCGTTTGTGTCAGGAGTCGAAGTATGGCTTCAGCGCAGATTTAGAGATACCAATTTGTATTTATACCCGCATCGATCTGGATGTTTTTTACTGCTCAAGCAACCTTGCAACTTTACCAGTGGTCACACACCACTTCCTCTTGCATCCCAAGTAGTGATCAAGTCTGACATGGTAGTACTTCATAAGCTAAATGCACAGCTGTTTTAACCGTGTTCATTCCGTACGGATGCTGATGGATATTGCTGTACCAAGCTCATTGCCTAAACGAAAACTTGGTCGAAAAGTTTTCCACAAATTTCACTGCTATACTGCTTCATTCCTTCGGAAAACGCTGCGGGATGCTACGGCGCGTCGTACTTTCGGTCCGGTTTTGAGGCCGGCTCCGAAACGCCGGCATCGCGACAGTCGACATTGAATCAAAAAGTGGAAATAGTGGGCCGATAGCACTCCCTCCGAACCGGTGTACGTAGTGAGTCAATTGTTATTGTCAGCTCGCTCGATGTGTGATTAGACATGACGTGAAAGTCGTAATGAGCGACAGCCAAGCACATTGGCCCATGCCGTTCGCCGAGGATGTACAGAACCGAGGGACAAGGTTTACGTGGTCCTGGTCTTAGTGACAGAATAACACGGAAATGGTGGGCGGCTGGGGTCGTAAGGAGTCTTTATTGGCGTAACTACATCGTTCTCCAATTGATACGCACCAATTCCAACGGTCCATCGGGAGGAAGCTGAACACAGACGACAGTTTGTAAGCGGAGGCAGATAGACACGCACCCCTGCAACATGTTCCTCATCCATCTCCAACTGATCGACGATAAGCATGGGCAACCCATGGCAAAGTGCAGCTCTATGAGATAAGAGCTGCCGACATGATATAAGAGGCAACAGGATGTTGTAATTCGGCGATTCGGTTCACCAGATCAGCGGCACACATGTTGATCGATCACAAAACCGTTGCTTGCTTTCTTCGTTCGAAAAGACCGCCATGTCCGCCGCAAAGACGTCACTCGACGTAAAGAGCACCCCGGACAATGACGTCGAACCCTACTCCGCGGAGCCTTCCGCCGCCGACCTCTCCGTGGATCCGGCAGCTGAGAAACGGCTGCTCCGGAAACTCGACCTGTTCCTCGCGCCGATGATGGTGCTGTTCTTTCTAGTCGCATACCTTGACCGCAGCAATATCGGTGAGTTCCTCCTACATATTACTGCCAAAACAAACAAGTCACTAAACCCCCAAATAGGAAATGCCGCCATCGCCGGCATGACCGACGACCTGGACCTCATCGGCAACCGGCTCAATGTAGCCGTGACCGTCTTCTACGTCACGTACATCGCTTTCGAGATCCCGGCATCTCTGGTGCTCAAAAAGGCCCGACCGAGTCGTCTGATCCCATTCTTCATCGTTTCCTGGTCCGCCATCATCATCGGTAGCGCCTTCATAACCAACTATGCGGGCCTGTTGGCCACTCGACTGCTTCTCGGTGCATTTGAGAGTGGATTGTTCCCCTGTTTGACTCTTTACTTGTCGACGTTCTACAAGAAAGAGGAACAGGCGAAGCGGATTTCATACCTTTTCGTCGCGGCGGCACTTTCAGGAGCGTTTGGTGGGCTGCTCGCATATGGACTAACATCACTCCATGGGGCTCGAGGACTGGCGGGGTGGAGGTGGTTGTTCCTCGTAAGGCTAACTCCATCAATACCACACGAACCTCTCCACTATGCTAAACCCCAAATGCACAGGTCGAAGGCATAATCAGCATGGCCGTCGGTCTCACCGCCCTCTTCATGCTGCCTGACTCCTTCGAAACAGCCTGGTGGCTCAACTCCCAGGACAAATCCCTCCTCCGCCTCCGCAACGCCCAAACCGCCCTGCAAACCGGCGGCCCAGAATCCGAAACGGTGTTCTTCGACAAGGCCGAGGTGAAACTCGCCTTCGCCGATCCCAAAGTATGGCTATCGGCCGCGTGCCAGTTCTGTGCAAACACGTGTTCCTTCGGATTTGGTACTTTTCTGCCCGTTATCATCAAGGGCTTCGGGTTCAGCAGCTTAACGACCCAATTACTAACCGTGCCCGTCTACATCTGGGCTAGCATGGTGTACATCTTCGTCTCCTTCCTCGCGGACCGCTTTAACCGACGAGCCGTGTTCATGGTCCCCATGGCGCTGGTCACCGCAGTAGGATACGCGCTCATGCTGGGAGTCAACATGGAATCGACCGCAGTGCTATACTTCGCCACATTCGTCACAGCGACGGGGATCTACTGCGTAGTCGGTCTGAACGTGACGTGGGTGTCTAACTCGAATGCCGGGTACTTCAAGAGGGCTACCGCGATTGGGGTGCAGCAGACGGTGGGGAATAGCGCGGGGATTATGGCGGGCCAAATCTATAGGATTACGGCCAAGGATGGGAGGTATACGATTGGACATGCGGTGTCGTTGGCCGCTATCATGGTGGCGGCTTGTGGGTACTGTGTTATGTTCAGTACGTTGAGGGGGATTAATCAGAGGAAGGATGGGATGAGTGTTGAGGATAGGGTGAAGGAGATCGAGGCGGGGAAGAAGGGGGATAGGCACCCGGATTTTAGGTATGTGTTGTAGTGGATGGACAGTCGCGAAACTAATATCGTGCCAATTTACTCAAGTGATGCATGTCGCGTCGTATGCTCCGTGAAAGTGATTCTGCGGGATTTAAGAGAATTACCTAGCAAAGAAACAACTACAAGCCAGCTCGGACACTATATCGGGCAGAGGCAGATAATCGTCGTAAGTCCCTTAAATTATATCTATTTTCTGACCATGGATTACACCATGTGACTAGGTCTATAATTATTATCCTCGACTGGATAACCCTCGTTGTACACCTGTTGTGAAGGCTGATAGGTCGCAAAAGTCGTCAGTGGCACCTCATCAACGGGCCCATTCTTGTTTTTCTTCACCTTCTTCTTCTTGCTAATCAGAGAATCTGCAATACCAATACCCATGGCAATATTCATGATTCCCGCCAAGACGAACCCAATGACAACAGAGTTGGCCATCCCTATGCTCTGCGTCAACCCGAGCAGGATGGTCTGCAGGTCATTGAATCCACCGAGACCTGCTGTTATTCCCAGACCGAAAACGGCATTCTTGAGGATTGCGGCAATTTTCACGGGCCATGTTGTTTTAAGCGATGGGTCCAACTCAAGCGCCGTGGCGAACTTGACTTCGCCCCAGTGGAGCGCGGCCATGGGGACCATGAGGATAATTGCGATAAGACCAAGGATCTATGTGTCAATCGGGTCAGTTACTTTTGCGCTTCTAGTTTTTGCGGTGGGATTTCCATACCCCATGACTTCCAGTAAAATGACCCGCAGTACCGGGTACCTGAAATCCAAAGAACAGACCAGCGGCGGCGGTAGGTATGAAGAGGCCGTACAAGACGATGTGTTGAGCCAGCGGCGCTTTAACAAACTTCTCTGGTTTCTGTGCAGTGACTGCAAGGTGGCGGTAGCTCTTGAAGGCCATGCCGATGGGGAAGATGAAGAAGAAAGCTAGAGCTGTGACGAGCACTTGGGTTTCAGATGTTAGCCGTCGGAATTTTATCATGCTCGTGAATGTTACTTACTGTGGATAACGAGATTCCTCATGAACACGTCGGATGCCTGCCCGTTGATTTCTGTCTCCTGCCGCTGCAAGTTTATCGAGTATGTGTTTTTCCCGTTGGTCACGGTGGCGGACGAGTTTCCCATGATGCTCGCGACTGCTCTGCCCGTGAGGTTCAATGTCTGCGAGTCGGCGGCGAGGAGCCCCTTGCCCTGGAGGTTTTGTAGAGCCACGAGGAGGCTTCCGGTGCCTTGTTCACCGAGGGTGTCCACGGCGCTCTGGAGGAATGAGTTGATGGCCTCAGGCGTGTAGTTAAGAGCACTGGCGCTCCGTGCTTGTAGGGAATGTCTGATTGCTGGTACTGATTCTAGGCCATCGTCCGATATAGCACCTCGACTCTTGAGTTTTTCAGAGCTTGCTACCGTCGTATTCGTCGTAGGATTCGTCGACAGCGATGAGTTGAGCAGGAAAAGTCCCATCAGAAACCCTTTTTCTCCTAGCCCCTGAGCGAATCCGAAAGCGCCTCCCCTGACAGAGTCGTCAAAGCTGACTTCTGTTGCCGTCAGCGTGTGCTGGCTCGTGTCGACATCAAAAGCGGTGCCGTCGAGCAGACCAGGGACACCGCCGACAGTGTCCACCCCGTCTTGTATACCCTGCAAGAAGCCAACCATAAACCCCTTTGTGATCTTGGACATGTCGAGACTCGTGTTGCTCGCAAGAAAACTCGATAGGGAGTTATTGGCGAACACCCCTTGTGCCACCGAGGCTCGAATAAAATATTCAGCAAACGCAGATGCTCCAGACTCGGCGAAACCCTCCACGCCTGTTGTCGAAGTGGAGATTGACGTATTTGAGTTGGCGTTGAAGCCTCGCTGTATTCCCGTCGCCATTCCTGAACCCAATCCTCTGCCACCATCGACGACTTCTTGTGAGAGGTTCGTTGGAGAGTTTTGGACCGCCTGGGCCAGATATGCCGCCAAGCCCACCCCCAGGCTCTCTGCCAGCGTGTTGAAGGTGTTATTGGCAATATCCAGACCATCGGCAGTGGTCTCAGAGATCGCCCTGGCTTGATCCGTTGACAAGATAGACAGAGTTGTAGCTAGTCCCGCTCCCACTCCCAAGCCGACGGACTGTCCGACGGCGCCGACATTGTCGACCTGTGCGAGTGCATCGTCGAGGGAGCCATTGAATAGGAGAGGCGATGATGTTGATGTATTCACGGCGCAGAGAGTGACGTCAGCGAGTGACAGGTCTCGACGGTGAACTGGTGCAGCTATGTCGTTTCCGTCCAATTGTTGGCCAGCCAACACGAAATCATATCGAGAAAATATAGTTAAGACCAGTGCCGCCCAGAAGGGCGTCTGGGTAGAAAACATCACAATATGTTAAGTAAATTAGGGGAGGATGAAAGCAACGGAAAATCGGAGCGGTCGTGTTGGTGTTCGGGTGCCTTGTGTAGTTCGATGGCAGAAGGCGAGTGTACAGGATATACCGCTGCTACGTGATACACCATTAAGTCTATAATACTTTTCTTCTCATAGCAGCAACAGAAAAGTACAAAGACGTTATATAACGGCTAAATTCAAAGCATGCAGTGTGTCTCAATATAGATCGACCCGTGTGATCTTCTTGGCAGTTCGATTCATTGATATTAGTGTCTTACAGTTTCAGACGGCAAGCTCGGTTCATAGCTCAATTGGCCCGGTAGTTCCCCTTACTTGATGAATGGTGATGGGGACCGATAACGAAATTAGCAATCGGAGTCATGGCTTAGGGGCTATGGAATCTGGCATGGAATCTGGCATGAAAGAATTGCTTTAGCATATACGCGTTTAGCTGTACTGTAACAGTATATGTCATAGTGAAGGACCAAAGTGGGTTCCATTTAGACTAAGAAAGGGGAAATATGGCTAAGCCTTTAATATTGGTGACGGGGAAGAGAAGCGCTTGACCGGGACGGCCAGTGCTTCTTCCAGTTGGACGCCATTGTACACCAAGCCCCAAAAGTTCCACTCTCGTATCTTGGTGCGGGACTTTCACACGAGCATGATTCGCTGCATGGCATATCCACAAAGTTCCAAGTCACGAAAATCGGTGTGTTCTTCTGGGCCAAGCAAAAGGACCAAATTGCTTGATGCATATGATGTGTGGCTGGATGCCCGCCCGTGAATTATGGTATCGGGTCCATATTTAAAACGATAGACGTGATGAAGTAGTCACGAACTCTTGGCTTTTCCTTGAGAAGGAGAAAAAGTAAACACAGTTTGATCTATGCAGTCTGGCTGTTAACAAGAACCCTTGGCGTTGTAATTGACCCATGTTTCCACCCGTCACGAGACCCTCTCCGGATCAGATATTGTCCGCCATGAGGGCAGGAATTAGCATTGACAATCGCATCACCTGTGTAAGTGGACGCTGCCCTTCACCATCTCAGAAACCTCTACCTCGAAATATTGTCCCTTGTTCCTGTCGGAAAAATTGGTCGCCGTCGCGACAATGTTCCAGATATCTCGGCGCAAAACGCATCCTTGGCCCGTCATGTTGGCCAGAAACGAATGTCGAGCTGTCGCGGCTGAGAACAACGGATCGATGTTACGCCGCTGCCCCGGACAATCTTGAGGCAGGGGGGGGGGAGCGGCTGAATATGTCGCAATCTTCATAAACTTTCATAGATTGTGGAGTCGTGGTTCGTGAATTAGGTTGGCGCCGCGATGGTAATGTCGCGGGTATAGTGTGGAAGTTGGGTAGCGCGAATTGTTCTAGGTATCTTTCGTCGGAAAGCCGCCAGGTGATGGCCGACATGGATAATACAACAGGGACGACTTCTAAATTGGGACTCCAAGCTGTGTCGTGTTCACCTAGAATCGTCAGATGGAGCCCCAACGTCTCCTCCGGAAAGCTGTCAAACTCCCCCATGTTCTAAAGCGGAAGACCGTGAGTACTTCGCCGCCCTGCCACAAACCCCCGTGGAATCAATCGGGGCTGAGTTCCAACTTCACGGTGTTATTCGCAAGTCTACGTCCATCACTGGACTGCAAGCGGTTTCGGAAAAATCAACTATGTACACATGAAAGACCACCCCACCCACGATTCGACGTCGCAATTTTTTATCGTGTGGATAGTAGCGAAACGGTTTCCGAGCTTGGTTGTGCTTGGCATCGAGAAGCCTCGAGAAGCCGTTCTAACATGGCTTTGGGTTTCCCGAAGATTTCCTGGGTTGCCATTTTTCTCTACGCGTGGTCAACAAATTCAATGATTTAGAAGCTTCGGCAGTGCGCGCCTCAAGACACCCGACCTTGAAAATGTGGTTTACTTGTGAGGGAATGTCCAGGGCATCATCTGGGCGGCCAGGCCACGTCTTCCGGGTGGCCATGAAGTTAACAGCGCAGTTCATGGCGGCGTCCGGTTACCTCTCTGAGTGGCACATCTCGTGCATGATGAAGGGTTGGTCTGGAACATGGTGAGGATTTGTGGGAGCTGGTGGTAGATATTGACTTCTGTCTGGTCGTCGTAGACCGACATTCCGAGACGGAGGGCCTGTTTTCGTGTCGTGGGCGATCGTTGAAGATCATAGGGCTGCCCAACGTCAGCAGACCGTATAGAGTAACGAAATGCCCAAACTGGAATGTATGGCGGATATACTAACTTACCAGGTGCAGATATTAAATCTCATTTGATCAACATTGAAGCTTAGGCATCATCTTACCGAGCTAATGCGTACTAGCCCCAAAGCTGCACTATGCAATCGTGTATTAGTGCATAATTAGAGCCAGACAAACCCTGGCACATGGGCGGAGATCCACGCTTTGTGTGTGGGTGGATATCTCGGTCTCGCTTTTTTCCAACATAGCAGAAACATATTGCTAGGATTGGCACCCTGAAATTGCCTACGTTGATTCCAAAACCCGCGACGCCCTGCTTGAGAATGTGTGTGTTTTCTTCAATCCTCGAGACTTTTAGAGAAGGCCGTTGTTGATACCCAGGTATTAAAACTGAAGACGCACACACAAATACAAAGAAACTATAAGAACAAGGCCTGGGCAGCCAAGTTTGTATCCCACCAGGTTCATTGAAGACGACTCCAGGTAGCCGTCGTGATAGAGGCTTCCACTAGGCTGAAATCAGCACACCTCTATTCTGCTGACTGGCCGATTGCCACAACCTGGGGTCTTTCATGATCAACAGCGCAGGGCTTCCATAACCATTTGTAGAAGTCTTACCTACAATCCGTGCATGACCAGTGGTTGCAGAACAGCTTCCTCTTCCCCTGAAGAATGGAGGTCCTGCCGGCCCAGGGTTCATGTAGTGAATGGGGGGCCGAGGTGGGGGTGGGGGTATATCCGCGGGCTGAGAGCGAACTAGGCCTTCGTAAATCTGCATCCATCTGCCCCACCCTACATGCTTGAAGACTGGGAATCCGGAGAGATTTGAACCTGACAGCAACGATAAGCTCATGGGGGTGAAATGCATACGAACGGAAACGCAATTTTGGGCCAAGTACCGCTCATTCATGTCCCCGCTAGACTTCACGTTGTAGACTCTTAGCAGGATGTCACCGATACAGTCCAATACTAGAATCGGCATTCTGACATGTAGTGGCATTGTCGGAGCAAGAGCAACAAACCATCCCAGGGTTCCAATTCAAATAACAGCTTCGAACAACCAACGGGTTGCTGGTAATAACTGGACGAATATATGTGTAGGCCGGTAAATATACAGACTCGTAGATATACACACATGTGGATATCCACCCCCCGCTCAATCGCTTCCAAGGCTAAATCTCACACATATCCGTTTTTCTGATCAGCTCGCCGACGTCACCTTGTCAGACGTTAGCAAGAAAGCTTGTCACAGAGACTTAGGGTTTGAACTATTCAGCACCTGAGAATGCCGAGTCGGCCTCTAGACACTTCATATGCCACTCCATATGGCTCGCCCAATCGGCGCCAACGACGCTGTTAATCTCCCGCAACACATGATCGCCCCAGTCCTTGAAGAACCAGTTCTTTGCCCCGGAGGAGTGCAGAATTACGCAGTAATACGAGAGTATGATCAATGCCACGGGATGACGTTTCCGAATGAGATTCATGAATTCGTCGTCGAGGCCAGTGGGCCAGGCCATGCAGACTCTAACTTTGGGGATGCTGGTGGAGGCGAGCGAGCTGTTACAACACTTGCGCAGACTGGTGATGGTATTTTGACATAGAAACCTCGCGTGCATATTCATATCTTCGGGCAGCGCGAACATTTCCAGACGCTCGTTGATCTCTGTGAGCAAGGGGCTTGTGTTGGCGTAGTTGGGGAGACGCAGCAGTCGGCCCAGACAACCGACTTTGATCTTGTCATCCCAGTTGTCGAGGATTGAGCCCATGCCCCGGATGAAGATGAATACTTCGATCAGGTCGTCGATGACGTACATGCTGTCTTCCCTGCGGTGGACGGAGAAGCGGGCGAAGGCGCTGATCATGAGCAAAGATGACGCCGCAAAGAGCGGATGGCAAGTCTCGTCATCAATCGAGGGTAGCGCACATCGCAGGCCTTTAGCCGCGTGATCTTGGTGGTTAGAGGCTTGCATAAGGTACATGGCGCGTTTGTCTGGTTCGAGCACGGCCAGGTGATACGCGGCGATGGCGAGGATTTGGTGTAGTAGATACGTATACTTCAGGGACATTTTGGGAATCTCAGTCTGCCATATTGTGAAGACTTCATTGGCTCGCGGCAGCGTGCGGTAGGTAGAGACTGTCCAGTGATGCATCAACTCCAAATCGGTTACCCAGGTGCTGGTCGTTGCCGTACCAAGATCCCGCGCCACATCCGCAAAGAACAGCAGTGGATCGAGATTCACGGCTGGCGGCGTGAGGTTGTGACGGGGAGAAGTATGGCTCGCGCCTAATACAGACGCTGGGGTGAGGGCTGGGGCAATGTTGCGTAGTGAACGTGAGGCAGAAGGCGCTGGATCACTCGAGACGCTCACCCAGGACTATAGATAATGAGCACGTGTTGCGGCGAGATAACGCTTTATTTAGGGTCTACTCACATTGCTCCGGCCCTCGCCTGAGGTAAACATCTGTTCGGGCGAGTTGCCGTTGCTAGAGGTAGCTGGGCCGGATCTCGGCGGGGTCTTAATGAGGCTGCATCTGACTCCATGTCTTATACAGGCGGAACAGGGTACCTCCTCATCACACTGTGTCTCACTGCGTCAGTATGGCTATCCTCAACTAACCAGCAGCAAAGTGTGTAACGAATTGATGTTGTGATACCTTGACCCGTCTTTGCTTACACCTCGCGCATCCGGTGCGGGACTTGCGATACCCCAAGCGCGGCATGGTCTTCAACCGCAGGCCAATCAGTGGCAGATAAGATTGCGAGCGAGACCGAGTTTGCTAGGTGGATTGCTAAGCGACTCGTCGGATCTAAATGTGATAGGATCTGGATTCGGTGGTGTGCCGATCTAAACCCCTAGAGGCCTTCGCACTTCGCTTTCCAAGCACACAACCAAGTCCCCGTTGCGCAGAAAACTAGAACGACTGGGATTCTTCGCAAAGGACACGTTGAAACAAGAAAATCTCATTAACCTTCGGTGAAAGAGACCCCACGCAGAGATATAACGGTGATCACTCCCGCCGTATGCCCTGTCTTGAGCTTTTGATGGTTGAGAAGGCTAAGCCAAAACAACTCAAAACGTCATGGCTGCAAATAGCTGCTCACCCTTCACCCGAGCTCTCGTGGATGTTGAACAGCTGAACCCCACAGTAGGCAAGCCGCTGTCGTGGCTATGACGGGATTCAAACCCAACCCAAACCGTCAAAGGTCTCGACTTCCGCGTATTTGCTGTCGAGTCAGTAGTAACCATGCGTAGGTAAGCGGCGTTGCAGTGCAATCATTGATGGAGAAAAAGGGCTGAAGCAGCACATTCCAGACAGGCATGTCAGCCGGTAGACGCGTAGATCGACCGGGCTGGGCTGGGCTGGGCTGTGTGTGGGAGGATGAAAAAGGAAAATGAAAAAGGCAGGGGCCGGCAGCGTCCTCTATGGTCGACTTCCCCCAATTACACCGCTTTACGAATACGAGATGACGAGTGAAACCTCCCACAATCCGCATATCCTAGCCCTCGCAGCAAAGCTTATTTTATGAGTGATTGCCGTTCCCGGATTGACCCAGGCATTATTTTAATGAAAACCTTCCAAACGTCTCTTCATCGCAATAATAAGGCTGAGGTGTATCTTATTGCAGCTTACCTGTGTCAAGGTCTACAAACATGACTAATGTTTCGTGCCAAGCTCACGAAACATGACGGCCTTCTCGTGCAAGTTCACCATACTCGACTATCGTCGCGCGTTTCATCTTATGTGCCCGCCTGGTTACAGGTTCTGCACTTCCGACATCGACAACCTACACCACTACCCAGTTGGGTACCACCTCATGCCCGTCCAAATCCCACATGACCAGTCTAGGCTGGTTTCCATGAATTCTGGTAGTGGGCCTACTGGTTCAATGCTGCAAGGCAGCTTCAGCTGGCCCATAATAAACGCAGCCTTTGTAGCAACCCCCACCCCCTCCAGTAACGGTAGTGGAAACTTCTTGACATGTCCCCATAACCTTCAAACTATCTGCTTTGGGCCATCTCATTCATCGGTTTCAGAGAAGCTGCGCAGCATACACCATGAGCAGGACCGAAGGATCTGCAGATTTTCATGCACTAAAGCAAACAGCCAAAGACAGTGAAACAAAAACCCCGGCAAGTATGTGTTCGAATACCCGCAACCGGGATATCCCCTTCCCGGATCACGATGCCCCAGAATGGTGGACGCGTCTTCCCACCGCAGCAAGCACGACATGACTCGTGCATAAAACCGTTCGTAATTTTCGTGTCGGGAGATTGGAGACTCGAAATCCATGGGTCGCGGTTGGTACAAATATTGTGGTTCGGTCGCTGGTGGGATACTGATCTATGCATTTATTTCACGTCTGTCTTGCCCACAGCCCCCGAATTGCAGGCTGTTAGTAATGTTGCATTCAGCTGACGATCATTGGTTCAGGCATCAAGGGCTCGCGGTGATTAAGGCACGCACAACTCCCAATGGAGGGGCACGATAAAACGAGCAGTGGCTCTGCTGACCACCTTACCACTGGTCCTGATTGGGAAATTCCTCTAAACGCAAAGTTCAATCGAATTTCACTGACGTCGAAGAATTCACATGGAATTGTATCGTGAAGCCCAGCCAGCGGGGGGACCACCTCTTGGTCTGATCGTATGTACTTCATTCCCCCAAAGAAACCGTTACTGCTACTCTACTGTGTTTCTTATCTCCTCACGAAATAACCCATTCGAGTCGACCATGTAGAATATGTACCGATTTCGGTTGCTATCCATTATACTACCCGAGGGTTGGGGTTTAGTATGAGGCTGGATCCCAAAAGTCTGACCTATTGCTGGGGTGATCTTCGACTGATCGAGACGACGTGGAACTACCACGGACTGGCTCTTGTGCGGGAGTGGGACTGGACACATTGAGCCACACTTCTCGAGCAAAGCGTTCGGGGTCGGCTCGGGCCGGTTTTGGCGCCGTCGTCTCAGTCACCTTTGTTAGAATGGGATCTGTGCCGTGGGCGCATATTCTGCCGATCGTGGCCTTGGCCATTGGACGACAGCATTTCTCAAAGAAACGGTAGCCTTGTTGTTCTGGCTCAGATCTATCCTGGGATGACTCGAGTGCGAACGCTCGGAGACGGCGACGTATGTCTCGTTGCAGTACTTCCGTTGTCATTCTCTCGTCCTTCCGTTCTTGTCGCAAAAGGGTGGCCAACTCACGAGACTCCCGAATGAGGTTAGTGAATGTATGGATGGCTGTCTCGGTTCTGAACATCGCCTTCTTGCTAGGCTCCAACGGAGCTTTTTACAGAATCACAATGGCCTGGCATCTTGTGCGGGTGCTTCGACCCAAGGGAAGAGCTTCCAGGTCTCGCAAGTTTCTGAGTCGCTTCTGCTGACTGTCGCTCTCATGATCTTGTACTGGCGCAGATTGTGTATCTCGCTGCTGTTCAGCAACCCGCTCCGGTGTCAACACAAGCGTGGATGGGGCCTCATTGGCTACATCTTCGGCCGGAGAGGCCGGTACATCTAGCTCTTTACCTCGATGTGGTCTAGCTATTGCCGCGGACAGGTTGAACCTAGTCACTCAACATCGTAAAAATAGCGTTACCTGCTGGCCAGCACATTTAAGCATTACAAGGTATGGGCCAGATTTATACGTTTGGTCTCTTCTTCGCCATATGAGGTTGACCTGACTTTGAGGACTCCAACGATGGCTGGCGCGGTGACGACTCATGTTTTGGGTCAATATGTATGGCCTCCACGCCTTGGCTTCCATCTCGAGCTATGTCTTGGCGCTACCAAGCTAGGATCGGGTCAAAGGATAAATGGATGACCTTTCTGACATATGGCGCAATGACTAGCACATGGGGCCTTCCAGCTGATCTTTCTTTGGAAGTGTCATCGGCACAGGTCCACGCCTCCATGAGCTCAGACACATGACGACAGCTGGGAACGCAAGATCGATGGCCGAGGGCCTGGAACACATTAAACCTTCTAGTCTCATTATTCTTTCAAGTGATGGTGTCAGGACTGTGATCCGTTGATTGTCGCATGCCAACTCTGGTGCATGTATACCAAGGATGCCGGCCAGTAGTTCTGAGAGTAAATACCTCTATTTCCGCGTGCTTGAACCCAGTGAAGTACAACCAGTAGACATCAGTTGTGTACGAGCCCTATATTAACGTAAAGCTAGACTTCTACTGAAGACTATAGTGATTATACAGAAAATAACTGTTACACGCAATGGTGGTCGAATATTTGAGAGTTGTAAGTGCATGACATTCTATCTAGTACTATGGAGCACGAAGGTTGGACGTAGTCCCAAAGGGCTAAGTCACGTGGTAACCTTGGTGGTGTTGGCGAAGCCCACCAAGGTTGCCTCACAATAACGAAATAATTAGAAAGTATTTTTATGTAGGTAATTACTCGACATAAACCTTATACAAGCTATAGGTATGTATATCTAGGCTAATAAATTCAAATTCTATATGATTTAATGTTCAGCAAAGAGGAGTATTCTAATTTATAATATTCAGTGTAGCGAAATTCGGTATTGCGTTGCAAAGCACGCAGTTTTGGTAAAACCTTGTATCTCGTAGTGCCATAGTCTTTATGGTCTTGCGCCATTCAATGTGAAACCTAGGGGTCATCGACTTTGTCCGATGGGCTGCCTCCCAGCTTTCTGCAACGTGCATGGCAGCAGATAAATACGAAGCATTCTATTGGTCAGAATATTTCATTATTTGTCTCTGTAACGCTGCTTGCACAAGCACACCCAGCTGTACAGCACACCGGCCATATTATACGTGCGCATCATTCCATATAGAAATATGATGTTAGTACATCTATGATATTTTGGTCTCGTGCTCTGTCGTATATATAGAGCGCAAGCCTTCGCAATAAGCTGATTCAACTATGCAAATGTACCAACTTTCTTGCTATCATAATCATTACGTGGTGTCTCGGGCAGGGGTATTCTGTAACTGGTGTGCCATGCAATACGGATCACCTCATAGAGTTGCGGAAAACAGTGGAAGACGGTGGTATCAAGTATATGGCCACATTGGGAACTATAAAAAAAAAAATATTAAATACGCCGTAGGTGTTAACCCTCGGTACCTCTACAAGTACTCCCTTAAGGGGCTATAGATGATATAGCGGGCCCTTAAGCCGCGTCGGGCGGTTATACAGGTAAACTTGTAGCCAAATGACTACTAAACCTCCTGTCCCTCCCTAAGTCTGTGCTACAACCCCTGCCTGAACTACCGATAAGTGTGGTAATGTGGCACTTAAATTCGTCCTCAGGGGTGGGATGCTGCTGATGTGCAGAAGATGCTCGACTATTTTTTTGTCGCGACAAGTCGTAGTATCTGCTAATTGGGGTTCTCGTCGAGCGTATACATCTCAACCATACGCTCAAGTGGATAGACCGTAACGTGGTCAGACGCTCGCAAGAATCGCGGCGAGAGGGCGTGCTGCGCGCCTTCTATCGTGAGGGGACGGGTTCGCCGACGAGCGTTATCGGAAAGGCGAGGTCCGATAAGGGGTCGGATTAACGATTCGAATTCTGGACCGGCTGTCGAGTTATATTCCGCCGACGTAGTGCTTGACGGTCGACTGGCTAGGATGCTCGTAATCCTAAACTGCACCAATCTCCCTATTATCGCTAGGTAGGCGAAGTCAACAAGGTGGGCAGCGCGCCGTAAGGGTTGACTAAACCCCCTTGTGTGTCAGCTGCGGGATTCGAACCCGCGACTCGTCACCGACCCAAGTGGGCGAGGCTCAAATCGGGACTTATCTACCAGCGAAGTGACCAACTACACCAGCCGACTATAAAGGTTATCCTAGGAGAGTCTAGGTTTCATTCATCCGAATCCTCCTCCTTGTTTCCTCTAGTGATTGGTCAATCCGGTGAACTCTATTGATTGGAGATGAACACCAGACGCTTCACGAAGCAAACCATTCTGATTATTGAAACATTTCGAGACTAGTTTCTCAACTTCAATTCTCAAACTGTACGACTCAGTTACGTCTATACCATGTGTCATCGAACTGCAGAACGTGTTGGATTCTGCAACCTAAGCTGTTTAGAGGCTGAGACAACGCTAAGATGTCACCCAAGCAATTATTGGACAATTCTCGAATTGCCCCGTAGAATCTTTTAGCCTTAATGGTGCTCTGGGGCTTCTTCCATGGTATGATCGCGACTAGTGTCCAAGATGGGATGTTCGCTATCTTGAGGCTAAAAGCCAGCAAAATTTCGTTCAAAGTGGGAATGTCTACGTCCAAAATGGTGCGCCAGGGGTCTCGCGTTATTAACCGACAAGCTTGATCACAGTTTCGTGCCATCATGATATCAATCTCGGAAATGCCTGTACTTTCCTGAACTATCGGTTTAAGATGATTCATGAGGTTTGACAGCCCAAAAGCCAAGGCCTCGTAGGCCAAAGAATGAAGTCATCTTCAGGCAGAGTAGCTCTGGTATTCTTGGGTTGACTTGACCAGGTCTTTATCATGTACACGGACAATTCCAGGCATGCTATGACATGAATGATCCACTGTATCATACACTACAAATAATCAATGGAACATATAGAAATAGCGGATGAGCCACTTCGATGGCAGTTTTTGTCTCTATTCTACGCGGGGTTCTTCGCCGGGTTTGGAGGTGGAACAACTGAGAAGATAAATTGAAAGTTGTGTTCATATTTAGGCAATTTTTCAGTCTGGTAGTACAGTTTAAACTTGAAAGTAGTTATAAAAGGGACGTTTAGATTGGGAAAGAAGTAATCCTTCATATAGAACCTGTGCTAGCCCTCTCTAGCTTTCCAAATGTTGCACGAAGAAGTTGCCTTTTCTTGTACAAGCACAAGATGGAAATGTTTGGATTCAATTACATGACGTGTATATTAAGGGGATGTATGATCGCTAACTAACGTATATTCCACATCTTTTCCTTTCTGAAGATGATATATACTACTTGTGATATGCCACTGGGCCCCTTGTTGGATATTTTTCTTTTACGTCAAGTGATTTTCATTGAGGACAATGAATGCCGTCAGAAGAATATATGTGGTTATTAGACTTGTTCACACAGCAGCTATTTCATCTTCCCTGGCTGCATTATTTGCACTCTGAAATAACTTTCTCCCCCTAAATGTCGCATATACGGACGCACAGAGCTTCTTCTAGGATTTATTTTAAAACATGGCCATCGAGGTAGGTGTTGACTGATATGAGTTTGAAAACATGATAGCTGGTTATGCTTGAGCACTATTACCTGAAATAAATCAAGTCTAGAGCCTATCTAGATGATCTGAGGAATCCAGAGATCAATGGACCGTGAAGGCCAGACCTTGAAGTCGACGAAATATCCTGTGCAGGGAACAATGCAAGTGATACCGGATGTTGTCCAGACAGAAATGAAACTATGCATGTTAATTGTTGAAGTGCTCACACGCTTCACTATTGGATTAGCCTGGCAGGAGGTTGAATTAGGGCCACACGTCTCCCGCCTTGGATTAACTGCGACAAATCTCGTGGTGAAAAGTCCAGCTAGTTGTTATGGTATTCATGGGATTAATGAGTATGAATATTCAAAGCTGAGTGGCGCTGCAATTACTTATATAAGCGGTGGCATAAATTTGGGTCATCCTGTATTAGGTCCCACGCATGAACGTAAGTAAGCAAGTGAAATGGGTAAATGAAACAAGTAAATCACGACCCTTTCATAGTCGGCTTTGTACCAAATAGGATTATGTCAAACCCCAAATACGGATATAAGCAAGGAGGTATACCAAGTATGTGAGTGCCCCCTCATGGATGGTTAACCACCTGCCCAACCGTGAGCTAGTCAGTCATTCAGCCATGTGCACAGCCACTGTCTGTTAGCCACTATGGTGCTGGGCCACAGAGACTCCGACTTTACCTCGATCAGAAGGACTGCATGGGCCTTCAAGGAGAAACACACTTCACACTAGACAGATAATTGAACCATATTTTCCGGGATGCCTGACGGCGAAATGCTTGGCTGGGATATGCTGGATTCTAAAGGATTCGGAAGACGATAAGCTCGACCCGGAAGGTTCTGCATCTACAAAATATGCTGAGTCAGGTCGTGACCAAGTACGAGTGGGATTCCAGCCGAAAGCAGCGAGGAAAGAAGTCTCTGTGTAGATGCAGTTCATGAAACCAACCCTGAAGTGATCATTTCGGCGACTAGATAGCAGCCGTGAACGACGACCAATGAAAAAGGGCCAGCACGAGAAGATTGGAAATGATTAGGATCAAGATCTTTCTAGGGTCCTTGGAAGGCGATTGCGTCAAGACACAGCTCAGTGGGACAAAGAACAGATGAAAGGTGAGAAGCACATGGTCCTGCAGGGTCTTACTACGGATCCACGATGGCAACGGCGAGACATTGGGGCGAAACTGATTCTATGGGAGATCGATATCACCGATGCCGAGACCTTCCATGATGGGTACATGCCACGCCGGCAGGCCACGGCTTATACAAGCGGGCTGGGTTTCAGGAGGTCGGACATACGGATTATGATTTGGATGAATGGGCACGGGGTGGGAAGGGGGAGAATGATGGTGGGGGAAGTTCACGTTTACGTATATGATTAGGCCGACGAAAAGGGGTGCTTGGTTATGTGCGGTGTATGGAGTGAGATGGGCTACACAACGTTGCCGAGTTCAGATTGCTCCATATGATCTACAAGGACTAATAGAGCAGACGGACCTCATATAAAAACATGACTTAGAACTCAATGACTCGATTCATCCAGAACCTGAGTATGAAGATATAAAAATAGCGTGGGTATTTGAACAAAATAATGACAAAGCAAATAAGTTAATCGCCCTCTCCTCCCTCCCATATACCATATATGACATCAAGGACTCCATATCCTCGTCCTTACGCCCGAACCATTCGCCGGGTTCAAAATAGACATCCGATCATCATCCAAAGCACTCCCCCCAAAATGACGAATGTCTTTCAAAACAATATCCCCTCCGCTGCGAGACGCCAACGTTGCCGGCCTCGACATCGTTCTAGGCCTCGAGCTACGCGTGGTATACGTCGGCGCCCCCCGATTCTGCGGCCACGTTTCATTTGTATTCTTCCGCCATCTTTTGGGAACAAAGGTTGCAAGTAACTTTTCGCGGAACGGCCGAGTGGTGCCAAAGACTATGAATGCCACGATGCTGGGAGTCACGCCTGAGATGTAGCCCCGGATGCTGGAGAGGGCGCGCTTGTCGCTAAGGTCAAGGACATTGTCGGCTATGTTTTGGGCGAGCTTGCGTTGGGTGGCGACGCGGGGCAGGATGGCCAGGATTTCAAAGGTGCTGGGGAGTCAGTTAGTAATATGCCCTGCTCCTCGGTCGCGTTTTTCTTCCTCTCCTTCTCTTCTTTTCTTTCTTGGCGGGGCAAAAGGGGTGGAGGGGGGGATGGGAAGGGTTCCGAACCCTTACCAAAGCATCAAAAGCGCAACCGTAAGACGAATCACAAGCCAACTATCATACGTCCCCCCAGTTCCAGGAATCGACAACTTCCGGCTGTATCTGCCACTGCTGAAGCTTGTCGTTGCGGATGATTTCTCCAGTTCGCGCGAGACGTTCCACGTCCTGAACTGCCGGCGCGATTCCATGTACTTGGCGAGTATCATAACGAGGAAGATGGAGCTGCCGATAAGACTGATGATGACTATGTTCAAGTTAGCCACAGGGGTACCCAGTGCATTTTTCTCTTCCATAAGAGGACTGCTAAGTGAGTTGATGAGGTTGCGTCGATTGGACGTACATTGCGCATTGGCAATAATCATGTAAGTCGTGTACGACCTCTGAGCGAAGGGGAACTCGAGTAGAACGATAGTAATCGCCGTAAGCGCGAGCGGGACCACTCTTCCCGTAATGGAAAATATGCGCTGGGGTTTCGAGTTCTGCGACCACCAGCCGTATACGGTGATTGCTAATGAAAGAGCACTAAACATTTTGTCAGCAACTGTTGATACTTGGTGTGATTGGAGAAGGCTGTCGTACAAGAAGAAAACGAATGTAGATTCGATGTTGAAGGCAAATATCCCTATTGATAGTGTTATTAGCATATGAACAGGCTTGCATCTCATAATCCAATCTGCGCATGAGGGTGACAGCCACTCACTGATATAAGACAGAACCAATTTGAGTCCCGTCGCGCCCCTGTGGTACTGCACCTCCGCACTATCGGCATGGTCGCGCAAATCGTTGAACTGTTCCGTGAGGATATCCTTCCACAGCACATAGTCGTAAAATTGTTGAATGACGCTCGACAACGTGGCAATGAGTGCGAAATAAGCAATACAGGCGATATCTTTGACTTAGTGTAAGAAACGCGAGTCCAGCCAAAGTCGCTCAATGTGCCGAGATAGATTAGATGCGGGTATGACTTACAACTAGTCCTCTCCCGATGCGTCCAAGTAAGCCATACGAGCAGAATATTGCTGATCAGACACACAAACGAGTAAAACAGCGCACCGGCGGCGTCTGCGTAGACCGCCTTGGGGAGTTGAAACACCATCTCATCGATCACCGCATTTCATATTTTTGGTATAGAAAAACTGAAAAGAAAGAGAATTAAACGACTTCACTAGAAACGCAAGCTACGTAGATGGTGTAAGTCCGGGTTTATGATGGATGTAAGTCATAAACTAACGAACCCTAGGGGAGGGGTGAGCCGCTGTGGGGTCTTTCGCCTTGACGTAAATCAGCCCATGCAACTATACACAGGGGCATGACTCGTGGTGCAGACGCATCATTATTATTCGGCACCTTGCCCAGTTGTTTGAGGAGTGTGCTTTGCAACGCACAATTGCCGCGCTTGGTTGATAATAAACAGGTGATGTTGCATTGGTTTGATCAGGTGGAAGAGGTCTGTATGTATAAAACGTTTATTGCGTCCATATTGACCCCACTATATTTCCCGACCGCTCTTGGTAGGTTGGAAGAGTGAAATACGCAACCAATTAAAATACGTTAGACGCCTACTAAGTATATCGAATTCAACTTGATGCATCCATACACGCACGGCAAGGACAAACAACGGATAATAAATAGAAGATCCGAGAGAGCTTGGACTGCCGTTTTTCGATAGGTTCGGCGGTTGGTATTGCAACCGATCCGATCCGAACCGAACCGTTACAATGGAGGGTGGAGTCGGGGTACTACGTAAGGAGCATCGGAAACGGGTCGATGGATCTCCTGAAGCCTGCCTTGGCCGAAGGGTCCTCCAGGAGGCGCTTCAGATAATCCAAAACCGGGAATTCGTGACATTTTTTCGTAACTTTGTGGTTTTGTGGTAGGAGAACATAGCCTCTGTGTAACCACGTGGTGAGGGTGGAGAGAACAACGTCGTCCTGGTTAGGTCAGTGCATAACGGGGGCTGAACGGGGTCAGATGGGATAAGAGTTATCTCCTTATTATACGGGAGGATTCATTGATGAACCCTCATGAATACGAAGTAGTGATGGATACGACAAATAGGGCAAGCATATTATATCGATGGTCAGGAATCGCCGTTGTTGGAAAATTGCCCTTGCTATCAATCCACGTGCGTATCTAACCTGAGCCAACTTCTACATCTGGACCTTCTGCTTTTCCTCCATTCCCTCCCTCAAAATAGCGATCTGTTTCTTGATCTCGGCCCACAAGACAAGCTTCTCAAGATCACCGTCAGCATCACCCCCTCCGAGGATACCAACCCATCCGTCGCCCAGATCCTCAGTCCAGCCGGCCTCGTCACTCTTCCCAGGCTTCTTCGACTTCTGCGCGATGGATAGCAGGGCAGCGACGAAGGCTTCCTGGATATATGCGAAGCTGAAGTCGTCCGTGGTCGCAGCAATAGCGTTGCAAAGCTCGTTTGGGAACTCGATATCCTTGTTATCGGACAGCTTGGACTGCCAGTATCGGCAGTACAGAATGCGCTCCTTGAGGTTCGGGTCGGGGAAGTAGTACTTTCGGTCGAATCTCGAAGGGCGTTTCTGCGTATCGTTAGCTTGGGGCTTCTTATGGGGTTATTTTCGGTAGGGCTTACGGAGATACCGGGATCAAGACGATCCAAGTGATTTGTACTTCCAACCATGAAGACGCCGTCGTTGTTCTTGAGCCCATCGACCTCGTTAAGGAAGTAGCTGCGGACGCTATCCGTGACGAGCGAGTCGAGGTCCTCGAAGACCAAGTAGCACGGGGCGAACTCCCTGGCCTTGGCAAAAATCTGTTGAGTTGAGTACTCGGGACCACTGAACTAATTGGGAGAAGGTTCAAATCAGCGCATGCTACAGGCACTTACAGCGGCGATGGCACCCACCGAGCTCAAGCTACGGACGTAGAGGGTCGGCACGGCTGGCTTGAGATTGTACAGCATGTGCATGGTCGCCTTGATGGAGATGGTCTTTCCGTTTCCCGGGGGGCCGTGGTAAATGATGCCGCGCTTCCAGGGCACCTTGAGGCGGGTGTAGGTCTCACGCGAGGTGAAGAAGGTCAGGTGGTCGTCGATAACAGCTTGCTTCATGGTCGGTTCCAGGATGACGTCGTCCCACGAGGCCTTCATGATGCTATTGAAGAGCTCGCCGCTCTTCTGCCAGTACCCACCGTCGAAGACGAGAATCTCCCCGTGCATGTCGGCACCCCATCGCCCGACCTCGAGAATTAGCAGCTGCGCCTTGTCCTTGGTGGGCGTTAGGATGTAGTAGTTGATCACCGAAGGGTAGTTCTGGGAGCCGTCGCGTCCGTCGACGAGGTAGATGATGAATTCCAGGCCACGCCACTTGTAAAGATACTTCTCGAAGAAGGGACGTTCCGCAATTCCGCCCTGGGCTCCGTCCAATCGTCGGGCTGGGGCGACGTAAAGGTCCCAGGACAGCGACTCGGGGTTCTTCCCACTGGATTCTCCAATGGTTTCGAAAGAGGCCAAGCCGGCCTGGGCATAAGCGATCAAATTGCAGGTCCGGGCCGGGGTGATGACAAGCTCGAGGTTGGGATATTGCTGTTTGAGCGACTTGGCCATGACGGTGTCCGTGTTGACGCGTTTGGCGCTGGAGTGAGAGAAGAAATCTCGCGCCGTACTGTCTTCTTTCGGGTGTTCAGCCGCCTGGGCCATGAAGGTTGCCTTTGCCCGCTCCCAGTCTTGCAGGCTCTCTCCGAACCGGTCGGCATCAGAGGTGTGTTCCCGCCCCGGCCGCTTTGCCCATGCCTTCAGGGTTTGTTCCTGCTGCTCTTGCCACAACTTCAACTGGGCTAGGGTGTCAGGGGCGAGGCCACTGTTTTGTATGCAAGCGTCCATGTCCTCCAAGTGCTGCTCAGCCAGCTGCCCCAGTCCAGGGCGGCCATCGGATTTCCCCGAGGCATCCTTGTTATCTTTATTGGTTCGAGCTGCCATGCTTCTCGTCTTTTCCGAGAACGGGACAAATGAAGTAGAAGGCTTCAAAAAGCCTGGTATAAGGTACATAAGGTGGTTGCCTAAACACCCACGGTAGACATGCACAGCTGGTGTTCGTGATCACTGATGAAGTGCGGGGGACCTAACTGCGCCACCCATCCTACCGATGGAAACCCAGCAATGTTCCCCGACAATCAGTGAAGCGAGGCGTCTGTGGAGTTGAATGCTGGAATTGTATGGATGTATCTTGAGCTCGGTTCAATTATGACGTGTTGCGGTTGGCCCGTGGAGGATTTAGCCTTGGGCGTCGGCGGTTGGTGTCTCGGCGACGGAGGCTTGGTGCATTTTGTGGATTGAGGTACAGCGCATCCCTGGCGCTACTGACCATGCCCGGAGCCTAGTTAGATGCCAAGCTATTCCCACGCAGCCGGCCGTCTATGCATAAAGTCTATTTTTGCCTGGTTTTGAACAGGCATGTTTATTCACAGAGCTGGAAAAGAGGGCCTCTAGGAAAGGACTACTCGTAAATGCAACAGGGCATACATCGATGGCTGCTACTCGATGCTTTTTAAGTCTAGTCATGCAAAGTTGCTCGGGGCCAAATTAGTAAGTGAACATAGAATGGATATACCAAGTGTGGTGGCACCGAGTTTCGTTACAATTATCCAATGCAATGTTGCCACAAATTAAATAGTTGAACAGAAAATGTATAGGATTGTGGTCTCAATATCTCTCTCTACCAGACAACTTAAGTGACTGTCATGCCTATGTGGAGCTGGTGTTATTAAGCAGTATCACTGGAACATCATTGAAACGATCCCTTGGTTATGATAGTGTTGCCAAACTAAACCATGACCATCTCCTTGCCTTTTACCAAAGGAAATCCTCCTCTCGCAGAACTTGATCGTCCTTCCAGACCAGGATGATGCAAATTGCCACAAATCCGTTGGTTTCGCCAAGACCAGCCACCAATCACTCTTTGATGGCATGTACGAGTGAGTACAGGTTAGGTAGAGTGAATCGAGGGTTAGCCATTCATCCAGTAGCATCATCGCATTAACTGACGTGTTAAACTGACAGCGGGACTGTGCCTCTCTGTCTGGAACCATTGTTGTTGCCCCCGCCTGGAACATCTTCCGTGGTCATTGCCAGATCGATATCCTACCACTTGACCCGAAGCATTGATACTTCAATACGCCGGGATAACTCACAAAGGCTTGAATGGCTTCGTGATATCCAAACCACAACAAGCTCAGACACCCCATGTGTGTCAGCCCTCAAAACTTAGAACTTCGCGGTCTGCTGTGAGTGATGAAAAGACACCGTCCTTGGTCAGCATGAAGACGCTGTCGGTATCAATCTTGGGGTTTGAAAAATCCGGCTAAGAGTTTGCTGGTGCGGATCTTAGCCGTCAAACGTTGGCTTGCATTTTACGGCGAGAGGTTGATCATTGGTTTGTTAGGAATTTTCAATCATGGTGAGTTAGCTGATGATTTGGGGCGGGTGAACTTTTCAGTGACTGTGGGGATGCAAAGATGGTTGGTGGTACAACAGTCTAGAAGGAGCACCACGAGAAGCTTGATTATAGCCTTCAGTTTCTGACTTCATACAAAACATGTGGTTTTCTTGCTGAGACGCGGCCAAGCTTGGATATGAGAAGTTGTATATAAAAAGGGCATATAGCGACGCAATCTTACCCGACTGTCGCTTCTCACTCGTTGAGTATTTTTGCAGTAAGTCTAAATGAAGAAACTGATCGACTAACCACACTGCTGCTTGGACTACTATTTCTGCTTCCCCCAAACTATGCAGCCAACCCTAAGTTAGTGGGCACAAATTCTGCGCGCGAGTATAGTATAGAAGCCCTATCAAGCTGCCTATGAGCTTACTATGTGTTTGTGCTATCTATTTGGCACATATTGACATCCTGTTTGTCAAATAGTTTGGCCCATTTCAATTTTATCCTCCCCGCTCAGCGTCACAGGATACTCCTTCCTGCTTGATGAATGCCACACAACAGAGCTTATATTGGGACATGTTAGCTTACACACCTCCACAAACATCCAAAGCACTCTCACTAGGTCCTCCATTTCTGTGTGGTCTTATTCGGGGGTTTCGCCCTCCGAACACCATGCTTCCCGAGCGTGAGTGAGCGCAGCGATTGCGGTCAGATTTCCTCCAGGTAGGTCATCGTCATGTTTGTCGGGAGGCTACGAGCATGAATATTTATACGTACAGATACTCGAGGACTGAGAAGACGGCTAAGCGGTGAAGCCGCCTGTGTCGTCGGAAGCCGAATTGTAGCATGTATCTAGGCCCGGGGAGCCTCCAATGTTGAGCTTGAAGCTGATAAGCTTGTGGGCGGCATGGAGGGAGAATGTCTGATTAGCTAATCCTCCTCTTCTTTTAATAACACTGTCCAGTTCTATTTGCGAAAAAATTTGCCAGATGCTGATCTTCTTTATGGCTGGATACGTCAGAAGCTGAAGGAAATCGGATTGCCCAGGAAGCTTAGACAGAAGTCTGTGCATGCCTAACTTGCTTCATAGTTATGTGGGTAAATTTCTTGCGGCCCAGGATCTCAGAATCCATTAGGCTGAAGGTAAAGCTCCCAGAGTTTCTGCAAAGGGGCCGATACATTGGTTAGGAACCGACTTCGTTGCAGGATTTCGCTGAGAACCATCTATCTTTCTTCTGGTCGGGCGAACAGAGTCATGGCTTCCCTAGATATGCATATGTCGGGTTCTTAGACTCTAATGATTCAGATTTAATCGGTACCAAGTTTGTGATGAGACATAACAAGGTACCAAGAATATTTCCTCCTGAGACGGATACCCAAAGACCAACGTCTCCAGCAGAGTCTGCTATGTAAGAGCAAGTTATGATTTCCGAGTTTCTGTTTAGCACAGCGTAGCGGACGCCATGTTAGGACTTTGCACATAAAGAGGTCGTATTTTTGCTATGATCTTTATGCTGGAAAAGGTCAGACAAACTTTTGAACCATCGAACTTATCTCCACAATCTCGGGCAGCTGTTAGGCAACCTTGGTGGGATTTGCCAAGACCACCAAGGTTACCACGTGACTTAGCCCTTCGGGACTAATTCCAATCCTCGTGCTCCATAGGACTAGATAGAATGTCATGCTTTTACAACCTCACAAATCTTTGACCACCTTTGCGTGTAACAGCAGCGTCCGGAAGAACAGGAGATGGTAGCGAGGCTCGTAACCAAGCCCCTCGCGTATGAACACGACAGTTTCTTACAAGATGGGAATGACCACATTCCAAAACCTGCGGGAAGTCTTGCCGAAAACTTATCAAAGTCCTGCGTCTGTGCTGGAGGATAGAAATGACAATGGAAACCCTATTGGAATTACTGCAAGCTATAACAGAGCATTAACTGAATGTGTTTCTGTCCTTCCAAGTCCAAAGATTCATTTCCCAGTGTTAGTATCACTCTTGATTATGACTTCGTCAGAAGTACCGAAGGAATTGGGTATATATAAGGCAAGAGCTGGGCTTGTCCTAATTAAAGAAAGCTTATTGATAAGTGCCAAGGCTTTTATATATTGTTATGTCATGTCTCATACTGAGCAATTACTTGTGATGAGACTGTTCTTTGTTTGTTCGTTGTTGGTTGGGGTCAGTTCGTCTGTCAGTAAATCTCCTTTGTTCAGTGCGGCATCCATGCTCCGACCAACACTACCCAGATATTTCCAAGTCCTTTGTTTCTACACATTTAGAAATTCTGCACAGCAGTGATATTCATAGAACAAACCGAGCTGGATTTTTCCCAAAACCTGAGAGGACACCTTTGTCAAATCGCGATGTGTCCCCATGACCCAGCGTGGATATTCTATCCTTTATCCTCTACCTGAGAAGAATCATGTGGCAAGTCGAGCTATGTTTCTCATGACCAGACATAATGACGAGAGCTTTTTTCAGATATGGTTTACTTTCTATATAGACTGATAGTTACCTACTTTTATGACCATCTTGTCCTAAATTCCGCATAAATATCTTCTTCCGCCTTCATCTTACACCTTTTAGACAGTGTACCTCTATTTGATTTAAGGAATTCAAATTTATTGGCCTGCTGAAATGCCTCGCTTCGCCTTTTTACTTCTGGTTGCCACTTCAGCCCTCCTTACTCAGTCCCTCGTCAGCCCACTGAGGTCTCACACTCGCGAGGCGCCAGTATGCGAAAGAAACCTGCTGGAAGACGTCCCAATGTCGCTTAAACCCAGAGGCAATCCGAACCTCAAGTTCAATATTGTAAATATGGCAAGCTTCGACGTCAAAGCTTATATCACGGGAGCAAAATGCTTGGAGCCCGGCGGCCCGGTTTGTCACCCCGGAGACGCAGTCTTCGTAGGGACCGATGGCCAGTTTTATAATCCACAGACTGAGTCCCCGATTGCCGCACCAGTCAAAAACACCAATATTGAGTTTCATGTCGACAAACGTGGGGGGACTGAGAATATAGTTCTGCCTGCTTACTTAAAGTCAGCTCGTATATGGCTCGTGGCCGACGGCGAGAGCCTAGTGTTCAGTGCACACGTTGACGGCGGCAATCTTTTCATGGACATGCCCTCAGCCACGACGGATGCGACGGATCCCAACCATAACAGACGGTTTAGTTTCGTCGAGTTTGACAGTAATCCCGATGAGCTTTACGCCAATCTATCGTTCGTGGACTGGGTCAGCTTGGTTCTCGGGATATCCCTAAAGACGAAGAACGGGACGGAGCCTCAGACTATCCCGGGTCTCATGAAAGACTCTGTGGACAACATCTGCAAAGCTGTTCAAGAGCTTGGAGGCGCTTGGGCAGGTTTGTGCATCAAACGAGCAGAAGACCAACAAACACTGCGCATCCTCTCGCCGAATCTGAACAACAGTCTTCACCAAGACTTCATACCCGACTATTACGATAAATACGTCAACGCCGTTTGGGAAAGATATGTTGGCCCTGAAGACGACAAGGTGAGTACTCGGGATAAGCTCATCCCATGTCTAGGACTCCAAATGTCCTTTATTAAATGCGACGGCTAACTGCTATATACCACCCAGAAACTCAAGATCAACACCCAGGACGACGGAAACTGCCATAAAGTTGACAAAGGCCATGAAGTCAAGTGCCAGGTAGACGTCGGCACACAAAATTTAACCTGCGACGCTGGGACCCCAAACCAGTACCTCAAGCCCACAACAGCTGATATCTGGGGCTGTGACTCGGGGCCCTTCAAGATCGATGGGAATGATGAGATCTCCAAAGAGATCGTCAGCCGTATAAGTGCTTCTTTCGTTCGGAGCACTCTGCTGCTAGACGGAGGCGACATCCAACCCTCAGTTGGCATGGCCAAGTACTACAATCCCGGTGGGGATTACCCGACCAACCAATACTCCAGGATCGTCCACGAGCATCTGATAAATGGAATGGGTTACGCATTTGCGTACGATGATGTTAACCCCGTCGGCGAGAACGCGGCTGGCGTCTTGAAGTCACCGGACGCTGACACTCTTACGGTGTATGTTGGGGAATAATGGCTGTATAGAAATATCGAGTTTGGGGGAATACTTTTAGCTGGAGGACATGGGGGTGAGTAAGTCTGGAGTAGTTGCTTGTCGTGAGGATAAATACTGCGTATATAATATATTTTCTTCTGGGATACGGGGCACAAAAGGCGGTAGCGGCATCGTAGATTGATGTCGATAAGTTCGGGATTCAACCCCTTTGAAGTGATGTGTTGGGAAACACATCAGGGCTTTACTACGGCAGTGCTAGACGATCTGGGATAACAACTCAGACCAGAAATGAAAACACAGAAACACTGAAGCACGTTGTAGATGGCCGCAGATTCCAAACTGGGCGGTCTTATGATGTTGTTAGATCTATGTCAGTATGGCGAGACCACGCCTATGAGATGTGAAAGCCACCGCGGCTAATTTCGAAGAAGTGTTCCTGAATTATTCTGTAGAAGCGCGACATATATGTCCACAAATAAAACGTCCACACATGGGCATGATTCGAGCTGCATTCACATGTTCCGAATCTTTGAACTGTTCAAATAAAACCTGGTATTTCATAACACTATATCAGTGTAGATATTGAAACCCATTGGGATCCTAGGCGCCATTTCCCCCAGGATAATCCGATGCTTAGCATCGACGAGTTCCCCGTCCCAAGTCTGTCTTAATATACACATACACATACACCCCAGCCCGCCGGTGCCGTTTCCGGTCCTCAATCATCCCACTCCTCATCCAACTGATCAATCAGCCTATTCTCTGCCTCCCGATCCCGACTCCTGCGCGTTGCCGACGACGAGCCCGAGATATAACGGTAGCCCCTACGACTGGGCAAGAACCTCGCACAAGACGACGTCGTCATCACAAATACATCCTATACCCATCATGTCACGGTCAGTCTCTGATCCTCTAAAGTCTCCACGACATCGCCGCCGTGCCAGCGGAGCGCCAGCGGGCCAGACTTACAGAGACAAAGCTCCAGATCCCAGCCCAGAGGGAGTAATTGGGCAACTGGCGCCACCCGCGCGCATTAGCTACGGCGCGCTGGTAGAATATACCCCCGCCTAGGTACACGAGCACGGCGATGATGAAGATGATGACGAATACCGAGCCCGGGCCCACGCTGCCGGGTTTGTGGGGCTCGACGCCGGCGCAGGCGTTGGGCGAGCGGACTTCGAAGAAATAGGCGCATTCGTCGGGGTCCGTGCCAACGAAGGATATAGCTGCGCCCGAGGCGATGGGGTCCTGGTTACACAGGAATGAAATGGTGGCAGACTTCCGCCGATGCGAACTCGTTTCTTCGGCTGTGTTGATGTCCTCGGACTTGGTTGCCGATGCGTTTTCGTCCTCGTCTCCGTAGTAGGGCTTGTACGACGCCCCCGTATGAACATTGCTCTTTTCCACGAGTGTTGCATCCCTCTTCTCACTTACTGGGCCACATGGCGACCCTCCCTTGTATTGCAACACCAGTTTCCTGCCCCGCGGCGTCAGGACGCTCGACTGCGAACCCAGACTGTACACATCCCCCTTAGAGACATAATACGCGCTGATGTTCTGCCATGCGCCTTTATCGACGCCTCTCACGTTGTCTATCGGTTCGACCACCGCCCCGCAGATGTTCAGCGTAAAGTTGGAGGCGTAATCGTACCCTCGGGCATGGTAATCGACCGTCGGTGCATTTTTGGATGCCTTGGAGCCATCGGCCGGTGCCTTGACGGCGATGTCTGGCCGCAGGTCAAAGAACGAGCCTGCAGGCGAGGTTGCCGTGCATGCTGTGGAGGTAGTCGTCTTGTCGGACTCGGCGAAGGAGGTGCCAGCGAGGGTGAGCAAGCAGAGGAATACTGCTTGCTGAGACCACGGTAGGCGCATTGTTCCGGGTCGACTAGGGAGTAGGCGAAAACTTGGGAGAGGATTATTGCGGTTAACGGCGGTCGTGGCGCGGGATGATCGGAGAAAAGGCTCTCATAAATAATCTGCTGTTAATAAGTACAGTATGGTCAATGGCTGTTGAAAAACCACCTTCAGATATCTATCGTTTTCAACGGACAGTCAACTTTTCGTATTAACAGCTGGCAATTGGCCTTCTCGGGTGCGAAGACCCCTGAGATACGTCAGCTAGCCCCCACGTTTAAACAAAGTAACAAAGTGATTGGACGATTTTGGACGAGCTGCGACGGAGGCAGCCGCCCAACGGCGATGGTGATGTTCCGACGCTTGCTCCTTCCGGTTAGCCTAATAGCTCTGGCCAGCGAGTTAGCCCAGTCTTTTCCTCTTTGGGACAATGAAATATATGGAAAATCGGGCCACGGTGGGAACCAAACTTTCCAGCAGGTTGAGCCCATGTCTATGAGCTCATTGGCTAGCTCTGACTTGAGACGGAAGAAATTTGGGAATACAAGGGTCGTTCGACGACGTCAACACCTTCTTGAGTCAGGCGCAGACAACCACCAGGACGTATATATGAAGCGCAATTTGTTGTACATTCAGTAAAAGGTCGTTAAAGCTATACAGGAGCCCCTTTTGCAATAGCGTCAATATGGCACCTCAAACGCAGCCTGCGCATGGCTATGAGTTTGGTGGCCCGTAAGCATTTAGTCTCTTCGCGTCGAATTCCATGTCGAGTAGGACAGTGACTGACAGACGCATACTTCCAGGATCGGAGCCGCCGGAATCACATTTGGTCTTCCGATCCTGCTGTACGTATTTACATTCGCTTGCAACGACGTCTCCGGCTGCCCTGCGCCCTCGCTTTTGAGCCCCAAAACGTTGTCGCTAGCGAACTTGAAAGCCGAAGTAGGATGGCCGACGGACGGCATCTGGGGACTGGCAAGCTGGGAGGCGACAGGGTGGACACTCGCGTACTACGTGTTCTCCGCCTTATTATACCGCATCCTCCCGGCAACTGAGATCGAAGGAACGGAGCTGTCGGCAGGAGGGAAATTGCAGTACAGGTTCAATGGTATGGACAGAAAACCCAAACCACCGTTCTTTCCTTTCCTAATCCAACGTGTCTATGTAGCCTTCTCATCGACCATGTTCTCCCTCGTAGCATGCATCGCCGGCACGATTGCTCAAGGCGCCGAGTTCCCCGTCTGGACTTTCATGGCCGACAACTACCTCCAGATCCTGACGGCAAATATCCTCATCGCTTACGCCATCGCTATATATGTCTACGTGAACAGTTTCTCAGTCAAGGTAGGCAATAATGAAAAGCGCGAGCTCGCCGCTGGTGGACACACGGGCAATCTAATTTACGACTTCTACATTGGACGAGAACTGAACCCCCGCTGCACGTTGCCCCTGATCGGCGAGATCGATATCAAGGAGTGGTGTGAGCTGCGCCCCGGTATGCTAGGCTGGATTTTGTTCAACTGCGCCTTCGTCGCGAAGCAATACCGCACCTTCGGCTTCGTAACCGACAGCATCGTCTTTATTACCATCGTACAAGCCATATACGTGCTCGACGGTCAGTTTATGGAGCCCGCCATCTTGACGACAATGGACATCACCACGGACGGCTTCGGCTTCATGCTAGCTTTTGGTGATTTGGCGTGGTTGCCCTTCATCTACTCGCAGCAGACACGCTATCTGTCCGTACACCCTGTCTCGATGGGCTGGTTCGGCACTCTGAGCGTGATGGCCGTCTTGCTCGCCGGTTTCTCTGTCTTCCGTCTCAGCAACAGCCAGAAGAACACCTTCCGCACCAACCCCAATGACCCTAGTGTTGCGCACCTTTCATACATTGAGACGAAGACTGGCTCACGCCTCATTACATCCGGCTGGTGGGGAATTGCTAGGCACATCAACTACTTTGGTGACTGGCTACAATCCTGGCCTTACTCCCTGCCTACTGGTCTTTCGGGTTACATGATTCTTTCCGCTGGAAGCAATGTGCCAGGTGCCATCAAGGCATTGGATGGCAGGGAGATTGTACAGGGTGCTGCCAAGGGGTGGGGCATGGCGTTCACATACTTCTATATCCTCTACTTCGCTGTGCTGTTAGTCCATCGCGACGGAAGAGATGATGAGAAGTGCCAAAGGAAGTACGGTGCTGATTGGGAGAAGTACAAGAAGATTGTTAAATACAGGATTATTCCAGGTATTTACTAGGTCGTGGTGGTGAGTAGGGGATTGTGTCCGAGCATTTATTGTGTTTACTTGCTCGGAATGTACTATTTAATAACGTGTACGCATGTTAGCACGCAATGATACATGTATATGTTTTTGGTTCGGGGAATATTTGTTGGACCGCACCAGCCCTTCTTCTAGCTCATTCGTGCTCTTTCGTGCTCGACGGCTGATATACTGTATACAAGGCCCTTATGGCCACTTTCACTCCTTTGGCCATGGGGAGGCCAAAGACACATGCAATTCTATGCTTTATTATAGCTTGCAAAAAGCCCGATAAGATACCTGCCGCACTGCTAAGAAGCTCAGGTAGCAAAAGGTGAGGGAGGCTGCGACGCTACTAACTCCCCCTTAAACTCAATTGTCCAAAGAATGAGCACGTCCTTTACAGAAATCGGTGTTAGATAGTCAGTCACTACTTGTGGAAAAGGGCATTCTACTTGTCCAGCTCTGGGTATGGAGTAATTGCGTTTTTGTTGGAAAAGAAAGAAGGTGGCCCAAAGTTATTATCAAAAGACACACTAAAAGAGACCACCTGCATATCTACAACTGACAGTTAGTAAGTCAAGATCCATTGAAACAGTTGTGGTGTTTTAGTTCTTTAGTAGAGCAACTGTAAAAACCTCCTGATGTATGGACTCCCCGCCAGTATTGTTACTGACCCTGATTTGCCCAAAAGAAAATATGCAAGCCTCACCTTCTTAACGATGAAGAACCTATGCTGCAATACCTCTTGGACCATCCGAACCCAGTTTTAGAGCACGCCTCAGGACCCGCCTTGCAGCAACCCACTGGGGTGATATTCAAATCTTCCCGCCGAGAAGGGGTTAGCTTGCTTGAAGATCGAGCAGTGGAGACCATATGCAACACAAAGTTGATGCAGAGAGAAGACCAGGCGGTCATGAGGAAAGAAACGATAGGAGGAGAGAGAGCACTATAACGCATGGTCGAATGAACCAGCATCCTCGAAACTATCTTCAAGATTGAGATGTTAAACCAGTACCGAGCAGCGAAACAGGAATTGCCTGCTGCTGCGAGAAACATCATCTCTGAAAGAAAGAACGAAGACATATGAGGAGTCGTAAATGATTGGTCCTATCGAATACACCCCTATTAGTCTGAAGATACCGCCGTCGCTCTGGTGAAAAGCTAGCTTCATCCCCATTCCTTACAACTTCAGCCCTCGCCGCCACTAGTTCTGGATTCTAGGGTACGAAGGCACACCGTCTCCGTAGGCTGTCTTCGGGATACAGTTCGCTGAAAAAAGTCGTCTGAGGTGTATAGAGCCATCTCTCGACGTGTCGACCATCGCAGCAATGATTCCCTGGTAAGACTTGATGTCGTAAACCGGATGCTCCGGGAATAAAGTGTCAGGAGACTCCAGAGGTGCCCAGTTGATGTGCGTTCGTACCTCGCTTTCACAAAACTCGCAAGACCGATCAGTCGATCGGCAAGATGATCGTAGTTGATGCTAGCGATATCCAAGTTCGTGGCAAGCTGCCCTTCTGCTATGTCCACCACGTCTGGATCCAGCCATAGATTCCAGATCTGATCATCTTCCCGGTCCTGTAATGCGAACATGCTCCCGATCGGAAGCTTGCCTGTGGCCATGATGAAACCCTTACGGCCAAGACACATCAACCCCGCTAAAGTTCTGTATGGGGGTTGGCCGGGCTCAAAGGTAAAGGCGTGCACACATTTCCCAGGTGGGAAAACAGCGTCTGTGGGGCCGAGAAGAGCCCCGGCCTTTGCAGGCGTGGTCAGTTGCGCAAGAAAGATGAGGGGATCTGGTCCATCTGCGACCACAGCCTCCATTCTCATTTCCGGTGGAGTGCGCGCCGTATCAGCTGCGTTCAGAATGAAGAGGTTAGCTATGTTAACTTCGTCTGTGTTGTACAATAAATTGACATCCCATAGTTGGGTATTGTAGTCGGAAAATACGAAACACATATGCATTGGGTTAGAGCCGCTTCTTGTAACGTCCATAAACGACCATTCCACCAACAACGATAGATTCACAACATGATCTCCCCAAGTCTCATGGTCCGGACCCTGATGGCGCAAACCCAGGAGTCGAGTACCAAAACATGGGTGGCCCCTTGTACGTGTCTGCCATCTTACTCCGAGCCAACTGCTGGTCCTCATCGTCTCCGGCGACGTCAGAGGGGACGCAGATCTTATTTAACCGTGATAAAGTGGAGGGCTCTCTTTTATAGAGATCTTGTCGTCTGGTCGTCCGCTTATTCCTCACCAAAATTGTGGGCAAATCGCAGCCCACCGTTCATTGTTGTTCTTATGACTATCGTTACTTGCCGTAAGCTCTGGCTAATCTACAGTGGCTACACTGGGTGGTCCGTGCGGGGCCGAACACTGCCATTTCTGCCCACACGCCCTCAAATGGCCATGTGAGGCTCGGGAACGTCAATCCAAGCCTATTGAGAGCATGTTGCCGAAAACTAATGTACTATTTCTGCCGTTCGTGACCGCCTGCACCATCCAGCCTTCTCGATCTCACTGTCGCTCCTACCAGTCTTTCCTCGTGTTAGTTGCTAGGAACTAGACCGAGCAATTCGATGAATCGCTGGTGTTTCGCCTTGTCGAGCGGCTTCGTTAGCCCATCTGCAGCGTTGTCTTCACTGGCTACATGCCTGACAGCGACGTTGCCGGCGTTGACTTCCTGTGTAACGTAGTGGTATGCCACGCGAATGTGACGCTTTTCCTTCGTCATGGACGAATCGTTCGACCACTTGATCGCGCCCGTGTTATCCTCTAGTAAGACGATCGGTCCTTCTGGCATGTAGCCTAACTCTGTGAGAAAGTTTCGAATCCATGCTGCGTCCGCTGTGGCCATGCTCAATGCCACGAACTCTGCCTCGGTTGTTCCTCGCGCCACTACTGTCTGCAACTTCGATAGCCAGCTGATCGGACCGCCAGCCATGAAGAAAACGTAACCAGAGGTCGACTTTGCTCCATCCTTGCCGGCGTAACTCGAATCAACTGCTCCATGTAGGCCAAGCTTGCCGAACTCCTGGTGTCGGTGGTCACGCCTGTATTCGATCGCCAACCTGTTGCCTTTCAAGTAGCGCGGGACTCGTTTAAGGCTTGCCTCTTGTTCAGCCGTAGGACCGCACATATATCGCGCATGGGCTGAGGTCGCGAACGACGTGTCGGGCCGACTGATTACGGACGAGAAGTTGAACTTTCCAACCATCGATGAAAACCCTGTAGTTCTCTCAGGGCTAATACGCTGGTCTACCGCTCCCATGTACATGTCGTTCAGGCGCGATGGCTCAAACGGCGTGTCCATTGGTTTTGCGTTAGTAAAGCCAAGGGATTCAACTGCTTTCTCGATGTACTGCCGTTGATCGAGGTTGACACTGTCATCCTCGCCACGAGTGATCCGTACGCCCAGGAACCAGTCAGCGTCTCCAAGGTCATTCAGCGGCACCTGCCTCGCCAAATCCTTGGCTACTTGTTGTAGACGCTGCTTATTAGGGCCGAACAGGAGGAAATCATCTACGTACGACGCAATAATATCTCCTGTCTCTCGGTTGATGTAGATGGCGTCGTCATACTGTAGGGGAGTAAAGCCTAGCTTCTTGAGTATGCGCCGTGCTTCGCGCTGCCACGTAGCACCGGCCTGCTTTAGGCCGTAGAGAGGGTTCATCAGCTCGATGGTCTTCTCTGGCTCGTACTTGTACTTCGCCTTCTCGTCTGGGTACGCATCGAAATACTGTTTTAGCAAGGGGAACTGCTTCATAAATATTCGTTCATCCAATTTTCCATTAAGGTATGCCGCGATGAAGTCGATTTGATAGACATGCCAGCCAAAGATGCTTGCTAATGCCATTAAGATGCGCCACGATGTCGCGCGCGCTGTTGTTGCCGATGTCTCGTTGTAATCGATTCCTCTTCGCTGTGAGAAACCGCGTGCAACGATACGGCCTTTTAACCTCTCGAGCTCGCCAGTAGATAGGTATTTCTTCTTAAGTACCCATTTGGCGTCGATAAGGTGACCCTTTATAGCCTCCGACTTGTCGCAGAACCGGAAGGTGCCTTTCTCTAGGTTGGTGCGTATCTCTGTGAAGATGGCCTCAATCCACGCGTCCTTTTCCGGTCCTTCCATCGCATCCTTGAACGTCGGCGCGTCTGGCGTCTTGACAGTCAAGATCTCGAAGATCTGTTGTAGGCCGAATTGCGTAGCCATACCGAACAATATATCTTCGCTGCCCTCTCGCTCGAATATGTCCTTATACTCTTGCTCTAGCCAGTGTTTCGCTAGCTCGGTGTTCATTGCTTCGTGGGCTCGATCGGTGGGATTCGTATCGGCGAACTGGTCAGAGATGTCGGCCGATGTGTAGTTGACTCGTACGAGGCGGCCGGAATCGAGGAATTCGGCAGAGAATTGAGAAGCTTCGTCGTCCTCTACGCCCTCACGCCAGCAGTGACGTAGGAAGTCGTCTGGTGGCGCCTCGAGGACGAAGTGGTTATCGCTGTCATCGTGTTCCTCAATCGTTGCATGCCTGACGGCTGGATGCTTCCTCGGTCTGCCACGCTTCCGTCTAATGACGCCCTCATCGTCTGTAACATCGTCGTCAACGACGTTATTGTCTTTGTTCCTGACCTTCGAGATTGGCGTCTTGCCATGCCTATGGCGCAATCTCTTCTGTACGTCCTTCGAGCTAATCTTCTTTATCTTGGCTAGATCGCATGCGATGGATGGGATGACTTCGACGAGCCTGTGGTCGAGCTCGATGCCGGTGGTGTAACGAATCGTCCATATGAGCCTTTCTGCGCTAATATGGCACAATCTGCGGTGCCATAGGACGATCTGTTTCGTCAATTCGTCCGTGACCATGACTTGGCCACCAACTGTGGCCGTTCTGATGGCCGCTTTCATCTCGTACGCTTCTTGCTCACTAAATGCTTCCAAGCCGGCGCCCTCAGGCTGATCAAACTGGTACAGTGCCGCGCAAGTATAGTGTACCCCGCCCTCAGGCTGTCTGCCGGGTTCCGACTGTCCGTATGGCCATAGATAAAAACCGCGCTTCGGTATGTTCAATGTGGTAATGGCTACCTTCGAAGAGCCCATGATGTTGACGCAAGAGGAGCTATTTCCTTCGAGGTAGCCGCCGGCCTTAAAGAAGGACTCGCCGCTGAATATCTTTAGTGGAAAAGAGGGGATCAGGAATACATGTCGGGCCACGAGGTAGTGATTCTCGCCCTTTGGGCCAGTTACCTGATACTTGACTGCTCCAACTTTCTCTGCGTAGACAGCTCCTCCTCCTGTCAGGATGGGGAACTTCTTCTTTAATGTGGTCATCGTGCCGGGGAGGAAGTCGCGCTCGCAGTTCGTAATGTGGATATCCGATCCGGTGTCGAACAGGATGCGGTGCTTCGAGGACGGCAATATGTCTGCCGAGTGAGACTGTGTAATCATTGAAGTCGACTGAGGCGCCGCGTGCGACTTGGTTACCTGTTGGAGCTGGTCTTCGTGCTCTAGAATGGCCTCCTCTACCAGCCTCGTACTCGATGTCCTAACGGAGTACGTGTTGCCGTCGAGTAGAGTTCGTACGCCGTCGGGGAGCTTCGGTTGTGTGTGGTTGTTGCTCGGCTCCGGCGTCTGGCTCGAGGGCCTTTCTCCTTCGGCCCTTTTCTGCTGGGCGCGTTTCTTTTGGTATGCTTCCTTGTCTCTCTTCGATGACTTGCATTCGTGCTTAAAGTGGCCAGTCTTGCCGCATCCAAAACACTCGATCCCGCTCTTGTCCCTCTTCCCTTTTTTCTTGCCTTGTGCATTGTGGGAGTTGCCGGATTTACTGCTAGAATCCCTTCTGTCGCCGATTTTATGGTAAAATTCAGCTGCGAACTCGTCCATAACGTATTGCGCTGTTACGCCGACCATCTTCTGCATTTGGCGCTGTAATCGAACGAAATAGATGGCCTTGTCCTCAAGGGAGGCAAGGAACCACGTGACCTTGTCCTTATCATTGACTGAAGAGCCACCGTTTTCATAATCGTGTACGAGTTGTCTGAATTCGGTAACATGCTTAATTGGATCCTTGCCATCGTATTTGAGCGTACGGAGTTTCCCCCAGATTGTCGCGTGGATGTTATCGGCGGACTGCGCGTAGGTGCTTTCTAGTCTCTTCATGGCCTTCGTGCCTTGCTCAATGTCGACGATGAGCCCTTTTGGCTCGAGGTTACAGGCACCTCGCAGGTGTACGGCTATGTTCACTTCATCCATCGAAGTCAGCTTCATTTCCTCCTTCCAGCCGATCGCCTTAAGTGCGAGCCGAAAATCCGCGAAGAACACGCGAAAGTTCGTTGCCCCCTTTAGGTATTGAGACTTGTCTGGTTTGAATGAGAAGCGCTTCCAGCAGAGCCTTACGGCCGGCGAGCGCGTGCCCCGTGCTCTGTCATCTCCATCCGAATCACTCGAATCGTCTGGGTCGCTCGGCGGTTGGGTGCGGCGGCGGATTGCGTCTCGTCTTCTCTTCCTTTCCTTTCCGTCATCCGACTCGTTGTCGTCTGGTGGTGGTGGATTGCCGCCGGTTGGCCTTCTTCTCAGCTTCTCGAGCTGTTTGGCGATCTTTTCCTCATAGTGCTTCCGTAGCTGTTCTTCTGCCGCCTTAGCGGTTACGTCAGCGAGCTGGTCCTTTTCTTGCAATTGATCAAGCCCTTCGTAGGGTAGCCAGTCTACGGGGGGTTCGGCAGCCCCGTAATTCGATCGGGCTGGCTGGTAAAGTTCTTTTGCCTGCTCAACAGATGAGCGGCGTGACCGCCAAGATTTCGACCGTGAGCTCGGTCGCGATTCTTTTGTTTGCACTAGTGCGTCAAGTTGGTTCTTGTAGTGCTCAATTCGTTCGTTCTGCTGCTGTTGAACGCGCTGGTTCTCTTCTTCCTTGGCAGCGTACGTTGATTTTATCTCTTTTAGCTCTGCCATCAGCTCAGCTATCGACGGATGCTGATTGGTAGATGCGCTGGCGCCAGTGGCGCCGTCAGCGCTGTCAGGCGTACCTGCCTCAGCCGCAGCTTTGCTGCCCCGCGTCATCATGCGTGACGGCGCGGTTGCCACGTTGGTGGCTAAGGTGTAATAACGCGTGTTCTGTGTCGTTCACGTACGACGAGCTGATCTGACTTCAATAGGGCGTAATAATCGCTCCTTCTTCCTCTCACGTCAACAGATTTGACGGCGATTCAGCTAATCGCTGTAGGTGAGGATCCTTGGGATACGCGCGAGAATTGCCTTGCGATGAAGTCAGGGCTCACGATGATGATTATCTCGCAGAATGCGCGAGAGTAATCTCTGTGATGGTTGTCGACCTCCGAATTGGCGTAAAATAACGCATCCGTCTCTCTCCCCACGACGGCGATCCAGCAGCAGCTGTCTGATCGCACCGCAACGGCGGCAGGGAAGAGTCCTTGGGAGTAATCGCGATAAATGCCTTTTTATCGAAGTCTGCCGTTTAAGATGATCTTGCAGTAATGCGCTGCCTTGATCGTCTTCTGAGATGCTACCATGTGGGCAAATCGCAGCCCACCGTTCATTGTTGTTCTTATGACTATCGTTACTTGCCGTAAGCTCTGGCTAATCTACAGTGGCTACACTGGGTGGTCCGTGCGGGGCCGAACACTGCCATTTCTGCCCACAAAAATGATCAAGTGCAACAGGTGGCACCTAGGAAGAGTGCTTCGATTCAGATTGCCCAGCCCATCAGACCACACGTGTAACATAGCAATATAATCGGTATCTGGACGCTATGGGACCAGAATAACACGAACTCCCGTAGCATCGTTGATACCCGTATCAAGGAAATGGAGCCACATCGGAGAATTGGTGTACGACTTCAGGATCCACAGCAATCTCGATGCAATATTTGGACGCGTGACAGCTTTTGTGGTGTCTCATTTCGTAAGAGCTGTCGCTGAGCTGATAGGTGTTACATTTTCGAAAATCTTAGCTGTGATGTGAATTAAGCTGGTTTACTGAAAGATTCTACTGTATGGAAGCTTTTATGGTGGTGAGGAAGGCAAGCGCCGATAGATCGAGTCGGCTGAAAAGGTAGCTGAAGAGCCCTCAGGCTTGAGTATAAAGGATCGGCGACCAGCAGAGCGTACAAAGAACCTTCACATTTTCAACTGTATTCGCTAAACTGCCTGGACTGAGGATGGCTGTAGATCCTCAAGAAAAATCTCCTTCAACTGGATATTCAAAAGATAAGACAAGATTTGAATTAAAAAAGTATTTACTGTTCATGTAATCTAATACACTACTATAACTAATCTAGGTGGAAATGCGCATCCAGGAATTCTAGAAGCAATCCGATCGACAGTTTGTACGCGACCCATACTATCTCTTCATCTCCGGGCTTCGTAGTTCCACAGATGAAATGACTTTGGATGGAAAATACAATGAAAATAAGCTCATTATTACTTCCTTTTCTGCTGTTTCCAACACTATCAAGTTGAAACCAACCCATCAATTGTAAGTTTTTCACTTTCAGGTATTAAGGGGGACATAGTGGGTTATGAACTGACCTTTTAACGAAAGAAAGTCTTCGGTTTGGACACTTGTATTGGAATAGAACAAGACGCTAGCCTCAAACACCACATGATTAGTATCTAAATGAAAGAATTAGATAAATCTAAACAGATATGATGATAATTTTGACGACTTCCATTTCTGTATTCATTCGCTTTACCTGATGAAATCAACAGCAGGTGAAGTTATTCTCTGCTTATATTGTAGGGTACAAATGTCTCCCCGTGCTCTCTTTCTAACCAAGAGCTGGTTTCAAGGGTTGCTGAGCTGATGACTGAGATGGGTTCCTTCTCTGAATTAAGCACCGCTAGAGCCTTTAACAAAATACACCATGACTTAGTTGTTTTTAAAAGACTCAGGTTGCGGCAGGGCCTTTAAGGAGGCAGGAGAAGGTTTTTGTCGAGAGCGAAAAGTTTGCTTAAAACACTGTTTGTTGCGGATAGAGTCCCAGATAACATGATAACATATATGAGTATTGGGGAAAGTTGGGGAAAGCATACACAGCTTGTGACTTACAGAGTACTAAGAGATAGAACCAGCGGCAAACAAATAAAGGCGTAGCTTTACATGGAACCTTGAGAAATCTAGATTGCCCCAGGCAAGCTGCTAATATTGGTGCATAGATGCCGCCCAGCATATAGAGAAAACAAGTCCATACCATATTTTGAACTTATATAAACATATTCATGTCAGCTTACAATCTACTAGATATTTACGGGTCGTGTTACACTGCCAAGCAGAAGACAATTGTTTGATCAATGTCAAACGGAGCAAGGCCTGTAGCATAAACTTGAATACTGTTCTAAAATTAAAACATGACTTTGTAAATTTAATGGAAGTTACAGCTGGTGTGGGTATATTATGGAAGATATTTAGTCATGATCAACAATAGGGAGCTGTCATTGGAATGATTCTACCACCACAACAGCAGCCACCAGCATTGCCCATTTGCACTCAGGCTCCTCCAAACGATTAGCCTTTGGAAACAAAATGGTGCTTCTTTTGAGAAGACAGACAAATAACAGTCCAGGGAATATGCCCCCATTTGCGCACCTTGGTCTTGCCCATTCCTTGTCAAAACCAGGGGGCTATGAGTGCCAAGCCTAGTATTCACAACGTAACGACTTAAGGATCCTTGACATGGAACCTCTGATGACTACCGGAAATCTAATCAATGACATCATAGTTGATGCTCAAGGTTTGGCGGAGCAGTCCATATAATCATTACGCCTTACTACATAAGATCAATCAAGTAGGCACTCATTTTTAACATTTTCGTTGACGGCACTATGAATAATCCATACTCAAGCCCTTTAAAGCATGAGACTCATTCTTCTTATCCTTTCTCAGTCTCATATCGAACAGAATATATATATATATATATATGATCATAACCTGACTTTATTCCCATGATCAAGTATGTCTGATACCATTGACAATGGCGGAGCGGATACCGGGTCTACTTCTTCAGAAAAAAGAAGTCAACACCAGGCAGATCTCTATAGTCCTCATACGGTGAATCAGCAATATGCGTCAATGATAGATACAAGGTCACCATGTCAAAAACCTCTGCCCTGAAGGAATGACATTCAGACAGATATCGTATTGGAGCAACAAACTTTACTAGTATAACGGGAGTTATCTGGCTGTAAAGGGGGAGAAAAACCTGGATACTTACTCGGTTGGTGGATGAAGGGAACGCGGAAAATCGATCCCTACCTACACTGGTTGTACAATGGTCATAAGCTGGGTAAATCAGCTCGAAGGACATGCAGCACCAAACACCACAGTGATCGCAGACTCACCACATTCTACCAACCCGCTAAGTGTTCAAACAGAGCCCATTCAATTTCCTTGAAATCTCCAGGGAAGTAGATCACACTGCCAGCTGATAAATAGGCTTCCGGAGTCAGCCTAATTTATAGATTTTCCACATCGACAATGGGCTCACCCCTTTTTCCCAAAGTCACATTTTATTATTGATGTTACACCGAATACAACGATTCCATACGATATACAGTTGTTTCAACTAAAAAGCCTTAATCATATATAATTTCATATTATTAGCGAGCTTGCTGTTTCTTCCTAGTATTTCCTCGTCCATTATCAGATGTTAGAGGAGAAGCTACAAGATCAACAACTTCACAAGCAAATACTCTTGATTATTAGAGACTCACGTTCATATCACACTCGCAGCTCCTCCGTAAATATTTACCATTTCATGGAAGGCGATAAGCCATTCTGTTACCATTTTCGAATGCGTTCTATTCGGAACGAAAGAAAAAGCCAACCGGCTAACCCCAATGGTTGATTCTCATGTTAATATCACGTTCGTTATTCATGCCTAAAGCTGTGTTATTTTCAGCAATCTATGGAAGTCACACTATTTCTGTAATCTATAAGGCTCCCCCTACAATTCTGTTGAAAACAAGTTTACACATTGGACTAATTTCAGTCAATTCCCACTCCACACACTTGACTTAATAACCTATTCTATTAACTTTAACCAACCATCCATTTCCTACAAGAATGGCAAACAAGGACAATGATATCCCCAAGGCGCAAGATGGTAATACCGGCCAGACCCAAGGTATACAAATATTTCAAGCGTCGTTCCATGGCTTTTTCAATAGCTCTACTGACATAAAATCTCTCCAGGAAACATTAGTGGCAACAACAGCGCTACCAAGCAACCGAACAACCCGCCGGCCCAACGAACACGCCTCCCTGGATTTGGGGCACCTCTGCCAGCCGCACTTGGCTCCAACTTGAACTTCTGGGCCCTGCCTTCTTCAACCGCAATATCCGCGGTCTGCTTCATTTGCCAGCGAACCTTCAGCCGGGAGGATATTCTTGGAGGGCATATGCGCCGTGTACATTGCGGCACGAAGTGCTACTTCACGAGTTGTGGCCGGACCTTCGACGTTGATTCCGCTGTCGGAGACCACCTCCTTGAGCACAACGGTGGTAAAGGTAAAAGGGGAAATACCATCTGTAATTGGATTGAGTGTGGTAAAGTGTTCAACACCCGGCGTGGGGCTGACACTGCTTCTTTTCTCACCACCAGGCGGCTCGTGAGGCGACCGAAGTGTGAGTGAGTGATGGTGGGGCAGTGAAATTGGACTTACTCGATCTCGGGATTTTATAGCAAGCTTGTAGGAGTAAAGGGAGAATGGGTATATAAAATGGAACGACGAGCCTATGAAATATACTATAACATATAAACACACACATAAGAGCCTATTATTAGTTGGTGATAATTGACCTCAAATTTGCACTGAAATTTCGACTTTTACATCTAAAGCTCCATACAATCTATCGCAACCTTTCCTATGCAATGATTCGTCAATTAGATTTCTGTTTCGTTTGCAAATTGTCGACTTTATAACTAATAATATGACCATATTCTGCAACGAGTGGGTCCTTCGAATTTTGACGGTCATTTGGTCCTGCACATTTAGTTAAGTGTCAAATTATTCACTTATACTCTCAACGATCATACCACACGTCAGCCGATTCAGCTTCGGCTGTTCCTCCCTCAGAAGCCGTCCTTCTGTGGGGGACGGCTTCTGACCATAGTAAATTCATAGTTAAGTCCAGATGGCCAAATATTAGCTACATGCTTTTGGGTGAATATCACAACTTATGTTACAGAAACAGTATCCACGGCCAAGGGCCCCAAATTTCTGAAGTTAGTGATTGGATTGATGAGCCTTAACTGGAAGTTGCAAAAGTGGTGCAGTTGTGTTGCGGATGTTCAAGGTCAACTTCAATAAACTGGCGGACGTGGTAACGGAAAAGTGACTTTCTACAGGCCTTGTATATCACTAAGTTGCGTGAAATATCTCGTAACAAGTCATCAATGCGACTTTTCCATTGCTCTTAGTATTCTCTTGTTTCAGTGGTACATCTTGTTTTCTTGCTCTGCTTTCGTATGTAACTATCTCTGGTTACTCCTCATCTCTCTTGCTTGTTACGGTGGTCGGCCTTTGCCATATGTAGCAGTGGTCGAAACTTGGTGTGCAAGCCCACCCCGTATGGCAGCGGGGTTTCCCTTCATGATGACCATATATTGTGGGAAATACAAGTAAGAGAGCTGTACTGGTGATGACGATGATGAGACTACCTCCCAGGAATCTCCAGCTACGGAAGGCAGGGTTGACTGTCACAGCAGTGGCCCGAGCACGACCCAGTCCACGCAACATATTTCATTCCAGAGTATTTTTCAATCTATCTGCACGAGCAGATGTTGGAGCAAGACGTGGAAGATTTGTTGAGAGTGGAGCTGAGTAAGAGACTGTGCAAGGCCCTTGGTGAAGTCCTGGGTATATGCACGTTCTAGGGAACTTCCGTCCCCTGGATCCTATCAGTGAATGCACAGGTCTATATTAGGAAAATACGGCTCCTATGTTATAAACCTATACAGACATAGAAACGTCCTTGATGCGAGTGCATATGGGGTGTGAATTGTTGTATTGGGAAAGGATGGCCAGGTCAGCTATTCTGGCCTGGCAGAGCTCTTTCATAGCTCTAATCTATCTTATCTATAGCTATAGGGTAACCCCCATGGGGTCACGTATCAGCCCTAGTCTTTCACTTCACCCATCGGGTTGTTCAATTCCAAGCTTCCCGGACCCTTGTCTTCGCCATGCAGCATGGAATCACTAACGAGGTTGTTTCAAGAGACTGTGTGCAAGGCATCCATTTGTGAGAACTAATGGATGTGAAATTGACCAAACTGGACAACGCAAGGGTGTAAATCAATATCAGAACAAAAAACCGTAGAAGATACGCAATGGTTGGGCAATATCTGATATACAGCGGTCCGAACACGAACCCGAGCAAATACCAAAAACTCTTGGGAGCAAGCCGATCCTTTGACACCAGGATAGATTATTGTCCGTTCACCCATGTGTAACATATGTGGTAGATCTTCCCTGTAATTGGTTGAACTCATGCAGGCACGGGCTAAAGACCAACTGCGAGCAAGGGGTACTCGATACGGAAGGGTGGAGACTTGGCTCGAATTCGTATTCGGATCTACTCCCATCGGGAGGAGGCTTGGCATACAGCACTTACAACACGAGAAGACACTACACTCCTTCAATTATGATGAAATAAGAACACTTCGACCGTATATTTAAAGATGGGCAAGGAATTTCTATATTTTATATTTCCCGCTAACCTCGTCAACCCTCCCTTCTGTTTGCCCCCCCTTTCCCTAGGCGGCGAAGTTACATCCCGGCTCCCTAAGTACTCAAATTGCTACTACCGCAGGCCAGGAACCAGCATTCAGTATGCCAACCACGGAGGTTTATGACCAAGCGAAGAACATTGCCTTCGACAATGCCCTACACCAACAGTCAACCGAATCCGAAGGCGGCATCCGCGCCATGATGAACAAGAACAGCGCCGCCAATACTGCCGCCTCGAGCCAGTACTTCCAATACTGGGACAACAAGAAGGCTGAGGACGAGACAGATGCAGTCAGGCAAGAAAGAACCGCCAACTATGCTGATCTGACACGGCAGTATGCATACTTCCCCAGCCCATCGTTTTCACTTTTGTCCCCTGACGAGACGTCCTAGATATTACAATCTCGCAACAGACCTCTATGAATACGGATGGAGCCAATCTTTCCACTTCTGTCGATTCGCTCACGGTGAATCTTTTCACCGCGCCATTGCCCGGCATGAGCACTACCTGGCACACACCATGGGCATCAAGCGCAACATGAAGGTCCTCGATATCGGCTGCGGCGTAGGCGGACCAGCTCGTGAAATCGTGAAGTTCACCGGTGCCCATGTCACTGGTTTGAATATCAACGGGTACCAAGTACAACGTGCCAAGCACTACGCTGCGAAAGAAGGCTTGTCGAATTTGCTTGACTTTGCTCAGGGTGATTTCATGGTATTTCCCACCTGCCTGTTTCTTCCAGAGTGGAATAGTCGTATCAACAACAATGCTAATCCGATGTTTGCTCAAAACAGAACATCCCCTTCCCCGACAATTCCTTCGACGCCATATACGCTATCGAAGCCACCTGCCACGCACCCTCCCTGCAAGGTGTCTACAGCGAGATCTTCCGCGTGCTCAAGCCAGGCGGCGTGTTCGGTGTCTACGAGTGGCTCATGACCGACGCGTACAACAATGACGAGATTGACCACCGGCGCATAAGGCTCGACATCGAGCAAGGAGATGGCATTGCGCAGATGTTCAATATCGAGCACGGAGTCGGCGCCATGAAGGGTGCTGGATTCGACTTGGAGCTCCACGAGGACCTGGCTGCTGAGGATGATGGCCCGGCGCCTTGGTATTGGCCTTTGGACAGTGACTTGCGGTATGCGCAGACGTTGGGGGATGTGCTGACAGTTTTGAGGATGAATAAGTGGGGGAGGTCGGTGATGCATAATGTTATGTCTGCGCTGGAAACGGTCAAGGTCTTGCCTGCTGGCACGAGGAAAACGGCTGATAGTCTAAGTAAGGCAGCCGATGCATTGGTTGAGGGCGGAAAGCAGAAGTTATTCACGCCGATGTATCTGATGGTAGGAAGGAAGCCTTCGACTTGAACACGTTGCTTCCTCTGTTGGGAAAAGTTCGAGGTCGAGAGTTCGAGTCCGTCGAATGTCTCAATTTGTAAAACTAACTAGATAGAAGAAATAATGCCTATTGGCCTCGGCACATTCGAAGTGATCTCTTTACTAAATGGCAAGTGACTATTATGAACTGTCCCCAACATTCTAAGGAGTAGAAATTGTTACTCAAAAACAAGTTCGCCCAACTAATAAAACGATCATGTTCCACTAAGACTGGTCTGGTATTGCATGTTAGTGCCGTAAACCTCCAGAATTTCAACAGTCGGCCAAGTGGATCTCGTACTATTATGATATCAAACTAAACGTGTTCTCATTGCAAGTGTCAACAGGAAAATCTTATGCAACTACGAATCGCAGGTAGTCGAGTAGTGCTCGGCAAAGCCGGAGATGTGTGCCCAGTTGTTGTTCAACATGAGTGAGCGTTGCTGAGAATCAGTCGGTTTTATGGGACAGTGAGCGCACGAGTAAGGGAGTAGCCATACTGACTGATAACCTTGCCCTCAGTCTAGTCAGAATATTTCCATCTCCCATGTGAGCACCACGAACATTTCTTACATAGCGATAAGATATCATGTAGTATATGTGACCAACAATAAAAGGTAGCTCGATTTCGATAATGATTTTTGCATTTTAGGAGGGGTAAGATCAAGGAGGAAGGGACAGTCGAAAGTTAGGGAATCACCGATTCGCCAGGAGCAACACAGTAACTGAAAGCTGAGAACATCAGCTGCGACAGATTCACTGATTCGCTGATTAAATCAAGATTATGTTCGTGTAACTTATTGGCTCACACATATTTACAGGCATAGTTCACCTACCTTGCCACCACCATGCCATGTTTCGGGTGACGATCTCGTTATCAACGAAAAGAATAGTTTCACAATCTCGCACCATTCCTCCAGGCGCCATTCCTCGTCCCCTTCCCCGCCGCCAAATTAGACGGGAGCGTAATAACCTGAAAGTTATGCAACCTCTCACCAATCAAGTACGCCTCGTCCCTGACCCTGGCCTTCCAGCCGGCGAGGATATGCACAACCCCACTCAGAATCCAAAGATTAAGTGCGATTGATGCGGTGACAGGGTAGCTGTATCTGAAGACCGAGACGGTCCAATTTTCCGTTCCAGCCGAGCCCCAACCGTCAGGGTGCTCTATCAAGCCGAAGCGCAGAAGAGTGTGCGCTGTGCTGGGAGGGACAAAGATCAAAAGGAGAGAGATGACGAGGCCAGGAAGCACAAAGGCCCGGGTAAGTACGGCGACGTCGGGGTCAGTCCAGCCCCTTCTAAATACGGCTCTGACCGCCTGGGCGGGTCGGCCACCACACAGCGTCAGTGCCCTCGCACCAAGCTTCAGGTAAAGAAGACCCAGGGTCCAGGCTTGAATGACACGAATGGTGTGCGCGTTCTCAGCATTGGCGAAATGTATCCGTGACGCTGAGTCGGGAGAGGAGGCCTTCCAGGCATGTATGGGCATGAGGATGTAGAGCTCCACCAACAGCGTCACTAGGAGTGGGAACACCACGAGGAGCGTTATGTAAGTATACGCAAGCTTTGCCGCATGCTTAACGATTGCCGTCGCGTTGTTGACCGCTTCAGAATCAATATTTGGAAGCCGTCCATTGACAGCTGCAGCCCATTCTCTCATCCTGGCAAAGATCAAGCGTGTATGCCACGAAGCGTAGCAGAGCGAGCCGAGGATGTATACGCCAATACTGAACGCGTAAACATCATTTGTTCTGATGTGCGCCGGAATCAGGGCTTTGAATACCCTCCGCCCGAAAACAAGCGGGACAATGGTGAAGCTCACGCCAGTAATGGCCGCAAACAGCCAGATGGAGAGGATAAAGAGGAATATCCGCAGGCGAAAGTGTGGTGGTATGTAAACGAATTGGTAATGCTTGTCGTCCTTGAAAAGTTCCGTAATGTTTTCTGTAGAGCCATCGGAAGAGATATCACGTTCATCAAACTCGTGAAATACGGCATGGCCCTTCGGGATCTTAACCTGATCACTAGCTGGCGTGTGAACAAATCGTCCATTTGGGATCAGTTGACCAGATTCGACAACGTTCCTCTTGGCGACGGTCATGGGAATCATTTTGTCAGCTGGAATATGTCCCGCCGGCTTGTCTTTTCCAGGTTTGAACTGTGTGTGGCCTTCGATGATGTGGGTCCACGACGTCGGAGCGACGGTGTTGCTATCCTCACGGAGCTCAAGGAAAATCTTGCGGTACCATGGTAGGTTCTTCGCTTCCTCGTCAGCAAGTACTAATATACCCTCTTCGTCAATTCTTCGGTCGCCGAACAGGAACCAAGTCAGCCTCAACGCCCTGGCACATCTGCGGAACCACCAGCTGTACATCAAGCTCAATCCCTCACTCGGTTTGAAGAACTTGACGGCAAGGGGCATGCAGAAGTTATAGAACAACAGGTCGATGGGGAATTCTAGCACAGGTTCGTTGGAACTGTAGTGAATGGGCAGGACATGTGGAAGGGCGAGAGACAACGACCAGACGACACCGCCCAAACAGATGACCACGAGCGCCCCATAAACGAAAGCCGAAAACAAGATCTTGCGCAATTGAGTGGTGACAGTGCGTTCGAGAACATCACGAACGGGATGGAATTCCGGATCGTCAGGATCTCTGATGAAATCTACAGCGGCAGTTAGCATCACATTCAAGGCTGACCAAATGCCTGACACGAGGGAACACCTACACAAGACGCCTTTGCGCATGATCTTACGGCACATGCTCACAAACAGCGCGAAGTGGAACATATATCCCGTCCCTACAAACCAGTGTACAAAGATCGACGTGAGTGGATAATTATAAGTGAAGAGTAGTCGGCTCTTCAAACTCACGCCTTCGAAGAGAGGCAGAAGAGCGAAGTCGAGTAACAAACCGCAGTAAAGCGGGAAGATGAGCATCTCGATACTGATAATCAGAATCACCTTCATCACGCCACTGGCCTGATTGAGGGCATCTATGACGCTGGCTTCCCAGTCTTGCGCTGTCTGGCTCGAAGAGAAAGGTGTTCCGCGGCCGAGGTATAGACCAGCAACAATAGATACGGCAAGGTACCCGCCAAGAATGGCGAGAGTACGGTCTTTCGCGCCCCAGTATGCTAGCACAGGGTCGATTGCTGTGGTCGATTCGGGCTGGTCCAGGTTGATGACCCATGAACTGGGCTGCGTAGCAATCACAGTCATGTTCTTCAGGGTATCCCAAGCCAGCGGTGCTGCTGCTGTAGTTTCCATCCTTACAACTGTCCATTTGGAAGCGTAATTACCGCCCAGCACGAACGTGATAGCACTTACGATGCCCGAGAGAAACTGATGTATCTCCCCCTTCACCGAGATAAGAGCTTCATGGCTGATAGCCGAGAAGTTCCGCATCTCACTTGCCGTAATGAACGGCAGCTCTGACATGAAGCTGTCCATGATCCGATTAAATGAACTGCTGCTAAGCATCTTGGAGTCTGCAACAGCATTTTGAAACATGCTGGCACCCTCATCGATCCTGAAGAGCCGACGCATGAAGTCGAGGAAGCCAAAGCTGATATGTGCTGTCCACCCGACAAACATGAGCACTAGATCCTGGACAAATTTCGAAAAGCTGAAGATCATGTGAAGGATGCGCGTTGGGTTGGCAATCACCCAGACAGCCAGCCGCCCGAGATTGTAGGGTATGAAAATCCCCAAGAAGATACTGATGGACACGAGGAAGCCGCAGAAGATGGCATTCTGGAATAAACCAGCGATTGGCCCTCGCATGCCAATGAGCTCCATAATGCCGTCAAAATCTTCGGCGTCTTCAAGAGCCTCCGGATCGATGCCAGCGGCGACAGCAGCTTCTACCACCTCCGCATCCATCTCATCAACATCATCATCGTCTTCGTCGTTGTGCAGTGCATCAGCAAATGGCGCATCCTCATCGTCAACAAATAATTCAAGGGCGTGGACGGCTTCAGCGCCATCAGCATCCCCAGCCTCAACATCGCGCCACATGAATTCAGCTACTCTGTCTACGAGTCCGGCAGGCTGACGGGCTACGGGTGGCGTCTGAACATCTTCATTGACAGGATCGGCAGCTGTGTCTGGAAGCCCAATAGAACCCGCATCCTCCTCTCGGGATGATTCGGTTTGTTCAGGGGCTTCGTCGTCAAGAGCTATCGCTGCATGGTCGTCTCCGTGTGCACTGGTCAGCGCGCCGGCACTTTCACCAGGCAAAATACCATTCATCGTAAAGCCATCGTTGCGAACGAAGGGGTTTGATTCAGTCGCACGGTCTTTCCAGTTCCCGTCTTCGGTCTCCATCGTATCTGCTGGTACTCTATTGCCGTTAGCCGGTAGATTTGCAAAAGACCAGCTATTATTGGCGAGGGGGTTGATAGCTTCGTGGCGCTGGGGGCCATCCGAGACAGCACGTGGTCTATGGGCTGAGGGCCACTGCGACTCTGCCGTAGTTGATGCCCATGGTGATTCCCAATCAGATAAGCTTCCATCTGATGTATTCTGATATTCATCAGTCGCCTTCCCTTTGCCTTTGAGGTCTTCGAATTGATCCGGCTCGGTGTCGCAAACACGAGCCCACATCGTAGTGGGCTCGACCTCATCTTCATCAGCATCGTCTTGCACTCGATTTTCGCCAGATGAGGAAGTTGTGGGGAACCCTCGGCCAATTTGGTACTGCTCCACGGGGGGTGTGGCAGCTCGGCCTGCGTCGCCATTACCTTCATTGGATTCATTGGCCATTTTCAGCATCTCCTGTGTGACGCTGACCCAGTATGCAAGGCGCTCGTCTAGGCCTTCCTCGCGAATAATGCGGAGAATATTTTGATGATCACCTCCAGCTTGTCGATAGATGCGCAAATACTGGTGGACGGTACTCTGGGAATCATCTCCTGGTGCTGCCTGGAGCAAGTCCGCAATTTGGTCTTGATTGTGTGAGTCAACACGGTATGCATTGCCGTTGGGAGCATCTTCGTGGGTACTTGTACGTGGAAGGCGTGGTCTAAATGCATGCATAGTTCTTAGCTGGGCGTCATGCGGATCGACCATATCCCCCCTTCTCTGCCCAGCAGGCAGCTGATCCTCCCTGTCATCATACTGGGCAGTAACAGAATCGTTATCTCCGGGGCCTTCATCCGTATCCGAGTCTGGCCCACGCAGCTCAGGGTGCGGTGCCTCTATGGGAGCCCCATTGACATTGTTCTCGTGTTGCGCAAAGGCAGCGCGCATGTTGATCTCGGGTTGCTGCTGCACCACATAGTCTCGAACCAGGATGATCAGGATGAAGCACACTATAACGAGAATCGTTATAATCTGGCCCTCGAGCACGGCAATGACGGTTCGGTTGATGCCGGGGTGCCGGGTAAGATTCTTCAACAATCCGACGTCGCCCAGGAGAGAAGAATGCTGAGAATGGACAGGGGCTGTGAGCTCAACTGTTTGTGTGGTATTCAGGGACAGCTTCGTGGCTTTCGCAGAGGTCGAGGCGACTTCGCCAAAGAGGAAGCGTGCGATGGAAGCAACGAAAGTGTTGCTCGCCGTCACGTTTAAGGGCTGCCCTAATGCGCGCAGGACATTAGGCAACCGCTCCGCAATGTCTCTCTTAGAGGCAGCGGTTGTGGTAGCCGGGTAGAGCGGACTGGAAGGACAGGTGGTACTATCGAGGCCCTGGGCCGTGGCGATGGCGTGAAGTTGAGCTGCCGTAGAGTTCCTTGCCTCGAAGAGCGAGTATGGGCCCTGGCCAAAACCCTCGTCACTAAGCCAAAACAAAAACGACCACGTCTTCCGCATAAGGTAAGGAAGCCAGCCCAGCCAGACACTAGTTACCAAGGCAGCTCGCAGCCAAACCAGGATATTTCGAAATAGATACTTGGCCATGTGACTGGCGAAGACGTAGAATGGAAGACGTTTGGGCATATTCGGCGAGTAGAGTTTGGTGAAGCGAAAAGGTGTCTTGCAAAGTTCGCAATGTTTCTTCTGCGAGTGTGACAACCATTCCATCAAGCAGTCTTGATGGACGTACTTGATGCTTCCGCTACACTTGCAGGGGTAGAACAGCGGTTCCCCGGGTGTTTGTTCACCTCGGCATATTCGACAAGTATCAACGTCTGCTACTATGGATTCGGGGCCTGCGGTTTCAGACTGCGGTGTCGGCACCGAGACCGAGCTCGAGGCCGACGTCGAGGCTTCGGCGTCAGGCATTCCGTGAGAATGTGCGGTCGAGGTTCGGCGGCGGGTGACAGCGTTAGAAAAGACGGCCGAATCTGGCTCCGCGGCATCAGTAGTGGACCAGTTGTCCATGGCGCGCCGGTGGTGTTCAATTGGGAGATGCAGTCGATAAGACAAATGTCGGTGCGAATTCAACGTCGCCCGTCGGGGCTCAGCATGCATATAGAGACCATGGACAAGATGAAGTAGCGCCGGAGGAGAGACGGTTTGGCCACGTGGGTAGGTCGAGATGGATGCGCCTGTAGGTATGCAATGCGCAATCGATGGCTTGGTACAACGTGGAAGTTAGAGGACGATAAGGTTACGACTGAGCGAGTCAATATAAATCTCTTAGACAGCGTGTTGGATACCTGTTTGATGTCTGGGTGGGGAATCGCCCTTGGTCAAGTTCTCCATTCACGTCTTTGTTGGGCTGACTATTATTATCGATGCGGTCGAGGGGTGATTTGCAGTTGTGGTTTACGAAGTACGATTGACAGCAGCGAAGGCGCAGGTGTTGCTCCCGGGCCAGGGTTAAACCTAAATTGGACTTAGGATTCTTCTGGCATGGTGAGATCTGGAGATGGTTAAGTACGGAGAACTCCAAGTGCAACAACAGCCTCAGACCTGCATCAAATACCAACCTGAGGTTCAAAGAGTCACTTTGGATTTTTCTGGATTCTGTTACAGCTATTCAGGAATCATTCCGACACCAAGGAGGTGTGGCCGAAATCTAATATCTGGTGTTCGGTGGCAGTTACTTTGGTTCACCCATGGTGACGTGATGCCAAGAATACATACCTTGCACCTGTATGTTGTATAAATACTGCGTACTTGCGTAGAGTGCCTTTCGGCTTCCGGTCTACTCTGCAATAGTGCCATATATGTTTGTTTATTTGCGTGGGCAATCATTTGGGCCGTAGAAGCTGACATGTTGCTCGTGCCTGAAGGAGCCAGATTTCGATAACAGTGATCTTGAAACCCACAAATAAATGTTTCTACAAGCCATATGAGCATCGGGCTTTTCTATAGCAGGTATACAGAAGAGGAAGAGGCCATATTTCGCAATGCTAGGTCATGAAGTTATCCAGGCGGCGGCTTCCCTAGAAAGGCTGCCCATTGAGCACGTACAGAGTTAACGCCAGTTTCCACACCAATCCGTTTCCAGGCATCGCGAGATAGCTCAATGCATCTTGCAGAGTAGAGGCGGTCAAGGCCATAAGCTGGCCTTATCATTCAGGGTCATGTCCACTGCCCCATCTTTCCCTTAATGCTGAAGCCAATAGGGAAGTGCCCAGCCTTTATCCTCAGATTAACGTCTCCAAACAAAAAAAAAATGCATTGGTTGGTTGTGCGATGACTTACTTGAGGACGATCGGGTTACGCTAGTGCTGCACCTCTTCGAGCTGGGGGAGCTAAAATACACAAATTCAACACTGAATGGTCATCCTCACAGGCAGAGAAAAGTAAGTAAGCGAGGCGCTGCGAACGTACCACCATCGATCTATAATTGCATGTGCTGTTCAAAACTTGATATATTGATCATTTTACCAACCATATGCTTCTGCTACAACACTGCCGGCATTGGTGTCTCTAGCTGAATATCAGTTGCACTGGTGAGTTACTGTGGCAGATTGAGCAACCCCAAGCCCCGCAGAAGTTCGACTCGGCTTGAAGAGCTCACCCCGGTCACATTTCCCAAATCCACCGTCACTGAACCCCGACCCCTGCGTCATTCGCATGTGGCCGGATCAAATCCAGGTTTTGCAGGGTGCCGAAACAATAACAAGTCGAGACGGACTGGTTGACTGTGAATCGTGAAACCTTGTCCTCTTCTAACTTTCAGAACCCAAGCGTCCTCTTAGTTTTTTTTCCTCCTCCAACCCAACTCGCCATCTCAATAAGCTCAGTTATCAGCAAGCCGCTGCTAACGACGCTCGTTGCATCTACAACACGGTCCCCACGGAGCTCAAGGTCAGATCAGCTGCACCACCCTGCGTGCTGCTTGATTTTGATTGCATCATCGCCACCATTTTTGGAACACCACACGGGCTGAACACCATCCACCACTTATTCCGAGCTTAGCTTCGTCGAACGAGGCAATATCTTCATTCTGGAGTTGTTGTGATCTTTCAAGATGGAGGATGCCATGAACGGCCATACGAATGGCTCGCTCAAGGGAGGAAAAGGCATGAATGGCATAAACGGCCATGTGGTGCCACGGAGGAGAACCCCGCCTGCGAAGACCAGCCCCAGCTTCTTCGCTCGACTCTTCAGCATTGCGGCGAGATTGACCGTATGGTATTCCATCTACGCCCTACTTTTTCAGTGCCCTTCAACGCTCGAAGGCTGCAACGAAACGTCGCCCAAGATCTGCAAGCCGTACTTCCAGGTCAAAGACGCTGTGACGCCGCATCTGACTCCATACTATGACACCTATGCGGCGCCGTATGTCGACCTCGCGAAGCCATACTATGAGACAGTCGACCGTACCGTCATCACTCCGACCCGCATCTACGCAGTCAAATATGGCGGCCCGCAACTCATCAAGGCCCAAGAGTTGGGTCTGGCGCAATGGGAGAAAAATCTGCAGCCTCAGCTAGCTAGATACCAGACCTTGGCCAAGTCCCAATACGATCAGGCTATATCGCCGCATGTGGACAAAGCTTCAACGGTTGTGGCTCCTTACTACAACATTGCGAAGGCGAACGCACTGCAAACCTACCATGAGTTTGTGTTGCCCTCCTACCTGTTTGTTGAGCCGTATGCTGCGCAGGGTTACGAGGAGGCCGCCAAATTCACAACTGAAACAGCCATTCCGACGTCGCTTTGGGCATGGAACAAGACGTTCGTTTTCTTAGACTCGACTGTGTGGCCAAATCTCAGGGATGTCTATGTCATGAAGGTTGAGCCACAACTAGTACGCATTGGGGAGCGACTGGGCCGATACAAGGAGAAGAAGCCGAAGGTGGCCCCCGATGGAGTTGACTCGTAAGTAGTATATAGCATAGAATAGCATATCGACGTTCACTGACGTCTTCCAGGCAAAGCGCCAAGTCCACATTCGCGAAGCCGTCCGTTTCCGTTGCCACAACCACCGCAACTTCTGCTACCGAGACTCCCAAGCCTGAGGCAACTGCATCTACCGAGTCAGAAGTACAGGCATCTACCTCGGAAGCTGATGTAGATCAAGATCGCCCTAAGCAATCCACGGAGCAGATCCGTGAGCATGCCGCTAAGACTGTAGCTGAGGATTTGGAGCTGTGGCAGGGGAAATTCACCAAAGCCGCTGACGAGGGTGCTTCCGAGATCGAGGAACGGGTGGACGAAATTTCCAGCCGTATGATTGAGCACCACGCTAATGTCATGGGCAAATCGCTGGTTTCCCAGCTCGAGGAGACGGCCAATATTGAAACGACCAACCTCAAGAAGACTCTCCTTACCATTCTTGAGAAGAATAAAGATGCGAAGAAAGAGACTCTTGAAGGGGAGGTAGCGGCGGCAGTGCGAGAAGCTGGACTGAACATTAAGAGCAAGGCCCAAGACATCCGCACATGGCGCCAGACCTACGAACAGGAAATGGAAATCTCTGTAACCAAGGTCGCCGAGGAGCACATCAGGATCCTTCAAAGCATTCGTGATCTGGCTCTTCAGAAGCTCGGCATGAAGTGGGCATGGATGGATGGCATCACGTACAAGGATTGGCAAAAGTATCACCAACTTCGAGCACGCCTAGATGAGTGGACTGAAGATCTCAAGCGTCTGGTTGTTACGCATCCTGGCCTTGCTAATGCGCAGGCTGCCGGCACCGCGATTGAGGATGCGGGTATGGGTATTGCTGGTGAGGCTGCCCAGGAGCTCGGAAGCTTGAAGCAGATTACCCTATGGAAAGCTGCCGCCGGTGACCTGACCGACAATTTTGATGCCAACACCATGAAGCTGGCTGCCGAGGCTGCTGAGAAGAAGGCCGTAGAAGCTGCTGACGCGTTGAACACGATCGCTGGGAGTGTCGAAGAAGGCATCCACAACATCGTCGATGCGGCTGAGCAGGGTGATGTACCTGCGAGCGAGTCCATCAGCGGAGATGTTTCCGTCGCTGATTCGTCTGAGAGCACACCCACCGTCACCATCGCCTTATCCGAGGCCGACCAGGACGCAGAAACGTCTGCTGCCCCGCCTCTGGAGAGCATAGCTTCAGAACCCACTGACAGCGCCGCCGAACCAGTTAAGCCGTTGCCAACCTCAGAACCCGTCGATGGCCCAGAGCAAGTCGAGGAAACCATAGTCGCATCTCCTCAGGATCCGAGTTCCTCGGCAGGTTCAGCAACACCGAGCATCAAAAAAGTCATGTTTGGTGCAGCTGCTCAGTCAGTGCCCTCGCGACAGCCGATCATGGATGAAGACTTTGAGTCTTCGTTTTCCAGCGTCGCATCAGTTGTGCAGTCCGACTTCCCACACACTATCACCTCAGCTGCCCAATCAGCATACACGGCCGCCATCGCCCAAGCAGCCGATCATTACAGCCGCGCTATGTCGGTGGTCTCAGTTCAAATCAATGGCGAACCTAAGCCTGTCCATGAAGAAATGTTGAGCTCTGTCTCCAATGCTTACTTCGACGCGCTGGCTTCTGCGAACTCGGGACTCGCCGCGGCTTTGACTGCTGCGAGCGAAGGCGTATATGGTACACCAACGACGAAGTGGATTCCAGACATGCCAACTATGCCCTCGATGCCCTCAGTCGAATGGGAACGAATTCAATCAATTGCCCAGCAGAACTTGCAGGACGGCGTCAGCTGGGCTAGTGAGAAGCTCGAGAGTGCCAAGGTTGCTATTGGAGCTGCCGAGCCTACGCCTTCGACGCCCAGCGAGAAGGCGCAGAAGATGCTCGACCAGGCGAGTCACCAATACTATGCGGGCCTCGGCGTTGCCCACGCACGCTATTCTGAGTTCCTCGCGGCCGCCTCTTCTACCTTGAGCTCCCTAACTGCGACCCCCACACCAACCAATATCCAAGGAACATTTAGCTCTGTGGCTTCGGTAGCATCCGAGTCCGCTGCTTCTGTTGCAATAGTAGCTGGTGAAGGAGTCGCCGACGCTGGTGAGACCGTCAGCGAAACTTGGGAATCCCTTGTCAGCCGTATCAGCTCCGGAATCTATGGCGCACCAATCCCGACGCCATGGTATGAAAACTTCTACGCAGCCGCCGGAGACTACGCCGCGTCTGCCACAGACGTTGCTGAGTCTTATGCATCGCAAGCTGGCGATTACGCTGCGTCTGCCACAGGTGCCGCCGGCTCTTATGCTTCGCATGCCAGTGAATACGTCGCCGAGAACCTGTCGAGTATCACTTCCGCGGCTGGCGAATATGCTGGCTCCGCCACATCGGCAGCTGACGCTCAGTACTCGGCTGTCAGTAGCCTGCTCTCCGAGCTCGTCTATGGCAAAGAACCAACGTTCACTGAGTCGGTATTCTCGCGTCTTGCCGGCGCATACAGTGTCGCTACTTCCAACGTGGCAAGCTTGGCGAGCGAGGCCACCGACTCGGCTAGCGCTGCTACAGACAGCGTCAAGGACACGGTCCAGCACATCATCGATGAGCTATGAGGGGTTCAGACCCATAAGCCAGGCTGCCTTCAACAGCAGCTAATTAGGTTTATGAGTCCGTAAAGAAAAGCAGGAAAGGTCCGCACAACCCATGAAGGCAAAATGAACGACAGGAAAGATGGTAATGATAAATCGGGGGGAACGACTCAGAATATGTGTATATGTGGAACAATCGCTTTTTCATTTTCTACTCTCTTATTTTACCACTACACCCGGCGTTGGCGGCGAATGATGAACGCTATCTTCTATCTATCTTGTTTGCCGTAACGCTGGGAGGAAGGAACGAAGAAATGCCCTTTATCGTCCGGAATATTCACTCATTGATAATTGGTGAGAGAGGGAGGGAGAGATAGAGGAGACAGAAGCGGAGACACAAGATGAGGCACGATGAGACACGATGAGACACGATGTTTGTGTGCAGGGGAGAGAAACATATACCCAGACTTCGGAACTGAGAACTGAGAACTGAGTGGATGAGCGATCGAGGATGCGTGATGAAGTAGCACAATACGAGATTTTCTTCCGCGCCGCGTGTTTAGAGGGTGATTGTAATGCTTGATTGTGATTGTTTGGCGCTGAGATGGAATATGACACATCGTTTCGATTAAATGCAACTATGTGACATTCTGGACAAATCATCGACTATTCAAGAAAGTATCTGGTTGACCTTACTGATTTCACATCCATGGTACACTTTTGGCGGTCTTTGAACGGCAAGATTATCTGCTGACATTGTGCGTTTGGCAAGAACAGGCAAGACCTCGGGAGGGTGACAAAATAAACGGCGCACCCAAGTGGAATAAATGACTTATGACATCATTCTAAGTTGGGAGCTCTGGCTATCCTGCTATCATTCCATGTTTTATACGCCGATTATTTTAGTAATTACTCCTAACCAGAGGTTGGAGTGGTCTTGTTGACCGTTTTGGAAAGCGTCGAAGAAGGCGAGCGCGATATGCTGGGGCCTATAGGGGAATCCGAGACCACTTATCGAGATGATGGTCAAAATGGATCTCTTGTAGCAGTTGGCTATGCAGAACAAATTATTTGATGGTTATTCTTCTTCCCAGCTCCGCTATTGGAGGTGTGGATTCGAGGATGTTGATTCTGGAATTGCGTGTTCAGGATAGTTTTCTTCTGAAAAGGGTATCAACTAGCGCGGAGTATTAGCACAATTCAGGATGATGTCCAGATAGGAAGTACCTTTAATCAAGAAGATTCATGCTGTTAACTGGTGATATGGAACCAAAATGATCAAATGGGCAAAAGGCCAAAAAGATACCACTACGCAGAATAGTACTTACAATTGTATGGTACCTGTCTACACATATTCTTCTTCTTTGCCTGCGAGGTCGTACGTATGAAAATGCCAGCCACTTGAGCACTTGAGCATAGGCTCAGAAAGTTCTCTAACAGCGCATTAGATGTGAATTACTTGGTTGATAGACATCACCAAATACACCAACCAAATCTTCCCGTTGCAGTCATCCACTAGCTTCACAGCAGAAGCCTCATTTATACATCAAGCCGGCCAAGTCAAGAGACAGATTAGGGCTCTATCTCCACCAGCCCCAAGCCCGAGTTCAGGGCCACCACCCAATTTGGGTAAAAGATGTGATAGCAGCACTTGCAGCCGTATACGTACCAACCAGACTCAGTTGAGGGCCAGTAACAAGCTTCCAAGACGTACCGCACTTTTTTTGCCCCCGATGTCTTAGCCGTAACAAGCCAAAAAAAAAAAAAAAAGATACTTGATTTGCCAAATCGGAAAACAAAAGAGGCCTGCTGTAAGGGATGGTGATCAGCCAAGCGAATGTAGCGCAGATCCGTTTAAGGTATTCGTTTCCCATCAGATCCGCGGAGAATCCTCAATAACGATGCAAAATATATAGTTACTTCAGTTCCACTTCGTGATGCTCATTCCTCTACTATATGCAGGTAAGATGTTATGTATTTGAATCTCTGGGAGAAAGTAACGCTTCGAAAACGGCATACAAGCATGACGCTCAGTGCAATTGGCAAATCCCAACTCCTCCCAATCACTCCCCAACAAACAACGGCAACACTCTCACGCTGTATTGTATTCCTGACTCAGTATCGGTCAAAACTTCAGTTCCAGCCCAGTAACTAAAGAGAACCAACAAAGCCGGATTACGATACGTCCTGAACCGCTTGAACAAGGCCGATACCAAACCCTGTGAACAGCTTGCATGTGTCATTGCGAGGAGAGATGACACTACAGCATCTCCCTCTCCCACCCATGTATCTTCCTACCTAAACTCCGAGGGCTTATCATCCTGAAAAATAAAGTAAATGAAAGAAAGAAGACAATTCGCCGAAGGAACGATGCTGAAACCTGAAAATATGTGCCGATGTGCCCTTGCGGACACGAAAGCCATTGTCTAAAAGGTATTTCCGTCTCCGTCCTACGTGCGCCTCATTTCCATAATTTCTTTCCATGTCGTAACCGAAACCGCTAGGCCGAGTTTGCGTGTACCATGTGCGTACAAGCAGCCGGTCGACCAATGGTGAGGGGGGTGGTCCAAAACGAGGGGGACTGTGTTCAAATCCGACCCGACTTTGGTGTGCTGTCAATCACCAGTCCAGAGGCACCATTGCTTTTTCTTTGCCTTTGCGAAATGATAGCTTCTGTGGGAAGTCCTCGATGTCTGAAGTCCCGAATAGGTCCGACTCGTCAGGTTCTTGAGTTTCGTTGGATGGTTGGCCGTCAACCGGCTGGCCGTAGGTGTCTTCCTCGGGTTCGACCGTAGGAATCGGCATATCATTACTGAAAGCCTTGGATCCTTTAGAGTCAAACCCATAGTCCTGTAATGCTGACGCGGATTGAGCACTTGAAGATGCCGAGGTCTGTTCCACTTGGAAATACGCTGAATTCCCATAGCCCAGGTCCTGGTTGTTCTTCGTGCCAGCTGGTTGCGACATCTGTGCTGGTCGATAGGGTAGCGGACTACGAACATTGTTGTGGGCCGAAACGCCTCCCTCTAGCCCCGCGCTCGGTGGATGGGGTGGTTGAACAGGGCTCATTGTGGGAGCGTCGTGGGTTGAGCAACCTGGCTGGCCCCAGGGCAATGCGACTGCAGGAATTGCGCTACCCTGAAACGTAGAGATGGCCGGAAAGACTTGGTATGGCGCGGCTCCAGGGTTTCCAGACCACCATGTTGTATTGACTGGAGATGGCGCGACTCGAGGCGGTGGTATAAGCCCGTTAGTGCCGCGTGTCCAGCCGCCGTTCTGGCGTGCTAGCTCAGACTTGCTAGGTATAGGCGGGGACTTAAGGTATCCCCATGTACCTATTGGGTATTGAAAGCGATTGGGGCTCGTACTGCCTCTTTCGCCATGTTTTGATGAGGCACCTCGGCAAGAAAACTTTTGTTTTTGCGCTGGGGGACCCTGATTATCGTCGCCATCCTCCTCGTCCTCCTCGCCATGCAGTAAAGCTGCATTCGCGGCTACTTGCTGGTTCCGCTTCCTCGTCATCAGCGCGGCCGAATCCTTACGAATAGAGATTTTAATACCCTGGTTGTGCATGTCGTGGTTGAATGCCGTAGCCCCTGGTCTTCCTGGATATTTCTTGCTGGGAAACACCTCGAAGACACTAGACCAGGTGCGAGCGACATTGACCCAGATTTCTTCTGGGTGTTCAGGGTCAGAGTCATCGATCTCCAGCTTCCACGCGTCGAACCGGAGTTTGAAAAGACCCTCCTTTGTCATGTAGAGATCCTCAAACATGCAAACATTGTACTTGTTGTCGAAACCTACGCACTCATGCTTCATCACCAAATATTGCGAGCGAGCGCGTTCCCCTTGCAGCAGTGGCCGATTCGGCTCTTCGAACAACGGCTTGAAACGAAAGATTTCCTCGTAGTCAACCTCCACCTCTTCGGCAGTCACAAAAACCATGACATATGGACTTGCCAGCGATGGGAGGTCCCTAGCCTCGCCTGGAATTACCTGAACGGCTGGGTAAGGCTCAATAGGGCCCCTGGAGTATTTCTTCCGACTCTCCAACGTTTTGGCTGTTTCCGGCTGTTGGATCACTTCCAGTCTGTACTGGGATGCATTATGGACCGCCTCAATTCCTATAGAAGCCGGCATGGAGGCGGAGGTAGCGACTTGAGCGTATGTAGGGCTAGGTTGGAAATTTGACGAGCCTACGCCATGACTCGGGGTCTCATATACGGTGCTCATTATCTCGGTTGGCTCACTCCGCCGACTCGAGGATTCGTGCCTTGGTTCGTGGTAGACGAGGGTTCTACCCCTTGTGTTCCCGACGGTGAGTTTGCGTGGTCGACACGATGGGTGCGTTCGTTGTAAGCGATACGTTGTCTGCGAATACTTCAAAGTAATATGCGAGCAGATACGGACGATAATTTTGTAATGTAATGGGCTCGATGGAAATATAATCAAGAAGTGACTCCGTGGTGCTTTTGATATCAGTGAAAGGAATTTGCGGTTGATAACACTACCAGGCACTTGTTGGTTACGATGGGAAGTACCAAGTACTAGTGAGCACTTCTCTGTGTCAAGGCCACTTGCCTCTTGGAGAAGGTTAACGGAGGGGGTGGCTATGCTGGTTCGTCTCGTTCCTTCCTAGTTCCACTTTCTAGGCATTGAAAGTTTCCATAGCCATGAGGAGAGTATGAATTCAGCTCCTAACGGAAACCACAAGCCAGTCACATCCACTGGGTGCCCCAAAACTTCACAAGTCCCTCAGGAATTTGGTTTTCTTCCCTTGTGTATCAGGTACTTACTTGTGAAATTAGTCCGGTCTGACGGTTGGTTAGTTTCACCAGCATACTTAAGAGTAATTTATTGCACCAGCATCAGCGTTGGGCCACATAGGCCATGCCCTTGTCGCAAATAGACAAGTCGCGAAACATCTGGATATGCTCAAGACCACTTTCACGATATGTTTTCGAACATCCCGACTGCGACTTATATGAGCAAGTTTCCCTCGGATGACATGTGTGTCCTGTAGGCTTTCCCACTTTGGTGGTCTCAGTCTCAACAGGCAATGTTGAGATTGTGATCAAGTGTGGCCTCCGGTGTAGAGGGGTACAAGGCAACAAAGTATGCGCAAGCACGTTGTAGGGAGTGGAAACAGCCACGTGAGCAGCTGGAAAGAAGTAGCTATATGCCATATCCGGCGTGCCATCAAGTCGTGATTGGTCGAACGACCAGGCCGGAAGAGACTTCAATTTCGGGGTGACAAGGGCAGGAAATGCCTGGAAATTAATCCCAAACTTGAAATGACGGATGAGTAAAGGAAGCTGTGTTGCAACAAGGGCAAATCAACCCCATGACCTCTCCTCAGATAGTCGCTTCCTGCTCCGGTATTCCAGAAACATTAAGATAGGAAGGTGCAAACCGAGCAGGCATCGGCGACTTGAGATCTTAGCTCCCTGGCAGCCAAACCAGCCTCGATTATAGCAGGCCAAACAACCTGTGGCCTCGACATCTTCTCGCCAATCCTTACCAGTGGAGGATATCAACGTTCGTTCAAAATAGCACACTATACCTTTCACGCCGGATAATCACTTCAGCTTATTCATCAGGTAGTTATATCCAAAGTCCACAAATTTGTTTTCTATATGAGCACTTCAGTGAGTTGACCTTCCAGAGCACCACCATGGCGTTCCCGGTGTCAGCGGCCAAACCGTTCAAACGTTCTCGAACGGTCCACTCGTTTACATCGTGTCGTACTGAGGCATCGGATTGTCCTTTTTCATTTGAGCTTACGACTTCCCATGTTTGCTGGTCGTGTATTCAATCGGAATTAGCAGAGCGCAACTGTCTATTACCTCTGCCACGCAGATTGCCTCGTACGATTGCAAAATGCGTCTCCACCGCAGGCAATCTACCTAGAGGATTTCGCGCCCATTTACGTGGATAATGTCGGGTTCGAAGTCACACGTCATTTGATTGCATACGCACACGCCGGTGGAACAGTGTTTTGGAAACTCGACCGAGATGGACACTTTCGGGGTCACCAAGTCATGTTGAAGAATAACCAGCTCAATGAGATTGCCATAACGGAGGATGGCTTGTGTTAGAATCATTTTCACGACCTGCTTTAATCCTTTGGCATGACATCCATCCATCTCAGAGATGTCCCGGCATTTAATGAAATCTTTGTTTTTATGTAACGCGCCTCCAACCCCGACTCCCAACCTACGCAGTACATTCTGCCTCAGGCCCTGGTAGTGTTTGCCAACGTCGGATGTGGTGACCTGGGCTATACTAGGGATACCACGTGGCATGTTCACATGGACGCCATGTTGATGATGATTCTGAAGCTCGATGAGGGACATTATGAAATGCTGGCCAGGTACTAACCAGTGCATGGCGGCCTTTCTTATCCATCATCAAGCTGAGAAAGTGGGGTCGAATTGAAGAATAGGTGTGTACTGGTATTGCACGGGATGGAAATATTATGACCAGCTATATTCCTGTATAGGAATCTACAGCTTAGAATTAGGATAGCGCCAATGACTAGTGATACGAATTTTCCACTACACCATGGCTTCAAGGATATCTTGACTGCAATGGAAGAATCCAGGGCCAGTTACTCTCAACTCTTTCCTGAGTCGAAGCTCCTAAAGTTCTCAACATGGTCTGTTACCTAGCTTTCGGGCTCTGGTCCACGCAGCGAAAATCGCTCTAAGCATCATACGCAAGTCCAACTCATCTGTCATTCCTCGCTAAATACCAATCTTACGCACACGAAGTATATCGTCAAGGATCCAGTTACGAAGGTAAACTCTCGCCTCTTCCCTGTCAGTCCTATTTGGATCGTCTGCGGCCAAACTAACCGCGGTTCCAGACTACAGAAGGTTATTATCTCTATATAATATAGAGTCCTCCAGTGGCCAAAGCTATCCTAGTTCTACAGTCTCTTCACGGCGACAGAACTTGATTATGGCCGCAGTTTCGTTAAACAAATCACATTCAGAAGCCGATGGACGTTTCTCTCTTCAAATATATCATCATTAATCCCCAGAAACTACCGATCCCTCTCATCACTGAGTCACCAGGCCAAACGGTACCCGCATCAAGCCCCCCTAGAGCTCAAAGCTATCCGTCAATCTGACATCGCGACTGCTCGCCCCCACGAAAACCGTATATGTGCCCTGCTGGATCACCCACTCCTGCGCCACCACATCCCAGACACTCAAATCCCGTCTCGTCAACTCAAATCTCAACGTCGCCGATTCCAGCGGCGAAAGAGCCACCTTCTCGAACCCCCTGAGTTGCTTGGGCGGACTATTCGGGATCGCAAGATACAGCTGCGCGATCTCTGCTCCATCTACAGAACCAGAATTCGTGATCGTAGTCTCGACCCTAACCGCAATGTCCCAGAGCCCATCTCCCGTGCTGTTAGAGTTGGAGTCGCCGCGCAACTTCAGGTTCTGTCCCGAGGGCTTCACCGAGAGCGCAGAGTACTCGAACGTGGTGTAACTCATCCCAAACCCAAACTCGAACCGCGGCGTGACGTTTCTTGCATCAAAGTCCCGGTAATCGACATAAACACCCTCGGAGTAGTCACACTGCGGAAACATATCCTCCTCCGAACTCCGATTACACGGCTTATAAACCGTGTAATCCGTCTCATTCTTCGGAATCGTATACGGCAATTTCCCCGAAAAACCCGCCTCGCCATACAGTAACTTGACAAGCGCCTGTCCACTGTCCTGCCCTGGTAAATGGGCAATAATTGTAGCCGTGACGTTGGGGTGCTCGATCCACTGGTCGACGAGACGGACGCCCGCGGCGTGGATGACCACTATGGTGTTTTTGCACTTGGAGGCGACATCAAGAACGAGCCCGTCGCTGAAGTCATCATGCAAGCCGTCACGGTCCCAGCCTTCGGTTGCGATGGCGTTGATGAAGACGAGGCAGGCGTCCGAGGCGGCGTTTACATCGGGGTTGGGGGAGGAAAGGTCCCAGTTCATCCAGGTGTCGTCAAGGGCGGCTCGTTGAGAGATGGCGCTTAGGGGCTATGAGGGAATTAGTCAGAATAGGTAAATTATGGTGTTATGTTTGGAGGTGGAGGGGGTGGGTGAGGGGAAACGCCTACATCACTGATATAGGCTGGTCCGTTGGCACCAGCTCGGCCTCCAGTGACGATTGTGCCTCCTTTGGCGGCTTGATCAAAATGTTGCACGGTGCCCAAGACAGCTTGAGCCATCTCTGGGGATGAGGTGTAGGCAAGTTCGAAAAGAATGTCGGTATTCTTCGTCGCCGGGACCGTGGCATCGTAGCCAAAGACTGACAGCATGGTCGGCTTTTTCAAGGGCAACGCGCCATTCTCATTTTTGAGCAACACATGACCAGCAATAGCTCCTTCTAAGATGATTGGCTTGGAATCGGGTTCTCGAGCGTCGACGGCTTCGTGTGGGAGAGTCATATTCTTGATTCCTACCCCCGGCTCCGGGAAGTTTGAACCGTTCTGACCGACGAGGTACCAAGCTGCGAGAATCCTGATTTCCTTTAGCATCCAGTCAAGTTTATACCACAAATAGACTGACCTGGTAGCCATGTCAGTGACCCTGGCTTCGGTGACAGAGCCATTACGGACTGCGTCGGTCAAGTTATCACCCCAGTAGCCGCCGAGGGGCATCACCATATCGAGTCCAGCCTGCGCGCTAGCCACGCCGCTGTGTTGGGCGTTCCAGTCGGCTACGACGAATCCCTCGAATGATAACTCCGTTTTCAGAATACCATTCATCAATTTACTGTTCTGACACCCGTACGAGTTGTTGACCCGGTTGTACGAGCACATGACGGAGCCAACGCCAGCTTTGACGCCATCCATGAAAGGCCAGAGGTAGAACTCGTGCAGAGTCTTATCGTCGATGTTGGATGATGCGGCCTCAACCCCGAAATACGGTCGTCTAAAAGTCTCCTGTTCGTTGCCGATAAAATGCTGAACGCATTCTTGTTAGTGAAGATTTCGGGATTGGGAAATACATCGTGTTCGATATACCTTGAGGTTTGCAATCACACCGGCATCCTGGTGACCGGTGATGGACTCGGCCACCAGTTGACCCGAGAGATACGGATCAACCGAGAATCCCTCCCAATTGCGACCACCCAGAGGAATTCTTCCCAAAGGGCCGGCATTAGGTCCAAGGGGTACGTTGACTAGCTTTGGCGTGAGTTCTATGAGAGGATAAGTTGTAAGCGCAAAGCTCTAGACTCACCTCCCTTCGTCTTAAACTCCTTGCCCATGTAATAGGCTCTCTGGTAGGTCAAATTCTTGTCCCAGCTAGCCCCCACGTGGATGCCGGACGGGTACGAGTTGACCAGGTCTGTCGCTCTGACTCCGTTTCCGGCATCGTGGAGACACATGCCCGGCCATCCAAGTCGCGGCACTGTCCCGGTGTTGCCAGCACAGGCATTATCGGCCGACGTGAAACCGCGAGTGAGGTTCGCCTTTTCTTCCAGCGTCATCTGGCTCACCAGATCTTGAGCACTGGCGTACGCGCCGGCCCAGACACCTTTACCATTACCAATTGCTGAGAATATGTCAGAGAATAGATCAACAATGAGCTTCGAGGAGAATTACGTGATGGGTAAACAGGGGGCGACTGTCCATAGAAATCGACATCGGACAGAGCAGACACGGTAGCCGCGACAGCAAGAGCGCGCAAAGCCGTGCTTCCTGCGAAAGTCCACATGGCTACGATTCTAGAGAGGGGAGTGATGGGGAGGATCTGGAGTCCCGCCGAGCGGGTTCGGATCGGGGTATTTATACCCGTATGATATTTCGTTGCCCGGGATCTCAGAGGAGCTTTTAGAGGAGGGGGTGACGTAGTTACACGAATGCGTGCTTACTTAGTCAACGAATTGGTAACTCATCGTATTTGGTACACCGCTTCTATGGAGGCAAGGCAAACATAATCAAGGATGGACAGATGTCCTCGACTACATTCACCTTGTCGGTACTGTCGTGCCATATTGAGTGTGACCATTCGGGCCACTGCCGGGATCCCCGCACCGCCTAGCAACTCCAACTGTCAATAACGGCATGGTCTCCACCAAAAAAAAAACAAGAAAGAGTTAACGTAATCCACTTATAAGCGGGCCACCATTTTTGGTATAATAAGAGGATGATCAGTAACAGCATAATAAGCAAAGTTGAAGCTATTCATAACGCTATTTTCAACTAAATATGTGACGGGCTCACTGCGCCTGTCACAAAATACATCAGAATCGAGCGGTAATTCTTTCTAAACACGTTTAGAAGGTGTAGGGACGTGCGAGTTATAACCTAATATAGAAGTCTTAGTATACGGAATAATCGGAGGAACTAGTGCTCTGTCAGAGAACACTGGTCATACGCTCGATTGACCTGCTGTTCGAGCGTCTGGACACTTTGGAGCAGCAGTCCAGTGAGGTTGAATTCGTGCCGCTCCTCATAGCTATGTGCAGATCCTCGATTGAAATACGGCGTGTTCAGTAACGAATGACCAGTAACTGCACACTCAATAGGCCCTCTGGCGCTGAGGGGCAGATGGGAGAACTTGGTCTTGGTATCCGAGGACATTTTGAACGGTAAGTGCAGTCGGGAACAGTACAGTGGCTGAGGAGTGTATCGTCGCAGAATGGATCTACTGGAATGCATAAAGAAACAGCCGGTGGAGATGCGCGACGGAACCTGAAGACGTCACGACACTTACAGAATAGTAGAATGCCATAGGCACCGGTGGGACACCGGTGGGGCTCTGGTGTAGGGATGTGCGAGTCATGACACGATATGGAAGTCTTGGTTTGCGGAACAATCGGAGAAACTTGTGCTCCGCGGCTCCGACGCCGGGTTCTAGCTATCTATGTAAGGGGCGGAGGCCCAAGAAGAAGATAGAGAGAGTAGAGATCAATGCATCATCGTGGGCACCCCTACCTGAGACCGCCATGTTACGAACCGTTGGCACTGAACCAACATTACAGGCCCGTCGGCAGGCCAGGTGGATACAGACACTAGGATCACGGGACCCCGCATCGGAGGAAGGAAAGGACCCCCAGACTATCACGTCACATAGACCAAAAGATCTAGCAATTCTGTCACTTAGTGACAGAATTGTGACTTAACCCTGCTTATAGCTCTGTATTCCCTTACAAGGAGAGATGGGTATATAAGGGACAGGACTCCCAGGCATTTCATAGATAGACAGTCTCTACTTCAGTGATCAATCTAAGCATCAATCTAACCCATTGGTGGGGCAAACTGCCTTGACGACTCTATTCCCAGTTACCCCAAAGCACTATACTCTATACGTCAGACCCCGATATTATTGCTAAAGGACTCCGCAGCAGGACTTACTTACTAGCACAAACCCTTACAGACTCTTTAGTGGTTTACGCAGCTAGACTATTTGTCAGAGAACAGAATGCCATAGGCACCGGTGGGACACCGGTGGGGCTTGTGAAGGTCAACCCTCGCAGACTCACTACAACCAGGTGACTTACAGCTGGAACACCTGCCGTGGCAGTGTCAGATGGGAAGCCAATCATAACCCTTGTAGGAGCCCCGCCAAGCGTGGATGACTTAGTCGCGCTCCCTCAAACCTAAGTTGTCATCTTCTTTCCTTCGCTCCTTAGAGTAGAATCTTCGTCGATAGCACCTAATCGAGGTCTATACCAATGCGATGCAACCCAGGTCGTGACAGATAGCACCTAATCGAGGTCTCTACCAATGCGATGCAACCCAGGTCGTGACAGGGCTCTGGTGTAGGGATGTGCGAGTCATGACACGATATGGAAGTCTTGGTTTGCGGAACAATCGGAGAAACTTGTGCTCCGCGGCTCCGACGTCGGGTTCTAGCTATCTATGTAAGGGGCGGAGGCCCGGGAAGAATATAGAGGGGGAGTAGAGATCAATGCATCATCGTGGGCACCCCTACCTGAGACCGCCAGTGACCACCCGGTGCTACGTAGGAGGGACGCCCGTTACTCCCCATCACTCTGTACTATTGCCTTCGGCCTAGCCGTACCCTGACACTATTAGAGGTTTCGTTACAGATAGCCGACCTTAGAGGGGGGATAGTTATAAGGAAAGAGCCGTTATAGCGGGCCGGTCTTAGCTAATAAGCTAAGTCGGGAGGGATTCGCCCCCGATCTAGTAGAACCCCGGAACCGCCTAGCTTAAGAGGAGAACTCGATACGCTCCTACCTGTTACGAACCGTTGGCCCTGAACCAACATTACAGGCCCGTCGGCAGGCCAGGTGGATACAGACGCTAGGATCACGGGACCCCGCATCGGAGGAAGGAAAGGACCGATAAGTCACGTGACCTACAGGGGCGGATATGTTGGATATGTTGGACAACCAACATATCCAAGTGGGGATCTTCCCCCGTAACATAGATTCGACTAGCATAGACCATGCCGGCACTGCGCCCGGCACGTCTCACGTGATGAGACGTTAAATTTCAATCAATCAACCAAGTGGGGATCACTTGCCAATGGGCGGAGGAGACCAATTTCTTTACTGAGATCTGCCCATCGCACTGAACAGGAATGTTAGATGAAGACAGTCCCCTGTAACATAGATTCGACTAGCATTGACCATGCCGGCACTGCGCCCGGCACGTCTCACGTGATGAGACGTTAAATTTCAATCAATCTATCAATCAACCAAGTGGGGATCAGTGAAGGAGAGATGGGTATATTGACGACGGGCAGTGAAACCACCCGCAGGTTTAAGGTGTAAGATGATGGCAACGAATAACAAGATCCTCAACAAGACCTTACTATTCGGGAGGTGGAAAGAAATAACAAGATCAAGAGCTCCTTGCCCTGATCGGAACGACAAGTACCTCAACAGGTACTAACAACTGTAGCCTCAGCAGGCTGGGGAAGAAAAGGAACCTCAACAGGCCCTTGAACAGTCACCTCAACAGGTGAAAGGTGGGAACAATAGCCTCAACAGGCACAATCAGATCTATAGGGGCAACAAAAGTACCTCAACAGGTACGTCAGACATTGAATGCCTGTCCAAGTAAAGAGAAATTGGTTGTGACGGGCTCACTGCGAAACTATACAGCTCAACATGGCCAAATACTGTTAATTATCTAACTGAGGAGGAAAGTAAAATATGCGAGTTGTCCCGGGAACACGGACTATGTTTTGTGTGCCCTCGATGGTTCCTTTGGTGGATCCGGACGCACGGTCTTTGCAGCTCCGGATCCCATATCAGGCACAGCCTGTCACATTGGTTCAGATTACTGTGGAAAAGGCCGCTTGAATTTCTATCTTTTTCTCAAGGGAGTGACTATGTACATAAGGTCTTAAATACCCTTCAAGAACGCGCTTACAAACTCGTCTGAAACCGGAAAAAAAAACGAAAACGAGCACCCAAAAACCCTAACCCCACGTCAATATAAGGGACAGGACTCCCAGGCATTTCATAGATAGACAGTCTCTACTTCAGTGATCAATCTAAGCATCAATCTAACCCATTGGTGAGGCAAACTGCCTTGACGACTCTATTCCCAGTTACCCTACTTGAATACTTCAGTTACCCAGAGCCCTATACTCCATACGTCAAACCCCGATATTATTGCTTGAGGACTCCGCAGCAGGACTTACTTACTAGCACAAACCCTTACAGACTCTTTAGTGGTTTACGCAGCTAGACTATTAGAGGTTTCGTTACACTACCTAATTTAGATTCCTTAAGAATTAGTCTTATAATGTACGCACTTATATACTGTAACGGGGTAAGGCCGGACATCAGGGAAATAGGTTACGGGGCTAGGAGAAAGTTTATTTTCTCTTCTTTAAGAGGCACAGAGGCAGAGTAGGACACGAGTCCCCCATCTTCACGCATCATCATCCTCATCTTCATATCATCTCCTTCTTATCTGTTAGGCAACCTTGGTGGGCTTTGCCAAGACCACCAAGGTTACCACGTGACTTAGCCCTTCGGGACTAAGTCCAACCTTCGTGCTCCATAGGACTAGATAGAATGTCATGCTTTTACAACCTCACAAATCTTTGACCACCTTTGCGTGTAACATTATCTATATCTTCACCTTCGCTTTTCAGTCAGTTATTTAGTTATTTTAGTTATTCAGCTTATCTTTACGTTCGAGATCCTATTATTGTGACGGTTGTCACGTGATTGACCTACACTGGTTTGAACAGATTGATAAGTGGTTGCAGATATCAAAGTCAGGGACTTTGGTATTGGTCTCTTTTGGTGAAGACATCTGGTACGGTGGCGTAGTGGCAAGGATTGCAACCCCTAGCACGGCGTGACAATTATCACGATACGAGTATCAGAGGCACATCCGACCAACTCGCGCACCAGACGTATAAGAGCTTCGCTGTTATAACCAGTACCACGATCTTCGTCTGATAAGACCAACAGATGGGATCTGTTGGTACTGGAGCCGTCTGTTCAGTGTGTTAGGTGGGTAAGTATATCCTACTGACCGCCTAACCCCGTTTCAACACTAGCCTATTCTGTCAGGGTCGTGTATGGGGGTACCAGTAGTTTATTGTTGTAGCACGAAGAATGGAACATCAGCCAGCTCGTGCAGTACCAATATACATGCGGTGCACGTGCCTAGCCCCGTGACATATTCTAGTTGCTCTTTGTACTACCTAACTATTATATTGTGAGATATGTGGTATCCTCGTTATAGTACGAAGGAAGAGGTAAATAAAATAGAAAACGTACAGAGAACTTTCACTTTATAATAGAGATAATATCGATATTTTCCTTAAAGGGGGCATTATTAGGCAACCTTAGTAAGCTTTGCTAAGACTACTAAGGTTATTACGTGACTTAGCCCTTTAGGACTAAGTCCAACCTTCGTGCTCTATAGGACTAGATAGAATAGCATACTTTTACAACTCTGAAATATTCGACCACCATTACGTGTAATAACCCGTCTTGGCGCATCTTGTTCTCGGTTTCTGCAATTAAAGAAACTGAAGACATTGCGATACGTATTTTCCACAGTAAACATAATGACTATAATGACCAGTGCGACCCCTGAAACTCTCGTATGATTGGAATTGACGGTTGTCACATTGGTCCTTTGGCTCTAGGGTAGGTCCGCTCTTGCGGTGCCGGTGTGACGCAGCTTGTTGACTCATCAATTGGCAACTGCAATCGAGGGGTATAATTTCGAAACCCCACCATCGCAATCCACCAACAAAGCTGCCACGACACCCAAACGACTTCCTTGTACCGACCGAAAAAAATAAGTCGAGCCCGATAACTTCGCTGCCGCCACCATGGCCTCCGTCCAGGAGCTGGCTGAACGGGTCAAGAATGACGACAAGTGCTACATCGACACCGATGCCGGCGTAGACGACGAGACTGCCAACGGTTCAGAGTCCAAGCCTTACAAGAACCTGGGCTATGCCTACGTCCGGAACTACGAGAAACCCACGCCGCAGTACCAAATCCGCGCCTCTGTGACAGGACCCGTCGGCGATGGCGAAAGCCCCTCCGTTCGCTTGCAATGGAAGGAGCCCGCCAAGAGCGCCGTCAAGAAAGCCCAGGGCGCCCTCGATGCCCACAAGAAGAAGCTGACCAAGCAGGCACAGGTCGCCGCCGACGAGGAGAAGAGAAGGCAGCAGCGGCTGCAGAACCTCGAGGAGGCCAAGAAGATCGTGTTGAAGGAAGACACTTCGCTACCCAAACCCATCCGGATGAAGATCGGGCGCAAGGATATCGAGCTGGGAGATGGCGATAAGAAGGGAACGCGGGTCAAGGTTATGGGAAGAATCCACCGTCTGCGCGCGCAAAAGCAGGCTACGTTCATTACACTGGTGGACGGACACGGACATCTGCAATGTGTCTTGCAAGCGGGCGACCTAACCAAGACGTATGAGGCTCTAACCTTCGCGCAAGGCACGTCTCTGGCGCTCTACGGCGAGATGCGGAAGGTACTCGAGGGACAAACTGCGCCCGATAACCGCGAGTTGCACGTCGACTACTACGAGGTTTTGGGCACATCTCCTAGCGACGATGATGCCATGACCAACAAGGTCTCGGTCCAGCAGAACCAATGGGACTCGCAGATGCTGGACAGCAGACACTTGGTCCTGCGTGGTGACAACGCTTCGTCGCTGATGAAGATCCGTGCAGCTGTTGAGCGCGCATTCCAAAAGGTGTACGATGATTTGGAGCTCACCAAGGTGTCGCCACCCGCCTTGGTCCAGACCCAAGTCGAGGGCGGTGCGACGCTCTTCAGTGCCCCGTACTATGACGAGCAGGCCTACCTCACCCAATCATCGCAGCTGTACCTCGAGACTGTTATCCCCAGCCTGGGCGACGTCTACTGTATCGAGAAGTCATTTCGCGCTGAGAAAAGTCTGACTCGCCGCCATCTCTCGGAGTACACACACGTGGAAGCAGAACTAGACTTCATTACCTTCGACGACCTGCTGGAGCATCTCGAGGAGGTCATATGCCGCGTTATCGACATCGTCCTCGACAACCCCACCATCGCCGCCTACCTCAAGGAGCTCAACCCTACGTTCCAGAAGCCGTCGCGCCCTTTTATGCGCATGAAGTACACCGACGCCATCGAGTGGCTCAACGCCCAGGAAACGCCCATCCTCAACGAAGAGGGAAATCTGCACGTGTTCGGCGACGACATCGCCGAGGCTGCCGAGCGCAAGATGACGGATGCCATCAACCGCCCCATCTTCCTGACGCATTTTCCCGTCGAGATCAAGGCGTTTTACATGAAGAAGGACCCCGCCGATCTGCGGGTTACGGAGAGTGTAGACTGTTTGATGCCTGGTGTGGGTGAGATTGTGGGTGGTAGTATGAGAATGGAGGGCTACGAGGAGCTGTTGGAGGCGTATAAGAAGCAGGGTATTGACTCGAAGGATTACTATTGGTACACTGACCAGCGCAAGTAAGTGATACCCATCAAATCACCGGTCGATACATTGCTCCACCAAGATACTAATGTTATGACAGGTACGGTACCTCCCCCCACGGAGGATACGGTCTCGGTCTTGAGAGGTTTTTGGCTTGGATCGCTAATCAGCACACTGTCCGCACGACCTGCTTGTATCCTCGCTTCATGGGTCGTTGCAAGCCTTAGAGACCTGTAAGGAAGAGCATGGAACGCCATTTTGGTAAATTCATGATATGCAGATGAATTTCGTGATGGGAACCTGGGGGGAAAGGGGGGGATAAGAGGGATAGAAAGGATGGAGTTCCGGGCATTTGGCGAAGAGCGCTATGTAGACGTTTCCTGTAGTTCGACCAACTTCGGGAATACTAAACCTGGTTCATCGAATTTGGTGTGTCGTGTGATGATCTAGCACAACGTTGAAGATGTCATCAATTTGGGAGTTCCCGCTGGCCCAATCCTGCAAGTCTCCTTTGCTTCTGGCAGGCCTGCTACCTGCCTGGGACGAGAGAGAGCTGGAAGTGTCGTAGTGCTGGATAATGTATCGAAGGACTCCGTGGCCTGCGCAAGTAGCTGTTTCGTCTTCAAGCTAAGAGTCTAATGCCCAAATCGACAGTGCACATTGATCCTGTTGGCGTACGTAATATCGTTGATACTTGCGTCAATAGGGGAGTTCTTGCTGGCTCTACCCTGCCCGCGTCTTTCATATTCTGCCATTACACCTGCCTGCGATAAGGAGAAGCTGGGAACGTGACCCCCATGCAGAGTATCTTAGGCATCCATGGACCTGGAGCCCACAAGTGCATTCGATCCTGTCGATGTGCATAATTACAATGCCATCGAGGTTCATTTAGTATTTAAAAACGGGGCTCTCCTAACCTCCGTGGTCTCTGTTTCTCCTGGTCGTGGATAGTTTTAGCGAGGCGGCCAGTTTCATCTCAACGCGTTGAAGGAATGATCTGCTCAAGGACTTATTTAAATACCGGTGACATCACGCAGACGATATTGACACGACTCAGTCTTTCTGTGTAGTGTGTGTGTGTGTGTGGTTTTGGTCTGATAATGATTGTCGTCGGGGAGTGGAGAGACCGAGCAGTAACACTTCCACAACGCTGACAGTCCTTACTTACGAGCATGGTCCATCCATATTGCTTCCCTCCACTTGGAGAACTAAGTCGGGTGTGGCACGAGCAGCAAGCGCTTGGAAATTTTGCGAGCTTTTATGCTGTGCATCGTGATACCATGAGATAGATATCCGGGCTGATCTGTAGACAAAGAAAACTGTAGTCTTATTACGAACGGAGGATCGTTTTGGGGTTGACGGAGGGACTTCCCGATTCTCTCCATGCCCAGATTACGAAACGGTCTCAAGTCTTATCACTCCCGGGCTGTTCTAGAAGTGTTCTTTGATCCTGCTCCCCTCAACCCGAGCCGCAACAATGCAATTGAGCCATCGTCATTCGGTCATGAAGAGAAGGTGGGTCGGAGACTTGTGGAATCTCTGCCCGACTGCCAATGTAGTGCAGTGAAGATGTGCAATGCGGTGTGTATTGTGCAGTTGCATCGCACCTCGGGTACCTTGCCGTAGTTTCAAGCAGTCCAGGCCCTTGTAGCTTCGGGTGCAGGGTCCAGTTTATGTGGGGAATCTTAGTCTTTTTTCTCGTTAAGACGACGGGGCGAGCTAACCCGAAGCGAAGAAAAAGGGGTCGAGGGGTAGCTTTGTAACATGGTAAATCGCCAAAAAGATCTGGTCCGGACTCCATTTGCCATGTGTTGCTTCATGGGCAATTTTTGGGAGAGAGACTGGGTGAGCAAGGCTTGGCGGTTGGTTCGTTCGGTGGTTTATTGGGCTGTTCTTCCCACTGAGAAGAGGCTTCGGCAAAATAAATGTAATGAATGTTACATCCATGAATGAAAAAGAAACTGTTGGTTCTCTTTGTATGGTTTTCTAGTTAGGCTGAATTCTTAGTCGATTGGCAGAAAGCGAAAGCATCAGATTCGTACGCCATGACCTGAGCGGATGGTGCGGGGAAGGTTTCCTTCTCACTACATAGTATGTGTTTTACAATAATGACAAGAGCTCGTACCGCAGTAACTAAAGGAAAAAGAAAGCGGGCGGATGAGGCTAGTCTAAAAACACTCAGACGACTTGTATGGGTCCGAACGACTGCTGACACAGGTTGCAACGGTGGACTGAGACTTGGGATAGCTGACGGTAATGTAATGACGAAAGGAACTCCAACTGGAATGACGATCGCTGAACGATTCTGCAGTTCGAGGGCCTGCAAGACTATGTGCAGTTTTGTTCTTTGAATGTTGCAGGCGGCATTTCCCACACTTAAACAGTGACTGCCCGAGTAGCCACCCCTGAACAGTGCGACATTAAATCCATCAATGACATGATCGTCTGATATCCAACGTACCGCATGTATGACAGTCGTAAGAGAAGAACAGGTGGCTTGACGCAAGTCAGTCTATCAGCGATAACCCAGAACAATCGTCATGCAGAGTCCTTAGCCTCAAGGGATCCCCAAGGAGGAGGGAGGCGTTGTCGTTCTACAAATAGAACGACCCACCATCCTCATACACCGCGTGACCACGAAGCAAGTCCCTGGAAACGGTCGTGCGAGTAACGACCCAAAAATAAGCTGCACTAACAATTTGTTGGAAACGACGAACTTGAGTTGATTGGCGTCGGCGAATGCCCCCGAGTTGACAGATTGGCCCGATTGTCAAACTATCGAACCCCGCGGTAGCCCCAAAGTGTAACTGCCCCCTTTTCTGGCGACTTGGCATTTCTGATGAGTTGGAGAGAGAGTCGAGTCGATGATGCAATTCTGCTTGGATCAAGACATGACTCGATAAGGCTGCTGTATACACACGAGGAGAATAGAATATGCTGGAAAGTTGCAGCGAACAAATGCAGAAGATACGTTTCATGGAAAAGTTTTGTTCGCGCTCCAGGAGTAACAGTCAAGAACAGTCAAGCCCTGGTGTGTATAAGGAGCCTAGTTGACTTTGTGTTACAAGTCCATCTCTGCCGCTGTAATAACGCATGATGATAGGGTTTCAATGAATTGTCTTGTTGATTGTGGTCCCATTCAACGGTGACAGCCTTTCCCAAATCCTGGACCCTGTTGTGATGCGGATGACAAGCTCCGATTTTGGGGTACTCCCTGGGCTGTCCTAAGTTGCTCTGCCCTAAGACAGGTTGACCATGGGAATGGGCAAAATGACAAAATGTCTGCGTCGAACCGGGATTGAACCGGTGACTTCCAGATTCCTCAAGCTGAAGTTGACTTCAGTCTGGCACTCTCCCAACTGAGTTATCAACGCGAGATGATGACTAATTCCCGTTTACTGCATGTTAAGACTCCATTCGCCCAGGTCGGTGAGTGGCTGCCAGGATCGTCAATATCGCCAGCTCCTCGGCTCGATGATTCCAGAACCAATTTCACTCACATTCAACGTAAAAGTGAAGTGAAGTAATACTGACCTGGCAACGATGTTGCCGAACTGAAATTGAAGCAGTATCTTCATCGGTGGCTCCCAACTCTTTGCCCCTTTGCAGACCGTCGGACGTTGCTGCCAAAAGTATTACTAGGACTTTTGCCTCGTCAATTGAGAAGGATCGATCAGACGCTGGCCATGGCAGAACAGCTGGGAACGCGATTCCCGTGCGATGGAACGAGGAGTTGCCAGTCGAGATGGGACTGTTTTCTATCCGCAATTCGATTGACGAGTCCTTCACACGTTGGGAGACTTCGTTGGCATCAATTGATCCATTGTGGTCATTGGTCGACATTGCAGCCCATTTTGTCTCTTTGCTTCTTCCAGGACTTGTTGGACCTAGTTTGCTGGTTATTTTGAGGCCACGCTATGGCAAGCGCTGTTTGTAGTCGGGCGTGTGCTCGCGGTACCGTCGTGTGCGAAATCAATCAATACTGCAGGTGCAAGTGGTAGCAGCAAATGGACCAAGACGCGATGGGGCCGTAACGCGTGATGTCTCCTCTCAGGGGAAATTATAAGGCGAGCTACTTGGTACTAGTACCGCCGCTGCTGAAGCCCCTGTCTTGCTTGACCGTCCTGGCTCCTTGCCCTCCCAGCAGCTCCAATCCCTGTCTGCTCTCATTAAACTAGCGCAGCCAATTCGACCCCATTTGGGCAATCTACACCAACCCCGGTCGTCCGTACTCAACTGCTCCTGCCGAAAATGTTCCTGTGTCTTTTCCTCGCGCCTCCTGACCTCTTTCGTCTTTTTGATATCCTTTCCCTCCTCCTCCTCACCTCATTCTCCCTCTTCGGTCATCCAATCCCTTCCACCGCCGCCCTTCTTCCTAGGCCCTCAAATCCGTCTTTGGATCTTCTCCAGCTTCTTGTTTACCTATACTCGTTCACTATACCTTCGTAATATTCTTATATTAACTTGCGTTACTCACCTGACGCATCCCCATCCCGGGACTCGCAGGGCCAGCACAACCCCTCCCTCCCCCCTTCAGATCTTCGAGGTACTGCCGACGTCTGGGTGCAGCTACAGGAACAAAGAATCTGCTGTCCGTCTACCTTCTTGACGCTCGTTTACGGCAATTTCTCCACTGCGCTCGCTTTCTTTGGAGCATCGTTTTGCCTGCCTGTGTTCCACGTACCCAAAGCGAACCCATCCCAGATCTCGAGTTCAAAGGAGCCAATTTGAACACTAGCAGCCAATCTCGTCGCCTCTCTCATTCTACCCTGGCCAGTATAGGGTATATTTGACATCTTCAACTGGTCTTGTTCAGTTAGCCCAAGTTTTTGGTGTGTTGTCAGAACCCGTTCCGGGGACGTCGACCTGTTGCACATAGCCATTGCGTATTTCGCGCCGGCAACCCTTCTACCGCTTACGTTAGAGATACCCATCATCTTCGCTCGACTCTGTTGGAACAGACTCGAGTTTGTTCAGTTTATCCTTTTGGCCAACAGGTTTTATAAATATCCTGACAAGGCCTGCAACATTTTGAAGCTCGCACATTCCAGTCCAGGTCGCCGTTATATTTCTCGCTCCGTGCCTCACCCGGGCACGTCTAATCTTTCAAAACGGCGGTTTTATCCCACGTATCTCGGGACAGCCTAGTCCCTCCTCATCTTCTCGGGATGCAGGACCTTTCGGCATCGAGTATTCCTACGGGACCAGCCCAAGGATCCGCCAACCGATTCGGCCATGCTTCCAAGCCGTCCAACAGCGATACGGGCTTCTCCCACGGCGCCTTCACGTCCAACATTTCCGGATTCGCTGACAGGCACCCTCGACGCGGAAACATTCCTTCCATCAATACCCAGCCGGTTCAGCACCAACAGGCCCTGCCCACCAACGGTCACCGCGACATGAACACCCCGGGAACCGGTTACGATATGAACTTCACCCCACTGCTTCCGTCTCAGCTCCTCCTGGGCAGTCCCTTCCAGCCTGGAACTCCCGGTTCTTTTGCCAGCCCTCAATTCCAGAACCTGCAGAGCTTCCAGCAGGCTCAGCATAATAGCCAACACCAGCAGAGCGGCATGGGAAGTCCTATCCAGAACATGTCGCCTCAGGCCTACCAGACCATTGTTTCTCCCTCGACGTACGGTGCCCCGCAGTTCTTCGCGCCCCAGTCTCCCAACGGTATATACAACAACATGGGTGCCCAGATGCAGATGCAGCCTACGTCGCCTACTATGAGCCCTGGTATGATGACGGGAACCAGCAGAACTGTCTACCTTGGCAACATCCCTCCCGACACGCCCGCGGAAGAGATCCTTGGACATGTTCGCAGCGGCCAGATTGAGTCCGTTCGTCTTCTTCCCGACAAGAACTGCGCATTCATCTCGTTCCTCGATGCAAACGCCGCCACTCATTTCCACTCTGATGCCATTTTGAAAAAACTCTGCATCAAGGGACAGGATATCAAGATCGGCTGGGGCAAACCTTCTCAAGTCCCCACTTCGGTCGCGCTTGCCGTTCAGCAATCTGGAGCGTCCCGAAATGTCTATCTTGGGAACCTTCCCGAGGAGATCACCGAGGATGAGCTTCGTGAAGATCTCGGCAAGTTTGGTGCCATTGACACCATCAAGGTTGTTCGAGAGAAGAACATCGCCTTCATTCACTTCTTATCCGTGGCGAACGCCATGAAGGCGGTTCAACAGCTTCCTCAGGAGCCCAAGTGGCAGTCGCCTCGCCGTGTTTACTACGGCAAGGACCGTTGCGCTTATGTCTCCAAGACGCAGCAGCAGAACGCGGCCCAGTATCTGGGTATTGCCCCTGGCTATGCTCATATGCTCACTGGCGCGGACCGCGATGTTATATCCAGTGCCCTCGCTCAGCAATCCGTGGCGGCCGCTGCGGTTGCCACCACGGCTGGCGGCATCAACAATCTCGGCAACCGCACCATCTACCTGGGCAACATCCATCCCGAGACAACCATCGAGGAAATCTGCAATGTCGTGCGCGGTGGACTGCTTCATCACATCCGCTACATCCCAGACAAGCACATCTGCTTCGTCACTTTCATCGATCCCACCGCGGCTGCGTCCTTCTACGCTTTAAGCAACCTGCAGGGTCTGATGATACACAACCGCCGCCTGAAGATTGGCTGGGGCAAGCACTCCGGAGCCCTTCCGCCGGCGATTGCTCTGGCTGTTAGTGGTGGCGCTTCCCGCAATGTGTATATTGGCAACCTGGACGACACCTGGACGGAGGAGAGGTTGAGACAGGACTTCTCCGAGTACGGTGAGATTGAGCTCGTGAACGCTCTGCGCGAGAAGAGCTGCGCGTTTGTCAACTTCACCAACATTGCCAACGCCATCAAGGCCATCGAGGCCGTGCGAAGCAAGGAGGAGTACCGCAAGTTCAAGGTCAACTTCGGCAAGGACCGCTGTGGAAACCAGCCCCGACAGCTCCAAGGCCAGGCTCAGTCGCCACGCGAAGCAGTCTCCCCCCCTCATACAGGCAGCCAGAATGGCAATTCCCCCACCGGTGCCACGTCGCCCCAATCTGCCAGCAGCCCTAATACCATGTTCGCCAATGGAAACAATCCGTTGACTGTGTACTTGAGCCAGGTATCTCAGCAGGCTCAGCAGCAGCAGCAGCAACAGCAAAACATACTGGCTTCGCAACAAGCTGCGCTGTTTGGCACTGCCGCATCCTCGCCCAATGAGCTGTCGCTCGAGGTCCCCCAACAAGGCCAAATGGCTAGCCATGGTCAGTCTGCGAGCATCTCCAATGGATATGCTGCTGGCAACGGGCCTCAGTCTGCTACTACGATCGGCGGGTTGCTTGCTCCGGGACGTGGACAGCACAACCGTGCGGTGAGCTTGCCCGCATTTGCCCCTGGCTTCGAGAACGGTGGCAACAGTCCTATCAGCGCTATCGGCACCGAGGCTGGCGAACAGAGGCGGGGACACCAATACCAAGCTAGCTACGGCGGCATGGGTTCTGGCTTTGGCCTTGCCATCCAGGGTGGTTTGAACGGATGGGTCGAAGAAGAGGTTGCCAATTGATGCCACCAAGCGCTCGTCGAAGTTTCGTGAGTCACGCCACGAGTCGTGATTGACCGGGAAAGACCTAATATATTGTTATTGCTGCGTTGGTTTTTATCGCGGAATTCTTTTTTTCCGTTTCCATCGGTTATGTTACCTGTTTCCAGTATCAATTTATGACAGCCCCTTCGAATCTTTCCCGGTCACTTGCGACCTTCGAGATGTGCGATATGCTTGAGAATCAGGCAGGAGAATTTGTTGGATCATGCGTCTGTATCCGTTGTGGTGTCTGCCTAAGGGTGTAGGAATTTGGGCCAGAAAAAGGGTCGAATCTGTGTTGGAATTATCGAGATAGGAATGAGGGAGAAGGTTCGTGGATAGAACAGGAGAGCGTGTGATATGGATTACCTAGGGTTCTATCCATTCATAGATTTGCAGAGTATTGTTAGCTCGGTTAGATATCCTCGGCACTTATCTGTATTATCTTATGCAGGTTTGGGGTAACACAATCAAACAAGATGAGCAAGTCTACAAGTCTCTGTGTCAAGTCTTTGTGTTGCATGGGGGCGACTTCAACCAGTGAAAGCGAATAGTTCGGATGTCTTTGTCTTATATATTCAAGCAGGCCTTGGCCTCGCGTGTTGTCCAACTGGCACGTTCGATCGCATCTCAGACTCGTCCGACAGGTCAGCAAGTAACAAATGCAACAGCATCGGCAGTAATCAACTGTACCAAACAGCTCTGTGTATCTGGTGCCACTTCCTTCTCCGGTCATCAACTTCAGGTGGTAGGCCCATTATCTTGTCCTATGCGTCAACACTCGTAAATATAGGATGCACAGCATTGACGTCTATACACATCAATTTAAATACCAGCCAATCTTCTGCACCGTGCCCGAAATCATATTGCCACAATTCTTTTCCTAGCGCATCATCTAATTACGTCAGCCAGCTGCTACAACGGGCGGACTCCAACAATAAGTCAGTCTAGCCATGCGCTTTCAATGCCAAATATTTATCCTCCTCTTGTGTCTGGGCAATAAATATCTCTCTATATGTGTGGCGCAAGGGGCGATATTTCCTAAACGTCAAACTCGTTTCTTCATTTAAATGGTCTATCAACTGATAATGATCCTCAGTACCCAGCCGGCTCGGGTTTCGCAGGGAACGCCGGCTCTTTTATACTGACTGCACACTCGGCCTTCCAGTTGCGGGGGACGAACTTGTCGACAATGGCCTTGAAGGCGGCCTGCGAAGTGTGTTACTTTACGAGTCGGCGTGGTCTAATTTGGGCTGATGAACGGTGGGTGGAACTTACCAAAGTACAAAAGCTCTCATTCCCCTCCAGATGGTTACCCGGTGTTTTGCAACCCGAAACCGTAACCACCTCATCATTATATCGCAACCGCACGTAATACCCGTCAATCCTGTCCTTCTCAGCTACGCTCAAGTCCTCCGTCCGCTTACGTCCTATGCCCGGGGGCGGGAGACCGGCCGCCGTTTTCGCCTCCGGGGAGCTCTTCCACGAGAACAAGCTTGCAAACCAACTACTAGTAGACTTGCCAGCAGCGCTGCTCTCCGTCGGCGGGATAGTGCTCTTCCCTTGCACGGCGGGCGCCACGTCGGCTTTGCGGAACATCTCGATGGCGATGTGGCTCGTGTAGGGTGGCCACTTGTCCCCCGGGTAGGCGCCCAGACTCATCAGGACTGCGGCTAAGGTGGTATCGTGGCATCCGCTCAGGCCGAAGCGGATGGGCGTTGCGCCGCGGCCGTCCCGCACGCCCTTAGTCTCGAGGTTGCGCGCGATTTCATACTCGCCGTCTGCAGTACTTCTTTCGGCGCTGCCGACCATTCTTGATACCACGTCGCCCATCAGTCCGCCGATTCCAAGGGTTCGGTATTCGCGGCTTTCTTTGTAACCCGCGAACCACTCTTCCACACCAATCTTCTCAATGATGTCCCGACCTTTCTTGTCGTAAAAATCTTTGGGTAACCTTGTGTCCGGTCCGTGGGCTAAAGTTGAGTTGATCGTGTCCATGATACCACTCAGTCTCGGGTGCGAGTCCACAGCGACCCGTTGACTGTCCTCGGGCATCCACTTTCCGTACAACTTGTTCAGATAAGCCATCTCGTCCGTGTCGTTCCAGCGATCCGCCGCGCGTTGAGCAAAGGCCCGGGCGAGTGCCGCTAGCCTTCGGCAGTTACTGTCATTCGGAAACAACGTCTCGTCCTGCGCAGCTCGGGTCAAGATCGACGGGGGCGGAAAGTTCGGCGCTCTCGTGTGTGTTGGATACAGCCCCAAGAATGTCTCCTGCAGGCTTTCCAGCGCTCGCGGTATCGGGGTCGCGCGGAGGTACAGACTATCGGCGTCGTTGATGGTATGCGGCATGAAGCCGAGCTGCTCGACGTAGAGCCGACGCAAGCGAGATCCGAGGTCGAATGTGGTCTGGCGCCCCTTGTCGGTCAGCATGCCCATGTCGCAGATGGCGTCGAGCTCGCCGCGGGGACCTGACGCGACGATGGGCTCATCGCCGGGGCCGAAAGCCTCGAGGCGTCGTTTCCATTCGAGAGTTGTGAAGGCAGAGGGCGTCATGGAGCGGTCGAGGACGGCAGATTTGAGCTGTGTAACCGCAGCGCAGTAGGGCCAGAAGGCGGGAAGGCCGGCATTCTGGAAACGAACTGAAACGGGCGATCGTTCGCCGTGGCGGAGAAGAATTTGGACCAGTTGGAGTTGGAGGTCAGCGGGGTATAATTGGTTGAGCTCGTCTTTGGTGTAAGGTTTACGGGGGGTGAGGGTAGTCATTGTGGTGGCTACGGTTTGGGGCTTCGGGAAGGAGAAAATAGAAGTGCTGATGATGGTTCATATGCACATTGAGCGTTCGCCCGTAAATACAAACTGTTCCGGATGCGGCTTGGGGACGTCGGGCTCAGAATGAGTGACAGGACATGCAGGTGCTTGGCCTCTTCAAATATCAAGAGCTCGATCTTCAGAATATCTTTCAATTGCGGGACACTCTACAACACCACCGCATGGTACTACGCAGTCGCAGCTCAACTGTTGGCGCCTTTGAATTGGCTGACTGCCCACAGGCAGGCTGCAGATGGCCCCCCACAACTTGACAATGATAAGCTCCACTGCTGGGGCTACCGGGTTCCCTATCGCGGCATAGTGTCGGTGCCAGCATCACCGACCGGACTTCGAGACTGAGCTTCGAGAACCTTACAAGCTCCACGGCGATTTCAATATTTTTCAAGCCAGGCACGGCCACGCGACGACTCGATCACGATCCGACGCCAATAGTACAGATGGAATGAAGGCATCAAGATCGATCTGCCTACTATGTCGCCACAGACTTGCGACCAAGGCAACACCCAAAGCGCCGCAATGGCCATCTCATGCGCCATACTCGACAGGAGGCTCCTCGGCACCAGCCGGTAGTCCCGCTGGCGAAGTGCATGCCAGAGAAGACAGCAACTCGAAACCGGCCAAATTCAGCTTTCGGCGTGTACTCTCCAAAGATTTGCCCATCAAAGACCCCCTCGTCCCGAACTCGCGCCCGAGCAAACGGCGCAATGCCGGCAAGAAGACAACGGCCGACATGGATCAGCTGTTCCAGGACATCGTCAACAAGAAACCCGACAACATCACAGCCGAAAATGGCCCTAGCGTGGTCAGCATAGATATGCAGCTGGTGAACGACATTGGGAAGCTGCAGCTGATGCTAGACAATAATATCCGCGTCTCTAGGGCGTACGTATTTTTGAGGACCGAACTATATCCCAGTATTCGTCGAGAAGGCGTCCATATCCCTCAAATCTTTTTCAGGGTCGTCTCGAGTCTTATGCAAAAAATCATCAGTATCAAGAAAGATGCAATGGAAGACCCAGAATTGCCCCCTGTGGCCGAGATATTCCGTGTCTGCGCGGACATTGGTGAGATGCGGCCGGGGCAATGGACCGTCCTTGTTGGAAAACTGGTCGAAAATCTTTGTGACATGAGCATATCCCCAGACGATTATCCCTCCATTGAAGCTTACGAGAAGCACCTCGCCACCAGGGAAGAGATGATCACTGACCTGGTGGAATCATGGAAGGTCCTGTCTTTACCCAAACATATGATCGTCAAGCCCAGTGGCCATGAAAACGAGATAATGGACGGGTTTTGGCTTCCACGGCTTGATAAGCTTCAGGTCAAGAAATATGCACCAAATGAAAATCTCACCTTGGCTTTCAGCCGCTTGTTTCCGCAGTACCCGCCAGATTATCTCGGACCCAAAGTCAGTGCCCTCGCGCTCGCAACTTTTGCCCTGCTCATGGACACGGCTCGAAGCAGCGCGGCGGCGAGGCGAAGCGCTTCTCGATTCTTGGCTAAGGTTGCCTACCTCATTGTTCACGTTCGCATCCGGCAGGCGACCCTCCGAGACAACCTTCGAAAAACACTGCCCTTAACGGAAGACTATGTCATGCGTCAGTGGCCCAAGATCCAAGAATATCTAACGCGGAACGGTGATCCTTCGGATGAACCAACCACCAATGGGCAGAATGCTGCATATCCCACGGCTCGAAGGTCGTTTTTCGCGGATTCTACATTCATGTATGATCGCCTCAGTCGGGCCTATGGCACTCGCGATGGAGAGGAGGTGGATCGCCTCTGGCAGCTGTTGATCGGGGCGTCAAAGGAGCCGATGCAAACACGAGCTGCCACGTTTCGACATCATCCTGACCTCTTCAACTCATTTATCAACATCTACATGGCTATGAACCAGCCGGACAAGGCTATCATGGTCTGGAACAGCTTGCCCAAGGTCGGTCTCAAACCGACGCTGAAGACGTGGAACGTCATGCTGGATGGTTGCAAGAGGGCCAGGAATGCGTCGGGTTTGAAGAATGTGTGGGCTAAACTCGTATCTTCGGGCATAACGCTTGATGAATCAATATGGACAACGCGCATCTCCGGCTTGATGGAGTCAGGGGAGCCCGAGGCTGCAATCAAGGCTCTGGAAGAGATGGTGCATCTTTGGAATGATGGGAACCCACAGGAAACGAAAGTCGCCATTGCGGTTCGTCCTGGCATAAGCCCTGTCAACGCGGCTCTGGCCGGCTTGATTCGGCTCGAGCGACTCGACAAAGCACAGAAGCTGCTTGCTTGGGCCGGCAGACAAAACATCCTGCCCGATATACTCACTTTCAACACTCTTCTTCGGCCCCTGATCCGCGACAACCGTGATGAAGAGGTCAAGTCCCTGTTTAGCACCATGCAAGACTTGGGCATTCACGCCGATGAAGCAACATTCACCATCGTGCTCGACGGCGCCCTGGCCAGGATCGACCCTAACCAGCCTGAACAGCAGGTCAAGGTAGTGTCCGCCGTCTTCGAGGAAATGCACGCAGCGGGGCTCGAAGCAAACCTCCAGACCTATGGTAAGATGATCTACCTGCTCCTCCGCTCGGGCGATCGCGCCACAGAATCCGTCAAGACCGTCCTAGAGCACCTATGGGCCCACGGACACGAACTATCCCCGCACATATACACGATGCTAGTCGAGCACTACTTCTCGCGCCACCCGCCGGACCTGCACGCCGTCGACTCGCTACTCCAGCGCCGCCGGCTGCTCGACTACGACGACATGGACCGCGTGTTCTACGACCGCATCATCAAGGGGTATGCGCTTGTCGGTGACATGGACACGTCACTCGATATATACCGCAAACTGACGGCGGCGGGGTTCCTGGTTGATGTCGCGACGCAATTTGAATTGCTTAAGGTGCTGCTCCGGGCGCAACGCGCACAGGATGCGAGGGAGTTGGTCGAGTGTACAGTGAGGAAGTATCGTGAGCAGCATGGGGCAGGGTTTCGGGGGTCGTCGCATGCGAGGTTCTGGGGGCATCGGTTTTGGGATGTTGCGGGGCGGAATGGGTTGTTGTTGGGGGTTGATCTTGCTGCTGAGAGGGCTGAGTGAAGTGGTGTTTGAGGGTTTGGGGAGATGGGTAGAATGATGATATATGTGTACAGTATGTACTATAGACATGTCGAATTTATGAAGCATGCGTATTGGCAGTCGTGTGCATCATGTACCACAAAGTGCTTATTGCTCTATTGAACTGTCGTGCAACTGTGTGCAAAGGCTCCCCATCTCTGGTGTCTGCTTCCTAGCTTGGTTCGGAATAGACATCTGCGAGACTCACTTGCGCAAGTCCGTGAGATAAGGGGAAGGCGTGCGCTCGAGATAGACTCATGAAGTGGTTCTTGGCCGGTTCGGAGAAGCACAAGATGTCATGACCCTTGAATATTTGAAGCGTGGATAATATTGGGTGGACGTCTAAGTTGAGCGGATTACAACGACGATAACCAGTTCCTTCCGATAGAAAACCGCAAGTTCCATGCCGTCAAGTTCTTCGGTGTCATTGCCTTGTGCCTTGTCTCTTGTGGAGATTTGGTGTCATACTATTGCAGTCATCTCGAAGTTAAGAATAGTGGGTTCAACTGGAGTTTGCATCTGTGCAGATCTGGCCATGGGGTTGACGAGCACTCTGGGAGCTGCCTACAATAACGGCGACATAGAATACGTCAAGAATAAGCTAGTTTTGGAAGGCCTTGCTCTAGCGAAGGGTGTTAAAAGTGATTCTAGTAGCTTCTGCCACACCCCCTTTTAGACAGACATGGATCCTGTCCAATATTTATTACGAAAGGAAGTTCCGGATCATGGTTCTTTTGAAGATTAAGAATGCAGATGAAGCGGAGGGTACGTACCTCGATTACCTGAACGATGGCCAGCTGCTTCAAGTGGAGGCGCTTGTGACGAGAACGACACCGTTCTGCAGACCACAAAGACAGAGCAGGGGATTCAGCGCAGTGAAACTACCTACTAGATGCGAATCAGCGAGGAGGCTGAGGCAGGAACGATTGGCCCGGTAAGTAAACCCAATCAATTTGCAATCACCGCCCCTAAAACCACCATTGCAAGGCTGACACTGGATAAATGAAACCGACTCCACGATTCCAGGGCGAAGAGGTACTTATCTGCAGCGCTTGGAAGGTGGTCGTTCACATGGGTGAGGAGGGAGAGACTCCGACTTGCGACTACCACTACGGTGAGTATTGGAAATTGAGATTAAGCATCACATTTGGAGAAGTTTCGCTGATTTGGGGGAATATGACAAATCCAAATTCTGGACAACAAGTATGGGCTCCGAAGACTGCTGCGCTGGTCGTTCTGCGATCGCAATCTACTGGTCACCAAGGGTTGCACAGCGAGGAAGGGGCACCATTTCTTGGTCCTGTAAGGGGTAGGAAGGTCGGAAGGAAGCATTTTCTCGATTGTGGCAATGGAGGTGCCTATCATTTTACGTAGATAGGCAGGTGCCATAGTAATCAAGCCAGACGAAGGGTTTTGTTTTGCATTCAACGGCTTGCCTTTGTGTCTCTTGCAGTTTACTTCTTGCAGTTTACTTCTTGAAGTGACCACGTCACTAACGACAGGCAGTAAAGACACACGGGGTCCAGGGCATTGCAACCGGCAGTACGCGTGAATATTGGACCGAATTGCGACATATTGCTGATGTTTTGAACAGAGGATGAATTGCGATTTCCGGAACCCGACCCTCTGTCAAATATCACTTATGAATGCTTGTACGGTTACACTGCCATACGTAGGGTCTCTTTGAGGGCTTCAGCCATCGAACCCTCCCAAGAATTTCCCAGGTTAGTTTGAACTTGAGTTTCACATTTAATGCAAGCCTTGCCCATCACTATGCCATCGCAGGTACATGCCCAATGTGTAGTATATGTGAGCAGCCTGCGGGAGATCCCCGCAGTTGACATGAGTTGAGCGCGACGGACGGAATGGACCAAGATCTGGCCCATTGAAAAAAATAAAAGAACATCAAAGAAGGCCTCATTTGTATCAAAGCTATTGGGCCTCGAGTGAAGTCAGTTTATAGTGGCAGATAACTTGGGCTCTGGCCACGTTAAACACTATATGCTGTCCAACATGATGCTAGAAACGACTGGACTTGAATGATATCTCATTTTGACTTTCAAGGCTACGGTCAGTCCAACACTTACATATAGGTGATCTGCGTGCCCTCCAACCAGATTCATTTAAGCCCAAGCCCACAAGAGAAACCCAGGACCAGACCGAGCGAATCATTCACTACCTACCTACACCATCTACAAGATTGCAATCAAGTCCGAATAATGCGCCTCTGCGGAAACAAATCCGCCCACGACCCCCTCCAAAACTGGGGACCACCGGGGCCAACTGAGCCATCCCTAGAATACATGGAAGTCTGCGAAATAGCCGTACAAAGCGCCCTTTCCTATGGCGGCAAACCCCTCGACTTTGGCAACTAACCTCTGCACATAGATAAAAGCCCGCCCCGAGCACGACCTGGCCAGATGCGTATAATACTACTGCGGCCTATGGCTCTCGTGCTAGTACCGCTGGAAACAAGACCAAGAGTCGCAGCCGTGACACGGGGATCGCCAAGCGGCAAGAGAGGTGAACGAAGAGTGGGATAGGAGATGCCGGATGAATACGTATAACATGATGTTGGAGAAGCTGAGATATGGGGAGGGTGCCGGTGGCGTGCCGAGGATGGAGCAGGTGGTGCCGCCAACAAAGGAGAACTTCAGTTATGGGATTTGGGAGTCACTATTTCATCAGTGTGGGAAGGGCTGGAGGATCCTAACTTAATTTGACTGTACGTAGAAGTAGAAGTTATCAGTGTCGTGGAGGCAAATTCTTGTCTTCCCCGGAAGCTGTCAGCTGTAGAGGCTTCTGCTTTGAACACGTTAATATTGTCAGTCGTGATACTACTAAACGGGAGAAGTCGTGTCCAGATGTCTTGTTGACTCGTTCTGCAAGAGCCTAGAAACATCTCACAGTAGCCGAAGAGCCCGAATCGCCGGAATGGGCAGTACTGTGGCAATATAGAGTGAACCATACATTTGTGCTCCTGCGATGATCACAACACCTAGAAAACAGAACCCCCCCGCATTTGCCACAACAATCTTGCAGGAGCCACATAAGCAATACAAATTCATTCATAGGGGTCTACCAAAGAGAAAGAGGTCAGCACCACGTGGAATAACAGTCGATCGACAGTCATACGAGTTAGAGTTCTCTCTCCTTGTTCGCCTCTCATTGGAGAGAGAGGGTAGTAGTGCCTCGTACAACCCCATACAACACCCCCCAAGACATGCAGCCTACTTTTGTTGCGATGTCGGCTTAATCCACATTTAATACGGGCTAAGCATTTATGCTTATTGAGACAACATGGTGGGTCAGTGGTACCTGCTGTTGTGGAAAGATTCCCATTCCCCTTCTGCTCAATCGAACTCACCGTTATTCCAAGACCTCGACGTTTCGAGATCTAAGAATATTTCAGGAGGGCATGGTTCCAGGTTAACACCTCTATTCATTATAAGTTCTTCCAGGCAGGAGAAAGAGCACTTGGAGATGGTGGCATATTACGCCCGCCAGGATTGAACTGCGCCGCACATCACGGATGTGGGGTGGGAAATTAATGGCAGGCTTCTGCAATCCGTGGGCATGACGAAGGATCACTAACACGCTACTGCTAGCTACCTTTAAGGCTAGCGGCTCGGGCAAGGACCCCGAAAGGTTTATAGACCGACAAAAGTTTCACTCGCTTTCGTCTAACCGTGAATATCCCGCGCAATGCAGACCCTATTAGGCAGGCCCGAAACTCTCGCCCGAAATGCGTAGGCACTCTATGACATTCAAGTATTATATCCCCACAAATGACCGACGATCGAACGCCCGGTTGCGGAACAACATCCAATGACAATGGCAAGATACATCTAATCTGATCAATCTGATAACATGTCTTCGGGACTGGCTACACTGGGCATGTCTTGGCATGCTGGATTTTCAGCTTCCTCTGAATTTCATGAATTTCTAAGGGTTACATGGCCTTGGCAATGCTTGGCTTACCGGCTGCCAGGCCTTAACATTCTGATCGTATAGGTGGGTGTGATGTTGCGTGCCAAGCGAATGAGGCGAAAATTTTGTTAGACGCACGGCATATAAGACCTCCCGCCTCTGCTGGCTATGATTTGGCCTGATCTGTAGGTTTGAGCCCGGTATCCTAGCTCCCACTTGCATGGTCGCCTTAGCTGGTTTAGTGAATCGATATCGAGCTGTTTTTCTTCGTTCCAGTGGCCGATATGAGCGCGATTCACGAAGTCGACCCCAAGGGTCCGGCCATGGTTGGGGGCCAACCCATCGTCACGGACGAAAAGGAGCCGCAAGATGGCACTGCTAAGTCGGGCGGCGCAGACCCGTCTGAAGATGCCGATTCGGAAACCAAAAACGAACGAAAACAGAATGGTGTTCGGAAGATCGAGGCTATTACTTCGACTTGGAGCTATACAGCACTCGTCTCCGTTTTCGTCATGTAAGTCTAAACTTCCCACAAATTGCAGACGAGTTCGTTCGTTCGTTCGTTTGTTTGTGTGTTCCATGTGGCAGGAGGCTTATGAGAGATACTTGACAGGATCTGGATCACGGAATTCACGCACTCATTCCAACAACAGATCGTCGGCAACCTAGCGCCGTATGTCACCTCGTCCTTCTCCCGACACGGGTTGACCGCCACCGTCGGGATTGTCGCTTCGCTTGCCGGAGGCACATCTCAGCTGGTTTTCGCCAAGATTTGTGATGTTTGGGGGCGCTTGGAGTGTTACATATTGACACACTTCTTGTGTATGCTAGGTGAGTACTCCAACAACATGGTGGCTTGCTTTTGTGGTTGCGGACTCTGATTTATGTGCTCTGATAGGGTTAATCCTGATGGCTGTTGCCAACAATATCGAGACCTACGCGGCGGCTACAGTATGTTAACCTATGGTTATTGAACTTTGTTTTTTGTGTTATCGTACTAATCAGCTGCAATAGGTGTTCTGGGAGGTGGGCAGTGGGGGAATCGGATACGTCCAGACCGTCCTTATCTCCGACCTGACCTCTCTGAGAAACCGAATGGTCATTTACACCATGAACGCTACGTCTGCCATCGGCCCCGTCTTCGCCGGACCCGTGGTGGCACAGCTGTTCCTTCAACACAGCAATCTCAAATGGGCCTTCGGCGCTTTCGCCATTATCATGCCCTCCGTGGGCTCCGGCATCATGATCAGTCTTCTCTATAACCTCCGGCAGGCGAAGAAGCTGGGGAAGCTCGAGCTGAACGAAAGCGGCCGGACTTGGTACAGCTCAGCTGTGTTTTACGCAAAGGAAGTCGACAGTAAGATAATTCATTCCCAGCCGCTCTTCTCAGGCCAGACGAACTGATAATTTGCTCTAGTAATCGGAATGTTCTTGCTCGTCGCCGGCTTTGCCATTTTCTTGCTTCCCTTCAGCCTCGTTAGCTACTCTGCCCATGGCTGGAAGACGGGCTACGTCATCGCCATGATTGTGCTCGGCGTCTTCATTCTGGTTGCTTTCGGCTTCTGGGAGTATTTTTTTGCTCCCATTCCCATGATTCCTTGGGCCAACCTCAAAGATCGCACCACCTTCGGTGCTGGCTTACTAGCTTGCACGCTGTTCATCAGCTTTGGGTACGTAATCTTTTTCTTCTTCTTAGACCATGAGCCGGCCGTGTCAAGCTAACACAATCCCAGCGCCTGGGGGAGTTACTTCTCCTCATATCTGCAAGTCGTCCATCAGCAAACCGTCGCCCATGCCGGAACGATCATTGGTATCTACACAATTGCCTCCTGCACCTGGGGTCCATTCGTGGGACTGTATGTGCTCAACTCCCCCGTGTCACTCTCTACAACTGTTTACTGATATCCCTTAGTCTTATCCGATACACCAAACACTACAAATGGATCGCCATACTATTTATCCCCGTCGCCCTCCTCGCTACCGCCCTCCTGATCCTATTCCGAAGCCCCGGAACCAAAATCGGTTACATCATCATGGCGCAGATCTTCAAGGCCACCTCGGGCGGCACCCTCATTATCTGCGAACAGCTCGCCGTCATGGCCATCGTGGCCCATAACGAAGTCGCCATCATGCTCGCAGCCATTGGGCTCTTTGCTTCGATCGGGTCCTCCATTGGCAGGGCCATCTCGGGAGCCATCTGGACCAACGAGTTGCCTGAATACCTGCTGGCTGCTCTTCCTGAGGACCAGAAGGCGAATGCGACGGCTATATATGGCGATTTGACTATTCAGTTGTCGTTCCCATTCAACAGCCCCACTAGAGACGCGATTGTGTACGCTTATGGAGAGGTCCAGAGGAAGATGTTGATTGCAGGAGCTTGTTTCATGCCGCTTGCCCTTGTGGGTGTGTTGATGTGGAGGAATATCAATGTTGGCAAGAAGAAGCAGACGGCTGGCAATGTTTGGTAGTCTGGACGCATTCTAGCAAGAATCAGGTTATGAGATTTCCGGAGGAGAAGGATGACCATCTGTTGAACGCGTGTAGTAATAGATGTAGAAGCAGGATTTAATTGTTGATGTACCTGACCCGTCTTGCGGTTATGCAGGAAGCCTACCTAGAACTGATGTGGCACCTCCTCCTCATGAGATGTTCTATAATCCCCCTTACTCTTTTCTTTGTTCAATTCAGAATTCAATCCATACCCACGAACTTGAACTAAGACAAAATTTTTCCACCGCATTTGTTAAGACGCATCTCCGGCGTACCCTGTGCCATATCAGTAATGGCAAGGACTGTTCCAAATAACGGATTCGAAGTACTCCCAGAAGCGGGATCAGACATGGACTACAACAACCCCACGTACCAAGTTGGCGACGTCTTGCAGCTCCGGTGTCAAATGAGATTCGCGGGCGCCCTGTTTGAGCCGTAGCAAGACTTTCGTCCCGGCGTTACGGGAGCAAGAGGTCGTGACGTTACCGTACTAGGCTTGCATGTTCTCGAGTGTAGATCTGACGACTGCTGACGTTGTGCAGCCGAGACTGAAGACGAGTCCTATGAGAGGACCGTGTCTTACATGGGCCTATAGCCGATATTCAACAATGCGTACTACTTCAAGTTGTTGGGGAATGGTCTGTTCACATCACACTACTTATATCTCGAAGGAACCGAGGCTGTTCCACGTCCTCTTCCACCGATGCGGCGACTGCGGCGACTACGCCGACGGCCACGACTTCATCCAGCCCACTCAGTTCATCGAACAACAATCGGTGTCCGACCCTCCGAATGGAAAATGCGGTTACATTACAATACATATAGACGAGTGTACATTGAGATGTTGAACCATACAGAAGCATCCCTGGATACTATAGTACCTGCAGTAGAAGGGTAGCAGGTCGGACATTGTTCGGCATGCAGCGTTTTAGCTAACTGCTGTATGCTGGCCCTGGTTTTGGTGTGGAAAATTGTGGTGGTCTGTTGGCCTTGTTTATGATTTGTCAGCTGGGTGGTCCGGCCTTACATCTTTCCTTCGGCCGATTCGGGAGTCGGGGGCCGTCTCCGAAGCCGAAAACGCATGCATTCGGACTCATCGCCAACGCGAAATCTGCTCTGGCATCTTGTGTCAAGTAGGTCCAGACGCGTGGTAACGGAGATCATATCATTCGGAAACGAGTCAAATAAATTAGGTAAAGCAAGGTAACTACGCAGATGACAATAGCTGGTAAGATTGGGGTCTGCCGATTTTGTGGAATTAGGTGGCGGCGACTACCAAGGGTTTGTGAAGAAGGTTTCAATGGAATGCCATCAATCAAAACCGGTGGCCGCGGGATACTTGTGTTCGCCCATACCAGCAATGCAATCCTTGAAAAACAGACGACACACCGTTTGTGGTTCGTTGAACTGCATGTGGAGTGGTGAGAAGATCATCCCATAGAAAGTGCACGGTTCAGCCTTCACGTTCTCGTGGTCTCCTGACTTCGGAAGGGGCGGATCGTCGCTGAGCGGACAAGCGAAATTGACCAAAACGAATGCATGATGCGCGCAGACGAATTCTAGTGAGCATGACGGAACCGTCTAACATCAACAACCTACTCGCCGTACCTTCCTTTCGATATTATCTCCTAATAATTCATGCCCAACGCCCACCTCCGCGACCCGACCAATTCATTCCTTTTGAGACATTACCTACGCTACAACCGCCCGACCAAAATACTGCACTTGACCTCTCGATTTGCGAGGTTTCGCTCGAACGCCCCCCGTTTTGACGCGACCTCCGAAATCCCCGCTGCCGCCTATCAGCGCAATGGCCACAAACATGACGACAATGACGGATTTACCACCACTGCCGCAGTTCGAATTATACGAGGTGCCCAATCTGATACCGTGGTTCCCGGACTTCTACCTCTCGCTTGTCGCACCTGTCATCGCATACTGGATTCTTTCCATCTTCTTTCACATTGTCGACATCTACGACATCTGGCCGCAGTACCGTCTACACACGCCCGCCGAGATCACCTCGCGCAACCGCGCATCTCGGTATGAAGTGTGCCGCGATGTGCTTATTCAACAGGGTATTCAAATGGTGGTGGGAGTAATACTGGGCGTCACCGATCCCCCACAGTTGATGGGAAGGGAGCAATACGACGTCGCTCTCTGGGCCACGAGAGTCAGACTGGCGCAAAGAACCTTACCCGCCCTGTTGGGGGTTATGGGTATCAATGCCGCTTCCGTGGCGAAGAACATAGCGGGGTCCCATCCTTTGCTCGCTGGTGCCCTTGCAGGCGGGCACTACCCCTTTCTCACCACTGAGCTCGCCGGGCCGGACGGCTCTGTTGTGCCCGCTTTCGCCACCTGGGAACTCCTAGTTGCCAAGGCCATCTACTGGTTGGTCGTTCCCGCGATACAATTTGCCCTAGCGGTCGGCTTCCTTGACACCTGGCAATACTTCCTCCACCGATGGATGCACATGAACAAGTGGCTATACGGTAAGTACGTTCCAACAGGTTCGACGCCGGTTGGCCCGCTAACAATTTGTAGCCACCTTCCATTCGCGACACCACCGACTCTACGTTCCTTACGCCTACGGAGCGCTCTACAACCATCCATTCGAAGGGTTCCTCCTGGACACCCTGGGCGCAGGCCTTGCGTACAAGCTCTCCTTCATGACGGCGCGCCAGGGCATCGTATTCTTCACCGGCTCGACTATGAAGACGGTTGACGACCACTGTGGCTATTCATTGCCCTGGGACCCGCTGCAGCACATCTCGGGCAACAACGCCGCATACCACGACATCCACCACCAGAGCTGGGGTATCAAGACTAACTTCTCTCAGCCGTTTTTCACCATCTGGGATCGCATGTTGGGCACCATGTGGGTAGGGGAAACGGCATCAAAATACGAAAGATCCAGGAAAAACGCCGCAAACGCTGTCGAGGCAGAAGCAAAGAAACCATCTGCCCAGGCTTCATGAACAAACGCATGTGCAATCGAATGGCACCCTTCGCATACGGCCCCAACGAAGCCATTGTATTAGTCTACTTCGCAACGCCATTTTGTGTTAACGACAGATCTTCCGAAACTCCAGGATATTGCGGTGGTAACAACTCGCGGATGGAAACAAGGCGGCATTAGGCGGGCGTCTTCGTTGTGTCTCTGCCTGTATTACACCCCTGAAGGCCCATATTGGAATGATTGGAGTTCTGTATAATTACTCCTACATATTTGAGCGGCGTGTGCCACACTTCCACCGCCTCGGACTCTTCAATCTTGTCCGGCTGTGGAAAGGGTTGGGCTCACTTGGGACCGAAACCGATGTCGCTCGCTACACGATGACAGCTGCGTCGCACTGGTGGTTGCCGAAACGGTACTGTGCTCATAGCTAATGATAATAACACTACAACGAAATTTTGCTGTTAACGATCCCCTGTGGTGAAGGCCATGTGGACTTTACTTAAAGGCCTGGTTCCTGAAGAGAGGGTCGTGAACTTATGTCATCCGATCTATTAAAAGACTTGATGGATTAAGTGGGTGGCTTTTGACAGCGGCCGGAGTTCCTATGGTTTCCCATGGTTTCCCGTAGGCGACCCTAGTTAGACCGTATGAGGGCAACTTACCAATGAAGCACTGTAGTGGAAATCCTGATGAAGGATTGGATAAAGGTTGGGATAGTCTTGACCTACTAAGTGGATTGGACATCAACAACGTGCAGTCTTCCAACCACTTCAAATGGGCGAGACCTGGGGTGAGAGAAAGATTATGCTAATCCTAACCAGGACTAGCTTAGAAAGCCCCTCAGTCCCATTCCGCTCAGCAGAAGTCTCCCACTTTTTTCTTCAAATTGCCCCTCCTTCGACCCCCCGGGTTGACTTGGGAAAGATTTCTTCGACTGGACAGCCATCTCCATTTCGCTCTATTTCCCCATCCTCCATTATTTTCCAGTCAGTTCCTTCTCAACCGCCAAAATGATCATCTTCAAGGTAAGTTTCTCACCGACTTGCAGCGCCAACGACCAAGAATTGCTGGCTGACTGACTGACCCGGTCATTCAGGACATCTTCACCGACGCCGAGCTCTTCTCGGACTCCTACGACTTCACTGAGGTTGGCGATGGCATCGCTCTTGAGGCCAACTGCTCCATGATCGAGGTTGGAGGCGAGAACTTCGGTAGGTCTTGCGCCAACTCCCATCCTGGCCATCCACGTTGCGCTTTTCACTGACTGAACCGATCCATACAGACACTGGCGCCAATGCCTCGGCCGAGGAAGCTGAGGAGGATCTCGAGGAGGGCAAGGAGAAGGTCAACAACATCGTCCACTCGTTCCGCCTCCAGGAAATAACCCCCAAGTACAGCAAGAAGGACTACAAGTCCCACCTTGGCAGTAGGTGACCCCCACGCCTCCCTGTAGCCCGCGCGGCGCAAAAGCAAAATGATTACAGGGAACTTTCCCAGGCTTACACACAATAACAGAGTACATGAAGGCGATCAAGGCTAAGCTTACGGAGCAAGGCAAGCCCGCTGAGGAGATTGCCGACTTCGAGAAGAAGGCTGCCGCATTCGCCGGCAAGATCCTGAAGAACTTCGACGACTACGACCACTACACCGGTGACTCCTTCGACGACCCCAAGATGTAAGTTGCCTTATGGGAAAATCCTGCGCTACGATAAACCCCCCTCGTCTGGATTATTTACTAACAATTTCCTGCAATAGGGTCATCCTGCTCAACTACCGCGAGGACGGCACTACGCCCTACTTCACCTTCTGGAAGCACGGTCTTACGGAGATGAAGGTCTAAAGGCGCAGCTATTTGTTTTCTAGCCTAGCAACAACAACACCTAGATTCATGACGTGGCCTTTTGCGCTGCAGCAAATTTATGACAAGCAACTTGGACCAATTGGGCAAACTCAAAAAAAGTTCTTTACCACTACTTTGTGTTCTCCGTTAAGCCATATGCTACCGTGCGAATACTCGTTCCAACATTGTCTCGAGTGCGCCTAGTCGGATGAAGTTGGACTAAGCGGAAGACTATCCTGTTGCTATTGGAGAGACTTGGCATTCACACGTCAATGGACGTCTAAAATATCCAGCGTCTGTGAGTTTACTTGCGAGCGTTGTCTAGGTTTTCAACAATTGCCCAAGCGCAACCCAGCCCAACTTCATTTCCATTCTCCTCCACGGATGCCACATTGGCCCGTAGTCATCATGCAATTGCTTTTAGCTTTGTCTATGCAGTCTTTTTACGCAAGTGGAGCAGGGTTCACATATCGTCCAATAGATATCCAGTCCTCGACGGGTCACCGTTCAAGTCGATTCCTATCCCATGATTACACTTGACAAATACGTAGGTCCCCGGTGTACAGCAATCTATGTTTGGTGAGCAATAAGCAACTGAACAGTCCTGATCCAACGTGATACTTTGCTCCACGTCGCATCTCAAAATTTAGGCCGCGTAGCCAAAGGTACAGGCGGCGGCGGCGGCCCCGAACTTCCACCCTGATCCTGAGTCCCCGCCCCAACGCCCGCAGACGACAATTCCGCCTTCTTCCTAGGCGGCGGCGGAGCCGGCTTCTTCTTAGCAGCCAAACCTGCCGCCATAACACCGAACGTGTTGGGTTTCGCAGCCTCCCCATCTGCGACATCTGACGCGTCGGTCTTGCCACCACCGCCAAAACCAGCCCGTTCACTTATCCCGTATCGCTGGTTGAGGCTATTTGCCGTCTGCAACCCACTCGCGACCTGCTCCCCGTGCCGCTGGCGGAAGTTGTTCGCTGTGCTTGCGGAGGATCGCGCGTCGGCTAGGGACACGGAGGAGGGGTCTTTGTGGAAATTGGATGCGGTACGCATGGCGGCTTGTTTTTGTGCAAAGGTTGTTCCTTGGGATGCGGGTTGGTTTGCAGAAGCAACAGCAGCAGCGGTAGTAGGAGGGGGGGCAGGCGCCTTGAAAGATGAGGGGGCGAACCGCGAGAACTTCCCTTGCAGCTCGGTGAGACCGTTTTTCATCGACGTGGTTGCGCTTGTGCTCGTGCTTGCAGAAGGGTGATCAGTGGTCTTGGAAGATGAGCTGCCGAGTCGTGAGAACCTCCCCTGTAGCTCACTGAGACCGTTTTTCATCGAGGTGCTTGTGCTCGTATTCGTGGGCGGCGGGGTCGATGTCGACGACCGAGCCGGTGGTGCAGGCGCAGATCTGCCTATGCCGAACCCGGGGACGGAGATACCGGCCGCGCCAAGGCGGCTCATGGCTCCTTGGTTCAGGTGTCCCGACGGTGGTGTCGGACTAGGTGGAGTTGGAGCGTGTGACGGGGCTGGTGAGTTGGCCCCTGATCGCGGTGGTAACCTGGGGGGTAGAGAGGGCGGCCCGCCTGGTGGTGCCATGTTGGGCGCGTAGGTAGGCGGGGGTGTCTTGCCATCGCGACGGGAGGGCGGAGGGGGTAGGTGGGAGGTAGATAGGCCTGTGCTGTTGAGGCTCCATGGCTTGGAGGGAGCGGGAGGCTCTTCTATTGCTCCTTGGTGCTGGTACGAGCCTGGAGGAGGTGGGGGCGGAGGTCTAATGTAAGACTGAGGCGGCGGCGGAGCAGCTGCCGAGTATGCAGTTGCGGGTTCGTGGTTGTGATGAGAGTATGCAGGTTGTGCATTGGGGTCGCGCTTTGGAGGGGGGCCGAAGGAGGACGGGTCGCGTAATTCGGTAATAGGTCGGGAGACGTGGGATTCGGGATTGGAGGACTTGTCGCCTCGGCCGAGTAAGCCGGACTGGAATTGTTCCTTGGTCAGTTTTCTGCGAAGTTTTCTGCAAAGGGAGGCATGTGAGATTTGTGCACGATACATACGACTTGGTCCTTGAGAGAGGTCCCTTCTTTCTCGGGATGCCAACCCTTCTTGACGATGCCTTTCCAATCTGTCATATTTAATGAAAATTATACTCCTGTTGCGTATGTATCGAATTGAATCCCATATTGATACTTATTTGAAGGTAAACACACTCCATTTCCTTCAATTGGCAGTTGAACATGCCATTCAATGCTCCACAAGAGTCAGGTGCTTTCATGATAGCGGTGTATGACGTAGGCCCACTTGATGTTCAGCACTGATCACAAGCTAAATGGCAGTTCACAAGGGATCACCCTTCTCCTTCTATTGGCGCATTGAGTTTAACACCTTGCGATTAAGGCAGGAACAACCCCTCGAACCGGACCCCAAATTGTGCTGGCAGCAGTCGCTACGAGAGCGATATCGATACCAGCCCAAATATTGACTTGTCGCGTATTGACGCGTCTTCATCCCATCGCGTTTCCAAGAGCAATTGCACAATGCACAATGTCAGCGCCGACCGATTCAGATACCGAGCTCCTGACCGAGCACTTTGGGTATCCTCCGGTTGTCAGTTTTCCCATCTTTCGCATTGCAAACCCCGCAGCGGTCAATCATTAATTCGTGTCGCAAACACAGAGTCTACTAGACGATCTCATCAACAGCATCAACATTCTCGCCGAGCGCGCCCTCAATTCCGTCGAACAGGGTCTTTTCAAGGCACCACCAGCCGCTCTGGGATTCAGGCCACCAAAGTCGGCGTCAGCTGCGGAACAAGATGACCCCGCTGAGCGAGCGAAAAACGAGATCGAGTCCGGCACGCACCAGCTAGAGACGCTTCTCTGCGCTAGCATCGATCGCAATTTTGACAAACTCGAGCTGTACGCGTTGCGCTACATCCTGTGTGTACAACCGCCCGATATCCGCAATTACATCCGACTGAGCCACTACGAAGGCTTAGATTTCTCATCGAGCACAGCGGCCACCGGCAACAGCCAGGATGGAACCAACGGGGGCACAATAAATCGGGACAAGCCGACGGTTGATTCAATAGGAGAACTGCGGCGGCGGCTACGGGAGAGCATGCGTCTCAATGCGTTGCTGTACGCTGAGCAACAACGCAACGCGAGGCTTTTGTCTGACCTACAGAGTTTGATCGGGATTAAGCATCCCGACGTCAAGAGAGAATCAACGTCGACAGGGGCCGAAATTTCAGGGTCCAGCCCGTTTGCCTTCCTGCATCAAGAAGTTGCACAGCTCAAGGATGCTGGTGCCGACACACCTCTCAGCACTACGACAGCATTCACGTTGTCTCAATTACAGGCCTTACGCGCGCTGTCTACATCGCTGCGTACCATGGCGCCTCATCTTGCCCCGGTGCCGAGGGACGAAGGCGACGACGAAGGGCGCAAGAGTTGGCGGAGGGAGCGGCTCGAGTACGTCGAGGCTGCGACAAGAAGGCATCTAGAGAATGTGCAAGGACTTGAGCTGGGCAAGGACGGTGAGGTAAGAGATGGAGAGTGGCAGGGTGAAGGGCGGAACTTGGCAAAGGGTGAGGTGGAAGGGCTGGAGAACATTGTTGCTGCGCTGGGGTCTGGGGGCTCCAGGCCAGAAGAGACGGCAAATGCGGACGGTGATTCCATGGAGGAGTGATGAGATGCATCCACTGCGGCCGCACACGATGAGGTTGGTCAGGCAATTTGATTTTGTGAATCTGGCAAGAATTGGTCACGTTCGGAGTCAACGGAAGCTACGGCGTTGGGCTGTTTTGTTTGGGGTTGTGTTTGAATCGAATATTTGGCCGAGTCTTCGCTCGAGGATATGAGTGGCCAACTGCCAACTTGGTCACGAGATGACACTTTTCTCGGGCGTTCTCACCTGAGGCTTGATGAAAAGGATTTATGGCGGAGCTCGATACAGGACCAACTGGATTTCTACCTTGTGGACCATCGTACCATTGTCAAATGCTTGCGAATCAACAGCAAAGTTTGAAATGGCAGAGGTTTAACTGTGATGAGACATTTCGTCATAATGCTGCTGGTCGTCCAGTTGTCGATTAGTGTGTTTTCAATACGTACGCTGGTCGCGGGTAACTCCGTCATCACGATTACCTTGCGCTGTTTATAGAATGGGCCACCAATAGTGTTCATGGGAGACTAGTACACGATTGGTGATCCATAGTTCTTAACGGGACTAGTTGTATATAGGTATTCCGATTTTAACAACGGGCTCTAAAACTTTCCGCATACTCCGGCTCGAGGCTATAATGTTTCGCGGTTCCTCCCGCCCAAACCTGTAGGTTTCGAACTTGCGTTGGATGCCCTTGATCCCAGTGGTTTCTATTTTTAGAATCAATCACATGTGGTGACAGAATAAGCGATGAGGAACCGTGATTCTAGGGACGAACCCTCACAGTCAAAAGTGCACTGGTGCTTAATCACTCAAATTTTCACGACACTTCTACATACTCAATGCCTTATCACCTCACAGCACGTTACTTCGCAGCATGAGGCATCATGGAAATTCCTGGAGGCAGCGGCACGTTGCCTCTCGCAAAACGGCGTAAACCCATTTTATGTCCGAACACGCTTCCACAAAGGTGTGTTATGTATGTAACGTTGGGGTTTAAGCTTAAGCTTCTTCCTGGACCGGGGGCCAGTTTGTCTTAGAGCCACCATCACAAGAAATCGCGACAGCGATTGCCGCTGTAGGGCGACTACTAGGGTATGTAATTCAGCACTGGCTCAACCAACTCACTGACCAGGGCCGTCGTTCGCAGGTATTATTTTCTGAGCCCCTGGAGGCCCCTACCCCTCCCCCCGATCAACGAGGTCGCCTGTTGTCGTGAGAACGACGTCATGCGTACCGGCGCGGGCCAAATACGAGCGAGCATAAGGAGATTTTCGAAAGATCGACAACCCCAGTGTCGGTTTCCGGCGCAGTAAATTGGGCTATAGAGTGGGGGATGAATCTTGGCGGCTCTTATGACGAACCACCAAACCGAGGCATCGCGGTATTTTGTTGGGCTAGGAATGCTGTACGAAGATGCTGCTGTCTGTGTTGTTTTTAAGTTCTCCATCGACCAACAACCAGTCCATCGTCTATTCTCAATCTCTCTCTCGAGACTCTAGTACAAACACACACTTCTCATCACAAAATCATACTGTCTACTAGTCATCACCAGCAAAATGAAGACCTTTATGATTACCACCACCTCTTTGCCACCACGGCCACCGCCCTAAGCATGGGCAAGCGCCAAGCGACATTCTACGAAGTCTCCAAATTTGACGCGGACTGCATCCCGCACAGCACCTACTGCGCCTACAACTTCACCGTGGTGCCCGAATCCTCCATGTTCCCCACGCTGTGTACCGCCTTCCTCCAGGGTCCCGACTACCTGCCGGCCGTCACCAACGGCACCTGCGACAACATCGCTTACACGTGGACCGTCAACAAGCTGGCCGAGGGCGGGCTGAACTTGACTATCAAGACGCCCTTCAATGCGCGTCTGGATTTGACGGGCGTGCACGCTATTGCCGCCGATGAGATTGAGCTTGAGAACAATGGCGCGGTTCGCACGCAGCATTATATCGGGGCGGCGAACTTTACGGTTCCCATAACTGGTACACCCAGCTCTTAGGGGTTCCCTGAGAGGGAGGGAGATTTTGATAGGATGATACCACACTGTTGATAATATAGCGAGGGAATATACGAAGCGATAATGTCATTGTAGTAGTCTTTTGGCTGTAGGAATAATGCATGTACATAGTTCAATTTGAACGACACATTCGTTAACCGCTGCTAGTTATCCGAAACCAATATATATATGTTCTTTTCAGTACCCTTCACTAGCTACTTATGAGGAGGATATGGCAAATAGGTATCGCAATGACCCAAGGGTGAGCACAACCAGATTTTGTGCCTTATACTTGATTACACTGGGAGCAAATCTAGAAGTATTTCACTTAAAAAGTTCCCCACAGCTAGAGCTATTCGTGACTTGGAATTGAACTTGCACTAACCTAGAATAGTAGCATTTAGAGTTTCGCACTAGCGACGACACGCCACGGACAGCTAGGCGGCTCTTCGCTAAACGTCCCGTCCCGCCATCTGGAGACATTATATTCCCAGAGCGATGTAACCTACTTCATGAGGTCTACTCAGGAATTGGACACTGGTAAGTAATGGCGACGACCATTCACTGTTTAGATATTTGACATGTGCCTTTAGCTCCTCCTCTAGCTGCCCCTCTGCTCTCCCTCCAGCTCCTCTTAATAGCTCAACCTACCCAACTCCGTGGCACCCCCACGATCAATGGCCACCGCCACAGCTTCACCCACAATTTATATTCACTGGCCTAGGCCCCCGGAACATGACGAATCATCATCCAGAAGATCTAATTCAACCCGGTTCGAAACGACGGAAGATCGATCCCAGCGAACCCCAAGAAGCCATTAACCTGCTGTCAGACGACGAAGGTATTCCTGATGAGATTCACTACCCTCGAGTGCCAGTCGCAGGCCCCGCGGAATGGGAGAAACCGAGAGATGAGAACAGCCGGATATTGTCTAAGCCTAGCTTTGCCCCTACTCGACGGCCCCATACGGACGAAAACGAGGTAATATGGGTTACACCCCGCTCGAATCAAGAAAATAGCCCATATGAAGCACCTCTTGCTCAAACGCCCACGACTCAAACGACTCAGATGACCCCCAATTCCCATAGTGAATCAACGAGGCAGACCGTGCCGGATCCGCGGATGATACTTGGTGCGCAAGCCGTAGCAGGAATGGCCGCGGAACAATGCGACAGGACGCAAACAGTGACGGCACTGCCGGAGGGGAGTGTTTCTCGATCATCAGGAGTTCCAGGACAGCCATGCGGACAGCCAGGCTCCAATCTCAACACTGCAACAGGGGTACAACAGGTTCCTCGCATACCGGGGGCTGGGCCCGGAGCATCTGATAGCACCTTGCCACCACCTTCGTCATCGCCTCTGCAAAACGCCGCAATAGCGGCGGGTCCGCCACCGATAATTAATGAAGACCCGCCACTCTGCCCAGAACAAGCTGAGTTGGTTGACCTGATTGTCAGTGGAAGAAACGTGTTCTACACTGGCTCAGCTGGCTGTGGAAAATCAACTGTACTTAAGGTGTTCACCAAACGTCTGCGGGAGATGGGAAAGAACGTACGGATTCTTGCACCGACAGGTCGTGCGGCCTTGAATGTGGGTGGAGCTACGACCTGGACCTACGCAGGATGGACACCGGACGCCCACAAGCGACCGCTGGAGAAGCTCAAGGAAGAAGCGCATGGCAAGTACGTCTGGAAACGCTTCACAGGAACGGATGTTTTGGTGATCGATGAGATTAGTAGTAAGCCACTTTCAAAGCCCCAGTCCAGGCCCGGTCCATTTGCCAGACTGGATCACACAAAGGAGATTGGGTCAGGACACCTTGGCCTTAGATTACGATCTGAGCCTCCTCGTTCAATAACATACACTCAACGGATATTCACTAATCTGTTGATGCAGTGGTTGAAAACCATCACTTTGAACGACTCAATGAGGTTATGAAGGCGGCTCGCAGCGTTCCCCGCAAGCCTGATCGAGCCTTTGGGGGAGTTCAGGTCATCGTAACAGGTGACTTCTGTCAGTTGCCGCCAGTGAAGCCGTTTCAGCATTGCATAACGTGTGGCAGAGAGTGTATTGAGAGCTATTCGGCCGATGGCAAGATATATACTTGCCCACGACACGGCGATTACCGAGATGAAGACAAGTGGGCTTTCCGGAGCAGGGCATGGGACGAATGCAATTTTGTTCATGTTAATCTCAAAACCATTCACCGTCAAAACGACCAAACTTTTATCCACATACTTCAAAAATGTCGCATCGGGGACCGACTGACGCCATCGGAAACGAAACTCCTTATGGACCATCCTTGCCAAGTAAATCATGCCACCCAACTATTCGCGACACGCGACGAAGTCTCTCAAGTGAACCAAAGAGCTTTCAACAGACTCATAGGCTTAGAACATCCGTATTGGTGTTTCGATACGGCCGTATTACAGCCACATCATCCCCGGCTCGCATGGAAGGATGCTCGGAGCGCAATGGGTCCGGAAAACCAGAAACCCCTGAAAGCCCTGGAAGAACACCGCTTCGACCCGTGCGTTAAGCTTAAAAAAGGCATGCTGGTCGTCCTGCTCGTCAACCTCGACCTCCAGCTCGGACTGTGCAACGGCAGTCAAGGCCTCATCTGTGGGTTCGAGCCATATGACCCGGCCAAAATGCCCAAAGCGAAATTCGGCAAGGATAACCCTAAGATACGACTCAACGGCGACCGCGCCCTTATGAAAGAGGCGCAAATCCAGGCTTTCATCAAGAGCCCGGTTGTCAAATTCAAAGTCTGGCCGGTGGTGCAATTCCACAACGGCCAAAAGCGCACCGTGTACGCGGAATGCTCCATCTCAGAGCTCGGCGACGAGAAACCCTATAGCGTGTTATCGCGGACGCAGATCCCCCTGGCGCCTGCTTGGTCCATGACGATCCATAAAAGCCAGAGCTTGACGATGGATCGCGTTATTGTGGATTTGTCCAAGGCGTTTGAGGAGGGCCAGGTCTATGTGGCCCTGTCAAGAGCTACTGGTTTGCAGGGGCTCCAGATTAAAGGGGATGCGCAGGGGCTGCTTGCTGGGCTGGGTGGGAATAGGGAAGTCCAGAGGTTCTTGAGGGAGAAGTTTGGTGCTTTGAATGAATTTCTTGTGGGATCATGAGGCTACTTTTAGACCTGTATATATAGTGATCTGTACCTGGATAGACGGAAGCTAGACAGCATGCGTTTTGAAGACTAGAATAGGGGTTGTTGTATGTATGTTCCGGTGGAATATTATGGTGTCAACAGCCGTTGCTCCCGATTGATGAGAACCAATAGTATCGAAATCCAAGAGGCTAGAGACCTGAAGGGCCCAAGCCAAGAGACTGACGTCCCACACCTTATATATATGGTTGGGGCAACCCCTAAGAGCTTTGCGAAGGTCACTTATGAGTCTGCTGTCCCGACTTCCCCCCTTTACTCCATAAGTGCATCTAGTGTGGATGCTTCTACAACGCACTCTGCGAACATTTGACTAGGCATTCAAGCCCCAGAAAGACGTGCTAGTATGCTGATACAACTGTAAGAGGCTGTTTCTATCATTAACAAGAACTCGTACGGCGACGGTGCAGGCAAGCCATCACCCGACACCTCATACATGTAAGCTCTTTTCTGGCACCGGCTGGCTCCAAGGATCACTGCTACAGGGATGCCGACATGGAGGCCGATCTTAGCTCCGAGGGTTAGACCATCTGCAGGTGATGTGAGTGATGTAGGTGATGGAGATGTTGTCGACACTGTGGATGTCGTGGGTGTTGGAGTTGAGGGTGACAGACTGTCGGTACCTCAGATCGTAGTGCTCGCCGTTTTGTTTATCTGGGGGCTCGAGTCGTCCCTGGAGATATTGAAGTAATGGCTGTTTTCATTGGCCTCGGTGGAACCTTCTCTGAAATGGATATGAAGAACTCGTGCCGATGAGCCAGTTGAACGAAGCTCGGTATGTTGATTACGCTTTCGGAGTAACTAATTCACCATCAAATTTGACATACACTACTATTACGCAGCTTGAAATCCAATCATCAATGCCAATACATCACAGCAAAGATCTGCGGAGTTACAGAACTGGCAGGCCGCAGCCGCTTGACTGCAGAATTGTGTACGCCCTTTGAGTTTGAAAATAGATTGAAAAGAAAATAAGCGCTTGTCATTAGCTTTACCCCTGACCAGGAAAGCCAATAACTTTGCCTCTTATACAGTCATTCCATGTAATTTCCACGGTGCAATTTCGAGCCAATAGAGGGATGGCTGCGCCGGCTAGATCGTGTCTCAGTCAAGGTCAGCTCGTGCAGGTCTGCGAGCGAGGTTTTAGCCATGTACGTAAGGGATGCTTGCTGACTTCCAGAGGATATTCAGCTCGGGAATTTGCGAACCTTGCGAAGACCAAACATGGAAAATATGTACCAAGCTTCCCACCATGTTCGACTTTACTAAACTCCGACGCGCGACTTCGCATTCGTTTTCTGTTTCTTCAGAATGCGCCCAGGTGATTCCTGTCAGTACGCCATAGACAGTGCAAACTGGTCGCCATGCTGCTCCCACGCCGCCCGATTGCTTTGAAAGTCCTTGCCTCCATCGCCTTATGCATCCTTTACTTCCTCGTACACCATCTATGGAGCCTCAGAGGTCTGCGCCACTGGCCGACATTCGCACAATCAACATTGCGCCCTACAAGAATACCTCAGAAGATCTGGTATAAGCTAGGTCCCAGCGGCCTCACCAACCAAACCCGAGAATGGACCTCGACCTGTATCGATGCCAACCCTCATTACAAAGTCTCGTTTATGACCGATGACGAAGGCGACACATACGTCAGGAGAACCTTCGCGTCTCGCCCCGACATCGTCGACAGCTACCTCGGCCTGACCATTCCGATTCTCAAAGCTGACCTCCTCCGCTACCTGCTCCTCTACGCTGAGGGAGGCATCTGGAGCGACCTCGATGTGTCCTGCGAGGGAACACCCATAGACGAATGGATCCCTGTACAATTCAAGAGTAAAACAGGTCTCGTCGTCGGATGGGAGTTCGATGTAGGCTGGGGCGATAACTTCATCCGTCAATTCAACAGCTGGACCATCATGGCGCAGCCCGGGCTGCCGCACGTGGCCATGGTGATCGATGATATCCTACAAGGACTGCGCGACAAGATGGCCGAGCATAATGTTACGCTAGCGGAGTTGAGATTGAGTATGGTGGGGGATGTGGTGCATCTCACGGGGCCGATCAGGTTTACGATGAGTGTGCTAAAGAGTTTGGAGAGTACAATCAATGGGACTGTGGATATTGTCCACTTCTCGAATCTCAGGGAGCCGAAGCTGGTGGGGGATGTTTTAGTCATGCCGGGTTACGCTTTTGCAGCGTCTTCGAATAAGTATGAGAGCAACGAGGTTTTGGGCCCGCCCTTGGTTACGCATCATTATGCTGGGACTTGGAAGAATGAGCAAGGTGGAGAGCTAGCTTGATATAGTTTTAGTTCTAGGAGGCTTACTACGTGCAGTTCCAGAAATTCGGTAACATATTGTAAGCATGGCGTCGTGTGGATTCAAAACAATTGCAAAACGATGTATCGTTGGTTTCCGGGTTCATTCACTATACCATTTGCGCTAGCAGCAGAGAAGATTGGCTAATGTATGATAATGTGCAAGTTCGACAGACTAGGTCTAGCTAAGCACACGGCTTCTCTATAAATTTAGCATCGGAAGTCACCTCGGACAACAATTTATCAGCATTGGCACCTTAATCCAGCTGCATGATTAGTAAAGCTATCTCCTCCGGATTACTGAGGATGCATCTTGAATAGGACCAAAACAACAACTTGGTTGAACCCCATGATATTGACTTTTGAACTTGACGGCGCGCTGTCTTCTTAGGCACTTCTTTCGGGTCACGAATCAAGATCAAGGAGTTATCCATATCAGGTAATATAAGTTCATGTTATTAGAGATCCATCGGCTTTGCAGGCTTATCATGGAGACGAACTCCCGGCGAAAGGCGAGGTTTCCAATTCCTGACAAATTCCAATGACTAACGCCATTACAGGCATGTAAATATATGATTTTCCATGGAAGCATAGCGGACTTCGACCTTGACCAAGGCCGACTAGGCGATACTTGCTTAAAAAAAAGTTCAAATGCGACTTGATAAAGCCAACTTGCTCGAATTGCCAGTTATACAGGGTTCAATGCACAACCACGACTGTGCGAAGGCGGGCCATGCCTCCAAAAGAGAAGCCAATTAGTCCTCCGCTGCAGCAAACTAAACCGTATGTCTTAAGAAGTTGATTGCATTCTGAATATTATACCGATGCAGTGACCTAGCTCAACTCAGGAAGAGACACTCGAAGCCCGACTTGCAAGATTTGAGTTCAAACTTGACTTGCTGGTTCCGGGCTGAACTTCGCTGCCAGAGACTCTTGAAGATCGGTCATGCTCAGATAGCAATCGAGAATCGCTCTTTGAGGATCGGCAGAGTATATAAACCTCCATACGAAGTGGTTCGAGTTCACTGGATTTGCGGCCCCTATATGAGATATTGCCAGTCGTCGAGGACGGCTTCGACAACTCCGACAACTCCAACAACGCCTTGCCTCTGTTTCACCAGCCCTCTTTCATAAGACTGCTGCAGAACTGCTACTCAGAAACTACTAGCCATACCAGAGTCGTCTGGGCTGCCGCCATAAACGCAGCCCTTGCTGTAGATTATCGGATGCGAATGATTGAGGCGGATCCACTGAAGGATCCCACTTCTTAACGCAAGAGCCCAGGTGCTTAGGTATTTCGGGGACGGGAGAGTAGCTACGAGCCTATCTTCTAGGGCAGTATAACCAGTCGCCTCGCAAGGTGGAAGGGAAAAGGCCAGTGGACGTACCGTTGGCCTCAGGGCAGAAAGAAATATACTGCTTCGACCCGCGCAGAAGCCTGCTTTTTCGACATATTACCGATAAAGCTAAGGCGATCCTGCAACTGGGGCATGATGAGTTCTTGCCGTAAGTTGACCCGCCTAATTAGTACTGGAAGTTTTCATTCCTGATTTAGTTGTTAACATAACGGTCGTTTTGAGATTGAGAAATCCAAATCCGCTACAACCCTAACTCCACATAGTGTAGGAGATACTGGCAAGAGAGCTGTATTGGTGATGATGAGAGGACTAACCCCCAAAGACTACAGCTACGAAAGGGCTATCTATGGGCAGTTGGCCCGAGTGCTGCACCCAACATACAGGCGGTGTGCCTGAGGCACGCAACAGATAGTGCTGGGGTTCAACTATGTCGACTTCAGGAACGGCCCTTGTTAAATATCTGGGCCCGGGCACCGTCGCAGTGTCAACGCATACTAAACAGACAAATCATACTATTGAGAGGTAGACTATTCAGTTGAATCTCCGTGAATTCTCCTGTTGCATCACCATATCTCCACAATCCCTGAGTTATCACCAACCCTCCCACAGCCTCCTGCGTCAGTCCAGCCCAAATTCTAAAGATTTTGCTCGATTATTATCAGCCAGCTTTGTCCAAGTCTCCGGTGGAATATGAATCATTGTAACGAGCAATAGAAATGTTGGCGTCTCTTCTTCTATTATCGTCTCAAATTGACCAAGTTTCCAAATTTCGTAATAATTGACTTGGCTCGCTTAACCGAATTGTATTATTGTGAAGAGAAGGTGAGATTCGTGTTGGCTTGGCTGACTAAGCTGTGATTGTTACACCTGCACACATAAGGCCTGCCTCATAAATGGAAGAGCTACGACTTAAGGGAGTGACTTGGTGAGTTTTATTGGTAATGAGATATGTTCACCGCTTCACCCTTGTTATTCGTAGATCGAGTGCAACCATACAAGATGATTTAAAGCAGATACGAAAGATCTGCAATGAAATGTGACAAACTGGCATCAAATCCGAATCCAAGACCCAAGCCGACCTGCCCCAAAAGCATAACATGCCAACAACATCAGAGCGCACGCCGGCTGAAGGATAATTGACCAAACCGTCCGATGTGTCCTTCACTCTCCTCTCTTGATTGAAGAGTTTGTGTTTGTCAACGACGAGTTCGATGGATCAGAATGGATGTTCAGTTACTGAAGATCGAATGAGAGTCGAAAATGATGAGTTGCTGGCAGGATGCCTCAGTGTGGTCGTTTTTTCTTTTCGTTTTTATTGAATTTGCTGAGACGACAATTTCCGCCGGGCGACTTGCGATAAATGAGTGACCAACCGACAGAACTAGGCCTTACGCCTTGAAAGTACTGAATGAGAAGGATGGTCTTTGTGTAGTCCTACTCCTCGCCCTCGTCCTCGTCATCGAGGCCAGGAAAGTCGCAGTCGGATTGACCGCCACAGCAGCTACGGAAACCGCGGAGGTGTTCCGAGATGGAGCTGGCCGCGCAGTCGTTTCCGTGGAAAACACCATGGTATTGAGAGCAGCACGTACGCGTCTGTCCGTCGTTTGGGTTGCCATTCGTAAAACACTTGCAAGCTAGACCGGTGGTGGACAGCATAGCGGCAACTGCTACGGTGGCGATGCGGAGGAAATACATTTTGGCGTTCTTGGATTGGCAAAGGATCTGTACAAATTGTGCTGGATAAACAAGAGGAGCTTTGAAGAGACTGGTAGAGTTGAGTGAATGCTGGTAGTTGATTTGAAGTATAGAGAACAAAACGGAGAGAAGCTGAATGCGGATGAGGATTGGGGTATTATATAGTTACAGGAGCATGGTGTTTAGAACCATACAGATATGAATTTACGAACAAGACCCAGAGTAACCATTCTCGTGAGACTGCTTCTTCTGCGCTACAATAACTAACGAATAGGAGGTCTGCTGTATAGAATACGATGTCAGCTTACTATATGTTGTAATGTTTGATGTCTCAGCTTCAGAACAGACGGAGCGATGCAGTGCCACATAGTACATTCCAACTAGACAATCATTGCATCACAGAAAGGAAAATCCATCATATATACGACTTGATCCACGAAAGAAATCCCATGATTATAGCAGCTGACCACCGAAGCCTAAACTAAGCGAGCCGGTGGTATTATTGTCGCGGTGTTTTTCAAGATACCGGGTGATTCATTGACAACCGTATGCACGGGGTCGCAAAAGCATCACAGGGTCAAGCACCTAGCCCATCTTAACTACCCATTGCGCCGGCTCGATAAAGGTAAAATCTCGACCAGAAATAGGCTGTGGTGTAAGCTTCAGCAAATGGCACCGCCATTTAGCTGGAAAGGTACGGATGTGTTTCAGGACGATCCTTTACGTACAACTTGACTCTGAAGCTCCGCTGATCTGACAAGCTGTGTAGAACCTCAGAAGAACCCGAAAGGAGCGTCGCCTATGAAGATGAGGCATCAAAAATTGACCAAGTGCTGACGTTATATTGCTATTGCGTAAAATGTGAAACCATTTGGCGCGGTTGAGATCCTAACGGTCCACTTGGGCCTCGCTGTTTTCGTAGTCGTGGATTGACGGTTGCAGAGTAAGTTCCTTCACTTCCCGATCCGCACATCTAGACATCAAATACCTTTCCGAATAAGATAAATAAAGGGGCAGTGCCTAAGTGATTCCAACTGTGAAGGTGGGGAGTGCCGGGTAGGTGGCGTGGCGAGCAGTCCATGCCAGGGAGCCTCGGCGGCGGAGAGTATATGATACAGAGTAGCTGGAGACCCACTTACTACTTGCGAATTATCATCTGATGCTCCAAATGTTCATGACATTGGACTGCCGGGTCTGTAAGGCTGGGAGCCGATGGAAAGCCCTGAGAGGTGAGGGTCGAACTTTTCAACCCAACGGCGAGAAGCGTCGAGGACTTGGGACCATTGCAGTCTTAACGGTCGAGTTTCGTGAACTTAAGTCGCGTACCCCAAGTCCTTGTAGATGGTGGCCGTTGCATTAGCTTCACATTCTACTAGCGTGATCAGTGTCAAAGTACGTAAGGACCTAACCTTAGAGTATATAGCTGCTGTCTACTGAATGTGGTCTCCTTGCCAAATTGATCGATATTGGGTGGATTAAATCCCAAGGTCTTTGGCATAGAATCAAGTTGTTGAGCAGCAACCTGCGAAGCTCAAAGTCTGGAACCGAAGAGAGAGGGTTCTAATGTTCGCGGCCAAAGGTACCGTTACACATGTGCTCCAAAAGGATGACATTGACCAAGAAAATTTTGAGAATGCTGTTTGCTTCTGGGTGAAACCCGAGCTTGAATTTGTGGCAGGTGCAACCTAGTAGGATTGTGTACTACCGCACATCTACTGTGGCCCATGGCCCATTACCGTCATAGCAAGTTCCCCGGAAATCCCAATTACCCTTGCCCAGAGCAACATACGACAATGAGGAAATCACGATTCCATGAAATCGATCCAGTCACCAAATCAGCTGGTGCTGCTCTGCTATGCAGCATATTGGCCCACTGCCTATCCGACAGGCAATCCGAGCTCTATGCCTGCTCCGAAGCCCTGAGCTGGATCGTGCTGCCCATCTTGTGCACGACTGCGGGTGTGGGTTCCAGAAATCGACGACCAGATCTGCCTTTCGATGGCAGCACCTCCAAAAAGCTATCTGCAGCGGCGTCATCATTATGGACAGTTGCTCTGAGCCTTGCTGCCTACTGGGTTTTCGCAGCAGAGAACGGCATGTTTGTATTCCTCCCCGCATCAACTCCATTACTTTTTGTAGCTCAGAAGTACCTTTGGTCCGACCTGGAGCTCCGTACTTCTTCACCCAGGTCTGCTCCTTACCTTTTCTACTTTCTTGCGAACACATTTCGGGGCACGGCCTTCGCCGCTTCATTTGCCATTGTCACTCTCAAGTCAGACTGGCACTTCCAAGCATGGGATGTTTTGTCCATTGTACCGCTTGCTTCTCTGCTAGTGATCTACATTACTCTCACGCCCAGGCCGAAGACGACTAATAGGAGCTGCCGGTTTATACCGGCTTTTGATATTGAAGATGCCATCCTGCCTCTTTCACTGCGCGTTACATTCGTGTTTGCCATTGTAATCGGCCTGGAATCTCTCGCATTCGGTTTCCCTGTATGCAGTATCGCGTCCACGTTAGCTCTTGCCTTGGCCAAGGCTGCGTCTTGGTATTTCGTGATTCAGACAGTATGTAACCTTGGTCAAGATGTTTATATACGATGCTTACTGCCTTTTAAGTCTCGACAATCTTCCTGGCGCACCGTCGCCGCCATGGAAACGTTTAGCCTCATGTCCACACGCGATCCCTTCACGCTCTTGTCGGATGCTCGGGCTTTGTCGCACGTCATGGCGTCTTTCCTGTCTCTCGGTCAGGTTATCACAATGCTTCCAAAGCAAGCGAAAGCCAAATCAGCACTCTGGGTCCTTTCCCTCGTCTCTCTCGCACCATACCTTGCCAACCTTCTTGCCATCAAACTAGCAGGATCTTCATCGTCATTGATCCACCCTGAAGAGCATCATGTCCAAGTTCTCATCCAAAACGCCAAGGCGGACTTCGAAACCTTGCTTCAAAAGCAATCCAAAAGTTATACCGCCGCTCACGACGAATATCAACGTCGATATGGTCTGGAACCGCCACCCGGCTTCGAAGCCTGGTATGAGTTTGCAAGGTCGCAGCAGTCACCCATCATCGATGATTTTGATGTCATCTTCAAAGGTGTTTCACCATTCTGGAGACTGAGTGGTAAAGAGGTTCTTGAAATCATGAGTCGCATGCACGATGCGCCGAACAGCGAGCTGTGGCTCTGCGAGTTTTCTGGCTACAAGGCCAAAACTCACTGTAGCCATTCCTACCGCAGTTACGATAGGCACATCCAATCCTTATTGGACGGCCTATTTGGGGGTTTCCACGGCCTTCTTCCCAACGTCAAGTTTCTGGTAAATCACATCGATGAACCGAGGGTCCTGATTCCCCCACCATCAGGAGGAGACACCAATAGCAATGGACTGTATACCCTAACCGAGATGTCGAGACGACCCATTTGGGATACACTTACAAAGTTTTGCGACTCTCGCGAGGAGGGCAGGCCTGCTGATCGGACAAGGCGCACGCAAGAAATCTGTGCCCTGCCGTTCGTCAACGATTCCTTGTCCGCCATGGATCTGTGCCAACATCCCGAATACAGCTCCATGCACGGTCTCGCCATGAGTCCTACGTCTTTTCGCCTAATTGAAGGCTTAGTACCCGTTCTTTCAACTGGTTCACCCTCAACCATGGGCGACATACTGTATCCCAGCCCCGCTTATACGGAGGCTGAGTTTCAATACACCGACGCGCACGACGTCGCTTGGGATAAGAAGCGAAATAATCTACACTGGGCTGGTTCTACCACCGGTGGATTTGCCTCGGACGACCAGTGGCGACACTTCCACCGACAAAGATTCGTCGAGCTGGCGCAGAATCTGGAAAAGCGACAGCATTGTTACCTACGAGAAAGGGGCGGCGTCCTCAGCCATGTTAAATCGTCATTCCTCAATGGCAGACTATTCGACGTGGCCTTTGCCAGGATATTCCAGTGCGAGAGGCGACACTGCAGAGACCAACGTGCATACTTCAACTTGAAGTCGTGGGAAGACAAGGACCGTGCCCTCGAATCGCGTCTTGTCTTCGATATGGATGGCAACGGCATAAGCGGGCGCTACTACAAGTTCCTAGCTTCGCGATCGGTGCCACTGAAGCAGACGATGCTGCGTGAGTGGCATGATGAGCGGCTCGTGCCGTGGTTTCATTACATACCAGTCAGCCAGAGCATGGAGGAGCTCCCCGAGCTGGTTTTCCATCTTACATCCACAGAAGCAGGGCAAAGGGCGGCTAGAGAGATAGCTGAGCAGGGTCGGAACTGGTTTAGCAAGGCATTCAGGGATGTTGATCGGACTATCTATATGTATCGGCTGCTGCTAGAGCTGGCGAGACTGCAGGATCCGAAAAGAAAAGCGCATGCTGATGCTCGAAGATGATGGTGCTGGATACAACCCTTTACACACAACTATGACTAGCGTTCTCTGTCACGAAAGGGTTGGACGCTTTTGAGTTCTTGCCCTGCACTGGCCCCCCTCGTCCGCTTCCCTTTGCAGCATTTACGGCCAGGCCATTTCGATGAGTGTTACATTGCATTTTTGACTACTTTAAGCCTGGCCCTTGATTTCGATTCTCTATGGGTTTCGGATATCTGAAGAGATATCACCCGGCAAATTCCATACATAAATGGAACAATCCACGCAAGAAGATGCCACCTAGAGTCCGCGTTCGATTAAACACTTCTAAGCCAGTTAGTTATTGGCTCATTGAAAGGCACTATTGTGTCCTTCAAACCTGAAGCTGCTCCTAGAGGGCATCCTGCCGTACAACACGTGTCTTGTACGACAACTGGGCGTAATTATGTGGTCAGTGCCTTCTCGCTTGGAACTTCCGTCGCGGAAGGTCGCAAATACAGTAGGATCATAGGAATGTGTGATGTATTGACCCTGTCCAACCGTTGGATCCATGTGCAAAGTCCGATAATTGGATATATCCGGCACGCCTGCCCAAGGGTGTCTCTGTATAAGGCGATTCCTTCCACCAACAACCACCACCATCCCGGGGGCGGGGCAACGAGAATTGAGATCGATCTGTACCACCGGACCGGATGCCCCGATGTCAACGACGTACGTTCATGCCATTTGCATATCACTTTTGCCCTGAACTTGGATTACATAGAAACGGAGGCCTTGCTGACAGAGCTGCACGTAGCTCTTCTGCCTAGGGCCAGCCAACAAAATTCGAACCCACGGACAGACACACTGCCCGCACAGCCAAGATCGTCCCTGCCGATTCTGCCTTCTCCGTCCACCTTTCCAACACTATGACGGAGCCGTCATCCCCAACTCAGAACCTCCATCACGCGATCATTTCCAACTTCGGATAATAAACTGGCAACATGAACGTGCACATCGGCTTGTAGCAGTTCAATCCGCATTAAACAATGTTACAGAGTCTTCTCCGGCCAGTACGCCGCCTATCTTTGTGGCTCGTCGTGCCAATTACTGCAGCATTATTCCTCGAAGTGTGCCTACACCTGTACTACTACCACGTCCCGATTCCCGATCATGAGCTCGACACCCCGTTCTTTACTTCCTGTCAAGAGCCCGACCTCAGTCCGAGCACGCCACGGGAGAATGCCGTGCTGGTCATGCTAGCCCGTAACTCGGAACTTAAAAAGGCCAAGATCACCATCGAGAGTATCGAGCGCTCTTTCAATCGCTGGTACAATTACCCGATCGTGTTTTTGAACGATGAACCATGGAGCCAGGAGTTCGTACGGCAGCTCAACGAGACGAGCAAGGGAAAGGCGTCATTTGAGGTTATACCGAAGGGTCAATGGACATTTCCGGAGTGGGTTGATGCGGAATCGGCCAGGCAGAGTATGAAACAACAGGGGCAACGGGGGATCCCCCATGGTGGTGATGAGGGTACCATCATATGTGCCGGTTTTACTCTGGGTACGTCTTCATTTGCGACAACACTCACGCTGTGTACCTACATCACGGGAAGCCAAGAACTGATCTTTATGTAGAGAATTCTACCAATTGGAAGCCCTCAAGAAGTACAAGTGGTACTGGCGGCTCGAGCCGGATGTCGAGTTCTCCTGCTCTATAACGTACGACCCGTTTGTACAGATGGCGAAGAACAAGCATGTGTACGGGTTTACCATTGCGCTATGGGAAGTAGGGACCACCTGTCCGTCCCTCTTTCGAAATGTCGTCAACTGGATGGAACAGCACGAAATCAAACCCAGCGATCTCTGGAAGGCTACTATGGAGGGCTCTTGGATGCCGTACCCGTTCCGCAAGTTGATGAGTCTCCTGCCTCATCGCGATCGCCGTGGAGATGCCTGGAGTCTCTGTCATTATTGGAGCAATTTCGAGATCGCCGACATGGATTTCTTCCGCAGCCGGCAGTACCAAACCCTTTTCGAATACCTGGATGGAAAAGAAGGGTTTTATTATGAACGCGTGAGTCCCAACCCATGATTATTAGCCACTCAATCTAACAATGCCCTCAGTGGGGAGACGCCGCAGTGCACTCACTCGCCGTAGCCATGCTCCTCAAACCCGAAAAGGTCCACCACTTCGAGGATTTCGGCTACAGGCACGGCAATTTCTACCAGTGCCCGGCTAACGCCCCCGGCGGCCAGTTGCCCGAGTCAGAACGATTGGGCAAAGCTACGCTACCCAAAGGCAACCCCGAAGTTGAAGGGGGCATCGGCTGCCGGTGCCAATGTGATCGTCGGCCACATGGCGGGCGGAACTTTTCGGGATATTGTATGACGCTCCAGCAGCCTAATAGTCGCGAGAGGCCGTGGCTCGCGTGGTTTCTCCAGGACAGATCCATGTGGCGGGTGCGGGTCTTGGTCTTTGGAGCTGTTTGCGGTTGTGCGGTTCTGGGGGTCAGGTGTTGGCTGTCTAGATGGAGCAGGCGGATCATCATCGGGGTGGTGGTGATGCTGGGTTTGGCGGTGTTCTTGAACACCATGTCCAGGATTATGTAAACTCGTCTTCAAATTCATGGCTGAAGAATAGGCATACCAAGTACGATTGCTAGAGCTGGAAGTTGTTCTAGAACTACTGAAACAATGGAAGGCTCCATCGTCGCAAGGTATTGTTGTATATGATTGTTCTAAGTATACAAAATAAGGGATGCAATGCCACAATGAAAAGCGCATATAGACCTGACAGAGAGCGAAACGAGATTGCGGACATGGCAAGATTGAACCGAATGTGTGGGTAGATATATGTACAGATGTGCAAGACTGGAAACTATACATATCAGAAGATATCTATCCTGAATGGTGAATATACATTTGCGGGTTGACCAAATCCCTTTTCTATCCTAGCAGACTTAGTAGACAGGAAGCTTGAAAGCGGGGAAAGTATACGTCCAGGAATCAATGGACGCCTCATCCTCGACACAATCAAACGACGTAGCGTTCTCGCTGGCCCAAAGGGGACGAGTAGGCCACTGGCACAGCATCTGCGTCTCCCCCGCCTTGACGCCGGACGAAACAGTAGCGTTGAGCGCCGTGGGCTGCACACCATTCTCAACCCAGTCAATAATGATATCCATGTTGTTCTGGGGGTACGGGCCAGGCTGCAGGCTGTTGGCGCCGCAGTGTCCCGCGCCGGGGATCAGGTAAAATTGGTACCACTCCTGCAGAGCGGCAAGGGCCTCCTCGTCCGACAGGTCGGGGTACATGATCGAGCGTACCGATTGCCAGTAGTGAACCGAGGAGGCGGCCGGGATGCTGGAATCGGACTCGCCATGGTAGTGGAGCAGCTTGCCGCCCGTGGATTGGAAGGGGGTCAGATCGGGGAGGGTGGTTTGCAGGCTCTCGTAGTAGCGGACGAAGCCGGTGTTGATCCAGTCGACTAGGGTGTCGTAGGTTACGTTGTTCAGGTCCGAAAGGTTGTCAAGGTCGAGGAGTTGGATGAACTTGGTAACATATTCACCGCCTGGAGAAAATACCGAGGTTAGTAAAGGGTACAGAGCCATGGAAGGAAAGGGCGTATGTGAGAGAGAGAGGTGCAAGGGTAGAGAAAATGGTGGACTCACCAGTAGACGGGATGTTGAGCTCCCACGTGTCCGTCTCGTTGTTGTAAGTGGTAGCAGCATCGCCAAGCTCGGATCCAATCTGCCATGACAGGTACGCACGCTCGCCCTCCGAGTTGAAGATACCATCATAAATGCCTTGGGCAACGGCAACACCCTCGGCCGTCACGGTGCCGTTCTGCTCGGGCGTGGTGCTCGTAGTGCTACCCTGGGCCTGACGCTTCCTGTTAAAGCCGAAGCCGAGCGAGCTGCTGGTCTCGGCGGCACAGTAGTACGACTCGCCGATGATAGACGTCAGGTTGAAGTTCAGCATGCACAGATCGGTACGCGAGATCACGCCGTCGGTGCGGCCGTCGAGCGGGTCACAGGCGGCGATGGTAGCGTTGACGATCTTCTCCAACTCGCAGGGCGGGGGGTAGTAGTCCAAAGTCTGCTCGACGGCGGAAGAATAAACATGGAGGACCTGCTGGTGGGCGAACCGGAAAGCAGGCGCGCCGGTAATAGCGCCGTCGAACTCCTCGCCGTAGCGCTGCACCTGCGACATGCCCTCGCGGCCGCCGTCGGAGCAGCCCTCGAAGTACGTGTACAACTTGGTGTCGTCTGCCAGGGCGTAGAATCCCCGCGTCAGGGGCTTGCCGACCTGTGTCATCTCGCCCAAAGCCTGGTAGCCGAACATGTGGGTGGCGTCCCAGTTGATGGACCCGTTGCCATAGAGGACGACCTCATCGTAGCTAGTGCTGAAGGCGTCGTAGCCCGCGTCGGTGGCACCGGAGGCGGCGTCGTAGGCGAGGCCGCCGGTTGCGTCGCTTGACAGGGAGAAGCCACCGCCACCGGCTACGTAGAACCGGTTGCTGAAAGAGGACGGGCTGGGCAAGGCGTACTTGAGGTTGACAATATCACCCTTCCCGGTGTGGGTGTAGGCCACGGTGACGTTGCAGTACGTGTATGTTGCGGTGCTGCTCATGCCGCCAGTGGCATTGTAGACGGGACTGGCAGTCACCGTAGACGGGAGCAAATCGATGCCGACCAGGGTGCCGTTGGCCGGAAGCGCCGATTGCACATTAGCCACAGTGCACAAATCCGCAAGGGTTGCGGCCTTGGCTGTTGCGGCCAAGGCGGCGACAGCGCGGCACGACTGACGCATGTTGGAGTCGGGGTCAAAGTGAATGAATGAATGAAGACTAAGTGAGTGAGTGAGATGACTCAGAAATGACTGAAGCGAGTGAGATGCGCGAATGCGATGAGTAGCAACATTTCGAGAACACCACACAGAGAATCGCCATGTCTTTTGTATAAACTTCCATCACGTTGCTCTCAGATAAAGCAGGCTCCATTTTATTCTGGAACCCTGCCTCCTGAATATAACCCCGGCGTTTCGGCCGCGGGGCTGACGGTAGGCCACGAGTCGACCGCGCCACGGTGGTGGCATAACGGCGCAGCATTGAGCACCTCGGCAGCGAATTCAGTGGGAAGTTTGATTGCCATCATGGAAAGGCACAAGCGAACGGAGAGAGCCATCCAGGTGGGTCGAGGCTGGCATTTTTAGCACACACTGACAAGCGGGAATAGTCAAATTAGCTAATCGGCTCCATATTAAGTACCGATATGTGAATATACTACGGTATAGTCAATGTATCCACCCTACACTGAGACTGGGACCAATGAGCATCAACTGTCAATTCTTCACCCATGCAAGCAGGTGGGTCGTTTAACTGTTCTAGTGCCTGCCTTGATTGGGGATTGCGTGTTGAGTTGCGTGGCGGCAAGGGGTAGGCCTCGTGTATTTTGCGCTTGACAACAGCTACGTAAGGATCGTCAACACGACACAGCTCCGAGATGAGCACCTTCGGTTGAGGTATACATAGGGAAACCTAAAATTCTTCCGATTGTTGTTATAGCAATAAAAGGCATAGGCCAGCGGTCATGTTGTGGTTGAAGACTACTGGAGAGCTAATTGGAGTCGCATATGTACAATATATACAAGAAATACCTTTGTTCTGCCAAGTAGCGCTATGCTGGTAACTTGTCCGCGGCCGTTGCAGCTGTGGTTCGTCCGGGGAACAGCGGCTTTGTGGCAATTGCGCGCAGCAGGACGAACTGCCCACATACCATGATTGAAACCACAAGATGTTTATCATGATCGACTTATTGGACGCGTCATGTACACCAGTTGCAAGTCCGGATATGTCACTAATAGACACCCTAGTAATGCATTCTGGCCGGCCCACATCAACATCATTTGTCAATTCCCATGACGAACCATCGCGCTTTAGCGACAAATAAGAAGGCTAACGTACAACCCCACCTTTCCGGCCACATATTGCAATCCAATTGAAGGTATTCGAAACAGTGTATTCAACGTACTATTGTAGCTATTCAGGTACAACCAGCTCTAATAGAAAGCTGTGCTCTAGGGCTTCCTGAGGTATAGATCTGATAGATTCTGACGCCTTAGCTGGGTCCAGTATTACCTGATTCCGACGTTGTACCTGGTCTCGTTGCCGTTCTACTTCAAGGGCTCGATCCATCGCTTCCTTAATCTGTACAATGTTACCAAATCGTTCATTAGGCCCTAATCGTACCTTCTTACGTGGTTTGGGGCGTAACGAAGTTATCTCGGCTTCTAATGCGTGTACACGTTGGGTCAAAGTAGCGACCTCGACGCTCTGTACATCTAGCCGACGAGTTAGCTTCCGAAACAATAGCCGTTGCGACGATCGCAATGGCGTAATCGTTGCCAGACTCTCCCTAGCGACTAAGCTAGTCACTGGCGTCGCTATTATTGTCGGATCAAGCCAATTACCAGCTGTTGGTGGTGTAGTTGCGTAAGGGAATACAGAGCTATAAGCAGGGTTAAGCCTCAATTCTGTCACTTAGTGGGTGGTCTGGGTTCGATTCTAGCCTGTGTTCTGGCTTTTCATTCGCTAATGGAGCCAAGTGTCGCGGATCGCCTGCGGGGGTCCGCCCGATACCGGAACCTCTGACATGCCTAAAATTGTGCCTCTGAGCAAGTTGCCGAGGCCGGGACCTCTGAACATGCCTAATGTGCCTCTGAGCAAAGTCGCCGGTCATGCGATACCCGTGTAGCGGGCTGTATAACAAGTTAGAATTGGCCTTACGTTTCTGCTCACAGGGTGTATCCCTGGGGATCTTCTCGAGCTTGCTCGCCCTTAGAGTTACCTGCTTTATCTACTCGGGACGAGTAGCTCTAGAGGGGAGTATAATTGTAAGGGAATACAGAGCTATAAGCAGGGTTAAGCCTCAATTCTGTCACTAAGTGACAGAATTCCTAGATCTTTTGGTCTATGTGACGTGATAGTCTAGGCTTCCTGTCACCTTACAAGTTGGTCGTTCTGATAGGGGGGCTATCGTCGGCTGAGGTCGCGATGGATCTAATGGGTATATTCCAGTTGCAGAGAAGCCTGATTGTATATTACTGATCGTGAACGACTTCGTATATGCCTCGATGTATAGCGAGAAGAACGTCGACTTTTTAAATAGAATAGAACAGTACTCGATCGAGAGAGAGGTCGCCAACGAGCGATAGTACCGCTTTAATGGAGCAAATACGGCGACGTCGAGAGGTTGGAGCCCGTGAGAACAGTGCGCTGGCAAAAATAGTAACGAGATCTTGTTATAATAGGCTAACCACATAAACTCGACGTTGTCGTGAGCGATATGACCATCTAATATCAAGAGCCGCTGCTCGTCGGGATCAACTGGTTGTGTACGAGGTATAAAGATATCACGAAGCTATCGAACGGCGATATCTGTACTGATCCAACCGTTAGACGAATAAGTATATTGCCAATCAGGTATATCGTCGCAATCGTTAAACCATTGGGCTTGGAGGCTCTTGCTAGTATATATTACTGCTGGGGTCAACGAGTTACCCATCGCCGATATAGCATGTAATATAGTGACCTATTCGCGGCTTTCGTCACTCCGAACGAATGTTGTATGTTTCTCTGACGATCCGTACACTATACCCTCGATCCCTTCGCCAATCACGATGCCTGTTTCGTCCATATTCCAGACGTTATGTGGAAAGTAGTCGTGAGCTGACATCAAGGCTTCGTACGTCTCGAAGAAATCGTCGATATTCTGCGTCGATAGGCCATCAAATCGCTGACGGTCGAGGCGTCGAGATTGAATACTTCCGACCTCTGGATGGCGTTGAATAAAGCGATGAACCCAATGGCGACCGAGGCCCTCTGATCGACGATCCTGAGGTAACAGAATCAACGCCATCTTAGCGATGGATAGCGCCGACGGGCTACGACCCTCGCGATCCATTTCGAGGATCCATCCAATCAGCGCGTCTTCCTGATCCCTAGATAGCTTCATCGACGCGATTGACGCGTCAGAATGGCTGAGGCCATCGCCGAGTCGTAATTGGAGGGTAGAGCGTGGAACGCCCCATCGGAGGGAAGCCTGGCGCTGGAATATCCCTTGACTGATATCGTTGAAAGCGCCTTGAATCTAATTTTCTGAATATCGAGGCATTGTATAATAATAGCCAATACCGACGATAATCTGTTGTGTCGAAGGTTGTTGTAGTTGGCAGATTAGATGGCCAGAAAGGTGAGTGGCCGGAAAGGTGGGGTTGTACGTTAGCTCAGTTACGTTTACAACGGCATAACAGCCACATGACGCGGGTTGCGAATGCATGCGCTTTGGACCACACGTCTGTCGGTATCATATTGCCACGAAGTCTGCAGAACTGATGATCTTACCTGCCTCTGGCAGATCGAAGCGGCTCTACTGCCTTGGCATACACATCTAGGATTGTGGTCAGCAAAAGACTACCTGCAAACTCCCACTACTTGACTATATTCAACTGCTGGAGCAGGTTCCATCTGGGAGAGCGGCCCTGCGACTTCTTGAAACTTCAGTGTCCGTGAATACCAGTAGTTACTAGTTCACTGCCGTAGGGATCCTCGGCTCGTAGCAACGCGCTATGATTAAGCAGGGAGCCAAAGCGAGTCCGGCTTGGCCACGGGGTACAATGCTTAACACAGACCACCAAGGTTCGAAACAAACTCACCATGCCAACCTGGTGAGCTAGGGCTGGCGTGTATTTACACCAATACCCTCATCGTTCTCCGGACTTTGGTCGCCAATGCTAACCTCATCGGAGGCCCTGGTTGAGCAACCTGGTGGGTTTATGGTTGCCAAGGCGGCTCAAATAGCTATTTTGACAATGCTGGGGTTCCCTGACAGCCGTATTTATGGGTATTTTGAAGGTGCTGGAGGTCCCTGCCAGCCCTGAAGGATCCCCTGTAAGAATTGTTAGCGCGCAAATCTCTGCAAAATGTCTTTTACTGTACTTCGAAACATCGCTCTTGTCTTGGTATTCCTCTAACGTATTTCACCCCCATTCCGACACCCTATAAAACAAAACACCACGAATAACACTGCAATTTCAAACAACCACCACAAATTCAATTCTGAACAACTATACAATCGCTTTCGACAGTAGATACATTAGATATTTCTGAACCCGAATCATCAACAAGAGCTTCATTAGATACTTCCCTCATCCGCCGTACGTCCTCAATCCTTGTGAATTTCGCGTTTGGACTTATTTGCACCTTCTTTTTTTTCCGTGGCTTCATAAGCTCCAATCCCTGTTTCAAGCCCTTAATTTGTAATTCTGCGCTTACTAATAGATAATCCTTCTCATCAAACCCTTTTTTCATCTTTCTAAATAGCTGGCGTTGTGTAGTCATGTTAGTTTGTTGGAGTCGATTGAACTCCCTAAACTGGCGCTCTATATCTACGCTCTTCTTTGGCGTTGACCATACAACATTGCCCTCTGAAGGCGTCTGGAGCGTTTTCTGGACTTTCTGGGTTGCAATAAGAATGTCTGGACCTTGGTGACGTGTGCGGTTGCTATTTTCAAGCAGAAGAGGTAAGGGGCCTAGCGACATTTAGGGGCCATAGACCACTTGTATGCCAACCAGACTTGATATTTTGAGCCGTTAGAGCCCTCTGGCGTGCTCTGGCGTAACAGCGCATAAAATTCCGCTTGCCAATAGGTGCTGAATCAGTTAATAGGGTTAAAACCCCGACCTCCTTGCGATATGCCGTTTTCATAGCTGAGAACACCCCAACATCGAGGGGCTGAAGGACATGAGATGAGTGTGGGGGTAAAAATATTATTATTATTATTAAATACGCCGTAGGCTCGAAGCCCCCGGTACCTCTACTAGTACTCCCGTATGTCAAACCGTGCCCTAATGGCTGGACTAAATACATACGCTGCGTCGTCGGTTCGCCCTATTGGCGACTGCGTTGCGTTCACTACCATACTACGTTGGTTCTCAACCTACCAACAAAGTCCCCCCTGAGAAGATCGATGCTATCTGGGCCTTGAAGCTGTCCGACCCGTCCCTAGCAGCCATCTTACAATAGTCCCACTAACTACTGGTTCTCCTGTTGCCGTTGCGAGGTCTCTGCGAGAGTATAGTGGCCGTGGTGCGATGGCGGCCCGTAATCGTTCCCTCGGTCCTTCCAACAGCCCGCAAAAGAGGATTACGTGCTCTGCCGTCTCAGGGGCATCGCCACAGCGGCATAGCGGCGAGTACACGCCAAAAGCCCCTGTCTTGAATAAGAAGGCTGCTAGTCCTATTTTTTCCGTCCTGATCTGGCACAGCGTAGACGCCTCCAGTCGGTTCAGGCCGAAATACTTGCCCCCTTTCGGTATCTGCATCGAAGGGCCCTCCGGTTCCTCAGCGATAGCGCGTCGCTGGCGATCGTGATGCTCTGCTCCGGTGAGCCATCTCTTCCTCCAGTGGTCGAGGAGGGCAGCCGGGACCTCCTTTTCCTCACTCATCCACTCGGAGCCCCGGGCCTCCTTCTCCATAGTGTACCCTGCCGGTCGGAGTAGCTGCGACGCCTGCTTCCTCTTCGCCGGCCTATCCTGCCGGAGTATATGTGACGCTTTAGCGCTCGCGCTGCGAAGCAGATTTCTCTTCCCGCTAAGCCGTAGCCGTTCTTCAAACTTAGCAGCCCGGGCACTAAGATAGAGGTCTAGTGGCGGGATTGTTGCTTCTGCTTCCAGGTGGCGAACCGGCGTCGCTTTGTGGGCACCACAGACTACCCGGAGGCACTCGTTCTGTATCCCCATCAGGCTCTTAGCTGGCCCTGCCGGTTCCTCACTTATAGTATGCCACGCAGTCGCCCCGAAGGCAATCGCGCTACGGATAACCACCGTATATAACAGCCTCGTGGTAAAAATAATAAGTATGTTGTTTTGATAACAAAGAGACATAAAAGTATCAGTTGTGACTACCGTGACCATCCAAAATAAGTAAACGAGTGTCTGAAGGGTCCTGAGGAAGCGTAAGGGGTATAAAAACGTCTTCAAGCCATTTGATAGCTATCGTATCGTCTGTCCAGCCCTTGGGGGATGCCTTGAAGCGCCAGTCCTTGAAGTTCTGAAGATTTTTATCAGGAACCACTGCTCTTGGACGTCCTTGCCCTTGAAAATAACTAGGGGGGTTAAGGTATTGCCGAGGGCATCCGCACATTCCAAAATTGACGCCCACGCCCTCGAACCAGGCTGTTTCTGGTGTATTGCGCGTAAGGTAGCGCTCCCGACAACTATCCCAGAGCCCCCTTGACCCTCCATAAGGCCATGCTCATCCATATTATACCTGCATTGCGGCTTAATCACTTGAATTGCAGGAATACGTAATTTTGAAGCAAACCAGGCTTGGATTACCTCGGTAGACGCGCCATTGATACGCTGAGAGTCGATACGGCGTTGCTTTTTAGTCTTTAGTGCTGGGTGACGCTTTAGAAAGGCTTCCAGCCAATTCTTGCCGAGTGGTTGGTGGTCACCTTTGAGGGCTACGACGCGCTGCGCGTGCGTTGGGGCTAGTCCAAGGGCTTCCTGGACCAAAACCCAGTCTGCTAAGTGTTTTTCTTGCACTGGAGATAGCCCCTGCTGGCTAGCAGAGGCCTCGCGACTTGATTCAGCGCCTTGAAGTCTGTCGATAAGTGTAGTCCTTGGTATACCCCAATCCAGGCCAGCGCGTCGCACAGATTTACCATTTGCGACGTCTAGAACGGCGGCAGCGAGGTCTTCTTCCGTATATGAAGGCATTGATAGCAGATCAGATCGAATACTTGGAATAAAGTCAATTGAAGCAAAAGTGGTTGAGAAATAAAAGGATAATGTAAATAGCGGTGTGGTTATTGTTGGGGTTTACAGGGGTGTCGGAATGGGGGTGAAATACGTTATATCGAGCACTGTTGCAATGTAAAAGTCTAGGAGTGGCATAGCGAGCGATACTCTCAACTCGATCAGGACCTGATTAAAATAGACCATACCTGACCAGCACTAGCATCATCAACCTCGCATGTCGCCCCTTTCCACAGCAGGAGTACCATAATCGCTGTCCTCGCACCAGACATCAGTATCGAAACACCCGGCCAGTCGCCTAACATCCACCACAACATCATCCTCCAAGATCTCTTGTCCTCGAGCCACTGCCGGATCAGACGTTCGCACGACCTCGCACAGCCTTTCCCTCTCCCCACCATTTTCGTGTCACCAGCGCCCGGATGAAAAGGGCAACTGGAGCCAAGCCAAGCCATGCAGCGTGGCCTGCCGAGGATTGCGGACACGTGCATCAACCTCGGTGAGCTGCTTTGCTTCGCCCCATTGAACAGGTTTAGGTATGAGTGTTTTTTGTTTGCCCAACGCACGAGTCCCGATCTCTGGCTGCCGACATAAGCGCCTCGCTCCCTTCCAGCAAAGCGTTCGTTCCCAGATCTGGTTTCGCTGGCAAAACGCCCGTCGGAACGGGCCCCCGACCCCGATTCGTCGACTTTCCCATCCAACCTAATACCCCTTACCCCTCCGCTACCTATATCCCCCCAACACCCCCTGCGATTGGTAGAAAACAGCCCGACCCAGTATGCAGGCGACGCGAGACCGCATCTCGTGCGACGGTTTATTTTGCTTCGACATGGGCAGCCGCGCGCAAACCCGGCAGCTGATTACCAACGTGAAAGCACGGTTGCGCAAGGCAACTAACATGAGATCTGCAACTGTGATTCGTGAATACATCGGGAGAAAAGCCTTGAATAACAAGGTGTGTGGGTGTGTGAGATACATAGAAAGGTGAGGAGAGCGGTCTGCAAGGAACAACCTTGGTGAGAGGTAGCTGCGTGGTGAACTGGATTGCGTAAGGTGAGATGAGGCTCCCCGCCTTGGGAAAGGTGTGCAGCGATCGAATGCCGGACTGGATCATCAACATAGATATGTGGGAGGAGAAACCGTGCCGGGGCGGACTGGGATCATTGCTGGCTTGGATGTCTATTCTGGGGCATATGCAGACGCAGGTCTCAGTCGCGTCGGACAGGCACTTTAAGGGCAGCGCTGGCCAAGATGGAATTCCTTGAAGTGTATACATTTAGCAAGCCGGAACAAAAGCTCAGCTGAGGCCTTTACTCCTGCAGCCTCCTTCCGTGCAATTGCATTGACCTGCCTGGAGACAAAACCTTGAGAAGACTCGGACTCAACGGTCTCCACAGGAACAATACATCAAGTCCTCGATCACACGACATGGCCGTGTTGACTCCAACCCTTGCACCACGAGCTGCGGTCGATGAAAGTGATAAACCCCTTCGTACTCAAACCATCACCAATTCCGGCTCTACCATCTTTATCACCCTCACGCTCGGTTCCTCCTATCCCACCGACAACCCCAGCCACGTCGAGCCCGCTGGACAAACGGGGGGTTTGAGCCAAGATGCAATTGGCGGTATCATCGGCGCAGTGGTCGCGGTCGTCATCATTGCCCTGGTCATATGTTTTTGCAGCGGTCGCGTGCGGTATACCCAGTCAAGCAAATCGCGAGATAGTTCGAGAAGCAGTCGCAGCTCCAGATCTAAATCCGGCCGATCTTCAAGCGGTAGGGGTGGTGGTGGTTCGAGTGCCCAGTCGTACGTGTCGGGCAGCGAAATGAGCGAGCCTCCTCTTCCCCCAGGCGGAGGCGGTCCACCAATGGGCGGGACGCCAATGGGCGGGATGGGCCGCGGTATGCCTCCTCCGCCCCCGGGAGGCTGGCGAGGACCACCACCGGGTATGCCTGCTATGGGGGGGCCGCCGCCAGGAGCTTTCACGGGTCGCGGAGGGCCACCACCTATGATGGCGAGAGGAGGACCGCCACCTGGTCGTGGAGGGCCTCCTCCTGGAGCTTGATCACTGCCATTGTGGACTCGTCGAACGCTTTCCCGCATTTCCGTCACCGGGCGAAGAGCTTCAAGACAGGAAGGCTGAAGGCAACAAGTGCATTAAAGGCGGCGTCCCGATGGATTGGGTCCAGGTTATGATCAGCACACAGATATAGGCCGGGTGATCTGAGAAGGGTGACAAAATTATAGACGATGCTTGACTGCGCCGAGAGGTTACGATTTCATGGCTTCAAAAATCCTGACACAAAGGACAGCGGCCACAGCGGCGATGCTGCCGAGTATCACCATTTGGGTGCCCTCCCAAAGACTTCGTCTAACCCTCCGCCAACGCGGGGAGTGTGATTTTCGTTTGGGCCAGTTGCCACCCGCACCGTCGTCTTGTAGAAGATAATGTTTGCAGAAGCCAAACGCGAACAATGCCAGGATGCAAACGAGAAAGCTCCATAGTAGACCGTCGCCCACTTGACTCACAAAGAAGTAGGGGGAGAGTGGCAGTAGACCGCCAAGAAGGTAGCCAATTGACACAGAAAGCCCAACTAGGACGGGCGAAAAGCCTTTTCCCTCCGGACCACCTTCCCTCTCGATAGAAACTGCTTGCAAGGAATGGGCAATGCTCGGTCGACCCAGTACGTGAGCCCGGACAGCCTCAAGCACATCTTCGGGCAATGCCAAAGGAGCAAGGTAGTTTTCTACCGCCTCGTCTCTCTCTGAGTCCACAGCTTTCTCGGGATCCGCGTCCTCTTCTTGCGTGCCTGCTGACGCATCGCTTCCGCATTTGTTTGTTGGCATTTCCCCTTTCGCCGCGAGGTAGCCGCCAATTCCCATGCTGATGCTTCCCGCACAGATCTCCGCCATCCCAGCATATATGACAGTCTCGGTTTGCCCGAGGGACGAAAGCCCAGCGGTAAGGGCAAACGGGACAGTGAGTCCGTCGGCAAAGCCCAGTGTAAAGTCGGCAAGGAAGCGTGAGAGGGTCGGTAGTCGAAACTGGGACCCGGTTGCTACCGGGGTAGCGTCGGAGTCTGCCTCGTCGATGTCGCTGAGGTTGCTATGTGAGGCTGCAGTGGGCGTCGTAGGAACAGTCGGGAGAGTCGCGTATGCTGGGAAGCGGCTCGAGCCCGCGAGGCTCTGCGGACGCAGAGCGTTCAGGAGATCCATGGTCGTCATGACAATCAGCGCAAATATGTGATCGTAGAGGAAGGTCGAGACTCGGGTGCGCCAAAGCAGGCTGTCGCAATCAATCAGGGGCAACGGGCAAGAGCCTGAGTTCCTGCACGACGAAAAATAATTGACTTCCTCGGATGCAGCCGCCTTTTAACCGTAGTGCAAGAGGTAAGAACACAGCTTCCAATGCGAACATGGCGTAGTCGTTGGGGGTTGACTTATATTGATCGCAGCGGGACGACTGCGTACGGGAGACTCGGAGTGGCGCACGTCCCGCGATTAAGGTTCATGGGAGCAAAGCTTGTGTCTACTTGGCATGCGTAAACTCGAACCGCTCATTGGGCGACCATTGGGGAGCATTCCGAGGGACAAGAGGCCAGAGGAGAGTTCCGCGTTGAAGGGTTCCGCGTTGAACGCCCTTTTTGTTAGTTGTATCGCGTAAAGCAGTGAGTGCTTCACGTGTTGCATCTTCCGGCTCCGAGCAGGCCAATGGTGGCCGTAGGATCAACAAGCAGCTGCATATCTCCTGTACGTGCCTGATCCTTGGGGCATGATTCTGGTCAATCTCAACAGGTGACAGTAAAAGTAGAGGACGGAGTGAAGGAAGCGTGTGACTACAGGTCTCCGACCCGGTGAAGTTGGACCGAGGGAAGGATTTGGACTCGCCAATTGGAAGGAGTGTAATTGGCGCGCTATCGAGACAAGCTTCATAATGCCAGCGTATAGCTGACGTTGATCAGGGTCAGAAATGTTCTAACCCTGGCCAAGTTTTGCCAAGGGAAGCTTAACCAAACTAGGTATAATGCACAGTATCAGATCTTTGTGGTATTGCATATGCCCCACATATGCTAATCCTAAAAGAGATAGGTCTATATGTTTTGCATAACGCGATCCACAAGTCAGTGACCCACCCAAGTCAGTGACTCAGTTTCCGCGACATTTCAACCTCCAACTTGACTTATACAACTTTCCACGAGTCAAAATGCTACGTATCTCAAACGAAGCTAATATTCAGTTGGCTATCCAGGCTAAACGTCGAAACCCAGAATTAAGCTAGAACTAGCTCGAATTGATCTACAAAGCTGCCGCTAGTACTATCAAACGAAGATACAACGGAATTCAACCACAGCACATTGCTAACGCTACGAAGCGGAATTTGACTACGATGGAAGAAGAGACGATTGTTCGACGTATACTTGAGCTAAATTCGCGAGCATTTCCTTCCCGCCTTCAAAACGTGACCGATATGGCCAATATACTCCGCGCGGGAAGATATATATAACTTTAACGAGACAGGGTTTTTATAGGTATAATCATAACTGGAATAGTTGTTACAAGTGCCAAACGAAAGGGCAGGCCTAGACAAGCCCAGCAGGGTGATAGGGAATAGGTTACCGTTATCCAAGCCATCAATTCTCAAGGCTGGGCAGTACCTCCATTTATCATCTTCGCGGGGAAAATTCACCTTGCCTCCTGGTACCGCGACGCTGCCTTACTACACGACTGGAAGGTTTCTCTATCCAGTAATGGTTGGACAACCAATGAATTGGGTGTAGAGTGGGTAAATCATTTTGATCTACATACCCGGAGCCGTACAAAGGGTAGGAAACGTCTTTTGATTCTCGACGGCCACGAAAGCCATCACTCGATAGATTTCGAGGAATCCTGCAAAAAACTGGGAATTGTTCCTCTTTGTATGCCTACCCATTCATCACATCGGCTCCAGCCTCTCGATATAGTACCTTTTAGTGTGTTAAAACGCGCATATAGTGGCTATATTGAGGAGCGAATGCGAAAGCACCAAACCCACGTTGCGAAGGAGGATTTTCTATCTGGGTTTCTAGAGGCATCTAACAAGGCAATGACCGAATCTAATATTCGGTCTGGCTTCGAAGCGGCTGGACTTGTCCCATTGGATCCAGAAAGGGTCATTTCCTCGTTAGATGTTGCTCTAAAAGTCCGTACACCGTCGCCCGACCCTCAATTGCCGGCTGCTACTTGGACTTCCAAGACTCCTACTACCACCCTGGAGGCTACTTATCAATCAACTCTTATTAAGACTAGTGTCCAGAGGCATCAAAATAGCTCCCCAACCCATATTTTGAGCTCTGTAAACTCAATTGCGAAGGCTACTCACCTAATAATGCATGAGGTTGCCCTTCTGCGACAAGAGAACAAGGGGCTCCATGAGACCAACCACCTATTAAGCAAACGTCGCAGAACCAAAAATAAGCAAATACAGCATGGAGGTACAATTAATGTAGCTGATTCACAAGAGCTACGGGAAGCCAAGGGTGATATCGAGGCAGTAGAGGGTGAGGAAGACAAAAGTAATGGTCCAAGGAAAAGGATCGCAACCAGTGCAAGACGTTGTGGTGTCTGCGGGAGGACTGGGCATAATGCGCGGACTTGTCAAGTCGAATTAGAAACATCTAATGAATAAGATTCTGCTCAGTTGAATTGATCTGATGTGTTGTGGTGAAGTTATCTTGATTAATATTGAATTGATGGTTGAAAGTGAGTCACTGACTTGTGGATCACGTTATAGAGCGTTCTGAAATCGCTTGATCAGTGTGGTGTCGCATATGCCCCACATATTCTAATCCTAAAAGAGATAGGTCTAACGTGGTTTAACACCGAGTCGCGCATATCACCGAGTCGCGCACTTTTTACCACACTATAATTTCAAGTTCAATTAAAAAGCCACAACAGACTAAAGTTTATTGAAATTTATTCAGAGCTATATACATCTGACAATTATAGTTCGACCTGACAAGTCTTTAGATTATGTCCGGTCTTCTTACACTTACTACTCGTCGTACAGTCGACGGACCAGCCTTTTCTTTACCCCCCCTAGAGCGCTTGTCCTCCTTTACCAGGGCCTCCGCGTCCTTCCGGGCCAAAATGTCCAGGGCATCCTCGACAGTAAGTGCACCTCCTTGCCGGACATCAAGTGGCTGGGTTAGATGAGACGAGTGCGGGGGCAGACTGATAGTAATAATGCCTTTAGACTGCAATAAGACTCGAAATCGGCCGATGTATGACTCTCATGCCCGTCCAATACTAACAGCCGATACACGCCTCTTTTGGTCGAGATAGTGTGCTTGTTGAAATGTTTGATCCAGTCTAGACCAGTCTCGTTGTTCGTCCACCCGTTTTCGGTCGGTTTGACTACCCAATCGGCTGGTAGGTCCCCCTCAGTATACCAATTAGCAAGGTGATAGTTCCCTTGAATTACCAGAAATGGCGGGATGTCGCGACCCTCCGAATTGACACAGGTAATCGCCGTGGCCCATTCCCGGTTACCTGGCTGGACCTTCTTGCCTCTACCATTACGTTCAGACGAGGTAACGACCATCGAGCGTTGAATAACGCCCATCATAAAGCCCGTCTCGTCGAAGTTCCACATATCGCAGTCCTGGATCCCGTATTTGGCCCTCATATTCGATACAAGCCAGAACCAGTCCTCAATAATCTTTGGATCCTCGCAGAGGGCCCTCTGGAAGTCATACGAGCGAGAAAAACGCGTCTGTAACTCTGGGGTTCGCTTTACAAAGCGATGCGCCCAGAGCTTGCCGACGCGTCGGGTACCCCGCGTCGCAAGAATGGAATTGGCCATATCTTCCACACCCTCTAGCCGGGGAGGAAACCCTCTCAAATCTAGGTCAAGTACATGCTGAACAATAGCTCTTTCCTCTATCTTGGTGAGGACTCGGGTACACCGTATAGCTTTGCTGCTCGACGTTGGCTCATACTTTTGGTCGGCCGGATAGCTTCGATTGCAAGGTTGATTTTGGCTTCTTGGGTTTGAACTGACATGGTGTTATTGTTGAGGAAATAAGTGTTGAAGTCAAAAGGTTGGAAAAGTTGAAAAAGTGCGCGACTCGGTGTTAAACCACGTTATAATAATATTAAATACGCCGTAGGTGTTAACCCTCGGTACCTCTACAAGTACTCCCTTAAGGGGCTATAGATGATATAGCGGGCCCTTAAGCCGCGTCGGGCGGTTATACAGGTAAACTTGTAGCCAAATGACTACTAAACCTCCTGTCCCTCCCTAAGTCTGTGCTACAACCCCTGCCTGAACTACCGATAAGTGTGGTAATGTGGCACTTAAATTCGTCCTCAGGGGTGGGATGCTGCTGATGTGCAGAAGATGCTCGACTATTTTTTTGTCGCGACAAGTCGTAGTATCTGCTAATTGGGGTTCTCGTCGAGCGTATACATCTCAACCATACGCTCAAGTGGATAGACCGTAACGTGGTCAGACGCTCGCAAGAATCGCGGCGAGAGGGCGTGCTGCGCGCCTTCTATCGTGAGGGGACGGGTTCGCCGACGAGCGTTATCGGAAAGGCGAGGTCCGATAAGGGGTCGGATTAACGATTCGAATTCTGGACCGGCTGTCGAGTTATATTCCGCCGACGTAGTGCTTGACGGTCGACTGGCTAGGATGCTCGTAATCCTAAACTGCACCAATCTCCCTATTATCGCTAGGTAGGCGAAGTCAACAAGGTGGGCAGCGCGCCGTAAGGGTTGACTAAACCCCTTGTGTGTCAGCTGCGGGATTCGAACCCGCGACTCGTCACCGACCCAAGTGGGCGAGGCTCAAATCGGGACTTATCTACCAGCGAAGTGACCAACTACACCAGCCGACAACCACGTTATATGTTTTGCGTATAGAGTGTTCCGAAATCGCTCGATCAGTGTAGACCTTTAATTAGATAGCTATCACAGAAGAATTTCATAACTTCTTATTTTCCTAAAATTCATACACCTCATGGCGGACGAAACTGATTATGAACATGAGAGCGCACCCAGCACGGATGGAACATATGCAGAGCATACGCAAAACATCAGCGACAACGAGAAGTTAATTCTCTGGTTTAATGGCGTAAGATAACTAACCTAATATCAGCGTCGTTGATACTAAATATACACTAGGTTACACAGGATGAAGATACAGAGCAAGGCTCATATAGCTGTCAATGGGATATTCCATCGGAAGCTATCCCATATATGGGGTTTTCTCCAGTAAGTAGCCCTCAGCATATCAGATGCATATACTGAACATATCCTCAGGAGATGATCGAAAACTTTGGACTAATAATCAGTTCCAATGGGCGCCAAAGGGTTCAAGTTCACCAAATCGAAGATTATTATATCTTACCAGTATATCCTCATACACACTCAACTGGAATTGCAACCTTTGTTCATGTAGCAAAGCCGTTATTACCAGACAATCCAACACCACAAGAGATAAGCGCTGCTTTTACGAAGATCAAAACCCAAGTAAGGCATATACGAACCGTATATAAAGAACATACTAATTATATACTAATTTAAGATAGATCGAGTTTAGTTTAGCGAACGGTAATGGAAATGGTCGCTATAATATAACATCGTTGAAATTCCTCCAGTAAGTGCAGGGCGTATGGGCAGCATATGAGCAGCATACGTGACGCTTAGGCTACCCTATAGCTAGTTCTAATCGGAAGCTAAATCAAGCTTGGCATATGCCATACAAATGTAGTGGTATCCGGGTCTGTGGACATGCGCACCCGAAGGTCACTTCATATACAGAGGAGTATAATTGTGTAGATGTTTCAAAAATCCGAAATATTGTTCGGGAGCTCCCAAAGCCTACTCTTAGTAGTATACAGCAGATGCTTAAAGAGGCTACTGAAAAGTAAGTAACGTCCCACACTCCCACATGCTCCCGCTCCTGTATCAACAATGCCTATGCGACGCACACGTCGGTCTCGTGTGAAGGCATCATATGGGCTTCGCCCTGGTTATATACCATTTTCCTTGAACTTATCACACATATTAAGTATATACTAACTGTATTCGAATAGCCCGCACGTTAGTACATCTAAGTCCTCTGGCAAGCGCAAGGTTCGTGGACTTAGTAAACATATTAATAGTATATACTAATTCGATGTAGCGTACGTTCATGGAACCTCCCGCTCTAGATGACGATGAGCAGGAGACTCCTAGCCGGCAGAGAGGTAAGTCTAAGCACTATATACACTCCTTACATATTATACTAATATATGATAGTTTCTCGCAAGCGTGGTGGTAGAGGTGGCAGAGGTGGTAGAGGAAGCCGGTCGACCACTCGTAACTCTGGTATGACATATGTTGAACTTAGGCAGTGCATAAGCTAATATGAAATAGCTTGAATCATCGATAAGCAGCAATCAAACGGTACCTACTGTGCATATGTACGACATATGCCTATGAACTGTTGTTTTGCTTGGTCTGGTAATTTGGTTCTATAATGCAAATATATTGCTCTGAGGAACCGGAGGGCCCTTCGATGCAGATACCGAAAGGGGGCAAGTATTTCGGCCTGAACCGACTGGAGGCGTCTACGCTGTGCCAGATCAGGACGGAAAAAATAGGACTAGCAGCCTTCTTATTCAAGACAGGGGCTTTTGGCGTGTACTCGCCGCTATGCCGCTGTGGCGATGCCCCTGAGACGGCAGAGCACGTAATCCTCTTTTGCGGGCTGTTGGAAGGACCGAGGGAACGATTACGGGCCGCCATCGCACCACGGCCACTATACTCTCGCAGAGACCTCGCAACGGCAACAGGAGAACCAGTAGTTAGTGGGACTATTGTAAGATGGCTGCTAGGGACGGGTCGGACAGCTTCAAGGCCCAGATAGCATCGATCTTCTCAGGGGGGACTTTGTTGGTAGGTTGAGAACCAACGTAGTATGGTAGTGAACGCAACGCAGTCGCCAATAGGGCGAACCGACGACGCAGCGTATGTATTTAGTCCAGCCATTAGGGCACGGTTTGACATACGGGAGTACTAGTAGAGGTACCGGGGGCTTCGAGCCTACGGCGTATTTAATAATAATAATAATAATATATTGCTTGGTGTTTGTTTCGTATCAAGTTTCCACCTCATATGCATCATATATGCTCAAATCCTATGTGACATGTTCTATTCTAGGTTAGGTTATTACAGTACCTAATAAACTATTCGTGCTTTTTTTCTATTATCTGAGCCTTGTCAGAATATGCCTCGCATATGTATACCAGACAGTTTGGCCCCATGTATATGCTCCTATATCGCTGCATATGCGCCGCATTTTCTCCGTGTACAAGCTTTTCTCTGATACTGTGGTGATGATTTATTTGGTTAGACTAGCGTTAGCGTTAGCTTGGCAAGACTTGGCCAGGGTTAGAACATTTCTGACCCTGATCAACTTTGCTGCGCCACAAAATTTCTAACCCTGGCCAACTGTAACCTGCTTCAGAATGCAACCATGGTGGTTGGGTGTGTTCAAAAGCTTCCAGGCCTGACCCGCATCGTTTCTAGCCGATGCCCCGTTCTAGCGGAGAAGGCGGGGCAGGCAAACGCCAATGCTTGACGTTATCAAAGCCACGTGCTTGCCGACCAGCGTGTTTTAGCCTATCTCATTCTCGCAACGTTCGCAAAACTTCCTCGATTGTGCACCGAACCCAGAAATGAGCAGATGAATGGCCCGTTTCCGTAATCTCACGGACCACCGGGAATAGTGCGATTGCCACCAGGAAGTGTCGCCGAGATGGACAGCTCTGGCTTACTTCGACTCCCTGTCTGCTTTCCCACCTGGTCTGTAGGTGTCCAGTGGCGTGGTTGAGTTGCTGTGCACGTGGGCTATGCCGCAATGCTTCTATGGTGTGAGCCTCCTCCATCGTGATCTACTGTAGCGCAGATCATGCCGGGTCTTCTGCGGGGAGGCCATCAGGGTTTAGCCAGTCCCGTTGCTACCCATGATCAACACAACTCTAATCAAATCAAATCAAATGTCGTGTTGCGTGCCATCCACGGGTCAGATGCGCCTGGCCGATGTATTGACTAGCTGCAGCTCAGCTTATTTTTCGAAGGCCCTGGAAAGGGATACGACATCCGATCTTTATGGGCCGACTAATCTCCAAATTGACCCCGAACACTGCTTGCGACGTTGCAGTCGGCCAGACACTGCTGCCCTGGAATATAAAGCCGCCTACTGCCCGCATCTCAAGCTCTTTGATGGTCTGGTCGGCGTTTTCGAAAACAAGTCAAGATGCGCTCTTCCGTGATGTCCCTCTTCCTGTTGGCTGCCAGTGTTGCGGCCCAGGCCGAGAACCTCTACACTGCAACTGCGTCCAGTGACGTCGCTGCGGCCGCAGCTACGGCCAAGACGCTGTATCCCACGAGCAACGTAAAGGGGAAGGCGTTCGACCGTTTTGCTGTCATCTGGTTGGAAAACACTGACTATGACATGGCGGTTGGCGACCGTTCGTGTTCTCTCAAGACCTCATATGATGGGACTGGTCACTGACTCGCCTTGCAGCAAACCTGGCCTGGCTGGCGGAAAGGGGCATTACCCTGTCTGGCTACCATGCCGTCACACACCCGTCTGAGCCGAATTACGTTGCCGCTATTGGCGGCGACTACTTTGGCATGCAAAACGACAACTTCAACCAGATCGATACCAATGTATCCTCTATCGTCGACTTGCTTGAGGATAAGGGCATCTCCTGGTCCGAGTATCAGGAGGATTTGCCATATACCGGCTTCGAGGGTATGGCTTGGGTGAACCAGGATAACGGCGCCAATGCATACGTGCGCAAACATAACCCTGCCGTCATCTACGACGACAACGCCAAGCAGATTGACCGCCTAGCCAAGATAAAGAACATATCTCTATTCTACGAGGACCTCGAGAACGAGACTCTACCCCAGTGGATGTTCATCACCCCCAACATGACTAGCGACGGCCACGATACGAGTGTTACCGTCGCCGGCACATGGACCCGCAACTTCCTAGAGCCTCTGCTCAACGACTCGCGCTTCATGCAGAACACCATGGTCCTCATCACCTTCGACGAGAACGAGACTTACTCCATCCAGAACCGGATCCTCGGGATCCTGATAGGCGACGCTATCCCATCCGACCTCGTAGGCACCACGGACGACAACTACTACAACCACTACAGCGAGATCTCCACCGTGAGCGCCAACTGGGACCTGCATACGCTCGGCCGCTTCGACGTGGGCGCCAATGTGTTCCAGGTGGTAGCTGACAAGACGAGCGACACAATCCGTAAGTGGGCTGGGAAGATTGAGTTGTCTGATATGTACTTCAACTGGTCGTACGCTGGGGTGTTCAATACCAATGGTGGCAACCAGCAGTACCCCGCGCCCAACTTGGGAAGCTGCGGCAAGTCGCACGGCCGAACTATACTTCCCAGTATCAAGGAGACTTGGGCCAACAGCACAGCGCCGGTGTACTACGACTTTGGGCTGGAGATTCCAGATGGGCTGCACCCTCCCGTTGGCTATACACCGGTACCATAGATGTTTGGGTTTATTTACATTTCTTTGTATATATCCATCAACACTCAGGGGAAGACCCCGGCATGTCTTTCTCGTGTATATATTTTTCTCCTGTTTGAAGTGTCTCGGCCAACTTCACTATCTTGTCTTGCTAGTCAATGTGGTTGATGCCAATCGTGAAGATTCGTTCCAGCGAGGTGCGGGATATCTAGTGTTGGGGCACACAGAGAGATAGAAGTGTGATGTATTTAGGTAGGCCAGGCTAGCGCTGGTGGGCTGGAATCAAGTAGTAGTATTGGATATGCACAGACCACGACTGACATCTAGTAAACCCACTATATATGGCCATACGCAATCAATCTAATTGATGTTGCCTTCATCCGCAGGCCCAACTTCACCCGATGTAGAAATTTCCACGCACGTTTAACAATACATTTGAAAAACCTATGTATATCAGTCTAGGTTATGGCATCATAAAATGATTCTACGTATGTCGCTGAGAGGTCTTCTGTGAGTCTCATTGAGATCAAGCACAGCCCTCAGTCAACCTGGAAGTCACTCATAAGGTTTGGCTCTTCGATAAGTTTCTGGAGTTCTCATTTGCATAGTTGGAAATTTATATGCCCATAAAGTATCGACTGTACGCAGCCCGTAATCCCGAATTGGTCGCGTCCGTCGGCGTACGTCGTTTCTCGGCCATCAACATAAGCTAAGCTAGGACCAGGTTCAGAGCATAATCGATTCACAATACGTGGAACTAGTTTTATCACTGTTTCCATGTCATCCATGTCATCTAATTTCTAAGCTTTTACTCGTACGCGAATTCCCAAACCAATTACCCCAATGCTATACCTACCCCAGAGCGGAAGGTGCGCTGTCTTCTACCTGAAACTATACTGCTATCCTATCAACACCCCTACCATCAATACTCCACTACCATGTGATGATATGTTATTCACTCTATTCTATCTATTTATCCTGGAACAGGGTGTGCAGATCTGTCGGAGACAGTATCGAGCAGCAGCGTTTGAGGAGATGAACGGTTAGGTGTAGCAGTATGCGCACAAACCACCGCCGTAATTGGTGAGTAGTGGTTCCGATCACCTGCCCCCGCATATATGGCATATATCTGTCGTCGTGTGGGTTGTCATTGCATAACGGTGTTGTTGACGATGTTGGTAATGAAGAGCTGTCGTAGAAATTTGGAAGACCCAGTTCGAAGTAAATTCAGAACCTTTCTGACAAAGACTCCTCGATGAGGCCTTCCCATTTCATTTAGAAGGTGTCATAACCTGATGAACTACCCATTCTAACGACATTGATCATGCCAGTTGCGTTTGAATATACCGAAATCAAGTCGCAACAACACTTATCCCACCGGGACCACCCAACATTGTCCAATACTGATTCGACGATACTTTCCTACAAAACCCTTATATCCACTCACGTTAGCTTTTCTGATTCCAGCAAATTATGATCCCTGCCCCTTATAAAGGACGACGATAGGGCTTGGACCGTAGCCGCTCGGTCTCTATACCTAGGACAACCATATCCACACCCTACACCAAGAGCTCCCCAATAGAATCCTCGTGATCTTGAACTCCGACTCTTTCACTATGTAAGACCAATCTATCAAGCCGTTAGACCATCCTGTAGCACTGTAGGAATATTCTGTGACATCGGCTATTGTCAGGAACGGCTAGGCCGCAAGGCAATAATACAAAGTGAAGGGGATAACAGGCGTTACCGCAGTTGATCACCGGGTGTTCAATGGTGGTCACAATGAGGCATGGCCAAAATAGGTTATTGATCTCTGACCTTCCCTTCTTCCTTCTCCAAGACACCTCTCTCATATAGATAGCTAAAACCCCTAATCCGAACTACAATGCTCGGATTTCCTATGTTCAACGGTATTCCAAGACTTCTATAATATTCTGCGACCCACAGATCCGCGAGCCGGCTCCCCACCGGCTCTCACCGGTGTCATACACCCGGTCTGACAGCTGTACGGTCTGTAAATCCCTGCCAAACGTTGTCTTTGGACTGTGGGGTCACAACTTCTCGGTTACCCCCTCTCAGTACGCCCTGATGAAGATAACCGAAGACCAACGATCAAGGTGCTCGTTATATGTCAGGGAACTGAATGCTACAGGCCCCGGTGTAGGGACGTGCGATGTTACACGCAATGGTGGTCAAATATTTGTGAAGTTGTAAAAGCATGTTCATCTGTCTAATACTATCGAGCACGAAGGTTGGACTTAAGTCCCAAAGGGCCAAGTCACGTGGTAACCTTGGTGGTCTTGGCAAAGCCCACAAAGGTTGCCTAACATGCGAGTCATGACCTAATATGGAAGTCTTGGTATACTGGATACATTCGCTGGATCTTATCATGCCCTTCCTGTGCATGACTGCCGTCGTACCATCATACATGCGGTCATTGATCTTGGCTTCATCTCTGGTAGTTTCGGGATTCCGCAGGTCATTGAAGGTCATCAATAACATCGCCGTTATATCGAGGAAATGCGTCGCAGAACGCGGGAGCCAAGATCAAAAGTCAGAAGCGTACCGACATCTTGGAGCAGCTGTACGCCATCCATATAGAAAAGGGGTATAAGGTCGACTTTCATATGGGCGAGATTGAACAAGAAGCTAACGTCGCGCTGTAAGTCAAGTCCAGTTCAGACACCATAGTTACTTTCACCATAAGAGCTAACAGTCTGAATAGAAACGTCGGCTCTGACACCACCGCTATCGGCTTGCGCTTCACAATCTACCACACAATGAAGAAACCCTCCATCGACACAGAGCTCATGCAAGAGCTCGACCAACCTATCAAAGACGGCCGTCTCCGCTCTCCCGTCAGATACGCCGAGGCGAATAAGTTTTCGCACCTCTGCGCCTGCACCCAGGTGTGCGGCTGTTCATGGGCCGAATGTTGCCCACTGAACGCATGAAACTCTGTTGTACCTTCATCCCGGTCGACTACCGTGTCTGCATGAATGTTGCTGTGGTGCACTTCGATAAGACGGTGTTTGGCGCCGACGCGGACGAATAATGGCCCTCACGATGGCTGGATCCAGTAGCGGCGGCGAGCATGGGTAAGTATATGCTGCACTTTGGAGCGGGGACGCGAACTTGCACCGGCAATATCTCGTTGGTGGAGCTGCATAAGCTTGTCCCGGAGGCCTTGAGCAAATTTGAGCTGCAGATGTGGAATGAGAAGAGCGAGTGGAAAGCGAGGAACTCGTGGCTCTGCAAACAGAAGAATATTGTGGTGCGGGTAAGGAGGCGACAGCTGTCGTGAGAGGGTGGGATGGTGGTGATATTGAGTGTATCAAATGCGCATGACCTCGGATTTGTTTCGATTACTAATTTGCCTCTTTCAGACACCTAAGTTGGTTTGCTTATTAACCAGTGCTTACCTTCGCTCTAAGGATGAGAGTGTGCAATTCTTGCCTCGTTACATTTACTTGTTCCTTCCAGCCAGTGTCATTAACAACGAGGGGTTCATGGCCTCCTGAAAAGACAGGCTTGGGTGTTACGATTTTGGAGACCTCACCTTCAACTGACCACGAGCGCCTTGATTTCATACGAAAAGTCACTCTGAAAGCCTCGGCCACGTCCACGATATTATGTTGGATTCCCTCGCCTTGAAGTTGCAGATACATCTGAGACATGAAGATATTTAAGTGCCCAACATGACGAACATTGAAATCGATACTATCTACGATGTCGCATTATCTCATATCCAGTAACGCATTCACGGGTTGTGTAGAGATCCATGGAAGCTCCCGAGTTTGTGTTAGGCCCCACCAGCCTTCGACTTCTAACGACTGTCTTTTCCGTTTTACCGCTACCATACAGCCAGTTGATTGATGATGGATGGACCCTGAGCACCAAAATCTTGGCAACGGCCAACTGTTAGAACTTTATGAGCGAAATCTCTGATGTATCAGCAACCGACTCAAGTGTGCAGCCAAAAGGCACACTTTTCTATACTTAAGGCTCGTTTGGCCCATCTTCATACATTTTACTTGAGAGGATCATAGACACATTCAATTCTATGCCTTGTTAAACCTTGCAGTATGTCCAATAGCTTTTCCAAGTTTCTTTACTCAGCTACCATGCTAGTGGGTAACGTTGCTAGTAACGCCTTCAGTCATGGCATGAGTTCTATCATTTCAACTACAGGGAAACTCCTGCAAGCGAGCCTGAATGGTGAAATCTTGACTTCGCCATCCTATCTAATGATCATCGACAGCACAATATCGGCCTCTGGTTGAAGTATGTAAACGAGAAGGAAAATGAGCAATGGCTCAGTATGATAATGACCAAAACAACGTGCTGGGTTGCGGAAACTAGAGACTTGATATAATATCCTAACGATATCTGCGAGTTTCCTCGCGACTTCCGTCTTCAGATTTGATATTCCATTACTTGAACTGGTTTAGTAGCTATGAAAAATAACGTCCCACACCCACATCCGGGACACCCCCACATGTGGGACGCCCTAAAAATGACGCTGTATATTATAACCATTAACTTCAACCTTTTTTTACGCTTATTCTAATGCGACTACAATACAGCTTTCACCGTCACTAGGGTTTTCAGACTCGCTAGACTTATCTGTACTATCCTCAATTTCACCAGCCTCGATTTGAGCCTTCCGAATAGCCTTGATATTAGTAAACTTCGAATTTGGGCTCATCTTGACCTTCCTCCGCTTCCTAGCCCTACTAGCCTCAAGCTCTGCCTCTATTGCCTCAACCTTTCGCTGTGCGACAGCTAATTGGTAGTCCTTCTCATCAAAGCCCTTTTGAACTTTCCGAAAGAGTAGCCGCTGGGTATTTGGATCACTATCAAGCTTGCTGAATAAGCTGAGTTGATCTTGGAGCTCATCTCTCCTCTTAGGCGTTGACCAGGCTACTGCTGATGTCTCTAACGCCCAGTCCTGACTACCCTTACTATCAGAGTACCCTTTGCAAGTCTGACTAGGCTGTCTGATTGGTGCTGACGTATTCTCAAGGAGCAGGGGGCTCATAAGGGGTCTAGCTATGCTCGAAGGCCAGAGACCAGTATATTTCCATCCACTGATAATGTTCTTAGCGGTCAATGCTGCTAGACGTGCCTTTCTATAGCAGAGGAGAAAGTTTCTCTTCCCTACGACAGTAGTAGTATCCCATCGGTCAAGGTAACCAAGTTCCTTCTTATAGGCTGCCTTGAGGGGTCCAAAGACTGACTGATCGAGAGGCTGGAGAACGTGGGATGTGTGTGGCGGCAAGAAAAGCAAGTGTATCTTGTTTATGAAGCAGAGGTACATAAACTTTGTCGTTTCGTGGCTACTATGCCCATCTAGGATAAGTAACCTAGTCTCTTCAGGGTCCTCTGGTTGAGTTAAAGGAACAAAGATCTTTTGTAGCTACTCAATAGCCGTAGAGTCTGACGTCCACCTATTCTCTGTTGCTGTAAACCTCCAGGCTTCGTATAGAGTCAAGTCTAGAGGAAACCACTGCTGCTGGACAGACTTCCCCTTGTATATCACAAGTGGGGGTAGTACTGTAGTGGGGCCAGGCCGGACGTCAGGAAAGTAGGTGACGGGGGCCAGGGAGGACTCCCCTGTCTTCCACACTTCTTAAGGGACACGGAGATGACAGACGACTTTCAACAACTCGTCATCTCTTTTCATCATCTTATTCAATCAACTTGACTTTTGTTTTCTATTCTAGTTAGCTAGCCCTTCAATTATGCGGTTCATTCCTACGTGCACTTAGACACTACTTTCGAAATCCTATTATTCTGCCCTCAACCTAGCCTTGACAATGACAGAGGATTGTATCTTGCTCTGATCAGAGCAATCTAGTGCTAGTGAGAGCTTGAATTCGACTTCCAGAGCCAGACGTCTTATTCTGAGAATCATTCCGACGAGAGTCTCAGAGGCACATCCGACCAACTCGCGCACCAGACGTGTAATAGCTTCGCTCTTATAACCAGTACCACGATCTTCGTCTGATCAGACCAACAGATGGGATCTGTTGGTACTGGAGCCGTCTGTTCAGTGTGTTAGGTGGTAGGTATATCCTACTGACCGCCTGACCCCGTTTCAGTGGCTACAAAAGATCTTTATTCCTTTAACTCAACCAGAGGACCCTGAAGAGACTAGGTTACTTATCCTAGATGGGCATAGTAGCCACGAAACGACAAAGTTTATGTACCTCTGCTTCATAAACAAGATACACTTGCTTTTCTTGCCGCCACACACATCCCACGTTCTCCAGCCTCTCGATCAGTCAGTCTTTGGACCCCTCAAGGCAGCCTATAAGAAGGAACTTGGTTACCTTGACCGATGGGATACTACTACTGTCGTAGGGAAGAGAAACTTTCTCCTCTGCTATAGAAAGGCACGTCTAGCAGCATTGACCGCTAAGAACATTATCAGTGGATGGAAATATACTGGTCTCTGGCCTTCGAGCATAGCTAGACCCCTTATGAGCCCCCTGCTCCTTGAGAATACGTCAGCACCAATCAGACAGCCTAGTCAGACTTGCAAAGGGTACTCTGATAGTAAGGGTAGTCAGGACTGGGCGTTAGAGACATCAGCAGTAGCCTGGTCAACGCCTAAGAGGAGAGATGAGCTCCAAGATCAACTCAGCTTATTCAGCAAGCTTGATAGTGATCCAAATACCCAGCGGCTACTCTTTCGGAAAGTTCAAAAGGGCTTTGATGAGAAGGACTACCAATTAGCTGTCGCACAGCGAAAGGTTGAGGCAATAGAGGCAGAGCTTGAGGCTAGTAGGGCTAGGAAGCGGAGGAAGGTCAAGATGAGCCCAAATTCGAAGTTTACTAATATCAAGGCTATTCGGAAGGCTCAAATCGAGGCTGGTGAAATTGAGGATAGTACAGATAAGTCTAGCGAGTCTGAAAACCCTAGTGACGGTGAAAGCTGTATTGTAGTCGCATTAGAATAAGCGTAAAAAAAGGTTGAAGTTAATGGTTATAATATACAGCGTCATTTTTAGGGCGTCCCACATGTGGGGGTGTCCCGGATGTAGGTGTGGGACATTACGGCCTATTTTACCGGATAAGCAGTTAGAAATTGATACTTTTCTCGAAGGAAGGGTCCCTCCTAAAAAGAGGGCTCGAAAGAATATGTCTAAGCCTTCGGACACTTAAATTAAGTATGTTCTGTATATAAATAATATGGACGAAGTATTTAGGTTGATTCAGTTAGACCCTGCAAAATGGGGGTGCATGCAAAAAGGTGGTCAATGCTGTTAGTTGGTAAAACACGCCGCGTCACAGAATCCAGGGTATACCCACCCCATACAATATAAGTAAAGTTCCGTCGCAAGATGGAACTCGCATGACGCAAGATACTAGTAGACGCATGAGTAAGAGGTAAGAGCCCCATCTCCGGACTCAAGAATCTGGGGAACAGGTGCCGTGCCCCAATAGAACCGTTGGACCCTGCGCACCAAGCCTTTGGCAATGGCCACCCCGTGGTACGTGGCATGATGAACATCACCCGTCATATGGGCCCAAATCGTACTGACCTGACGGGTTGACTTCATGACCTTGTGTACTTAAGGTCCTTATGGCCATATCAGCTTTCTTGGTGAATTTGGATGAATTTAGAGGGCCGGCCTGACCAAAATCAACTCAATGCAGCACATTGCACTTGATAAGTTCAACAAGAACTGTTTCTCATGTACATCATGCCACGTAACCCAGCTTCACCACTCAACCTCGTCAACGTAGCATAATACTAGCACAACCTCACTTCTACGCATCGCGAACAAAGGTTCGTAGACTACCAGCCAGGCAAAGCGTTTATCGCGGTTCTAGATAACATAATTCGAACCCAACTGCTGCGTAACTGATTATCCAATCCCGCTGGCTTACTCTGGGAGGGTATGTCCTAAGTCAAGACTTGAGTAGGAAACGCCAAGGTCAAATGAGGTCCGTCCATTGAGTTGGCTCCCACATGACACCGGCACTATAGTATCACGCGTTGGCACCGTCTGTAACGGTGCCGTCGAAACTCTATATTCGTGTTCGGGTCCACTAGCCAAGCCGAGATCAGCAGGAGCTAGGCTTAGGGGAATGCGGCTTATTACGGTTCTCTCAACAGCCGGTGAAGGGGCTCGCATGCAATTCAACGTGTGCTGTGTCTTCGGGCACTAGACGAGGGGGTGATGGAGAGGCAGCGAAGGGGCTTAGAAGAAGCATCAGCTCAGACGCCATTGTTCGGGTCTAGATGTGATGTGCTATGTCGTGTTGTTGTTGAGT